TTCGGAAGTCATTTGAGTGCAATTTGCCTGTCATTCCACCAATCAATATGACGCCAGCTTAATCCTTGACATAATCTCTTCACATGGAAAGTATCTTGGGCTTCATTCTTCGTCTTTTCATCCATCCATGCAATGTTTGAGCGCCGTCAATTCGCTGCTCGTCGCCGTCTTCGTGTTTTTTTTCCAGTCAAACCAGAATAGCTCCTAATTATGTATGTCCCGAAAAGGAGTTGTTGAAATTGATTGACTCGTAATTGCGGAAGCGCCACTTGACACTAGCCGTCCCAACCGACGCCTATTTTTTCTGGCGAAGAAAAGTTTGTCGAAAACTTCTCCCTCTTTTCTTTTCAGCTTCTTCTTCTTCTTTTTCACTTTCAATTTTTTTCCCATTTTTTTTTGAAAAGAAAATTAAATGTGAAGACCTTGCTCATTTTCGAGAGCCCCCCGCTCCCCATTGTTTCGAAGCCAATATTTGAGCTCGCTCTTTTTTTTGTTGTGAATCGATAATGCCATTTCCCATATTTGGCGATTCTAAAACATTCCATTTTTCTAGTTTGATATGTTGGATTATGCTTGATCCTCAAGCATTCGTGCTCAGCCTTCAGGTGTCTTTTAGTCGGCGATTTCTGTCCGCGCGTCGATTGCGCCTTTCGCTATGAACCTCACAGATTTCCCATTTTTTTTGCATTTTTGCTCCTAATTTAACAATTTTTAATTTCAAAACGGTTCGAAATGCAAGAAAATTGCAAAATTATCTGGTTGGAATACAAATTTCACGAGAAAATAAGAAAATGAACAAATTCGAGAATCATTTTCTTTCTATTTTAAATATTAATTAAATATCGATGAATTGATATGTCAAAACTATTAAATCCGCCGAAAAAAGAGCACGTGTGCATTATAAAAATCATTTAGAATAATTAGCTCTTTGCTGGAATCCATAATTATCCAAACCATTTTTGATCAATTTTTAATTTAAAAATTAAAACAAAAAATAATTTGAAAGAATCCCCCATGGTCAATTTCTAACAAGCGGCAAATCTGGTAACTCAAATCAAATCCGATCCGACAAAATTCGACTCCGGAATCAACCTTATCCGATTGGAAATTCTACGGAAAAGATTGGAAAATTGTCGAATCCGATTCGTTTTTTTGGAAATTTTCGAATACGATTGGTAATCGAATTATTCGAATCCGTTTTTTTTTTGATATTTCAATTCGAATCGGATTCGTAGAAATACCAATCGGATAAGGTTAATTTCAGAGCCGAATTTTGTCGAATCCGATTGGTTTTGAGTTACCAGAGAAAAAAAACCGATCGGTTACGATTTATTTCGATTAAAATTCTCGGCGGCCTAAGCGCACGAATTTGAATACTCAGCTAGTGCTCGGCTTCGAAACGACAAGCCTGAAAATCACTTCCCGCCACAACGCACGTGCAACCTTGAAAAATTGGTCGAAATTTTGAAAAAGCAAGTGCGGCACACTGAAAAAATTTGTTTTAATTATGTGCAATGATTTTATTGTCTCTTCTTTCCACGAATTTCTGACTTTTCACATATTTTGATATCTTAAACTCATCCAATATATACACATTTTTGCACATTTAGTTTTAAAATAAACGTCAAACGATTGAAAAAAGGCGGGGTCTTCAAATTCGCGAAATTAGTGAAGATTTAAATTTTCCATTGACTGAATATTAATGCGCGTAGACTATAATGCAATGTACGCAATCTCGCGGACTTCTCGCTGCCTCGAGACGCATTGCGAATCATTTTTTAAATTTCGTCAAGTTCTCCGATAATACTTATTTAAATTAACTAATCCATCAAGTGTGACCGTGGCCGAACATAATTTGTTAGGACATTTTTCTAGGCCATACGTGTGTTGCGGCGAGCCGTGAAATAAACATTCAATCGTATCATGGCGAAAAACGCACTTCGTAAATCAACCCCGCTTAAAGCAGTCGTCGGAAGCCGGTTATATATTGTCGTGGACGGAGTAATTGGAAAAAAAAAAATTAATTGCGCGGGCTGTCAATTAATTGGTACTGCTTATGCGCCGTTATTTGACACTTTTAAAAATTGCCAATGTACTTAGAATTTATTAAAAAATTATTTTTTTTAAATGATAATTGAATTGGGTAAAACTCGCTACTGTGAGTTTTTTCCATACAAGACTCAAAATGGAAATTCAAATGCACAGATAAACGGCGGCATAGGCACAATGGAAGCATAGTGGAACGGCTGTGGATATCATAGGAATCTTATATGCAAGTTATATGGAAGCATAATGGAAGCATTTTTTTGCGGAACCGCGTGTTTCGTATATGGAATGAGCCGTATGCCTTCCATATGGGAAAATAAGAAAACAATTTGATTGCTGTATTCAAAATTTATTTCATATTAACACATTTATTTAATTTAAAATAAAAAAAACAACAATGAAATGAATTTCAATTAAGATATAATCAAACCATTAGTTACTGGCAACTGCCGAACTATTCGAATCATTGTCAGTACTGACATCGAGCGGGACGCTGTAATAAGTAGATTATAATGGGCCTATTAATTTGAAAAACTTGTAAACCATTGTTACGTAAACTAAATTTTTCGAGAAAATACAATCAGTTTTTTTACATCAATAATTTTCTTAAAAATAAAAATAATTTATTTTTATTGCATTTTTGGAAACCCTTTAGTGCACAAAATAAAAAGTGAATTGGCGGAAGAAAGAACCACTCCAAAATTTGAAGCAAAAAGGCATTTTGGTTAAAATTTCAAAGACATATGAATACTCACATCTGAGGGTTGCTGGTAGAATCAAGCAGCTTCCTTAATTGCGCCGCGAGCGCTTCCGGCGCTACACCAAATTTCCTTTGAAGTCGTTGGCGCATTCTACAGGGTGTCATTTAAGTTCCCGCACAACTTTGTAGACGTACATTTCTGAAACTAAAAGTCCAAATCAAACGAGACTCGAAATATTTTTTATCTATAGTATAACAAATATTTATCTATTAACTCTTTTTGATTCGGCCTCTTTTCGCAGCTATGACTTCACGGAGACGCTTCGGGTAGGATGTGACTGTGGTACGCAGGTATTCGATGGAAAGATTGTCCCATTCCGCCAGTAATGTCTTCTTCAGAGCCTCTACACTTGAGTTGGGTTTTGCGTTGACCTTCTCCTGCAAGACCCCATCACGGAAAAGTCAAGCGGGTTCAGGTCTGGGGAGCAATCAGGCCATTCGGATGACTTGATAAAGTCGGGAAAATGGGTCTGGCACCACTCCTGAGTAGTTTTGGCAGTGTATGCGGGTGCTCCGTCCTGTTGAAAGACCCATTTCTGCCCACCGAAATGCGTTTGGGTCCAGGGCATCACATGCTTCTCCAAAATGTCCCGAACGTAGACTTCTTTGTTCATTTTCACCATCTGATCCACGAAAACCAGGTAGCACTTCCCGGTTGAGCAGATGGCACCGAAAGCCATCACACTGGCAGGATGTGAGGCTGGATGATATGTTCTTCCTTTCTCAGAAGCTTGCTGGGATGTTTGGCCAAGTACTCAATGGTTTTGTGAGTTGAATGCCGCCTCCACACTGAACAGCTTCTCGTCGGAGAAGACAGTGACGAGGTATTCTCCAGACCGCGTGCGAGCAAGAAGTCGTTTTGCTTTTTCGAAGCGTCTCTGCTTGTTGACGGCCGATAGAATTGCCGCTTTTTGGACACGATATGGGGTCAGTACAAGCTTTGTTTTGACGATTTGTTCCATAGCAAAGATGCTCATTCCCATGTCTGACGCCATCTTTCTCATGCTCCTGTGTGGGTTTCGCCTGATCCTCGATTTAACGGCGTTGATCTTCTGAGGAGTGGTTACTGAGACGAGTCTTCCTTGTCTGGGACGGACACTGGTCGTATTTAGCTATTTGAATCGTTTGATGGTGTCGCAAACCGTTCTACGAAGCACACCGACCCGTTGAATGATGTCTCTCGGGCTCACATTTTGCTTATGAAGTTCGATAATGGAAGCGCGATGGATGTTAGCCTTCGCCATTTCTCGGAAACACATCCGAATGAGGTGAAACTTGGGAAATAAGTAAAATACACCTTATTTAACAAAAATAAATTGTATTGGTGCACAAAAAGTGCGACAGTCAATCTCTTCATGGCGTCAAACTTTTGTGCGGGAACTTAAATGACACCCTGTATCGCTTAATCAAATAAATAAATTAATAGTCATAGTTCAAAATCTTACAGAAGATTATCCATGATCCATATTCGTCCCATAATTCTTCCACAGCCACTAAGAATTACATTATGCTTCCTATATGGAAGCATTATGCTTCCGTTCCACAGATTTCCCACAATGCTTCCATTATGCTTGCGTCGCGCTTAATCAGTGTGATCCAGCAATCGCATCTACGTAAGAGTCATTCGTTGTTGACAGCGCGTCGCATTCTGCCCTTATAGTCGAGTTGGGAAAGTGCGCGCGTTCGACGCGGACACCAGCGTTTTCGACTCCGCGCTTTAACTTTATTTCAAGACGAAACAACAAACAATCGTGTAATCATTCGTTGGCTGAAAATAATCAAATTCATTTCGGCAAAAAAAATTCCCACAATTCGATTAGTATTGTGGGGGGGGGCAGCACAAACAAGACGCGAGGCGAATGCTAAAATAGGAAAAAGGAAAGAAAAAAAAAACTTTATGCGTTCCGCGTTCCGCGTTCGTTGATTCCTTTTTTTCAGACGGCCCCCTTCTTCTTTTATGATTTTCATTTATTGTTGATTCTTTGTTGTCTTTTTTTTCTCATTGAGGGACTCGCGGTGGAGCCCTTAGGTGGAAAAAAAAGGGACCCTGCTCTCGGAGGCCCTGCCAGCATAGCAGCGAGGACAAAAGCCGAGAGGGGTCCCGACCTTTTCATCGACATCTCAACAGCATTAATATATTTGCGCCGCCATTTGTTGGGTGTCAACCGCCTTTATTTTTTCTTGCTAATTCGCGATGCTTCAAGACGAAGTGGTAAGTGTGCGCCTTTAAATGAACCAAAGTTTGGTGATCTTCGCGATTCCTCTGCGTCTCGAACCCAGGTGCAATCTGAGCCCATTTGCCATATTTGACTCCTTGTGAGCTCATTAAACATATGGCATTCGTTCTTTTTTCATTCACCAAGCAAACTCGCTTCTTCTTCTTCTTCTTCTTTATTTCGTATTCAACGACGTCTCAAAATGTTCCCGGATCAGGTCTAAAAATAAACAACAAAAATTAAAGGCGCATATCGTAATCCAATACTGAAATCAATTTCAGATGTTCTACGCGTGCCTCGCCATCATGATATTATTCGTAATAATGTGCTCGTGCATCACGATGGCGATTATTGATTTGGAAGTCTACAATTTCGGGTTGTATATCGTTTTGTTGTGTATTGTTGGTGAGTTTTTTTTATTGGGAAATGCGGTGAAATTAAAAAAAAAAGAAAAATGTGTATAATGGGCGTCCGGCGATGGCTGTACGCGGGTAGATTTACGCGCATGCGCCTTGAAAAGGTCTCGCCACGCGTGAATGATTATTTTGCTGTTTTCACGTGAATTGTTTCACTTTTTTGATTTTTCTTTGAATTTCCAAAGTCATTCGATTAAAAAATTATCGAATAGGTCCATAAAATTTGAAATAACCTATTAGTCCTTGCGAGACCAATTTGAGAAACGCATTCACGTAAATCTACCCGCGTACAGCAGTCGCCGGACGCCGACTCTAAATTTTTTATTCTTTCTGTTTCTTTTTTTTTAATTTCAATGTAGAAAAATAATTTTTTCCATTAAAAATAAATTTCTTTGCTTTTGCCGTTTAGTTCTTTTTTCTTGTGGTCCAAAACTGCTACATGACACCCGAATTCGAGAATTTTAAATTCGAATTTCTTTTGTCGCCATCAAAAACATTCAAATTCTCCACCTTTGTTCCTCAAAAATAATATTAATTATTATTATTCTTATAATTATTTAATGCTATTGTGCGGAAAAATGTGAGCACTTTTATTAATGAGAAAATATGGCGTGAAATTCACAAGTTTTCGTTGGCCCAATGCGAAATTCGCTTCGAGACCCAAAATATTTCCGCATTTTTTGCCTATTGTTGTTTTATACATATTCATATTTCCGCTACGTCTTTCTCGATCTTTTTTTTTGCTCGGCTGAGAATTATGATGTTATAACAAGCTTTTGCCTCAAATTTGCTCATTGGGCGATTGTAGAAAAGCCACGAGAAAAACATTTTTAATAAAATTGCTCTTTCAAAAAAAGTGCTTTAAATTTATCTTTTTATGCTATAACGCATCCCGAACTCAAAAAAGCGAAAATATTTTGATTTCACATGATTTTGCTCACTTTTCACACAAAATTAACCCAATTTTTTTGATTAAACGAAATCAAAATTGTCCGCAGATGAAAATTTATATCAAAATTTCTCTTCGCTTTTACGGATTCACAAAAAAGCTACATGCAGAATTTTACACTGCAAGACCTTAGACGCTTAAATAAAAAATAAAATTTCTGAAAATTAACAGGAACGCACGCAAACCGCAGCGCGTTTTGGAAAAAAGACTATAATCTTGTTTAGTGAGGGTTTTTTCATCATTTTGTGGGTGCTCGTTTTTTTTTAAATAAATTTTCAATGTTGCGCCTTGAAATGTGATCTCCTAACAAGGGAGGTCTTTTTGCTGTCCGTCTTAAAATTTTTTTCATTTTTTGCATACAGATTCTTTAAAAAATTTCCAATCGAATGAACTAGGTCCCTACCATGTTAACATAACCTACACACCACTCAACCACAGCTGCTTGCCGAATTAGGATATAAGCGCGAGATAAGACATCGCGTTATGTCATTTGTATGCAAAATTCACGTGGGGAGGGGCTAAAACTTTGAAGGTCCATATCTCGATAACTAGAAGTTTGCGCAGGTAGGGAGGGACCTAGTTCATTCGATTGGAAATTTTCTAAAAAATCTGTATGCAAAAAATTAAAAAAAAAAATTTAAGACGGACAGCAAAATGACCTCCCTTGTAAGCTTCACATTTCTTCCTTAACCACTGGTTTCCGTGATTGAGTTTAATCAAGAAAATCAACGTTTGCAGGAACCATGCTCGCTTGCGCATTGTGCATAGCAAATCCTGGCGCTTGCGCGAATCCCGTTTGGTACACCAATTTCTGTTTATTGCTGCATGTAAGATTTGATCAAATTACGCGATAAAATTGCGGAATTCAGGATTATATGCAAGAAATGTACCCAGTTCATCCTGATGGAACATCGAGTCCCAAAATGACCGGATTGAGGGCACAAATGCAAAGGCACGCGGCGCAATCAATGGCGACGTCTGACGATGGGACCCGGTTAACCGTCAGGTGTGTATGAAATGAAAAGCCCATGCTACGGACATTCGTAATTGTTTCTAATGTTGGTTTTAGGCAAGAATCTCGAGCAACAGTGGCGATGCTTGCACCAGCAGTTCACATAATGCACCAAGTATGGAAAGGAATGGCATGGGTCACCGATGGTATCGAAGAAGAAGACGAGGATACTCGATTGTCATTGTACGACAAAATGGAGCAGGTTTCCGACAATTTTTGCCATTCTTCTCGAACTATAAATTGTTGGAAACTTCAGGGGACATCAGATGAGACGAGGTCGGTGAGCGATCATCATGTGAAGCGGCTCTCCACCATCGCTGAAACCAGCTCCTATATTCTGAGAGAACTTGTACGATTCAAACGAGCATTGAACAGATTAATCACTAGAAGCAATTTTGCAGGAAGAACCCAGCAGCGAAATCAACTCTCGCAATGATGTTACCTTATAAGGAATTTCGATCAAACTACATAGTATGAGCCGATCTCTTCAATTTAGTACGTGTAATTAACTCATCAAGTGGTCTTATTGTGATCTAATACAAATAAATGATTATATTATTAGCAAAAAAAAGAAATCAAGAAATCAAGGGTCTTTTATCCGGATTAGGGATATAATGATATTATAAGAAATTCGCGAATTATACATTTTCGAGAAATTTCGAATGTTCCTTGTGGAGTAATTTTCAAAAAAAAATTAATTCATTCAATTATACAAATATCAAGTTGAATGCCCAAAAGTTTTCACACATGATGAGTCTCGCTTATTGTGAGCATCAGCTGAGGCATAGGCGAGCAGAAGCTGCGATGGATGCCAGGTGACAGAGAATGTCTCTCCAGTATTCTTGATTTCGTGGCACCGGGATCCATCAGGAACGTAAACGAGATCGATTGAATGGTCCTCACTTCCAGATGCCAGAATTTGGCCGTTGCAAGAGAACGAAACACTCCTTATATTGTAGTCATGTCTGAATCAAAAACGTCGGAATTCTAAGAGAAGCCTCCGATTACCGAGGGATCACTCGCTCGCAAATCAATTCATCCAAATTCCATAATGAGCATGACGCATCAGAAGCGCCGACAGCTAGTTTTTGGCCATCTCTGGTTACAGCGATCGCTAAACAGTCGACTTGTGGGGAATGTGCTTGAATAGTGGATACGTGGTCAAGAGAACCCGACGAAAAACTGGAAAAATTGAGAATTTTTAGTTTTTCATGAAAATCGCAGCTCTCATTAGAAACTGCGAAAAGTCGCATGTCCGTCCAGCTTCAGATGGTCCCAGACTTTAAGACACTGTTCAGATTCTGACTTTCAACAGACTTTACGTAGTTTCTAATAAGATACTGCTAAAAGTCTGCATAAATTCTGAATAGGTTAATCAATTTACTTGAAAATTTCCACTTTTCCATAAGAGGAAGCCACTAAGAGGTGATTCGACTTCGGATGGAACACACATTCATGCGAAAACTGTTTGATGTCGTAATTCTGAATAAAAGGAATTTCGGAATAAACGCATGAAAACGAAACCCACGTTGACAACTTGATAATTTCTCGAATCGACGACATTGATGAAACTGTCTTTGTCGCCAAAAACGAAATAATTGTCACACGGCGACCACGCAATGTACACATTTCCAGCTGAAATTAGTTGTTTTTGGTTTTTTTTTTTCAATTGAAAAGAAGACGGTTTTCAACATTTGTTCGATATCCGGTGGCTTGGTTTGCTTTGTCGAATATCCCAAACGCAGACGCTTTTGTCGGAACTCGCCGACGCGAACATATGAGGAGATACCATGCTGCAGGCTACCTTTAAATAATCGAAATTGATTAATAATAAAATCAAATTCGAATAATACTTGTTCTACTGATGATTGATGACTTGATCCAATCCAAGAAAATTTTAAGCGGCCGCCGTCGACATTCGCGACGCTCACTTTACGGTCATTGGCTCCACAAATCAATCGGGTCCCATCGCAATTGAAAGATATTGTTTGACATTGTTGAACCTAAAATGTTTTTTATTTTTTCAGAAAATTTGAATCGATTAGAATACTTTCATATCCGTCGTTCGAATTCGGCGATATTTTTCAAAATGGTTGATTGCTTCTTGTCCATTATGAAGACGCGGAACTCGCCGTTCTCTAAAACTCACTGTCATCCTAAAACAAATAATTAAAATATGAATATTAGACATTGTACAAAATCTTCAAAAAATCAATATTGAAAAAGCTTCGGAATAAAACCAAAAAATTGAGCAATTAGACAAAAAAAATGAAAATAATATAATTTATGTACAGAAATCATTGAGAAATGGCTTGTATAGCTTTTGCCAAATACTGTTCGGTGTCAGTCGAAGGCGCTGGAAGTTTTCGAAGAGCCACGGTCCCGAATTTGATGAGATTCGCAGATTCTTCTGAATCACAAATGTTAGACATTTAAAGTGTTCTAAATTGTACCTGGACAGACGGTAACAAATTCAGGAAGCAGACATAAAGCGTGCTGAGCAACTTGCTTGTTTGAACAGCAGAATGCAAGACGATATGCGTTCAAAATAATGGTTTTTGGCTGAAAATTCGAGCGATTATATTGGCAATTATATTATTTAAAAACTGACGTTTTTCGGATTTGAGAGTATTGTCAGCGCACAATTGAAAGCTGATTTTCGAATTGAAACATTTGGATGTGTTAGAAGTTGAGAAATAAACTTTGGCGCTTTAGTACAGCTGCAAAATCGAATTTTTGCTTTGCAAATAATCGAAATTTCACTTTTCAGGGTTTTTCTTCAAAGCAGCTTCTACTTTTCTGAGCAAATCTAATTTTTCACGATCGCCCATATCAGTAGCATATTCGTAATCGCTTATTAGATTGGCGACAACATCGACATCTCTAAAGAATAATTTATTTTAATAGTTTGTTGAAAACAGAAAAATTACCTTGATCCTTGAGGCGTATCATTTTGATAATTATAGCGAGAAAAACTTCCCGCCCTCGCATCTCTCTCATCAACGTCGTCCATTATTTAGAATATCTATAGAAGAAAGAAAATAAATAAAATTATTCGAATGAATAAAATATTTAAATAAATGCGCCAGTTACGGTACCCAATGTGCATTATTTGTTGTCGGTGTTTGCAGACAAAATCGCCAGTTTGAATTTTTTTCGAGGGAGGCACAAATCATTTAAAATTTTTACATTTCTCCGTCGTCATGTACATTTTAAAGTATTTATTTAACGTGACGTTTCAAATTAATTATTAAAGATACGCGTAATGATCGAAACCCATTACAACTAATTTTTGGTAATACACTAGCCTTACTAGCAATTTTTTTTCATTTTGTGAGTATTCCTTTGATATTTATTATTTATTCAGATTTAAAATTTATAATAATATTAATTTTGAAGCTGAAATGGATGAGGATGTTGAAATGGACGTTATTGCGGACAAGTTCGATGATTGCGATATCGACGATGCTCCGCTAGACATTGCTTCTGAAGCTGGATCTTATTGTAAAAGCACATAGTTGAACCAATTGATTTATTTGAATTTTTAGTTGACGAAGAAGAACTTCGAAGTCAAATCGACGATGATGTTCTTCGATCTTCACAAGATCTAAATTCTAGAGGAAGATATTTACCAAGAAATAGACCTCCAATCACAATGCCCACTATAAGTGAGGAAAAACTAGACGATTTACGCTCAAATATGAGCACAAGAATGTCTTCAAATCGGTCTCGAACGGAAGTAGTCGAAAACCTGAAAAATAATGATGCAAGTTGGGGAAATTGCGGAAAAGAATTGACACCTGCCAATGATAACAACGACTTGAATGACTCATCACTTCAATTTCGCGATGCTAGTATACTTTTGTTCAACATTACAATTTCGTTTTTTAACTAAATTTTCAGACAACGTAATGGACGAATATGAGAGGAATTTGTTTGATGATAAGAATCGAGCAGATCTCCTATTTCCCACCGAAATGTGCAAGTTGCAAAATCTACCCGTCCACGAGAAAGAGAACTCCTGGGAGCCGTCGTTCGTAGAATATGAAAAATACCCAACTCCCGAATTTGATAAATCCCCATTGACGAGGGTTTTTCTAATTATGATTGCCATTCAATTTTTAACGTTTATTCAGAGAATACTGAAAAACAGCGATTCGCATAATAAGGCTAAAGGAACGTCGCCGGAATCCAATAGCATATTCGCACAGTCGCCACTGTCAGGAATTGTTTCTGATGAAGTCGCCAAAACGAGTACACCAAAAAGAAGTGCGTCGAGTTTCTGGCAGATTTCGGCAACTCTAGTGAAACTTTCAGCAGATGTTTCGAGATTCGGCAAACCGAGGATACCAAATTTGAATGTGTCGTCGATTTCGTCTATACATCCCGGCAGCCCTGTGAGAGCCGTCAACCCTGGTAAATATTGTGAGACTCGACAAAAACATTAAAAATGAGATTTTCCAGTACAAACACCACCTTGCAATGAGACAACCATGTCGACTAATGTCACAGTTAGTAAAACGATGCTCGACAATATTGTTAACAACGCCGAAACTGAGACTGATTTGCGAATTTTGCTCGAGCAAGCGCGCAAACATCGCTTTGAGACCAGAAACCCCCAATTCGTTCGCGAGTATCAAACAAATTTTATGAAAAATGTATTGTTTAATTGAGTTTTTTTTCTAGAAATGCAACTATAAATCGAACGAACACCTCAACAAAAACTGCAATCGAAAATTCTAATCGGATACTGAACGATGTATCATCGAATGCACAAGCACTTCGCTCGTCATCGGTATTTTTATTTTTATCACTTTTTTTTGAATTTCCCTTATTTTAAAGACTTCCTGTGATTTACCATCACGACCGCGCGCAGATCCCACGAGATCCACAAATTCGTCCTATCGGGATGTCCAACGAGGCCATATTAGAGCTCGTCCCGATTCTGCTCGTTCAATGGCTTCTGAGAACAATTCTAGACAAACTTCGAGATTAGAGAATAACCAGGTAGACTTTGAATTTCCGCCTGCCTTCTATGGAATTCCGATTGCAGTTACGCTCATGTTCGCGGGCTTCGTCATTGTCGAGTGTTGCTTCTGTTCGTACATCAGCTTCCATATCGCAAAAACCGCAATTTCTGCAATTGAGCGCAAAACGGCTGGCATTCGGCGCAGTGGATATTGGGGATAGTTTGGCATTGGAAATCGAAGTTGAGAATATTACGAATCGAACTCATCAAGTGCGTTGTTCCCTTGATAGTACGACGAAATCATTCAAGGTAAGACGAGTTAAACGGAATCGAGAAATCGACTTGTTGAAGATTCTTGATAATCGACTCATGCGGCTGGAATCTGGTCAAAAATCGCGAGTTCGAGTCGAATTCAGCCCGGAATGCATTGGACGATATCAAGTTTTGATAAGATTTGAGATTGTCGGTGTGAACGCTTTGCAATCGGTATGATTTGAATCAGACGTTTTGTCGTTTTTCGACAAATTTTGAATTTTATTATCAAAGAAAACTACCGTACTCATTTTTTTGCGGAAATTAATCCTTTTAGCAATAGTGTTTTTTTCCAAAGGATACTTTCTTTTAATTTCAAATGTGTGTGTTTTTTTTAAAGATTCCGATTTGGGGATTTGGCGGAATCTGTCAAATCGCTCCGATTGTCCAAGGCGATCTCTCGTTGTCGAATTCCAATGATTTCGTCCTTCAAGCGAACACATTCACCAATCTCTCATTTGTTTTGAGAAACAATGGACGACGGTATGATTTGTTTTCGCAATTTTTGACCGTATAATTGAATTCAGTGATGGATTCGCGAGAATCGATGTATTTGACTCGATGATGAAGCCGATCTCGTGTACAATTTCGCCGGCGCGCGGAGTCATCCTCAAACATCACGGCGAAAGAAAAGTGAGGATTCGATTAACTGAGAATCTGCCGATGCTCAATTCCGATCATCGATCGGCGTCGTCAATGTCGTCGTATTCGAATCGCCGATCGCTTTCTGGAGCCGATTTGTTGATTATGATTCGTTGGGGAGAAGAAGTATTGAGGCATAGGCTGAAATTGTATGAATTTTTTCTCTGAAAAAATTAATTCTCGTAATTCTGAAATTTGAGGCTTGAAAAGAAGACTGGCCAACATATTAAAGTGGACGAGTGCGATTTTACGCGGACTCCTTTCGACGGCGAACAGGAATTCAATGTTCCTGGAGGATATCCTAGTGTTCATATTGATGACAAAAGCCTATTTGAGGCTGGATGCAGGACAACTAACATTTTGGTAAGAATGTTCTGTATTATTCGAGAAATCCAAAATATTGAAAATGAGCAATCTTTTGAGAAATTTGAAGTCACGTTCGATATTTAGGTATACTCGACAAGGAATGCTCGAAAATTCGAGCAGGCGTATCATCGAAGCGCGTCGAGCTCGCTAGATCCGAATGAGGCAACGGTTCTCGAAACAACCGCATTCCGACATCAGACGCTGATTCGAGACCAGGATGTCACCCTAATGCCTAGAAAATGAGCCCCGAACGAAGTGTCAAACACTGATTATTAACAAATATTTGCATTATTGTGTGTTTATATCAATTATAATCATCTTTGGTCTGCACTATGCGTTTTGATCCTGCCAAACTGACGACTTGTATTTTCCAACTGTCAACATTTATACGCTTGTTTTCATGAATTATTTGAGAAAATTCAAATCATTTTTTAAAAATTTCTTTTTACATTTCGCGGTTATCACCAATCAACGCTTCAATTTTGTCTCTTTTGGTTCTTTTGGCTCAGTTTTGATGGTTTTGCTCTTGACATTTTTGAATTGCTGCATATTGTGCTCCTCCTGCTCATCATCCTCTTCCGATTTCGCCTGTTGCTCGGGATTCGCGCACAAACGACTACGCTTTCTCAAATAGTATTGCCATTGAAGAACGAGTTGATCTTCGACAAATTTCGCATTATGCGCTGCAAATTGGGAATGATTTGAGATCTATTCGGGAGAAATGTGATCACGACGTACGGAATGCCATCGCTTCGCGGAATTGAGGACTCTGAAGTGCTTCGAGGATGAAGAGGCATTGGGGGAATTTGAGACATCTGGAATATCATCTCAATTTGCTTTTTTTGTGCATTGAAATTTGGGAGATCGCATAAAAATTGATGATTCGAATTCGCGCGAATTTGAATTTTTTCGCGAAATTCCCATAAAAGCTACAATTAAAAAAAATGACTTGTAGTGCATAATTTCAGTTGGTCTTGTTTTGTATATTTCTGCATTTTCATATTCTTTCAGTAAAGATTTTCAGCGTGTTCAATTACCTCGCGTATTCGGGCTTCTTCCAATACATTAGATACTGTAGGTAATTCACGAAATAATCCTCTTTGAAATATCCGCGTTGCGCCAAAACTGCAATGAGAATTATGTGGAAATATGGCAAATTTTCAGCGCATTTTCGCTCACAATTGAGATAATTCGGATTGGCCAAAGATTGCACAAACTCGCATTCGATCTCGAATCTCCGCTTCTCCTCATCCTGTGTTTCCATCGAAAAAGAATACAATTAACACGCACGTTCAAATGATTTCCGAATAAGGCAAAAAAAATATATCACGTATGGAATCTCAATAAAAGAACCAATAAATCGAACGAAAAAATATTGTCAAAATATTCCGCAAAATCTTCATTACAAAAAATTGATACGGATTTAATAATCAACAAGGACAAAATGCGAGCTACAGGCAGAGTTTTACCGGCATATTCATAACATCGAGAGATCATTTCGTTGAAAGACACGTAGGGATAAAGAGGGCACAAAGAAAAAACAAGAAAAGGTAAAATGAAATCGAAAAAAACAAGAAACAAAACAATTGTACATTGAGGATGGCACTCATCTGGGAACATACTCATCATCATCGTCCTCGCCAGAAGACGACGACGACGATGAGCTCATATTCTCGAAATCCTCGAGCTCTCCTTCCGAATCCGCCGCGTTGTCCCGCTTGATTTTTTTGCTGGGCGGCTCGATGGCAGCTGCTTCTTCAATTTTCGGCTGCGAGCACGCTTTTCGTGCTTTTTCGACAACTCCATTGATGGTTTCCGTCAAATATTGCGTCGAGTCCAGTTTGGCATTCGCGATTTGTCGAAGCGCGCGGGTGTCGATTCGAATTCCATCCTGAAATTTCGTCGCAATAGAATCGGCCCCCCATAATATGTTTGTCTTCCAGTGTTTTTTCAGTTTTAAAATGAAAATCAATCAAATTCGAAGAAAAACGAAATTTAAACTAATCTCGAGTAAGAAAGAATTAGACTTGAAAAAAATTGTTTCAATTCAAAAATCTTCGAAATCTATTGACTTTCAATTATTTGACAAGAAGGTTCTTCAGCAGTCTGTCTTAAATGTTTTATTTTGTGGTATACAGATTCTTCGGAAAATTTCCAATCGATTGACCTAGTTATCGAGATACGGACCATCAAAAATAGCCCAGCTTTCTCGTGAATGTAAGTGACTAAACAAAATTCAAAATTCCGATGAGCATCTTGTGAAATTTCTAATTTTTATGGGTTTATTTTCGAGTGTTTTCACAATTAACAAAAAAAAAATCAAAAGAAAAAACTCCCAATTTTGATAAGTTTGTTTAAAAATAAAGATATATGACAGATTTACCTTCAAAATGGGTTCAATTTCCGGCAAATCAACACATTCCTTGAACGCATTCGTTTTTTTCGGAATCGTGCCGCATTCCTCTTCAACATTGCGCGCTTGTATCAATAATTCTCTCTGAAATTCGCAATAATCTCTCAAAAAATTAATTAAAAAAAAAAAAAAGAGCCCAAACCTGAAGGCGCAATCGTTCCTCATTCGGCGTTTCTTTCGCAATTTTCAGTCGGCACGGTTCCAAGAAAAGCGCGCGCATTTTAGCCTAAAATACCCAATTATTTTGGTCAACGGAACTAATTAGTCAATTATATTTACATAAAATGTTGCATATTCTCTCGACTTCGTGATTTCCGACGACAATTGAATATTCAATCGTTGATTCGCATTTATACTGAGACGATCCTCCTCCTGGAATCGATTTCGTGTCTCAATGCTGACGTCAAGTGGCAAGAAGTGTTTCGAAGCGATTTGCTGAAGTTGCGCTCGAGTCATATTAAGCGCGTCGAGACCCAAAACAGTAGGCAGAACTGGGGCAAGTGTTGATTTGACGGGCATCGGACTATTCGATTCCTCCAAAATGTGATTGGCGACATTGTCAACTTCGTCGGTAAGCATCTAAACCAAATCGGTCAGAATTTGGTGTTGATTCGACTAAAATCTTACCCTATTTAGGTAGACTTTGATGGTGGGAAAAGAAGTACACTGGAAAGTACTGTAATAATCTCTTCCCCACGTGATGTGATCGTGTCTGCGAACCGCTTGGCAGAGGGCTTCAATCAAACACATCTGTCGCTCGCTTTCGGGTACTTCTTTTTGGAACATCGTCGGCACAGTAATCTCGATTTTGTGCTTCGTAGGTCGTATACGATTCGTAATCGAGTCCACATTCTGTAAAATCGATGCTATTCATTTTTTAAAATCAATTTTCGCACTGGTAAAATTTAAAAACCATTAAATGTTGCATATATACAGTGCGTTGCAGAATTATAAGACCATCCCCGAATTTGAGCGCAGCGCAACGATTTCGATATTTTGAGACAAACCAGTGTACCCAAAAACTCACTATATTTATAATATCAAATCATTTTTGTTAGAAAATCGAACCGATTTATAGTGGGCGTCCGGCGACGGCTGTACGCGGGTAGATTTACGCGCATGCGCCTTGAAAAGATCTCGCCACGTGTGAACGCTTATTTTGCTGTTTTTTCATGGGGACGGTTAACTTTTTCTTGATGATTTTGGCATTTCTTGAAATTTCTAACGTCGTTCAATTAAAACGCGTACAGCAGTCGCCGGACGCCGACTATAGAATTTTTCAAAAATAAAAATTTTTTAGAGCGCCTCTTGTGAAAAATAAGTGTGATTTTTTATTGAAATAAAATTGCCGGGACCTCTGGACGGACCGATTCAAAATCTGAACCGGACCGTTGACATAATATTGCTTAAATAAAAATGACATTGTCTCACCCAACTAGTCCTTCCAGCTCGAGTATATCTTAAATGTCGGCGACTTACAGCAACCATATGGCGAACATCCCTGCAAAAAATGTTTCCTCTACATATAACAACAAATTTCGAGAAAAAATCCCTACAAATCAGTAATGCTAAGCATTTTGAGGACATCATTCGCGCGTTTCTCGACATCAAACTCTCTCATATTCTCGGTTTCAACCATATTCTTCAACTGCTTCTCAATTTCCGGCCAATTCGGCGAGTTTTTGAATTGCGAATATCGCCGCGGCGTCTGCAATTAGAACGTGTGATTTCTTGACTTTTAATGTTTGTCGCCGATTTTCAGAGTTTGCCGTGTCAACAAAAAATAAATAAAACATTCTAGAAGTTTGGATACAAACTACAAAAAGAAAAATTAAGAAAAGAAAAACGCCTACATATTTATCGCGAACGCGCTTCATCAGCTCTTCAGCACTAGAATCCGTACAATCGGCGTATTCAGCATACATCGAGAACACTTTGTTCATCTTCTCATTCGCCACAAATTCGTCTTCGTTCGACGTCGGCTCAACAGGTTGGTTGCCCATTGCCTCAGCCGCCGAACAATAACCAGCAACCGTCTGCAATTCAATTTTCGCCTTCAAAATTTTATGAACATTTTTTCGAAAACCTTCAACTTCGCCGCAATCAATTGTATATAGCGTCTTCGCAACTGTTTCGGCGTCTTTTTCTTGAAAAACTGCGCACATTTCGTCCAATTTCCTTTTCCGAAGACTTTGATCGTGTACAACAGCTTCTCGTCTTCGGCAAACGTGAATATCTCGCTTATATTCGCCGGTCGATTCAGCACATTGCACCATCGTTCACGACATTGCGAATCGTTTCTTCCTGGTACGGCCTGAGCCACTTTTGACCAATCCCTGGCACCATGACGGCTGACAGAACATATCAGAAGCTGAAATGTGACATTCACGACACAAACGGATAACAATTAAGTCACACCAGATCCTCCTGATCCGTCCATCTTCCATGTTTGACATCGGTGTCCAAAGTATGAGAAAATCGGGTTCTTACTTGCTGCCGAGTTCGACCGGGCATGAATTGCGCAACTGAAACCGCTCATTTCAATATTCGAAAAATATCTTGAAAATCACCTTTGTCCCATTGAATATTGCCATTTTTCGACAACAATGAAGTAAGTGTAATAAGCTTCTGATCTTCTTCTTGAGTCCACTCTCTGAAATAAATAAACTGAAAACAATTTAAAGCGTTCGTGGTCGTTACTTGCTCTGAAGCGCCACTTCCGATTTGTACTTTTCCAAGCATTGGAATGGCGTTCTCCTTGTGTCAAGCGCCATTGCTAACATCGGCCACGAAACGAAACGAGGGCTTTCGCGGAGTTCTCGGAGTCTCTCGACTTCAGCAACGGTCCATGGACCTTTATTCCATTTCGGGCTCATTTCATTCAACCATTTTGTCCGAACCGCCCATTCAGTTCGAGTTCCTTTAAACTAAATGATGATTTAGTCGAATGACACTTGACACAAACACAATACTCACATTTACGTTGGCGATCTCATTCCAAGCAACTTTTGAATAATCCGCTGATGGCGTGATCACTTCTTCTTCTCTCCTTTCCCTCAGATAATTGATTTTTCGAATAGTTTCTTCCAATTCATGGGTCCATTGAGCTCGTTCCGCATTTGTAGTATTCATATTGGCGGCCTTCAGTTTAGACACAAGGACATCTCTTTTCGAAACGAATGGTTGAACCATGATCGATATTAAAGATTCGCGAACAGCTTCCCGCAATGTTTTCAATTCCGCCGGAGTCCCTAAAAAATAAGAAAATAAATAGAATGTAAAAATCAGAGTAGGATTACATTTCTTTTCCTCTTTCATTAGTGGATCAAATATGTTCATTTCGAGTTTCAAACGACCTTCAGCACTTAAAGGGGGACACTGAAACTCATAATGCATTAAAAATGCGATCGAAAATAGATCTTACCATCCCATTTTCATCCTTAAAATATGGCGGCATGTACTGATGGACCGGAACTTTTCTCTTGGAGGACTCACATGTTGACATATTTTGCATTTCTTCTTTGAGAAGTCGCTGTTTTTCGAGATTTTCTCGTAGCAATCCTTCCATACTATCAATAATTGATTTGAGAACTTCCATATAAGCTTCATTTACGGCGATAACTCCACTAATGTCTGCACATTCAATGAAACAGTCTTGTTGAGAAGAGCTCGAGGCTCCCTCGTTCACAGACTCCGACATCCTGCAATCGATTAAGACTTAAAATTCACAAAATATTCGAATCATGAGAAAGAAAACAGAAAATCTTATAATATTTTCGAAAATTTGAAAAATAAACTTGCTGGCCGAATTTTCGTGGCCGTGACTACGCTAAATTAAAGGCAAAACGTCAAAAGCGGAATGTCGTTGTTAATTATTTCAGTTTTTCACGGTTTTAATAATATTATTAATAATTCGAGTCAATGTCATTTTTTATAGCGTTATAAATTTTTATAGGGAAATCAAAAAACTCAAAAGCAGTGTAATAATTGCCTACAATATAAATAACGGCATTCAGAAACGTGTTGTTTATTTTTGTTCCCATTTTAAAACAATAATTTGTGATTCACGTCATGTACACAATACCAGATAATAAAAATAGAACATTACACTCATATCAATTTTCTAAAATTAATACAAAATTATTGGTGGAATATTTTTAAAAATTGATTGCGATTTCCTTTTATAGATATGGCTAATACGTTTTAATGTTAAATAAAGGTTTTCATTTATAGAATGGTGTCTCGCGACGAAAATGAAGAAGAAAAACAGTTTTGTATTGTTAATGTGGCAACTACGATGGAAAATCTCGCACAAACTGTCGAAAGAGTCGACCTTCTCACATTTGTAGATGTTTATGAGCAGCTTTGCAAGTGAGTATTAGTTTAGCAAAAATATAGCTAGAAAAAACTATAATTGTAGATTTATCGGAATGCTGGGAAAGATTTTCGAGTTCGTTGAGCAGGATGTGCGTCAAAAGATTGCAAATCTCAAAATTTTGTACGAAAAAGATCCGGACGCATACAGCTCAATTCATTCGATGGTTGAACACGAAGTTTCTCAAAAAGCGTTGCACAAAAACAGCGGATGCCATGCAATTTTGCATTTAAATAGGTAAAAAAGCATTTCGACATTCGTCCTGCGGACAATGGTCAAGGACGCCGCACTGGGGGTTTCGCACACGGCGAGTGAAGAGACGCAGAGTATCTCTCATTCCTTCTAAGTCTCTGTTGGAACGCAGATGTGCGGCGTCCCCGATAATTGTCCGCACATTCGCGTTTCCAAACAGAGAATTGATGAATATTTGTTTTGCAGGGCTCTTGAGTTTATTATGGATTTCATGCATTCCGCAAGCACCGCCTCCAATGAAGATAGCATCGCGAAAATTTGCAAAGAAACATATGACGGAACATTGGCGAAATTTCATCCATGGGTTATCAGGACTGCCGTCAAATTGGCTGTTTATACGCTTCCGCCACGCGAAAAGCTTCTAGAATTAATTAAAGGCAAACAAAATCTCAAATGTGTTGAGTTTAAAGGATTGGATTCAGGAGATCTCCTTCATGAAGACGACGTTCGCGAGAAAATCTTCGTCGTCGTCGAAAATGGCAAAATCGTTCATGAGAGAATCAATTCGATCTACACAACTCACGATTTGCACAAAATTGTATAAATTCAATCATATTTTACCCTTGTGCTTTGTAAATTTTGTATAGTTTGCGAATCATGCATAATCCAACGCATTTATCTCCCTATCATCCTATAAATTTGCCTGCCTTTCCAGCATTTTCCAAAAAAAAAACAAATCGAGGTTTTTTCTTTTGATTTTTGTTTCTGAATCGTGTATTTTCATAAATTGCATTTCGCTCAACAATAATAATAATTTTGTATCGAAATAAGGTATTAAACCTTTAAATATTTGAAGTATTGACTCAAATTGGACAAATTTTCATGAATGTTTTCAGATGATAAATTCTGGAATGATTGAAGAATGCATTGCGGGAAGTGCCATCACAGATATCGCAATTAGCCCCAACAATTTGTAAGATTTTCATTTTTCTTAATAAAAAAAATCCGTTACAATCATTTCGACGAACTTTTCAGAAGGAATAAAAAAAGTGTATTGAAAATGTCCGCAGATGCCTATTTATGAAAGCCCGTGAATTTCTTGACATAGTTTTGTCTTTAACGAAAAATTATCACCGAAGATTTTGATATATCTCCCTAATAAGAATCTTGCCATTTTTTTGCGATTGAAATATTATGTTTTTAATTCAATAAATCAGCGAAAATCGAAGATTTAAAACAAAAAAAGCAAAATTCGTAATAAAACATTGTGTGACGAAAAATCAGCTGCATGCAAGTTGACTCGGTTTGTTTTCAGGTTTATTGTAACAGCTTCCGGATATGCATGTGAGATTTTGCAAAAAGAAAGAAGACGGGAGAATCGAACGATTTTGTCTCACGAATCTCCAGTTGTATCGGTTTTCTTTCTATCAAATTCAAAGGTTTATTTTTAAGTTGATGAAAAAACAAAGTGAATCCCTTAATTAGTTTGTCGCGGTTAACGAAAATGGCGAAGTGTGTGAATATCAAATCGATGAATCGACAAGGAATGTTGAAAAAATCGAATCACGACGTGTCACGGCGTTTCCTGTCATGTAAGATTGAAAATTTCAAGTAAAATAATTCAAAAGTTCTGATTTTAGCGCGGCGTTTCCGCAAAATATTCAAGAAAACGAGGAATATGACTTGTGGATTGTAATAAAGAAGGAGAATAAAATAATTGGTATCAAAAATGCATGTTTTCACAGGAATTTAAAAAATTTTCCAGAGGAAGCTGTTGAAATCTGCTATACAGGAAAGAAAAGCTCGCTGGAATTGGTGTTGGAGATTCCGAAAGACATTCGAAAAGAACAGATTCATATCAATGTAGAGCATTTTGGCAGTATTCAGAATAAAAATGATGATTTTCAGGAGAACGTCGTCTCATATTGTTCGAGTAGCTATGTGAAAGCAGTTTTATTGAATAAGGAAAAGAAAATTGAGAAGAAAACCCAATTCACATTAAAAAACAGTGAGATTTTTTGCTGAAATACTGTCAAAAATTTTATTTTTTTATTGCAGAAAATCAAAACTTTGAGCAAAAATTTATTCGACTTTCTGCCGAGGGCAATTATTTAGCAGTTGTTCTCTCAAACGGCGGTGTATACCAATGGTTTCTCATTTGATTATCATTATCGCGAAAGATTTTCTCAATTTTTAGGTCAAATTTGCGCACGGCTGGTGTCTCGGACACGTTCCATTCGTCTCATTGGCACAAAGTCGCCCCTCAAATCGTCGTCACCAAATTCGGCAATATTTTGACGGCTGGTGCAGAATGCGCGTTGGCGCGATTCACCAAGGGTGTCAAAGAGCCCACCATTTTGCCGCGACTCGTGGCGCCGATAACTCGAATGAAATTGTCGCCGGATTCGTCGTCACTTGTCCTTGTTATGGGTTAGTACTTTAAAGAATATTCTCGCCATCCAATTATAAAGTGCCTTGAAAACTTTAAGTCGCGATTTTCAGAAGACAATTCAATTCACATCGTTCTCCTAGCCACTATGGCCATTGAAGCTTCAATGTCGGCATTTGAATATTGTTCGAGATCGTTCAACACAATATTCTCATTGTGAGTCGCCCATTCACATATTTAAGGTCGATGAATTGTTCTTCAGGGATTGCGCTTCTTCCAAATATGGAATTATGAATGCTGCTCCTGGCTCAATTCAATGGGTTGATGTTTTCTCCGGAAAATCGGCATTCAAGGTGAAACTTCCCATCGAATTATCAATCATTGCTTTTTTTTTAAATCTTTCTATTTAGATGTCTGTTACTATGGAAAATGCAGTTGATGGTGATATGAGTCTCGTCGGCATTAATCAAGCATATCGCGATGTTTGCCGAATTTCGCTCGGCAAGGACGTGATGGCGACTATTGAGCAGTATGTCCATTTTGATGGAGATGTAAGTATTTTCTCATTTATTGTCGGCGTCAAACAACTGAAATGAGGCGATTCCGCTGATTAATAAGTGCGCGTGCGATATAATGCAATGTACGCAGTCTTGCAAAGTTCTCGCTGCCTCGAGACGCATTGGCACATAATTTTTTTTTAATTTCGTTCAGTGGTTTGACACCGATTACAGTGAGTTTCACATTTATAAAGCCACCCCTGTTTTTGGGTGTAACTTTGTCAATTGTGAAAAATTTTTAAATTCTGTTTTCAAAATTGAATTCAGGGCTAAAAAATACGTATGTGTACCAATTTTTATAATGATATCTGTTCAGATAGTTTCAGACCTTTCACGGGGATGGTTTTATAGTAAATGTGAAACGGTTGCAAGTGACCAATTTTCAGTGTTTTCTCGACCAATTTTTTAGATATCATAATAGAAATTGGTACACATATGTATCTTTAGGCCCTGAATTCAATTTTGAAAACAGAATTTGAAAATTTTCACAATTATTGACAAAGTTACACCCAAAAACAGGGGTGGCTTTATAAATGTGAAAAAAATGTGAGAGAGCTTGATACAAAATTTCCGTTTAGAGTCACATCAGATTCTGGAAACGCAATAGTTATCGAGATGCTAGCCATGTTGCCACGTATGCAGTTCCGATTGACACAGAATTTGTTGCCGCTTGCAAGGATACTAGTGTACAATTTGGAAAGGTGTTTTTGTTTTTCGTCAAAATTTCTCAGATATCTTGATATTTAGACGATTGTGACAGCGACAAAAAGTGGAAACTTGAGTGTTTGGGAGTTTGACGAACAAGATCTTGATGTTCGCGAAGATTGTTCGAGAAAACGGAATTGGCAGGTAGAGACGATTCCCTCACGGGCGAAGGCGGAAATTCCTGGTTGCGCAAAATATTTGATTATTATGCGAAATTATTTGCGTTGTTTTTTCTGGAATTTTAAACCATTCTCATCAATTTTCGATGAATTCGAACCGTTTCTGCGCGACACGCAAACAATTATGCGAAATTGGCGCCGAAAAAGGGCACGCGACATGCAATTCTTTCATTTATTCAACAATTTTTTTTCTAGGAATCTCCGATAAATGCGATCTCGTCGATTTCGGGAAGCGGAATGTTTGCCAGTGCACATGATTCGAATATTGTTTTATGGAATGTCGAAGATGTATCTTTCATTTTCTGATGTTCATTTTTTTTTATTTTGAACTTTTAGATGAAAATCCAAGATATAATCAGTGCTGGAGACAAGATTTTATCGCTCGAATTCTTTAATCGGTCAGTTTTTTTAAAACCGGCTCAACAGGTGCAATTTTGTCTGGTGGAGATGAAAATCACATAGATTACTAATTAGTCAGACTTCTTTTTTTTTTAGAAAACTGAAAAAGAAGCCAACATCTGGAACATTAATAAACTGGTTTTAATGTAGCGCTCTGAGTCATCAGTTTGCCCCCTTGGCGAACTGTGTAAACTAAAATTTATCATCTTTTTTTGACAAATGACCTTGTCTTTGAGATATTTTTCTGATGGGTAAATTCAAGCAATTAAAAATGTTTTTAAAAAATGGTGCCAATTGATACCAAAAATAGGCCAAGAATCGCTAAAAACCCCCAAACTCTTTCAATCGAATCAATAAAGTTGATTCGGAATGATATTCTCAATTTGAAAATCCAATTTTGCAGATATTTGATAGTGGCGACCGAATCGAGCGTGACATGCTTCGACACACTATGCTTATCAATTATTTGGAGGGTCTTGCAACGCGCCAAAGTGCACATTTCGGCTCAGGCTTGTTTCGCATTCGATCGTGAGCATGTGATGCAGTTTGAAGCGAAGAGCGGCCGCGTTTTGAACAGCTTCAAGTTCTCGGTGCCCGTCGATGAGCTGCTCGTCGTGAATGCTGGCAAAGACTTTGCCTATCTCGCCAAAACGAGCAAGGTGAGACTATTTTTGCGGCTAATTAGAATTTGGCGAAAAACAAAACATAATGGGAGAGGGTTATGTGAGTTTGGTCGTTGTATTGATGAGCTGAACCCGCGACGATCCGGATTTTAGTCAATTGCGAATCGTCGCCACTTGAACTAGTCTGTGAATTGCGAAACAGTGAAGTTTTTAAACAAACATTGCGAATAATGAGAGTTGAAATTCAAAGAACACCTAAAAATAAGCGAGGCACAAGAATTGTGTGGAGTTTTGGCGGAAAAAAAATTCGTTGAATATTGTAGGGAATTCTGAGAATGAAGACGTCGGCAACGGCGACGACACCGGCTCGTGTTGAGGATGACCCGATGGAAATTGAGACGCCGTTCCAGAAGCTCGGAAAACTCAAAGAGGATGACACGCCGATTCCAGTTGACATGAAGCTTGTTAAAACTCCGAATCCCGACGGTGATCGATTATTCGGCGGTCCTGTTCATTCGCTTCCTCCGATTTCATTCCTCGCCCCGCTTTTCATTGAAAACTCGCTGCTACCGCCAGCAGTTCGAACTTCTTAAACAGAAATTGTTATTTTTATTGTTGTTATTGTTTTTACCGCCAGTTTATTTTTTTTTCAATTCTTAGTTGTTGAATTTTTGAATTGTTTGAATGTTATTGTTGATATTTACGATTTCATAAATATTTAACCGAATGAATATATTCATTAAATGCATTTTTTTTTTTGAAAATTAGAAATTTGATTAAATGTGCATTGGAAAAATGTGTATTTTTTGCCTAAATAGATTCACGAGTTGTGGATAATTTTGAAAACAATCGAAACAAAAAACAAATGGTTTTTTTAAGGGGAGGGGTGTGCACTAGAATGTTCGATTGAGTCAGCGCAGTCAAAAATATCGCGAACCCGCGCGAGAGGCGAGATCTTGACACAAATCCCACGCGCCAGAATCAACAGAAGCCGGCGAGAGAGTGTTGTCGATGGAGAGACGCCGACAGTGGGCTCACCGAGAGCCGTTCGTTCGGGTATAAAGCGAGCTACCGGACGTGTCCTGTCATCATATCATTGTGCTGTACGGTTGCAATATGTCGCAAAGCTACCATCGCCCAAGACCATCTGGAATGGCCGGTAAGTCTTTAATTAATTATATTTAAGTATTCACTGAAATTTGTGAAAATTGAGTAAAAAAAGAATTTCGCGAAGAAAAAATGAAAAATTTGAATCAATTCTGCAATGTTGGTTCGTTGGTGTTTGCACAACTTTGTGCCTACAGTAACCTTTATGTTATTTTATTTAATTTTTAGGCGCTATTCTCGACAAGCAAGCTAGCAAGTTTAATGAAATTGAGGCCGGTTATTTATTGGAATGGATTCGTGATTTAATCAAAGAGGACTTCGATGTTGAAGGCTCGCGCGACAATTTCCGCGAGCAGCTCAAAGACGGACAGAAACTGTGCAAGTAAGCGACCGAATACAAACAAGACATTTTCGAAGACACACTTGAAAATGATATCATTGGCATCAAACATTATCTTGCAGACTCGTGAACGCGATTCAAGAGGGAAGCGTCAAGAAGATCATGAAGCCGATTTCGAATTTCAATTGTTTGGAGAATATCAATCAATTCACCAACGCGGCGAGAAAGTTCGGCGTCAAAGACGAAGAAACGTTCCAGTCGGTGGATCTTTTCGACGGCCGCGATCTTTTCTCGGTCACCGTCACGCTTCAAAGCATGGCGAGAAAGGTGGAGAAGCTCGGAATCGCGCAGCCAAAGCAAGTCGCCAAGGACCAAATCGTAAATCTCTAAATTTTTTTTTTGAAATTTTCCCACTCCTCGTGTATAGATTCCAAGCGTTTCCTGCCTTCAACAACTAATAAATATTTGGTGTTTTTTTTTTCTAAATTAATGAAGAGAATTGAGTGTCAAAAAAAAAAGAAGAGTGCGAGGAAAATTTGTGGAAATCCGAGAATGGGCAGTGGGCGGTCGGATGGTGTTAATTAGGAGATGGGCGTCCGATAGCAAGTCTCGCTAGAAAATTAAGAAGAAGCTGAAGACGTGCTGAAGAGTCAACGCGCAAATTTATTTCCAATTTGAATTGTTCGCCAAATTTCACAAAAATCGAACTCCCAAAAGCTTATTTGCTCACTCGGCGCCTATTTTTTTTCTCCGTTGGCTCCGCCCATAAATGTTTTGTTCTTTCAAATTTGGGGGTATATGGTCCCTAGAATTGGCTCATTCCTTATTGTATACCCTCTCTTTGTCTCTCTCTCTCTCTCTCTCTCTCTCTCTCTCTCTCTCTCTCTTCCTTCCGCTCTGCAAATTGGCTCTCCGAGAATGGCACATTTCCACCCAACGTTCGGGGGTGATTATTTTTATTGTTATGGTCGTCTTTAAGTGGCTGCCTTCTGACGACGTCGACTCACTTCTCGGCTTCGTTTTTTTTTTTGGATGCCATCATTCTTCTTTGCTATTGTAATGTTGGGATATTCCGCGAATTGCTTGTTTTCAACGTACAATTTCATGTTTCATGCGTTTTTCTTTGCGAAAACGACACATTTCAACGACTGTTACAGTATTTTATGGTTAAGTCGATGGATTTTTCAAATATTTCAAAAATCGAGCACCCTCGTTACTTTGATTCTTGAAAATCCTCGAAAGACTATCGCGTGTTTACGCGATTGTGATATATTTATATTAAATCCATCTGCGGACAATTAACAATCCAATTGTCCGCAGATGCGCAACGTTATATCTAAAAGCTCAGACGAACCATGCCAATTTTTTGAGGCCCCATCATATTTGGTGTCAAAACAAACCGCGAGTCGTCCTTTTCGAGTTGCTGAGATCTCAACTATTGATTTGATCTAAATTTTGATTTCTCAAACTTCACAATTTCTTTCAAATTGTAAACTGCCATCGGCGAACAGCTTCAAATTGTCCGCAGAAGAAAAAAATCACTCTTCGACGATTCGTTATGATTGTATTGTTGATTTATCATTTGAATTGCCGCCATGGGTCTTGCATGGAAAACTCTGGCGAGCAGGTGTGCATTTTCTCGAAAAAAAAGAGCACGAGCTCAGAGTAATTTTTGGCAAAAATTGTCGAATGACAGCCAGTGACAACCCGCGAAATTCAACTTTTTCAAAATTCAAAAATTTTTCTAGTCAAATGTGTGAACAAAAATAAACAAAAGGATGAGCGCCGAAATTTTTCAGACAAATTTTCTTCTGTTTTCTTCTTGTAAAAATTGCTTTAAAAATTTTTGAATGGGGATTTTGAAACCAAAAATCCGATTTTCAAAATTTTCGAATATTGAATCATTTGTGCTTAATGCTTCTATCAGAGAAGCAGAAAACGATAACAATTGTCAGTAGATCAAAACGCATTTTTCTCTTCTAGGAGAATTTTCACAAATTTTGCTATAATTGTCAATATATTAAACGCGTTTAATTATACGCATTTTCGCGGCGAGACCAACATTTTCGTTCGAGCTCAAATTTGAGGAAAGTCTCGATTTTCAGCATTTTTGAGCAGGTCCGTTTGAAGCAAACTACAAACCGAAAATTGAAATTTCAAACCCCCACCCCCCTCCTTTAAAAATTCGCTAAATGCCAAAACAATTCAATGAGAGGTCTTGGTGCGGTATGATGCACCTTTAATCTATCTCAGGTCCGTAAATCTACAATTGTAGTTTTGCGTCAAGACCACTGCCATTCCGTTTTTTTGGCATTTTGCCAATTTTCCAAAGTCGCAACAATACACGGAAGAATCGAAGCTTCGGCGAACAATTTCAATATTAAATATTTATGTATATTTTTGAGTGTTTTAACCGAAACCAGGAAATGGTACACAGTCGTATGGGACCATTTAACTATTCCGTGAGGAGTTCGAATACTCACGTCAGAAAATCAGAGATCAAAAAAGTTGGCTCATTTTTTCTCAGAATAGAATCGCTGACCCAATTTATCATTTGGGATTGTCTCGTGGGACCTTGGCAAATTTATTAGGCCTTGGAAAAGTTGTTCCGAAACCGCGGATTACGGTAACGATGAATTTGATAAATGTTTGGATGACGTGAATCCGAAATCGAGGAATTCTAATTAGCCCAATTTTCGTTAGGAACGAATTATCTCATGGGACAATATTTTCGATAGCAAAATGTAAATATGACGATTATACCGCAGAAATTTGATCTCGACTTGTTTTTCGAATTCGACACAAAAAGAAAATGCTAGTAATAGTAAAAATTGAATTGAATCGTATTCGAGTAAGTTAGGGGGCGCCCATCAAACAAATGTCACAAAATTCAAAACAATCACACATTTTATCTCGAAAACCTTCTTCGTCGTTTTTTTTTCTTTCCTCTTTTCGTTTTGCTTTCGAAAAATTCGCCGTGGTTTTTTTTTTCCAAATTTGTTGAAATTGGGAAATGACGCAAAAAATCGATATACTGTCGATGACTTTAAAGGCGCACACCACTTTTTGCCGGCGGTCATGAAGCGATTCACATTTTTATTTACATATTCCATTCGCACAAATGACCTGCGCCTATTTGCGTTGAGTTTGATTCGCAGGTTATCCAGAGTACGGTACACGAATTTGTTTAAATTGAAATTTGAAATACCGGCCGGAAAAATACAATGGTCCACACTTACTCAAATTTTCTTGCGATGATATTGTCGGAGTCTAACGACTTGATGAAATTTAAAAAATTATTGGCTGTGTGCCAATGCGTCCTGAGGCAGCGAGAAGATTGCGTACAATGCATTATAGTGTACGCGCATTTAATATTCAGTCAACGAAAAATTTAAATCTACACTGATTTCGCGAATTTGAAGGCCCCGCCTTCCTTCAATCGCTTGACGTCGACAATATATAGTTTTAAGCAAATTTCATCGAATTTTCTCAAGATTGAAAAGGAAAAATGCGGTGCACGAATTTGACGCAAGCTCATACGCCACTGACGCATTTTCTTCTCATTTCCTGAAATCTTTTAATCGGTACAAATTCACAAAAAAGAATGGAAAACTGAAGAGGGAAATGATTTTTGCATTTTGAGCTCGCCGATTCCGTGTGCTTTTTGAATTTCCAATCAAATGCAAATCGCCCACGCCCGCGGCCGAGACGTTCCAAAAGAATTTTTTTTTTTGAATAAATTCCGGCGTACGCTCGCAGCGGCCATTTCGGCAAACGAGACGTGTCTGCTTCGAGTCGGGTTTTCGCAAAAAAAATTTCGCGCAATTAACACGAAGTCGTGGGAAAACAACGAATTTGTTCTCGGTTGGTGTTTAGCGCCTCCACTCGTTCCTCCGGGGGGATCCGGCTCTTCATTTCATTTTTTTTTGGCCACAAAAACAAGACAGAACGACATCAGAATATGAAGCAAGGCGGCGAGACCGGTTGGATTTAATTCTAATTTGCTCTTCCTGCCCCCGCCCATTATATTTTTCGTATTTTTTTTCTTGTGTCCACCTTTGTTGCTTCACCCTCTTCTCCCCCCATTTTCGCCACTAATTCACTACTATTCATCTATTTTAGTCGCTTCCTCAGTTTTTTCAGGGTTCAATCAGCTAAATGCAATTTCTTCAATTTCTTGTTGGTAAGTGTGAATTTCAAAAAATCTCAACCTTTTAATAAGTAATAATAATCATTTAAGCTTATTTCGGTAGTATTTTTTTTTAATCAGAGTTATAGATATAATTAAAAAGAGCAGCGGCTTGAGAATCTCGAATTTCTGCCTCATAGCTGATCATTAGATTTTCAATAACTCAGGTTTTCTTAAAAAAAACTGGAATTCGGAGAAAAATAAACAATTTTGAAAATTTCGAGGTGAAATTGATACCCTGAAAATGCAATTTTTTTTTGAAAATCATATTTTGTCCAGATTATGGCGATTGGGATTTTTTTGAAAATGTGATCCTGAGTACAATCTATGATATAATAGATACCACAAAAAAAAAGAGTTGACGACACACAAAGAGAAGGAAGGTCGCGTAATTTTCAAAAAAAAAGAATGAATTGAATTTAAATAATTTTTTTTGTAATTTCCTAATTTTACCATACATTACGTTTCGAACCAATTGTAGAGAATTTGAGAGATTATTTATCAGAATTAGGATTATCGTGGCTGACAGTGGTGGGTGTAAGTAATTCTCGGCGATTCGATCGGTTCGAACATTTTTTGGCTTAAGGACCATTTTGGGACAAATAGCGAAAAATTTTCAATCATTCGAAAACCACGATTTAGCGCGACTCGCTAAACTGAGGGCGATGTGTAACTGGAGTGTCGTACTGGCTGGCTAAAAAAGTTTTGGATACTCCAATGTTTAAACCCAAACCAACCGCGGTTCGTCGTTTTCGAATCGATGTCTACATTAATACAAATGAGTTTAACAATCGTCGTGAGACCTAAAAGTTTAAAGGAGCACAGATTTTCGAAAAGAAAAATCCGTAACATTTTCATTAGAGTGTGATTACTGAAAATTGCCTGAAATCAATCGCTGAGAATTTCCCACACGCCGATCAGCTCTCATCGTTGTTCAAAAGTTTTTGTGTGAAAATTTGGTGACGAAAACAATTTTTTTTGAGAAATTCCCACTTATTTTTGTGATCCCGCTGAGCAAATTTGAAGTGCTCGTGAGCGAGAAAAAAAAATTTTTTTTTTCTCGACACCCGATATCGCCTTAATTTTTTTTTTCTTTCGCCCAACAAATTTATTCAACAAGTGACGAATCGCGCGTCGCGTGAAGAAGAACAACGAATAGAAAAACAAAAAATCGGTCATTTGGGAATTGGGTTGCGAAAGAAAAAAAAATCATGAGAGGCTTTGTTGTGTTCGAGGTGGTTTTTGATTTCCTGCGAAAAAAAAAAGAATTATGATTTTGCAAAAAAAATTGCGAGAAACAAAACAAGAAAAATCATGGCATCATCTTGTTTTTAACAACTACCTTATACAGTGTTAAGAATAACTTGGAATATATAGTAGAGGCATCGTACTCCATAAGAAGACATCTGAGATTACGATGGGTGGAATGTGCGATCTCGTTTTTATAGATGATCGGAAATCAATGCGAGATCATTAACAGCTTTATTTATCCACCAATAAGTACAAACAAAACGAACAAAAAAATCTTTCCACAGAATTTTTATTGGTGAGAGTGTGTTGAAGAACGAGAGACGCAGAATTAATGGTCACCGGTGGCCACGAAAATTTCGGATTCTACCGAAGGCTATCCGGGAAAATCTGCGAATCCACATTCTCGAAAATTCGAGGCAATTTCGCACTTGGCGATTTTATTGTATTTTTGAGAAATGACAAATTGTATCCAGGTGTCGTAGGATCCTGCGTTTCGTACGCAATGCTAAGAGACAGTTACCGTAATCGTCGCAGCGATTTACGGGGAATTTTTTTTAAAAAATTCGCATATTCATTTTTTTTTAATTTTTCGCTCAATTTTTGTATTTTCCTTCGAAATTTTGTTATTTAAATTTTGAAGAAACCGAATTTAATAATTGTTTTTGTATTTTTCATTTTCAAAATAATTTTTGAGAGCGACAAAATCTTCACAATAATTTCCATCTCAACTTGACAAATGGAAAAGTGCATATTCTGATAAATAAAATAATTAAACTCGGTTTCTATAGGTTTTAAATAAAAGATTTCTAAAGGAAATAAGAAATTACTGCAAAAAATTGAAATAAAATTAAAAAATAAAACTCCGTAAATCGCTGCGAGGATTACGGTAACTGGCTCATCGCATTGCGTACAAAACACAGGATCCCACGACACCTGGATACATTTGCCATTTCTCAACGATACAATTTCCTCAATGCGATATCGGCCGGAAACCGGATATTTCGGAGATACGCGGAAATCGCGTTGTGCATTCGGCCCATCGAGTAAAGCGGGTCGGAGAAAAATTGAGGACCTCGCAATTCCCGTCGAGAGCCCACAGTGTTTTTTTTGTTGTTGTAAATATTCGCAAAATGAAAGACAAAATCTCGAAAAATGCAGCAGATTGGTGTGAAATTTTTGAATTGTGCTCCAATTTTTCAACAATTTTTTTCGAATAATTCTTCCACAAATTTTCAACGTTTTTGTACCGTTCCGAATTTTATTGAAAACGGCGCTCATATGTGAATGTGGCGGGTAGATTTACGAGGATGCGCCTTTCGAAATGGTCTCGCCACACGTGAACGCTTATTTTGCTGTTTTCACGTGAGGTGTTCATTTTTTCTTGATGGGATGGCATTTCCTTGATATTCCAACCGCATTCAATTAAAAATATTATTGAAACGACCCAATGGGTGCAAATTAACCGTTTAGACCGTGCGAGACCACATCCCCGTAAATCTACATCCGTACATTCATCGGCGGACGTCAACTATACGTACAATTTGATTATATTAGATTTTTCGATTTTTTGAGAGCTTGTGATCTGGATTTGGTTTTAATAATTCCAAAGACGATATTTCTATTTGAAAAAAAACAATATTCTCATATTTCTTCAGGATTATTAGTGGTGTGTTTGGGTTACTCTATGAGCAGTGACGATCGAGTTGTTGGCTGGAACAAGGCCAACGGATTATGGGGAAAACGATCAGCATCGTTCGATTCAACGGTATTTGAATTGGTCTCGAGACGATTTGTCGCCAACAGCACATATTCTTAGATCTACTCGGAAAAAAACAAGCGACCGGTGCAGAATTGGAACAAATTGAACAGCCTTTGGGGGAAAAGGTATTGATTTGAATTCGAATTTGAATATTTCTAAATATACTTCAGATCATTACCTTTTGAATATGACGACGAAATGGAAATGCAAAAAAGGTTTGCTCAATGAAATTGATAATAATCAGTAATCAATTTTCAGATCCCAACTCGCACAATGGCAGAAGGCTAACGGCCTTTGGGGACGCTGAATAACTCATGAAATCCCATTGTATAATATTTCAGTACTCAAAATCAACTTAATTTAACGGCTTCCTCTATACCTTCCTTCCTGTCTATTGTGCGCTGTATTACTGTCTGTGGTGAATAATAAATCCAACTGTTTGAATGATCAATACCGTACTTATTTTGAAAATTGAATGACGTGTTAACATGTTACTTAACATGTTAATTGCTGCAGCAATAATTAAAACGTGATGATTGCCATCTCGACGATTTGAAAGATGTTATTGTTACTGGAAATCCTAATGTAAGCCTGATGAAATTAATCTGCAGAATTACACCTTGGTGTTTGCAGACAATTGCGAGGAAAATTTAAATTTTCGAATTTTCCTTTTTCTTTTTGGGTCGTTCGAAAAAGAAAAATAAATGTCGATCGCATACAATTTCGAGCCGGATGTTTCGCCAATTTATCCCGATGATCAGTCTGGTTATTCAGTACATTTTAGCTCGGCTGACACTCCGAAACGGGTGGGAACTCTCAATGTTTTAAGTTTTTGAAAAATAAATTCAGAGTGGAAGGCGATCGTCGAAAATTCCAGCAGCGATTCCTGATAGAACATTAGGAACAACCCATTTAGGTTTTTTTTTTAATTTTTATTTAAATTTGATTTTACCTTTCTTTTTAGAAAATTGTTCGTATGACTTGCCGTCAACGGATCCTGATCGAGATAGTTCAAAGAAAACAAATCCAATGTAATCAAATCAAGCCAGTTTTATTTTTAATCAAAAATTTTCATTTGTAAAGTGTCGAAAATAGCAGCGACATAGTGCTCGATAGTATTGAGCTCGAACTCACCGCACCTCCTCCAGCTCCTCCAATTCTCGCAAATACTCACGTCGTGCTCACTGCCGGATGTTGTTTACCCATCAAGCGCCATTTAGCTTCAAATCTCGAAAATCTTGGCGCGCAAATTCAGAAATGCGTTGATTCGACGACAACACATGTTGTTGTCGACCGCTACGCTGATGCGGACGTCGTCGGCACGGCGATGAAGCGACAACCGGAACCACCAATGGTTGTCGACGTCAAATGGATTCAAGAGTAATTTCGAAGTGAATTGACAAAAAACACAAGCAATTAACGAATTCAGATGTATCGATAAAAATGAGAGAATCGGCGAGGCCGACTATTCGATGCTTGATTGCCATTATTTGAAGCAAACCTGTCGGAGACTCTCAAATTTTCACAACTCAGAAAATGCCGATCCTAATGGCGTAATACGAAAATTGTTTGAATATTTGAAATTCAATTGATAATGGTTCAGGATGATATTGAATTCCTTGACATGTCACATGCCAGCCCAGCAGAACTCGTCGACCAATTCAAGATGCTTTATGCTCGCTTGGATGCATTGCAACACCGTAAGAACCATTTTCAGGCATTTGCAGATTATCTGATGAATATGGGAGATTTTCAGAAGAATCAATCATTCGATACGCTTATCACTCTCCAGATTGTCCTAGTAAGTTATTATATCTTTCATTGAATTTATTTTATTTAGCACGGTTAAAATGCAAACCACCGGTTAACCTGGATACATCCATGATTAAAGAGCTTTTGGTATGATTTATCATTTTTTTTTTACAAAAATCCGATTTTTTTAGTTGAGCATGTCCGACGAAGTTCATATAAAGCGGCGACGATCGTTTAATGGTTTTGTTTTTCAACATCGAGTTGTCGAGTCGGAAAAAGAAATATTAAACGTTATAATGAACAATAAAGATGAGCGTGTGACATGGTCCCCAGAGAAGAGGAGTAGCGACTCGAAGCAGCTTAAAATTAGTAAGCAACAGATATAATAAATTTAGAATGTATGAATATTTTCATAGGGAATGGCGCTTGTCGTCTCGATGTTGTCAACGATCTTCGCAAAACGATGCCAACTGATTTGCCGACTATTCGAGAGGTTTTGAGTCATTCATTTCACGCCTAAACTTATTTAAGACATATCAGAAAAATGCGAATATTAAACGGCAACGTGGGCAGCCGATGAAGCATAAGTCGAAAGAAAAGGAGATTCGCAAAGGCAATAAGCCTGTTCGTACGGATGATTCGGATATTCAATCAGCTATGGCGTCGCTCACTATTTGTATGTCTCAACCAACTACGCCGCCGCAAAAAGGTTGCCATCAAACTTGTCAAACCTAGCACAAACATTCCATATTTTTTTATTGCTTTTTGCATTTTTAAACTTTTAAATGTGTCTTTTTTTGGATTTCAAATCGAGTTTTGGTCACAGAAAACTTAAAAATATCACCAAAAGAGTTGATTAAAAATAGAAGCATGATCAAAACAAAAATAGGTATTTTCCAGAAAAGGAACTTCTTGTTCCAACCAAATCCAACTTCATCAATCGTCTTCAATTGCACGAAACGTTTGACGACTTCGTTTCTGACGTGTCCGGCTATCGGACGATTCTAGAAAAACCTGGAATCATTTTCACCGGGTTCAGCAAAGACTCGGATATTGAGAAGAAGCTTCGAAAAATTGCCAGGAAGTACAGTCTAAGGATTCAAGAAGAGCCTGACACGAAGACGAGGTGTGTTGTGAGCCGACATGGGAAACGAACTCTTCTTGTCCTGAAAGCGGTTTGCATGAATATTCCGATTGTTCGGCCGCAATGGGTAATTTTCATACCTCATTTTTTAAAAACTAAAATTTCATTTTTTTCCAGTTAGAAGAATCGTTTGAAGACTCGAAACTTCTCTCACACATCGATTATCAGTATAGCGCTTGGAAGGAAACTTTATTGGTTCGACCATTTTTCCTTATTCTCTTTTTAAATATAAATTTCTAGCGGAGAAGTTTACACACGAATATTTTCTCCTCTATTCGGAAATTCTTTGTTCTTGACGGATGCGAGCCGCCAAAAAGTGAAATTTGCTGGATGATTGAGAAATGCGGCGGAAAGGTTCCTCGCATTTTTCATTTATTTCGAAATATTTCCGTTTTTTTTTAGATTGCCGATTGTTCGGAAAATGCTTCTGTCGTGATAGCACCACTTGGGGCTGAATTTCGGATTTGCGATGATAATGTCCATATTGTTACCCCATTATTTATAATAGGCAATTTCTAAAGAAAATAGTTTTCTCTTGAAGGTTTTTTTTCAGATTCAATTACTCACAACGAATTTTTGGAGCCCAGCGCATACTATCACGATATTCAAATAATTGATTAAATCAACACGTGTTATCTTTCTTGTATATATATTTTTTTATTTTTGCCAACATTTTATTAATTTAATAAAAAAGGATTAATTGGTTATAAATTTGCAATTGTCAGTTTTGGTTTTATTCTATGAAAAATATTTTTATTCGCTTGGCTCTATTTCAAATTCATTAAATTTATTGGAAACAATAAGGGAAGTCCGTTAGTGAACAGTACGCTTTTTCTTCGAAACAAAAGTAGTCAATTAAATTTTCATTGCGCCTTTAAATGATTATGGTAGGAAATTTACTTTTTTTTCCTGTTTTTCGAAAATTTCGGTGGCATTTCATTGTGTTTTTCCATATTTTTTAAATTGAGCAAAATTTTGGTTATTGTCCATATTTAGCGATTTATTTTCAAAATTATCGCTCTTAAAAAAATATTCGAAAAACTGCCTGCGGCAATTTTTTTTAATTCACTCATGGTGGCCGAAGAAATTGCGGATAGATTACGACGGCCATTGGGCGACAATTTGTGCCATATAATTGGTTTTTCGTTTCTCTTTGTTCTCAACGCAAAACGTTTTGAACGGCTCAATATCAAACAACCAAAGCTCACAATGAAAATTGGCAACATTTTGAAAGTGCATGCGAGTGCCACAATATATCTTGTGCCCTCCAATGCGCCACATTTTGAGTGTTTCTGTGTAATCTCTTTTCTCGCTCATTTGATAAAATGACGGGTCCGTGTACGAGAGGGAATGCGGGTGCAATTCGATATCATTTCATTTCGCGATTCGCCCATACATTTTGTTTTCGGATTTGCAGGCCACACGGCCCACGACATGCGAACACTTGGGAAATGTCTTTATGTCATCGGCGGTTGTGCGCTATCGTCTGAACGAGAGCCAATTAAATCGATCGAGAGAGTTTCAATTCAAACAAATGATGATAGGTGGGCAATGTTTCATTTTTGTCAAATAAACGTCCAACATTTTTTTTGTTGTTGTTATTTTAGCCAAAATGTCACAGTTGAAAGTGAGATTTGTGGAGATTTGGCGTTTCCCAGAAGATCTCCCAGTGTTTTCCGAGCTGAAAATGGGTATCTGATCGCTGGAGGTTGCTCAAAATCCATTTTTTCAAATATTTATACCGAATTTAGGTTGTGCTGGGCCCAATCAACACCTAAACTCTGTAGAATTCATTGAAATATCACAAACTTCTCTGAAATCGATTCCGTCATCCCTTCAATGCCCGCAAGCCCACAGTTGTGCAGCTTTTGATCCATATTCGGTAGTCTTTTCTAGTTGACATTTGAAAAGCAATTTTTTAGACGAAAAAAGTAATTTTTGGAGGATTTGACACTCACGAATGCCTTTCAAGTGTTCAAGTCGTCGAATCGTCGGAGGTATTCCGAAATTCGCACCAAACGAATAATTTATGATTATTTTCGGTCAGAAATGTAAACGGATACCTGCCGAAACTAAAAAATGCCACCGTGATTGAAAACGATGGCGATTTTGTGATTTTTGGCGGATGGATGGATGAGAAAGTCACTACGGACACTGTGAGAAGGTGCTTTTTTTTAATTAATAAATTTCAATGAAAAATATCGTTATTTGTTTCGACAGGGTCCGATTTGACGCTCAATTTTCCTCATATGAAGTCATTTTTGAAGGAAATTTGCCTTATCCAGTAGAAGGTATGCAATATTTTTGTTTACATCGAAATTTCGAATTGTTTCAATTTTCGTGGAAAACCAAATTTTAGTAGCAATCAACGTTTTTAAATATGAAATTCCTATAAAATTCTCATCTTCAGGTCATTGTTTGGTTCAAAATGGCACTTGTGTTTATTTAATTGGTGGTTTCGACGGAATCTCTGTGATTTCCAGCATCATTCGCTACGATTTAAAAACGAAAAAGTGCCAAGTAAAGAAGAATGGCGAATCATAGACCGCTGAACATGATAATTGTAGGTTCTCGGCGCGGAATTGAGCGAAAAACGGGAGAATCACGTTGGTGGAATAATTGGTGGCAAATATTTGGTGGTTGCTGGTGGATGGAATTCGAAACAATCATTAGATTCCATTGAGGTTAATCACTGGTTTTAAAAAAATTTTTGAAAAACAAAGAAAATTTTTGCATTTTCTAGGTATTTGAGCTATTTGAAGATGCTCCATTCCTCAAAAAGTGCTGCTCCTCACAACTAAAAGTGGGTCGAAATCGTCCGGCTGGTATAGTTCTATAATAAATTTTCAATTAATAAACTTGTCATTGTCAATTTGTTCGAATGTTCATTCCGTTATCTAATCGGTCTCGAACCGCTATTGATTATTTTTTTTAATTTTTTCCGTGTTTCTTTTTTTTATCAACGAGATTTTAGAAGAAAAATGCGATACGATGGAAGAGTTCAATGATTCACAAAATGTTGCTTCCACGTGAGACTTTTTAATCTCTAAAATAATTATTTTGAGAATTTCAGCAGCCAACGAATTCCGTCGCATTTTTTGGTTGAACTCACTTCTCTTGACGAATTGGCATTCCCGGCAAACTCGACGAAAAGGGTTAAAGTGCGTTTTCCTTATTTGAATTTTTTTTAACAAAAAAAAGATGGAAAAATTTCATTAAATGTTCATTTTTACCACCCGGCTTTAAAAAAATGTAAGTTTTTACATTTTTAATAGTCGTAATTGCAGTATACATGTGTTGCGAGCACCTCGCGCAGTTTGATTCTCGGCACTTCCACCGGAACCGTTTACATATTCTCGCGATACGCGGCCAAAAGCAAATCGAGAGCTCATGCGCCGGTTCCTGTTCACGTGTTCACCACTCGTGACGGGCAAATAAGCACGATTTGTATGAACGCGACCGCCGATATGATGGCGATCGGCGGCGACAGTGGCCGAGTGTCAGTCGCCCAGATAAATGACGGAACACCGCCGACGCTGCTGTACACGACGCCTGGCGATGCGCGAGCTCCCGATAGAGTAACCGCATTAGCGTGGGGAGCTGATCAGAAGCAGATCTATTCGGGTCATTCTAGTGGAGCGGTTCATCTACACAGGCTAGGGGTATGTTCTTATTGGGATTGACATTTCTGAACGGGTTGATCTTCAGAATCGATCGATATTCCGAGCTTCTCATCAACGATTGGCGAAATTCGAAAACGACATCGTCCAACTCGACGTTTACCGAGACCACATTATTGTTTCGACAACCATCGCCGCATTCTTATTTCATATTGAAAATGGGACGACTCAACAGATTGGAACGAAAACGCGAAGCTCGCCGTCGCCACTAGGCGCGTGTCACATAGCGCCGCCCGATGGAAGTGCTTACATTGTCGCTGCGAGACCCAACGGCCGAATATGGGAATCGAATCTGGTCGGAGTGGTGTACAGAACACACCAGTTCCGTCAAAATTCGTTTGTGCCGCGAGCACCGCCCATTTCATTTCGAGGCCCGTTTCCGACCGATTCGACAGAACTCGACGGAATTCATCCGGAGAATCAGGACGTCTCGTTTTATAGTCTCCGTCTCATTTCTGTCGATGAAAAAATATTTGTCGTGTCGGCGTTTGGATCAAGAATTTGCATTGTGGACACGGATTCGTCGCGGATTGTACTGGTTGCTGAACTAGAGCATGGTATTTTGTTAACCCATATTGCGCCTTTAAATTTCTCATCTGTTTTTTTTTTCTAGAAATGCTTGATGTTTCGACATGCGGAAGTGATGTGTTCGTATTGTTCACCGATTCGAAAGGACTTCGCAAATTCAGCTTATTCGAACGCCGAAAATCTCTAGAGAAATTACATTTGAAATCATTTTTCACTCAGGTTTTTCTTTGCTATTCATCATTTTCAAATTGTTTTCTATGCTTCTATTCCATTTCATTGTATGCGTGTGTGTATGTTTTTTTTTTCGTTCAGAGCGCTCCACTCGTGTTATTTTGTTGGCCGCACGTCGAATTCCCATTGGAGTTGGTCGAAAAGTCGTTGGAAGGTCTCGCGGCAATGAGCAAAAAGGTATGCAACTTCATCATATAGTCACTTGAGAATATTTTCGTTGATTCGTAGAAGGAGACGGAGAAGCTTCAGCTCGCGTTGACGCAGATTCTTGAAGAAATGCACGCAAAAAAGAAGGCGTGTGAATCGGTTTACGAGAATTCGGGAAAGGGCATCGAACGCGAATTGTCGAAGAAATTGCCGTCGGGGGTTCATCGCGTTCTTCGGAATGTTCACGAGAGCGGATATGATGATGACTTCTCGTTCAATACGCCGCAAGCGCTTCGCGAATGCAGTCGGAGCAGTCCGTGCTTCGAACAGGAGCCCGTGGATGAGTCGAGAGCACCGATAACGAAGCGATCCTCAGTTCCATCGAGTTTGGAGTTGAAGCGCGAATGGAGGAAAAATGGAACGCCGGATGTTGTTGAAGAGGATATTCTGCATCGAGCAAGAGTGATGCTGGCGAGTCTAGATTCACTCGATTCGAAAACATTTTCGATTGTTGCAGGATTCTGATGGTCAAGTTATTGAGAAGGAGTCCCTACGAACATTATTGCAACTGGAAGGGATACCGAGGGACGAGATTCGATTCACGCCAACGGTAATTCACTTTTTTTAAAAAGACTACTGGCAATTAAAAAAATACACACTTTTTGATGTAATTTTGCTTCTTTAATGGTCGGCATATGTGTAAAAACAAAAGGTATTGTCGGCGCCACGCGTTTGCCAAAAATTTTCTAAATCCTAAGAAGGTCTCTCGGTGTGCGCCTTTAACCTACCCTTAAATCGTCGTCCGTAAATATGCACTTTTTATTTTGTGCAAAGATCACTGAAATTGTTTTTTTGTCATTCGCTAATTTTCTATTGTATGGCGACTTTTCGTTTTAAAAAAATTAGTTCATAACGAAATATGTAATAGGTAACAATTGGGAATGCGGCGAAGGCACTTGCTGAATTGGCGTTGGCAGTTCCCGTTGATGTATCAAGCATGTGGAATAGGATTGACGATGAAGATGATGAGACGGAGGAGAAGCAGATGGATAAACCTGTTAAATCTTCACCGAAACCTACTATTGTCAAGGTTGTGAGACCCGGAGATAGGGTAAATTTGAGATTTTTGCGAAATTCGAAATAACCAATCATATTTTTAGCCGCGTCCTGTTTCGAGGCCGAAAGCTACTCCTGTGGAAGTTGTTCAAAATAACGTCGAAAAAACGCGTGATGAAATTCCGGACGAGGTTCAAAAAGAGCGCGACGAGTTGTGGCTCGATCTACGACTTCAGCATATTCGACAAAGTGAGATATTTCTTTAAAAAAAATTAAATTATGACGAGGGGGTTGTTTTATTTATAGAAAATATTGAAGCTGAAAATTCTGGTGAAATTCCGAATTCTGACACAGAGACCACATTAACTTCAGAGCAGTCTATTCTAACACCAACTGGGAATGTGTAGGGCTTGTGATTCGAGTTGAAAATTGGATTCAATTTTTTTAGATGGACGAATCCGTTGGACGAAAGTGTTACTCCGACGAAAATGGAAGATTTCAATTTTCAATCGGAAAAATCTTGCTGTCGACAGTGTGGAATGCACAGGTTCGCAATATTCATTTTTCATTTTCGCGATGAGACCTAAAAAATTCAGAAGCTGGGCGGCTGTATCCCTTCTGATCACTGTTTGCGCACGATCTGAAGTAATTTCCAACGAATTTTCTGTTGGTGGTGTGCCGTCGACAACCGAGGATTGGATGAAGCTTTTGCGATTTGTCGCGTCGAGACCTGAACATGACATTGATTTGAGCGCGATGTGTCCGCGATGCGAAACAGCGCTGAGTGGAGTTAATAAAGTTATTGGTGGGTTTCGAAGTTGGAGCAAAAACGTTGACGAGGTGACTTCAGCGGAAAGTTGGCGGCATATCGGATGTAGCGAAGAAACGAAAGTGAATGTGGAGAAAATTCGAGAAAGGGTTATGAATATTTCGGATGAAAAACTTCGGATTATCTTGTCACGAACTGAGCGACAACATGCGGAAAATGGACAAGAATCGAATCGAAACGGGAAACCGCACGAATCGACGTCGATTGTCAAGCCGGTGCAACATTCGGGTCATCAAAATGAGGTGAATGCGGATTTTTGGAAATGGACGAATGGAGTCAAACTTAAAACGGTAATTCCTCACGAAAATCAAATAAAGTATTTTGAGAATAAAAACGAATTTAAGTATTCAGTGAAAAATTTTAAAATATGAGAAATTCTAGGGTTTTTTGATACTTCGTAATGGTTCTTGAGACTCGATGGACTGAAAAATATTTTTTTTCAAGTCTAGTGAATTTTTTTAACAGTTTTTACGAAAAAAATCTAAATTATTTTAATACATGTTTTAAAAAATATTAAAACTTTCTAAAGTTCATTGAGAAAAATTTAATATATTTTGGAGATTGATTTAATCGTTTTTTATTCATTATTTTTTTGGAATCGTTTGCAGTTTTTGGCGATTGCTGTTTTTTGCGACGGAAAGAAGAATGTTCTGAACATGATAACGCAGAATGATCGGCTCATAGCTCGACAAATGAGCCCTGAGGATTGGAGCGCGATGGTCGTTATGTGCTCCAGAGAGGTGTCATTCAAGAATTTGATTAATTTCAAGGTTTTGTCGTTCTTTCTAGTTTCCAACCAAAAATCATCGTTGTTGCAGACCATCAACAATATATTGAAATCTGCGGGTGTTGATGAATATGTTGCTCCGAAAAAAGTGGTTACGGTAGCGATGCCGAGTCGACGATCAGTTGCTCCGATGAACAGTTGGATTGTGGATTCGAACGGGTAAATTCTGATGTTTCTTATCAGCATAATGCAGCATCTTCTTATTCAGAAAATGCCCAATTTGCTCACTTCTGATTAAAATGATAGTTGGTGGTGTTGATCGCGGAATTGTCTCATATTCATGCGGCCACGTGTACCACAAAATGTGTCTCGCCGGCCGCTTCTCGTCGGGTTGCGTCGCTTGTCGGGTTCGAGCTCGCCGAGCCGCGGTGCGCGGAAAATCCACACCAACAGGATCGCCGAATCTCAGCCGAAAATTCCAATGAATTCGTCACACTCGTGCTTGTTTATTTTCATTCTTTTCTTTTTGGAAACATCTTGTTGGAATCGCCGTGGAGCGCGTTTGTTGTTCTTGTATGATATTTTATATATCCATATTTTTTTGTAATTTTCATCATTTCACCTGCCTTCTCTTTGTTATTTATTGTTAACTTGAATACCATTGCAACCAGAATCGGGTCTACTATCAATTTCCTGTTGTTCTTCTTCGTTTTCTTCCAGTTTATTCCCTATTTTTATTTAATTATTAGAATAGTTAGGTTTGTTTGTATTATATACGATGTCATTGATTCTAGTCTGTGCTATTTATATCTTATGAATTGATTGCTTTAAAACCACGTTGAGCTCTCGGCCAGGTTGTCAATGCCTTTTATTGTATTTCAAAATCTCAAATGACAATTCGAAGAGGAAGAAACGGTTTCAGCTTATGGCGTTCACATTTTACGCATTGCTTGAAGCAGCATTGTTGGTTTTGAATGGAATCGCGATTCTTCACAGAGAACGATTTCTAAAAAAGGTTTGGCATTTGTAAATTCTCGAGTTTCACATGGACTCTATAGTAATCAATTTTGTGGGCCTCGACACGCTTTATGTCATGGATCAAAGATATTTTGTTGGTTCTTCTTGGTTGAAAATATTCAATAAACTTTATCACAAAATTGGCATAAGTTGTTTCTCAGAAACGCGCCATAATTTTGGCAACGAAATTCGCGAAACTAAATTTGTACTTGTATCAGATAAGCATTGTATGAATCATATTTTTCAGTATGGTCTTGGGGCTCCAAGTCACTCATTCGATGGCAGCAATTCAGTCAAGGATCAAATAGTTTCTCTCATCTTTGCCGTTCAAACTGTCATGCGAAGTAAGTGCTTCCTTTTTTTTTTGAAAAACTCGATCAATCCAAAAAATCATCAATTCTTTATTCAAACGTAATTTCCTTTTTTGGCAAGAACAGCCTCCCATTTCTTTGGCAATTTATGAAGACCAGAATAGAAAAACTTTTGATCCTTCGAGGAAATCCAATCATCAAGCCATTTCTTGATGCTCTCGAAGTTGGCGAAAGACTTGGGTAGATCATGGCACATTGTTTGAAACAGATGATAGTGCGATGGGGCGACGTCTGGTGAATGAGCCGGATGAGGCAGAAGCTCCCAATTGAGTTCCTTCAAAGTCTCCTTGATCGCTTTGGTCTCATGTGGAAGGGGATTGTCGTGCAATAGGACGACTTTGTCGTGTCTCTTGCTCCATTGCGGTCGTTTGGTCCTCAACTGCTGATCGAGCTTCATCAATTGTTGATGATACGACATTGTGTTTGCTGTTTCGCCGGGCTTCAGAATCTCGTAGTAAAGAATTCCCTTATGATCCCACCAGATGCTCAAAAGAGCCTTCTTCTCGCCAATATTCGACGAATTCTCTTTTTTGCGTTTTCGATTGTTGAAGTAGATCCATTTTTCGCCGCCAGTCACGATTCGATGCAAAAATGACTTCTTCTTTTGCCTGGTGAATAGTGATTCGCAGATGGTTTTCCGATTAGCCATCATCTGCTTCGGCAGCTTCTCAGGCACCCATACCCCTTCCTTCTGAATTCGTCCGATTTTACATATGAGAACCGACACTTCTTCCGTCGTCACATTCATCATCTCGGCTAATCGCCCTACTGAGAGTGTACTGTCATCGCCCAGCAATGCTAGTAATTCCGTATTTTCGATTTTCTCGCGATTTTCTCCTCTTTCGAATTTTCCGTTCTCGAATCGTTCAAATAATTCCGCGCATACTTGTTCCGGCATTGATTGATCCCGATACGCTTTTTCGAGCATTTCGTGAGCCTCCTTGCTGGTTTTCTTCAAGTTGAAGAGAAAAATGAGTGATTCGTGCAAATGGCGTTCATCTGGCACGAATTCAGTCATTTTCGAATTTCTGAAATTGTTTCGAAAATTGATAGGCAAAGAGGTTTCACGCTTAATACGCAAATTTTGTTGATAAATGAAGAAAATGACTGATAAATTGTATTTAATGTTTTTTTTTAATCAAATGAAAAATAGAATAGGAAATATTCATGTGACGAAAATCGTTGAACGTTTTATCTTTTATATTTTTCTTGATAAAAACAAACGTTCCTCATATTACACTTATTCGCAAATGCGCTCTATCGTGCATGTTGTGACATGTATTAGCGAACACAACAACCTTTTTTATTCTATTATTTGCAGTGCCTCTAATCGCAATCAATGTGGTGGTCATCGTCTTCAAGCTGCTCCTTGGATAATTTCCCAATTTTTCCATTTTTAATTTAATTAATTTCCTTGCCTTATTGTCTCTTTTTTGTCGTGTATAATACATATTTCATATCACAATTGTTGATTTGTATAGAGAAATGAGCTCCGATGAAGCAGAAGATGATGTTCTCGAGCATTGCACACTTCGAATTCCTTATGAGGAATTGAATCGATGCTATCGTACGGGTCACAAAGTGAGTTGTTTGACGGCAATTCAATCAATTAATTGGGTGTTCGTAGAATATCGAACGCTCGTTGGCCAAAATTCAGAGAGTTGGCAATGCGATCAAGGAAAGATTGAGCGGGAGCAATGAGCCGGTTTCGAAGGAGCAGATACGAAAAGCTTATCGGACATTGAGAGGATTGGTGGAAGAAGCGCGCGAGGTCTATAAAAGTGTTCCGGAAGACGAAATGAAGTGTATGGATGTTTTGCGGCAAAGAGTCGTCTATTTGCAAGAAGAGGTGAGATAATCAGAAATCGATGAAATATGCTGTCAAATGAAAAAAAAATGAAACAGAAAATTGTATCGAAAGAAAGCGATGCCGATCGTATCTGAAAAAAAAGAAATCCAGCATGCACCTTTAAACCAGTCTCGCGTTAATGTTTGAGTTATTCCTACCGATTTCTATTCCCCTAATTTGATATTAATAGCTAAACGACGGTAAATAAGAAGCCGAGATTATGTTCAAAAAGTTTTTTTTTGATTTTTAAAAATTCTTAATTGACCATTATCGAATATTTGAGACGTCGAAACAGTAACTCTGGTAACTCAAAAACAATCAGATTCGACAAAATTCTCTAGAATTAACCTTATCCGATTGGAAATTCTACGGATAAGATTGTAAAATTGTCGTATCCGATTGGTTTTTTGGGTATTTTCGTATCCGATTGGTAATTCTACGGATAAGATTGGTTTTTTGTCGAATCCGATTCGAATTGAAATATGAAAACAAAACGGATTCGAATAATTACCAATCGGATTCGAAGAAAATCTAATCGGATACGACAAATTACCAAAAAACCAATCGGATACGACAATTTTACAATCTTATCCGTAGAATTTCCAATCGGATAAGGTTAATTCTAGAGAATTTTGTCGAATCTGATGGTTTTTGAGTTACCAGAGAAAAACAAAAAGATGATTTGTGTTTGAGACGGCCGCGACGAATTCGACTCGTCTGATTGATGTCAAGAAATCGAAGTCTTCTCGCGCCATGCGTCATGCGATCTGGTACCTTTTGAGAATCGGCCAAGTCGAAATGGCTCGTAAAATCGCCGAGCGCTATAATGTGGCGCATATGATCGATATCGATTTGTTCGCGCAGCTCAAGGAAATCCGAAGCGCGTTGTTGGCGGGAAACACGACGCCGTGTGTTGAATGGCTGGAATCGCATCGCTCGAAACTGCGACGAATGGGAAGCCGAATCGAGGTTGACATCCGCATTGAGGAACTCATCGATTTGATCAACCAAAATCACACGGCCGATGCGATCGCATATATTAAGAAGTACATTGCACCATGTATGAAGAATAATGATGATCAGGAGGTCAAAAAGGTGATTCTAGAAATGGAAATCGATTGAAATTCTCGAAAATGCACAATTTCAGCTTATTGGTATGATATTGACGCCGGAGCAGAATTGCCCAAAGTATACGACTGAGGAGGAAATCGCCGAACGATGGAGAAAGTGCGAAGAAATGTTCGTCGCCGAGTTTTACCGATTGTATCAGGTTCGCAATATCTCATTTCTCAATTTATTGCAATAATTTGTATTAAGCTGTGCACACAATCAGTTTTCTCGATCACGATGCAGTGCGGACTTGCGGCTCACAAGACGCCATCTTGCTGTTTGGATCAGAGAAAACGTTCAGAGGTATGTATTAAATCCGTAGGTCTTCGTTTTACTGAATTTAATTCGACCAGAATCCTTTCTAAATGTGACCAAATAAGATAGGGGGCTTCTTCGTATACGATAATAAGCCATTAACAAGAGTATTGTCATTTGCCGATTTTAAGGTTTATTTTTACGGTCGCAGATTTTTTTGGACAACAAAATGCTAATAAAAAAATCTACACAGTACCATAACGAATCTTGAAAATTAACGGTGGTGTTGTTTTTATACGAGGAAAGATAGGGGCTACTGTGTGCTCGGATCAAGAGACTTAGTTATTTGGGTCACATGTGAGTCCACTTACGAGAAGCAGATATGATGTAGACGAAATCTCGCCAGAGTTTTTGACCTATGGATTTTTTGTTTAAAAAATTGTATATTCAAAAAAAAAAGAAACTCCTTTGTGTAAAAAGAAATAATAGCCTAGAAAATGCCTATTTGAATGTATTAAATCAATATTTTTTTTTAGGTGAAATGCCCTGTTTGCAATCCTCTTTGTTGGCCAATTGCCGCCGATCTTCCGAACGCGCACGTCACGCAATCCACGTGAGCGATCAATATTGTTTCAATTTCTCGAAGACCCATATTTTTTTTTTCTAGAATTTTGTGCACGAAAACGGGCGAAATTTGCGATGACACCGAGAATGCTCCATACTTGTTCCCCAGCGGACATGTCTACGGCAAAAAGGTGCTCCAGGAGCAGATGAGAGAAGATAATATGGTGCTGTGTCCGGAGAGCAACAAACTTGTACCATTGGATGAGATTTCCAGATTGTATTTCTTGTAACTTTTTAAATGTACATAATTAATGATAAATCGAATTTTTTACTGGCGTGTTCGACGGTTTTTTGGCGTTTTAATATCGCTTTTTTCAATAACTCTTCGCAACTTTGAGTTTTAATCTAAAATTCCTTTAATACATTTTCAGAATGGATTTACCTCCTAGTGTGATATTAATAGGAATTTTTCTATTGTTCCCAGTGCAATACTACCTATCTCCATCAAGTACACACCACATTAAATACCATTTGCACAGGTATTTCCCTATATGCTTCGAGTAGTTGTTAATATTGGATCTCTTGATATTTAGCTTTATAAACTCGATGAAGTCATATTTTCCTGAAAAAGGAACGGATTCGAATGATCAAGATGAAGAGAATTCGATAAAACTCGACGAAGTTGGGACAACAAATTATTACGGACGTAAGGATTCGTGTTTTATAACATGACGATGATGAAGGAATTTAAAAATGTATTCCTAAAGGCAAAAAAAATCGTTTTCCTCTAAGCCGCGCGCATTGAATTTCGTGGGGATACTGATGAGATCTATCCGATCATTTATCTCCCAAACGCGATAAACTTGCCGAAGGTATTGTTGAAAATGGCAAATGTATTCAGGTGTCGTAGGATACTGCGTTTTGTACGCAATGCTAAGAGACGTTTACCGTAATCCTCGCAGCGATTTACGGGGATTTTTTTTTAAGTTTCGCATATTCATTTTTTTTTATTTTCCGATCAATTTTCGTATTTCCCTTCGAAATTTTGCAGAAACCGAGTTTAATAATTTATTTTTAAACGCACTTTTAAACGATATTTTTTAACGGTAACTGGCTCATCTCATTGCGTACACAACGCATGATCCCCCAACACCTGGATACATTTGTCATTTCTCAACAATAATAAAAAATTACTGCGTTGATTTCGGTAAATCATCGAATTCTTATTTCTCCGGAGGAGTAGCGCATACACATTACGCAAAAATGCGACGCATCCAAAAACTGCGCTGAGGATTTTTTTTTTTCAATTTTCGCAACTGTTTGCGTTTCTCTCAAAATTTGACAATGTTTCAACGACAACGAGAAAAAAAAAGAACTCTGATTTGAAGAGATGGTAATTTCCAACAGTAATATTTATTTCATCAAAATTTTTAAATATCTCTGACTATTAATCGTGTTTTTTTTTCTGACTTCAAAAAACTCAATTTCTAATCTTCAGTGGGCCAATATGTTCGATCGCGAGCTCCTTCTGTACAATTTCGTGTGGGTGATGTCATTATTCATAAGGTATTTTCAACCCATAACAACATCTAGAGTTAATCGTATTTTAGAAATTTGGTTATCGTGCAATTATTATTGGATGGGATGAAAAGGCAATTGCTCCAGCCGAGTTCATCGCGAAAGTCCATGATGGAAATGAGGTTACTCGTTTATGATTTCGAAATATCTTTGAATGTTTTCAGCAATTTACCAATAATCCGAATTATGCGGTTCTTATTGATATGCGTGATCGGATAACCCCGCAAATTGGCTATATAGTTCAAGAGAACGTTGAGAAGACTACGGGACAAGTTTTACACACACTGCGAGATCAGTTTTTTGAGCGGTTCGATGAAAACGAGAATCGTTACATCATGAGGCCGTTCCTACGAAGATCATATCCAGATGATTAAATTTTTGAAAATGTATTTAATTTTTTTAGAATTAATGAGTAGAAATTTGAAATTGTAAAAGTCATTCCGTTGCGGGGAATCGAACCCCGGCCTTATGGGTGAGAGCCATAAATCCTAACCACTAGACCACAACGGAGTATGGGTTCGGCGTCACCTGCTGCGTTTATCTGTTGCTTTTCTCTACAACCAATCAAATTCGCATTTCTTCTCTAACAGCCGACTACCTTGATATTTGGGTCTCGACGGGATTTTGTATGTATCGCTATCATCTAAGTCGCGTATTTAATAAATCTTTGCACCGTTTGATGGACGCTTTTTCGCAAAAATACGCCGTGTGCTCATCAGCGAAAACCGGTCCGAGGATTTTTCTAGAAAAGCAAAAAAAAAATGAGAGTTGCACTTTCGTTTTCATCAATTTTCGCAGCCTCCAACCTTCGCGCCGGAGCCTCAGTGTTTGTGTAGTCAAACATTGTTCGGACATTTGGAGTTGGCTGAGATTGTACAAGAGAGGGAGCACAAACAGAAGAGGGCGAAACGACCGTCCGACCGACTGACTGACGACGACGAATTAACCGTGTATACACGACACTTGTTTGAAACAAATTTTCGTACACTCTGCTCGTTTTTCCTTTAAATTTTTTTTCTCGTTGGTTTTGTAAAATCTAGAAGTTCGTGTGAATTAGGATCTGAGGTTTATCTCAGATTATATCTCTAGTTCACCATGAATGGTACATCAGTAGCTGGAGCATATCACTTATTGTAGCCATCAGCCAGTTAAAGGTCTTGAGTCGAACAAAGAATGCCGTGAACATTGAGAATTAAATTATTTATACAATTCAAAGTAAAAAAAAAGGATTCGCCTTTTTTTGGATCTTGTTATATTTTTAAAAATGAGTTTTTGATTCAAATCCATTTTTCCCATGAATTTTTTTCGGAATATATCGTTTTACTTCTAAAAAATTAAAAATTATAATTTTAGAAATAAAAATGGTCAAGTTCTTTGAAAATCATTGAATGTTTGCCATTTATTGTTTGGCTTCTGATCTTTAAACTACATTATTCAAACAATGAGGCGGGCCGGACATGCCTGAATTTCAAATCTCATTTTCTTTAGTTTCGTCCGCAAACCATCCGTTGCTATGAAGCATTCATTATTTTTAGCACAGACGTCTGTAGCAAATGCCAACTTGAGGATTCGCGAAATTTCCTCGACAAACCAAAATGCTTGCTCCTGAGTTTAACATCACGCATCCTTCAATATATCGGACGTCGACGGCAAATCCTTTCGTTTTGGTAATTTCCGAAACAAACCTAAATTGAGAATATAATTGAAGAATTTAGATTGGATTAGTTAGTGAATCAATACCACATTGGTTCCGAAGATATGCAAAAATTCGTCCAAACTATTCTTTCCCATCATCGATGATTGAAGATTTTCAAAGTGAGCCTAAAACTTCCGTTTTTTCTTTTCAATTAAATGAACGATTTTCAGAAATTCGGGTATCTAATAAGGAATTATACACTGTAATTGGTCTTGCATTTATTTTTACAATGCTAAGATATTATCTTCAAATTAGACTTCAGGTTGGTGAGGTTTGAAACTTTAAGAAAAAATTAAAATGGAAAAAAATTAAAAAATTAAATATGTGTAACATCGCGGATACGTATTTGCGGAATTTGCTTACAGTATACAATCAAATAAATCAAAACATTTTTTTTATTTTGAAACAGAATTAATTAAAAATTTGACGAATTCTTGCTTTGAATGTTCATATTGTAATGCCGAGGAGTATTTTTTTTTCTAACTAGCATTTTTTGCAGTCCTGGACCGTGACGCACAATATTTATCCGCGGTTCGCGCACAAAGTGCCCGAATCGTTCTGGAAACTTGTCTATTATGGAAGTGTTTGGCTGTTTGCTCTCTACTTCCATATGTGCGTCGAAACTCATAACATTTTCGAAGATCCGCTGTCAATGTGGGTTGGTGAGTTCATTTCGCTAAAAATTCCCAAAAAAATCGCGAACTTATTTGTTTGTTGCCGATTTTTGGTACATCTGCCTCAAAAAGACAACTTGTTAAGCAAACAAATAAAAAAAAATCGCCTATTTTTACTTAAGAAGTTCGATTCGGATAAATTGCAGAATGGGAGTCCGGAAATAAGCCAAAAATGCACTGGATGGTCCAAGTGCTCTATGCAGTTCAATCAGCATTCTATATACATTCCATATATGCGACATTGTTTATGGATTTGTGGAGAAAAGACTCGTGGCTCATGTTTGTGCACCATTTCGTCGCTCTTGGCCTCCTTTTCTTGTCATATGTTGATAAGTAACGGGAATTTTCGGAAAATTCTCTTTTTTAAAAATCGTTTTTGCAGTTTCACTCTAGCCGGCGTTTTGGTGCTTTTCCTTCATGACAATTCGGATGCGACATTGGAGATCACGAAGCTCTCGTTCTACCTCAAGAAGCGTACAAACGGCGCCTACTACAAAAATTATTTTCTCGTTGGAAATGCCGCATTCATTCTTTTCGCTATTATATGGTAATAATTTCATTTTCTTCTTTTTTTTCTTTGCTCGACGGCAAGTGTCAACGCAAATATTTAAACTAGATGCTCTGCGGCGACTGCGCGAAACAGTCTAGTTTCTTCTCCACAATTGTCGAAGCAAAGAATAATTTGCGAAACATTCGGTTTCAGGGTGATATTCCGACTCTACTGGTACACTTGTAAACTACTCTATGCGACGATTTACGGCGCCGTTTATCTTGGTCCGCAGGATGCTCCATTCTTCCCGCTTCTTGGCATCATGCTGCTCATCATCTTCGGCATGAACGTCTACTGGTTTAACGTAAGTACTTAATCATTTTCCATTGTTCAAAATATCATCTGTGGATGTTTCGTAAAAACCAAAAATCAAGAAAATCAAATAAAACCATTTTCAGTTTATTGCCCGCATGATTTGGCGTGTTGCTTTAACCGGCGAAGATCCAGAAGATAATCGCGAATGGGATACGACAGCCGTCAGCGGTCTCAACCAGCAGAAGCTCGACGAGCTCGCCAAAGAGAAGTGCGCGCTCAAGCCGAAAATCGTGTGAATCTCGCCGTATTTCAATTCAAACCTCACCAGAAAACTTACCATTTTTTCTGTAGGAAACGAGACGTTGTGTGGAAATTGTTAATTTATTGCGAAATAAATTCGAAGTTCATTTTAAATTTGGTAATAATTCATTCAAAAATTCGAAATATTTAACAAAATGATTTTAAGAAAACAACATTTAACAGAAAAAAACAACAATTTCAGGAATTAAGCTTTGACAGAATATCATCTGTGATGAGTAAACTGAAAGTTCGAACGTCCTGACCGGGCGAAATTCTGAAAATATCTCTAATTTTAGATTACAAATTTTGGAACAGATCGAGTTACCCAAAAGGCAGGTATTTCCAATCATTCGGATCGCACAATTCGAATCGTGACGACGAATTTTGTGTTCGAGCTAGGCGATCTGTAAAAAAGAACTTGAAATATCGTTCCCAAAATCCAATTTTTACCCTTTTTCAGTAAATTTTGGATATCTTCAACGGTATAAAACGACTCATCCTGAGTTGTCGGCGGCTCTTCGACACCCATATTTGATATATCGAGCATTTTTAAAATCTGTTTCCTTCGTTTTCGCGACAAACTCGTCATTTTTTCCATGAATCTAAAACAAATATAACAGCTTTGGAAAATTTCATGAAACAAACTACTTACAATTCAAACACACTCCTGGCAATCATTGTAGGCACCAAAATCATGCTGTCAAACACTTTTGTGAGCTCCTCTTCATTAAAAATATTCGCATTTACTAAAAAAAAACTTGGATTATCGAACGTTTCATCATGGATTCCACCAACCGTAAGAAATCGCGATTTCTCTGAAAATCGCCAAAAGCTGATCGCGAGTTTTCTCGCAACAATCAATATTCCGAAGACGATTCAAAATCTGTTCAAGAAAGATGTAAAAATCATATTCGTAAAAAGTCGAAGCGGTATGCCCCAAGATTTCAGGGTAATAAAATTTCGAGAAAAAAAAGAAAGTCTAAAGAGCTGGGAATCGACTAGAAAATTCCAAAAGTTAAAAATTTAATAATTTTATTTTTAAATTCTTTTTTTTACATAATGTTTTATTCTAAAATTATTCAAGGCTTCACCTACCGCACACAAAAACTCTGGTGTCATTTTATTATCAAAAATCATCACGAGAATTGGCTGCCAATATAGTTGGACTCGTTCTGGAATCGTAAAACTGTCTAAAAAAAATGATTGAATTATTGAAGAAATTGTTTTCAATTCTTCGCAAACCATCTCTCGATGTCTCAATTTTCGCTTCTTTCAATTGTTTCGGAGTGAGAATTAGAAATCCCGGTTTTGTCAGTGTGTAGAAGAATCTCCTGAAAAATCATTCTTTTATAACGAAGAAAAATGCCGCGGTTTTCAAGTTGCTTCGTGGAAATTTTTGAATTGAAATGCGGATATGGTTCCATGCGGACCGACAGACTCCGCCCATCGACAGCACAACAGGCCAGAGATGGGACCAACATTCACTTCTCCCTTCCTTTTACCAATGGAGTAGGTCGCAAGTCTCTTCGCCGGGTCGCCACCCACAATATCTTATTATAATAAAGTATTATATGACTTATCGAGAAGATAGTGGGATGCAGGGCTGTGAGTTACGAATTGGAACCATCGTAACCCCCCAGCCCCCGACAATGTGTGCAAATTTGCGTCAGTGTGGAAACAGTCAAAAAATGGAACACGCGAGTTAATTTTTTTTTTAAATAAAGACATTTTTACTTTTTTTTTAGAAAATTGATACGTTCGAAAGGTTTTCTTCGTTATTTATTGTCGTCGTCAAACGACTGAATGGAGGAGGAGACTTCAGATTCGCGAAATTAGGGTAGATTTAAATTTTTTGTTAATTGAATATTAAATGCGCGTACAGTATAATGCAATGTACGCAATCTCGCTGCCTCGAGACGCATTGGCACATTGCCAATCTTTTTTTTTCAATTTCGTTAAGTCGTTTGACTCTGACAATAAATTTCTGCCTACACTTTCAATTCATTTCGTGCCAGACTTAAAGTTGTATTCATACTCAGGTTGTATGGCCATATCCTCACAAAGTTGCTGGATCTCCCAGGTGAGCGGCTTCTTCAAATCAACAGTATGCCCATTCTGAATACTAATCATTTAGACAATCGAATATTCGTCAATTCGAACCTTATCTCTCCAGCTTTTGAATTGCTGAAGATGCTTGGAAAATCGGGACTCGAATGCGATTTCCTGGCTGACAAGCCCCGTCGGTGGCGATTCCGATCGGCCCATGTTCATCGCATTCCCAACATCCTGCTGCCAGAATCTTCGTAGAAGCCATTGATGGCAGAATTTCGTCGCTTCTCGCAATTTGTCCAAATCCGGCATATGATTATGGGTGATCGCGTGGCGAACTTCGACAATCCATCGGGGAATTCCTTGCTGAAAATTGCGATTTTCGCGAAACAATCGAAACAACCAACGAAAATCGATACCGTTTGAACAGCATTGAACATATTGATGAGAATATTCCGATTCTGGCCGATTTCATTGATAAAGTTGACAAATCTGGAAAATAACAAGCTCAACGAATTGTTTTGTTGTTAAAACTGCATTTTATAGGTGTTTTAAAGAATTTTCGAGTGTTGTTTGAAATATGAAAAGCAAAATGAGTTAATCCTTTAAAGGCGCATGCTTATAAATGGACCCTCACAAACTGATACCATCAAAACTGTGGAAATGGAAACTTATGGGGATCATACTGGATATTAAAAAAAAACCCATTGAGCATATTGTCGAAATCGCGCGACTGCGGATGGCGCGATTTACTGTAGAGTTTGGTCTCACAACACAAGTGTTGTTGATTTACGGGAAACTTTTTTCCCCGTAAAAAGTATGGCATTGATTGTCCGTGTGGAATACACAACGCGCGTCTCGTCTTCTTGAGACCCAATTCCGACAATAGGTCTCGCAACGACAGTTTTTTTTGCCGGTTTATCATGTTCCCATTGTTTTAAAACGCTTATTCTGAACATTCTCGATCGAATTCGAAATTGTTCCCCCAATGGTATGCATTTTCATATTTCCGAGGAAGACAAAAAAACCGATAGCCCATATTTTTGACTACTCAGTTAAGCACAAGAAGGCAAAAAAATAAAGAAGAAGCCGAAGCACATTAGGGCTCGTTTTCGCACGCAAGTATTTTGTTGACATCAATATTGTTGTTTTTTGAAACCTGCGAATCCCTCAATAAAAGCTAATCACGAATGAAGAAGGCGACCCCTCGGAAATCCGTAAAACGACGAACGAGCGCAAATCAAATTCCATATATTATTATTTTTATTATTATTCAAATCGTGCCGTCGGCGGATTCCAACAATTACCCGCCGCCGCCGCCGTCGCCAAATTCGTTGGTGGCGGTCATTTCCCACGGTGGTTCCGTCGCGCTAATTGACGCAAAATCCTTTTTTGCGCGGACCCTCTGCGTGCGCGCTTCTCGAGACGACACACAAGTGTCTTCACCGAAATTCAAGCAATATGCCTTCGAGCAAATCGGATGAATGCCTCACGGTTGGGAGGACCACCGCGATGAGAGGAAAACACAAATGGGTTGAGGGGGGTTGGGCGGAGCGAGAGGTGGATGATGAGGACGATGAGAATGATGAGCAAAGGGCTCTTCGCAAAACAATTATATCGGCGCAAGCCATTCGTATCGCCGCCAATTTTAATTACACCAATTTTGTGTCCCAATTCATTTCGATATAATTGAAGCTTATGAAACATCGTTTAGAAGAAGTATTGTCGAAGTGAAGCGACTAAATCTCAACAAAAAAAACCAAGCAAAGGTCTTGGCGCAATATTAATTGTATATATACGGATCAGAGCATTATGATAGTCCTTTCCTCAATTTTTTTGATAACTCGTCAAGACAGTTCCTTGAAACTGAATATATTTACTGCGCCTTTAAACGTGGTCTCGTCACATTAGATATAACATTTTTTTCGAAGGTAGTTTCTCCGTCGAAAAAATGGAACAAACAAATTTCTGATTTGAAGCACACTCGAACGATAGTCACCCAACACGGTCAGTTTTTAGTGTAGCTTCCCATTTTCTCAGAAATAATTAACCAAGACTGCATAATTAGACGCGAACAAAGTGGTCAATTTGAATTCCTTTTGAACAATCTAATAATGTGTGCAAATTTTGAAAAAAAAAACTCCAATACCCGCATCCTCGTATAGACTAATTTAGGCGGGTAGATTTACGAGTGCGCCTTTAAAAATGGTCTCGTCTAGTGTAAACGCTTAATTCGTTGTTTTTAAGTGAACTGTTTTTTCTTGACTTTTACGTTAAATTTCTAATACCGTTCAAATTAGCGATTATCTCAAACGACACCTATAAAAGGCAAAACAATCAGATAGTCCGCGTGAGACCATTGCGAAAGGCGCACGCCGTAAATCTACCCGAGTACAGTAATCACCGGACGACGACTATAAGGCATTATCATAAATTCGCGCAAATGTCCGCAGATGAATGCACTCTTAATACTTTTTAAGTTTTGCCAAAATTGATATGATAATAAGTATCACATGAATTAAAAAATCGGTTTGTTTGAAGAAGACCCATCGTCAAATTTTTATTGGCTAATCCCAGTGGTTTTTTTTTCTCTCTCAAATGCGTATACAAATACAATCGCTTGGAAAAATCTCGGCTCGGCCGAAAAAAGAAAAGTTGTCCATCAAAGCTAAATGAGGCGCATTATGCATATCTCATCATACTCGAAACAACAGCTGAGAACATTGTCTTTTTCAAGTGGATGCCACCACTTTCTTCAAAACTCCTTCTTATTTTTCTTCTTCAGCAAATTCCGAACTCAATTCGACAAATTGTCGTCATTCTCGCCGCAATTTTTACAACTTTCACCTTTTATGGTGTTGCCGACGTCGAGAGCTTTCGGCTGGTCCGAATTTCTGTGTGTGTGTGTGTGTGTGTGCCAAAATCTCATTTCCGAAATTTCGTTTTCACGAAAAAAAAACGTTATTTTATGACCAACGACGGGGACGCATCTGTTCATTGCCTAATTTATTCCCAAAAAAAACCTCGAAATTGCACTTGCTGGTTCCATCTGCGGACAGTTCGCACTGATTCTGGTTCCAATTGATTGTCCGCAGATGGTTTTCAATAATAATTTTCTGCAAAATAATTCATACGTTAAGAACCATGTCAGTTTACCGAAGACGGAAAACTGAATAGTCAGAAAATTTAATTCAGTTGTATTTCTTGGCGCGAAACCACCACACTTTTACGTGCACCTTTAATTTATACTGTAGTTTTGCATACGATTGATACGAAGCCAAATGAGTGAAATATTCAAAATCGATTTTCTCAAGAATTCGTCAGTCTTCGACAATAAGTGTACATCATCTCTTAATTTGCATATCCGAAAATTTTGTCAAAAAAAAAACGAAAATTCGTAGAAATAAGAAAAAAATTTTGCTTTTACCATTTTCATTTTCAAATTCTAAATAATTGAAGTTCGAACGGTTTAAATTATCAACAAAAAAAACGAATCGAGTGTTGCGATCATCACTACATATTAGAGTACACCAATCATATCTGTTTTTTATATACCGTATCAACTACAGTACGCCTCCATGCGGCGATTTCTCACAATTTTCCACGACGAGCATCGTTAAAATATTCATATTTGAAGACGAGCGGCTTCGACCGCCGGAAGAAAATGCTCCCGATTTTGGCGTAGAAAGAAGGCGGACGCGCGATTTGCGAAACAAGATTGCATTATTCAAAACAGCGTTTTCTCGACGAAAACCGAAGTCAAGTGGTTGGCGACGACGACGACAAAATACATTCAGCCTTCAGATTCACACCTACGAATTATCACGTCAAGTGGATCAAACGAATAAAGAGCGTGCGAGTGTTTGAGTGAGTGAGCTCTCCCCCATCTCCGAGCAGCGCTTCAACGTCGATCGAGAACACCATAGGCAAGTTTGAACTTTACACATCATATGAAAAAATAAAAAAATAAAACATACACGAAGCACTTTTCGTTGCTCCTTTGATGGACTCGCGGCTCTTTCGACGAGCTCATACTCCCTCAAATTGTCTCTTTCAATTATTTATATTAGGACTGCCTCATCGGCTCGCCGCCTTTCATTTTTTGTTTCTCGTCGCTCATTTCACATATTCCATAAAACTTGCAGGTGCCATGTGATGATCTCTCGGAATCTCGTCACTGCCTCATTTTTCGCCGCAGCTCTTATCACTGGTAGATCGAACGCCAATTTTTCAAACCATTGTACAATGTTTGTTACAGTAAGCCTTGCGATCACTTGCTACGATTGTCATTCCGATCAAGGCACGTGCAATGATGGCGAATGCGAAGGAACTGTGTGTATCAAGATGGAGACATCGAGTAAAGACAACGGTATAAATTGTTTCGCGATGAGATCACTTCATTTCAAACGCTTTGCGCAATTCGTTTCCAATCGGCCACAAATCGAATGGCTCCGAAATTGACCGTTTTCGGTTCGAAATTGCCCGTGTCCGATTGCCGTTTGGAATTTGGTTCGAATGCGCTACTATGCGTTTTGAAATCGCCGAATTTGATGCGAATGCGATCGTATTGGATTTGATATTTTTGGGCAGGTCATCCCGGGGGATAAGGGGGACCAATTGCCTTTTTGAGCGCTTCGTCCAAATCTTGTCACTTTGATTTTGGGCTGATCGGGATCCGGCAACAAACATGGGAGGGGAGAGCTGAGGGCGCGACCGCCCCCGCAGTTCGCCTAAGACCCACGGATAAACTATCCGAAAGTTCGAATCGGGTTGCCGATTTGTTGTCCGCAGATGAAATTCAAGATATCAAACGGTTCACATTTTAATTGGATCCTCCATGTTTATCCATTGCAAACAACATTGTAGGGCTTGCGCAGGTTTTTTTTGCAGGGCTGTGCGGCAACGGAATTGCCGAAATTTAATGTTTTTGAATATTGAATTTGGGATACCGTGAAAAATTGAATAATTCGGGATACCGTGAAAATTCGCTATTTTTATTTCGAATTATCATTGAAAAAAATTTAATAGCCGAAATTTTTATTTTCGGCAAATTGTCGAAACTTCCGAATGCCGCACATCCCTGGTTTACAAGCATGCGCCTTTAAATTTTCATTATGATATTTGAATTGTTCTCGCGAAAATTTCAACAATTCCGAATGGGACAAATGGCACAAAATTCACGATGCATCTCAAATTTTCGACGAGAAAAGACTATTGAAATTAAATTTTTTGAAAAGAGGATCTTGACGAAATATTAGAAAAAATGGAAACTTTGAAGAAAAAAAAACGGTAGCACGTAAAGCTCTCTCTCTCTCTTTCTATGTCAATTCCAAAAGAATTGATCTGCGGACACTTGACAAATGTGAATAGACACGAATGATGTGCGGCAAATTGAGGATTGCAGACCGTCGCACGATCCACAAGACATGCGGGGATGACATCGAGGAAATGTCGTGCCAACAATCGTCATTCGGCAGTAAATGGATGAGCAGATGTGTGTGCGACACCGCGTTTTGCAACGGTGATCAGGTGGGTCTCGAAAATTAGAAACCCACATCAATAATGGCTCTTATTTTTCACAATCGCTGTCTTGAATTATATTCCATAGTTTAGGGGCCCATTAAAATCTATTGATATTTCAGGCACTCATCGATGCCGGCCTCGAGCCATCATCGGCGGCTCCACCAGCCAGCCATTACACCCAATTTGCTCTACTCGTCGCAATTATCGTTTTTGTCGGCGCGAGTTGTTCGCTGATTCTCATCGCGACCATTTGCGTTCAATTTTGCTGAATTCGCCATCCCAAAAGACTCACCGAACAATCGCGAATCCGTGATTCCTTTGCGAATCGAGGTTTTTCCGCCATAAATCCTTCTCATCGACTTCCTTTACAATTATATTTTTCTCGTTGTTTATTTTTTAAATGAAATTGAAAAAAAAAACCTGGAGATCTGTATAAATCGCTTCCATGATGACATGACTGCACAGTACTGCTAATGGTGTCGATTCGCCGCACCTAAAAAGGCATTTATTTCGTTTTGCGCAAAAATGACATGAAATAACCAAGAAGAATATTTTTTCCGAGATAGTATATTCTAGAGTGCTAATGGAATTTCATTCTAGAGTAACTTTTCATTCTACTATTTATGAAATGTTATTTTTAATAAAAAATAAATAAAAATTTAATCGATTGTGCATTTTTTCAAATTTTTAATTTTTTTTAATAATCGGCGTCCGGCGACTGCTGTACGCGGGTAGATTTACACGTATGCGCCTTGAAAAGGTCTCGCCACGCGTGAATGCTTATTTTGCTGTTTTCACGTGAACTTCTTCATTTTTTGTTGATGAGTTTCGCATTTCCTTGAATTTCCAACCTCATTCGATTTATAAATTTTCTAACCGACCCACAAAATTCAAAATAACCAGATTGTCCGCGCGAGACCAAGCGAAAGACTCATCGCCGTAAATCTACCCGTGTACAGCAGTCGCCGGACGCCCCTATAAATCCTATTAATATATTGTCGACTTGTGGCTAAATGCCAAAAAAATTCAAAAAGAGGTATTGGTGCTCGGTGCGCTCCATTTATACATAGGCCCGTAAATCTACACTTTTCGTTTTAAGACACCACATGATTTGTCGTTTTGGGCTGAACATAAGAACTTTTAGGTTTTCGTCAAAACCACTGCCATTGTTTTTCGGTGGCATTTAATCAAATTTTTCATTGTCGCGCAATTTCGACTATATATTGTCGCAAAGCTGAAAGTGAAGATTTACGGAGTATAGGTTAAAGGCGCACCGAGAACTCATTCTAAATTTTTTGTTAGCGTTTAGTAAATTTTCCGCAGACGTCGGCAATATAAGATGAGGAATAAAATGCCGTCTTCAATTCTCGCAGTCAAATGACCGTTTTTTTTTCTCATCAAATAAAATAAGCGGTATTCATACGAACTTGTGTTCTGTGTTCTTCATTCTCCGCCACGGAACACCGATGGCAACCCATTTTCACTCTCAATTTGAATCAAGTCAATGGTTATCCATCTAGATTTGAAAGATTACAATCATCAACAGAAATCTGGTTTTTGGCTGATTTTTTGAACCAAAAAAATTCTTGACAAAAAGCACAATTAGTGCAGAACAAAAAAAATGAGCAATTCTCTTTAGTCGTAAGATCTGCGGACAATCATCGAGGTTACCTCACTATACCCATATTTAGAAGAGATATCGATTCGGCGACATCTTCAATGATGTTGCTTTGCAATAAATGTCGAAGTTTGGCCCATTCGCATGGAGTGAATGGAACCGTCACTTCCATTCTATAAAATTTCTATCTTTTTTTTTCAATAATTTCTATAAATGCATATAAATAAAAACTGTTGAATTTGACAGATTTTGTCAAAAAAAATCATAAAAATTATGCAATTTTATTGAAAATAAAACCCGCAAATTTGGAAATACTAATAGAAAAGAATGCGATAAATACAATTAAGTACATGAGATAATAAATTACAAGAGTTTAACTGAAGAGAACCGTTTGAAGTAGGTGTATGGTGTTCGGACTGTCGCGAGAAGGCCCTTCTTATTCACGATTGGCTCGTTTTCAGAATACCTGAAATCAAACAATAGTATAATTGAGATTACAAAAAGACATACTTGAGTGGATTTCCTTCAAGATCGAGCATAGCCCCGCCCATAGTTCGTAGAATCGCGTCTCCGGCACAAGTATCCCATTTTTTGATAGCGGTGGTGTGCAAATAGATTTCTACAACAAATAATTTAGAATTGATTTCGAATTTACTCGAAAACTCCAAAATTCTGGATTTTCAGTTCAAGAAAAACTCACCGGCTGTTCCATTGACCAATCGCAGCGCCTTATATCCACTACCGCCAGCAGGTTCGATCTCCGTTTGCTCGCCGAGCACTTGCTTCACAACACTTGCCACTTTTCCTGCGTGCGATCTTGAAACAACCACTTTTTTGCTGGTATTCTCGATGGGGACCGGCTCAATTTTGACACCGGATGATGTGATGACTCCCCAATCTTTCAAACCGAAAACTGTAAAATGGCGATTAAAATTTGAGTATGAAATTGAAAAATAATTACTGGTCTCGTTGAAAAATGGACGATAGATTGCACCGAATATTGGCTCGTCTTTCACAACAATGCAAGCCATTACAGTGACATATTGCGTGAGATCCTCTGAAGTCCTATTCTTGATAAATCAAACCAATATTTCAATTAATACCAGTGAATTCTTGCGTTGCATCCAGTGGATCGACGAATACTCGAACTTCATCCAATTCTAATCGACGAGATGGAATTCTATAACATTTATGTTGAAATGTTGAATTCAAATAACATCAAACTTGTTCAAAATCTCTTTGACACTCTGCCAAACTGCATAATTGTCACTTCTGTATGGCTCGATCTCACGTTCGGACATTGTGGATTCTTTTTCTTCAGAAACCACCTAGAACGAAAATAATTGATTGATAAAAAGTAGATCGGGCGAAATTAGTTTACCGATAGCCTTGGAAATCGCTGCAAAATATCAAGAATCAAGTGATTTGAGATTAAATCCGCACGAGTCAGTAATTCTTCTTTTCCTTCATCGGTTAAACCTTTGGCAGCAGCATTTAGACCTAAAATGATGAAAATGTTCAATTTGCTGGGTTTTTGGGAAATACTTTTCTCTTGATGAACCTTGTGTACTGCAATTCCGCCCATTTCAACGGCGAGCACTGCATAGCTAATAACATCCTTTAAATCGACATCGATTTCAGGTAAACCATCGCCCGACTGAAATTTCAAAATATAGCAAAAAAAAAGAGTTTTAAGCTAAACTTACTGCAAAGAATATCAAATATCCTAGATAAAGAAATCCAACGACAAGAATAAATGTGAATGTATTTTTAGCATGCAGTCGAATTTGCATGTTTTTTGATTCCTGAAATATCGTATTTAAAATTTAATCAAGAATTACGTTCTATTAAGAAGCCAAATTTGAATCTTACGGAAAGCATTTCGTATTGAGGTTCGGGCATTTTGCGGAATATACTAACCTTTCAAAGCCGAATCGCTGCTGGGTGATCATGCAAGAGATAGTGGGCGGAGGAGAGATTTTAATCGCGAAAATCCGTTGGGCCAAAATTCAACTGCAAATGTGAACATTCGACCAATGACGTTGCTGTGTTTATAAAAAACGATTCGAAAAAAATTCAATAAAATAATGGGAAGGGAAGAAATAAATGAAGTGTGGATTTACGGAATATGTAAATTCTAGGCCGTCGGCCACGGCTACGTATAGATTTCTTCCAAAAAATGCGGCTACAAGAATCGTTCGCTGTATGACTCAGAACAAAAACAGCTTTTCAAAAAATATTTTTAAAGTTGGAAAACTCATCAGTTTTTTTAAACAACACATTTTGGGATTTTTCATTTCAATTTCAATAATTTAAATTCCTATTTTTTTTTAATTTTCTCTGAATACTAGAAATTTCCATAAAAATTTTTCAAACTCAATTCAATCGCGAAAAATAAATAAACTAATCGATTAAAGGCTCATAATGCAAAACATGAGTTGTGAATCGCAGCGCGTAACAACGGTCTCTGTAAAAAATAACGGTTAGATTTACAGGGATGCGTCATTCGAAATGGTCCCGCAAGGACTAACTGGTTATTTCAAATTTTATGGACTGGTTCGATAATTTTTTAATTGAATGACGTTGGAAATTCAAGGAATTGCAAAACTCATCAAGAAAAATGAAGCAGTTCACGTGAAAACAGCAAAATAAGCGTTCACGCCTGGCGAGACTTTTTCAAGGCGCATGAATCTACCCGCGTACAGCAGTCGCCGGACGCTGACTATACATATTTATTTCATTTAAACTATTAAACCCGTTAACATGTTATAATAATAATAATAATAATAATAATAATTTATTAGTCATACGACACAAAGCGATTTAAAACAATTATATATAGTTAGCCACTTTGGCTAGTTGTTTCCATCGCTGCCGCTCGACGTCTCGATATTTGCGCCTCAAAAGTCGTTCAATTTCATTTTTTTCCGCTATTAATTGTTGATTGTAATTCCATACGGAATTTGGCGAAGCGCAACCTGAACGAATTTCAATTTTTTTGCAAAATAACTTGAATAAAATGTTTACTTTTTCCATGTTTGAATGGATTTCGCCACGTAAATTTGAAGAGGAAACTGCAATTCTGTACTTTAGATTGATTTTCTGATAGCAAAACATTACAAATGAAACACCTTTTTTTGAGAAAATTGAACTTGATTAAATTCTTTGAGGCCGTGCAACATGAAATCTCTTTCTGGACTCCATTTAGAGTCCGTGAGCCAGATATCTCGAACCCATCCAGTTCCCTACAACATTCATGGTATATCAAAAACCAAATTATAATAGTTATTGTGGAAAAAATGAGGAATGTGAAAAACTGCAGCGAAATCTTATGCATTGTGTGCGTACACCGAGTCGCACATCTCGATCTTAGCTACAGTAATCTCAACTAAAAATTATTTAATTAATTGTTGATCGTTCCCCTTTATATAAAATAATTAACAGTGAAAATATACAAATATGATTACTATTACACTTTTTCAACATAACAGTATACATAAAACCATAAATTCGCCAAAAAAAAAACACAGAAAATAATTTTAAAAAAATAATTGATTAAACAATTTTTAATTGAGATTACTGTAGCTAAGCTCGAGATGTGCGACTCGGTGTACGCACACAATGCATAGAATATCGCTGCAGTTCTTCACATTCCTCATTTTTTTCACAATAGTAATAATTACCTTATTGAGGATCTTCAATTTCTTAAAATCTCGTTTCTCACCAATAATCGATCGAACGCAGGCTTCCATGGTGAACAAGTTGTCAAAATTCCGAGAATATTCCCAAATTGCCATGCAAACTTTTGCCAATCCTTTATTGTGCTTCGGAAAAAGTGTTTCTTGAAGGAATATCTGAATATCTCATATGAATTATTGCTGAAATTCAACCAGTGGCATTTACGTGAAAGGCTCCATTGTCAGTTCCATGGAAGCTATTTGGGAGGCGGTTTTCGAAATTGGCAAACCTTTTCAGAAATGTTCGAGACCATTCTGTATTTTTGACTAGATAAGAACCAGTGGCAATCTAAAATAAAAATGCAACTTATTTCAGATTAGGCTCGTTTTCCACAAAAATGTGTTGGCCTTTAAATAATACCTCCCAGTTTACAAATCTATCGTACATTATTATGTCATAACGAGGATCAATGAACTCCTCGATTAATCTGAAATATTCTAGATTGCGACATTTTGTTTAGATTCTTGGTTATCACATTCGTGGGTTTACAATAGCAATATCAGCATCCAAGAATAGAATCCATTCAGATCGAATGAGTAGATTTGCGATGATGCAATGACGTCGAAACATAAACTAAAGAAAAAAAATTATTTATTTATTAGATTGTATATTTTGGGAGTCTTTTTTCTTAAATGAGAAACTAAAAATCTGATTTTGAGCTAATACATGCTCTCACAATATTACTCAGACGATTCTTTTGTTTTGCCGTCGGTGATTATGTGGTTTCGATCGGAAGGAGTGGCCCATTCGTAAGTCCAGTCTTATTGATTAATTTTGAACTTAATCTTCGACGGATTAGCGAAAAGAATTCGAGTTCGGCAGAGATGTTGGCTCTTCTGATATTTTACGAAACCAGTTGAGCCCATTGTAAAACTAACACTCGATGTATCGTGCTACAACTCGTTGAATTTTGTGAATATAACATGAAACTAATAATAATTGCGCTTATTTTTCTAATTGAAACCATTTCTAGAGCTCTTCGCGTTTTCGAGTTATTCGACAAAATTGGGGTGGGTATATATAGTTATGTGGAGCACTGTATAGTATAGACTTATATAATTGTGACTCAGACTTTCTCTTGTGAGTTCAATACTCAACTATGTGTTCTCCCGGACCACGCCACCAGTCGCCATGTTCACCATCACAGGCAAGAAGCTACTCTCTCTCTCGGGGATAATGATGCTGAGTTTGAGCAGACTCAGCAGAGCGCAGTTTATTTTTTCTTATAGGAGTCTGCTGGAAATCGGCTCAAGCTCTGCACGACTTCCCCGAGAGGCCAATTTTAATTAAGGAAGGAAAAAAATACGTCTCTCTGACGACACAGATGTGAAAATTTCTTATCCTCGATTAGCCAAAATCGATAATTATGCATTTGACTGTAACATTTGACCGATTCGAGAGCATTTCTGAAAAGAATTACACATTTGTGGAAGAACTTTGCTGGAACCTGTAATCAATTTTTGCTGTTTGCGCATCGCCAACAACCACAACAATAGTTATATCGAGACTTCTACCATTCTCAGTCTTGGCAATATCGAAAGTGACATTCTAAAAACGCAAATCTGTAAATGTTGGAAAAATCCATTTTCTGGAACTTACTTGATCGGAGTAATCATTTAGAGTATCTTTTATTGTGCTTACAAAGTACAAAAGAAATAACAATTGAGTGAAAAATATGAGAATAATTGGTTGAGTGAATAGCGATTTTAATCGAAGCCTCAGTGAGCGCATGTTGTTGCAAAGAAGGAATGAGGTGCAATTGGGTTGGGTTCGATGGTATGGTTCAAGGGTGGAGTTGGAGTGACGTCAAAGCACAGATTAAATTCAAACTCGAACGAGATCTTGGTTGCGGCAGTAGAACACAATTAGAAAGAAAGATTAAAATCATAAACAAACCTTTTTATATTAATGAAAGAAGTATATGGCATAAATTTGAGAGTGAAGAATTCGCTCGATAAACATCGCCTTTTTTACATGCACATGTTGCCAAATGAAAAATGACAATGAAATGTGAACCTGTCAAATTGAACAGAAGCATTATTTATCGCAAAAAAAGAAAATTTTGAGAATATCGAATGAGATAAATGAGTTTTTGCACTGCAACTGCGCTAACAGACGAAAAATAGTTAAAAAATAGTTGAAAAATAGTGCAGACTTTGGATGAAAGAGGGATCTGTAACAGATCTATTTTCAAGTCTATTTTTCATCAGCGCTTCATCTATTTTTCAGCCATTCTCAAGTAGCTTGATCCGTCGTTGGAGCAATATCTAATCCAATGAACAATGCTTCTTAATTTTTTTTTAACATTGTTCACATATGTATGTATTAAACTTGAATTGCAGATAGCAAACAAGAAAATTTGAAGTCTGAATAACTATAAGAAAAATCTAAAACATTATATCTGAAACATACATCTAGTTTTTGCCTTCCGTTAGTGAGCAATCGAGTCAAATCGGCTCCTTCAATTGGCAATTGTAGATGTTTGTCGAAGTTTTCGAGCATGGTTTCATCGCATTCGAACATTGCAGATTTTTTCTTTGAACATGTCAAATTCCGCGGGAATTCGACGAAAAAGGAGGAAAAAATGAGGGAAATCGATAAATATCTCTCGCGGAGAGAGAGTGTGTGAACGGAGAGAGCGCGCGCCAAAGGGTAGAGATAACGCGCGCTGAGGGAAAGACAACGGGCGCAAAGGAGGCGCAGGGGGAGAAGTTAAAGGCCGGCACAGTAATGCCGCTTGGAATTCTCGCGGCGCGGAGCGACAGTAACCTAGCGGCGGCGTTAGGAGGTTTCTAAAAAACGTTGTTTTTTAGTTTTCTTTTTTCTTTCTAACGGGATTCAAAGCCTATTATTCTGATTGCGGAATATGGAGCGATCTCGCGGAGGAAGGAGATGCGCGATCCAAGGGGAAGAGAACCTCCCAGGTATGTAGTTTAACTTGGTAGAGTTCCCCAAATTGGCGGCGCGGCCGCGTGGGAGATATTGGGGGGTTTTCTTTTCCCATTAAGACGGCGCGGCCGTAGGAAGGGAGAATTTCGGGAGCATTGCCCTTGCGAAGGGCCGGAGTTAAGTGATGACAGAAGGCTCTAGCCGTCCATTTGGGCGGCGATGAAGAGCTTCTGACTGATAACTTCGTTTCTTGCCACACAAAAAATTGTTCCTTCGGGGACGTTGAATTCTGGGCGGGGCCCAGAATTTTTCAAATGGTGCATCGACCGTGTGCAAGAAAATGCTCGAGGGGGATAGGAATAATAGGAATAATAGGAATAGTAGTAGTTTGCCCAGCGCCGGTGGGAAGAGCGGGAGCTAACTGAAGTTAGCCGATTAAATGTAATCGCTGTGCGACAGCGATTATCTGTGTTGTTTTTTCTAAGTTGTGTTTATTGTTGTTGTATTCTATTGAAGTTGGAATAAAGGTCTATGACCACAGAGGTAGCGTGTTCAAGAAAGCAATAATGGGCCGAGATTGGCAAATATGGAAAGGGAACTGGCAGTAGAGTGCCGATAAAGTGGAGGTACAAGTTGGAAACTCAGTGATGCACACGGGCACACTGAAAGGTCGTGGGCGGGAGATCACACACGAGGGTGCGGTCGCGCATGCACTCGCCACGACGAAAGAGGATATGGGCAGCTGTCCGCGCCCACTCACACTTCCGATATCGTGGCGGAGGTGACGCGGTTATCAGAGTGGCCTGATCAACCACGATTGGGGCCGCAGGAAGGCAACACGATGTCACGCGGGACATCGTCGGAGTGGGCGTCTGTAGTGAGCACGCGGGCTCAACCAGAGAGGCAGACCACGGTCGACACCGGGCCGGCAGTCGTTAAAATTGATTTCCTCACTTTTACTTTCTTGTATCATAATCTGGATTGTTGTACCTCCAGAGGTATTCTGTTGTGTCTCGAGAAATTTGTCAAAAAGTTACATTTCATCACCCCTTACGCGCCGTGGAAAGGAGGAATCTACGAGCGGCTGGTGGGAGTCACCAAGAGGATGTTGCATAAGGTGGTGGGTAGAAGAGCGTTCTGGACCGATACCTTTCCGACCATACTGGTGGAAGTGGAGGCAATGCTGAATAGCAGGCCCATCATGGTACCTCCTCAAGGCCTGGATGATGTGAAGGTCTTGCGCCCGGTAGACTTCCTTCTGCCGGAAGCAAACCTGAGTCTACCTCAGGTAGGAGAGCTTGAGGATGAGTATGACTTGTCTGTCCAAGCAACGGAACAACGCCTGAGGCAGTACGTTGCGGAGTATGAGAAGGTGCTGGACTCCCTGTGGGAGGTGTGGTATCAGCACTACATCGCGGCGTTGCGGGAAAGGAAACACTACCGTTCCGGAGCGGGGAAACCTAGGGTTCCGCTTGTAGGGGAAGTAGTGTTAGTGGTAGATAAGATGCAGCCTCGGCATGTCTGGAAACTGGCTCGGGTGGTAGAACTCAAAAGAGATCCAGATGGAGAGGTCCGGACTGCAGTATTGCGTTACAAAGGGCGCGAGGCGCTGAGACCAGTGAATTTACTGGTTCCGCTCGAGGTAGATCACGAGGACTTGGGCAGACTTTACGGCGTCCTACGAGCGATGTACCCGCCCACCCCCATAGGTACAATCTGCGCAAAAGGAAACCGCCCGAGGCGGTTCTTGGGGGGCCGGGAGCTCATCTCCTACAGAGATGACTCTCGCTGGGGGGGAATGTCAAATTCCGCGGGAATTCGACGAAAAAGGAGGAAAAAATGAGGGAAATCGATAAATATCTCTCGCGGAGAGAGAGTGTGTGAACGGAGAGAGCGCGCGCCAAAGGGTAGAGATAACGCGCGCTGAGGGAAAGACAACGGGCGCAAAGGAGGCGCAGGGGGAGAAGTTAAAGGCCGGCACAGTAATGCCGCTTGGAATTCTCGCGGCGCGGAGCGACAGTAACCTAGCGGCGGCGTTAGGAGGTTTCTAAAAAACGTTGTTTTTTAGTTTTCTTTTTTCTTTCTAACGGGATTCAAAGCCTATTATTCTGATTGCGGAATATGGAGCGATCTCGCGGAGGAAGGAGATGCGCGATCCAAGGGGAAGAGAACCTCCCAGGTATGTAGTTTAACTTGGTAGAGTTCCCCAAATTGGCGGCGCGGCCGCGTGGGAGATATTGGGGGGTTTTCTTTTCCCATTAAGACGGCGCGGCCGTAGGAAGGGAGAATTTCGGGAGCATTGCCCTTGCGAAGGGCCGGAGTTAAGTGATGACAGAAGGCTCTAGCCGTCCATTTGGGCGGCGATGAAGAGCTTCTGACTGATAACTTCGTTTCTTGCCACACAAAAAATTGTTCCTTCGGGGACGTTGAATTCTGGGCGGGGCCCAGAATTTTCAAAGAACATCTAAACTTTTTAGGCATGAGCTCTGGAATTTCTGCCGTTTTTTTGGTCACACTTAATTTTGATACCTTTTAGTATCAACATTACAATTCCATCTGAACAAGTGTGAAGAACATCCAAGATTGTATTGTACGGCTTGACATATTGCACCATTTTCGCCGCAACAGGACCAAATCCATTAACACCGCGAATACTATCTTCTAGAGTCTTATCCCCAAATCTGTCCAATCGTCGATCTTAAATCAATATAAGCGATGAATAAGAGGGTTTAAAATTATTATTGATTATTACCGTTTCCAAGTAGTGGTTTGTGCAGAGTTCCGTGAGAGTCGCAATAAAAACAAGCTTGTGGACTTGAAAAACCGCTCATTCCAAGAATTTTTCTTTTTGCCTTAAACTGAAATCTATAGAAATTTTTATCACTTAATCCTTACTGGTTGGTCAGAAACGAGTGACACGAGGTATGGAGAAAATAAAATATTGTTTACAACAAATGTTGACCCTTCGCCTTCCAATCGATTCATTATAATATCCGTGACGGTATTCAAAACAAGGGTTGTTGGATTATTAGCTTTTAATTGCAGCATTCCACAGACTACAAGATTAATTGAAAGTTGCGACTTCATTGTAGGCAAATCCACTAACTGTAAAGTAATTGGCCACAAACTTCCTCTAAATGGCACATCTTTAATAAACAAATAATAATAATACCTGAAATGTCCTCGGGGATTGACGCCGTCCAGACTTAGCACCATGCTCAGATCACAATGATTTTCATCCTCGTATTTCCATGAACTGGAAAAAGAACTTCCTTGAAGATTGTGTGTGAAGTTTGGTGCTTTTTCCTTCAATTTCTTTCGAATTTCCATTATATCGTCAAAGGACGACTCCACAATCCCGCGAATTTGTTCGGTGAGAGGCAGCATAAGAAAAGTCGCCAAATCGCCGCAACTGAAATTGATCATAATAATGTTTGAAATGTGGTATATGTGTTTACCATTCTTTCTCTCTTCGACATCCACACTTTTCGCATATTGAACGCTTCATAATATTCTTCTTGAAATCATACCACAATGAGCGGGCTCTTTCAATCGGGATGAAGTTTTTAATTGTTGCCAGTCGTCTCAAAAAGCCTGCAACCATTTTTTGTCTTTGGAAAAGTATTAGTTTTACCATTTTCTGTATCTTTTCCGAGTACCGAACTATACATGCACAATAATAGTTCATCGGCCAATTCCGATACACGATCATGTGCGGGGTAATTCGGTACGCATGACGGCCCGACTACTTCGGAGAATTCTTCAATTTCGCTTTCAGATCGTTCTCTCATGAGAAAGGATGTTGTTGATGCATCATTTTCATTATTTTCGTTGTTCGACGATTTGTTTCGAAGTGAAAGCCGGGCGTTTTTTCGAGCAAAGACCACACGTTTGGTCGGCATGCATCGCGAACCAGCAATTTGATCTTAAAATAATAAACAATCAGCAATATTAATATACGAAACAAACCTACCTTTCCTCAATTTGAGACCTTCTTTGGGTAATCGATGGCGAAGAGTTTTAGGCATTTCCAAAATTGATTTTTAAAAAAATTGTGATTAACATGGCGCCATCTGCATTCACATTACGATCAACTGCACAATTCCATCTATTTTTCACCCTTTCAGTGTCTATTTCTTATCATTATCTTCTATCTATTTTTTCCCAATTTTTCATCTATTTGTCATCCATTTATCGTATATTTTTCACCAATTTTTGAGATAATCTATTTTTCGCCCATTTTTCTCCTAGTTTTTATCTACTTTTCCGAGTAATCTATTTTTCATCCACCTTTTCACCATTTTTCGTCTGTAGCACAGTTGCAGTGTTTGTGCAAAGACAACCTATTCATGAAATGAAATTTTTTCACAAAAAAAAATGTAAAAAATTACATTGATTGTGCGATTTTTTACAACCCTGGAAATCTCTCGTAACTCAAAACCAATCGGATCCGACAAAATTCGGGCCCCAAATCAACCTTATCCTATTGGTATTTCTACGAATAAGATTGGAAAATTGTCGAATCCGATTCGAATTGAAATATTAAAACAAAAACGGATTCGAAGAAAATCTTATTATTCGAAGCCGTTTTGTTTAAATATTTCAATTCGAATTGGATTCAACAAAAAAACCAAATTACCAATCGGATAAGGTTGATTCCGGAGCCGAATATTGTCGCATCCGATTGGTTTTGAGTTACCAGATATTGTGTAATTTTTAAAAACACTTTTTTTGCATGCCCATTAAAGAATTTCAATTTAAAATCCCGCGTCAACTAACAAAGGATGATTTTTTTTTCGAAAATTCGTAATTAAAAAAAAACTCAGGCAAATCAAATAAAATATTTTGAGAAAATCTAAAATTTATTGATACTTTCTAAAACTTCTTGAGAATCGCTAAACTTAAAAATATTTTTTAAAATCTTATAAGATTTTCTAAAATTTATTGAGCCAATTCTAAATTATCTCGATGAATTCTAAAATCTTATAATAATTTCTAAAGTTGATTGAGAAAAAATCTAAAATATTATAGAGACACGTTAGTTTCTCAATGAATCTCAAAATATTTCATTCGATTTAGCGCACGAATGTATAGATATGGACGAAAAAGAATGTCAATTGACAAAATGACCCCATTTGTCAGTTGCATATTTCAAGGCTAGATCGCGTTCGGCAGAATAGAATCTTATAAAAGAAATCGGTCCTATTAGCCAGATTTTATCAGATAACATTTCTTGAGCAATCGGTATGCTTTATGATTTAGCATTGACCCACATTCTACCGACGGTCGGTCTGACCATTTTTCATTTTTAATTATGTCGTCTCGAATTACTGTAGGTCTACGGTATATATTTCAACTATTTATTAATCGATTTTAATGATCTTTCGGATAAAGAAGAGCCATGAAAAATAAATATGGTAATTCGTTTCGAATTTGTGCGTGATCGATTGGGAAATGTCAATTTTTCGTTTTACAATCGAAGATGAAAAAATTTGCGCCGACTTTGTGCAGTTTTTAATCAGAGCCTGCTAAAAAAAAATGCGTTTTAATGAATTTTTCTTTCTCTCTATTTTTCCCATTATCACTCGCTCTTCATTATATGCAACATTGAGAATGGTTTCTTTGATTTCGGCAGATTCAGCTGTGTGTTTTCAGAACGCGATTCTATAAATTTGAAAGTCACGCCGCAGCGGTGCAACAACACTGCGCGCATTGCAAAAGTGGGCGGGGACTCGATTATTCTCATCATTTTTGATTTTTCGTCCGTGTCTCGCTTTAATTTTTGAATTTAGTTTTATGTTTTAATTTTTCTAAAATTCATCGATGAGTAATATACACGTTCAGCTACAATTGAAAGCTGAAAAGTCATTGATGAAACTTTCTAAACGATTTTTTTTCCAAATAATACTATTCTGAAATTGATGACAATTCAAATTTTACAAGTTTTCATCGCTCTTTGTAATTTACAGCAGTAAGAAGTTATGCAATTCTCATAGATTATGATTATTTGCAATGTGTTTTCACTCTAAATTATTATCGTATTTGTTTTCTTTTTTTTTTTGTTAAAAAAGTTTTCATCGTATTTATTCGGTTATTTCAGGGTAATCATGTCATCCCGAGGAGTGCGTGCGCAAGGAACTGATGGAAACGATTTTCAGCATCGTCAGCGAGTTGCACAACACTATCAAGAAAGGTCGATTTTTCCGAATTATTTTCTAAAATTATTTTTTTCAGTGCACAGTATAAATTCATATTGAAATGGTTTTTTGTTCCACATTTACTTATTCTTGCGTTTATGTGGCTTAAGGTGAGCATTAAAACTTTTATTCGGTTACAATTCGTTCGCCCTTTCTTTCATAAATTTCGCCATATCGGAGATATGTTGGTGAACGTCCATTTGGATCGCGTCCGCAGCAGGTTTCGTGAAAATATCTCTGAATGCTAAAACAAAACTTGAATGATTAATAGCAAATTTATTAAATGAACTTACTAGGGAATTCGAGCACAAATTCCTTAATCAAAGCACGAAGTTTCGGCACTTGATCCTCATAGCAAAATGTCGAAATTGTGAGAAGAGCGAGAAAAACGCAAATGATTCGAATCATTTTATTTTTAAATTCTCCTATTCGTCTGACGTTCTTTTATAGAAAAAATGGCGAAACAAAACATTGAATGTTGTCTGATAATTATTAGTACATAAACGCGAATATTTTGAATTGTTCGTCATCGGGGGAAATTCGCGAAAAAGAGAAACACAAAATGTTGATTTCAGGTCGGAAGCGAAATTCTCCGCAAAGATTTTGGATGGAGAAGCGCATTTTTTGAGCGATTAGACATGCCATCGGCCTATCCATGGGAGTACATATGGTGCCTCTCGTTCATCCCAATCGTCTTCGCTTTGTTGTCATTCCCAAAAAATAAGGTAACAAATTTGAGTATGAAATTGAAACTTTGTCTCTTTAATTTTAGCTTAAATACATTCATTATGCCTACTATGGGCATTTTGTTTTCGGAATTGCACCATGCATGATTGGTCTTGGAGGACAGGTCCCAGAATTGATTGATTATGTGAATGATATGGAAGGAAGCAACACACCAACGTTTAAGGTACCAATTTACTTTTATGCGTCATTTTGCTTGAAGTTGTTTTTCAATCAATCATTAATTCTTCTATTTTTACAGGGAGTGTTCCCAATGGTCATCATTTGGTACATTTTCTTCGCCGTAGCCCTTCAGATTCACGGATTTTCTATGTACTTCATGCACCATCTTGCCGCCGCGTGGGCCCCAGTCAAACGTGACTAAAATTGTGACATTCCGTTCAAAACCAAAAACGCTCTAGGGGTAGATTTACTAGAGTATATACATATATAATGTGATATATATTCATGTTGTTATTGCTTTCTCTGCTTGTTATTTGTGCCTTTCAACATAATTATTAAAGAGTTTTTTATGGATTTATCTTAAATTTGTTGTGTTGTTTTTCTGGTTCAAACCGTTTTATATCAATGTTTTCGCTTCATTTATTTATATCGCTGACTGGATATTTCACTTTTTTGCAATTTTGTAGATGTGGGGACAGACGTTCGACGATTTTGAGGAGGAGGAGCGCGAGCTTCAAGTAGCCAAGCAGAATTTCATGGAGCAGCCAAATGCTAACAATTTTACGTTCATTGCTCCACCACTCGGAATTCAGGTGCATTCATTTCTCTCAATTTCACAACCATTCCTAATTTTTCAGCCAAAAGAATTCGTCAGTGCTCATTTTGGTGCTACCGCGAAGACAATGCAATTCCGTAAGGGAACAACCACTCTTGCTTTCGTTTATGAGCCGGCGACACCAAATGATGTCGGAGGAATCATTATTGCTGTCGATTCTCGAGCTTCCAGTGGAGAATATATTTGTAAATCTATAAATAATTCAAACATCAATCCGAATTATTCGTTTTTTTAGCGTCGAAGTCTGTTATGAAGATTCTCGATATTGGAGATCGTATGGTTGCTACGATGGCCGGAGGAGCTGCTGATTGCCAATATTGGACAAGAACTGTCGCCAGATATTGCAGGTTTTGAAAAAAAAAAATATTAGAATATTTCAACAGAAAACTTAATTTTTCAGCCTCCACGAGCTTCGTGAGAAAGAGCCGATCACTGTAAGTGCGGCGAGCAAGTATTTTGCCAATGTGCTCTACAACTACAGAGGACGCGGTCTTTCTGTGGTACGAGTCATTTTCTTATTTCACATACACCGAATGTGTTCGTTCTAGGGATCCATGGTTGCTGGATATGATAAGCGCGGACCGCAAATCTTCAAGGTTGACAGTGAAGGAGATCGCTGCAAACTCAGAGTGTGCTCGGTTGGTTCTGGATCGTTGAACGCTTACGGTATCCTCGACAATCACTACAAGCCGAAGATGACTGATGATGAGGCGAGAAAGTTGGGAATCCGCGCTATCATGCACGCCACTTATCGTGATTCTGGATCAGGAGGTGTATGCAACGGTAAGTGTCCGCGGGAAAGAATGCCAAAATGAAATGCGGAATTGTGGTAGGTATGTAGAAATGACAGAGGCCCATCATACAACACGCAAAAAGAAAAAATCGTTTTTTGTGCGTTTGTGCGAAACGCGGGGGAAATACGCGTGCGTTTGTGAGAATTAGACATAATGGAGTGCGAAGAGAATGCAAATTACATCATACTGTGCAATCGCAAAGATTTTCAGTTTGTCACATCACGCCGACTGAAAAGATCCGCTTACCACCAATGGATGTGAGCAAATTGTGGTACGAGTTTGCGAATGAGCTCGGAAGAGACATCGCCTACAACCCGACCGAATAATTTGGTCGCCAATCGTTTTTTTCTTCATTTTTGCTTGAAAACATTTATTTATTTTATCTCTCCGGTTTTTTCCATCCATACTATTTTCCCGTATTTATTTATCTTTCTTTAAACGCGTTTTCCAATAAAGTTTGATTGTATTCATCATCGACATCTAACTTCATTTTTCTTGGTTACGCTTTATCCAAAATGTGTGTTATTTAAAGGAGTGTTGCGTCTGCTTTCGCATGTCTGTGTCTGTGTGTGTGTGTGTTTCGTTATGAAATAATCGTAATATTCAAGATGTCGCGAGTCTACTCACCACTAACCAAACAGTTATTCGATGATAGTGTCTGGAACGAGAACGACGAGGTTTTTTCGCCGTTTTCGGGGTTTCTCTTAAATTCAATTAAAGATTGGTGATCGGACTGAGCCGAGAGATGCTCTTCGAGCTGTTCTACTTGTCGTCTTATTCGGATTGACGTTTGCGGCATCTATGGTATTCAATTTTAATTTTAAATATAAAATATTGTTGTTTTCTGGAAAACAACAATATTGCATTTTCTCACAAGATTTTCTTACATTTTTGTCAATTTAAGTGCACATTACTCGAATTTTCAATTTTTCAACGAAATTCCATAAATAAATATTTATGGGGAAATGTAAAAAAAAAATTGGAATGCGAAAAAAGATTTAAAAAATTTAATAAGTCCATTAGTCACTTTTAATCGCATAAAATGAATGACAATTAAAAAGTTGGAATTATTCCAATTTTCTTGCCTGTTTTCTTTTGCGTGACGTGGAATTGGTTCCATGTTGAAATTCATTGATCGTTTATTTCGATACTCGAGGAAAAAACCGCGTATTCGCCTTTATCGCGATCCGAATTGGCCCCCGGGAATTCGTGGTTTTATTCGTGAGAAATAACAGTTTTCAACATTTTTGGAAATCATTTTGAACTCCAAAACTTCAACACAAATTGTAGATTCGTTATTTACTCTCACTGTTATAGGTGGCTACATTTTTGAAAGGCGAATGGGCGCGTAGTCACATCCTTTCGTTTGTCTCGTGCATCGGCGGCGGAGTCTTCCTTGGAGCTTGTCTTTTGGATCTTCTACCAGGTTTCTAAAAAAAAAAAGAATTTACCATTGCAAATTGATCATTTTTAGATTCAATCGAATCTTTTGAAAAAACGAAAATTGAAGTGGATTTCCCGCTGCCGCTTGCATTTGTGGCTTTCGGGCTTTTACTAGTTCTGTCGATCGATCAGGTAAACTATTTCTTCTTGCATATTTAGTCGCCTTTCTTCTTTTTCAGTTGGCTCGATTTGCCAAAGAGCACAATTGGTTTGGAGCTCAACATTATCATTTGCATAGCCATGATCACGAATCTGGCAGCTTGTAAGTCGTTCGACGACCATAGAGGAAATATTAATTATTTGCAGGACCCATGGCGACGCGAACGCAGAGGAGGAGGAAGAGCAAGCTCAATCACGCCTTGGTGCAGTTTTGCTGGTTTGCGCCCTCTCCGTGCATGCATTGTTTGAAGGACTCTCTTTGGCAGTCACTTCCGACGCCTCGCAGCTCCTTCAAGTAATTTATATTTCAAATTTTTTGTTTGCTTGTCAGAGGCCGATTTTGGTTTAGATTTTTGGAGCACTCGTCCTTCATAAATGCATCATGGGATTCTGTCTTGGCGTGCGACTTGTGCAGTCGGGAATGTCGACTCCGTGGCTGGCACTGGCCGCCTTCGCTTTTAGTGTTCAGGTTTTTTTAATTGAAATAAAAAAAACTGATAATATTAAATCATGTCGCAGGTATTGATTGGCGGAATCGCTGGAATTGGAATAATGAAGTTCATAAGTGGCGGTGAGCAATCATCGGCAGCAATTGTTGCCTCCATCCTCCAAGGTTTGTCTCGTCGAAAAATTGCCTCAAATTCCAGTTTTTTTTTCAGCCATCGCTTGCGGCACATTTTTGTACATAACGACGTTCGAGGTGATTCCTCATGAGCTTCACAACGGCAAACATCGACTCTCGAAGCTTTTCTTCATTTACGTCGGATTTTCCATCGTAGTTGGTTTCATTTTGGCATTCCCCGATGCTGCTTAACCATGTTTCATGTTCGAAATTAATAACCATGCTCACCGTCGTCCATCTTGTATTTGTATAAATTTCATGTGCCAGTTGTTTTTTTCCAGATAATGCGGGCTTTCAGAGCATTGCCATGACCTAGTCACTTGTTTTTTTTTTACTTTCAATACTTTACATTCCCCCCACATTGATCATATTTCTAATTGATTTTAATAATTTGTGCAATAAATTTATTAATTATTATCATATATGCGATTACACAAATTGTGAACAAGTCAACTTGAAATATTTTTGGAAAGAATAGAGTTCTGAAGATTATTGTCGATTCAGAATCGATGAGGTTATTCGGATGATTGTACTTATTGGAGTGCTCACTGTACTCGTTACATTGTATAGGTAATTTTCCCTTAATTAGCTTAATCATCTACGGACAATTATTCAATTGCAGCTATGCGGGAATATTGGTGTCTTGGCTGCTCTCATTCCTCGCCAAAACCTCGATCACTGTCGGCGGCGTTGGATTCTTTGAGCTTCATGATGTCTGTGTTCGAATCGCGAAGAGTTTGACGATTCACGTTGATTGTTTGTCGCTTCAACGCGACAAGGCTCATCCGACGTAAGTCGACCAGTCGAAACCCCGCTGACGATGATATAGGCGATCAATTTTTTGTTTTGCAGTCGATTTTGTGTTTTGCGAATTGGCGATGTGAGAATTGAAGGCGAGCCGTTGAAAGGTCTCAAAAGGAACGATTTCGAGAAGCGCGAGGATAGTCGAGAGCAGATGAAGAAGAAGATCCAGAATCTGGCATGCATTGCACAGTATTGCGGTTTGATTGTGAATAGAGTACATCTGGTAGTGCTCGAGGTGATTCCGACATGTATGCTTCATGTCACTGTCGATGATTTGTCGATTGAAATGTTTCGAAGCCGGGATGGGTTCGTTATCATCTTCAGATTCTTCTCAACTTCGAATTGTTGATTAAGGTGGCAACTTGAGGCAAGCTGCAGTCTGGTTCAGGCGAAAGTTCTACGACGGAATGCTCCCAACGGAAGCCTTCTAGCAGAAGTTTCGCTTCCTCTTCAGCTTTCAGTTGATGTCGGAAAATCACGAATCAATAAAATCGGCATTCATATAGCATGTCCCTCATTCACTCTAACCAATGGTTTGATATTGAATATTATGAATTTCCAATCCAAATTCAAATGTGTTCAGACATCTTCGACATTCTTGAGATTATGATTAAAACCCCACCCGAGACGCCGGAAGACGACGATCAAATCGATGATTTTGAGTTCGTTGAAGATGAACAACTGATAACTGTCGATTGGCAGCTTCATCTTGATGTTGACATCGAATCGGCTTCGTTCAAATATTCAGCATTGCTTGCTAAAGAGATTCGATATGTGACTCTAAATTTCCGAAACCTGAAAATTGGACGAGGAGAGCAGAATTTCAAAATGGAGCTCACTGGATTATGCCTAGCTGATCAACTAACGAAAAGCGCCGTGCGGACGAGTCGGCTAAGCATTGATATATCGGTGAGTGTTGCCTCGATATTGTCCGCCGATTCGAATTGATACATGATTTTGCCGCATCATATTTCATTTTATGACATTTTGTTCGTCGTCTTATTATTCCATTCCTAATGATTAATTTATTTTGATTAATGGCCGAGTGACACAATTTAATTTCGCTCGTCGATAAAATCGTTTAGGAATCCTCGAATATTGGTGTGATTGAATGCAAAGCAACATCGGATCAAGTCGACACGTCGTTGGCATTTGAAGATGCGCTCTGGTGGAAGCGCCACATTGATGAGATTCAATATCCCAGTCGGTTTAAGTCAACATCACAAAAAACGGTTCGTCATCGTTCAAATTTCTATTCCGAATTTCTATTTTTTAAGCCGAAATCATCACCTGCTCGATTCAATCGAAGCATCGAATGCGTTTTGGAGTTTGCGAGTGTTTCTTGCGATATTTCCGATTTCGAAGGCGAGAAATCGAGATTGAGTGTCGGATTTCTCAGCTTTCAAAAAACTGGTCACACCTTTGAAATTGGCATTGAGGAGCTGTGTTTCGGCGAAACGGCATCGAATCCATCATTCGAATACCACAAATGGGGCCAATCGATTTTCGTCGGTGCCAGTCTGGTGCAATGGACGGAAATGGCGAACAATCTTCAATTCACCGTTGGCTGTGATGATGTGAAATTAGAATGGTCCGATCGATTATCAAGACAAATCCATGGCATCATGTCGATTCTCACTGGAGGATCCAGTGAGATTCAAAATCAAAAACGAAGGATTGGATTGCGAGTTACAACTAATCGGTAAGTCTTGATTTGTTTGATTTGAAAATTCGGTTAATGGATCCTCAGGATTGGCGTGATCATAGTAGCCCGCGACACATCATTCGCTGCCGCGTGCTGCGCGAAACTTGATGCCTATTCGGCGGACATCAAATCGGAAATATCGTTGGCGGCGAACGCGCTCAGATGCGCTGTTGGAACTCGAACTGAAATGGAGATGATGTCGATGCGAGAGGTGTTCGAAGCTCGACGGACGCGATTGATTAGTGCCAAGGAACGAGAAGCATCGCCATCGAGACGATGGGATCAGGCGGATCGAGAAGCTGCTGATCGAGCGGCTAGGGAAGCATGCGATTCCGACATTAATCCGAAGTTGTGTTTGTCGACGGATAATATTAGCATACTGATTGACCGCAAGTCAACAGTGATCGATGCGATATCTGTTGATGTTCCGACGAGCTTCTATCTGTCGTGGTCGCCTCATCTCCACCTCATTCTACTCCATACACTACGGTCAGCTAAAAGGTAAGATTCAATAAAATGCGCGTGTTTGAAATTTGACCTTTTAGAGCATTCGCTGTCAAACGATCACAGACAGTTCGAAAAGTTCCCCGAAAAAGGCACTTCTTCGTTTTTGCTCAAAATCGAGTCGAAGTGCAGCTTGAACTAGCTAGGGACCATCGAATGCTCTGGAGAGGCGAGACATTTCATTTTGAAAGAATTGAGGGGCAGACGACAGCGAGAACAGCTCTTCTTGAGATTTTGTTCAATGCTAGCCGAATTGTTACCGTTGATGTAAGTTTGGCCTAATTTCTACAAAAACCGAATTTTATTTGACAGAATGCGTTGATCGCTATTCGACCACATGACGACTATCTGACTGTGTGTAGGAATGCGTTCGGGAATCTTGGAGCACAGACGAACAAAACTTGGACATGGGCGGCCGATAAATTCGAATTTCGATTGCCGTTCGAGTTCAATTTTGCTCAATCCTTCGAAGAATTTCTCAATATTATCAAATGGATCAAATTGGTTCATGATATTCAAAAGAAGCCGTTCACTGCTGAATCGCCGCTTCCCAGCGATGTTCGAATTGAATTCAAGGAAGTCATTCTTCAACTCGATGATGATGACTTCGAGAATCGATTGAAATCGAGCTACGAGCTCAAAGAGGATGAGGTTTATGAAATTGAGCGTCGAAATCAGATTCTTGAAGAACGACTGATGAACTTGAAAAAATCGGTTCCACTTATTCCAAGTAAAAATTTGAAAAATTGATTTTTTTTTTTGAATTTTTGCCAAATTCAGAAGAAATGATGGATCAACTCACTTCAACCCTTACCCAGAAGAACAGTGAGATTTACATTGAGCGTTGGAATAAATCTGATTTCACTGCGAGACCATTGTTCTTTTCGAGATGGACGGGCTGGAGAATGCGCGCATTTGCTGATCAGACGCTTCATGGCACCGAGAAATGCTTGAAATTGATGAAAATGTTCGATCCGCTAAGGTATTCAACATTTTTTTCGTTTTTAGACTCGACATTTTCAGCACATTGTATGAAAATATGCAATTTTCGACATTATGGGCTCGCGCTGTTGAATTTGATGTGGATGAGTGGACGGTGACATTCAAGGATTACCCAATGAAATATTTGGATATTCACGATCTTCACTTTTTCGGAACATTAGTTGGAGCGGAAGCAATTCCGGATGATGGCCGCTCGATAAGGGAAAGCGATATTCCGGTTCCTGAGCCTTGGGAAACATTGACGGTCAAACGAAATATGATGCCGTTGAAGTATTATTATGATATGCAATGCGGTATTCTAATTAATATTAAAAAAAAAAACGTTTCTTTTATCGATATACTATTTTCAGCAAGTCAGAATTTCACGTGTACGTACGGGCCTTGTTGGGAGCCGTGCCTTTCGATGATATCCCTAATGTGGAACAATATATCGGCGCCCTCGAAGGATCCGTCCCCTCCAATGCCTTTCTGGGACAAAATGCGTTTCATTCTTCATGGAAAATTGTTGTGGTCGAGCGAGAAGTTTGTGACGACGATGCTTGCTTCGAACGATCCCTACAACGAAACGGAAACGGTGGAAATGTTTTGGGATGATTTTGGGCTTGATTGGGCACTTGGAGAGATTCGCATCAAATCGGGACTGCGCTGCTTCCTTCGAACCGCGTCGAGATATGATGATTCGCAGGTTCTGACACTTCCTGATGTTCGTTTGAAGATTTTACTCGGTTGGGAATGTGCTGGTGATCCTCACGATCATCATTCGATTGTTCTCTGCTCACCACAAAGACTTCCACATTACTCATCGGTAATTTTTGTTTATACCTTTAATATATCTAATTTTTAATGATGCAATTTTACAGCTCGATGAGCATGACACCTATCGATCGTTCCGATCGCAATGCGTGAATGTCACTCTCAATTTTGATGTCTCATCGGGCTCGTGCACTTCTGTCGACAAAATGCCGAACGTTCTACTTTTTTCGAACACATTCCGATTCATCGAGCAATTTTTGAAATCATTAACCATGAAAAACCGAAATGTCCGTCGCGGAAAGGTTTTCGGCAATAAAGTGCTCATCAAACCGCAGCTCAGTAAACATTTTGGGTACGATTTCAGACTTGTACTCGGTCAGAATTAAATATGACACGAATTTAGGAAGCTTCAAGTTTCCGTGTCACTTCCCAAAGTGCTTGTGACTTATTGGATGTCGCACTCATCGCCATTCGGATTCCGATTGTTCTCGGATGGATTGCAACTGACCGCCTCATTCCGACAAACGGTTCAGCATTCGTCGGTGAATCGTGAAATGAATGTGCAACGGCGAAAGGTGTACACATGGAGCACTCATCACATGACATGCACCTGGTGGGCTACACAGGTTCACGTTTATGGGAACGGCAGTAGGCCACCGTCTGATGGGATGCCGTCGGAAGACACGTTCTTGATGGGATTCAGTCGGGTTCAATATGCGCGAGAAACATATCCCGGAAAGGAGATTCCGCTACACAAAGTTGCCGCTTATGACCTCAAAATGTCGTGGACGTCGGAAAATCGAAACGCGTGTCTGACGATTGCTGACGGCGTTCATCGGGCCCATATGCTGCGAAGGATATTGAGTAACGATGCGGTCAAAAAGCTCAATGTGCATTTGGAAAAGGAGGATGTGGAATCGGGAAAGAAGAAGAAATCACTGGCGGCAGAGGACATCAGCAAAGTTCGAGATATCCAAATCTACCGGAAAATGTGTAGTTTTGAATTTTCTAGACACATCGAAGAGGGTACAGTGTGAGCGATGCGAATCCTTGGATGCTCAATCAGCTCATTGATGAAGTTGGCACAAAACTTGTTGCTCATTGCGAGCAGGCTTCTGATGTTCCCATTGATTCTCTTGTCGGCGTACAGCAATCAACTTCAGACGATGTCCGACTTCTCAATTGGCAAAGTAAGATTCTGAATTTTGTTTTCTGGAATTTCTTCTCAATATGTTTTTCAGTTGATTTATTCAATAGTCAACTTGTTCTCAAAGGATGTCAACGTGACGGATTCCTTCTCGTCTGTGCTGCAAAAGCGCAACTTTTACAGAATGTCGGCTCAAAATTCCAGTCATCATCATGTTTTTCTCGAATCTCATCTTTCAGATCCACCGAAGTGTGTGGAAAGCGGGTCTTTTGCTGAGTAAGAAGTCTTGGAGCGCATTGCTCTCCGGCATGCAGTATTTTGCACCGATCTCGATGACCGGTGATAACAAACAGAAATTCCAATGGCTTCCGCGGGAAATCATCGAAGAGAAATCGCAAGATGCTTCGGGATTCGCTGATGATTTTGTGCAAAAGTTCTCGGCGACTGGCGAAGCTGTTGGAGGTGTTGTGCAGCCGGGTAATCGAAAGAAAAAAATCCCAACGAAAATATCGACAAACTGAATTTAGAAGCCAATTTCGGCGAAAGAACTCAATTGCAGCGGATTGTTTCACGATGTAGCTGCCAAATCTACTTTTGCTACTTCTCTGATGAGCTCAAAACGGATTCAAGCGAAGATATTTCTGTGCCGCCGCAAGCCGAAGAGAAAGATCAGGGTCCAGGGGGTGGCGACGAGATTGGTATTGATGTTCTGACGCTGAAACACAACATGTTGGAAGCGACGAGTAATTCGGAGCAATACGAAATGGTCGTCGACATCGTCAACAATCTGGTTTTGTTCGTTGATCCGTTGAAGAAAGAGCTCGGCGAACGGCGAAGAAGGCTTCGATTTGAATCGCAAATGATTGATATGCAAGAATTGAGAGCGAAAATCATGAGATATCAGTCGGATCTTCGTGAAATCGTCTCGTTGGGTAGATACCTGGAACGACAGCTATTCTATCTCCATCAAGGTGAACACGACAAAGTGGAATCAGAGTTTGGAACGATCGCTGAACGACAGGAGCAGTTTGAGACGGAAGCGGAAGAGACGAAACAGAAAATGCTGATTGTTTCGGAGAAGCTCGCTACCTATATTAGGCATGATTAATGGATTCAAGATTCTACGGAGTGTTGATGTTTTTTTTTTGCAGTTGTTACAAACAACGACAAGTCAATCGAACTCATAATCGAGGGGAGAATCGAAAACGAGATGATTCGGTGATTCGGCGATTCGAAGTGTGTTTCGAGGATTGCACTTGGAAACTGACTGAGAGTGACGGGCAGATTGCGCTTGCACAGACGCAGATACGCAACTTTTTGTATGCTTCCGACCGATTTTCTTCATAGGAAAATGTTGCCTATTTAGGTACACAAGAACAGTTCGATCGGAGAATTGCGGAGATCATTTATTCGAAGTTGGAAGCATTCGGGTCACCAATTTACTACCCGATACGATTTATAAGCATGCGCTGCATAGGTTGAGCCTTTTTTTGGAGAATTTCTTTGAAGAAAAAATATTCAGAGATGATTCTCGACATGTGCGACAACCAGCAATTCGACTATTCATGCGAGACTTGCCACCGGTTGGCGGAATTTGTGTCAAAGAGCATTTCGAGCTGAACATCGCTCCGATGGTTGCTGAAATCACTCATAGGCTATTCGACAAAATGATGCGCTTCTTCTTCCCTGGACGCAATATTCATACGAATGAGAACTTGGAAAATGAAATGGAGACATCGGTAGTGCGATTCGGATTTGCATCGATTTCATTGTTGGGTTTAGACATTCTCGTTTACTAGGCGAATTGCGAGCTCGTTGAGTATGAAGAATAGCAAAAGCTCATCGGAGAAGCTTGTCGCGAAGGTTTCAACGTTTTTTTTTTGCACTTTGAAATATATACGTTTTAGAAGCATTTCGAAAAAGATGATATTGATCGAATGAAGGAAAGAGCTGATCAAGTCAATCATTTCATGTATATTAAAATTCCCGAAGTGTCATTTGTAGTGTCTTATAAGGTTGCTTTAAGAAATCCTTGTCTCTTCATTAAATTTTCATTTTTTTAGGGTAACAAGGATAAAAACCTGATCGATGTCCATAAATTCAACTTCATTTTCCCGTTGTGCGAATTCCACGAGCAAAATTGGACATGGCTCGATTTGGCGCTGGCGGTGAAACAGCGGTGTAAACGCGTCCTCGTGCAGCAGTTTATGAGGCAAAAACTGCTGCGTAATCGCATTTCGAATTTTGCGATCGAGCCGCCGCCGCAAGGCGTCAGCGAAGAGGAGAAGAAGCGGATCGCGGTTGGCGTGGTAATATTTGTCTCGTGTTTTTTTTTTTTTGTGTCTCCCCTCAGCGGGTGCCGGGCACCGCTCGATGTCGGCATTTTAAACAAATCGCCTTGAGCCGTTTTGTTTATTATTGTCAAATATCGCTCGACCGATCACTGAGCTGTAAACCGCGTTTACAAACACTCCCTATTATTGCAGACCAGCGGCGATCAGAAGAAGAAGAAATGACGACGTCGATGTGCATAGTTCATCTTCGCATAATACTCACTTGTTAGGCAATAATTTATTACATGTATTTATTTTTAACGAGTGCCAAGCTTTTTTTTGGTAACAGCTTTTGATGATATTAAATTCGAGCTTTTATTCCATTCGGTAGTTTAAAAATGTTTTTTTTTTTTAATTTAGGATTACGGTACCACCCATAATTCCGCAGGCGCTTTAATTCACGCACTACCGCCCATTTTATTATTTTTTAAATGTACGCACATCATTCGTTTTTAAAATCTTGATTTTCATCGTTGTTCCTGTTTTATCATTGTCGCGCGCAAAACAAACTAATCGCTTGATCTAATTTCTTTCGTGTGACGTCCTTTTTTTATTGAGCAGAAGTAGAATAAGACGAGCGGACACTCACATTTCGGTCAAGGTCAAGGCCGGCAAGAAATTGTTATTTAAGTTGGGCGGTGGTAGAGCGAGCGCGTCGGGATACCACACGACTCACCCAACATTCTCCCCATCTTTTTACCTGTGTAAAATGGTTATTTATTTTGGGCCACGTCGTGGCGAGCGGACGCTGCGAATTGACCAGTCGCTACTCTGCGTGGTTATCGAGCAAACGCGCTCGGTCGACGAGACGCCACGATGTGGCAACGTGTATTAAAACCACTACCGTTTTTTGAACGTCTCATTATTTCTCGACCCTTCCCATTTGATCTCGCTTTTCTGATGTGAATATTCCGCACTTATAGAAATAAATATTTATTTTTTTTAATTAACGTCATTCCAGATGAAGTTCCTTATTCCGGCCCTCTTCTTGGTGGCCGCTGTCTTCGCTCAAGACGATGAATCCCCAAAGGGACCAAAAGTCACCGATAAGGTTTGTTTTGAATTGAAATGGTGAAATAATGTAAAACCAACGTTTTAGGTCTTCTTCGATATCGAGATCGGGGGAAAACCAATCGGACGTATCGTCATCGGATTGTTTGGAAAGACTGTTCCAAAGACCGCCACCAACTTCATCGAGCTTGCTAAGAAACCAAAGGTATATAAATAATCAGAAATATTGAAAGTATTCGTCATTTTCTAGGGAGAAGGATACACCGGAAGCAAATTCCATCGTGTTATCGAATCCTTTATGATCCAAGGAGGAGACTTCACCCGCGGAGATGGAACCGGTGGTCGCTCCATCTATGGAGAGAAGTTCGCTGACGAGAACTTCAAGCTGAAGCACTACGGAGCCGGATGGTTGTCGATGGCCAACGCTGGAAAGGACACCAATGGATCGCAATTCTTCATCACCACCGTCAAGACCCCATGGCTCGACGGAAGACACGTCGTTTTCGGAAAGGTTCTCGAGGGAATGGACGTTGTCCGCGCCATTGAGAAAACCGAGAAGTTGCCAGGAGACCGTCCAAAGAACGACGTTGTCATCGCTGCCGCCGGACATATTCCAGTCGACACCCCATTCGCTGTTGAGAAGGAGGGAGTCGTCTAAATTGTTTTATTGTTCCTTTGTTTCAAAAAACACTTTTGATGCCTTTAAGTTATTGATCTGTGATCTACGACGAATAAAGATTTATAACAACAACAAACAATCCAAGTGGCAATTATTAATCCTTAGACTCGGTATTATTCACTTCCTTTTCCTCTTCAATATTCCCGTCCTCTTCCCATTCGCCTCTCAATCGTCCGCGAATCCCCAAACCGTAAAGGGCGGCCAGAGCAGCTACCTGTTCAGCCATCCGAACATTCACTTGTGCGATTGTCGACCGAAACTTTTGTCCCCCGATCGATAATATTGCCATATAGCGTTTATCATCTCGACGATACGTTTGGTAGAACGGTTTTGGGAATTTCGATTCGACGCAATATTCGTGTATTATCTGTTTGGGAGTCGCGACATTCGCCTGCGCGTCTTTCAACCGCTTCCTGATCACAAACGAATGAGTAAATGCAAAACGGAAATGGCGGCTTACAGCGGGAATGAGACGTCGATGTTGAAAATTCCATCCGAATCGACGCATTCTTTTCGTTTGCACGATTTTCGAAGTCGTTCCTTCTTCCAGAACTGCAACCAAATGCTTTTTTTTGAAATTCAAGAGCCCTATTTAATAACTCGATTCACCTCATAAACATCTTGTTTGTTGTAGGCACGACAAATCTCGAGAAGGCTTCCAGCCGCTACCGTGCTTTTTCCCCTCGGATCATGCTCCTGATCGCTTCCGAGCAACCTTTGCACCACATATTTCGCGGTTGTGTAGGGCTCATTATATTGACAAGCCTAAAAATGCTCGAAAAACTGGCGAATTCGATGGAAATTAAGTTTACATAGTCTAAGAAGTTCTCAATATCTTCAAATTTCGTCAAAACGCCTTCTTTTCGAAAAATCGACGGGGTTTCAAGAGCTTTTCTGGCGATCATGATGCTGCTCGCTTCAGTTTCGTTGCGCCATTTCTCGATATCTTCGAATTTCTCGATTTCGCCAGAAACACCGCTGAAAATAAAATGAAGATAAGTGTTTTATCGTCGTTTTTCAATTAATTCTTTCCCAAGCCTCTCTGTTTCAATGAGAAATTCTCGAGCGAATTAACGCACTTGGTTATAATTGGAATATTGCCGACAGTTCGCACGATTTCGCGAATCTCATCGATCCGGCATGGATCCGGCTGTCGTTCATCTCGTCGTCGACCGTGCACTCCAATCGCCGAGACCCCGCATTTTTCGATTTCTCGCACCAAATTCAATGTGTCGTTTCGATCATCGAGAACTCGGATTTTGCAAGAGATTGGCACTTTTGAAGCGGCTTTTAACGAAGTTAGAATCTCAAAAAAAAAATTACGTTTTCAAACTTTTCGTTTCGCCTTACATCTTTGATTTTGTCAGTTTCTTTCAAAAGCGCGGCTCCCATACCAGAATGAATCGAAAACGGCTTCGGACATCCCATGTTGACGTCGATTCCGGCAACGTCGTTTCCACTAGAACAACTCTGTTTTGATTATTATTTTTTTCAAATTGATTTCTTTCCTACATTAATTTTGCCACTTTTGCTGCACTTTCTCCATTATTTGTGCCGATTTGAAGAATTACTTTTCCGCGTTCTTCAGGTGCTATTCGTAAAATCACATCTTCATAATTATTATAGTCAATTGTATCATTTTTTGCTGAAAAAATAAAATGGATTCAAAAATATTTGAAAAATAAATCGAAATGAGCAATCATCTTTTTTTCTATTTCTATACTACGGTATAGTTGGCCTCGGGCGATAAGTGGGTGGATTTAAGTGAATGCGCCTTCGCAATGGTCTCGCTTGGACTAACTGGGTATTCCGCTAATTTTTAATCTCCTTGATATTAAGTAATCAAAGAAATGATTAAATTGAAACAGTTCACGTGAAAATTAAAAAAAAAAGCCTTCATGTGTGGCGAGACCATTTCGAAAGACACATTCCGTAAATCCACCCGGGAAAATCAGTCGCCGGACGCCGTCTGGTTCATAATTGTACACCTCGGGAATTTCTGGACGACTTTCGCGAGACGGCGATATCGCAACCGCATTTGAAGAGCGATTTCGTCGTATACGACTACGAACCCTTCATCAGAGGATTAATTCGTCACAAATTGAGTTCAGTTCAGAATTTTTCGCTCGAAACTCTTAAAATAGCGAACTTCTGTGTAGAAAATTCCAATAATCGTGAATTTCTTTCAAACAATTTCAAGGATTGTGTCCTTTCGATTTTTTCAATTATTATTTGCCTTCCAAATTTAAAATTCTTTTCCCAAAATAACCCCTCATTTCAACTATACTCACTATTTAAAATTCTTTGGCATTTGAGTAATTTTTGATCTACAATTTCCTCAGTATACACCAAATCTGCGCCATACTTCAACGAGAGAACTCTGAAAATTCAAAAATTCGCATTTTGTTTCGTTGTGCCACTACCACCTCAGTGGCGTTCTTCCGGCTCGAACCATCGGCGCCAGAATCGTCTTATTCGCATAAAGCTGAGTCCCGTTTGATTCCATCTACAAAATTGATTTGTGAAGGTTTTAAACGTTTAAGACCAAAACTCATCGAAAATAGCCAATGATCCTCAACACGATGAAATGGAGGAAATCATGCAGAAGGCGTTAATTATTTATTTGTTTATACGTCAATAAATACACAATAAAACGAAAAGCAGAAAGGATGGAAGGAAAGTATACAAGAAGAGATGAAGTTAGTGAAATCCATGGAAAATTTTATACAAAATTAGGTACAGTTTGGAAATGGGGAAAAAATGAAAGGGAAATAAGAAGCTGGCGAAATTTATTCGGTGTACTGTTCATCCAATCCCTGTTCTCGTTCTGCACGAGTATACTGAAGAAGAACATTTGATTAACGCGTTTTAGATCAAAATAAAACTCCTACAAAGATTTTCGCCAGCGGAAATGACGCCGGCGGGAATTCCTTTTTCTCCATCGTATCTTGAATACCCTTCCACATCATAAACATGGCACGCAATTCAGAATATTGTGGCTCTTTGTTTAATTCTAAAAAAAATCAAAAGTTAAAAAAAATCTCGAAACACTTACGGAATATCGCTGCCATCACTTTATTCGCAATAAACGTGCGTTGCGGAAACGACAACGGGTACGGATCGCACAATTTTCGATTTGAGCGAAGCATCGATAAGGCAACCTAGAAAAAAAGGTAGAAATAATAAACATCTGAAAATGTTTGCATAATCCAACTTCAACGATTTCCCGAGATTTGTCGCAAAGCGAGCATGAATGATAAATCTCTCTGGCCAGATTAATAAGATATCGAATTTTCTCGACTCTGCAATACAATACGAATTATTCGAACATTTCCCCCGTTCGACACGCACTCATTTTTGCCCATTTTCTCCATTGCAGCTTCACTTATCATCATATCGTCTTCTAAAAAGTTTTGCATTTTGCAATTCGTTGGAATTAACCAAAAAAAAACAAATTTACCAATTCGAATAAGCTTTTCTTGCTGTTTATTTGAAGAAGAATGCCCATTTTTGCAATCTACACCGTCTTCGTCTACTCTGAAATTTGAGCTTTGATCATAATACCAGCAGCTGCTCTCGCAAATCTCAAAAGAATCAAACCACTCACTTCATGCCTTCCGCATTTTTCCGTCTTCCCGTCATTGGCGATTTTTTCGCCGGCGTTCCATCGGTACCACGTTTTCCTCGCGAATCTTCAAAAACCGTAAACTCATCGAAAAGAATTTAATGCGAAACTTGAAATGAATGAAACAATAATAGGAAATGGGTTAGTCAAATACGAAATGAAAGGACATATTACCATCACCAGGTCTCGTTCGCTTGTTCGGATTTCGGATTGACGAGCACGTCGACGACGACGACGGCGAACAATTCGAAACCGTGTGCTTCGATGATGTGACAAGAGCTGAAGACGAAGGGAATTTCGGCGTGACACCTCAAAAGCAATTCAAACATGTGTTAACACGCGGGAAACAAAAATCGTAATAATAATATATATGAAAATAGAACTAATGGTCTTGCAACGAAAATCGTCGTTAATTCAATTTGTGACGTTCACCACAAGAATCGAGAAAATGCTTACCGTCAGCCTCTGGTTTGTCCTGAGGAGGAAACTGAAAGCAATAAGGGTTCATTTACGGTCACAAATACCATATTTGGTAAACTCACCGGCTTCAATGTTGCTGCAAGATCGATGAATCGCATACACATGAGATAAACATGAACATCAGGCGACTCATCGAGCAGCGTCGGGAAATTCTCTCGGATTTTCGTCTCAATTTTGTAGCCGTTTCCACCATTTAGAATCAAATTGTAAATTTCTGATGAATATAATAATTGACGAAACTAGATTATGGGATTAGATCATTGATACCTTTGCGTTTTTCAATCATCTCTACATCCGGATTCGCATCTGCGTTAAATACTTTGAGCGTATTGACCGCACCGGTTCTTTCAAGGAAAGACTCGATTATTCTGAAACGGATGTTCAATGTTTGAGTTTAATGCAAAATAAAAAAATATGGCATCGTCGCCAAAATATTAGAATTTTTAAATTTGGTCTTTTATGGATGACCTCTAAGAAGCATTCTCACCATTTCAAATCTTCATCATTAGGAAAGAACACAATTTTAGTATGACCCTTCCTTTTCCAAATTTCGATCAGTCGTTAGAATCTAACAATATGTATATTCTATTAGTCTATTCATGCTATAAAAACCTATTTCATGAAAAATTCATAAAGATTTTCATAGCTAAAATTTCAAACTTAAATCATTTCCTGGAAAACCCGAAACCGAATGAGGAAGTGTTTCATTTCTTCTGAAACAAAATGTTTACCTGTGCATGTAAGTGTTCAATTCGGGCGGCATTGGAATATCGTCAATCATCTCGATCTTTTTCTCAAAAAGTTGCTGAAAATCTCAAATAATCAACCCTTCAATGACATACCCCCCCAATGGATACCCTTTTGTGAGCTTCGAAATCGAATTTGAATGGATGAAGACCGAAATTGGCTCGAATTTTCTCGCCAGGATTCTTCATACCCACGGTTGGGTACATATCATCTATATGAGTTATTCCATTAGCTGCTACACCTGCGATATATTGGTTGAATTGGGTTTCGGGCATGCAATTTATACCCAGGTGCTCGCCATTTTTAGTGAAGAAGATTTGGCGAAGAACGGTGTCAAAACCGCACCCAATAACATCACCCGTTGTGAATTTTGGTCCATATAATGTTCCGTGCCCGCACGATGAGAAGAAATGACCGTCGTCGCCGTGATATCCAAGACAGTTCTGGTCCCAGCCCGGCATTCTGTTAAGCGCGCCGTCGCGACGGCTCAACCCAATTCCCAAACACCCACGTTCTCCGGATTCAATGGTTATTTCGAAATAATAGAAACCGATGGAGCATGGAATTGGGAAATTGGCGCGAACTACTGCTGATGTCTCCTTTTCTTCTTTTATTTTTGAATCTTAAACAACCCCATTTTCTTCTTCGACAATTATTTTATGTTCTTACTGTTTTTAAATGTTACTGTAAGTCCGTCATTAGAAATATCTAAATACATTGAAGCCTGATTGCGATCCCAGCGGCGTGGCAAATAGGTTTGCTGAAAAAAAATCTATAAGTCACAATTTGTAAATTTCACATTTTTACGCGCTCTCGGATTCCTGGGTACATTTTCTTCAAGTTTTCGTTCAATGCCTTTTGCATTTCCTAAATGAAAACATATTTTTAAAAAATAATAAAATATCAGAATTTACATCGAAACTGCTAACTTCGCCATCGACTGATGCAAGAATTCCCTAAAATTCAACGATTTGTTTTATTAACATAATATGTTTTCTTGCATTTTCGTGCCGCTTCCGATTGCGTTTTTTGCCTTTGTTGTTCGTTAAGGGATCCATTGGGTTAACCTAGTAAAAAAAACATAAAACATTGAATTTAAAATACAAAATATGCATAATATTATTTAGGTTAAATTAACCTCTTCTTTACAATCAACGAATAAAAATTAGAGATGCAAAACATTTATTCTAAAGAAAGGAACGAAAACAAATATCGATCGGCTAGAAGTAATTCCTAAATGTCGCAAATCAATACTTCCACGGGTCAGAGTGGAATGGAATCTGTTTAATACGATCTGCATACATTTTCGATTGACCCTGAATTAAAAAAATTAATGAAAAATGGAAAAACAGATATTTCAAACCTTCATCATTTCAGCTTTATTCATTCCAGCGTTTTCCCAGCAACGAGCGAAATAGAAAACTGCAATTGATGCAGCCCACAAGCCGCGCTTATCCCAGAAGGCGGTCTTTAGGAAGTATGTCGGGGTAAAAGTGCCCATTTTCTGCAAAATCGATATTTTCCAGCAAAAACACTTGAATAAAGTCCGAGACGACGCTCCGCGTTAACGGAAAATCATGCGATCGCCGGTGTTTTAACAGTGGAAGAATTATTTTCTAGGCCATTTCCGTTTTTTTTTTGAAAATTTTTTTATTCTTCAAGTTTTTTCTTTTATTAATCCAAATCCATTGTTGACCAATAGTCTAGTCTACTTCATAAAGCAAAATTTCAAGAAAAATACCATCACAATATGGAGTGGTGAAAATTCAACCCAATTTTTATACATTTCTTTGCAGAAAATTTGAATTATTATATTTTTTTTTAAATTTTCTCACTTTAAAAACTGATATTTGTCTTTCTCAACAATTTCGTCGTCTCAATTTTCGTCAACATCTTTTATATAATTACATATAAAATAATTTTAAATTTTCGCAAGATAACAAATAAATCAATAGCAGTCAAGTTTGTTTACTACAATCTCGCCAAGCTTTTCTTATCACTAAACATTTTCCTCTGTTCTTGCAGAATGTTCCGCCGCGCTTTTACTGCATTTTATCGAACTTCTACAATACTAACACAGGTTTCAACAATTTTTCGAATTCAAAGAAATTCATTTTTTAGAGAAAAAGACTCGTAGCAGCTGGAGGTGTTGGAACCTCATTGGGGCTCTCATTTTTCGCTTCAAAACCGGAAGATGAAAAAATTGAAAAATGCCGACCCAAAAATTTCGATATTGTTGTGCGAGAAACCGACCAGCTGTATGATAATTATCTCATCGATAATGCTTACAATATTCTGAGAAAGTTGGTAAAACATTTTTTCGTCAGAATTATGGAGAATTGCCGCATTCAGGTTTGGTTCATCCGATTGCAGCGAACTTCTCTGGCGATTAGCTAGAGTTGTATGCGAAAAAGCGAAATTGACGAAAGATTCGAATGAGAGAAAGCAGCTGATGTATGAAGCTTTCGAAATCGTCAAAAAGGCGTTAGCGCATGAACCAAAAGAAGGATGCTTCGGAGCCCATAAATGGTACCATTGAGTTGCGAAATATGAATTAGATTCCTTTTTAGGTACGCAATTCTTCTAGATTATATTGGGGAAATTGAAGGAAACAAATCTCGAATTGAAAAATCGTTTGAGGTTAAAGAGCATTTGGAAAAAGCGCTGACAATATTCGAAAGCGACCCAACAACGTGGCATATTCTAGGTAATTTGTTAGAAAGAATTTCATCAAATTCTCCATTTAAGGCGTTTGGCATTTCTCATTTGCTGATATGGGTTACGCTACGCGAATGGTCGCCAAGGCGATATTCGCCACTCCACCCACTTCAACGTATGACCAAGCTTTGCATTACTTCACAAAGGCTGAGCAAATCTCGGTATATCTAACATCCCATTTTTAAATATTCAATTTAAGAAATTACAGCCTGGATTCTACAGTACTAATACTTTCTACATTGGTGAGGTTTATGAACGACTTGGTGATAAGCAAAAAGCCATCCAATACTACAAAGAGGCATTTAAGATGGCCGTTGTGACTTCAGATGACGCTCAAATTCACAAAAAAGTAAGAATCAACGTTATATGCAAAAATAGTATAATTTATGCATTTAAGGCACATGAAAAACTTCGACGTTACGGAATCAAAGACAGCGAGTTGTTGTAAAAATTGGTTTAAATCAATTATATGTGTATAAATTAAGGATGCAATAAATATAAATGTTTTTAATTAAGGCAAATATTAATATCCAGATGTGCCGAACAGGTTCAACGCTTGATCAGGTGCGGTTCCAATGGCAAATGTGCGGAAGCCAATCTCGCGAAGAGCTTTTTGGTCCAATATGAGGCGACCATCGAAGATAGCGGCAGGATGCTTCATGTTATAATAGATGCTCTTGTAATCCAATGTCTGAAGAATAAAGAATGCCTCAAAGATTCGAGAATTCGGAAAATCACCACAAATTCATCCCATTCGGTGAGAATGACAATCGCGTGAGCATCTTTAGCAGCCTCGAATGGATTCGACTCAACCGTGACTAGTTTTTCAACTAAAACTCTTTTTTACATTTATTTTTGTAAAAAAAAAGAATCTAAAATTCAAACCATCATAATTGCTAGTGACATTTGTCAAGTCATTCAGTATTTGTTGCTTCGAGACCTTTGGATCGTAGATCGAGAGCTTCGCGTTCTCCTCCATCAAATGTTTGGCAACATGGATAGCTGAAGATTCTCTGAAAAAAGAATGGACATAAAGAAGACAATGAATTTAATGGATTCAACGTCGCAGAAAACAATGACCGTAAAATTGAAAATTATTTCAATTTTATCACGCGGCCTTTAAAACTTTCTTCTTCTTTTTTAATCGCCAACCAACCTCGTATCTCCGGTATTTTTCTTGAACGCGAATCCAAATAAGGCGATCTTCTTGTCGGTGACTGTGTTGAACAGCTCGCCGATGATCTTGTTCGCGAATCTTCGCCGCTGCCAATCATTGATCTCGATGACGCCGTTCCAATAGTCAGCGACTTCGCGAAGATTCAGCGATTCGCATAGGTAGACGAGCGAGAGAACATCCTTTTGGAAGCAGCTTCCACCGAATCCTGTATGAGAGAGAGATGTGAAAAACACCCAACATCAACGTACCAACTGAAGCCTGAAGGAATCGGTTGCCGATTCTCGAATCGCATCCGACGGCATGCGCCACTTCGCTGACGTCAGCGCCGGTGGCTTCGCAGACCGCCGAAATCGCGTTGATCGAGGAAATGCGCTGAGCGAGGAACGCATTCGCGACCAATTTCGACAATTCGCTGCTCCACGTGTTCGTCGTGATGATGCGATCTCTTGGAACCCAATTCTCATAGATTCCGACGAGTTGAGCAACGGCTTCGAGTCCTGACAACAAAATTTCATTTAGCAAAAAAAAATGAAACAAGAGGATTCTCAACCTTCTGTGCTAGACTCTCCTCCAATAAGAACTCTGTCGGGATTCGCAAGATCCTTCATCGCAGTGCCTTCAGCAAGGAACTCCGGATTCGAAAGAACTTGAAACTTGAGGTTCGAGTTGAGCTTCTGCGCTTCTCGAAGAATCGCTGAGATGCTTTCCGCAGCTCTCACAGGAACTGTACTCTTCTCAACGACAATCTAAAACTATATATATAATGTTCCATTGAACCCTCTGGAAACCTTTGGTCCACCGGCATGCTCGGCGATCGTTCTCGAAACCGATTCCACATATTTCAAATCCGGTGCCATTCCCTTTCCACGTCCGTACATTTTCGTCGGCGTGTTCACAGAGATGAAGATGAGGTCCGCCTCGCGAATCGCTTTTGCGATATCGGTGGAGAAGAACAGATTTTTGCCGCGAGCAGCCATCACAATCTCCTCAAGACCCGGCTGAAGATTCCAATTTTCGTCACAAATTCGATTCATTTTGTTTCTTTAGATTTTCAAATATTTTTTTCGCGAACCTCGTAGATCGGCAATTTGTCCGAATTCCATTCATCAATTTTCGCCAGATTCATGTCGACGACGGTCACGGTGATGTGCGGACATTTATGGGCGATCATCGCGCACGTCGGACCACCGACGTAGCCGGCACCGACACACACAATGCGTTCAACCTGGAAACTTTTCGATTTTTGAAATTTGATCGCCGCAATACAAAAAAAAATATGGAACCTTATCAAACATTTGTTGAGGCGGTGGCCTGTTCAAACACAACTGGACCCTGCAATTTGAGAAGATTTGCACTTTTAATTAGAAAAATGCGAAATTCGAAACAAGATGACCGCGGTCAACGTTTAAATAAATAAATGAAGGAGAAAAAAATGAGAGAATAAATAAACATTTGCCGAAAACCATATGGATGAACGAAATCGTAGGTCAAACAGAAGGAGGGGGAGTCAAAAACGGCGGTTGTAGCATCAATAATAATCAAATGAACAGCACATTCATTTATAGCTTCGGACAATTGTCCGCAGCTGAAACTGGGTTAATGGAAAGCTTTTTTTTTGGAATCGACGCGTCAACTCCACCCATTTCTAGCAGCGTCCGAAACGTTTTTGTTATCAACGAAATGATTAAAACGGAAACATTTTTTTGGGGTTTGCCAACACTGCTTCGACAATTCAAAATTGCCTTTGCAATGATGAATCGATGGCGACGTTTCCATGGGCGATGCGTGCAAAATTCCGAACCAAACTCAGATTTTGAAGCGCGATAATCGTCGGCACCCGGTTTTCCATTCCATCGTTCGTTCGTTCTCTCACTCCCGAAAAATAACTTTATAAAAAAGAACGAATTGCCTATGATGGTTTCACCAGCGACAAAATATTTGCCTTTTATAGTTCATGACAAAATTTTAATGGTCAACATAACAGCCTCACGACAGATGTGTGCGCCGGTGACCTCGGAAAACGAATTGCGGTCAGGAATTCTATCATCACCAACAAAACAAAAAACTAGAAAGAATATCGATGCGGATTGGTTTAGCCAGCTGTCCCAACACGAATCGAGCAATACATCAACAACAGAAAAAAAAACAAAAGAGGAAGGCCAAAAACAAGGCCAAAATTCATTTATTCGTCAATATATTCGGGCAAATCCTCTTCGATTCGCACGTTCACTGACAATAGGCTACTATTATCGAAAAAGTATAAGCGAGCGTCGAGCGGATTGTAATGGAGCATCGTGAGACCTTGATACGGATTGTACCATTCGACTTGTCCGGGAATGCTGTCGTTTCTGCAAGAAACAAAGGCGCGATTCAAACATCGCAGGCACACACAAGTCGAGGAGGAACCTGTATAGGTCGAACGCGTGGGTGATCGTTGTTTGCAATTCTTCGCCGCTTTTCAGACCGTACATCACACCGCACATCACGAACGCGTCGGCGATATCGGTGGCATTCACATCGACATCCCACCGGCTAACGATGTACAAATTCTGTGAATCAACTTCTAACGATAACGTTGATCAGCTTTAACTGACTGGTTCAATCTTAGCAACTTTAATCGTCTCAAATTCGGCATCCGCGTATATTACCCATAATCCGTTCTCGTCAACCGCAAAATCAACGTAATTGTGAGGGCGATTGTACAGCCAACCATGACGATCAGTCGAATTGCACTCCTCAAATGAAAAACTCAACACATTCTAGATTCTTTTGTAGGTTGCTCTCTTTTTTTCGCACCATTTGTATATATGTTTATTGTAAATAAATTATGAGTTTTTTTGCCAACGCCCGTGTCAAAATGCAAAAATTTTGGTTCTGCTGATGTTTTGAACTCCAAATGGACCTCATTGATTTGTGTTTTTAATTTTTTCTTCCCATATACCTCAAACGTGTGATCAGGAAGCCTTCCACAATCAATGTGAGCCATTCTTGGATCCAGCTCAACTTCCGATTGAATACTCGACTCGAGCTCATACTTCACAAGATTCGTTGTTCCATGTTTATGATAGTAATACGAGCCATTATAGACCACATTTCCAGTTCCTGAAGCAAGATAATCGACGTAGTACCTTTAAAAAAAAGATCGGTAAAATTGGAATAGTCATGAAAAGTTGACTTGATCTTCTGGACTTTGTCGGACAATTGCCTCTCGTCTTCATATTCATAAAGAACTGGTGAAGCGAATCCATCGGTAACCCATCGACGCTTTGCCGCTTTTGTGGTAGCCGGGAGAGCATCGCGCATCCAAGATCCTACCTGAACATTCAAATCACGTTTTGTGTCGGTTCATTGATCAAAAATAAAAAAAAAATGGGGAATGTGCCAACTCCAATAAATGTCGAAAATTTCTTACAAGAGAAGTCATTTTACCTCCCATTTTGGGATTTTTTGTAATTTTGCACACGAAAACTAGTGTGTTCACAAAATTTGCGAACACACTCAGAAGACCTTCTAGTTTACGTGTGCAAAATTACAAAAAAATCCCAAGACAGGAAGTCAAATGACTTCCCTTGTTAGTAACTTTAAGACAGTTCGCATTTTCATAGCAAACCTCCTGCAACTTTTTAGCGGATGTCTAAAAGAAACTGTAAATGGTTTAGCAATTTCTTAGAGTGTCAAACGAGAAGGTCTCGAGTCGACGAGAGGCACGCATTCAGTCAACGTTCAATTTAAATCTACACCGTGTTCACGAAATTGAAATTCCCGCCACCAATCCGTCGTTTGAAACCGACAATAAATGGAAAATTGACACTAACTCGTCCATATTGCGATTCGGCGTGTAGAACGGGAATACCAACAGCGGCTAGTATACATTCTCTCCTGTTGTAACCTAACGTTGGTGGTCCCAAGTATGGTTCTGGTGTGCTCACATTCAGCTCCATTGTCCAATTGGTGAATAGCGTTAGATTTGAGGGTTCTAAAAATTAATGTAACAATTTTTAAACATTTTTGGTTGTATTATAATCATACCGGTCGGTATCACATGAATTGGAGGTTTGGTTGATCGCGGACGAGTCGGTGGCGGTCGAACAGTGGAATATCTTGGCAATTTTCGCGTTTTTCCCGGCCTTGGCATTCCGGGTGCCCAGCCCGGCGGAGGACCGAATCCAGGAGGCGTTGGCTCGAATGGAACTAATTTTGTGACTTCAACTTCTTTTACAACAACGACAGGCACTGGAACCATTTTTTCTTCAATCTGATAAAAATTCTTAATTTATAATAATGGATATAATTAAAATTACTTTAATGACAGGAGGTCCAGGAACATGAACATTCTTCACATACATATCTGGAAGTGGACAATTGCATTTACCATCTCTTCCAGGCTCTCCGACTTCTCCATGCTCCCCGACAAGGCCTGTTGGTCCGACTATTCCCATTGGCCCTCGTCTCCCAGGTGGTCCTACTGGTCCAGTAGCTCCAGGTTCTCCAGGTACTCCAGGATATCCAATTAATTTCATATGTCGTTCGGCACAATGCTGATGAACTTGTGAACAAGAGCGGTCGAGAACATTACGCTAAAACGGAATAAGTCAGCAAATTATTCGAAAAACCCCCTGATACCGGAATAATCGTATTTTGTCCAATAATTATAGTATAATCTTCCAGATCGATTGGCTTTAGTGGGACTTCTCGTTTCACGCGCGAAATTTCCTCCTTATCACATTTCAGACTATTCAATCTGATTGTGGAGTGGGTGTAAAGGGCGACAATCAGAAAGAAGTTTCCAATTTGGCCAGCAATTATTAATCTATGTATTCTCGAATTTGTTTAATAATTACATGAAAAAAAGCGTACCTTCGATGTTTTCGCCGAAATAGCTCACCGCCATCGTTGGTCACCATTGCACTGATAGTCAATTTGCGACAAAGTCGCATGGAAGCGTTGCACCCGACATGTGTAATTTGAGATGGTCATTCTATTATATTTTGTATAAACTTTTTTTTCGCCGAAATCGTATGAGTTTTGACATAAGCATCAAACGAAGTATATTTTTGGGAAAGAGGCTGAAAATAGAATTGTTGCAAATTCGCCCTATGGCAAGACATTTTGAGGCAATTTAAATTTTTCGAATTAAAATCATCTGTGTAACTAAAATGCCGAATATGCTGAAAATATTGCTTATCTCATCTAGGCGAAAATATTTACTAATTTTTCCGAGGAAGACCAAAAAAACAAGCTACAGCAACTTTCTCTATTAATTGAAACAAATAAATGGATATGCGCCTTTAAGATTACAGTATCCAATATTTTCAATTTTTCTTGGAAACATCGATTTTTATTCCATTTTTCCAGATTTGACTACTTTCATCTTCAATGACTAGCAGAAAACGAAATATCGAACGGATTTCATCCAGTGTTGCTGAAAAAATAACCACAGCTCAAGTAGACAATTTCAGTCTAAAATTTTATTAAGTAAATTGAATAAATTCAGGTTGTCGTGAGCCTTGGTGATGCTCTTCGTCAGTTAGTTGATAACTCAATTGATGCAAATGCAACAATTATCGATATTCGCGCAAAGAATCATGGGTTCGAGAGTTTGGAAGTTCAGGATAATGGAATTGGTATCGATTCGTGCAATTTTGAAAATTTGTGCAAGCCACATTCCACATCGAAATTGTCCGATTTTTCCGATTTTGATAAACTTTCAACTTTGGGATTTCGAGGAGAAGCTCTTAATGCGTTATGTGCGTTGAGGTAATCAAAACTGGAAAATTTAACCCAAAACAAAATGACGTTTTCAGTACAGTTTCAATCTTCACTCGATCTTCCACCGCCGATTTAGGAACTCGTTTGAAATTCGATCATTCTGGTGAGATTATCGAAAGAAAAAATGCCGCTAGAGAAGTAAATTTTAAAAAATGTTTTTCCAAAATTTATGTTTGAATTTCAGCTTGGAACCACCGTAACTGTCGAAAATCTGTTTGAGACCCTTCCAGTTCGTCGAAAAGAGCTTGAAAGAACCGCGAAAAAAGACTTTATCAAAATGTTAACAATGGTCCAATCATTTGCGCTTATGTGTCCGCAAATCCGATTTCTTGTCACTAATACGATTGCTGGAGGGTAAGAATCGATATTTCAGATTTTGGATATCGCAATTTCCAGAAAACGCCAAAATATTATCTGCACACCGGGAGGCAATTCAACAGTTCGAGATGTAAATGAGAAAAATACGTTAAAAAAAATTGTCTTTTTGGATTTTCAGGTGGTCACAAATTTATTCGGATTTTCCGGTGGAAAACACGAAAAGCTTCCATTAGTCGATGTAAATATTCTGTATAATTGAATAATGTCGAAAAAAAAATCAAATTTCAGATAAAATGTGAATTTCCGAACGAAGAGATCCAAGTTTTACACTCAATTCCAAAAAATGAATTGCATATTTTTGATCTTATCAAGTTGAAATGATTCCATTTTTTTTCGGGGGAAAATCAATGTTTTTAGAATTCATGGATTCGTTAGCAGTTGTGAGCACGGAAACGGCAGAAGCACATCAGATCGGCAATTTGTTTATATAAACAATCGACCGGTTGATTATTCGAGGGTGAAATGAGAATGTGCAATGAGTCACTTGATTTTTTTCTTCTGCAGGTTTGCAGTATTTGCAATGAGGTTTACAAGCAATTCAACAAAACTCAATATCCGGTGGTTGTTCTGTTCATTCAAGTTCCTGCAGGTTGAGCATTTTATCGATAGAACGGGGCGAATTTTTCGAAAAATTAAGACAAAATTGATGTGAATATGACGCCGGATAAGAAAACTGTAATGTTCGAGAAGGAAAGACATCTTCTCGCATTAATCCGCTCATCGCTTATGGCAACATTCCAACCGCTATTGGGAGCGCATTCGACGATTAGAAGTAGTGTTGAAGACCGAAGAAATTCATCATTTTGTGAGTTGAGACTTTTTTCTTCAAAATTATTTATTTGAGAAATTCTAGATTCGCAAGCAAGTTCTTCACAATCATCGCCAAACGTTACCCTTGACGACACTTTGCTCAATTCAACAATTAATTCTGAAGCTGATGAACCGCTGCCGAATGTTGCGGACCTTCTGAAGTCCAGACGATGTTTCGCTCCGTGTGAGCCGGCGGCGAAACGAGTTTGCTCTGCGGAATCTGGTCCCAAATCAAAAATTATCACGATTCCGCCGTCGAAAAACTCGCAGAATGCCACTTTGGAATCATTTTCCTTCACGTTTACACCGTACACGAAGCCGGAAAAGCCGAACGAACCATCACCTCGAGCTCCGTCTCCATCACCAGCTGCTCCGGAAAGGTGATCCTGAATTATTTTCAGATCACAAATGAATTTCAGAAGATTCCAGCCTCCGCTTCTTCGAAATTTATCGAAAGGATTTGATAACAGTTCGGTGAAAGATGATAGTATTTTGGATGTTGTTGAGAAATGCATGGAGAATGAAGACGATGATGAGAACGAAATTGAGGAAGTTGAGCAGAATCCCAAGAATTTTGTCTACATGAGACCACAGCAGAAGGTTATTCAACGGAATTACCTAAAATAAAAATGAAATAAGAAGTTTAGATAAAATTCTCAATGAAAACACTTCGGCAAAAATTTGAGAAACTTATGGAGGATGAGAAATCAGATGAAGTTGACGTGGACGGCGAATTCTCGGCACCAATTGATCCGGAGCATAATGATGAGGCTGAGAAGCAGCTTGATCGAGCATTGAAGTTTGAATATTTCTGGAAAACATCGAACATTCGAATTTAGGAAAGAAGATTTCAAACAAATGGAAGTTGTGGGTCAATTTAATAAGGGATTCATTATTTGCCGCCTTCGATCTCACCTTTTCATCGTCGATCAGCACGCGAGCGATGAAAAATACAATTTTGAGCGGCTTCAGAAGTCAGCGAAACTCACCAAACAGCCATTATTCACGTAATTTTTTGATTTTCTTATAATTTTTCAAAAAGAGTTGTCGATTTCAGGCCGACTCCGCTGAATTTTGGCGCTGTTCAGGAGATGGTGATTCGCGAGAATCTGCACATCTTCGCCGCCAATGGATTCGAGTTTGAGTTTCGTGAGAATGATGGATGCATTAAGACATTTATGACGGCTCGACCGGAAATTCTGAGCCAAAATCTGACGAACGCAGATCTTGATGAGATTGTCGCCATGGTTTCCGAGTATCCGAATCAAATGTTTCGACCGATGAAGATTCGCAAGATTTTCGCGTCGAGAGCCTGCCGAAAATCGATTATGATTGGAACTGCGCTGAACGAAAGAGAAATGACGAGAGTGGTTAAAAATCTCGCAGGATTGGATCAACCTTGGGTAGGATCTTGCAGAAAACTACTATGAATAGCATTCTGATTTGTTTTTTTTTTGCAGAACTGCCCACACGGACGGCCCACAATTCGCCATTTATCCAGCATGAACTCATTAAATTTTGAATAGATTTGCAATATTTCTCATATAAACTCATCATTTAGCCGTCTCGAAAACGGATTTGCTCAAAATGCTCAAACCACCATTTAGACTAATTAAATAATTAAAATCAATTATATATGCAGGCTTTTCACGCATCTGAAACATAAAAAATAGCATGATTGTTTAAAAAAATTTCGGGAAAATTTGGATTGAAAAATAAAGGAGGTTAACAAAACGGGCGAATCCCGCGCACTATAGTTTTCTAATTATTTTGCATTTCAAGCATTAGGAAATGGCAATCTCAATTAAATAAGAAATAAAAATTTAACGTGAAAATAACGAAGTTCCCCTCGTACCCTGAAAATCAAAAACGTCTGCCTGTTTTTCCTTTTTTTAAACGACTCATAAGTCATCAAAACGAATTGTATTATTAGTTTCAACCAGGGACCCTCGGGAAAACTTTTTTCTCGTCCAAAAAGGCGAGAATTTCGCCAAATTCCTTATTAGGAAATTCATTTGATTTTTTTGCAATAAAATGAACAAAAAACTCGCCAATAGAAAAAATGAATAAAATTCTACGGAATTTATTTGAATGAAGGTTTACTTTTCAAAATTTCCTCTGGATTTCCCCTTAATTTTCGAAAAAAAATTTGCTCGATGGCGGAAAAATATTGATTTGTCTTCCGTATTTATTTGTTAAAAATCGTTTTCCGTCTTCCAACTTCAGTTTTCACGAAAATAAAGTTCCACGCTATTCCGGCGTTATAGATTAATTTGTGCAACGTGACCGTGGCCGAAATGAAAAAAAAAGACGCAGCGTCCGCATTTTACACAAACTCTCGTCGCGATAGAGCCCACTTTTCATTATTTTTTACAGAATATTTAGAAATTCCTATTCTTTTCAATGTTTTCTTGCCTTATTCGTGTGAAATTTGCAAAAAAAATTTGGAAAAAAAATAAACGACAATTTAAAAAGAATAGTCTGCTCTAGCGGCGCTTTTAATGTTATAAACATTTAAATTTAGGGGAAAATGATTTTTTTTTTCTTAAAAGAATATATCAGATACTTTTCTCTTTATATTTTTAGATTCTTTAAAAATAAAATTAATGGTTAATAATTATTATGTCAATTTTACAAAAATCATAATCTTTTAAACGAATTTACGTTTTTTTTCTAGACAACTCAACATGGGAGGTCGATTCCGTCACCGTACAAGCAACAAAGGGGCTGCGAAATTTGCTCAAGGATCAGCGTATGTTATTTTTTTTAATTTTTGGTTAATCTAAATTATTTCAAGATGCGAGACAAATCCATCAAAAAATAAGCATCGTGCCGCTGCCAATGCTTCAAGACTTGCGACTATCGGAGGGGCAAGCATGTTGGCGGTCGAAGATCGTCCAGAGAATCCTGCTGCTGATGATATGCTTTCTGCGCTACCAATTGTAATAATATGTGACCCTTTTCTTTTTTAAATTTAATAATTTTAGGATAACATGGCGATCGGATCTTCCTCGAAAAGTATGGTGTCTGAAGGAGGAATTTCAAAAATTTCGGAATTTACTTCATGCACTAATCCTGCTTTCGATTCTGTGAATCGCGTATGGAAGTAAGTTTTTCATAGTTCTTGATTATTCGATGGTTTTAACTTCTAACACGGTTCTACTTTTTTGTATGTATTCCTTTTGCGCTTCACTTGAGCCAAGACTGGAAAGATTGAATTCTTCAGGTCTGGGTCCTCTCTTCAGACAGAGGTAGTCTCAGTGTTGGCAGCAATCGCGGAAGTCATCAAAGAACGTGATGGTATAAAGTTAAAGCATAATCGCATGATTCTAACCAACACAATTCCAGGCAAAGAGTCTGATGTTGAGTATTGTGCTGCTCTCATGACGGCTTTGGAAGGAGCTTCGGTAGGAAATCCGAAAAGAACTGCAGCAATTGCTTATCTTCTTCATATTATTGTTCGAAAAGTTCCAAAAGAGGTGCTCCAAGCGCAATTTTCTCGATTTGTTCAGGTAATTTTGATATTATTAAACTAATTAAGCAAAAAATCTAGATTTTGTACACGAAATTGTTGGAGAATGTGGACTCTGTGGAATCGTCTGTTTTGAAAAACTTGATTTCCGTTTTGGGAGTCATTTTGAGAGCCCAGCCCGCGCAAGTGTGGTCGAGTGCCACTACAAGGTTTAATTGCCTCTATTTTCAAACGGATTAATCTTAAATATGCAGGAGTATGTTGGTCTCTGTGGCTGCTCTTTCCGCCCATGACAAACCATGGGTTCGAACAATGGCTAGAAGAGTGATTCGAGCAGTTCTCACTGATCCTGTGACGGCCACGGATAATGGGCTTCATCCAGCTAGTGGAGCTGTCGGTCAGCTTATTTTGAGTCACATTGACAACTTTGTTTGTAAGTAGCTAATCTGGAATATCTTGTAAGTAATTATTGAGTTTAAGCGAGCCCGAAAGGAGATTCGACCAATGTTGTTAGATATCTCTGCCTTCTCGAAGGTGTTATGCATAAAATGCCGGCTTCAATTTTCAAAAAGATGGCTGAGGCGATGTTGAAGTGCTTTGCAATTTCAGACGCAATGGTATGTGGGGAATTAACGAATTCATCAGATATTTCTATGTACTCGTTAATTTCAGGTAAAATGTTCGGCACTTCAATGCCTTCATCGTTCTCTTCAACGCCAGCCGTGCGATTCGGCGCTTCCCACGGAAACCAACAGTCTGTTGCTCGCAGCACTTCGCCAATTAGGAGGATCAGTTACGGATATTACTGTAACCGCCTATTGGATGCAGGCGTTGGCTGAGGCGCATGTTTGTTTGACTGCGAAAGACTCGAAAAAGTAAGTAAATCGTGAAGAATCTTCTTTGATACTGTGTCTTTTCAGATCCATTCAACACGCTTATCAGACACTGCCATTGTTTGTGAAAATGTTCGAATCAGGAAGTGAGCAATTGGCTCAAGTTACTTATCAAGCTCTCACGCGAGTCATTGAAAATTGCTTGAAATACGACAGTGAGTGCGGAAAGTTCCTGTTGGGGCAATTGCATTCGGTGATGACCCTTCGATCCGCATCAGTTTGGAAGTTCATTTTAAGGTATTTTTTCTTTTCTTTGCCAAATTTGCTTTAATGTTTGGTTTAGAGCGGAAATGAAACTTTATGAAGTGTGCGGTGATGCCCTCCAAGGTCAAGAATTTACGAAGGTCATTGAGGATTTGGCAACACTTCGGCAATCTGATGATTGCTTCTGCAAAACCGATTTGGACTTTGTAAGTGATTTTTTTAAATGAAATTAGAATGAAATATATTTATAGACAATTGGGGCCGCCATCCGTCATGTTGGTGCTGGTGCCGTCATGAACATTCTTTCGTTGGAAGTTGATCCTGACGCACCAATCTTGTCAACTGATTTCAAACGGTCGTGGTTGATTCCAATCCTTCGAGTTAATATTCACAATGCTCCGATTGCTCTGTTCATCAAACTTTTCCTCCCGATGGCTATTAAGATTTACAAGTAAGCTCATTCAAAAGGTTCTCGCCAATAAGTGTCATAATTAGGCGATTGAACACAATGCAGCCACAAGTGCATCGTCTTTACTCCACTTTCCAATTTCAACTATGGGAACTTCTCCCGTCATTCTGCGAGTCACCATCTGATTTGGAGACCTCATTTCCCGACATTGCGCCAATTTTGGGAGCTGCTCTTCAAGAACGAAAAGATTTACGAATGACTGTGTTGACGTCTCTTAGACGAGCGCTTAGATTCTCGTTGCAACCTGATGCTCCACCAGAGAGAGTTGAAGTAAGAAAATAGAGCTTTTTCAAAAACAACTTTACAATCAGGTTATGAGTCGATTTGCGAAGAACTTTATGCCGATTTTGTTCAACATGTACACTGCATCGGTGGTTGATGGTGAATATGACGATAAGGGTATCAAGTAAGAAATTTGAACAGGATTCAATTTTTACTATAGTTTTTATCTTCAGAAAGTCTGTCCTTGAAGCAATTCGGGTATATGCCGAGGCTACTCCGTCTGATCTTTTGTCGAAATTCGTCGACGTTGCGATCACAAAATCTAAGGAAAACTGCGACGGAAGTGGAACAGCGTCTCAGAAGCAGGCTCGAGTTTTGGATATCCTGTGCGCATTGACCCGTGTAGCTGATGTTGATGATCTTTATAAGATTCTTGATACGATCGAGCCGTGGTTTAAATCAAGAGATGCTAATGGATTGCAAAAGAAGGCCTACAGAATTTTAGAAGAGATTATCCAGAGAAGGTATTTTGGAAACGCTTCGAAGTTTTTATAGAAGGGACTCATCTGCTTTCCAGATCAACACCGGAAGTCGAAAAACTCATCGAGGAGCGATATGTGTATATTAGAAGTGCAGTGGTTCGGCCGATTGAGCAAATCACGTACCCAGCGCGAGCTGCATATGTTAGTTGATATTTTTGACGGATTCCCTAGCCCGAAATTTTCAGTGTTCTTGCGTTCATATGCTTCTTGATGGATATGAGGATTTGAAGTCACTGACAGCATTCGTTGAGACGGTCGTCAAGAATATCATCATACTCCTTGACAAAGATCATAATGTGCATACCAGACAGAACGCAAGCAAATGCATTCAATTCATTTGCAGCAGACTCATTGATCTCGCTGATGATCAATCGTAATCGAAAACGTAAAAGAACTTTGATTTTCATATCAATGTTTTAGGGAAATAACGCCATCGATGGTTTTGGAGACCGTCCTGTCGAAGATTTTCGAAATGACCACGCTGACTTCTACTCAGCAGAGCACTGCTAATATTCAGTTGCATATCGCACGCGCAAGCTTGGTCTCATTGAATATTATTGCTCAGAAGCAGATTAAGGTGGTTTTTGGGTTCTAAAATACAATTTTTAATATTGAATGGTTGTAGGTTCTCAATACGGTTTCGACATCGAAAATCCTCACATTTGCGTGCAGTTGGATTGCAGATGGTCGTGCGCCTGTGCGAATTTTAGCGATTCGATTGCTTCGTGTCCTTTGTCAAAAAATGCCCGAAGTTATTCTACAGCAGTTCAGAGATCAAATTCTAACCGCTGTATTCGAAGAACAGATGACTTCTGATTTGACAATTAAGGTAGGAATTGACTGTATGCCACACAAACTCTTCAAATTTTTTAGGTCAGAAAAGCCAATCGACTTCTTCTTGAAGTTCTCGTTGAGAAGTTTGGTGTCAATGTCCTCGAAAAATACACAACAAAATTAGATTGGATCAAACAAATGAAGAACATTGAGAAGATTAGAAGAAGGAAGTTGAGAAAGGCTTCTGGTGAGAAGATGGAGCAAGAGGATGATGATGATGCGACGAGTGGAATCAGCGGATCGCACTTCTCTGGGAAGACTGCAGGCGCTGATACAATTCTTGAACTTTTGGAGGATAGTGATGCAGACAATGAAAGCGATTCGGAAGAGCAATTGATGAAGAGAAGCCGTGTTGGAAGCGTATGGCTCAAAAATGATGGAGATGGCGATGCTCCAATGGATCTTTTGGATAGCTCGAGAATGATTGATCATGTAATTTTTAGTAATACTTACTAATAGTTCATTATAATTTTGTAGATTACTACCACCAATCCGGCAGTTCTAGAGAAGCGAAAGAAATCTGCACTGGAACGACGAGAAAAACTGCAAGCTGGATTCAAGTTTACTAGAGATGGCCGGTTGGTGATTGTCGATGATGATAATGATGATGAGAAGAAGAAAGCTGGAAAGAAAAGAACGATGAGGAATGGTCTTGATGAGCTTGATGAAGAAGAAGGGCCCAGTCATGGGGGAAAACGAAAGAAGGAAGATAGTGACACTGAAATGAACTTTGAATCTGAAGACGAGGATGTAAGTAATTTTTCGAAACATTTATCATCAATTTTCTGAGATTGCTTTTTTTCAGAATGATGACGATGATAAAAAGACGAGTGTGAGTCGGGCCACGTCATACGGTGGAAAGGGAATTTACAGGTATTATTCTTACAACCCAAATTTCAATATTTTTCGATTTTCCAGAGATACTACTTCCCAAGTTGGTGCATCATCGAAAAAATCAAAGAAATTGACGAAGAAGCCGGAAAAGAACGTGCAGAAGAATGTGCAACCCTACGCGTATGTCCCACTGCGCAACAAAACAGCGAAACAGGTATGTTATGCGACGAAAACGGCAAACGAGCAATTGCGATCGTTGATTATTGTAGGATGTTCGGCAAATTCTGAAGGCGAAAAGAAAGAGCGGAAAAGGCACCAAGAAAGTCACGTTCTAATCGTTGTCTAGTTTAATTAGTTTTTCGTTTCATTGTTGATTTTTTTGTTAAACATTTCATTGTAAGCAGTGTGCGCACTCGATCTCAAAATCGTTAAAAAATCGATCTTGCTCGAGAATTTAAAGATCGATCGAACCCGAGATCGATCGAGCATTTCGAGCGCTCGAGATCGATCGAGCGGGATCGATCGAACTCGAGCGCTCGAAACGCTCGATCGATCTCGAGCGCTCGAAATGCTCGATCGATCCCGCTCGATCGATCTCGAGCGCTCGAAATGCTCGATCGATCGCGATCGATTTTCGCTACCAAGATCGATCATACTCGATCGAGCGCTCACACTGATTGTAAGGTCCCGATTTTCACTTTTGGCGCGATCAATAAATCGAGCTATTGTTACTTATTATTCGTTGGATAATTTAAACATCATCTCTTCCTTTCAGCCATTAGCTGTGGATAATCATGGGTTGCATGCCGAAAGAGGCCGAACTCCCGATTGTCGCACAGTCTTGATGGTCGGAGAGCAGTGTTGCACGGAAAAACTGCTCTCTTGCCGCTGAACAACAAATAAATATCGATGAAAATTGCTTTTTTGGTCCACAACAAGAACGAACCTATCTTGTAGATCGACGAGGGACCAACGAGCTGCAACATACTGACATAGTGATAACTAAGAGTGATACAGAAAAAAAAATAATTGATTTCATTTTTTGCATTAAAATTTGACTCATATTTTCTTTTTTTTCTAGGATTTGAATAAATAATAGAAATCGCGTGACATTTGACCCATTCATTCTCTAATTATAGTAGTCTGCTCATTTTTATTTTTTTTCTTCAACGACGATATTCAACCTTTGAGGTAATTATGTTTCGCGAAATCAAATGTTTGAATTAAGAAAATTGGTGTCAAATTAATCGCATAGTAAACAAATCCTAAAATATTAAATGAATTTTTTTTAATATTTCGTTTTTTTTTCCGGGTCCCACAACGATTTTCTCGGACCACCGTGAGCGTGTCTCGAGAACATTCGTTGAGTCGGATCTGAGAGAGCCCGCACGGGTGCCGCGCTTCTCGTGCCACGATACCCGGACCAACACCCCGCATCGGTGACCCTAAGGGTCCGACCCAGGAGGGAAATGCCTGGGGAGTCTAGGCGCACACGGTGGAGTGGCTCCGAGAGCTCTCGTTGTTGGGACTCGGCCGAATTGGCAAAGAGTATTTTGAATATTTTTTGTATTTTGAAAGAAGTTGAGTTGTCAAATAATTCGCTAAGAATGGAGAAACCATTTTAATTCGAAATATTTTCATAAATTCAGAGTTGGGCGGAATTCCGCGTCTGGCAAAAATAAAATTTGATTCCGCATTCCGCCCAATTCTGTTCTAATGCCGTAGTAGAGATGAACTGAGAATCAAACTCACCGTAAATCCACACAAGGTGGTCTTTGTTTTTTTTTGCGATTGAATTAATTCGGTAATAGTTTAGGTTTTTAGGACTTGCGCAGACTTCTTGTCGAAATTGGTCTCAATCCAGCCTTCAGATTTTTTTGGTTGATTTATCGCCGCGATTTCTATAAACTCAATATTTTTCAGGAGATATGACAGCTTTTTTTTGTTAAACTCATCTGCTCTATTGATGGCTCCAGAAGTAAATCAATCCGACTATGATGATCCAAGTAAACGCGGGAATTGGTATTTGACAGAAGGAGTCACTCAAAATCACGAGGTTTGCCGTATTCGCTTATTGAGCTCTATATTGTCGACGTCGCGCGACTGCGCAAAATCGGCTAAATGCCTGCAAATAAAAATAAAAAAGAGTTCTCGATGCGCCTTTAAACTATCCTTATGCATCTCTCCGTAAATCTACACTTAGTTTTGCGTCGAGACCACTGCCATTGTTTTTTTTGCCTATTTATCAATATTTCCGCAATCGATGCCGACAATACCAGATAATACTCGGTAGCAACTATAGTGTAAAACTAGTTAATTTTTAACTCGGTCAACTGTTTAAAAAGCTGATCAGTTCGCAAAATAAAACCACGAAGTGGTTTCATCGACATTCGGTTAACCAGTTTATTGCAAACAATGGTTAACTAGTTAACCAGTTAACCGGTTAATTTGGTTAACCGGTTAACCAGTTCGTGAACTTTTGAACTGATCCGTAGATTTTTAAAAGAAAAACCAAATTTTTTGCAGTTTAATCTGGTAAAAACTATTGATTATTCCTTCATTCCGTATTCCGTATTCCGTATTATCTTGTTTATAATTATTGCTTATTTATTCAAATGTTAGAGCACAACAAGTAAATTTCAATTCATAAGACGACGTCGTTATTTGTTATTCTTGAGAATCGTATTTGTTTTCGATTCCGTACTCTGATAACGCAAAACCAATCGGATCCGAAAAATTACAAATCGGATGCGACAATGTTCGGCTCCGGAATCAACCCGATCCGATTGGTAATTTATCGGATGAGATTTATAATTTCTCGGATCCGATTTGTAATTTTTCGAATCCGATTGGTAAATGTTCAGATCAGATTTGCTAAAAAAAAATATATATATATATACGATTTATTTATTCTAATTGGAAACAACAACCGGTCGAACAAAACAATAAATAGAAATTAACAAAAAATACAAAATCAAAATTGTACTTCAAACAGAAATGACAACTGAAGGCATACTTACTCACATAAGTGGGTATGTATATTATAAAAATAAAACTCGCAAGTAGAATGTATGAAATGACAAATTAAATGTTTTCGGACTGTGGGAAAAACCGTCAATTTTTGTTTCCACTTTCATAACAGTTCAATTTCATGAAATTAAAATCACCATAAGTTTTATTTTTACGTTTTCCATCAGGGTTGCGCCGGGGAGTCCTTGTTTTTGAGGAATCTTCACGTTCTGGAATTTTTCCTCGAGTAGAATCACTCATTTTTCTACGAGCATTGTTGCTAAAAGAAATATCGATTACTAGTAAGCTGTTTTTCAACTCACCAAAGGTGCTCCAAATAATTTTCGACGATTTGGGTTAACGCTATTCTGTCCTTCGCAATCGGGAACAGTTACCGAGTGCACCAAAGGCCTAAAAAAACGTTTTAGTATTTTTATTGAACATAACGCATCAACAAGTATTAACGAATCAATTAATGTTATTTCTAAAGTTTCGTTGGAAGTTAACAACTATTTGAAATTAGAAAATTAGAATGAAAAAAACGTACCGACAAGACAGTTGATCACATATCCATTTATGGTACTACATAGTCTCATTAATTTAAAAAAATGCGATAGAATCCAATTACGAGAAATATAACGCTCGCAATACCGCCAGAAGAAATGTATGCCGCAGAATTGCAAAACTGTGTGACATTTAATTGGTAAAAGTTCGGATCCGGTTGGTATTGAGTTACCAGAGTATTCTTCATCGTCGTTCTCAAGAGATGACAAATTCTCTTCATCTACCGCGTTGCCGACGAGTCGTTTATCGTTGTAAATGATCCCAGTTTTGCTGCAAATTGGAAATCGACTTTGATATTTTTTAATTAAATTACCTGAAAATACGCTCAACTTCAGCTGAAGTGGCCGGAAAACTTAATGTTTTTTGCCAATTTCCAGAGATTAGGGTACTTTTGCGTTCTTCTGGACCACCAGATTAAAATGGGGTCTTCATACTTTGGTCGAAATTTTAAAACATCCAGTTTGAAATTAATCGATTCCTCCTAAAAAGTTTTATTTTTCAATAATATAACTCTACAATGTCTATATTGTACTTCTAAGCTGCCCAAATTCGCACTATTATTTGGCCGTGCTGATGAATCATCACTAATACATATTTCTTTATCTGAAAAAAAAACGGTTTTTTAATGTATTTTAAATGTTTTTTTTAAAGTAATACCTTGACAATAAATCTTTACTTCAGCTTCAAGGCTGCTCCAATCAATATAGTTGTACAATTTTGAGCGAAATGAAAATCTCGGATCCAAATGTGTTGCAATTCGGTGCACATTGCTGGTTTTAAATTCCATTAACCTCTTATTGGTTTCGTGATGTACATGTTGGCGAGAAGAGGAGAGCACATATCATCGCTGTTCGTTTTTGGATCGTGTTCAATTTGGTCCAACAGCTGAGCAAAGCGTGGAATAACAATCGAACAAAACGAGTGCGATCCTTCGAACTGAAAACAATTTTAAATACGAAAAAAAACCTTCTTCTTACCTCTCGTACCATGTCTTGCATGATTTTTCCGTAATATACATAGAGGTTGGCAAGTGATTTTCGTCATAGTGATTTCGTCATTGCTAAGACTGAGTTCCATTAATTCATCCATCGATCTAATCTCATCTTGCTGTAAGATTTAACTTCCGCTTGATGAAAAAATATTTCGTAGCAAACTCACATATCTCAAAACATCTTTAAGGAGAACACACGCTTTAAGCCATCTGGTAACACAGAAACTTCTAAATTCTTTCACTTCAATTCTTCGCGTCAAACATTTCCTCGAAAAGCAAATAAAAACGAAGTTAAACATGATTATAAAACTTACGCGTTGAATTCATCTCCAATTAAAGATGATCTGTGCACGAGCCGCACAGATTTTTCCGCCTTTGATAAAGCACATGATAATTGGCGGTTCCGGCCAGCATAGACACTAATTAAATTGGCTGCATGTGCTGCACATCGAACACTAAAACGAAATTTTAAAAAATTTTTGTAAAAAATAACCTTTCTTTTCCAATTATACTACTTGATTTCAATTCATTTCTCGCGCCATTGGTAACAATACCTAACAAGTTATTTAAAATCTGACCATCGTGCGAATTGAGAATTTCTTTGGTGGCCTTGGCAATTTGTTCAGATGTGTGTGGTCCGCGAAGTTGTTTAATTCCATATATTGTTGAAAAATGAATGTATCCAGGTGTCGTAGGATCCTGCGTTTTGTACGCAACACTAAGAGACAGTTACCGTTATCCTCGCAGCGATTTACGGGACCTTTATTTAATTTCGCATATTCATTTTTTTTTCGCTCAACTTCCATACCATTGTTTGCAATAAACTGGTTCTTGATTTTTTCGATTAACCAATTAATTCTTAATAAGTATTAGATCAAATTATCCAGAGTAAAGGGGTTAAGCTGCCGTCCTACGGAGCCGACATACGCGACTCATGAAAGAAGGAAAAGGGAGCCTCGATTGATGGATATGGGGGTTTATATGTGGTGCTGTTACAATCAAAGAATTTAATAAAGGATTGCATCATCTACCGGTCGCTCACGGCTTCCGGTGGAGCTGATGTATTTTGAGTGATTGTTTGTGATACAACCTGATAGGATTTTTCTTTACACCTATCCCCCACAGGGCAAGATCGACCCTGATCGAAAATGATTATTAAGGGCCTGCGGTTTTTTGTCTTGTTCAAGTGTCTCGAAAAAATGCTGGGAGTGTACTCGGGAAGGAGACAAGTGGAGAGCAGGAAATCTGCCCTTCGACACCGTCCTGCTAAGCCCATGCCGAGGCTCATCCAGTCATTTGAAAAATTGGAGACAGCTGAAGAAGAATGAAAAATGCGGCGCTGAAGAAAAAACAAAGTTTGAGAGGGTATTTCGGAAAATTGCAATAAAATTGGGAACAAGAGAAAAAAATCTAGTTGTAAGACAATATCCGTAAAAATGTAATAATGCAGGGTTGGTAAATTGAAGCCGGGGCCGAAAGCCGGCCGGCCGGCCCGGCTTTCGGCCGGCTTTCGGCTTTTTTTTTGAATTCCCGCTTCGGCCGTGCGGCCGTAAACAACGGAGTTGGGGGCTGAATCGCGGGCCGAATATTTGACAGCGAAAAAAGCCGGCCGAAAGCCGGCCTCAGGCCGGCTTTCGGCCGGCCGGGCCCAAAATTTAACAACCCTGTAATAATGAGAAAAAAAAATGGAAAAATGGGAGTCGGAAACAGCGGCCTGTACGTTGGGTTTGTGTGGGAAGAAAAAGAAAATAAAAAAAATCGAACAAAAACTAAACAGACTCTTTATCAACCAGTAGGGGATGGAAGACCTCAAACTTGGGTAGAAATGTCGTGGGCTGACGGATGTTGAGCTCGTGATATTGATGAAACAATAACGGATGTTACAGTTGATCTTGTGATGTGATGAAAAAGTGATGGATAACGGTTGTGGTGGTAGAATGCAGGCGATGCCAGGCGTGGGAGGTGTTAAAACGGCAATATGCTCAGACGTTGAATCATCCAATTCATATGGATGATATTGACAGGAAATTGCACGAACGATAACTGTACTTTGAGCTTGAACACTGATGTGAATAATTTTGTTTGATTTCGAAGTCGGTAACGACAGACTCAGCTGATCAGATGGAGGTGAAGCGTGAAGCGTCCATGGTGGCGTTTTGCGACTCGATCTCGCTGATTATGCGGCTCCATGCTCAGGGCGTTTTTTCCCATGACTTGCGCAGCACGGGAAGGGGGTGGCATGTAAACGGCAGGCTGCGCAAAGACGTGGCAAGCTGCGGAAGAAATGCGCGAGGTGCCATAATCGCGGGATTGTTACGGGTATGCTGCCCGTGGATATCGCATGTTGCCCGCAGGAAGCGCATTAGGTGGGCAGGTTGGAGACGCAGACAGTGAGGGGATATCCGTTCGAATCGTTTAAACGATTTTTAAATTCCACGCACTTTTTAACGCAAGTTAAACGTTTAAATTTTAATTGAATTAATTTTTTTAAATCGATTTTTTTATAAATTTTCAAATGAATATAATCTTCGTGATTTTTACAATTGTTCTAATGCATCTATCCATTCAGTGTGTGTCAATTTTTTTCGAATTTGGCGAGAAAACATCAATTGAAATCGAGAACTAAGTAAAATTATACGACGCAGAATTAAACAAAATTTTTACGGACCTTTTAATAATTTCTATATTTTCATCGTTGCATTAAGATTACATTTACTTCCAGGTTATTGAGCGTGACCAAAGTGGATCGACGAACCAAAACTCTAGGTAAGATCTAAACAATTTCTGGATATCTATATTTGTGATACTTAAAAAAAGGCTACGCATATCTAAATAGGGATAAGCAATATTAAAAATTAATTAATTAAAAAAAATATTCTTTCAGCACATTCATTGAAGAGAAATAAGAGGTCGAGGGCATCGTCTAAGATAACGTGGGAAATGATTTGCGGCACAAAATACTAAATTTGCTGAAAGTGTAGCTGCATTCGATCCTTGCGAAAGATTAGTTTGGTCCGTAACCAATGGCATGAAAAAACTCAGCGTTTCTGGAATGCCTTCACCCTTTAAGGTAACAATTATAATTAATGCATTTTTTCAAATATCTCTTCAGAGTCTTATTATCTTGGATATATCTACATTGATTCATCCATTGTCAGAAATTTATTCAAAAACAGCAATTTCATTTTATCTTTTTCAGATACTTCAAAATGTTAGGGAAGTTTTTGTGTCAAATGACTTATTCAATTTTTAGCTGACGGAACCGGTTCAAGAAATTCAGAAATTTACAGTTCGCGATCGTCAAGAAAGTAAAAATGCGACACTGGAAAACTTGCCGCAACCAATCGTCGATGTAATAAAAAGTAAAAAACTGACAATTGAAAAAAGTACTGATCGAATGTTTTCAGGATTTTTCATTCAATTGTTCGGATTGAATTCGAACATTTATTCAAATCTTTGCTTGACCGACATTGAATTGAAGGATAATTCGTAAGCGGTATTAATTAGACAACTATAACAAGTTACTCTTTAAAGGACTACGTAACGTTGGGAGTAAACGAAAACGAAAGAAAAGAAATACTTCACGTTCGTCGAGCCATGCATTATCGATTGCAAAATGTAATCTTGCCGGCGAAGTTGAAAGCGGCAATGTAAGATTCTACTCAATTTAATACATAGAAATATATCAATTTTTAGGACAGAAATTCGACTGGCAAATATTGCAATTGGGGGAAACGGGAATACATTCCTAAAAAAAGAGAAGTGTATATATATATATATATATATATATATATATATATATATATATATATATATATATATATATATATATATATATATATATATATATATATATATATAAAACTTTTTTTAAATACTTTTAGAGGCATTCCAAAGTAGACAGCGCTTAATTCAATGCATTGGTACCGATTTTTTCTATGATGATTATAATTATTTAAATGTTTTGTAATGTTGTTTTTTGAGCTTTTTTTTAAATAAATGATGTTTTTACGCTTAAAACTGATGATATATGTATTAACACAATGAATATTTTGTGGCAATCTGTTAAAAGTGAAGCGATATATGCTGCGAATTGGTTATAGCCTTTGAATATCCCGTAACAATCCCGTGAATCCCCCGCGTCAATCGCAGGCCTGCGCGTGTTTTGGGGCAGGCCTGCCACATGCCCGGCACACGCCTGCCCAAAATGACGAGCAGGCGTGCCCCAAAACACGCGCAGGCCTGCGCAAAATCTCCCTGAGTGAGTATACTTTTCTGCTGGCCGGGAGGTCGCCAATGATGATGTTGACCTGTCTGGCTCAGGACAGTGCGACTTTTGAGGCGGAGGTCGTCCCTGGCGAAGTCTGATGGTGCCTTGCCCGTCTTCGTCAGGAACAGGATGACGACTTCCTTCTGGTGTCCTTGGAAGCTGTCGACGGTGCCGATGTGGATGCTACCTTCCTTGATGGAAAGTTCTCACCACATGGCCTGCTGCATAAAGGATGCGCGATCTTTTGGCTGTTTGAAGTGAATTTCCGTAAAACGCTTCCGAGAGGATGCGTGTTGTTACCGGATGAGTACGCCAAACATGTGTGAGTTCCACGATCGGAACTCTTTCTCCGTCGATGAGCCAAAACAACGGCTCTCCGACTCCTGCTTTTCGGATGGATTTCGTGTTTTTGGTGTGGGAAAATGGTGATAGTTGGCGGAAATCGCCGAGGAGAGCCAAGCGTGCATCGGGAAAAGCTGCGACCAAGGCTGTCAGTGTGGTGATCGGTATCTGGGACGCTTCGTCGATCTTTTTACCTCACCGAGATTCTTCCATGATGTTCGTAGGAATGAGAGTGCAGAGGCTGTAGTGGCGATAACCCGGCGCGGTTGATAGCGCTTGATGAACAGGTTGATGGCGGCTTGCTCTGGATTCTTCACCGATTGTTTCCAGGCACGTTTGCCAGCTGATGATCGTAACTCATCCTGGATCAGAAGTCCCTGTCGTTGACAGAACTTAATCGCTGTGGCGAACTCTTCGTTGTGATCGGTACGTGTATCGTCGTTGGCGTATTGTTCATCGGGGTGTCGGATTCCGTACGTAAGGAACTGAGTAGTAAAGTGTATTTTCGTCCGACCAATAAAAAAACATAAAAATGAGGATAAGTGCTTAGAAGATGTTCAGCTGAAAGCATGAATCTGGGTCCCCGGTCTCATACCTGGAGTGGCAATATTTATTCTTGGTGTTCTAGATAGCCCACATGACTGTTCGTTGCACTGGTTATGCAGGTTACACATAACCGGCCAATGATTCCTCACTACAGATTTTTCATTACCTTTTTTTCACTACTAAATTTTCTTACTAAATTTTCTTTCTCTTTCTTCTTCTCTTTCTTGATTTTATCAATAATCCACTTCATTTCAGAAAAAAAACGAGTTTAAAGAAAATATATTTTTTTAAATTAAATATTAATAACACAGCTAAATTTTATCTTTAAACGAGTGAAAATTAATTTAAAAAAAAAACACTTTACAATTTACAAACAATATTTCAAAATTTTCGTCCGTCCGCAGCCATGAATCAACCTGCATTATTTTTAAATTTTTTTCTATTCGTGTGATTAACAAGGTTATTTCTAACAATATTTTATAGATATTGTTCACATTATTTTCAACACGGAAAAGTTTGTATTCCAAGTTAGCAATGCATTTAGGAAAATTCAATATATAAATAATAATTGTTTGTCCCCTTAAATAATTTTTGAAATATTGTTTGTACCTTGTAAAGTGTTTTTAAAAATTAATTTTCATTCGTTTAAAGATTAAATTAATTTAGCTTTTTTAAATACTTAATAAAAAAGATGAAAAAAAACGATTTTCTTTAAATGCGTTTCTTTCTGAAATGAAGTTAAGAGATTATTGATAAAATCAAGAAGAATGACTATAAGAAAATTTGGTAGTGAAAAAACGGTAGCGAAAAATTGCAAGGGAAAAAACGGTAGTGCAAAATCGGTAGTGAAAAAACTATAATTTCGGTAGTGAAAATTTGGTATTGTTGAAAAATGACAAATGTATCCAGGTGTCGTAGGATCCTGCGTTTTGTACGCAATGCTAAGAGAAAGTTACCGTAATCCTCGCAGCGATTTACGGGGATTTTTTTAAATTTCGCATATTCATTTTTTTTCGCTCAACTTCCGTATTTCCCTTCGAAATTTTGCAGAAACTTTATCAACCAGTAGGGAATGGAAGACCTCAAACTTGGGTAATTAAACATTTATTGTAAAAGAAATAAATCAAAAATAAGTTAAACATAAATTGAACAACAACCAACGAAAGGGAAGAAGAGTGAAAAAATGGGCGTTGAGGCTCCCTTTTATAGGGGCACACACAATCAATATAAAGGTTATACTGTGTGCGTAGGTGGCTTTGGCGGTACAATTTAATAATAGTTTATCAATTTTAAACTTTCAATAATGTGCCTCAGATATTAAATTGTGATGGCGAGGAATGATTTGTGATGGCCTTTAGACTACGTTCCGGTTGTCATTAATGACAGAAACCGAGTTTTAATAATTTATTTAACAGAATAAGCACTTTTAAACGATATTTTTTTGGTAAAAACAGCAGAGATTTAAAAGAAAACATTTTTGTCATGAATAAAATTATTTATTCGTGTTTTGCTTTTTGTATGCGTTTCTATTACCTTGATTTTGTATTATTCATTTTCAAAATAATTTTTAGAGCGACAAAATCTTCACAATAATTCCAAACTCAACTGGACAAATAGAAAAATGCATATTCTGCAAAATAAATGATTAAAATCGGTTTCTACGGATTTTAAATAAAATATTTCTAAAGAAAAATAAGAAAATACAGCAAAAAAACATGAAAGAACATCTCCGTAAATCGCTGCGAGGATTACGGTAACTGTCTCTTAGCATTGCGTACAAAACGCAGGATCCCACGACACCTGGATACAATTTGTCATTTCTCAAAAATAGTGAAAAGTTCTTTCGCTTGGGCTCCTTTGATCGCCGTGTTATCGGCTAATCGCGGGAACACGCGTGACATTTCGAGATGAAAAGTAGAAAGGTCTGTCAATCTCTGAGTTCTTGACATCTGCGAGGCGTTGGTAGAAATCTTGCGTTTTTCGTTTAAAACAAATTTAAACAAAATGTTAAACGGGGTTCGCAACGATAAGGGTGGACTGAGGAAAACGAGACTGCACGGGTGTGACTCAGCTTTTGTTTATGATTAGCGACGAATAGTGTTCTGATGAGAGATGTTTAGAGAAGGCCAACGCATATGTCTTATTGCAACTATGCGCGGCTTTTTATTAAAAAAAAATTTTTTTTTGAACTGAATTGGGAGGTTGAGACAGATGCCCAACTTATTGTGCGACTCCATACGCACCTTCTTGTTGCTTCACTCTTTTTTTTGCAACAAAATAACCTGCCTGTGCCGGTCATTGGCTCGGCAAATTTTTCTTGGGTCCATAGACCCTTGCGTCGCCATTTCGGCTATGCATTCAACACAAAAATAATGGGAAATTACACTAAGTATACTAAACTAAAACTTTTTCTCGCTCACGTTCGCTCTCACACAATGGCTCTCTTCCCTCCTTGGACTCTCAACTCGCTGCTACCAGTAAAGGGGTTAAGCTGCCGTCCTACCGAACAGTGGTAGTGCGGCACTTCCTTTATTTCTCTCACTTTCATAGACGTTAGAAGTTAATAAAGTTTCGAAGAACACAAAAAACACAAAAATTCCTCATCTTGGCCAAGCTGAAAAAGAAAAGAATTTCGAAGCGGGTCCGACCATCTCATGGGAGGCCTTCCTCTTGGCCGGGTCCAATTCCACGATAATGTTTTTTTTTTCGAAATTTGGATGATTTCAGATAAAAGTTGAAACATGCTGGATTTTTTGGATCGGCCGACGATCTCACAGACTACTATTTTTTTGTTTTTCTTTTCTTCTTTATTTTTTGTGACTGTTTTTCTTTATTTTCAGTGTATTTTGACGATATCCAGGCAAGTCGTTTTGTTTTCTAAAAAAATATGTGTCTAGTTGAATCTGATTCTGAAATGATTCTTTGGCGGAGTGAATATTTTATCGACACGCCACACCATTTACAAATCGAATTTCACAAAAATTCCTCATCTTGCCCAAGCTGAAAAAAAAAATTTCAGTCCGTCCATGTATGGTCTACAGCAGGGATCTGCGGGAGAATGCCCGGCTTTCCGAGCTGGGGGTCGAAGAAATCGGGAAATTTTTTCAAGCAAAGAGAACTGTAGAATTTGAAGGTGCATGGCAAAACAATAATAAGCAACTAAAAATCATTTTCAAATTCGAATAACTTTGGCTTTTGTTGGCTTACCCCGGGGAACCTATGTATATTGATGTGGGTACCTATACTGCACTGTGGGTCCTTATCTTCACAATTTTTCAATCAAATGGAGACCTGATCTTCTATTCCAGGCAATTTTGCAGATACCAATATTTTCAGATTTCCTCATTATCTTGTCTGAAAGAAGCCATTCCCCAATTAGAAACAATGCGAGAATGGGAATGAATAGGCGCCATGCACATGCAGGGCCCTACAGGGTGGGCGAAAATTGCTATATAAAATTCAATGTAGTTTAATACGTGTGGGTCTTTTTGTTACCACACTTCTCTAGGTTTCCCATCCAATGCCGATGTTAACTTCATTTAATGATTTCCTTTTTTGGGGATGGTCCATAATATGTATAAATGGGCATTTGGTGGCTGAAAGGTGCGGGTGGTTTTTCTAACGTTTCGAGCTGGTACCCTGCCGAAGATTTATTGAGAAAGTCAATAACATGCGATGGGTCTCGATGCGAATCCAACGAATCCACGCGTACCTTCGATTCTTTTTTTCGTTCTTTTTTTCATCACATTTGCTTTATTTAAAAAAATATCTGCATTGCCCCATTAGAAAACGTAAAAAAAATCGCTTCTACAAGTTTTCCATACGAGACCCACGGCAGCAATTCAAACAATAAACCAATCGGACCCCCAAGTGGTTCTAACATCAATCATTTAATTTTTATGAGGTGAGCCCATTTTTTTCCCTCATTTTAAATGGTTTCTCAAACTTTTCAAAAACGCGATTCGCGACAATTCATTGTTTTTATTTTGGCAATATTTGTTCAACACATTCAATATGTATTATATCAGCGAAAGAAGGACCCATTTTTGAAGTGACTAGTTTTTGTTGGTGAGTATCAATCCGAAAAGAGCGTTTGGCGCGCGTTTTGAAACGTGATGATTCGTCTAGCGATTCGAGTTCGAATTGGAATTCGACTGCTGCCGACGAATTTCCGGTCTGAGGCGTGGAGCGAGTCGATTAATCGCTGCAAAATTCGAGGCGATTAGCGAGCTTCGCGTGAATTGCCCATCTCACTGATATGAGTTCGCGACGGCGGCGCGTGAATCGTCGGCGGCTCCATTTCGATGAGCTCGTTGTGATTGGCGACGACGAGCGGGCGTCGTTCGGCCGGCCTCACCAGAATTCGCGCCTCGCTCGACTTCTTATAGATCACCGCGTTGCTTCGATCGAATTTCGGCTCTCGTCGAAGATCGGCGATCATGAGGCAAATGCCGGTGAACAGGATGCCGAGCACGATGCCGATGCAAATGAGAAGTGCGACGAGGATGAGCGAAAAGCTTGACGACTCGTCAGTGGTCCGGGGAACCTGAGAGAGGATATCAAAAATGGGGAAAACGAAACGGAAAATGAGCACGCGCTTACCGGCCGCGGCGACGGCGTTTTGCGTGGCGGCGGCGGCGGAATTGTGGCCGTCAGAATGCGTTCCTCATTCGGACCAACGGGTTTCAAATAGAATTCGTGTTTTGAGATCTTTTCCTGAAACGTCGCATCATTTTTTTTGGAATTGAAAAAACGGAAAAATACCCAGATTTAAAAAAGATTTTTTCTATTGCGAGAATCATTTTAAAGATTTAAATTTTAAACAAAAACTACCAGAATCAATCGTCGTGATATTTCATTGAAAAGCTGGTTGAATTCGAATTTTTTTTCCATCTTTAATTCTAGAATATTGGGGCATTTTGGCAGATTTTGATTGAATTCTGTCGCGTCCGCGGTCATAAAAGGATCTGTGCCACCAGCTGGCACAGATAAGATCCCCTACGGAGGGAACAAATATGATTTACGACTGGACCAAAAGAGGTCACGCGATAAGGCCAGAATAAAAGGGCATGATAGAAGGGTCCTGCGGCTCATTCTGATTCTCATTCTCTTTCTCGTTCGCATTCGATCGCCGTCTCGCTCTACTCCGTCATATACGCCAGTCATCAGACCGTCTACGCGACAACACAGAACCACCGCCAAATTAAACTATTTCTTATATTATTAATAAACTATTTTATAATAGAAGAGTGTTTAATTTGGTCGCCACAAATTCTTTAAACTGCTTAAAAGTATTTTTTCGAAATCTGATAGCATTTAAATTTTTTTTTGAAACCGACTTTTTGCAATTTAATTTTTCATAAATATTTATTACCGTCGTGGAAAATGAGCACCTTGCTCAATTGTGGGTCATCGCAAATATTCAAATTCCAATTTAAACAGTGGGAATTTAGGTACCGTACTCTGGATAACCTGCGAATCTTACTCATCGTAAATCAACACAGGATGCTCATTTTTTTAAATGTATACTATTATCGACGTCAAACGATTGAAGGGAGACGGGGGTCTTGAAATTCGCGAAATCGGTGTAGATTTAAATTAATCGTTAATTGAATATTAAATGCGCGTACGCTATAATGCATTGTACGCAATCTTCTCGCTGTCTCGAGATGCATTGGCACATAGCCAATCATTTTTAGAATTTTGTTCAGTGTAAAATTCGGAATGTGAAATGTCTATTAATTTTCAAATTTGAGACTATTTGAGAATTTTTAAAGTATTGCCAGAGACTCGAAAAAAAAATTCGCAAAATGAGGAATGTCGATTTACGCGCTATAGTTTAAAGGCGCACACCTTCTCCTCATCATTTTTTGAGAATTTTTCGCTGCCGCCAACAATTATCATAGGGACTCCATTGATTCAATTCTGTGTGTGTCTTCAATCGGTTGAACTGATCAATTGGCGTATCGACGACGGCCTATCATGATAGCTTTTCTCTCAATTCTTCCCATCTGACACATCGCTCTTTTTACTAATAAATTTTGACAAGAATCGCACGACGACTGCCGATCATTTGTTTTGTTTCAGGGCCATCGCGGGGGCGGCGCGGCGCGCGCGGCGGATCGCATCAAAAATGATAACGAATTGCTCGGAAAGTGGAACAACAAGAATCGGGATTTGAGTCAGAAGAAGAAGAAGCTCACCATCAAGCGCGGATCCGAGTTGTCCGGCATGTTCTGAATGATCTCCTTGGTGAGACGCTCGCCCATTTCCGAGCCCCCTTTGATCTCGAAATAATTGTTCCCATATTTTTTGCGTTGAACCACCTGACATTAAAAAATATAATAAGAGAGAGAGAGAGAGAGAGAGAGGAAGAGAGATTGGTTTCGATGCGAACGACGAACCGACACGATGGTGGCGTTCTCGGGCTCCTCATCGTCGAGATCGGGCTTCTGCGAGAGTCGCACACGGAAGATGTGCACCGAGCAATCTGGATCTGGTCGATTAAGTATTTCGAAATTATCGTGGGAGATCGGTGGGGAACAAATTTACTATTTGGCGGCTGGCATTGAAGGACCGAGGCGGCGCGTCGCTCGATCAGCGACACGATGAGCACGACGAGCACCGTAAACGACATCATCGTCGCGAGACCATCGTCCGACACACAAACCGCGCCAACTTCACGAACTACTCTAAAAAAATTGACATTGATGTGAATCGTTATTGAAAAAAAGTAAAAGTTGTATCAAATTAGTGAAAAAGTTGAAACCGGAAACGGAAATCGGCGAGAATTGGTCCGATGGTGTTGGCGAATGTCTAGAAAATCTGTTTCAGCGATGGAAAAAAAAATTGAGAATGCCTCTCGGATACTAATTATGATGGTTGATACTTCTTAAATACACATTTCGCGGCGAGACACACTAAACACTTCGGGCCACGCCCATCGGGATTTGAAAAAAAGCAACGGAGACGATTGCTGGATCAGAAATGAAGTTTTAAGGGAATTCAAATCCGACAGAAATTCAATGGGTTACGGTAAGAATCGCGACAAGACCCATCGACTGAAAAATGCTATAAATAACAATTTAGTATCAGTGAAAAACGCTGGAAAAAACTGGTTAAAAGTGCATGATTTGGATTCGAGGTTTATTTTTTTTGGATTCGAAATTTAAAAAGCTGCAATCGATTGATATGCATTCGATTTTTTTCAATGTTGGAATTGAAATTGAATTCAAATTTTTGCATAGTTTTCATGGAATGAAATAGTGGGATAGCAAATCATAAAATGCTTTTTTTTTTTTTCTTTAGATATCTGGAAAAAATATTTGAAAAATCGCAAAAATGAATAACAAAAATGAAAATCGCAATGTAGATAATGGATTTTTTTTTAAATCCCATCACTAGAAAAATTGGGAATTTGTGGACCATTGTATTTTTTTTTGGGGGGGGGGGCGATGGTTCAAAATTGAATTCAAACAGTTGGAATTTAATCAAACTCATCGTAAATCTACACAGAGTGCTCGATAGTAATTCATATTCAGAATATTTTCAAATTTGACAAATTCCAAATAATCAATTTATTATAATAGCCGGTTCCTGCATGAAAACGAATGTTGTGGAACAGAGAGAAACAATAAATGTTGCGATTTGCTTCGGATGCTGTCAAATCAGTTGTTTAGAAAAAAAAAAGATGAAGTCGAAGGCCGTGTCTTGTATATCTCAAACACGTACATAGACTAGTCATTCACTCATTATTATCTCTCTCTCTCTCACACACGCATACGGCAAAAAATCGAAAAGATGTTGATAAAAGATAAGTTGGCCGGTGTCGAAACATCACGTGCCGATGCGAGACCGTCCGACAGTAATACCATTGAAGGCAAACGACAGATAGGGCCCCAAAATTCATTCATTTTTGCGCGTTTTTCAATTCATTATCAAACAAGACCGATTGGCGATGAGGCGCGCATAAAAATACCGAGCGAATAATAATAATAATAATCATCATCATCATCATCTCATCATTATTGAAACAAAATGTTGTCGACTGAGTCATCTGTGTACACTCATTATTTTTTAGATGACAGTATTGAAATTGAAGAGACATTTCTGTCGGTATTCTTCCGTCGTGTCGATGACATTTTTCGAATACTCGGCAATTTGTTATTGAAAATAATAAATATTGTCTATATTGGCTAGATGCCAACAAATATTCTCCCAAAAATTTTGACATTTCGCCAATTTTGCGTAGTCGCGCGACTTCGACAACTAATTTTAATATTTACGGTGTTCTGTGTGCTACGCAAATTGTCGTTTCGGTGCATGCGGACCCGTTGGATTTTTTTGAATTTCGAATTTTTTTCAATTAAACTTTTGGTTTTTCTTATGGAATTCTCAAGTATGATTAATTTTTCGAAATTGATTTTTTAAAAGTAATTTTTTTGTTTATTTTTCCAAGCTCAAAACAAAATCTGAATGTTTTAGATTTCGTTTGAGAAATGAGGAAACTTCATGAAATGTATGAACACATTGTTTGATGACAAATTCATAATCTATTTAGAGTTTTGACAGGTTAGACTGTTCCACCCGCTACCGTAATCAAATACGACAACTACAGTAATCGAGATCGACCATCATAAATCAGTAAAACAAAAACTAATTAACGAGAGGATTAACGACACTTTAAAAATGAGGTCACGCCCCCACCAAAAAAAATTTGCAAACGATTGATTCAATGAAGAGGGGGGGGGGCGTCGCTGATGCGAAGATCGATGCATAATTTGTGAACGACCATATAAATGATAATATCAGTAAAAACGAGGAGAGAGACACGACGTTGACGAAGATGAAGTTGTTTCGTCAATCGCAAATCATGTCGAATCGCATTCGTCGCGCGAATAAATCACTCGTCGCGGAACCTGACTGGCTGTCTGCGCCAACAAAACACACACACACGCACAGGTACGCGCATACAAACACATCCAAGTCCTACTCAATATGATTTATAAACTATTTATAGCAAATTGTAAAGCATTCATGCATTAGAGATCAAGGTATGTCCATGGGCAGAGCGTTGAGTTCGCTGGAAGTGGGGTTGGCGTCAATTGGAGATATTCGTCGAGCGGAAGACCGAGCGCCAGACGAGCCGCGTGAAGGCCCGATCCGTAGCCAAGAGTGAACCCATTGCCACCGTGTCCGTAGTTATGGACCACCTAAAACATTATCATTGGAATTTGGGGGAAGTATTGTTGCTACCGTATAAGTCTTTCCAGCAACTTCACGCACATCGCGCTCTACTCGCACCTGTTTGCGGCCTGGACGATAGCCAACGAAGGCTGAGAGTAGGTGAACCCTCTGGAATGAATCTCATCACAATTATTTCCATTAATTTTTTAAAAATTAAGATTTGTTTTGCATTTTTTGCTCTCTAAATAACTAAAACTAAAAAATTGTTAGCCTACCTTGAACGCGGGTTGAAGGTTGAGGTATCGTTCCGTGACATCACGAATATCGTCATCGGTTACATTCGATGGTCCCCAGACATGCTCCTGCTTCACGGTGCCCATATAAACCGAGTCAATCCTACAAAAATCGGAATCAAACATCGAAATTCCAACGCGAATCGCCCTCACACTGGAATCGTGATTGTGCTGAAATCGCGATAAAGGAAGTGCTTGTGCCACGGCGCGTCGACTTTGAGCAGAACACCGCGAATCGGATACACGTTGCCGGCGTCGTCGCCGGCGAGCACGCCGCCGTACAATCCGGCCGCGTTGACGACGACGTCAAAGTCCGAGCCGAGCTCGTCGAGCGCGTCGATTCGTCGCTTCGTGAACTTCACACCATTGAGTTGAAGCTGGTTTTTGAGGAACGGACAAAATCGGAGGCCTTCGGAAGTGAAAGCGGTGTAGTGGATTCCGCGAGTTGCGCTGAAATTTCGACCACCGCCCAATTATTATGAAAGAATTCGGTCGGTTTCGATCAGTCGGACTACCTGTTCGGATCCAAATCGAAAAGCGACGTCGGTCCGTAGAGTTCGGTTTCATCCAAATCGCGATAATTGTAAACAAGATCGCCATAGCTTTCCCTCTGAAAACAAAAAGAACAACATCGTCTAATCGAATCGAATCGAATTGCGCAAAATTCGAACCTGCGCGTCCAATTTTTGCTGCGAATCGGAGAGAATGTGTCCGGAGACCAACTGAACACCACTGACACCGCCCCATTCGCGCCAAAGCGTCGCCAGCTTCTTAAATGTATCATAGCCATATTTTCTGAAAAATAATCATAAGACACTGATCAAATTTTAATATAGATATTCATCTGCGGAAATATTTCCAATTACATTTTTTATTAAATTCAAATTGAAGCAAATTTCGAGTAAATTACCGATTTCATTCAGTAGATAAAAGTGTTTTTAATTGTAGAATGTAATATTTGAAATCATCATGACTGATTTGAGTTTTTTTTGTTGAAAAATAGCACAATATTTGCTCGATTTTAACATAAAACGCTAAGCCAGCAGAATAAAAAGGCATATTACTAAAATAGGTATTGTCGAAGTCGCACGATTGCGCAAAATTTGATAAATGAGAAAAAAAAGTATTTTTTTTTAGATTTGTTGGCATTTAGCCAATTTTCTGCAGCCGCGCGACGCCGAAAATATATTATATTCTACTATTGTCAAATGACTTGATGAAATTTCAAAAAAAAAATGATTGGCTATGTGCCAATGTGTCTCGAGGCAGCGAGAACTACGCTAGATTGCGTACATTGCATTATAGCGTACGCGCATTTAATATTCAGTCAACGAAAAATTTAAATCGACACTGATTTCGCGAATTCGAAGGCTCCGCCTCCCTTCAATCGTGACGTCGACAATATATTCTATTTTTTATAAACTATGTATTTGGATACCGCGTCAAATAGAATTTCAATGAGCAATCGGTGGGATTTGTGTTTTCGCTTTGGCCCATCATCTTCGGCATTTGCAATGATTACTGTAGGATTACGGTACTTACGAAAAATCGAAAAATCTTTGAAATTCTTCGGAATGAGCCGATTGACTCCAAACTTGGTAGGTAGAATGAAGAACAAATTTTACTGTAGAAATATCGAAGCGATTGCAGTAGGATTACGGTAGTTACAGTAATCCAAACTAGTATTAGCGTTCGTTAGAGAGAAGAAAGGAGTGGCTTAATACTAAGAGTACTACAACATAGCAGGGCCAGAATTATCGATTGATTCGGATTACGGTAGAAAGCGACGAAAACTAAATATTGTCTGCGTCTCTCATTTCTACACAGTCTTCTTCTCGCAAAAAAACCAAAGTTTCTACTGTCGCAATTCAATAAAAAACCATTCCGAATGCAAACTAATATTTGAAAATATTAAAGGGAGGATGTCGGCGTCTCACACATCAACACACTATCTCATTATGGACATTCGAGAATTTTTGGTGCAAAACGAAAAGTATGGATAGGTTTGTCGGCGGGTTCTTTCTAGGTGACTGGTATTTTTCTCAAGTTTTTTCTTGCTAAAAGTGATTTTCAAACGAATGAATGACTGCAAAGATGAGAAAATTCAAATGAGTGTGTTTTGGGTGCCATATTCGCGCGATATAATCAATTTTTCAACAAAAAAAAAGGCGGTTAATTATTCAATGTCGTCAGAATAACTAAAATCGTCGTCATCGGGCGACTGATGCGCGTGTGTAGATTTACGGAATGCGTAAATCAGCCCGCAGCCGTGTTTCAACGGCGCGATTGATGACATACGCTTTATATTCAAATTGTGCAATCACGCCGCATAAACTCTGCGGAAGTGCACTATAATTTACGCCAAAATACTTTATTTAAAATCGACGGAGACGCGGTCAATGTTTTTTTTTTCGCTATAATTTTGCTTTGATGATTTACTTGTAATGCGAAATTTTAAATTTTCGGATAATCCTTGAACCAGGGCTGTGCGGCAATCGGAAATTTCGGCAAGTTGCCGAAAATCAAAATTTCGGCTATTAAATGTTTTCAACGATAATTCGAAATATAAATACCGAATTTTCACGATATCCCAAATTATTCAATAGTGATTTTTGTTTCGCCGATTTTTTTTGATATCAAATTGCCGAAAATCAAAATTTCGGCAATCCGGCAATTTGCCGATCGAACGTTCTCTTCGGAAATCGGCAATTCCATTGCCGCAGCCTGCCTTGAACCCTGCGTAAATAAAAAACCCCAATCAAATCCGAATTCTCACAATTTTCATTTTCCAGTCGATTCGTTCGAATTTCCCATCGGATCGATCCGATCCAGCTAATTTCGACTCAGCGATTCAATGGGGACGAACAGCGGTTGTTTTTGGGTTTGGGATAACCCGCGGAACAATTTGGGGCAAACACGGGAAACATTGAACTCGGTCAAAACAAAAGTCGTCCACGGTTTAGCCCAAACTCTAAACGGAGGGCAGTTTGTAATTGGAGTGTCGTACTGGAATTATTGAAAATTTTTTAACGTTTACTCAATTTCTATATAATTTTCATCATTATGTAAAGAAAAATTAAAAAAACGATGATTACGGAACAAAAAATGAATGGTTTTTCGTCAATCAAACAGTAAAAAACCATTTATTTACCATAAAATAATAAAAAACCATTCATTAACCATCGAAAATCGTTCATTCGCGAATTAAAAACCATTCGTTAATGAGACGATTCATTTTCTAAATAATCATTTTTCATTCATTAATAATGTTTTTGCTGTTCATTCATTAACCATTCGACTTCGATCGTTCCACTTCTTCCAGTGTGCCGTAAAATATGAGACTGAAGATATAGCCTAGCAAGCATGGAATAATAAACACATTTTTCTAGAGACAATGCTGAGAAATCTTGGCATACGTGTCACAAGACCAGCGTTCTTCATGGATATGAAGGAAGAATTTTGCAATGAAAACAATCATAATTTCGAAAAGTCGCTGCTAATTCAGCCGCCGTTTATGAAAGACGATTCGAATTGTTCACTGCCAGACTCGGTCAACTACTCAATGAATGATTTGGGGTTCAACACTCAGAATGATGAGATATCGCAACGATATGACGCCATTGCAAAGGTTAATCAATTGCTCAATCCATTTTGTTTATCGAAGTCGTGCATTGAAGCCGTGCTGCTAGCGGCACATTTTATTTGTAGCTATGACTTAACGGTAAAACTAAGCTAAGAGAAAAACTCACGATGCATGATTTTAGATTAATGATTTGTGTCTTAGAAATTTAATTCTTATTGTAAGTATAGCCGCGTGACTTTAAAAAAAATAATTTTCTAGATAATGGACTCTCCAACAGCGCACCAAAGCTATTCGATTGCGAAACGCCCCGGTCAACGAATGCAAGAAGGGCTGAAACCAGTCCCTGAGGACGTTATTGACGCTATCAGAGGTAATCATCAAAGAGTCAATACCAAATGGAACCTAATTCAGACTTCATTCTGGAAAGCTACGGATATCCAGTAAAATTGCAATTCCCTGGATATTCAGTAGAAGATCTTCAAAATGAAAATGCGAGGTTAGTATATTAACCATTAATCTTTTATTTTACTTTTTTCAGGTTGGCAGCAAGATTGGGAGACAATAAAGCGGAAATAAGTCAACATTATGAGAAGCTGATTATGGATGTGGCAAATATGGTGGACTTTATTTATTTCAAAGCTCACCGAGTTTTGTAAGTTTTTTGTAATACTTTATATATAGAAATAAGCTATATATATTCAGTAATGATCTTCGGAACAAAAAAATTGTGGAAACCCAAGGTCAAAATGGAGTTGTGCGCAAACGATTCGAACAGGATCCAAACGCATTAAAAAGGAAAGAAAAGGTAATAGAAATCACAGTTTTCTAGAGTCATGAAATAACTAAAACTTTTTTTTATTAAGAAAACATCGAACGACTTCCGCAATTCGCCGACACCGATTTCGGATGAAGAAGACGTCGATGAGGATGAAGCCAACAACGACATTGAACATAACGGTGATTTGCTTTAATCCCAATTTTTTTTGCTCTGCTCATTCGTCGAATCGAATAGAATTCATCTGTTTCGATTCAACGCAATATCTTAAATGATCAATCGATTTCCATTAGAAGTCAATTGGAATGTAGTTCGATTGTGAAACGAGCAATACGAATTTGATTCTAAATTTTTTACATTCGATCATTCATTAGTATTCGACGAATTAGCAGAGTGTCCTTGTTTTTTTTTGTTATCCTAAATGTTAAATTATTCATGTTTTATTGTAATCTTTTTTTTTTTTTTGTCAACGTTTTTATTTTAAATATCGATATTTGCATTATTTGTTACCTATTGATTTTGGAAAGGTTCGAATAAATATGTTATTTAAATAAAACGCGCATTACCCAATAAAATTTATGAGCTGCTAAAACAAGGGTGATTACAACACTCCGCGCGTACACCCGTCGTTTGGGTTAACCCGCGGAACATTTTGGGACGACCAGTGTGACCCCGAGGGAAGGCCGTTCATCGTTTTTGGGTTCGCCCAAAAACAACCGCTGTTCGTTCCGATTGAATCGCTGAGGAGTTATTAAATGGAAAATCAAGAGACGAAAAAAAAACTGCTTACTTATTAATATCGGATCCGCTGTCGATTCGGAATAATCCGGCGATGTGTCGACTAAGAATCCGATCGAAATCCTTATGATAGAACACTTCAATCTCCTAAATCAATGTGCGAGAATCAACAATTCAAATTAAAAAAAAATGCAAATCTACAGGCTTCTCGAGTTGATATTTCTCGACGAGATCCAAAATCGCTGTCGTCGTGCTGAGACCAATGACGCCTTCGCCAACGACGGCGATTCTCAGCGACAATGCATCTAAAAAAATTTGCCAGTGACGAAAATCGAAACAAACAACTCGACTTACGATGTGCAAAAAAGGCGAGAAATATGAAAACGGTTCGCATAATTGCAAACTCGTCGAAGCTTCTTCACCAATAAGTTCCGTCAATTTGTGAAATCGATTTGCAAACCCCTTTTTTGGCGGGTCGCCTTCGATGTAGATCAAATCCAACAATGGGTGTTTGTTGTCTCAAAAAAAAATTTACTATCAAAATGCGAAAAAATAATAATAGAAGTTGCACATCGAAGAAAAAATGTATTTTTTTAGAATAAGAATTTAGTTAATTAATTAAGTGTCTGCCAAAAAGGGTTTCAATTACATACAACATTTTACACATAAATTCCAGATCAATTACCGGATTTTTTGGTCACGAGAGGAACGAAAAAAGAAAACGGGATGAGAAAAAAAAAGAGAAACGAGGAATCAGTGGATAAAATGCACATTATTTACAATTGTTACATTTTGTTTGGTGGAATTTGAACAAGAATCACACAGACGAAATAAATATAAGGAAAATAATCATATAAAAAAAATCGGAACAAATAAATAATAAAATGAGTTCAATGAATTCAAGAAGTTCAGTGCGAGGTTCACCGACCAGCGGAAAAAATTCGTTTTAGGACCCAAAACTCAGCTCTATTTGAGCATTCAATTCTACCCGCAGTTGTTTCTAAAAATGTTATATTTTTATTATTTTTCGAATTGTGCTTCGCCTCGCCTGAACCTTGAAATTTTGTGGCAGAAATGAGGAAAGAGGAATATATTTTTAAAAAAATGATGGAATACGGGAATTGTTGAAAGAAAATCAAACGGGGCCAGTTGGACGAACGGACGGACGGACGGACGAGTCGATGAGTGGCGTCCTCACAATCGTTCTACTTCATATTCTTCGACGCCGTCGTTTCGATGCCCTCGGAAACAGGAAAACGAATATCAAACAATTGTGTGATAAAAAAACCACTGAAGAAAAAGAAGAAGCAAACCGCAGGTGTGTGTGCGGAATTAGATTTTGTCGTCTGCAATAAGAAAAAAAATGAACAAAATTCATTGTGCGACGCATGTTTGTTATATTGATGGGCGGCGTCTCGTATGAAAGAATTCAAGACAAAATCCCCCATATTTGGTGTGAAAATAGCGACCATTGGAACAATTTGCGTTAGCTTGAAAACACTTTTTGTGTAAAGTGTTTCTATGCCAAAGGAAAAAACTGTAAAAATCAGTTGAGTCATTGATCTTCCGAATTTTTCATTTCACGGATTCCAAAACCCTTTTCGATGGTGTTTTTCATCATTCTGCCCATCAGAATTCGAGATTGGTCATCGTGAAAATGAGTGAATGCGGTTGATTGGTTGGTACGTGCGAATCGCTCGACTAATTCCCCTCCCCCCAATCAACTATTCTGATATTGCCTGTTTGTAAATCAAACAAAGATGTTTGTCAAGCATAAAAAATGACAAATTTTTCAGTCAATTGTCCGAATGGCAAGAATGAAAAAAAGAAGCTGTGATCGATTCGAAATCAAACAACTCCCAAAACAAATATGATTTTGTTCGACCGAATCAATTCTCGAATTTTTTTTCGCAAAAAAAAAACAGACGATCTTCAATAATCGAGAATCAACATTTTGGTTCTTTAAAAAAAAACTGTGCAATCACGTCGCATAAACTCGCATTTTAATCTACGCCTAAATATCATTTCTGCTCAGAAACTGACAAATTTTCTCTGGTGATTCAAAATCAATGAATTTGCTTTCAAACTATTCGGACGGTTAGAAAAAAGTCAATGAAACTTTCCTCATTGAGGTTCCATACGAGACCCAGCACGAAATTCAAACACTTATTTTCAACATTTCAAAATTTTTCGTGGTTTAGGTATGCTTATCTATTATAATTCAATTTTTTCGCGTGAATTCCCATCATCACAACGTACGATAGAATCAAACCACCAAAATATTACAATCGCAAAAAAAAAAGAAACGAGCGGTTATTTAGTTTCGAAGGTTATCCAAAGTACGGTAGCCAATCCCACTTTTTAAATTCGAATTTCAATTGCCGCCTCGAAAAATTTTTAAAGCGCTCGTGTTTTCTGGTTTTGCATTGATAATAAAACGAGACCCAAACGCGAAATTCATTTTTTTTAAATTATTTTCATCATATCACCCCGAATTACTGAGAATCAACTTACCATGGAACCACCAACGCGTTTTGCTCGGATTCTTGCTGCACGTCCTCACATATATCGCGTCGTCAATCGGGTGCTTCTGAAATATTACACTTAATTCCAGGTTCGTCTCGCTTTTGATTTATTTGCCTTCTCTCTCGCCGATGACAACATCGAAATGATCGAAAGACACACGGCCTGGACACTAAGCGCCGGTGTCCAGTCGTCGGAAAGAATTGAAAGACAGATATGGCCGTTTGAATAGACGTGCGGATGAGCGGGAATCGGCTGGCCGACAAACATCACCTGATTTTGAAATTATTTAGCAATTTGCACATTTTTTTCTCATTTCGGAAACCTCCGGCGAATTAAATGGATACTGTGGTCCGAATGTGAATTGCAGTGTGAATTTCTCGCCTTCATACAGAGTTCCCTTCGCTCCGATAACCCCAATTTGCCAGTTTCTGAACAATACAGCAAAATTCAACTATAATTGTTTTTCTACAAAAGAGTGAATCGTTTCAAAGACAAGTTAAAAAAAAAACGACTCCGCTCAAAAATTTTGAAATAAGAAACAACCCATTTGTAAGGTGATAAGCTTATTTTTTTTCTCTCATGTCAGTATATATTTAAAATTGCAAAAAAAACGAGCTTCCTAGGAATTTACAGACAATTTTCATTGAAATTTCAGTTTAAACAGTTGGAATTCGTGTTTTACAACTAATTCATGACCTTTTATAAATTAGAGTAACATTAGTGTTCGTTTCTAGTGATTATAATAAATTTTTGAGTTTGCGAAACCTCGTATGGTCCCTGATTTCAAATTAAATAAATCAACAAACTTGAGATCAGCTGAAATCGATTCCTTGTCTATAATAATCCCTTGTGGTGCTTCCGTTTGCAGTTGACTGAGCTCTTTGAGCAATCGTCGACTGCTTGAATCGGACATCTGAAAAAGAAATATTAGGAAAGTGAATGCGAGAAAATGAAGATAGAATCAATAATCGCGATGAAACGCGTCAAATGAAACAAATAAAAAAAAGAATAATTAAAAAATTGATGAAACTTTATGTACAAAATTATGTCAAAATAAATTAATAATCTTGTAACAAATGGCTGAAATCGATGCGTTGGCGAACTTTGAGATGAGCCGTCGTCGGAAGTGCATCCTGCCTCTGAATATCATCATCGTCATCCGTCGTACGCTTTTGATCATCGTCATTATCGAGAAAATCGACGTCTTCTCCATCAGATTCTAAACGAATTCGCGAAATTGGGTTGGGCCTTGGTGGCGGATCCAATTTGATATCGGAAATGTCCAAATCCTCGCTTAATGCCTCGCGTGCCAAATTGATATATTCGGTATAATCGCGTACGCATGCCTCAAGCTTCTCGCATTGCTCTCTGTGCAGATTTTTCAACGTATCACGAGCCTGACAAATAAAAATTGGCAAAATGACACAATTTGATAAAACATACTTGAACAGGTCGATGCTCGTTGATTAGATGGTGCATATTGATGAAAATTGTGTGAATATCATTGATTTTTTCTTCTCGTCCTGGACTATCAGGGCATCGGATGAGAATCTCGACGAGATCGAAGAATGCGGCGATGACACTTCTAAAAAAATCGAATGACAAAACATTTTGTGAAATTATTGAAAACGCCTAACCTATTGAGCTTTTTCATTTCAGCCTTCCAGTCATTTTTGTTTGAATACAAAACACGAATTCCAGAAGCACTCAGTGGTCTGAAAGTTTCCAGCTGGTGGCATTAAATACTAAAATCGATATTACGCAATGACTTCGGCGTCCAGTCGATATTCTTCACCGAACACTTTAAACTCATTATGAGGCATTGGCGGGAGAGGTGCAGACCCTTCAAAAAATCTATATATATATATATATATATATATATATATATATATATATATATATATATATATATATATATAAATGGCCATCCAATGCGAATAATTGGAAACACGAGCCACTTACCATTCTCGATTCGCTCATTCGTGTAATTCTGCGCGTACTCTGGCGGATTCGGGAACGGGCTTATCGTCTGTGCGGCGAGCCCCGGCAGCATTTTGTCTGCAATAAAAAAAGCGAGATGAGAGAGGTGTGAAAAATCGAAATTGAAAAGGGTGGCGAGGTGGACGAGAAAAATGAGCGCGGCCACGGTCACGCAAAAACACGTGCGTCTGATTAGAGAATTACTCGAGAACCGGTCAATAAAAGTTCTCGTGTAACCGTTTTCTTCATACACCTACACACTATATAACTAAACCGTTAACTTTCACGAGAAATCAAACAAATATCGATTTAGAAATGGTTGGAGAGGAAATAATCTCAAAACTACACTCAACATCGATAAATTTAGAAATTGACCTACAAAATTATCCACATATGTTTACAATTTTGTCGTTAAAGACCAAAAACACATTTAGAAACATTTCCTTATCAAAAACCACCTTGTTTTCTTTGTTTTTATCGATATCATGCGTCAAATGTGCTCTATTGCAAATTAATTATTTCTGTGTACTCCACGCGGTGTATAGTGTCGGCGACCATTTCACGAGACCTCAAATGTGTTTCTAGGCAGATGACCGAGCGAAACGGCGAAATGGAGAAAGAGCAAGCGAATTTCAGTAAATTCTTGAAGAAATTCTCGATACGACTCGTTCAAACGCTTGTTCAGGTAAGATTTATTGATAATTTTTTCCCAAAATAAAAACAGCGATTCAGTCGCGACAAGGCGATTTTATTGCGCAGCCGTGCACCGACACCAATGATTGGTTCAATATGAAAATGGATGAGCTTGGCGAAATTTCGGCTTATTTAAAGACATCAATCACACAGTAAGTAAACAAAAAATCAATAAGTTGCATTTGTTATCTTTTCGCCAATCATGCGACAACGTTTCTCTCAATTCGATTTTTCAGATATCCGCCAAACGGAAAACTAGCAATTGAGTTTATATTGCATACAACTGAAGGGCAATCATTGCCATTGGAAGCATGGTAGAATTTTTTTTTGTTAATTTTTAAATCATCGAAATGAAAAATTGCATGTTTAGGGTGCTAAGTGTTGATTCGAATAAAATCGATTCAAATGTGGATATTTGGATACAGTTATACCATCAGATGGGCACGTTGTTGAGATCGGTGGCGACTGCTGCTCGAATGACTCCAATGCATCGTCTTTATGTGAAGAAACAAGATGAAGATTCGTTCATTATTATGTACAAAATACACGATGCAAGCTTCATTCCGAAAATGGGAAATGCTGAGAAGAAGCGAAGACTTGGCGAACTTGATTCGCCATTCGGCGCGGTTTGCTTGGATCTTGTCTATCGAACAACGATGCAATTAGACAATTCGGAGCTGGACGAGCAAAAGTAAAAATTTGAATAAGAATTTGTTAAATCGATTCGAAAATTTACAGAACCATGGATAATATGCCATCATTCTTCTCGGAAGGAGTGTTCATTTCAAAAGGTTAGAATAAATCAAAAAATAAAAAATAAAATGATTGTTTAGGCGAGCATATTGACAGTTCGAGCCCAATGAGCGCGACTCTTTACAACTTTTCGCCAGAAACCGGAAAGGTTGGAAGAAATAAACGAGACAAAATTATTATGTTTTCGATTGTTTCAGAGCCCACCGGAACATCAGGCTTCGAAGCCGCCATCGCCAGAAACTTGCAACGAAAACGATGCTGCGATGGGAACGTCGCAAAACGCTGAAGATGACGTCGAGAATGAGGATGTCGAAGAGCCGGTGCTTGATCAGCTTCGTCGTCACTCGATTCCATTTGCTAGTCTTCTTCAATCCGCCTATGCGCCACTTGAGCCTCGAAAAGAGTCGCCAATTAATCCAGTTTGTGCGACTCCCAGCTCGCTTCCCGATTGCATTCCTGAGGAGAAGAATGAGAACTCGAGTGCCGATGAGAATGAGGATAAAAATGATGACGATGAAGAAGAAGAAGGCGAATCGTTCGTTGAGGTTTGTTCAAGTCGATTGAAGAAATTTCAATTCCGGTGATTTCTTTTTTAGATATGCCGGTTTGGCGATTCGCCGGATACCGACGAAGACGAGCTGGCGAGACTGCTCGATCAATTACGCCATGCCCCTGATATTAAGGATGTCACATTTTCAATCAATCTTAAAAATGAGGTAAACTCGGAGATAATCGAATTTGCTTCTAACCGTTGGTTGTTTAGCTCGAAGAGCTCAAGGCTCACAAGGAGGAATTTGAAGAATTTGTTGAGAAGGTCAACTCAGTGAAGAATGAAGAAGACTAGGATATAATTGTACATAGATGTATCTTGTGTATTTTTTGTATGTTTTCACGTCGTGCACATCTAAACTGGTTAAGCTCTGAGCGATATGTAAATTTGAACTGAAGAATAAATAGTTGCACACGAAAGAGAATGTATTATTTAATGGGAACTGCGTGAATTTGCGATTGAGTTTTATTTGGGTGAAAGAAAAAATAAAAGAAAAACGATAAAGTGATGAAAAATTGAGTACGGTAGACAGTGTGCAAACATCCTGCACACAATTAAATGTACAGTAACAAAGGTTTTAAAAATTTTTTGCAGTAATGAAGTTTTCAGCGGTTTTGCAAGATACAACTTCAGCTGATACTTTTATCAGTTAGTTCATTTTACATTGCGTTTTTTGCTACCGTGATTTTTAGGGTATCTTAATGCTGCCTCGCGTCTCGGTAAAAAACGGTGTTGTTTGAAAATCCAAACAGAAGGTTTCTTAATTTTTTTTTCTAGATTAATAATGTGTTTTGATGTTTTTAGGAATATCTTTTGTCAGCTGCGCGAATTTGCATGATGGTGGTTGTTGGTTTTGTCTATATATACCATGTAGTAGCCAAATATTTCGAAGATTTGTGAGTGGATCGTCATTTTCTCGAAATTTTTTCCGATTCAGGATTTTATAGGATTAAATGCGCGAATTCCTGATCAAAATTTTATTTATTTGGAGCTCGATATCGATAATTTGGTGAAAATATTGCCTGGCGGTCATTGCTATTTGAAAATAAAACTTTCTAAAAATCAGGCAAGCGATTCAATTTCAAAAAATCCGCTTTAATCAATTTCTAGGCCGATGAGCCTGTGTTAGCTGTGGAAGTCAGAGATCCCGATTCGGATATTGTTACCCATCAGGTCCCAATTACCGTAATACTTTCGCGCTATTGGTCAGCCTATGCGAGACCGAGCCATGGGCATAAAAAGGTTGAAATATGCAAAAATAAATAATGAATATAATTTCTGTAGATGAGCATTTTCCTGCCTCAGGCAAAAGTGTTGTGTCGTGTCATGCAAGCTTATAAAAATATGAATGCAAAGTGTTTGGTGAGTGTGCCGGATGCCAAATAATTGGCGCCTAATTATGAGTCATTGTTTCGCCAAAAATGGAGATTCCAGAAATTCATTGCGAGCACAAATGGCGACCTTCGAATTTCATCGACAATTGAGCATGGCGAAATCGATGCGCTTTTCTCTGATTTGCCAACTAATACGGCTGGTGACTATTAGAAGAAGCCCTACTCAATATGATTTTTTTGAATGTTTTTAGAGACGGACAGCCAAGAAGACAGTTCCACAGTTCAATTGATGATCAAGAGCATAGTATCGATGCTTCAAAGTTTCACATTTAGCAGGACGCGGGTTAAAATGAGTAAGAAATTCTTGACTGTTCAATCAGGGATGACTTTTTACGGCCCATCTTAAAATTTTAATTTCTTGCATTCATTCTTTTTATAAAATTTGCAAAAGGTTGAAATAAGTCACCAGCTACTGGTTAACGGGATATGGAACTCGGCTATGCGGCAATTTTTCAACTTGAATTCTAAATATATGTAAGTACCTAATTTTCACGTTATCCATAGCATTTCTCATAAAATGTTTTATTCAATTAAAAATTTGAAAATTAATTACCAAATCGAATATTCTTGTTGTGTTTTTTTTCTGTTATAAATTGCCAAAAATTATTTTGGTCACTCGGCAAATTGATGAACGAAATCTTTCTTTGGTAATCCAAAAAATCGGGAATCCCATAGCCGCACAGCCCTGAAATGGATTTTCAAAGATCGCCCATAAATAGCTGTTAAAACCAGAATTTTGCACTAGGAAATACCTATTTCAATCGATTGTTCTAAACAAACAGTTTAAGACGGGCTGCAAAAATAGCTTCCTTATGAATTTATTTTTCAAGAATATACTTTTTTCCAGATATTATTTCGAACCGAATGGCTGAATTCAATATGCACTGTGATGATTATGATCTCTCATACATTGTTGGAAATGTTATCGAATGAAATCTATAATATTTATTTCCAACCCGTTTTCTAAGCTATATTCTTGCAAAAAAAGAAACGCTTCATTTCTCGTCACTCCTCGTTCCGGCTTCGAAACGCTGCGAATCACCGGGCGAATGATTTCTGGAATTTTGTGTTTTGTTCGAATCGTACGGATTGATTTGAACCTCATATGTGTCCGAATGCCTCTCATACTGAATGCTCTGTAGCCGCACACTTGGCATGTGTAGGTTTTTAGGGCTTGGTGGGCGGTGCGAATATGCATTGCAAGATGTGAAGTGGAAGACGGTCGAAAATCGCATTGCGAACATTTTTCCGGTACCTGAAACAATTGTTGGCCGGAATGTTGAAACTTCTGAGGAGAATTTTTGCGCAACCTTTTTAGACGTTTCCGCTTTGGCCGCCGCATTCGCCGCTTCCGAATTTTTGCAATAGAAATTTTTATGCGCATCAAACGTTTTTTCGTTGCTGAACGAGACACCGCACGAACACGAAAATGGTTTTTCAGGAAATTCGGAAATCTGAAAATGTTGAAAGTTGCCTCAAAAAATCGAATTATTATTTATTTGACCTTTGATTTTGGTGATGAGGAAGCTGAAGATGAAGCTAATTCGCATTTTGAAAGATCTAGTGGAGCAATTGGAGCGCTGAAATAAAAGAAATCTCAATCTCCGAGCAGAGTTGTCAAAATAAGGGAGCTTCTTTTAGATGTTAAACAAGAGAATTTCATTATAAGCACATTTGTGGACATTTTCGAAGATTCGCCATCATCGCCAGTTTTTTTTTTCAAACACGGGGGCTCTGATTTTTTGACATCGCTGGTCGGACTTTATAAAAACTTGAAAAAGCTTAAACGACGAGCCATTGGACCATTCATATAGAATATACATGGTCTTGAAGTAATTTATGACAGCGTTTCCAAACAAAACTGAACATGCTTTTGGAAGTTGATAACAACGATGAGAGTGGGTCCGAAATTATAAGTAAATGTGATCCGAAGTAGTTGATCAAACAAGCGATCGATTGTGAATGAGCCATCTCAAGATCCACATGTACATTCTCACAATCTTGTCCACTTCTCATAACTCTTGGCGGAGATCAAAAATTGGATTGGGAAAAACATTATTTGGATCCAAAATGAGATAAGAGAGTTGGGTAGATTTACGGCGTGCGCCTTTCGCTATGGTCTCGCGCGGACCAACTAATTGTTTTGCATTTTAGTGATCGGCCTCGTTAATTTGAATGATGAAATTCAAGGAAATACCGAAGCCATCAAAATAATAAAAATAAACAGTTCATTCGGATCCGACAAAATTCAGCTTTTCCGATTTGCAATTCTACGGATAAATTTGTAAAATTGGGTAGATTTACGAGAGCACCTTTCGAACTTTCGAGAAGTTTCGTAATAATTCTCAAAACTTGTTGAGAAACGTTTAAAACGAATTAATACATTCTAAACACTTTTTGAGACAATTTCAAGTAGCATCTAAACATTTTAGAATTGCCTCAAAATATTTTACTTGATTTGTCTAAGTCGAAATGGTCTCGCCGCGAAGGTTTATTTTTGAGTTTTCGAACAGTTCAATTTTTCTTGACGAGTATTTCATTTCCTTGAATATTTGAAATAAAAAATTAACTGGATGACCTCTAGATAACCAGTTAGTCCATGCGTGACCATAGCCCGTAAATCGACCCGCGAGCATTTTTCTGTCACTTACCAATCATCCAAATTCACAATTGGAATATTGATTGATAATTGCGGAAGTTTGATATTCAAACTGTTCGGAATTTGAATATTTTGTGTGTTTTGAACGAACAGGGGATTCGATTTGAGTAGGCCAGTGCTTCGGCCAATCGCCACCGGAACGACACTGTGAACCGGACCAAGAAGCTGAAAATCAATTGCCCCGCGAATTGAATTGTTTGAAGCAACCTGAACAGCTTGTTGCTGCGGCAGATCATGATAAGCCAATGGGACCAATATCACGCTCGACGTCTCATTCCTCTTGAAATCCCATGATTCATCGCGATTGCTACAATAGCTATCCGTGTGCACCTTTAAATTCTCGACGCTGCTGAATTTGGCGATTTTGCATTTTGGACACGTGTGCTCTAAAACACAAAAATTTGGTTCGACAAAAGTGCAAAAATGGTGGTACCCCCGGAGTGGAACTCGATTCTCAATAGAGCGCAATTGCATCATTGTTTGTTGATGGAAAACCGCCTTCATACATTTTCTTAAATCGCATGCAGTAGCCGTCAATTTTTAAAAAGTTTTCTTTCTGATCTACACGGCATATTTTTCTAAAATAACTGTAAAATATACGAAATTGCGAAGAAAAATGTTTAGAAATCCATCTAACAAAACAATGATGCAATTGCGCTCTATTGAGAACCGAGTACTATTATGGCCCAGTTTTATTATGGCGAGTTCTATTAAAGAAAATTCGATTCGAAACAAGTTCTATTACAGCCGAGTTCCACTCCGGGGGTACCACCCAAAAAAATCAGTTGACTTTTCTCATTATTTGGCAGGAGTTTCTCGGTGACAAGCACACCGAGAAGACCGTCGTTTTTGTGCACATCGCGAGTGATGAGAATCTGAATCGCGTCACCTGAAATTGCGCGAATTCGAACGCTCATGCCAATTTTGCGAACCTGTATGAAGAACGACGCAGTTGGCCAAAAGCGGATTCGCGCACGGCTTCAATCGTTTCAGTATTTCGTCATTTTCCATTTCGAAACGAATTCGCTCGCCGTTCAAATTGTTCATCTTCAATGGCGATGAAAATTGAATTGCTGGCTTTTTTTCGTGTGCATTCCTACCGTAATCAATAGCGAGCCATCTGTGGATGAATAGTCGAGTTGGCGACATGTCACCTTGAATGGTCCCTTGGTATCGCCGCATCGAAACTCCACCGATTTCTCGAATCCATTTTTCTGGAACCATTCGAATTAGTTAGTAGATCGAGGGGGGTCCCCAACCTCGACGACTCGATGAATCATGAGATTCGATGTGGCATTCATCGAGTTATCTGCAATTCATGTGCTTCGTACACAATCTCGGCAAACTGCCAACAAACGTGCTAAAATTGTGCGTATCGCGACCCAAAATTTATGTTTCGAGTGTGATAATAATATATGCGAATGGTTGATAAGAGAGAATCGAAATGAATTGGGATTGAATGGAAAAAAAAAACAATCTGCGGACATTTTCGTGCCTTTTTTGGGCGGTAAAATTGTTCTTGGAATTGATGCAAAAAAATCGATTTGAGGGAATTGTCAGAATTGAAATCGAAATTGACATCTGCTTTAACAAAAAATTGCGAAAATCATCAGAATCCCGAAAATTGAGGTCTCGAAGCGATTTGCTGTATTACTTTTTTTCTACATTGACAAGCTCTTTGGAAATAGAAAAAAAGCCAGTTGAGGGTGGGAGGATTCTTGTGAGAATCTAGAAAATATGGTTCATGAATGATAGATTCCGGACCGACAGAAGCAGGAAGAAGCATTGGTTGAGGATCAATGGATCCTCAAAAATTGCGCATGAATGCAAAAAATGGAGATGGGGGGCGACAAAGACGAATGTGCGTGGTCCTGTGTGTTAGTATGTGTGTGTGTGTGTGCCGGCGGGTCCCATTGCCGCGGGACTCGCTCCCCCAGCACCAGGCATCTGCGATAACGATCTTTGTGCAAAACGAGCGACGGCGACGGAGATGAGAAGAAGAAGCTAGAATGCAAGTTTCGTTGAAGAAGGAAGAACAGAGAATGAGCAGGAGCCGGCCGGATGAGATCGACACTGATAACGCGAATTGATGAAGTCGCGCGAGATTAGGCAGCGCGAACTATTCGCTGACGGGGTCAAATTGGCTGCACATCGGCAGCGAGCAACGGAAATATCGAAATAATGTTGTTGGTTTGAGTTTTCTGTTTTTTTTTTGCGTCGATAAACACCGCAGATATGAAACTGATACAAAATATTGAGGGTGTGTTATCATTGATAAACCGTCTGCTGCACACACCTGATTAACAAACCATTTTCAGACCAAACTGAAATTTCGAATTATTATCAATTAATATGTATATGTTTTTTTGTGAAATGGTCTCAAATCGAACTTGGCCCGATCGTTTTTCGAATTTGGGACAAATAAATGATGGGGGAATTCTCAAAAATTAAAAAGAAAATGCAGATTAAATTAGTTAGTGAGCTTTATTCGAAAATTATATTATTCAGAAAAATGAAAATCAAGCGTATTTAATAGAATAAAGAAGATTTGATTTGAAAATCATCGAAATTGATTTATTGTTAGTGTCTGGCGAGTAGATTTACGGAGATGCTCCTTTCTCTTGGTCTCGCGCGGAGTGAAAACAGTAAAATGATCGTTCACGAGATCTTTTCGAGGCGCATGCTCGTAAATCTACCCATCGACTATATTCAATTACGATTGAAAATGAAATGGTTTTTACCACATTACTGTACTTCGAATCAACACAATGTAAAGTATATAATCTTTCGCGAAGGTTTTCCTTCAAATGCCCGCAGATGAAAACTCAAGTAAATTTTCAAACAAACTTATGGACCTATTCAATTAATGTAAATTATCGATTTTTTTGCAAATTTTTTATTTAGAATATAGATGATAACTTTAATTCAATAATGGGGACTTAATATAAATTAAACAAAATCGACAAATTTTCATTATGCAGCGATGTCGTTTTTGTCGCAATACGTGCTTGATTTTACTGTAGATCGCGAGTCGATATTTCAAAAAAAATCCAAAAGCTCTAAATAATCTACAAACGGAAATGAAATGATGATTCCAGTGTCCCAGTTCCAGACCGAGCGTTTTGGATTCGCGACAGATGTCTATTGAAATCGCGTGTTATCGAATCCCACAATTTCCAAGCCGTTATTTCTAAAACTTAAACTTTTCCGAGTATTGTTTTGAATATACCACTTAGTCTTCCGGCTCGCAGTCAGGTGGTCAGGTGGACGGTCGGGGGAGGACCTAGAAACTCCTGTGCTATTCATTAATAGATGAGTCCCAAAAACTTGGCTCGATCTGCACCGCTAAATCCACCCAAAGCCAAGCCTTGACCCAAGACATAGTGGTGTCGACGACGGCCACGGGTACTTGAACGTATTTGAGGCGCGCGCGCGCTTCACTTTCAGTATCCGCAATGAAGAAGGCAGCATTCACTGTCGCTCCCTTAGTTCGCCACGATAGAGTCGACGGATTGGCGGCAAGCATCGAATATTCCGGAGCCAATTTCATCAAATCAGTGTCGGTGGTGAGAGTCGCAGACGACATTGTGCATCGCAAAGCGACATTCAAGGAGCGTTCATGGTAAGTAAAGTAAATGCGAGCCTGCGTGGTCCAGGCCGGCTGCGAGATCGAAAATTTAACAATATCCACACGAGTCGACAACTCGAAGAACAAAGAACGATGCTTAGCACTGGGCTCAGAAGCGTCCGGCGACTCAATGAACTGGATCTCCCACAAGTGGCGGCTACTAGCCTCATGCGCCGGATCGGCACATCCATCGGGCAAGCCAACGACATTAGTACGAGCTTGCAACGCAGAACGACCGGCATCTTGGCTACTGCTCAACGGTGTTGATGAATTCCACAATAAAGTGTTGTGGAAACTAAAAAAATTTAATTAACTTATAAAATACAACAATTCACTTTTAAACACTCACCGCTTCATATTCATCATCTACAAACGGCTTCTTTCTTCTCGTGCGCTCAGCTTCTTCACGCTTTTCAGCAATTGGCAAATTTCTTGGCGATTGCGTGACTTCATGTGCATCGACCATATCCAGGTCTTCGACGAAAGAGTCGTTTCCTTCATACTCAACGAATGATATGCTTTAAAAACGAAATATATGCAGAAATTAGTAGTTTTTATGAATATCACCAAGTGTTACTCATAAAAAATAAAAATTATTTTAAAAAAATTGCAAAAAACGAGAGAAAAATAAGAAAATTTAAACATAAAAAATCAGAAAAAAATCGATATTCAAGGAGCACATGCCAATTTTTTTGAAATATCGACACGCGATCTACAGTACCCGTCAGTAAAATTAAGCGCTTATTCGGCAAAAACGACATCGCTGCATAATCAAATTTTGTCGATTTGGTTTAATTTACATTACCTGAATAGGTCCCCCATTATTGAATTAAATTTATCATCTATATTCTAAATTCGTAAAATAAACGATGTGCGATGAGTTTAATTCGCAGGTTATCCCGAGTACTGTAGCCAAATTCTCACTGTTAAAAATCAAATTTGAATTACCGCCACGATAAAGTGCAATGGTCCACAATTACACAAGTCGCCTGTTTTTTTGCGACGGAAATATTTTTATAAACAATTTGGATAAAATAGGATTTCAATGAGCAATCGGTGGGATTTGTGTTTTCGCTTTGGACCATCATCTTCGACATTTGCAATGATTACTGTAGGATTACAGTACTTATTGTTGAAAAATGGCAAATGTATCCAGGTGTCGTAGGATTCTGCGTTTTGTACGCAATGCTAAGAGACAGTTACCGTAATCCTCGCAGCGATTTACGGGCACTTTTTTATTTAATTTCGCATATTCATTTTTTTTTTCGCTCAACTTCCATATTTCCCTTCGAAATCTTCGAATTTTTGGTTAACCAAGTTAACCGGTTAATTATTTTTCGTTCAATTTTTTAATTTTCTTTCGAAATTGTTTAATCTAATTTTTAAATTTTGCAGAAACCGAGTTTAATAATGTATTTAGCAGAATAAGCACTTTTAAACGATATTTTTTGGTAAAAACAGCAGAGAAAACATTTTTTTGTCATTAATAAAATTATTTATTCGTGTTTTGCTTTTTGTATGCGTTTCTATTATGTTGTTTTTGTATTCTTCATTTTCAAAATAATTTTTAGAGCGACAAAATCTTCACAATAATTCCTAACTCAACTGGACAAATGGAAAAGTGGATATTCTGCAAAATAAATTATTAAACTCGGTTTCTAAAGGTTTTAAATATAAGATTTCTAAAGAAAATAAGAAAATTCAGCAAAAAATTGAAAGAAAATTAAAAAAAAAACTCCGTAAATCGCTGCGAGGATTACGGTAACTGTCTCTTAGCATTGCGTACAAAACGCAGGATCCCACGACACCTGGATACATTTGTCATTTCTCAACAATACCAAAAATCGAAAAATCATTGAAATTGTTCGGAATGAGACGATTGACTCCAAACTTGGTAGGTAGAATGTTTTTGAAGAACAAATTTTACTGTAGAAATATCGAAGCGATTGCAGTAGGATTACGGTAGTTACAGTAATCCAAACTAGTATTAGCGTTCGTTAGAGAGAAGAAAGGAGTGGCTTAATACTAAGAGTACTACAACATAGCAGGGCCAGAATTATCGATTGATTCGGATTACGGTAGAAAGCGACGATAACTAAATATTGTCTGCGTCTCTCATTTCTACACAGTCTTCTTCTCGCAAAAAAACCAAAGTTTCTACTGTCGCAATTCAATAAAAAACCGTTCCGAATGCAAACTAATATTTGAAAATATTAAAGGGAGGATGTCGGCGTCTCACACATCAACACACTATCTCATTATAGACATTCGAGAATTTTCCAGAAAACACACAGCGCCAATTCCTCTCGTTGTTCTCAATTTATTGTTCTCTAAATGTAATAAAAAAATGGCATAAAGTGTGAATTGTCAGACGTTTTATTTCCGGCTTCCGCTTCATTTTTGTTCAATAAAATGTTTTTCAAATGCTTATTCGCCTTGATATTTCCAACAATTGTAAGACGCAAAAATTGGGATTCTCGATAATTGAGGAGTTCAAGATTTGTTTGGACAGCAGCTTCGTGCTCGACGTGCTCCCGCTTCGAGCCAATATGAATCCGGCAACGGCTCATCGATTGTTCTACACCGATTTCGGCGTTCTCAACAGTTTTAGTATGTAATTCAAAAAATAAACAAATTGAAATGACGACGTCGGCGTGATTCAGAAGCGAACGCGTTCACGATGAATGTGTCGACGTCGCGATTCGGATTGGCGACGCCGCGCATCTTGTGCGAAGTCGTCGACGTGCTCTGTCCGCAGCTCATTCAAATAATGCACGTCAAATCGAAAGGTGACCGACCGGCTGATAAGCGTCAACGAAACGCTGACGCATTTCTCGTGCAGGTGTTCCGCGTCTGATGGCGCTCGCCGAAGCGACACGAGAAGGCGCCGAGATCATCGATGAAGCGGGATACGTCGGCGCGTGGCCCGGATACTGTGGAACGTCGAACGCAGCGCTCGTCGAGATGCGCTCGCCGATTCTCGACGCCTATTCATATGCGACGAGTTCCGATGATTTGTTCAACGCGCGCTATAATCGTGACAGCTTTTTCTGGCATCCCACCAGGGTTTTGGGCTTCATGTTCTCGGCGAATGAGATCAAAAAACGAGTGTACGTTGGCTGACGCGTTTTCGGTGCACTCGGTTGACGCTTTTTCAGAGACTATCCGTTCAACGCAATTCGACCATTTGAGAGTGAAGTGTTCGTAAGTTGGAGATTCGCAAAAATGGAAGCGTATTGAAAATTTCGTTCAGAACAAGATTATCATCACGTTGAAGCCGTTGATTGTGCTTCGCAACGAAAAGAATCAGACGGCGATGACCGTGTATCCGAAGGCCAACTCGATGCTTAAAGGCGACACTCCATTTTTCGCGTTTTGTTGAAATCTGAAATGATTGCAGGATTCGTCGTTGAGAAAGTCAGCGATGTGTCGGTCGTCGATTCGGACGCCGTCGATTTTCCGACGGTTCAGGATGCCTGCGGCAAAATGACGATGCTCATGGAGACGTTCGATTATGACACCGGTGTCTACTCGGTACGCAATTTGAGATTGCGAGCGTTGGGCAAAAATGAGCAGGTACGAGATGAGCCCTCGATTCGATTTGATTCGTTGGAAACGAGATCGGTTTAAAGGCACATGAATAGATTCGGGAGTATTGGTCTCACTGAATGCGAAAATTGCGAAAAATTGAAATTTTTAGCTAGGGATTGTCGTGGTAAGACCCTCAGCAGACTCTTTCTCTATGCACTCAATCCTAATCGGATCCGAGAATTTTCGAATCTGATCCAAAAATATCCGCAAAAAAAGAATCGGATCAGATTTTTTTTAAATCAGTCTAAGAATTTTCTGAGTGGATTCCGAAGCCGAATTTTGTCGGATCGGATTGGGTTTGAGAGCGATTTCCGCATACTGTGGGACCAATCTTTTTATTTTTTTATTTTAAGAATAATTTTTTTAAAAATTTCCATCAGAATTATTGCTTAAAATCCGCTGAAACGCTGCACAGACTTTGATGGTCCCATCAGAGTTGAGTTGACTGAACTCTGCTCAGGACCATTATTCACTTGGCCCCTTAAGTCTTTTTTTTTGGCTCCGCTATAATAGAAGAAAGAAAAATTCGAAAACAAAGGCGGCAATTCAAAAATACCCAAATTCGAGATTGAAAATGACATGAAAAAAAGCAAAATTTTAGATTCAGAATGAAAAGAAATCAATGTTTGGAATGGCAAAAGCCAAATTTGAATAGTCAATTTTCAGGTATTGCGCAGCGCGGGCTTCGTGTTCAACGAGCAATTCTCGTCGAAGCGTTGTCTTGACGACGTCGAGCCGATCATCGAAATGCAGAACACCGTAGGCGAGTCCGAAACAAAAAACCAAAGAGATCAATTTCAGAACAATACGAAACAATTCGAATTGATTCGCGCCAAATACGTCGAATTGTACGAGAAGCTCGGATGGAAAAGCCTCGGACAAATCGGCTACGCTTCGTGGGGAAATTTCGCGTTCGCTCAACGATGACCCAAACAACATTTTCATTTTCTCGTCGATAATTTATCACAGATGATTTTTTGTTTGGTTTTTTTAGAGAGAGAGAGAGGGCGACCGGCGCGAACAGCCTATTTCACGAAAATCTTTGAGATCGACGTGATTACGGTGGTGAAGAATGTGTAGGTGACCGCAAACACGGCGGCGATGAATTGCGGAGTTGTTGAAATTCGTCGCGAGACCGCCGACGAGATGGCCGGATGCGATATGTGAAGAGCCGGAGCCGCAATTGAGCATTCACTTCTGAAATTGGCGCATTTCGTGTGCGTTGCTGGCGCGCCGTTGGCTCACATTCGACGCGGATTGCCGACGCTTGACATCGTCCTCGTCGTGATGTCGCCGTCATCGTCGAACACCGCCCGACGGAAGCGGCGAGCCGGAATCGGCGAGTGCTGCGCGAGCTGGACGACATCTGTAGTGTGAAACGAAATCGTCGCGTCGCACCGGAAACGCGTCAGCAAACACACGCGTTGCTGACCCGCTAGCGGAGCCGACGAGCTTACTGAGTTGGCGCGGCTCGTCGACGGATGGCGTCGGAAGCGCGTCGACGCGCGGCGTCAACTCAAGACCTTCCTCGATTCGAACCATTCGAATCAATTCGGGCATCGACATCATTTTTCTGAAAAAAAAATGATTGGAAAATAATCACCATCCTAATTATATGTCGAAATTAGCCGCAACGCAAATCATAAAAAATTAAATGTGGGGTTGCCTAGCTTCAAACATTAATTATTATTCACCTGCCGACATTTCACTGGAAAAAAATAGCACATAATGCCTCAAGCGTTTGATGTTCGATCAATCAAAAATATTTAAAAAAAAAAATTGAATTATTCGAATAAAATGAAACCGCGAATTAATTCTGTCAAAAGTCCGCAATATGTCGTCGTGGTGTATACACACTTTTCAATTTTTTTTTTTGAGATTTTCGAATTTTTCTCGCAAAAAAGCATTAAGACATTAAAGAATTTCCGAAAAAATGAAACAAGTGAAGCAAAAAGTGCAATTTTTGAGGCGAAAATTGTTTCGAAAAATACTATTTTTGTGTGTGCTGCGCCAAAAAAAAAGAGAAATTGTATGAACACGACGAAAATCGTCTTACACGTTGCCGTGCCGAGCCGATCGCGCCGTCTCGAACACGTCGTCGATCGGAATCGCGATCGCGGCGTTCGCCGTCGTCGTCGTCGTCGGAATCGTCGGCACTTTGAGATGGCTGCGACCGTTGACTCGAATCTCAATCGAGTGCGACGCGTTCTGCAAAAAATGGTCGCCAATCGCGTCGATCATCGTCTCATCGATTCCGTACCTGTGCGCCGCCGCCGCCGCCGCCACGTCGTCTGAAGTACCGTGCACAACAGCAGAAGCTCGACGTGCTCGCCGTTGAATCCGGCTCCGGACTCATTTTGTGAACGGCACAATAAGAAGCAGACGAAAGAAGTTTGATAGAGGCTCACACACACACGGACACGCACGCACGCGCGAGACCTCGCTCGCCTCACAATTATAGCGGCGTCGTCGAGCCGGTTTTTCGGCACCGCCGCTGCCTTGGCAACACCGAACCGACGAGAGAGTAGGCGAATCGAAGAGGGCGCCAGACACGATTTCTATGATAGGTAATTAGAATATATGCGTCGATTCTAAACAATTTGGTGGCGACGAAAAACAATTGAACGACGGTGACTCATTCGAGACGGCACATGTCCGCAGATGGAAACTCATAAGAAATTTGTTTCCCAAAAAGTGTTCTCGGTTAAATAACAATAAATTGCTCTCGTTCGAATTTTATTAGCCATATGAGCCAAGAGATCAATTCTAAACCAATTTTCGGCATTTCTGCTCAGTCGAAAAATTTCATTTTTGATCTGCGGACAATTTGCACAAAATTCTGGCAAACTCCGCCCACTTACAAAATGGTCCGTAAAATTGGGTTTCCGCCATCGAATTTCATTTCCGTTTTTTCAAGTTTGCCTAAAATGTCCTTCAAGGTATTTATTCTCATTTGCACGCCAATAATAATTTTTCAGATTGTTTTCGAGCAAATTGAGAGCTCATCGATTCAACAATTGTCCGAATGTGATCTACAATCATTCTCGTACAAGTAATTCGAAATTTGAAACGGCAAATCGGATTTTTTTTTGCCAACAGAAAAGACGCGCCTTCGACAGAAAAACCGCGAGTTTTGCATCGAAATCAAAAAGTCGGCACTGACGTTGCGGCGAAAGACAAGGCTTGTGGTCGAAGGTATCGCATTCGAACCCTGAAAAGACTCTCTTATTATTGCGTATTTTCAAGTGTACTCAAAGTGAATGTAGCGACAAGTTATGAGTTTCAAAAATTGAATGCAACGCAAATTCATCGAGCCATTAATGATCCGAAACTCGCCGAGTTTTTGAATCGCGTTTATCCGATGTGAGTAGTTCGTTCGAAGAATCGGCCTTGAACAAACCATTTTGCAGATTGAAAGAGGAACTTGATGATAGCGAATTGTTCAATAAACTCTAAATTCTTTTTTTTTTTCTTTGAATTATTATTATTTTTATATAAATTCAAGTATAATATACTATAATTAGCATATCCCTCCGTTTTTTATTTGGCAAACACGGCTATAATTCGAAAATAATTTAGAAACCAATTTCTACACGATGTCGTCTGTAAATCGCTACTTTATCTCGTGTTTTGATTTTGGTATTTACTCGTTCCTTTATCAGTATTGTCGACGTCGGCGGAAAAAAAGCGGTGTTTACCTTTAATCGATCATTATGCATTGATCCGTGGATCTACATTTTAAGTTTGGCGCCAAAATCACTAACACTGTTCTTTTTGACAATTTCACTCTGTCGCGCGACGTCGACAATAGCAAATCTCTCACCCGGGTGGAACAACACTCCACCAAAATGATTGCAACAATTCAACATATTGCTTCAACGGATACCCCGAAGAAGCTGGCCAAAAATTGCAGTTTTCTGACGCTTTCTTGCGAAAGGTCGGAACTCCAAATTACCTTGAGTAACTGGGTTAAAACCGACGACAACAGCGAAACGTGACTCTTTGCCGCATCGCGTCTGCGGACATTTATCGGGGCCGTCTTTAACGCATTATTTAACGTGCGAAAATGTGAGACGCAGAGAAGTGATGAGAGAGCGCGGAAGGAGGAGAGAGCGCAAGCGGCGAGACAAAACGCAGAAATTCGAATACTGCAACGACAAATTGATAGATTTTTAAAGCGATTTCAGCCAATTTTCAACATCCATTATTTCAAAGTTTCTTTCATTTTTTTAATGGGCCTATCATGTAATAAAAATATATACATTTAAATTCATGTTATGAAAAAATGAACCTTTAAGGCAATTCTAACATTTGGTGTAAAAATGAAAAGGTCTATAACAACTTCCGAATGAATATTATGGAATGCACTCGTTTTTTAGATGAAATTATAGTGAAGATCATATTCAAATTATTTTATAATGGATATGCATGAGAGAACACCCACTAGGGTAGCAAACCTAATTTTATTTTCAATCAAAATCGAATATATATGTATAAATTAATCTGTTTCGAAGCCCGCGAGAATTTCAATCGAATACAAATTATTCGCACACTAAAAAAAATGTAAAAAGAATTACACAATTTTGTAACGCTGGGTTGTAATGAAATGCACTTTTAATGTAACTGTTTGCCAATTAGATCAGACAAAATTCGGTTCCGGAATCAACCTTTTCAGATTGGTAATTCTACGGATAAGTTTAGAAAATTGGCGGATCCGATTGGTAATTATTCAAATCCGTTTGGTTTTAATAATTCAATTCGAATCGGATCCGAAAATACCCAAAAAAAACCAATCGGATAATTTTGATTCCGGAGCGGAATTTAGTCGGATCTGATTAGCTTTGAGTTACCAAAAAAGACGGGGTCTTCAAATTCGCGAAATCAGTGTAGGTTTAAACTTTTCGTTGACTGAATATTATATGAGCGTATGCTTAAATGCCATGTACACAATCTCCACAATCTCGCTGCCTGGCCCATTGACTTAAAGCATTAATTACTTCATCGGACACCCATTTTTGCCAATTTTACGCTGTCGAGCGACGTCGACAATAGCTAGTCTCTAACTCGAATGATGCAACAACACCAAAATGATTGTAACACATATTGCTTCAACGGATACCCCGAAGAAGCTGGCCAAAAATTGCAGTTTTCTGACGCTTTCTTGCGAAAGGTCGGAACTCCAAATTACCTTGAGTAACTGGGTTAAAACCGACGACAACAGCGAAACGTGACTCTTTGCCGCATCGCGCCTGCGGACATTTATCGAGGCCGCTTTCAACGCATAAGTTAACGTGCGAAAATGTGAGACGCAGAGAAGTGATTAGAGAGCGCGGATAGAGGAGAGACGACAGGCGAGCTTATCAGCGGAATTTCGAAAACAGTTTTTCGCTGGAAATTTCGGCCATTTCAATACGATCAACGAAATAATCATCAAATAAAGAATAATGCATTTCTCTTCTAAACATCATATATTTATTCAAATGCACAGCATCAAAAAAAGTCGAAAAACCGCAGAATAAAAGTTTATCCCGACTTTCGTCCCTTCTTCCGCTTATTGCTGCTGCTTCGTCGTTTGCTCCGCTCAACAGTCTCGAGCTCTAAAAGCGCAAAAATGTCCGACACATCGAGGCGAATTACCTTTATCGGGAGCCGTTTCTCGGCGAACAACTTTCATCACAACTCCCGGCTCTTCAACGCCATTCGGCGGCTCATCGGAAACGCTCAAATCTTGAAAACCGCTCGAAGAATTGCATAAAACTCCTCAAAATTCTTACCAAAAACAAAAGAAAACACCAAAAATAAAAAGAGTATCGAATTGGCGCGCATTTGGGCGTAGACTAAATCAAACTACTACAGAGCTTTTCGGTGTTGCCTGGATATGCGTCTTGTTTGCTTCGAAAACAATAGAATTATTGTGGAAATGAGCGGTCGAAACGATTTATTCATTAGTCGGCCACAAAATCACGTTAGAATTCATTGCATCTCGTCGAGCAGTTTGAGAAGTCGTTGCAGGACCATCGGAATATCACAATACAGATTCTCGCGTCTATACGGTTTCTCGAAACGCTGAAAAACGCGAAAATCCGGCTGTAATAAAAACGTCTCGGCAATGACTGGAGGGTCCCAAAAATTGAGGCATCCGAAGGCCGCCAATAGAATATCCGAGCGGCGTAAAACGATTTTTATTTTTTAAAGCAGGCATCTTATTAGAGATAATACCTGTCAGCTTCTTCTGACAGTTTTTGGGACCATCAAGCCATTGCTGAAAATTTTGGCGGTAAATTGGAATAAAAGAGATTCTGTCGAATCGAAAATGTTGTTTCGCGTAGATTTAGGGAATTGGGTTTCGCCATGAGATATCGCCAAACGGGCGCCTTTATTGGATGTCGAAATTCGAGGAATCGACGAAAATGCGAAATATATCATACCACGACGCCACTTATGCGAAAAACGCCATTCGGCTCCTCAAATACTTCAATGTGATGGGCGCGTAGATAGTTTATCACTTTTTCAGCTCTGAAACGATACACTCGTCGATTTGTTCTCGAAACTCGTTCACCTTTTATACATTTCGCCGTCTTCAACGACATTTGTGCTTTGCATTCCGAGAAGTTTGTCAATTTGCTCCAAAACGGCTTCGCCAAAACTGGAAATACCATACTTCTCAATGCAAACCGTTTTCAATCTTACGGAGCACAATTTTCATCAATCTCTTCAAGTTTCGAAATATTCGAAATTGACGAACTGGGAATTAATTCGAAACATCGAATTTCTGCAATTTTTAATAAGAGAAAGTGGGAATTCAACATTCTCTTTTTTCGATTCTCGATTATGTGATCAATAAATTTTTGGATCAGTCAATAGAAAAATGCTTGAAATTTGCAATGAAAGTGATTGGTAAACGCGCAGACGACGATATTGGACACCGTTTTTTAAACAGTTTTACAGAGGATAATTTTAATCATTCCATTTTCCTTGGTTAATTACCGTCGAAGGTGGATAATCGGCAAATTCTTCAGTTATTAGCAGGGCCGCGCGAACGCAGCCCCTCACGCAAAAATTTAGTTGTTGGCGAATCTCAACTCGAGACTGCCACACAGGTCAGCCCATCCTAAAGTGCAATGGAAAGGCCTCGCCGTGGGGATTCCGCCTTCTTGATCGCGAAATACCCCCAACCAGGTAAGTTTATGAGCCATCCAACTGCCGTCTCTTATGCGCGCGCACGTCCCGACGTTTCGCGGGTTTCGCCACCCTGTATGCTTTGTGTGTGTGGGGCGGAGACAAGTCTCCTTGACATTACACAACAGTTTGTACGCGCCGCACAAGAGAAATATGAAAAAATTTTAAAAAATGAGCTTTATATTTTTTTATGAGCTTATTCATAAACTACAAAAAAATGTATTTAAAAATTTTAATTTAATATGCACTTATCCTGCATTGAAAAACAAATTTATTTTTTCTTTATAACGTCAATCCAAAATTTGCCATTCGTAAACTTTTTCAAAATAGCATTTAGAGTTTTTCAGGAAAAAAAATCTATCAATTTGTCGTTGCAGTATTCGAATTTCTGCGTTTTGTCTCGCCGCTTACGCTCTCTCCTCCTTCCGCGCTCTCTCATCACTTCTCTGCGTCTCACATTTTCGCACGTTAAATAATGCGTTAAAGACGGCCCCGATAAATGTCCGCAGACGCGATGCGGGAAAGAGTCACGTTTCGCCGTTGTCGTCGGTTTTAACCCAGTTACTCAAGGTAATTTGGAGTTCCGACCTTTCGCAAGAAAGCGTCAGAAAACTACAATTTTTGGCCAGCTTCTTCGGGGTATCCGTTGAAGCAATAAATGCATTGTAGACTTGTTGATAATTAGAACATACATTAGAAAACCGTATTATTCTTTACAACCTAGCACAATAAAAATATTTGTCACTTTTTGGTACGCGGATAGTGCTATCAATTAAGCGAGAACGGTAGCGAGCTCGTCAGCAGCCCGTAGCCGAAATGCTTCAACTAAAAATAGATACCACATTGATGATGAAATTGCGCCAAGACCAAAGTTCCAGATGTCGGATCAATCGTTACAAGATTACCAGTCGTCGTTGAAGCTGTCCTCTTGTTTCCATCATCCAAAACAACCTACAATTCATAATTTACGCGTATTTTCTATATTTATTTTCAAAAATTCGATTGTTAGGCAAAACCTAGAAATAAAACATCAGAATTTCCAAATTTTGAGTCCATTCATTCAAATATATTTGATTTTGTATGAAATTCAATGTACCTTAATGGGTTTTCCCAACATATTATAAGTCTCTTCGACACTGATCATCTTCTGAAAATCTTCCCAAATTGAAGTTCACTAGTTCGAACACGGAAAAGATAAAGCGAAAGTTGCTAACCATATAATTAATTAATTAATGAGTAAACTCATCCCAATTATCACAATTTATTATGCGTTCGGTTCCCGAAAAAAGTGAAATTATATACAGTTTACATGTAAGTTGTACTTGGCAAGTTGAACACTTATATACAAAAAAATGTTAAATTAATTATTCGACTTCGAAAGTTCTTCCTGCAGTTGTCGAACAAGGAGAAGGTCTTCTTGCGACGGCTCGTAGATTCTACCCAGAATTATCTGAAATTCTCGATTTTTATTATACAATTTCATGTTTAGATCCCCAAATTTGCGTTCAATCTTTTCATACAAAACTGACATCATTAAAATTGCGTGGATCGCAAAAAAAACTGTTGATAACTGTTTATTGGCTCATAAAACAAGTCAGCCACAAGATTAGATTGAACATTTCCGGATGACGTTTGCACAAACTTATAAGCAAAACCAGGAAAACATCATTTTTGTGTGCAAAAAATGAGAAAAAAAAATAAAAACATACCCGATCTTTGAAAAGTTTCGCAAACAGCATATAATTGGCGAACATGAGCAGCACAAAAGTCACAATATGCTGCCAGTCGTTGGTGAGGACGAGCATCCAGAATTGGATAAAAATGAGCGAAAATTCGAACATGCACATCCAATTGATGAGGGTCAGCGGTTTTTGAATGAACTTCTGCAATCCGATTCAATTAGATTGTCAAATTTGCTTACTGGCTCACAAAGAAATAATATTGGAACCATTTTTCGGGATGCGCTGCTATTGTTTTCACATATTTCGATGATCTCGCTCGGTAGCATCGCCCATCGGGCATTTGAACGGTATCCCCCTCATTATAAAGGACTGAATCAAGCCATGGAGACGGCGATTGACTGAAACGATAAGGAATCGTAATAATTTGGTAATAGTTGGCAAAGCAAAGATTTAAAAAGTAATGCCTACCTCATACTTCCCATGTGGCCAATCTTTGGTCCTTCAATGGTTTCCCAGCAGCCAAGATGAATTGCAGCTCGATGCAACAAATCCAAATAATTCAACGGCAGAAGATAGGTCATATGATGCGAAAACGCTGTGAGACCCACAATGAGTCCAAGCTGATACTCCCAGAACTCGTTGATGAGAATTTGTTGCGGAACACCGAGGGTGGTTTTGTGCTGAAATCGAAATAAAAAACGTTGAAAATTGCACAAATCCTACCGGCACAAAAACGCACGGCAACAAAACACTCATAAATGTTGTCGAAATTCCAGCATAATAGCTGCGTTTCGCTCGAAGCATCAAATCATCAATAAGAACATCGACTTCTTCACGAATTTGAGCTTAAAAAATATTCGGTATATAGAAAATTAAGGTGATGCACTTACCTGGATTATCACTGCACATATGAAGAACCGAATCGAGATCGATTTGAGCCGATGGACCTTCGCACATTTTCTCGACAAACTATAATGAGACTCTGATTTAATTTCGAAGGTAAAATGCAATCAAATACGTTCGATTCATATCTTTTGATCGATTTTTTTTTTAAATAAAATTTAATAGCCAATACTCAAAAATCGATGATTTCAGAGAAAATTCACAATTTCTTCGAAATATTCTCAATATTTTGCAAACCTCAGCGAATTCAATTCTTCCTTTTCTCCATTCTCCGAGCGTTCGTCCAAATCGAACGACCCATGCAATTAATTCGTTGTAGAACACGCAGCTATACAAAAGGATTCTGAAAATTTGCGAAAATCGATTATCATTAACAACAATTAATTCGTTTACGGGAAGAAAAAATAAAGAATTGATGAAAGCGGGTAATCATTGCACACACGCGTGAAGCTGAAAATAAAAACCTTTAGCAAATCCGAATATGCGCATGGCTAAACCTGAACAAGAAGCTCGTGATCACCAATGTCATCAGTGGGGTTTTGATGACGGCGTATTCCGTAACCATTAGAACCGTTTGAATAAATGGTCTTTGCGAGAACGAAATCGAAGCAACTGTGTCGGTTATCTGAATTATTCAAAAATTTTCAATTTAAATGGTTTTAATTTAAATAAAAATACCGTTTTCCAAAAGCAAAGTGTAACTCTCCAGCCAAGCATTAGACCAACGCATGACAGGAAATACGGATTAATTAAATGGAATTTCTGAAAATTGTCATTGTTTAATTTTTGTTTTCGTAATCTTACTATTGAAAAATGCCAATACGATTTAGGCAGCCACCATAGGGTTTTATAAAGATTCAGGTATTGAAGAAACAAAGCTAACACGGAATAAAGGAAAAGCGTGCATTCAAAAAACAGCTCTCCTTGAGTAAATTGCATGTCAGGCCATGCCGGATGAACGGAGACGGTCAAACCGCTAGTCGATTGACTGAAATAATGAATTCCTTTCAGAATCTCTCTCGCCATAACATATCAACCAACATCTTTGTGGCCACTTGTTGAACAGGTGGTAGAATCTGGGGTGTAGTCTTTTCTGCAGCAACATTGGGTGCTTTCTTTGAGCCTTTAGGAGGCATACTGTAATTTCGGCTTGGAATGGTTTAGAATTAGACGAAAAATACAATGACGGGTATGTACCGAAATTTTCATGTTGAGGATATTGTGTGTGATGAAATTCTTCTGGTAACAATTTATTGACAACAAAATAACATTTATTGCGGTGGTGGGGCTCCACGTCCGAATCCGGCTCTGTAGACTGGGGCAGCTCCTGGTCCAGCCTCGGTAGCCTTGTCGGTTCTGTAGGCGTCACGATCTCCCTTCTCTCCTTGGGCTGAAAATTAATTATTTTGCTATACTGTTGGTTTAAACATCAGCTTGTCGAAAAATTTCTATAAAAACTACCATCAAAAACGAGCGCCGTGCATAATTGAGGGCCATCGCACTATTTCCAGGATTTAATTCAACTTAGAATTTAAACAGTAGAAAATCGGGTATCGTGCTACGGATAACCTACGAAGCTAACGCACCGCAAATTGGCGCTCGTTTTTTTTTTAACGAATTTAATAATTTATCACTTACCAGATCTTTGTGGTCTGTCCGATCCTGGCACACGAACCTCTCTTGGCTTTTGCTTGATGGTTTGTGGAACAATCTCGACTGGGAGAGCAAGGTACTCACGAAGATAAGTAATTCCCTCGTCGGTAAGGTACCAGTAATAATGGCGCCAAGCGAATTGTTCCTTAACCAATTCACGGGAAGCGAGCGACTAAAAAATCAAATTCAAATCTTAAAACAATCTCATTTAACTACCTTCAAAGTCTTGATGACTTCGAGGTTGGTGACTCCCTCAATGTTTGGGTGAGTCTTGGCATTGTAGTCCTTCTTGGCGACAGCGACTCCCTCGTTGAAGAGGTACTCATAAATGAGCTTGGTGTGGCTCTTTGGGATAAACATAGTGACCGCAAGTTCTGAGAAAAAATTGTTTAAAATAATTCACCACAAAAATTAATAAAAGCATAAAAAATTTCACGTTTAACGAGCCGAAATAATTCAACATTTGACAATTAAAGCATTTAGGATCGAATTTTCATTTATAGAACAAATTAAACCATTAAAAAAACACGAAAAAGAAAAGAAAAAATCGAAAAAGTGTCCAATGCAAAGCATAGGGGCAGTTACGCAGCGTTTCGTCAGTGAGCGAAAGTGCCACAGCTGAACTAGTGCTACAGTAATGCCTGCGTATAACCCCTATACTTAACCATAGAGCAGAGAATTCTCTTCAATTTTCCTTCTTTTTTTCAAGTTTTTGCAGGCCTATTTCAAGGATTTTGTCTGAAATTAACCAGAGTGTACTCGAATAGATACTTTCTATTATTTTACGTATATTTATTATTGATTCGAATTAATTCTATTACGTGATTTGGTTTTCGTCTTTCTGGAATAATCATTTTCTTTTGTTTCAGCACAGTCAAGCCTGGGAATCCACAGTTATGAAGGTCGAAACCTGTGTTTATTCTGGATACAAGATCCATCCTGGACATGGAAAGAGACTTGTCCGCGTCGACGGCAAAGTGAGATAATTTTATTTACATTTTTTTTAAATTATTTGAAACAGTATTGAATTCAATTATTTTATTTGGTCTTTAAATTTTTTTATCTGTTCAATAGTGTTTCTTTAAAAGTTTAAACAATCTATGTTATAGTTTTAGGTCCAAATCTTCTTGAGCCACAAATGTCTCAAGGGAGCCAAGCTTCGCCGTAATCCCCGTGACATCAGATGGACTGTCCTCTACAGAATCAAGAACAAGAAGGTTTGATTACAACTAAATATTATTGTAAGATTGTATTTATAGGGAACTCACGGACAAGAGCAGGTTCAGAGAAAGAAGGTCAAGAAGACCGTTCAGGTTGCCAACCGCGCTGTCGCCGGACTCTCCCTTGAAGCTATTTTGGCCAAGAGAAACCAGACTGAAGATTTCCGTCGTCAGCAACGTGAACAAGCTGCTAAGGCCGCTAAGGAAGCCAACAAAGCTGCCCGTGCCGCTAAACAAGCCGCTAATAAGGTAATTTATATTTAACATGTTGACAATTTTTTTAAATTTATACGTGTTTTCCTTTTTTTAATGCGCAAATTTTAAAGGCACACTATTAGAACTCATAATAAATCTGTTTTATTATGAGTGTCGAAGTTGTGCAAAAAAATAAGCTCATAGGAATAATGGGGAGTGTTTCTTTTATTGATTCAAGTATTTTGAATTAATAAGAGTTATAAACTTTCCTGTTTCTTTGTGCAATATTAAAACAACATATGGGTATATTGTTGCGTCAAATGACTGAAGCAAATTAAAAAAAAATGACTGTGTCAGGGTGTACGGTGTTAGCGAGGCTACGGTTGCCATTTAACGTACACACATTTAATATCGGAAATTAAACCCTGGCTTCCCAGCCCCACTCAATCATTTGACAGCGACAATGGGAAATTAGAAAAAATGAGTCCTTTGTTAATTAGCGATTTTTTGGGAGCAGTATATCTCATTTCGATTTTTTACTCCCTAATACCTGTATAATGTTTCCGGCAATTGGCTATTTATCGCAGTCGCACATCGTTGGCAATATTACAATTTTATTTTTCAGGAGAAGAAGGCCACCCAGCCAAAATCCCAGCAGCAGAAGACCGCCAAAAACGTTAAAGCTTCAGCCCCACGTGTTACTGGAAAGCGATAAATGTTTCCTGGCAAGATTTTTTGTTATCCAATAAATATTGTTGTCAGTTACGCGTTTTTGCATGCGGCAGAAAGTAAATAACCCTTGACATTACCTGTAAACAGCTTCTGAAAGTGCTTCAACGGAACGTTCAGAAATGCAGGCAAATCGAAATTATGCATGGTTAGAATCGACATTATTTGTTACTGCCTTCTCATTATGGGTCTGTAGCATTTTACGAGAAATTCCTATTCGTGCTGTTCCAGTCACGGAAGCGCTGAAAGATGCTATCGGCCACAGCGAAACGTGCTCATTTTCGCTGGAAGCTGATGATAAACGAGGAATTATCTGTATGTTTCAAGCATAGTCCAATTTTCTTAGTGATATTCTAGTGAAGAATTTTCCGCTCGAATTCTTCGATGACGATGTTTTGAAACAGAAATTCCAATACGTCGTAGAAAGAATAATTGAAAATCCGTATGTGATTTTGGAATGGTTTGGTTCCCAGTTGGATATGAATCCGATATTTTTTGAAGCAATATTTTCCCAATACGTTTTGGTAAAGTTGCGGAGTTTAAACGAATTCAACAGTATGTTTTAAGGGAACTTTAGTCGCTTTCGTAGTTCTCGGATTCATTATCGATCTATTGCTGATTCAGCCAATTTCAAATCGTCTTCAAGATGTTTTGAAACTGGAAGCGATCGAAAAACGGGAAAAAACTGTTTTGCAAAGCGCAATAAAGTAAGAAGATAATATGAAATGTCGAATTATTTTTATAACAAAGCAATGCAGAAAATTTGTTGCGCGTAAGCTGATTATTTTATGCTATGTGATTGTTCCACAAGGAATCGATAGTCGACACGAAGAGTAATCAATTTCGAGAAATATCAAAACCTAATTGTGCATTTAAGGAAATTCTTCAAAGATTTTGCGAGTTTCGTGAATTCACAATTCCAAATGTTCTCCAAATTCACTGATATCACATTTTTCGCCATCTGGTTCATCTTGGTCGGATTTTTGTTCATCATTGCTCAAACTATCAATACCCGCTTCGAATGGGTTTCAATCCAAATATGAACCGTTCTTCTAAACTTTTATTTTCAGACAATTCGATTCTGCAATAATGAGAATCGAAAACTTCAAGGGACCACTGCCATCGTCTCTCTAATTGTTCTTCTTTTTGGATTATTCATGATTTCGATTTGGATGGTGGTTATCGGATTGCTCAGTTCTGTCATTTTATATCCGCCATACGCTGTCACCATCGTCTTATATGTGAGATTAATAAAATGCGAAACCTAAAACAATTGCTTCCATTTTAGGCGATTCTTTGTGTTTTAAACACCGGGTTTGTTATGTGTCGAATTTGTTTTTGCTTCTCTGCATCGAATGCAGAAATCACTGGTCTTAATGACGAGAATGGAAAACCAATTGTAAGTTTTTTTTTTCAAATTAAACCTTATTAGGTCGTATTTTAAGGTTGATGATGAGATTGTCTCCCGATTTGTTGCCCTCGGTGGCCATTATTACAAGAGTTTGGTCGTTCTTCGAATTGTCTACCAAATTCTAACCCATCTAATAGGAATTACCATCTATGCTATTATAATGGTACGAATTTTTGAACGAAGTTCCGATAATTCTGGTTTTTGCTCAAGGTTGTCGGAACTTGCGTGAATCATCGACTCCTCGCAATTCTCTTCTACGCGCCAATCGCCAGCCATTTTCGTCAGCTCTTCTCCATTGACATGAGCTTGCGAAAAAGGAATCTCGAAATTGTGATGCTCTAGCATTCCACAGATTGTGTGTCTTTCATTTCACGTTGTAATTGATAAGGGTATACAAAATGTTCCATTGGGTAAAATAAATTATCGTTCTATTTTTCGTTTGGTCCCTCTCCAGTCCTTGTTGCAAGCAATCAAGAACACTCGAAAAATGTTGAGTGGGTGTATCAATGATATCATTTTTCTTTGCCGCTCCATTTCATGACGTTTTCAGCGCATTTTTTTTTGTTTCAATTAGCAGTGACATTTGAAATTTCGAAAATTGCGATTTTTATTTGTCGTGCGGTCTTTTGAAGATAGCAATGAATTGAAAATGACACACGTTTGGTTGATAACATCAAAAGATCATTTTTTTGAATGAATGGAATCTCACTGGGTATTTGTGATATTTTCTAAAAGTTGTTTACGAGTATGTTCCTTTAAAATTGGTTCCAATAAATAAATTTCTACCGGACAGCTGAATATCAATTCGACTGCGGAACACAGCAATTTTGAGGAATTCGATTTTCAAATTGTCATATTCAATCACTACTTTTGGGGAGTCCGATTGGTAATTAACTAATTTACAGGCCATTATGATAATTAATAACATATTTTGAAACATGAAAATTCGAGAAGCGACTCTTCTGTTATTCAGAATGTCGACCAAGTCTGAAGCCAAGACGACACTTCATTGAGCCTTCATAGTTGTTTCAGCTTTCATTGGTCTGATTCTTCAATACGCTTTGCGTCTGAATGCTTCTCAGAATGCACTTTTTCACATCGGCTTCTTCCTCTTCCCCCTCCTGGAGTCCTCTTGCGACGACGGATACGGGCGATCCAAATCATTTTAAACTCAATGAGAACGATTGGAATATTCATTGTCGAAATCGCGCGAAAAACTGGCTAAATGTCAGAATTGGTCTCGAGAAGAAGAGATGCGTCGCGTATTTCGACACTCATGTTGCGAGTCCCAACTCTACAGTAGACCATAGGTTTCAAATTTGAATGCGTTTAAATCAATGCACACTAATTTCGCGAAATTCGAGTCGCCGCTTCCCGTCCAATCATAATTATCGGTAATTAAGCACCGAACGTTTCAAAAATTAGTAATTTTCTCAATTTGAAACTGTGTCTTTAATCCATTCGAACCTTTGTGCTCATTTCAATGATACCAGCGGGGTCTTAATTATGAAATTGTGGTTTGTAGCTCGTGTTTTGTTGTATCCGTGCTTCGTCAGACCATTTCGATCGCTTCTCGCGCAATTTTTGTGATCAGTGTGACTTCAAAAGTTTATATTTATGACCGAATTCGAAATTATGCCTTCATCGAATTTTCAGAATGATTTTAATAAACACGCTGCCTCGATTTCTGATCTTATTCGAAAATCAGAGGTGGTTCTTTTTTTCAAGAAAATTTCAATTTCTTCATTTTCAATCATTTATTTAATCATATGATTTCAACAATCTCAAGTGATCCTGAAGCGTCGTTTCTATGACAAAATATAGTTGGAATATGGTCTCGCACGGATTTATTTGTTTTTTATTGGGTCGGTTCGACAATAATTAATTTGAATACCTATAATTAAAAAAATCTGGGCTATCCAGTTTATATATTATCCAAAAGGGGCCCCGTTTTGACCTAAAGAAGAAAAATTTCATTTTTAACATCTGCGGACGTTTTGCGGGATGAGAGTTTCTTTTCGGGCGGCGAGTGTCAATTTTTTTTAACGATGGGGGGAACCAATTTAGAGTAATTAAAGATCATTCTTGAAAAAAAGTTGGTGAAATATATAGTAGAAGACAGAAACAACGAATCTCGAAATTCATGGAAAATTCTTTTTTGTGAAAACGACGAAGAATAAAAAGCAAAATTGCTCCAATTTTTTTTTTGTTAAAAAATTCATTCGAAAAAACTAGCAAAGTCTGAATTATCGCAAAAAGTGAGAAATGAGTCTCAAATAAATCAAAAAGCACAAATCTTCAGTGAAATCATTCATTATGCAAAGCGAACAACAAAACCAACAATAATATACCTAGTGAGATCAGAAGGCTGTACCAGTTTTCAACGAAAAAAAAGGGTTATCCTAAAGGAAGCGGGTTATTTCGTCCGCAGGTAGTCGATGATCTTTGACAGCAAAAGATTGGTGGATGGTTCGGGCGTCTTCCACGGCCGATGATGATAGTCGATGTCGGACCACGCGAATTGGCGTCGAGCATCGGCGGCATGTCGAAGAGCGCGCTTGACGGCGTGCGTGCAGCATCTCGTGCATTTCGTCGCGTCCGAATAATTGACACATTTCGGTCCGCAACCGCAATCGGCGGCCACCGGAAACAATTGGTAGATGAGCACGAGTAGAACAATCGAGAATTGTGTCGTCGATGGCATCGCTCCTTTTGCTTCTTCTTCTTCTTCGCCTTCGCCTTCGTCGTTTTTTCTTCTTGGCCGGACCTGCAATGATAAGAGAATTTCGAGCGTCGTCTTTATAGGGACGAGAAAAAAAAAACAATCGCGAGCGAGAGGTTGGGTGCTATCAGAAGGAAGCAGTGATAATCGTCGGCTCCGAGTGACTAATCGCTTGCAAAATTATTACTAATAAAAATAATAGTCTGAGTGAATCATTTTTGCACATCGATTCACGTCGAGCTCGATGTTGCTCATTCGTCGAATCGGCTCCCCCCGATTATTCGGCGTTATCTCTCTCAAGCACGCTCGATGCACATTTTTCGAGGTGCCCAAATTCCTTTTTTGAGCACCCTCCTCAATCTCTATTTTCTTTTCTCTCTTATCATTCCAATTGCAATTCGACTCATCAGATCAATTACTCAATTCTTCCGATTCCAGCTCGATTCAAATCACTGCTTATTGTCGCCATCGATTCTTACTTTGAGCCTGGATTTTTTGAAACGGGTTAAATGGGGTCGGGGGTCCTAGGGGGGTCCGAATTGGAATTTTTGAAAATTTTAGAGAACGATGGTAGAAAGTGTTACCAAATCGTGTCAAAAGTGCTAAAGGCTGGTCCTAGGGGGGGGGTCCGAATTGGAAAGTTTCAGAAAATGATCCAATCGGTGGGGTATTTTGGAAAACATTACAAGCGCATGTCAAAAGTTTCAAAGAGGGGGTCCGAATTTTTAAAAAATCATAAAATGGTCCTATCGATATGGTGCTTGAGAAAATGTTGCCAAAAGGGTCCTATGGGGTTGAGATTCAAAAATATCAAAAAATGATGCGCCCCCTGCGTCCTATTATCAATTCTAATCGAGTGTGTAGTCTGATTTCGTTTTTTTTTTTGCTGTCAGCTGATAGAAATTTCTCATCGAATCAGTTCGCATCTTTGAAGCGCTCGAGTTTTTCCAAGATTCGTCCAATTCTGTTTCGAACCAATTTTCGATTAAAATCCAATGAAATGTTCAATTTACTAGCCAATTTCATATATCTACCGTATCATTAAAGGCACACAACGATTTCTTAATGAAATTTCAAATAAATTGTCTAATGTGTTTGCTTATTTTTCTCTCAATCTCATCAAATATCGCACTCTCTAATGGTCGTGTTCAGATTTCGCAAAAAATCGAGTTTTTATAATTTTTTTTAAAAATTTTTCTCCAAACTCTACCTAACACCATATTTAATTATTTTTGATATCTATTCATATATTTTTTACTTTTTTATACAGTATACTTTAAAGAATTCCTTTATAGCTTCGCTCTTTTTTTCTCTATTTCTCTTCATAAGCTTTGAGGCTTTTGATCTCCAACTCTCTATTTTTCTCCAATCCCTCTCAAATTCGAAAAGGGTTTTTTCATTTGATGAAATATTTTCGAAAACATCGAAAAAATCAAAGAACGATGAAACCGGAAATAAATGAAGCAACAGCAACCGCTTTCTGATAACTACGCTCTGTCTCGACTGTGGAGAAGGGCAAGAGGCAACATTGATAACCCAACCCTACCGTATCTCAGACTTTTTTTTTCGAAAATGTCGAAAAACTAAAAATACTGGCAAAATTAGGGGGCGGGGCGTACTACAGTAAACCAGGCTTGTATTTATTAAAAGGCTTATCGAAATTTTTTGCAGAATATCCAAAAAAATTAATTTTTTTACTAAAAGTGAACAATTTATTAAAAGTGAACTCAAATTTCCCATCTGCGGACAATTTTAAACATATTGAAATTTGTCCGCAGATGCGATTTAATAAATCGCTAATGTCGGTTTAGAATATGGATGAACATATTTAATGAGACATTCAAAAATTGAGAGAACTCGAGAGAACAAAAAATGAATGGATGAGACTTGCGAATTTTCGATTTTTCATCCACTTGTTAATCAATTTTTTGTTGTGGCAATGAATAAGGAATAAATCGTAATGTAACCGGAAATTTGCGGTCACGAATGAAAGAAGAATTAAAAGTAAAGTAGTAGAATAGATTGGCGGAGTTTCGGCAGCCCATGTGACACCGAATTATCAAGCAATGTGCGTCATTCCGGTCGAGTCCGGTATGCCGCGCCAGAAAAAAAAAACATAGAAGTAATTTGGAAGAAAACACGTAAACCTGTTGTTAAATGATGAACGCGGCACAGAAAGTGGGCGTGGCTTGGATCGAAGCCAATTTTATCAAATTGGGAGGCGGAGCATCAATGGGAGTGAGGGGAGGGGGATTTTTTTTTGAATTATTTTATTGGGTTACGATCAGTTGAAAGATCGTCCAAAGATGACGCAAATTCGATAAACATTTGATAAGAGAAAAATCGGGGAGAAGCACGATTTTCATTTTTCCCATCTGCGGACAATTTCCAGTTGGTGATGTCCGCAGATGGGCGAAGAAAAAAAAAAAGAAAGAGAAGCGCAAGAATGTGCAACCGAACAAACAAATTTTTTGAGCAAACATGATAATAAATATGATATGGTTAAGAAGACGATGGCTACGGTATTTTTACACTTCGACCCAAATAAGGGCAATTGTCGAATGGGTCTAGTCTAGCTGCATTCCTCGACTATTTCGAATTGTTTTTCGAATGAATTATCCAATTTTCAGCGAAAAACAAAATCGATGGAGGCCGCCTAAAATGATATACTTTGCACGTTTTATACCATATTTTCCAATCCATTTATTCGCATTTTTTTGCTGTTTAATTGCAATTTGATACATTGCCGTGGAATCGCGTTCGAGTGGCCGCCGCGCATTGAAATTCAATATTATACGACCCACATTAAACTGGTGGGTGGGTGGGCGAGAAATGCGCCAGCTGGTAGTTGGCGTTGACGCGATTCGGGTGCTTGACGCAAAACGAGTTCGGCTATTTCAAATATTGTTGAGAAATGACAAATGCATCCAGGTGTCGTGGGATCCTGCGTTTTGTACGCAATGCTAAGAGAAAGTTACCGTAATCCTCGCAGCGATTTACGGAGTTTTTTTTTTAAATTTTTTTTGCTGTATATTCTTATTTTCTTTATAAATATTTAATTTAAAATCCGTAGAAACCGAGTTTAATCATTTATTTTGCAGAATATGCACTTTTCCATTTGTCCAGTTGAGTTTGGAATTATTGTGAAGATTTTGTCGCTCTAAAAATTATTTTGAAAATGAAGAATACGAAAAAAAGATAATAGAAACGCGCACAAAAGCAAAACACGAATAAATAATTTTATTAATGACAAAAAATGTTTTCTCTGCTGTTTTTACCAAAAAATATCGTTTAAAAGTGCTTATTCTACTAAATTCATTATTAAACTCGGTTTCTGCAAAATTTAAATAACAAAATTTCGAAGGGAAATGCGAAAATTGAGCGAAAAAAAATGAATATGCGAAATTAAATAAAAATTCCCCGTAAATCGCTGCGAGGATTACGGTAACTGTCTCTTAGCATTGCGTACAAAACGCAGAATCCTACGACACCTGGATACATTTGCCATTTCTCAACAAATGCGTGTTTTTTTTTTCGAAGCAAAGGCGTGCCGAGCCCCAGAGCTGCACGGAACTTCAATTTTCCAAAAATGGAAGACGGAAGACGGAACAAAAAATTTTTGATGAAACACGGCACAAAATTGTTTTTTTTTTTTTTGGAAAACGGAAGAACACAAATTGAACTCGAATATATTTAAAATGAACAGTGCAGACTGTGAGAGTTTCCAAGTGCTCACCTTCTTTTTGTCGAACAAATTTCTCCGACTGTGCTAGAAGATTCGCTAGACGTGCTAGGTGATATCTCAAGCGGAACACGGAAGACGGAATTCCGGGCAGCTCTGCCGAGCACGTGTATTGCGCGTGAAGTTCGGTGTTAGTCGTAGGCAGCGAAGTTGACGCGCAAAAAATTTTTTTTGGTACTTTTATCAAACCGGAAATGATTTGATTCAAAGGGCGTTTCGCAATTAATTTCGATTGTTTTTTGAGTCATTCTGATTCGAATTTGATTTTTTTGCGTTCGAATCAAGTCATTTCCGATTGGTTTTCAGTTTCCATGAAGTGAGAAATAAGTGCCGTCGATGTGTTTCAAAGAAATTCGATAAAAAAAAAGCGATAGAATTGCAATTCATATAAAGATTTTGAAGAAAAATATTCCAAAAATTGATCTCTTTTAAACACTGAAAAATTATTTGCGGGGGTTGCTGAAGAAAAAACTAATTTTGATTTGCTATTGTTAATTTTTTCAAAATCTTTTTTCTACAAAAACTTAAATTCAAATTTTTAAGTAAAATTAAAGCCGCAAAACTCAGTTATCTATTAATTTACATCTGCGGACATTTTAGAATTTGGAAAAGTTTTTCGAGTTCGAGAAATGAATAGGTGAACCCCTTATTTGGTAATATCTAAAGGGGCGGGGGCTTGCGAATCAAGCAGCTTCAACAAGAGGCCTCTCGAAAAACGAAATTCTATTTTTAGGCTCGCATTCAAGTGCAAAATATTGTATCTTGACTACTCTCAAGACCAATATTTTGGGCAATATTGGCTCGTTGTTGTTCACATGATTTATTGGGAAAATTGTCCATGAAAATTCGACGAATTTCATGAACGCTCGAGAAGAAAAAAAAAACGGTGTTTTCCGGGTGCCCACACGGAAACCACAAAACCCCGACAAACAATGTGTGTCGTAATCAGAGAAGCCATAAAAGTGTCGACGGGCACGTCCGTGTCCGGTAGTGATTTCCGACGCGTTGTCTACCTGAAATCGCCATCGCTGCACCTGTGATTTTCCACGAATTTATCAATCATTGAGCACGCACGATGTTTCGATAGTTTATCGAGAACCCATTAAAATGTTTGAGACAGCACAACACAACTCGGTTTTATGTTGACCGGGTTCAAAGTCGAACGTTGAGTGCTTTCATTACAGTAATGATTTGCCAATACTCGAAAACACTCTATGAGCGAGTGACCCAACAGTCGTCATCTTGCTTGCTCCGCCCCACACACACAAAGCATACAGGGTGGCGAAACCCGCGAAACGTCGGGACGTGCGCGCGCATAAGAGACGGCCATTGGATGGCTCATAAACTTACCTGGTTGGGGGTATTTCGCGATCAAGAAGGCGGAATCCCCACGGCGAGGCCTTTCCATTGCACTTTGGGATGGGCTGACCTGTGTGGCAGTCTCGAGTTGAGATTCGCCAACAACTAAATTTTTGCGTGAGGGGCTGCGTTCGCGCGGCCCTGCTAATAACGATTTTTTTTATTAGGAAATTTTTGTGTATTTTGTAAAATGTGTATCGAAATTACGGTCTGATTGTGAGTAGAAAATGTCCTTATATTGTTGATTTCTGCAGTTTATTAAAATCTTCAACAAATTCCACGAAAAATAGTGTTATTATTTAAAAATTCAATAAAAAATGATTGAGACAAGAATAGGGTACTGTTTGTACACTGATGAAGAATCATTGTCAAACGCTCACAGAAACAGAAAATAAAGCATCGAAGCTGATTTTGTGACAAAAACGAAACCGAAAAAAAAGAAACAAATCGATGTATAAAAAATAAATCGCTACAGATTATTAAAATAAGAAGAGAGACGAGATACGAAGAAAAGAGAAAAAATAATACATTGAGAAAATACAATTTTTATTCAAGATCCATAGGCACTTCTTCAGTGCGATCAACATGAAGAGTCGCAGGGCCATCAACTTTTCGTTCGTCGACTTTTTTCTCGTCGGCAGATGCCGATGGAACTCGTTCTGGTGCCGGCTTCACGTCATCAAGTGTTGTCGAAGAAACCGTCTCATCGCCAGCTGAAAATACTCCAAGAATTTTACGAAATCTCTGCGTTTTTTTTTGTTTCTCTTGATGCTCAAAGTCGGCACAAAATTACTATAATTTTCAATATTTCACATATTTTTGGTAATTTCGTGTGAAAACCTAATGCTTTTTCCCATATTAAATTAGTAATTTCCCGCTACTCGTTATAAGACCCAACACTGCGTAAATCTACAAAACCCATCCTACCCATAAGTCGTACAATTTTCGATTCTCACCTGCCACTTTCTTCTGATCGCCTTCGTCATAGTTCGGGCTTCTTCTCAACTCTCGTCGATCGTTCGAATGGTCTCGTTCCCATCGATCACTTCGACGATCATGACTCCTTCGCCGTTCGTCTCGTCGTTCTTCTCTCCGATCCTCGCGTCGATCATCCCGCTCATCGCGTCCCCAACGCGACGTCCTTCGTCGCTCATCACCTCGACGATCCCCTGAGCGATCTCTTCCACGATCCCGATCGCGATCTCTACGATCGTAACGATCCTCGTATCGTCCGCGACCTCCGTCGTAAGCTCCACGATTGTTCGGACCATTTCGCTCATTCTCAAATCCCGCTCGACCGCCATCATAGTTGGTTCGTCCACCGTCATATCCGCCGCGAGTTCCTTCGAATCCACCGCGCCCTCTATTGAACGAAGATCCCCCGCCACGGTATGCTCCGCGGTTGGCGGCGAATGACGGAGGAGCTCCGAGTCCCGGGCGAGCAGCCGGCGGCGGAACCGAAAAGTTACCCTAAAAACCCAAAATATTTTTTAGAGAAGTTTTAATGATTGTACCCCTGGTGGTGGTGGTTGGCTCGGATTGAACGCGGGCGGAACACCGGGCGGTGGCATCATCGGCGGCATAGGATACGTTCCCGGCGGTCCCGGCGGCGGCATATTCAAGTTCATCAATGGCGTGCCGCCGGGTTTCGCCGGCTGGAAGTTGTGCGGCATTCCGGGCGGCGGCGGAACACCGGGCGGCATGTGATGATGAGCGATTCCGGGGAACGGCGCAAACGGCGGCGGATAGGCGGCGTTGGGCGCCTTCGGAAGCTCGATGTTCAGCTGGCCAATCGCCGGCGGCGCAATATTCGTTGGCGTCACAATTTCACCGGTCTCTTTGTACATGCCTGCAAAACGCGTCATCTCAATGAATCGCGCTCATCGATCATACTTCGCTTATTCTCCGGAAGCGATTCCAAGTCGAGGACGGCTCCCTCGCAGAGGGTGTCGAGCTTCACCGGCAACTGATCGTGCGGTATCGCGATCACGCCCTTCTCGATATCCCACATCTCCGAGAATGGAGCCTCATTCATTCCGGGTGCTCGCGCCCAGTTCACCTAAAAAAAACCGTATCACAACGTTCTCAACGACGACGACTCGAGTTTCACCTTGACAGGCTTTCTTGACACCGTCACTTCTTTGATCTTATTGACAACATCGGCGGCGGCTTTTCGCGATTCCATCGTGACGTAAGCGCAAGCGCGATTCCCAATGATTTTGACTCGCGACACCTCGCCATTTGCCTCAACGGCCGACTTCAAATCATTCTCTGAGCAATTGGGAGGGACCTTTTTGAGCCAAAGGGTTCTTGAAGCGACTGAAAAAAAAAAAGCAAAATCGGATATATTCTCTTTAAAACATCGCCGGCCTACTGTATGTGATTCCCGGCTTAATCGAAGGCAATCCCATTTTTCGTCTCTCTTTCTCTTTCGCCTTCTCGCCTTCCTTCGCTCGTCGCGCGTCCTCGTCATTCTCCATTTCCGTCTCGATGAGTCGCATTTGTTTTTGCGCCGCCGCGTGCACATCGTTCGGATTGTTCATGTTTGGCGGCGGCACACCCATTGGCGGAAGGGTGATTTGTGGCGCCGACGCGCCGGGTTGTCCCGTTTGCGCATTTGGCGGCAACAATCCCATATTCGGTAGCATTGGAAGCGATTGAAGCTGAAAATTTCGAGTTCCTCGTTCAAAATGTCAATCAACATTGGTCACTCTTCGAATGAATTGGTCTAATTGAAAACATTGATAAGAACGCGAGTAAAACTGTTGGTTAGGCGTTTTTTTAGAAATTTCATTTTTTTTCTTTCAATTTCAAAAGGAATGAAATTTTTAATTTTTTTCTATTAATTTCTCATTGGTTTTGTGGAACATCGAATGCAATGCTGATATTAAGTAAAAAGAAAAAACACCGATGTGAAGAAGAACTTTTCGAAGGCGACAATTCAAAGAATGTCCAGGAATGGGCATGCAATAAAAAATTACACATTTTTTGAAAAAATGTACATTTAATGTAATTTTTTTGCAAAACAATTACATTTCATAAAGACGTCCACAAAATTTAAATTAATAAAATGTTTTGAAGTTTTTTCTTTTAAATAAGAATGCATTGAGAGCAATCAGGCGCATTTGGAAGGAAATATTTCCAAACTAAATCAAAAAAATCGTTTTAAATACATACCAATTGAGGGTTGAGGAGCCCCATCAAATTGCTCGCTTGGAGTTGCGGCATTTGCGAGAACACATTTGGCGGCGGAAATCGTGCTAATTGTGATCCATCGACCTGAAATCCAAATTGGAATATCGTATTCACAATAATGCAAAAATGTTACAAGTTTCGAAGCAGTGGCAAGATATTGCTTATTAAACTCGGAAAGCGCAATGTGCGCCATATTTGGTGGGATTTGCAAATTTGGTGGGAGCGAAATCTGTGGTGGAGCGGTTTGAGCCATTTGAGCCAATCGCTCATTTTCCTGAAACCATCAAATTGGAATAAGCTGAATCTCTCAAATGAACCATACTCTTTCGGTAATCATAGTTTGTAAAGCTTTAACGACATTTTCATTATTGAACATTTCGGCGGCCATACTGAAAAACGCATAAATTAAAGAATATGATCAAATTTGAAGATTACTTGACGATATCCTGATGGCTCAACGAATCATTTTCTTGCGGTGCCGGCTCTTCTTCTTTCTCATCTTCATCGTCACTATAGTCGAAATCTTTTGTTAAAACATTCTAAAAATTTTCTAGAATAATGATTTCCTATCAATTCGCGAATTACCTTAATATTATCGGGATTGAGCGATTTCGATTGAGCAATCAATTGATTGTGCGTTTCAATTTTGGCCTTCAAACTGCCAACAAATATCGAGTGCGCGCTTTGGAGCAATTTGTGGTCTTCCGCGTAAATTCGGCTTCCTTCGAACCCATTCGATTGGATTAAATCCAGCATATCCTTCTCGCTGATCACACCATCAATAATCTCATTCGATGGTTCGAATGATGGTCCCGTTGGTTTGCTTGGAGCATCGCCAAGTAATCCGTCATTCTTCTGAAGCGGCGGCGGAGGCATCGGAGGAGTTGTGGAGCGTTGAAGCGTCGACTTCTTCACATACTTTCCCCCATAGATGCGCATGTCCGCCGCATCTCCTTTGACTTCTCTTTCGACATACTCTGGATCAGTGTCTGAAATCGATTCGGATAAAAATGGAAATTTCGAGGGAATTTCTCATTTGAGCACAATTTCACTTACTCAATCCAACATCCTGACAATATTTCAAAAATGGTGCCAATTCCTCCTTGGTGAATACACCATTTGCTTGCCATAAATTGAGGATTCGAACCACTTTAAGCTTCTCGATGGGCTTCACATTAAGAAGGATTTTCATCATTTTTGGAAATGCTAGTAAGAATCGCTCGCTAAACGGATCATCGTTGGGAAATGCACGTTTCGAAGTCCGAACGATGCTATCGACAAGATATAATACGTGAATACGATGATGTGGGCGACACTGTAAAATATTTTTTTGGTTCAACTCAGAATTATTGTTAATTTTGATTTTACCTTATCCAAAAATCTTTCTATACTAAAAACCACATGCTTGTAGAGAAATCTGCCTTTCATTGCAGCTTTTGTGATTTGTTGAATCAATGTTTTACTTGGAGCTCTTGTGTTGTGGATGGCGGTTAGCTGAAATATGCCAAAATGAATTAAGATGATAATTTTAAAGGATTACCTCCACATTGAAATTTAAAATAATATCCGACTGCATGGTTTACCCTCTTGATTGATCTGAAATAAAAATTGAAATAGTAAACGGTATAAGACGCGATAAATGCGAGCCGCATCGTTAAACGAGCACAATTAATGGAATAATTCGTAGAGGCGGTGTTTGCAGACATACGAGTACACCGAGACGCCATAATGCATACGCAGCGCTCTTCTTCAGCTTTCTGTTTTCCCCACTCTCGCGTCTCTTCTTAATTTCCATATTTCCTCATTTTCTCAATGTCTCTTATAAAAAAACAACAACTTTCTAGCGTCTAGATACACGTGGTAACGTAAAGATTTAGTTGGCACATTGATAATCGTTACACCAACCTCTTATTAAATTAATAACAAAATAAAATCGATCGATCGATTAATATGAATATTTAATGTGCGAAATGCCTGCCAGCCTTCTATTTTATCGATTTTTTGTGAATAATAACGACTTGTTTTTTTTTATTTCAGATTTTTCAGGATGACTGAACCGAACGATATCCCAGTGGGTAGTTATAAACTTGAATTAGGTTCCAGTTTTATGGAGTCCAAACGAGGGTCGACTGGACCAACATTTCACACATTACGATGTAACATTTTTTTTGAACATTTCAGTCAAAAAATTATTTCGATAATTTACTCAGACGATTTCAAGCCGGGATCTGTTGCGAACGAAACTGAAACATATATTGGTTATGGTGCGAATGGCGACGTTCACGTAGCGATGCCAAGCGAAGGCGAGAATTTGAGCGTATTCAAAGGCTCAAAGAAAGAAGCGAAACCGAAAGAGTGCCTCTTATTTTTCGATAGAAAAACGAATACAGTTCGATTAGAGAAAATCAGTTCGAATATTCAAGTAAAAAAAACAAGGTAATCGAAATAGACGAGGTTGTGAAACAAACACGTGTGGTTGGGTTTAAAGAGATGTCGATCCGGCTACAGAAGCGTCGCTTCGCAATGGAATCGAGAGGCTTCGCGCAAGTTCGACACAAGAGACGCGTACGCCGCCGAAAAAAGAGCAGCGCGAGCGCGAGAGCAGCACGTCATCGAGTTCGAGCAGCGGCTCAGGCTCCGAGTCGAGCTCCGACGAAGAATCGGATAATGAGAAGAAGAACGATTCAAGTGAAAGCGATGATGATGAGAGTGCTCTCGTGAACGAGCTGAATGCTTTGAAACCGAAAACCGAAATGCAGGCGCCAGTTCAACAACGAGCTCCGCCACCGGCTGAAAACCTTGATCCTAAAAGGTATTAAACCATTTTAATAGCAAATTTGAAAAATAAATAATTTTCAGCATAACGTGCTACGGTCTTTCACTTAGCGAGTCATCAGAAGATGATGAACCATAATAAAAATGGCATATTTGATCAACAGAAAAAGAAATCCAAATACTAACTCGTGGGTGTCCTCAAAATCTGCACATTCATACATTTCTGGTCCTTTAATACATTTCTGCCCCTCCCCATTTACATTTCCATGCATCTAGTTGTTGTTCAATTCTAATCTTAACACGCTTCTGTGATTTTTTTAAGCTTAATAATTCAAACTAATTAATTATGTGATTATTTTCATGGTTCATATAAAATTGGTGTTTGAGAAATATCATTTATGTGTTCATTTGATAGTTTCCCAGTCGGATCCTTTAAATATCCAGTTTGGTTTGACACTTTTAGAGGATTATTTTATAATAATCTTCTTCAGATGAGTGTTGTCCGTTCCGATCACGTTATTCCGATTGATCTTGGAAGAATTGTAAGTAGAAGTACTGAAATTTTGGTTTCAAACAATTTAAAAATGATTCAAAGACGTCTTTCTCAATTTTGTCGTTTTTTTTTGTTTGAAACGATTTTTTTTCAGGCGAATTCGACGAGTGATTACATTGAAGTTGGCAACTCCAGCTTCCACAGGGTATTTCCTTCATTTTTGCTCAATTTGAGCGATTCAATCACGTTAAGGTTGTGACGGTGGGCAAAATTGTGCGCAAGGCGATCGACTTACGCTTGGTTTTAATTCTTACTGATGGAAAAGGCAATGAGCTCCGAGTTGAAAAAGTTTACATTGTGAGTATTTGATTTTTACCGAATCGTCTTCGCAATGGACATGATTGTAGTCGACATTCCCCAGAGAAGCCACCGAACGCTTCAGAATCGATGATACTGTTCAAGTCGTTGGCAAAGTTCGAGTTAATCGTGGAAGAATCTTCATCAATGCCTTCAGTATTAGACGGGTTTGTTTTCAATGGTCCCAATATGTACTTTGAATTTGATTTTTTTAGTGCATGAGTTCACAAATCAGTTGTCATGAGAGCGAGTCGAAAATCGCGGAGGAATATTACTCGAAAGTAGTTCCGCTAGAGATAATCGAACGTTTTGAAATCAATCAGAAAATTTCAGCCAAAAGCGGCGACATTTATTCCGGCTCCCGCATCGAAAGAAGCACTTGAGAAGGAGCTCAATATTCCGAAAATGGGGCTCTCGCGATTCCCGATGAGCCTCCTTGAAAACTCGTCGGTCACCAATAATGGAAATGAGTGGCCTGAGGATCTGCCAATCGACATGCCGGCCAATTTGGTATACTCAACAATGTGTGCGTTCAGAAAAGGGGAATTCAAGGTTTTCAGAGGAACCCGAAGCCGGTGGTGGTGCCGTCGCCGCAAGAAGAGGACTCGTTTGAGCGACCGATTCCGGGAGCTGTAGCTACGAATGTGGAGTCGAAGGCCGACGAGAAGGCGGTGGGGAAGTCAGAAGCGAAGCCGGATGAGAGGCCGACGAATGAGGAGGATGCTGACGCCGATTCAGAAGCTGAATCCGATTCCGACGCCGAGTCCTACAGTTATCTCTATGACAGCGACAACTCTTTCGATAATTTTGCTGTATAATATTCTAACATCTCCCATCGACCGGTTGTACTCCTGTATAATAATTGGTGTTCCTAAACTCGAATTGAAAAAAATCATGATTCCGATGACATTCTGCTAGTAGAGGTTTCATTACCGACTCTTAATATTATTTAAATTTAGAATTTATTTTTATTTTTATAATATTCTTTGGTATTTTTAGTGGTGATTATGGAGAAAATTGATCTGAAACTTGACAGATCCCTTTTGGATGCGGGATTTGATGGCTATAAGGTGTCTATGGATCCGATCGAATTTGAAAAAAAGCTTTTGGAGGAGCAGAGTTGGCATTTCATTTCAAGATTTTCGACGAAATTTTCAAATTTCAGCTGCAATTGTGACTCGTGCAAATCATCTCATCTCATTGCAACACATGAAATTATTCGCAGGCGATAATCAGCTATTCGTGGATTTTAGAACGACTACCGAACATTTGAAGCATTTGTATCGATTTGCCAAAAATGGGACCCTCGAGCGCGTCGTTTACGATACGCAGCTGAAAACATGGACCATTGGAAAAACGTGCGAGATTGATGTTCATCGAAATGCTTCGCAAATTTATCCGAGAAATGTGATATTCGCTGAGCAGTCGTTGATTGTGATTGGCGATGGTCTCAATGAAGTTCATGTGTATTACATGACGGAGAAGGACGAATGTCTGGTTTGTGAAGAAAAAAAATTGATTTGAGAATTTCCAGAAATTCTCGAAATTTAGCATATGCTTCGCTATAAGGTGGCGAATTGCGAAGGAATTTCGCTCGCTGACGCGCGGGTCTTGAACGGAAATTTGGAGATTTTGATGCATCGTGTTGACGAGAATCCGAGCGGAAGCAAATCGAGCAAATTCGTCACGAAAATCTTTTGGATTAGTGTCAGATTGTCAGGTGGATCAAAATTTTCGTCGATTTTTCTTGTGCCTTCAAAAATTAAATTTTTAAATGCCTTCTAGCTAGTTCTAAAAATCCCAAATGGTTGTGTAGGGCTTGATTTAAAGGCGCATGCTTGCAGATATCGATGTTGTTAATCATCTCACTGTTTTGAGGAACCAGGAAATCATTCAAGAGGGCCACTTTGAGGTTTCTCTGCGACTATCCCTACCTTCTTTAATTGGCCATTGATTTCAGACATGTTTTTTTGATAATTTTGGAAATATGATTAGTTTGGCAGCGAAGAAGCCGAGAATTGCTGGCGAACTGCCGGAAATTGAGGAGAAACACGTGGAACGCAGTTGGAAACAAATTGAAGAACAGATTATTGTGAATTTCAAGACGAATCGGCCGATTGACAAAAACGACATCAATTTGAATGTAATTGAAATGTCTAATCGAAATAGATCGGTGTTTCGAGTTTAGATAACAAAGAAATCGATTTTCTTGACGGCAAAAGAGGCGATTTTGCTCGAAGGCACTCTTTGCGGTGAAATTGACGAGACGAATGTCGAAATCGCCTCAAATGATACAGAGTAGCCGGCTGAGATGGCGGAAAAAATAATGCGAAAATTCATTTTCAGATTGGTTCTCAAACTGAAATCGACCGATGGCAAACGTTGGAATGAGATAATTGAAGGTGAAAGCGATTTGGACGAGATTAAAGGAGCACCGTCGAAGAAGGTTTGAAAACTCCGAAAACGACATATAGTCGGCGTCCGGCGACTGCTGTACGCGGGTAGATTTACGAGAATGCGTCTTCCGAAATGGTCTCGCAAGGACTAGCAGGTTATTTCAAATTTTATGAACCGGTTGGAATTTTGAAATCGAATATTGCTGGAAATCCAAGGAAATGCGAAACTCATTAAGAAAAATGAAGCAGTTCACGCGAAAACAGAAAAATAAGCATTCACGCGTGGCGAGACCTTTTCAAGGCGCATGCGTGTAAATCTACCCGCGTACAGCAGTCGCCGGAAGCCGACTATATGTACGTGAAAAAATGAAAAGCTTTTTTGGGGATTCGGTGAGGGTGGCGACGAGAAAGTCTGCGGAACTGATGAGGTCTCTGAGGAATGTGACGAGACCGAACCATCAATGTCGTTCTATTGGATGAATCCGAACACGATGGAGGTGTTCAGACAAGTAAGCATCCTCTCAACTACCCGTTGTCTTCTTTTTTTTGTTTGCGAAACGAAATTGAATGGGTTCAGTGTGACATCACCGGCCATCAAGTCGTCTTCGTCGCTCGCGACGGACTATCGCCGGCCAAAGTTTGCCTTCGTCACGACGTCGATGGAATCATTTGGGATTTCGCCGAATATCCGCCGAAACACTTGGCGACACTTCAGGCGTTCGGATATGTGCAGGCGTCGAAGACACAACGCATCTGGAGTGGATGCTCGCCGCATCAGACGTTTGCCGGAATTGTGGAGTCGAGTAATCGAGTGCTTCTCTATTCGCAGCAGGTTTCTGCTGGAGGAAGTAAAATGATAATTATTGATTTCCACAAAAAAATTTTTGATTTAGTTTTAACAAATCGCAAGACGATGACTCGTACTCCACATGTTGCGAAGCAGTATGTTCTCAGAATCGAAACATCGGACGTCATTCGAGGGACCGCCCTTTTTGATTCGCATATGTTCGCATTGACTGATAATGCTATTTATGTGGCACAATTGAACTGAACTGATTGCAAAATTGGTTTCAATCGAAATTATTTATGTCTATAATTGCATCCATAATCACCCGTAATGAATGGATGAAATAAGCGAAATTGTTGGGAGGAGAAAGTGTTTCGAATGAGAAAATCGTTGATCACAGGCAACTGAATGAAGCTAAAGACGCGAGAATGTGCTGCCGCCGTGCACCGGACACGGGCTCATTGATGCGCGCGGGTTGAGGCCCATTTGCATTCTCTCGTTGGGTGTCGGCGAGATCTCAAACGCGGATTTTGATTCTGGAGGCTCAAACGCGATTCTTGAATACCGTTAGTGATCCTTCTGTACTATCGTCGTCTTCAAAGCAGCACCCGCAACAGCAGCAACAATAGAAGAGGCAAGGACAGACGCGTCGAGGCTCATCGGCATCGCGAACCTTTAATCGCGACAATTTTGATTTAAAAAATTCTATCTTCATTTTGGTGTAATTAATGCAAATTCCGGAAAAAAAACTGTTAAAATCCCTTTAAAAACAAATTTAAAACACTATGGATAGCAAAAAAAAAAACAAATTTTAACCGGTTTTTTTTTTCGAGTTTTGTTTTTCTCCCAAAATCTGCATATCATCCTACCTGTGTCTCTCGCATTGAATAAATCACTGAGCCAACTATGCAAATAATAAACGAAACAAAATATAAATAGTGGAACTGAAATAGTCACATTTTTGAGCGTCATCGGACTTTGTTTTTTTCTTTCTCTCACCTTGTCATTAAACATAAAAATACCGAAAAGAAGTGAATAGAAATCGGCGGTTAATGTGGCTAAATTGAACATTAAGGCACTCGTTTTCTGGAGAACTACAGTAACAAATGAGTAGAATATGAACCTGAAACGACATTTTTTCTTTTCTTCTTCTTTCAGCTTTGCCAGGGGTCTTACATGGAAAAAGCGAAAAGTGCAAAACATCCTATTGTTGGACCATCCCAATGAATTTTTGCCAATGCTTCTTGTTCGAAGATTGCTCTGAAAGCAGTGTCATTATTTGACGTTCACAAAAATAAGACATACAATTGAATTCCGGAGACAATGCAGCCGAAGAGTCCGAGCATTCCGAGGTATTCTGTTCTTGAATGCTGTTTGACGAGAAACTCCTCGGCGACGTTGCAAACTGCGTATAAAGCAGCAGCGGTTAGACAAAGAACGTCGCCAAGAACCTTATTGGAACCGCCTGCAATGATCTACGCTTTTGCTTTCGAAAACCCAATCTCGTTGAATACCTTCTAGAGCGCCTTTGTCTCCAAGAGCATCGGCCCAAATGACACATGCAATTCCTATGATGCAAATTGTAACACCTGAATCACATTTAAAACATTTGAAGAATTTTCCATGGTCCGCGGTTTATAATATATATGAATGAGAATTTAAGCAATGCAATTTTTCTTTTAGGCCGAACTTTACAAATAAAACAAAGAATTACCGTATTTGCAATATTTTGATCTACTGTGTGTTTTTCTATAAATGCATTTTATTTTGGTAGTTGATAACACCGATCAGATAATAGAAAATGGTCCGCTTAAATTGTACTTAGGGAACTTATTATAATATCTAATAATACTCGATTAAAAATATAAGAATGTACTCTGGTAACTCAAAACCAATTGGATTCGACAAAATTCGGCTCCGGAATGAATCGGATTCGACAATTTTCCAATCTTTTCCATAGAATTACCAATCGGATAAGGTTAATTCCGGAGCCGAATTTTGTTGGATCCGATTGGTTTTGAGTTACCAGAGTATACAATACATTATAGCGCTGTTCAATGCATATCAAACCCTATACTCAAATAAAAAACCTCTATAATATCAAGTAAACAGCGGACCATTCTATAAATCACAAACCTATGATATGTGAAGCGAGGTACCTAACAGACAAGAAAAGCCATGACAGGAAAAGAACTGTTGGAATTGTGGCACAGTCGAGAAGCTGAAAAAAGAAGAAAATCGATCACAAATGATGTTTTTTTTTTCTGTCGACGAATTCAAAGAAATACCTGAATTGATGTTAGATTTGTGTACTGATATGCCTTGACAATCAAATAATTCGCTTCGACGTCGATAATGGTTAGAATAAGATAACGCCATCCCCTCTTTCTCAGTACGAACACAAGACCTTCATCGTCAACACGGCACGCCAGTGAGATACAGTAAACAAAACAGAGAAGAAAATAGTTGGTGAATGATTGTGCTGAACTCAATAATATGAAAATTGCAGAAAACTTGTTTTAAAAACCTGCAGGAGCATTGACACCGTGATTGGCGAGTAACTGACTGGATACTCCTGTACCGCAAAGACAAACTGATAGAATTTGGCCAAGTAGAAGAGCCTTGATGGTTCGACTGAAAGAAAAAACAGAAAAGATTGAAGCAAATGTAGAAAATAAGGATAACTTGACATCTCGAGCCATTTTTCTATTCATTATTGAACTAATTATTAGCAATTCGGGAATATTTAAAGAATATCAAATTGAAAACGGCGAGAGGAGACTGCAAATTTGGAGAAAATTGGCAAGACGTTAAAAAAAATTGAAATACGCAAACACATTGACGAACGTTTGCAGACTTTTCAATGTATTTCCTTAATTTTTTCGGTTTTTCCAGACCCCCGAGTTCAACTCATTCGCGGTGTAAAGTTGTCGTGTTTTACACATTGAAAAATGCTTTTGATTGTGAAACGCAACAAACTTACCGGATTTCGTTAGACTTCATGTCGTCGTTCGAAATCAAAACCACATTTTCAATAATTGGAATCCGAATTTGCGTGGGAGAGACGAGAACAAACGCAATATTTTGAACTGTGCAGGAGCACCCGACCGACAGACAATCACCATTTAATACGCCTCTTTTTCGTTATCAATTTGTTGCGAGTTTTGGAAGAGCAAGAGACGCAGGCGGCCAGAATGTGAGGATAGATAAATGGCGGAGCGCAGTAGCGTACGGCTCCCGTTTATTTTTCCTATTTTGGCCGAATCGAAACCAATCGGAACCGAATTGCACCAAAGTTGAACAAAAATTGAATCGGATTCGAGGTATTTCGAGTCTCACCCAAAATATTTGAGCAATTCTTTATCAAATATTTACCAAACGAATCGGAACATTTCCCGACATTTTAAAAGTTTTTTTTGTGAATTTTTTTCCAGCAATTGAGTCCCCCAATAATTTCGAGGTCGTATTTTGTTAAATTCAGTTTTGAAATTTGAATTTGCATTTTGTTGAAGTCAAACGACTTGACGAAATTAAAAAAAAAAGATTGGCTATGTGCCAATGCATCTCGAGAGATTGCGTACATTACATTATAGCGTACGCGCATTTAATATTCAGTCAACGATAAATTTAAATCTACACTGATTTCGCGAATCCCCTTCTCCATTCCGTCGTTTGACCCCGACAATATATTACCTTACCTTACATTCGGATCGTCGCAACACGGCGAACAATTGATGCTTTCATCGTCCTCAACTTCCCCAGTTCTAGAAAAAAAAGAAATGAGAACTGAAATCGAGCATAATCGATTTCTCAACAATAAATCATTGGCTAGATATAGGAATTGCCTACCTCGCTGGCTGCCGTACCGCATACGGATTCCGATGTGGCTGTACTCTCGGCGGCCCAGCGCCGTTCATCTGAAATTTCAATAGACGAGCCCCCCCAATTAGAAGGCGAATCAAAACGAACCCCGTAATTTGGGACCACTATCGAAGGCCGCAGCAATTGCCTGCGTTGCTCGTCTTTGCAATTATGATGCGGATAATGGTGATGGTATTTGAGGGCGCCGTCAACGCCGCATCCGCCGCCACCGTACTCGTTACCGTCGTCGTCGTGACCGTATATCGATCGATAATACGAGAACGAGTGCGCTGGAATGACAAAACGAATAATTAGCAAGTAATTATATGGCAATTAAATGAAAATTTGGCTTTTTGTTTTTCAAAAAGAGTTCAAAAAAATCGAGAATACGGCCAAAACAATATTTGGGTCTCGCATGGAATTGAGTTGGCTAAATTCCATTTGAAATAGCCAGCCAAAAAAAGGAATGTTTGAGCAAGTAAAAATTGGCAAAAAATATTGATGATTGCAATTTTTTGCGTCGCGAGACGTCCGCAACTCGGATGAAGTATAAGAAACAAAATTGTAAGATGAAACTAAGAGAGAATTGAAGAGATAGACATAGAGATAGATATATTTCTCGCCGGGAGCGGAATATGAGCATAAAAACGGTGTAATGTGGCGGAGCCGACGACCAACTCAGCGAACTCAGCGAGCCGAACTCAGCGAGCCAGGCCGCCTAATTGTTTTGTGTTTCGCTTCGAAATTTGAGATGTCAATTTGTCATCGTATAACACCTCGTTTCGAGTTTATTACCCCCCTTCGACGCTATCAAATTTCTCGCAAATCAAAAAAAAATTCCTCTGACACCTCGGGGAAATCGAATTAAATATTTTGCGGGTTCTCTGTAATATTTTCGAATTTTCTCAATGCATTATAAGAATTTAGAAGTTATTGAGAAAATTTCGAATTTTTGCTCATTAAATTTTTGGAAATGATATAAAAATTGAAAATAATATTTTTTATGTTTATCGCGTCTCAATAATTTAAAAAAATCAACTTTTTCATTTGAATTCCCTACGCACACACGTCGAAAATTACAACAAATTGACGCGATATATCGTAATTCTCCGCTATTTATTTTTTCAAAGGCGCACACGAAAAGTTGCGCGGGTCACGTCGCGAAGTCGGTACTGGAATTTTTTATTTTTCATTCTGTGTGCTATTTTTCCGTATTTTTCTGTAACTTTGAAGAGAAAATGAGTAACAGATTTAAGAACGAATAAAAACAATTATTATTGGTATAATTACTTCTAATTCGACAATATAAGTCTATTTTTCGTCATTTAGTTACCAAATATGATGAGAAATTGTGATATTTTTGCTGATTTGAAGCAGACTTCGCTCTATGCCGCTTCTTATGAACCTTTAACGTTGATTAAACAAAATACTTCTACAGATTTCCAAAATGGAACGAACGTTTTAAACGCTCAAAGAATAAAAAATTCGAAAAAAAAAAAGCCATTAAAAAATTACAGTACCGGCTTCGCGGCGTGACCCGCGCAACTTTTCGTGTGCGCCTTTGAAAAAAATAAATAGCGGAGAATTACGATATATCGCGTCATTTTTTTGTAATTTTCGACGTGTGTGCATAGGGAATTCAAATGAAAAAAAAATTGATTTTTTTAAATTTTTTTCATTGAGGGGTTTTAGAAAAATATAAGTTTTAGAAAATATTAATAAAAAATAGATATCTCGTATTATTTTAGAGTTTATTATCGAATATTTGGCTCTCAAAATATTTTATTTGATTTGTCTGAGACTATCAAATTGGCTATTTCTTAATGGCCGAATTCGAATAGAAAATTATTGCGTTTGTGCAATTTTTAAATATTTCGAAAAACGAATTAAGTGGGTGAGAATTGGATTGGATTCTCCTGAATTTCTATCATTCCTTTTTTTTATTTCCTATTATAGAGATGTTTGAAAAATTTAAATATTTGCTAAATTCCAAAAAAAAAACTATGTCAATTTCCGGACTAAATCTAATGATAGGTTAAAGGCGCATGCTATAGCTTCAAGACCAATTCAAAATTTATTTTCCTTCTAGTTTGCATTTTTCTGTTTTTCGTTATAAGTAGTTTTTTGCTAAATGATATAAATCATCTATAAAAGAATTAAAAATATATTTCCTTGTTTAAAAATTTTCACCAACCAAAAAAATTCAGTGGTCCGTTTTAGGCGACTCAGATAAATCGAATAAAATATTTTGCCTCTATAATATTTTAGATTTTTCTCAATGAATTTTAGAAATAATTGGTAGAATCTAGAATTTGCTCAATAAATTTGAAAAAAAAAATCTTATAAAAATTAAAAAAAAATTTTTAAGTTAATCGATTCTCAATAAATTCTAGAATTTCTCATATCATATTTTAGAGTTTAATTATTGAATATTTGATTCTCAAAATATTCTATTCGATTTGCCTGAGTTCTTCTTCAAACACCTTCCAATCTCTCTCATTTGCGATTCAACAATTCCGAATGAAGGGGGGGGGGTCTTCATCAAAAACGCAAACACTTGAGGAGACGAAGAATTGAGAATGTTGAAAAAAAAAGCGCGCGTTGGACGAAGGCAATTTCCGCCGGCGAAGACGCGTATGCAAATTTTCGCATCTTCTCGACGATGTTCGGGGGGAGGAAAAGCGAAAATAAGAAAAAAAAAACGAAAACGCCAAAAAAGGACTCACCGCGTTCACCGCGCATCGTCGAAATTGATGGAGTATCTCGTTAATTCGGCCGATCAAAGCATCTGGATGAGCGAAAATTGATAGATGGGGGAATCAGGAGGAAATTGAGTGAAGAAGACGCGATGGTGTAGAAGCGACGGCGGCGTCTGAAAACTGAAATATTGAAAAAAAAAAACAAACTTATCTTGATTCGTCTCGAAAAGTCAGTTGGGTCTCGCAACGACGAAAACACACCAGATTTTTTAAAACATCGAAACACTCAAACTTTTGCGGAGATTTATGGGGCATGTGCCTTTAAATTGGTCTCACCTCGAAGCTCTGCTTTTTTTTCGGTTGTCATATTTTGAGCAATTTTAACCAAAATTATTGGTTTCAAATCAATAGAAAATTGAAATTTCAAAGTTGGCTAAATCAATTGTCGTGACAAGACCATGTTTAAAGGTGCATTCTATAATTATATATGTAGTTTCGACTTTACAAATACGTGGTGTGTTTCGATAAACTTCTATTGCTTTAAGAAAATTAAGAAACGATAGTAAATTATGATGATTTTGATGTCCGTTGATATTTGAACCGAAAACATTCAATGGTCCGTAAACAATGAAATGCTCTCGTTTTTTTTTGTGAGATTCTTATAGTTTTATCAATTCCGTGGCAGGGCGGCAATTCAAATTTGGATTTAAACCACTCGGGTACCAATTTCTGGATAACCTTCGAATCTGCTCGTTTTTGCAATTGTAAAAATTTACTCAAAAATAAAATTCAAATTGACAAAGTCAACTTTGGAGTGTAAAAATTTGAACGAGGCGATTAATTTGAAAAAAAAAGACAATCATAAAACTACAGTATACATTAAAGGCGCATGCAAAAAATTGTTTAAAAAAAATGCAACGCAACTTTTTGGTGTTTGGCTCAAAAATTAATGAGAAGGCGTTGGAATCGAGAATGACGACGAGGAGAAGACGTCATAAGAGGAAAAGATGAGAGGAAGGGAAGAGTAACAATTTGGTCAAAACGCGAGGATTAGTCGGCAAAAAAAAAAGCGGCGGCGGCGGCGGCGGCGGAGGTCCTAAACCATCTCGACTGAATGAAAAATATTAGTAATAAAACGACGAAGAAGGACCTCCTCTTCGAAGAAGAAGAAGAAGAGCAAAAAAATGGGGCTAGGAAGAAATAAACGAAAAATCTCGACAACACACACACACATTTTGGTTTTGATGCCAGTGATTACATATATGGACATGTTGGTTGGCTGGTAGGGGCAAGAAGAGGAGCAAGAAGGTCCCAATCGACATTCCTTTGAGACTACAACTCCCATCAACACGTTTTTCTTTCTTTTATGCGAACATTTTTTATGTGCCTATTTTATGGCACCATTCAGATTTTGGCAGAAAACTCAAACAAAAAAAAACAACACTGAGTTTGATTCGCAGGTTATCCCGAGTACGGTAGCCGAATTTCAACAGTTTAAATCGAAATTTGAATTTCCCACAAATTCCCACGATGCTCTTTTTTGTTTCTTTTTTGCCTTGGGTGTTTCTTGCCATTGAAAATTTTTGAATGCGCCTTTGATGTGTACCGTAGTTTTGCATATTTTTTGATACGCAGTCAATTCTGATCGTAAAAAATTTTCAAATGAATTTTTAAAATTAAAAAAAAATGTTTGGTTGACTCAACTTTATTTTGGGGCTTCTTAATGAGCAATTGTGCTCCAAATAACTCAATACATACAATCAATCGTCTTGTGGTCTATTCTAGAGCTACACGGAATTCCTACGGAATTTTTTTCGGTGGTCCGTTCAAAAACGTTCCTTGCTCTGGTTACTTCAAACCAATCGGCTCCGACTGATTTCGGTTTCGGAATCAACAATATCCGATTGATAATTCTACGGATAAGATTGGAAAATTGTCGCATCCGATTTTTTTTTGAGTTTCCCGATTGTTTTTCCGTATTTTCGAATCCAGACAATTCAAGTTATGCGCTCATTCTCTCTGCGGTCTCTTTTCTCCTAATAATTTCTTATCGCTGCTGATATGATAGAGAAGAGAGGGGTCAATATAGTGCCGGTTTTTGGACTCGCGACCGCGATTGTTACGTCATATATTTGAGATAGTTTATTGGGACCAAATGGTACGAAATGCATGCGATGGACCTTATTTGGTCATCCTGTGCTCGCCTGAATCGACAACTCTGGCGAGACCATTTTGTGACAAACGGCGAACAAATTCAATTGCGATTCGCTAAACTGAGGGCGGTGTGTAATTGGAGTGTCGTACTGGTAATGAAAAGTTTTGGGAGCTCCTATGTTTAAAAAAAACCCCCAACCCTCTTTTTTGAATCGTTCGGATTTTTTTAAAAATATCAATATTAAATATTCAAAAATATCAATATTGTTTTATTTTGCTCAAAAAAAAAGAAATAAATTTAAGAATATCCAAATCGACGTGTTGGACTCGCCGAATAATTTTCCGAGTTTTTTCGATATCGTAAACTGGATTCAACTGGAAATGGTGAGCGAGCAATTCGTTGACGAAAATTATAATCATTGGGCCAGGATAATCCGAAGAGCTCTCGATCAACTCGGACAGCTATTCCGCCAACTCCGACGGCGCCAAAAGTAATTTTAATTTTAGAAACGCAAAAAATGAAAAAAAATCAAATAATTTGTTGAAGGGCGATAAGGCTCCAAAGAGTTCGAAACCAGAAACAAGTATGACGAAAAAATGTGATAAGAAACGAGAAACTTAAATTTCAGTTAGTGCGACGGCCACTGATAGCAAGGATGCTGGACTCGGGGGAAAAGTATTCAAGAGTCAATTAGAAATAACTGGGGAGTCTTTGCTTAATTTCAGATAACTTTCGACTCGCTCATCAAACAATTTCTTTCAATTTTTATGAGTCTCGTCCATATTTGTCATCAAATCTTTGAAGCCGTCGCCGACGTGATCGCCAAAATCTTCAGAATTATTCTATTCTGCTATCGCAAACCGAAACATGCCAAAGAGCTTTTCCTGACTACAATCCATCTCATCAAAGTCTCTTACGATGCTGAAATTTGGAGTTGGACCCAACTCTTCGATGTTTGTTGATTCTCAGTTCTCAAAATCAGCTGTTTTAGATTCTCAAATCTCAACTGATCAATCCAATGTCGAAAGCGCCACCGCCTCCGCCACCAGTTCAAGCCGAACAGAAAGTCAAATAAAGAAAAAAGAAAGCTATGCTTCTGGCTAACCATTTATTAAAAGAATAATATTAGGATAGATTATTGGTTTAATTAACATATCTATGAATAATCTATTATTATCCGTGATTAGTTTGCCAGTAACAAAAACAAAATCTCTAATCTAGTAGAATTGCTAGATAAGACGTTGATGCTAACTTATGCATTTACGCGAATATCGGCAAGAGATGTCGTCTTGAAACTTAGCTCCGTCGTAATTTCGCGAAGTTTTTCACGATCCGAGTCGTTCGAATGAGAAGTTTCTTCCGTTCTGAAAACCCCATGAATAATAACCATTAATCCACAAAACGAGCGCCATGTAATTGGACCATCGCAAATTTTTGTGACGGTAATTCAATGAAGAAATTAAACGGTGTGAATTCGGGAACCGTGCTCTGAATAACCTGCGAAGCTATCTCTGGGTTTTTTTGGACGCTCGATTTTTTGCGAATGTAATATTAAAAAAAAAACGCTTACTCTCTTTCTGTCCACAGAGTTCTTCCTCTCTTCGCATATTCCAATGCAATATAAAGCGGAGATGGTAACGAAGTAGTTAATGTTACAATTTGGTGGTGATGGCACAGTGCAAAAGTAATGTCTTCAAGACGGTCCATTGGGGCGTTACATTCATCGTAAATAACCGAATACAATGGCGATTTTGCAGATCCCTAAAAAAAACGTTCTCTTAATATCCGAAACCGACAGTCAGTACTTGGAGAGTCGTGTGAGAATTCAAGAAAAATTGCTTGCAAGACGGATGAGTGATTTCCGAATCAACAACAACTCCTGGTGGAATATTTTGCTCAGTGGCTTTGGAACCGCGGCCTGGGATCTGAAATTTCACACAGAAAGTATCAGAAACTTTTCAAATTAGGCGAACGAAGATTAGTGGGTTGGACTTTTTTATAAAAGGGAGGAAGAATTAGAAATATTCTGATAACAATATTTTTCATAAGTACAATTGTCACGCAAGTACAGCAAATTAGTAATAGAAAACAACGCTGCATAAATATTCTCACTCATAAATAAGAACGCAAGCCTCAAATCGATAATGTAGATTTCTACGCACAGTCACGTGACAATTGTTTTTTGATATTGTCGAAGTCGTGAGTCTTCGGCAATTCATTAAAACAAATCTCAACACAAACCGTTATTTTTATCTAGTATACCCACCGTTGAGCCTGAAGAGGTGGACCGTTGGTCGTCCGCGATAGATGATGTGTCTTCTTCTAGCCGAAATATTTATATTCAATGATCAACATTAGATATACTAGATAAACGGATTAGTTATCAATAATAACGGTCATTTCATGATTATGTGGAAACACAAAGCCTCACCACATCTTTGAAAAGACGAATAGAGTGGTCTTTAGAAACCACAATATAAATGAGTTTTGTTTCTTCGCATCCCCTTTCCTTGAGAGCTGCTTTTGCCAATGGAATCTCATATGACAAAATCGAAGGGAAGCTTCCTTCAGCAGCGCCAGTTCGGTAAATAATTAGACGCTTCGGTATAATCCCTCGACGTGATTGAGTATATCTTTCAATCGAATTTTTCACAATTTCTTCGACGCCAATGATTACCTGAAAGTGGTGTTTGAATCAGTAATTATCAAGATTAGCATTATACTCACGCTATCACTCCCAACAGTCGAAAGTATGAAATCGCCAATGTATTCGTCGTTCGATTTCGCATTCGATGAATACTTTAAAACTGTGAATATACATGCCGTTAAATATTTTACTTACACCAATAATTGAAGGATTGAGGATTCCACGTCCTTCCAACAAAAATTTGGAACCAGGTGGCGGCGCTGAAACTCCGATTCCAATAATAAGTTGATCGCCGACAAGACTACAATGTTTCTATTAGAGATCAAAATGAGAAATAAATTACGATTTGTTCAGGACAGCATAATTAATGCCCCCAAGCTTCATATTGGTTTTGTTGATAATGTTTCCGATGGTAACAGCACTGCTTGTGCGAGAGCATTTTTCAACGACCGCAGATGTCAAGTCTTGAGTCACAATTTCGTACTTTCTTTCGTAGTACTTAATTTTCGCTATAAAAACAAGAAATAAAGGAAACAATAAATAGAAAGCTTTCAGTTTACCATGACAAGTTTTGATGGAACTATCGGTAATAAACAAAAGGAATTTGCATTTCTGGCTTTCGGCAAACACGAAACATTGCTCAAGTTGAGACGGATCCTTCTGTTCCATTAACACCGGATTGGAGAAACGAATTCCATGATTGCGCAAACCATTCATGTATGCATCCATGAATCCTCTGAATAACTCCTTATTATATTCAAAATGAGTTCAATATCAATACCGCAAATCGATGTTTTTACGTCCACTGATGAATGCGAAAACCGCCCAAGTAGGCATTGTAGCTGGGGCCAAATATGGCCCTTGGCGCCATTTTCCCATTTTTGCAATAATTTCGTTATTTCCTCCATATTTAAGTTTATTTTCCATCAATGTGCGTCCACTACACTAAAAATAGTTAAAATGAATACCAAAAGCAATCGAACTAATAAGCGTACCATCAATGGATCTCTATAAATTTTGATACCAAGTGCGTCGAGAAGCTCATTTTTATTATCTAACAAACCGGTAACCGTCATTCCCTTTACGATCAGCCCCTGTCTTACGGCAGGAAGCACAGCGCACGCCCTTGTCGTATTCTGCGATTGTGCAGATGTTTGCTGAGAAATTTTTACACGTTGGTTTGGTGATATGATCAAAAGTTCCATTGGATAGAAGTTAGTATTTCCACGTTCTTTGGCTAGAACCAAGTTGAGATCCGGATATCTAAAAAATAATTTTTTTAAATGCAATTCACCAAAACCAACTTAATCGGAACGTTGTATTTTGTTTTGAAGTAATCATAGACGGTTGTGCTTCCACCATCCTTCAATTCGAAACGTGCTTGTCGCGAATTAGCATGATGAAGTCCTTGCACGACCAAGTGCCTTTTTTTTCCTGTATAGGTCGAATAACAATCAAGACCTTTAATAACATTGGTGGCGATATCCATTTGCGAATCTCGGATCAACACTGGCTCTCTAAGATTGAGAATCGAGGATACTTTGTTGGCAATTGTGTCTTCCACGTGAAACGCAGCTTTCATGGCTGAAACATGCAGATATTCCTTCAAGTTTCTACAATTAATGTGAGGTAACCATCGACAATAAGTGAGGGGTTATTGTTCCCTCTTTTCATGGGTCCTTCAATGAAACTAATGGACTTTTTTAACCCAGGAAGAAGTTGTTTTCCATCGCCGACGTTAATGCAATCTTCTTCATTGTAACCTTCACCCATTGGATTGAGAACGAACACTTTTCCATGCTCAAAGTAGCCAAATCGTTCTCTAAAATTAATATTTAATTTTTACCCCCGTTTAGTTCGAAGCATTTACGTTTCTCTAATGATTCTCTGACTAAGTACCAGTTCGAGAATCTGAGTCAATGAACGATCATTAACTTGGAGATTCGGGTCTGCAGTTCTTTGAAGCAAATTTTCTCTCGAGAGCTCAATCTAGAAAAACGACCATATTGATATTTTTTTATGTTTCATACCTCTCGACGTTCACTACGGAATATTTCGACCTTGATGCATGAGCATTCCTTCAGATCTTCATTTTTGGTGGAAGCACCATCGATTTCAATCAGCTTGATTTTCTAAAATAATATTCCCCTCAGGTATATCATTGATGCCTAACTTTATCCGTATCGTTGATTATTGGCTTGGTAGTAAACAACAAACTTTGCCCATCATAAATTAAATTATTTCCGTTAGAAAGTTGGAAAAATTCCTTGTTTTTTTCAACAGCGGTGTAGAAAATATCGATGCACTTCGAATGTCGATCACGGACAACGAAACTGAACATAAATTCCTTATGCTTGCAAATTAGCAACTCCTACTCTTCTTTTCCTTTTTTCGTGAAAATCGCAATTTTTCCATTGCGTAACTCGAAAGAAATGTGCACACTGTAGCTGTAGATTGTGGTATCCTTTTCCAGTTCGAGCCCGAAAACGTTCGATTGAATATTTGTTGGACATCCAGATGATCCGGGTTCCTTCATTGCCGCCAACACAGGTTTTCCTTCAGGAAACTGAAATATTAAAAAAATAAGATGAAATATCAAGCATCGTCAAACATTTAATTGCAACAATCTCTTCTTGCAAGCGTCAGTTGACGTTTTGGTTATGGAATCTGGAAAGTTAATATTTTATGTCATTTTTGACGTTAAACCATATTCTAAAGCCGGCGCTGGCGGCGCTGCAATTGGTGGAGCTGGTGGAGCCGGTGGCGCAGGAGGCATCGGAGGCATCGGAATAGGTGGCATTGTACAATGTAGGGACTAGTACAAGGCTGGAAATTGACACTTAATATTCGTATCTGAAGCTTGATTACGAAAAGTTTCTAATCAGTGTATTTTAATGTTTAATTGAGAGGTTTCGCATTGTTCACGAGGAAAATGATTTCTGAATTTTTTCTCCCAAAATTAATTTTGCGACAAAAGTTCAGACGAGCCAGTTAGTGGTTATCACTTGAATGCCTTGAATTCGACCTTTTCCCTCAAAACCGTTTATTTTGCAAGCATTCACCTACCGGAAATAACGACAAAATAAACGAAAAAATATAGGTCAATTTTTAGGAAAAGATAAACAAATTTGCGTGTCAAATGATTACCGTAATCAATCCATGTGGGAGAAATTGGATTTTTTCGCACATGTTCCTTTAATTCTTATAGTAGGCCTGATGAAAATTTTTAATTTTTTTTTAAATGTCTTTTGCAATAATATTATTTTATAATAATGGCCCCTTATTTTTGGAATTAATAAATTATGTGAAATGTTACACGTTAATACTAAAAGGGAGAAATTCCCGGAAAACTCATTTCATTGACGAAAATTCGATAAAATGCAAACTCAGGAACTTGGAAGTTATCGAGAAAGGCCACCATCCCTTAACAAAAAAGTGGTCACTGCTCCGTGTCCGGCAACGAAAGAGACATCATCGAATGGCTGGGATTATTGGAGTCGAATTTATTCCGAGACCGGTGGCCGGAATGGCGCAGCCGTAAGAACCTTCCACCAATTGTTCCATTTCGTTGAAATCGCGGTCTTTTTGTAGAATTTGCCAATACGTGATATGCGGATTTCATACTTGTTGGCTTCTGAAAGTCTAGTCCGCGCCAAACTGCTGTTTTTGAACGTTCCTGGACTTCCGACAGGATACAAGAATATTATATTGAATCTGTTGAAGAAGGAGCTCAAAGAGGAGATTCCAATTCAAGACGTAATTGCGCAACCGGGAAAATGGTAAAATTCGAAAATGGATTAATAGAGATCGATTAAAATGTTCAGGTATCTCCATTTCTATCGTCCCGCCGATGCGTTACGTGTTCTCAAGCATTTCAACGGCTTCAATTACCGATCGCACACACTTCTTGTGAAATTCTGCTATCCAGACGGAACCTACGGCGACGAAGCAGCTCTGACAGAACTAGTGACGTGTACGTCACAATCGACGCGTCAAATTCAAGCAAAATGCGAAGTGATTCAAGAGGTTCGAGAATCATTTCTTATAAAATAACAATAGCCATCTGCAGCCTGATCCACCGGGAGTATGGTCGCCTGTTGAACTGGAAGCTGTCCGGGGATTCGAGCGAGAGCTCATCTCGATTCTCAAAATCCACAAATGCGTTCCATATTTCTCCGTTATCAGCTCTTTGCGAAATATGTTTGTTAACAAAAAGTTGAACTTTTTTTTCAAAATTTCCCACAATCTAATTTTCTGATTTTCAGACTATCGTCCTATTTCATAAGCGCCGCTCTCGGTCAATGGTCGACGGGTTTCATTCGAATTTTTCACCGGAACGTCAAAGTTGTGGCGAACAGCGTGTGCCTCGCAACCAGCGATTACTACACGCAACGCATACGCGACGCGGCTAAAGAGGTTCAATAAGACATCGAAAACCCTAGTTGATCTATTAATCAGGGAACTTGTGGTCCGAATCGAGACACTTGGGAACCGTGCTTGCCATATGACATTCGCAGCGAAGTCCAGCTCAAACAATACGCATACGCGTTTCTCTGTCATTTCGGGCCTCAACATATAAAGGTGACAAGAGAGATGTTTAACTTCTGGGCAGATTTTATGGAATTTCATTAAAATAATGCCATTTACACGCTTACAAAATTTATTTTTGCTAAAAAAAATGCGTGAAAATATAAAATTGTTCATTTTTTGCAGATCGACATTCCAATTCGCCTTCTGGCTCTTTCACTTCGCGGTATTTGGCCGAAAACTGGCCCTGATTTGGCTGAAGCGTTAACAAAGTCCGTTTTTTTTTGCCGGAAATTTTTTGGCTAAAAATGCGAAAACGTTTCAGAATATCTGCAAATTTTGTAATTATTAACAATGTACTCTACTTGTCGACGATTGAAAAACACCACGAACATCTCATCGACAATCTGGCGGTGATTCAAACAGATTCTGAATTTTATCGGAAAAAATCAATCTTTCTATTTCAGGCGCTTCAATATGACGCCGACGAGACGGCGAACGGTGTGACCGAGCGCGATCTGAAGCGCAGTCAGCTGGTGAGCGTGCTTGATCTTTGAGCACCTGTCTAAAATCAAACCCCCATTCAAACTATGCACATTTTGCTTCTCTTCGTCAAAATCGTTCTTTTGTGGCGTGTCCTTCATTATTTTCCCTATTTGGCGAGTCGCACACTCGCATCACATTAAACACGAAATAAAGAATTTCATTATTATTATTAATGAATGAATCATTAAACATATACAATCACATAACAACAAAAAGTCGAAGAAGAAGAAGAAGAAACATCATCATGGGTTATGTATTATATATATATATATATATTCACGTTTAGGTTTAATTATAAAATTTCGTTAAGTAGAGGAAGAAAGTTAAAACTCAGCAACAAAACTGAGAGAGGCGTTTGAAAACCATATTCGTTATCGGAAATAAAACACAAAATGTTGCCCGGAATTTGATTTCTTTCGCACAAGAAGAGGTTATGAGAATACGATTGTACGTCGAGACGATTAATGGAATCAGACTGCTGCTGCTTCTGCTTCTGAGGCAGCTTGTTTGAGGTGAATTTTGGCACATGGTGAGGCTCATCGAGTGAATGATGGGTTTGACGGACCGCTCAAGCGCTAGGCGGCGCATAATTCGGCTGCGTCGACACGAAATAATCATCAAAGAAGTGATAAAGGGTGTCGAAAGTTGGCCGACGATCGGGATTCTTATCCCAACATTTGAGCATCACCTCCTCATAAATCTGCTCGGGGCATCCACGTGGCATCGGCATACGGTAGCCGAGATCGACCTGCTCGACGACCTCTCGATTATGCATTCCTAGAAACACGTCGTTGTGAGAGCTCCAAACAATAATGAATACGAATGTTACCTGGATAAGGCACTTGTCCTTTTGTCATAATTTCGTACAGAAGAATTCCGTACGACCAAACATCGCTTTTAACTGTGAAGTTGCCGCAAGTCGCAGCTTCTGGAGCAGTCCACTGAAATCACATTCGATTTTATTTTAATTTTATATTAAAATTCTTGGAAAAAAACTATATTGATACAATCATACGGACTTCAAGGAAAATCGGAGTTCTTTGTGATTTACATTAGCGAGCCTTTATTTACTACTCAGTCAACTCGTAAATCTACACAGATTACTACATGAGACCGGCTTCTTCAGTAGAAAACAAATACTCCACTTCAGGAATAGATGTTGGCTTCAAATTCATTGAAGCAAATTTGAAAATACATACCTTAATTGGAAATTTGGCACCCGTTCTTGCTTCATAAATATCCTCTTCCATAAGTTTTCTGGCAAGACCAAAATCAGCGACTTTAACAACTGGAACACCAGAGATTTTGTCTCCGACGAGCACATTTCTCGCCGCCAAATCGCGATGCACCAATTTTCGCTCTTCAAGGTACATCATTCCATTGGCGATCTAATAAATTGATTGTCGCGACAATTAGGACGATTGATTGTCAAACCTGTGCAGCCATATCAACGAGTGCTTGGATTCCAAGCGTGTTTCCGTCATTCCTCAAGTAATGCAGCAAAGAGCCATTGCTCATGTACTCGGTAATGATATAGAATGGCTCTTCGCGTGTGCACACCGCGTAGAGTTTGACGAGGTTCGGATGATCGCATTGCTTCATAATTTGCGCTTCTCTGGAATCAAACACAATAATTCAATTTCAATAGTCAATCGAATATCCATACTGTAGGAATGCTTCTGGCGACATTGTTCCGGGTTTCATGGTCTTGATGGCAACCTCGACAATTCCTCGCCATTTTCCATACCAAACCTTCAAAACGCTTCTTCATTGTCCGAAATTATGAAGACCCAACGAAAATACCTCTCCAAAGTTTCCATCGCCCAGTTTGCGCTTCAAATGGAGCTGATTGCGCGGAATCTCCCAATTCTGTTGAGTATCGTGTGAAAGATCTGGACGCGGCGGGGCAAGACGAGGCGCCGGGAATGTCAACTGACAACATAGGCCGTCGGCCATGTCTAAATATGGAATTACTCGGTGATAACCGATGTAAATGGAATACCTGAGTAATATCTAACAAGTTCTTGAAGAGTGCGGAAAGTCCGTCGGGTGGTGATGAAGAATCCATGATCATTGTCCAGTCGTTTGATTTTATAATGTTTCACCGATCCTGAAAATTGAGAAAAAAATTTATGAAAAAAGAATCCATTACATAATCCAATATTTTTTAATTTTCGAGCGGTCAGCTCTATTCCTTGTTTTGCTAAGAAATTTAAAAAAAAAAAGTAATTTGTCGGCCAATATGACTTGTTTTTCTAGGAATTCCCTTATACATTCAATTTTCTTTTAAAATTAATTTCAAATAATGAAATTCACCTCCTCCACCGCGAGTGTCGTCCGAATCTCGGATCGTCAACGCAAATTCTCTTCCATCTGCTTCGCGTTCACGAATCAAAAACGTTCCTTTCGGCAAATTCGATGATAAAACAAGACGTTCGGCGCGATTACGCGGAATTTTGCCGGCGAACCATCTGCAAAAAAAAATATCAAAGAATGCAACAATGAGAATTAAGCGCGAAATCAACTAACTCTTCGCTCTCGATCGTTTGTTGTCTGGCGACAAAGTTGCGCGGCACGTAGCCGGTTTGTCCGGTGCGCTGATGTCGAACATACCACCAGTCGCAGTTGCTGTTGTCGAGCAGATACATGGCGTCGCCCTTCTGGAAGCTGAGATCGCCATCGGCACGCGACTCATACTGATACAAGGCGACGAGAATCTCGCGATCTGAAAAAAATTTTCAAAATTATTCACTTATCTTGTTTTGTACACTTTTGCTATACGGCAAAAAGCGCCCTCAACAAACAAACAGAAAAAAAAACACACAAAGTCTAACGAAACATAAATAATAAATATATCCGACAGGGGGAAGAGTAAATAAATGCTTATTTTTTATGAAAGGTTAATGGCAAGTCAAGATTTGATAGAAAACCATTTCGTTTTTCGATAGCCTCATTGAAACCCGAAAACAAATGAAGCTTAGAAACCAAAATCACCATTCTGTTCATTAGAATCTCCTAATTTCTTGCTTTTCATAAATTTCAAAAAATAATCAAGCTAGATCAATTCGAGGAACGTTATTTTAGTGGTTTGAAACAAAATTGTTTAGAACCACCTATAAATGTGAATGTGGACAGGCAACTGATTCTGGAATCCTATTATTTGTTCTATATATCACCTACATTAAAGAATGCACGGAAAAAGTTTGAAGCGAGAAAATCCTTCAGCTGCATACTCGTTTCTTTGGTACTTAGGTAAGAGAAAATCAATCGGATTCGAAAACAAAATCGTTTTTAAACGAAATTGAATATAAATTAATCCAATTCAATGTATGAGAAGACTTCAATCGAATACGATTTCAAAATTTAAAATGAGAAACAAATCAAAGATTTTGAATCAAAATCAAGTATTCAAATCGAGTTTTAAACATTTTCTCAATCGAATCAGGTTAAATTATATTTCAATTTTCTTCGAATCCGATTGATTTTCATTTACCCGAGTTCGAAAACAATTTATTGTTGATGGTATCATTCGCCAATTAATTAACGCATATATTTCAGTTTTTCCAAACGCTTACCCTGCTGCCGATTGCCGATTCCGGCATCGCTTCCCGCTGTCACCTGCTGTTCATTGCCACCACCGCCATTATTCACATGGAACACCGTTTGCTGCTGCGGCGTCGTGAATCTATAACTAAATACACACCTATAGATTGTGCACGGTGAGCAGTTCGCAACAAAAAACCTCGACACATCTATGCGGTCCTGAACACCGTGCTCGCTACCGCCGGCTCGTCGCTCTTTCGAGAATAAACAGCCCATAGCTCGACGTCTGGAAGCGGAAAACATTTTTGCAATATGTGTCTATCTGTATGTGTGTGTGTGTGCAAACGGTGGGCTCCGGTGAACACGAAATAACCACCGCCAATTCGCCAAGATGAAAAAAAAAAAAAACACTCACGATTAATGTCAACAAATTGTCGGAGGCGGATTGCAAATTCAATTGAATTGCTTCAATAAATGTGTGTTAGAGAGAGAAAAAACCTAAAACGAGTCGCTGGTGGAACTCATGAAACTTCGGAGCCGATTGATTCTGAAATTCAACAATCTCAAATTAAAAAAATAAAAAGTGAAAACGGCAGTTTATTTTGAAGGAAAAGAAAAGCGAAAAGATTAAAAAGCAATTATTCTCCTAGTTGTGATGGGCTTTTTTTGCAAAACACTTTGACATTTTCGTAGTTTCTACCAATTTTTTTTTTAAGAAAGAAGTGTGTACGTGACGCAATTAAAGGAAAACCAAAAAAACACACACACAACAATTCTTAATTGGTTTTTTTTTGTCAAAAAAAAAACCAATTTACAAATTATAAAAAACACTGGAAAATTGGACGAGAAATTGGGAAATTGCGTTCATTTTTGAGACTCGTAATCGAAAATGTAGCATAAATCATTAGGCAACGTCGAAATGGAAGAATTTCAATGTAGGCTGTAATAAAATTACAGTATTGCGACTTTCTAACTCCAAAAAAGGTATGAATAGAAAAATGTAGCGATACAAAATAATTAGTGACAAGATTAACTTTAAAGGCGCATTCCCGTATTCACGAATTGCAAAGTCACTGGACGCCAACAAAACGCATCTAATAAAGCACTCTAGTCATAAAATCGATTTATAAGAAAAGCAATATCACCTGGGGTTCCAAAAAAATTTCATTCGTGTTTTTGCGAATTTACAATGGATTATTTCTGGCGTCACACGAATGCGAAAAATTGACAAAAAATTAAAGAGAGGAATTCAATCTATCCTTCAAACTATACATAGACCCGTAAATCTACACTTTTAGTTTTGCGCCAAGATCACTGCCATTGGTTTTTTGGCGTTCATCTAATTTTCCGCGTTTTCGCGACGTCGATAATATGAGTAGACAATATTAGGAAATTAAAGGTGGGGGAATAATGAACGACGTTCTAAATGACCTCCATTTTGAGCTAATTACAATACACGATTGAATGTTTCTTTGAATGAACGGAAAAAAATAGAGCGAACGGCGTCGATTCAGAGGTCAGTGACCAATTTTCCGACGGACAACGTTCATTCAATTAGTGTCAAAGTTAATTATCATCAAAAAAAAAGAAACTCGAGGAATTTGTGGAGCTGGAGCTGCGTGTTGGGACGACTTGCAAGACTCCAGCTGCCGCGCGGCAGTGAAAACTTTGAAAGAAAACGAAGGCAAAAAAAATGAAGGAGGAGGCGGAGGATGAGAAGGAAGAATACGAATAAGAGGAAGAAGAAGAAGAAGAAGGGAATTGAAGGAAAGAAGCAGGTCAGATTAATCGTATCATCGCGCCGACTACTGTGCGCTCGCGCCGGGACGCGCGCCCCCTCTTCTGTTCCATGCAATTATCACTTTCGCCGCTTATGCGTATGTATATTTATTTATTATACATACAGATATATATAAATCATTCGTCAGCAATTGTCTTCAAATTGAACACTTTCCCTCGATATCGCGAACACAGATATGCTTCAAGTATCGCATTATTAAACATAAATATCATTTGATCTAAAGCTTCAAATACCGGTTACAGGTATAAACATTTGAATGTGGTCTCACAGCGAATTGCTATAATGGAACAAAAAAACCAAAAATAAAAGAAAAATAATAGTTTTTTTACATGGAAATCTTATTATTTTTTTTAGCTCTGTGCCACAGTTGATACAGTAATTTCATTTTTTGAAATTAAGAAAATAGCGGAAAAAAAAAAGAATTGAAAAATTTTCGCAGAAGGGAATGTTTTAATCTCGAGCTTAAACAGATTTAATATATCTATGTAGTTATGGGTTGCATAAAATAAATTGAAATAGAAAACCGAGTGGGAAAAAAAAAGAAAATTGATAAAACCGCAGATGACTCATGACGGAGCGAACGAATCAATAAACGAATGGCATCGGTGACAGGATTATAATGCACTAGTAGGACTAAACAAACAAACAAACAAAAAAATGATGGTCCAAACACATCTTCAAGTGTAATTTCATGCCGAAGGCATAGCACACTGGCGAAATTATGAGAAATGAGGCGGCCGGGCTGGGCGTCGGGTTTGAGTGGCGAAAAGCGTTTCGGCAGTGGCCGACCGGGCATATTGCAAGTTTAAATTGATGCGTTCGTTTGGGTGGCCGGACAAGCACAAACACATGTGCGTTTCTGTGTGTATTTGTGCCTGTGTGGACACACCGGGCCCGAAACACTTTTTATTTTTTGATAAATAATGAGCCTGTTCGAAAGAGAAAAACAATTTTTGGTTGATGGTAGCAAAAATGAGAAAATATCTCTCGTGCGAAAAAAAAAAAACGTTGTCAGATTTTTTGAACTCGTCGAGGTCAGAAAATCTCGACAAATAATCGTATACGAGGTAGTCGCGGTGAGACCCAGACGAGTAGAATTGTATAACATTCGCATATTAGATGGTCTACTCTTTTTCAATCCACAGCGTTATATACAGAAAAGAAGGAAAATATCGAGCAATAGGTCGAGTGAAAATCGACATGAATGAAATTTCTGAGAGAATTTCGAAAAAACGCCTCGATTCTAGAATTCAAATCGATCAAGAACCCTGAGATAAACGGCATGCATCCATTACTTCCTCGTATATTATTTATGGGTTTTACCAATTCCCATTTTTCCTTCTCCATACCATTATAATACTATATATATGTACATTAATAGCCTTGAGAATACTAGGCGACGCTTGAGAATCAATAACCGCAAAAAGGAACATCTGCGTGCCCATTTTCCGCCAATTAGGACACTAAAGCCTATTACGAAACTACGGAAAAAAATTGCGCGATGGTTGAGACGAAAATTGCGAAACTAATAATATCGAAGACGAGTGAAAGGATTTTTCCAAAAAAAAAATACATATTGGGCCCATTTCCCCTCCACTTTTTAATGGTTTTGCGAGCGCTATAAACCGAGGGAAAAAGTAAAACGACATGGTTTCGTAGGAACCGCAAAACACGCACAGAGAGGTCGTTCGGGCGGCTGGCCGCCCGGCCCAACAGCGGTCGAATGCGTCGCTCCAACGATGACCACTCTGTGAGAGGGCGACGGACGGAAAGCGAGCGCGCGAAGAGCACACAAAACGACGAGACGATCGAGCGACGTCCATTCGCCCGTCCGTCACTGTCCATTCTATATCTACACTTTGTCCTTCTGCTGCTTCTGGCCAACTGGTCCGATGCTCTCTGGCCATGCGCCCAAGTGTTGCCAATTTGTGTGTCCCTTACGAATTATAATATTACAATTAGGCTCGTAATTGCTACTCGATTTTAGGGTCATGCGGTCTCCTTTAGGCTGCTACAGAAAATATTCAAGGATACATCGGTGATTGTCGCATTTCAGATGAGGATTCTGGGGTTTAAAAAAATTTTAATGAATCGTTCAAAAGATTATTTAGGAAAAAGTAACTGTAAGGAAAACGAATTTTCTTAATATACCGAAAATAAGAAAAAATAACAGCCAAAATTGGGAAAAAAATTCATCCGAAAAAATACTGGTCCGCAAACACCGATAGTACATATTGCAGAATTTCACACAGTAACAATAATCAAATAATGTTTTCTCTTCAATCCAAAAAGATTGTTTTATTGTGCGAATCATTATGAAAAACTCGTATAACATGCCATGCGCATTCGATATTCAAAAAAAAAAACAAAAGAAAATATTGAAATTTTTCAGGAAGAAAAAATCATAGAAAGCAAAAAAGTACAGCGGTTTTCGGTTGACGCAATTAAAAATTTGTATCTATTCAGAATAACATAGTTGACTTAGTTAGGGACTATTAAGAAGAATTCAACTAAAAATGGGACAAGAATAGGCGGTTTGTGGAAGAAAAAATTAATAAGCATAATTTTTTAATTAGTCGACGCCACTAAAAATCTCAGAATTTTCAATGGCCGTTATTAATTTCGATTTCAATTCGTTGAAAGTTGTGTAAGGCGGAAGATCAAGGCGGTTGAAGCTATAAATTGAAATTGAAATTCTAAAAATTGAATGAAATCCAAATTTACCATGTATGGGCCCTTGGGAGCATATCAGAGCTGCCCCATCTTTCGATTGTGAATTTCTGAAGGCCATTCGAGCCATAAAGTTCGCGGAATCCATTCATTGGCACTCGCGAGGTTCCCGAAACGAATTGCAAGACTCTCGCGCGCATTTCGTTGTCAAACGAGAGAATGCATTTCCAGAAGTTGTGGATCACTTGACTACTCGGCCCATAACCTCCCTTGTATACCGTGTTCGCCTTCCAATCTTTTACATCAATTTTTTGAAGGCCACACATGAGTAGTTCGAGTTCGTTTGCATCGAATAAACGCAACAAATTCGATGGAACCACCTAGAAAAAAAGTCGAGTTGTTTTCAACAACTTTATCATGAATCACTCCTGCAAACCTCATGCAAGCCTTTCAAAAGCTGATTCATCTGAGCTTCGACGTGACTCACAAATCTCCAATTAATCACCGCGTCAATATACTGCTCCTTGTTCTCTTCATTCACCGAGATTGAAGCACCACCAGGGACAAGCTCAACATTTCGCGTCTGAAAAATAAAAAAAATAGCAGAAAAAATGCATCAGCCCGATGCGGGGCTCGAACCCGCGACAGCCAGATTAAGAGTCTGGTGCTCTACCGACTGAGCTAACCGGGCGCTGTGCGACCAATGGCATGAGGCCTTGATGTAGAGGCGCCCGTGGCACTCGCGCCGTCCTACACTCTCTCTCTTTCTTTTCTTTACACGCCACAAGTAGTACGAAATAAAAAGATAGAAAATTCTCACCTCGCCAAAAATCGAGTCGTCGACAGAAAACGAAAGTTCCAAATCGGCGGGATCATTATCCTTCACATAAATTAAAGAGTTGTAATAGGCGTTATCGACAGATTCCATATCAAACAGTGTAATCTTCTTGCCAAGCATCATTTTATAAAATGGACGAATGAAAAACGCTAAAAAAAAAGTTGTTATTCGACAACATCTCAGAAAAATTGCTACCATCAAGTAATTTTCCATGATAAATCGCCATTCCAATAACTCGACCAATAAAGTAAAAGTAGGATAAATGTTCCGGATTGCATGCCTCCGAATGTGGATTGATTTGAAGCGTATAATTATCCCTTAAATCTTTTTGTTTTCTTCTTCTTCTTCTTCACACTCTTTAACAAAAGTGTCTTACGTCGCTGAATACTCGAAAAGCCCATAATAGGGATTAAAAATTTGATGGGACAGCAAAAAGAACCATTCGCGTGTAACGCCGCCATAATCCAGGCCGGTCTCGCCAAAGAACTCGATCCATAATTTATTGCGCAGCTCATAATCCTTCTGGAAAAAAAAGAGAGAAAATATTGCAATTGGGGACGAGATCAAACCTTTTCCATGATTTGACGATAGGAATCTTCGAATAAAGTGTCTCGGTGCACAATCATGTCGCATTTTCCACTAGAGCTCGACGGCTTCGGCAATCTTGATCGCAAGTATTCCACCTGAAATGAGAAAAATGTATTGCTAAAGATAAAACGAGAAAAATTTGATCATGAAATAAAGAAAAAATTCAATTTTCAAAGAATTAAAACATTTAGAAATGAACAGGTATGAAAGAATCTGATAATCCCTCTCTCTTTCTTTTTTTTTTCAAAATCGCTCTCTTTCACAGCGATGTTTAACAAACGTGAAATTATTAGATTTTCAATATGAGATGACAGATTAAATATTTAATGGGGGGGGGCGATTCCAAGAGACTGAAAAGAAAATTCAAATGATAATTTCAAATTTTGAAAAGGTCCGTGCCAAAAAAAAAATAAATTTTTATAGGGTCCAACACTCGACGCGCAGAGTATTCGTCTTAAATTACGGTATAATCTGCATTTGTGCGTCAGGTGTTGACACACGGACCCCCCCCCTAAATTCAAAATCATTACTCGAATTTTCTTCTTTTTTTGGCAATGGAAACCCCTCAAAAAAAATTTCAAAGTTCAAATCTCACCTTTCTTTTATAATCCCTCGAATATGGCACCGCTGGTCCGGCGATATTCTCATTCTCGAATCTCGGATCCTCCCATTGAGTCCTTCTTCGATTATGATCAATGAAGAAGACGCGTCCATCGACATGAACCCTCTGCTCCCATCCAGGCGGCAGCGCGCCAAGCTCATCATCGGTCTTGCCGCGAACCGGCATTCTCGCCGCCACACCTGTTCGCGGATCGGTCCACGTCGTCGTCTTCGTGCGATGATCGATGAAGAACATTCGTCCGTTCGGCGCCACCTGTAAATAATTCTATTTTCTTTTTGTTGAAAGAAAAAGGGCGACTGAACCTTTAAGCTCAAAAATGGGGCGGAAGGGAAACGAAACACAAATGGGCGTGGCTTAATTCAAGGACCCTTGCACTTTATCTTTTTGGCAAATTTCTAACCAACAAGATCAAATTTGAAGTAAGGAAGTCGTGGAAAAAAAACTGGATTTTCGTAAACTACTAGAACAAAATCTGATTAGTCAAACTGACAACTACATATTACAAAACGGATTCACTTGTTAATAATGGAGAAGATTTGAGAGGGGGAACGACGAACTCGTAAACACATTGGGGGAACCTCGTGTTCGTAATTTCAGCCAATTTTTCATTCGCCCAAAACCATTCGTTTACGCCGCCAATTTGCATATTTCCAAAACTAGTATTGGCGGCAAATTCAAATTATTTCGTCTCTCTCTCTCACCTGCATATCCCATCCATCGGGCAATCGCGCCTCGTTCGTCTCATTATCCTGATGGCCACGATCAAAATTGGCGCGCATACCGTCGTCGAGCTATAAACAGCAATTTTCAAAAAAAAAAAAAGATCCTGGAATATCTGGATAGCAAAAAAAAACACATATGAAATAGGTCGCACTTTTTGAATACACAATACAGCTAATAATTGAGCAACGCGATCGAATACAAAAAGTGCATTTGGAGGACTTGTCTATTCTTTTCAGCTTTTTTCAAGGGACCATCGAAAATAGGACGAGGGGGATTATCGAATGGAATGGAGTGAGTCACTGAATTCGAGATGAGGTGACTTTTTTTCCTTTCACCAGGTCCAGGACTACACTCTTCATTCATGGAGGCAAAAATGAATGAGTTTTCTTCATGTGTGTCTCATTGAGTTGTATTTGCTCAAATAGAGCACACGCAACAAAAGTTCAAACGGCGGATTAACACACACAGAGGGAAACGCATTTAACCATTCTGCCGCCGAAATAGATCATTGCGTCTAATTGGGGCCATTTTTGTTTGCTGACGCGTTTCGCGTGCAAATTTCACGGCGAAGGGAATTAGGGAATGAAGAAAAAAAAACGAGCAATTTCAATACAAAAGCCCCCATCGACCTTCCCCCGATTTTTTGATCTACACATACTTTCGAATTTGTGCGGATCGAAAAGAAAATTGAAGCATCACAATACAAAATGATCAAATAATACTATTGACACATAGTTGGTTCAAAAGAAAACAGTATCGAAGACTAGTTGATCAAAAAATATACTCGTAAATATAAGCAAATAAATAAATAAATATTTTTTGGGCGTTTTTTTAGTTTTCAAATGATGAAGGGTTTCTCCCGTCACAAGTATTCCACTAGAAATTTCATAAATGCAAATTTTAAAGCATTTTCATTTAATTATTACAATTTTGAACCAGCGAACAAATTAGGACATATTTTAAATAGAAAAAAATGGCGCAGCTAAACAAAGCTTCATAAAATTTACTGGTCTAGTGTTTTTAATAAGAAATTCTTCATTCTAAAAGCTAAAATATTATGAGAAATTCACAATATTTTAGATTTTTTGTCAGATTATCAGGACCATGAAAATGGGGAAATTTTGAATATTTTATTAATTTTACATTCCGCGAAAATCTTTTGCGATAAAAACTGAAAACTCAACAAAAAAAAATCTGAAATTGATTTCCGTCTGCTGACTGGACTGCTTAAGTGCGCGACAGTTTGTCGGCATTCAATTCAAAAAAGAGCTTCACGTGGAACATGATATGTCTCGGGCCGAGCAAAAGCAGCACAATTCGACGAGCACTACACGTGCGTCTCAAAACCAGTTCGTCAAATTTCCATTGGTTCCCGCCAAATATTTGCCCACCATTTTTTTCCACCATTTATTCGTTTTCGTCGAGCGTAGAAAAGAAAAAAAATAATGACACTAGGCAAACTATAAACAATCAATTTGGTATTTTGAGATCGCTTATCAATTTCGGCATTCAACAGTTGCACAATTCATAGGCCTCGGCAAAACACAAAATAGTAAAGTGAAGACTACCCGGCGAAATGCGAGGGGGAAAAAAAACGTAACCTATTATGAACAATTTGTTGGGGTGGTGTGGGTCGAAATGCAAAAATAAAACCACAGTGGCTCAATTTGTTCGCCGTCCAAACAAAACACCATTTTTCATAGTTTTTGCCAATTTCGCTGGCTGCTCGCCGAGCATCGACGACGACAAATTGATGGGTTTTTAATAAAAACGAGATGGATTGCGTAGGCCGCAATCCTTTAATTGGGTGCCTTCAATTAAAAAGATTAATGGAGCTGCTTTAAAAGCCTAACGCGCGTAAAAAGCTTTTGGTGTGTTTTTTGTAATCCCATTTATCATTTGCTTCTTCTTAAACAAAAAAGACAAAACGAACCGCGTGGAGTTCATCCCTAACAGCTTCTCCTGTCGGATCCTCTGTCACCTGACTTCGATGCTCGTAATTATCCCTTCTACGCCTCGTCTCCTCAATCACCGACTGCTCTTCAGCTTCAGTTGTTGCTCTACAATATATTTCGCTGGTTTAATATTCAACGCTTTTGAATTACGAGTCAACAGCTTCTGGACGATGCCATTGGGTTGTTCGCAACACGTGATTCACGTAGAATGTTCGACCATTCGCGTCTTCGCGCTCTTCCCAACCTATAATTTTTTTGGTTGGTGTTTTTAAGATTTCAGAAATTTTAGAGGCATTCTACCTTGAGGTATACTTGATGAAGCTTGCAAGTCATTGCTCGAATCCGACGGCGAGTTCTCGGCTTGAGAATCCGGCATAAAATGAAGTCCAAGGAAAATTGTGCCAATATTTCTGAAATCGCGCGACGAAGATTATTCAAATCCAAAATCTCCCCGCTTTTTCTTTCAAACCTTTGTTTTGCGCTGGGACCATTTGTTAATGGATATTCCACTGGTGTCTCAGATCTTGTCGGAATATTTGGATCATCGAGTGGGCGATGCACAAATCCAATCAAAGCATCGCGTCTCTGAAAACCATGAATTATCAAAAAAAAAAACAACAAATGTGACTTACAATTTTATTCTCATCGTAGACAAAAATTTTCAGCGAGCATTGACGCGTCACCCGAAATGTGTAGATGCAATTCCAAATTGGGCTACGCGTCTGAAATTGTGAATTATGAACAAATCAGAACCAAAATTGTTTAAAATTTGCCTTTTTCTTCTTTTCGACCGTTATTTCATCGATAGTTTCTCCAGCTTCATTTTCAAGGCGAACAACACAATACGGCGAAACAACGCCAAACAAATCGCGTTTGCCTAGTTTCGATCCTTTCACTAGACGTACCCGTAATAGTTCCGTATCCTTCAAGAAAAAAAAATTGAGCATTTCAAAGCGCAGGTGAATAAAAAGCTAGGCGGAATTAAAAATAGTCAAACTTTCAGGTGCGTAATTACACATCTTATTAAATAAAAAAGAAAAGAGAACATTCTGCATTTTCGCGTATCGGTGTTACACACGATTTGTACAAATCTTTCAATTTTCTAATAAATTTCATATTTTAAATCGTTCGATATCGCAATTAATATAGGGTAATTACAGAAAATTCACAAACCTGTTCATCAGAAGGCTGAAGTCCATGAATAACCGTCTTGACAACCATATCGTTAGGCAGAAAACGTAAAATTATAAAATAAAAACAATTTGTGAGCCGCCTCGCATGCCACGCGAGGTATATCTGCAATTATCGGTTTACACTCGAAATTTTGCAACGAGCCAAAAAAAGAGAGGAGAAATCGATAATAAAACAAGAAACAATTTCCACGGTGTTCGCCGACTTATAGCCTACATGCACATACAATCATCGGCTCGTTCATTGCTCGCTGCCGAGCAATTGCTCAATTCGTTTTTGCATTTCGCCAAAAAGAACAAGAAATTAGGTAAAATGTTAATTTTAATTAAAGAAAATTTACAACAACAATCAAAGAAATACAATTAATAGATTCGGAAAAAAAACGAGAGAAGAAAATTAGATGAATTAGACGGAATATTTATGAAATAATTCTTGTAAACATTATCCCGTTATCGAAATTTTTGAAGCGGGTACAGAAGAAGCAAAAAAAAAAAGCAAATAAACAATGAGAGATCAGAGCGAAGAAGAGAATGAATGAATGAACTATCGATTATTTAGCGGTTGGCGCCACAACCAAAAAAAAAATTCCAAAGAAATAAGGTGAAAGATTAAAAATGGGAGTCGAGGGAAGCTGGTGACGAACAAGATGATGACGATGATAAGAAGGAGAAGAAGACTAAAAGAAAGAATGAAAACGACATCGCGATGTGATCAATTTCTAATAAATATGACGAAAATTGCCCATAATACATCAAAAACAGCACAGGATGGGAGGGGGAGGAATATCAGCCGCCAAAAAAAAAAACGTTTCGACGACGAAGGCGAGTCTCGACGTGATGCGAAAACTCGAAATAGCACACGAGATGGAGAGACGGCGACGGTGAAACGATCTAGTGCCAAATCGAACGAAGCAAAATGAAAAAACGACACACACACGCACACACACGAACAAAATGAAGAACAAAATTTCTAGTCGGAATCTTCTTCCAAAAGAACTACGTGATTGTCTCTCGCTTTCCGTTTTCGGTTGCTATGATCGTCCTGCAAAAATAAGAAAAAAAAAACAATGAATGACTCATTGTGTAAATAATCGAGTAATACTAAACTCCGGGTTCGGGCTCATTCATTTTTTTTCTATTATTTATAGTAAACGATAGTGTTTTATGACTCAAATATTACGTCGAACCCTTTTTTTTGGTTGGTGATAATAAACTATTCGACGTCATCATCATCCATTCTTTCGTTTTCAATTTCATAACCAAATAAGGGATAATGACCAACAGTATATTTTCAATTTTATTAAAAAACCAACATGGCAACAAAAATATTCGTTTTCAAAGTTTTAAAAAATTTATACGCTTATTCCTCTAATTGCATTTTTTTTTTAATTTTGATAAGGACCAATCAATGTGTATTATGGTTTTTTATCGCGTTTGGGTCTCGCCACGTTCATATGATCGCATAACAAAATACTCGAAAATTAAAATTGAAATTTCGAAATGAAGAAAGATTTCGAAAACAAAACACTCATCGAAATGAGAATCCTTATACTAAATCTCGTCTGATTTCTCGACAACTACTATTCGTGTCGTAGTAATCACATGATGGAAAATGATCAATTTCGACAGGAAAAAAAACAGACGTCGCATTCGTAAACTCGACCTTTTATTCGTGTTATCGAAAATAGTTTTTCATTTCGAACGTCCGATAGCGAAAACGAAATAAAATTGAATGGGAAAATTGTGCAATTCAATCAATTTTCGAACAGCAAAACTTCAGGATTGAGCGCAGATTGAAAATGAAGAAAAATGAAACTCTTCTCGACAAAAACTATGAAATATGCGCTCAATTTTTCGTAAAGAACGAGAACAAAACAAAAAGATCCAATTAACGCCGAAATTACACTCAATTTTCTGTCGCAAAAAAAACGGCTTAAACCTATTCGATTCATCTAATCTGACAATGAAGTCTGACAAAAACCCAAAAAAGTTCTCATAAAAAGGTCAAACATTTGGTTGGTTAGTGAAATATCTTTGATTACGAAAGCAAAAACATCAGCTGCGAAAAAAATGCGAAAAATCGCGACGAGACGCAAACTAATCCCATCTCATAATCATAATTCTAATATATACTAATCAAAAATTTCATATTCTAGTATTCGTCATAAGTTGGGAGCCGATTAGAATATAAATAAATGTTAATAAAACGAAATGAAATTCTCAAACCTCGTTGTCGTTTGCCAATTTTCTTTTGAGTTGTTGCTGACGTTCGGTGCCCGATGACGCAGATCCCTGCCTAGAAAGTGGAACAGAAATAATAATCGAAGAAAAGTGATTAAGTGTGGGTGTGGGAATCGAGAATTTGAGACATTTTTCTAAATATCACATAAAATCGTCTGTGTTTTACTATTTAAGGTTTCTGTAGGATTCTGGGCAACTCTGATATGAGGGTAAAGTAGTCAAATTTTCAAAATTGAAAAAAAATGAAACCAATTTTCGTCAAAATTCGAATCATATTGCTAGTTCTCGATTCAAACTCATTTTTTCGTTTTTTCAAAGAATATAATCGAAAAATGTAATGAACATCTCTATGTATTTTTTAATTCGAAAAATCACCATTCAAACGTTTTGTGATCAAAATTTTTTCAAGAATAAAAAATAGGCGAAAATTTGATAATCATATGATCACAGCACCCATTTTTAGAGCTCACCTGTTGTTTCTCAATGTTCTCGATGAATGTTCTTTAACTTCGGCGGCCAGAATATCCATAACACCGAACAAATTGTGGAATCGTTTCGTTAAAAACGTGGCCTTGTCATTTCTAAAAAAACATTAAACACTCAATATTTACAATCGAAATTTCCCAAAACAAAATTCATACAATTTGACGGCACCAAACGCCTCCTGCATGTGAGTTTTCGAAAAAAACGATTCGGTGACCCGTTGCTTCTTCTCAATACAAGAATCGCTAAAGTGTGAGAGATGCTCGATGACCTGTTGAAGGCACAATTTCACAGCAGCACCCTTTTTTAACGGCTTTTGCGGCACCAGCTCATTATTCTGCAACCAACTCAAATTAATATTGAATTCAAATTTTCGATGAGAGCATACACATAATAATTTCCTAATCAGTGCTCCGACGAGCTCCGAAACCTTCGTTCGTTGTTCAGGATCCTCGATGAGAACCTATAATCCAGGATTTTGCACAAAAATGTTTGTTTTTGTTGTTTTTTCGAAAATTGATGTAAATTTAAAAATAGATTTTGGAATGACATACGCATGTTTCGACTTGGAAGTGGATTTAAAAGGGCTTCTATGATTGAAATGAGTTCAAAGCTCAACAATTTTTTAAAATAAAAAAAATCGAAAACCTTTAAAGCATCAATCGTAAAAGTATCATCCCGTGCTGGTGTTCTTGAGAATATCGACCTGATTAATCCTGGCCAGGGCTCACGGTCTGAAAGAAAAAAAAAATATTGAAAATAAAAGCGAAACGAATGCTTTATTAAAATTACCCATATGTTTCATCATCAATAAAACATTCGATATCGCTTCTTCGTGTTTAGAAGCCTCAAGTCTCGGAATAATTTGCACAAACCATTCTATGGCGACACCATCAACTTGAACTGAAAATCGTCATCATGCTAAAGCGAAAATCGAATCTTTTTAATGCTCACCGAGCTGCCAGAATACCCATTGTGCCGTCGTCGGCCATTCAACAGAAGCGAATAACGTATTGATGAATGAGTCTTTTCGAAATAATCGAATTTCTTCCCTAAATTTTTCGAATTTCGACAATTAAAAAAAATTCAAAAATTAATCGTATACCGTATAATTTGACCGATAAATGTACTAAGTTGATTACCGTCTAAATTATTGCATACCACGTATAAAATCTGAAAGGAAGAAAATCATTAAGCTGAAAAAATAAAATAGTTTTCGAGTTATACCTGAGGATTCTCAATGAATTCACTTTCGAATTGATCGCACACAAATGGCACCAAATATGAGAATAACCGGGAATCATTGACAGCGCAAAGCTGAAAACGAATAGCGACTAATTAATTAATTAATTAAAATTACCTGTAAATCAGCACAAATCATTTCAACGACCGTTTTATCGATAACCCGTGCCACTTCCCTATAGCAGTTCAATGGTGTTTGAGGTCGTTCGACTGCGCCTTTAATAAAATACAAAAATACATAGGTGATTGTTGGATCTTTTTCTCGCATCGCCGCCATCAAATTCGTCATCACTTCCGTTGCTGTGGGCTCATTTGATGGCGGAAAACTGAAAAAAATTCAAACTCGATTGAAATTATCGTGAAAACGAAAAAAAACAAATACCAAAGTGTTCTGAGAATAGAGTAAATCGGATGTGTAAACGCTTCCTCCAATTGTTTCTCGTTGACAACTTCGGGCAAAAGGGATTTATCTAAAAATGGCATAGAATGACGGATTCAGATAACGAAAAATCGAACCTTCAACCACAACCGATCCAATAATTCCTAATAAACATTGTGCGGCAATTTCCTGTTGCGCATCATCCATTTTATTTTCCTAGAATAAAAAAACCATCTAAAAAATCATAAAATTTGTTACAATTTTGAACATGGCATTCAGTACAACTTCAACTGCTTCACATTTATCGGCATCATCGGACAATTCCTTGTATTCATTCCTTGAAGCATTTCGAAATTATTAATAACATTTTCACAAATCTCACTTTAACGCTTCCATTTTGGCTTTGATATCTCCTTTGAGCAACTGAATCAATGATGTCAACTCAGCTTCTTCTTTCTCCTCCTTCTCCTTTTGCAACCTTTTCATCTCTGCTACCGTCAATTTCGGTGGTGGATGTTGCTCAACTTCATGGTGCTGATGGTGATGAGCTGTTGGCGGCTCAACATTCCTCTCCGGTTGTTTTTCAGGCCTTCTCATCATTTCTTTTCCATCTTTTTTCTTCAAATTAGGTCTAAAATCAATATTATGAACATCTAAAAGGTGAATGTGGCCTACTGTCGCATAAAATCAGGGAATACCGATCGTAGCATGTCGCCAACTCTTCGATCGATTTTAAAGTGTTCTAAAATCTGCGGAAGACCACTGAAAAATTTTGGATAGAATTTATGGATTGATTTCGGAAACAAAATCATACTGTTGGAATCGGTCGCGACATATTCGCATCGCGTAATTCGCATTTCGACGAATTGGCTCGGCCAGCGGAGGGATGAACAAATCAACACTCTAAACATTTATATATTCTTACATTTTTTTCCAAAATCCGGAAATATATTACGATTTCTATTTTTTTCTTAAAAATAAACAATTAAAGCTATGAAAATCGAAAAAAAAAAACTGTTAGTGATGTTAGTTCTAATATCCTTTTTATCTCTCGCCCTTTTTCCATTAAAATATTCAATTTGGTTGTTTGATTGGAATTATTTTCTCGAAATCCTGATTTACTTATATTTCTCTTAAATATGTTTAATCTATGGATTTGTTGCATTAATATTAATAACAAACGTGCTTATCTTCATTTCTCTTAATACAGGGTCCGATAAAGAAGTTTAGAACAACTTTTTGGAATTTTTGTTAGTAATTTTCAGAAGGCTAATGTTTGATATCAGAAAATAAATGATATATACCTTGCATAAATATTCGAGAAGCGAATTGGCGAATGCTTGACCCACCGATGCAGAGTTTGGCGCAACGGGAAGGGAAAGTGCATATCTGAAGGAGTTCAAGATTTTCAAGAATGGCGCCAATGCGATACCTGACAAGAGACAATAGGATTTCAACATTTTGCGTTTTATCAATCGGATATCTTTCGTCACACGAAAACCAATCGAAGATCACGCAGAATTTGAGCCATTGTTGATCAGCTCCTGGCTGAAAAAAAAAAAACAAAAAATCTGTTTTTTGTTTATTTTTTTTTACATTTCCGGTTGTGATCAGCAAATGAATAAGAATTGTTCGATTATCATAAGCACAAGGCGGTTTTCCGTCCAGCGGTGTCATACAAAGGTATCGAATGATCTCGGCTCGTATACTCGTGTTATCAGGACATCGAAAATACTGAAAATATCGAGATTTGGGGACAACACATTCGAAATAATCAAACTTTTCTTAGCCAATCGAAATATGTGAAAATATTTTTGTTGTTCGCACTACACAGCAGAAATTCAATCTTTCTCTGCAATTCCGTTGAAATTCGAAAATTATTCAATTGATTCGGTTTCGAAAGAAGATCTTCAATGCCTAGAAACCAATTGAAAATTAATTTGAAACTAAAAAATTCGATTTTTTCTTCTTACTGCCAACTCCGAATAATAGTGGACTTGTGTATAGCTCTTTCCAAATTTCGTCAATTTGCGGTAGCCTTCCAACACGAGATAGTACTAACAGAAAATCACGGCCAAGTGTGTAGCATTCGATTTTGCGAATTCTAAAACATTTCTTTCACGTTCTCTACCCATTTCTTGATTTACTTGATAGCCCATGCGAAGAAATTGATGAGCTGCGTTCGGAACGTGTCGGTGTGCGTCATAGGAACCGGCGTGTCGGCAATAACATGCGCAACGGTGCTGAGAATCATCATCGTGAGGCCCGCACACGATTTCACTGTCTTGTACCACATCTCGCTGTCTCGCATTACGCTCATTGCCTGCAGAAAAATAATCATATTGATTTTGACATCACATTAAATATGATGTGCCGACCAGCGACAGAATTCGCGTTTTTGACGGCCAATCGCCCAGTCCATTCAGAGCACGAAACACATTCAACATGACGTTTTCAATCTGCAATTCCTCGCTTTTTAACATTATTTTTATTATCACGAACAAATACCGATTTGACGTTTAAGCGCATCGCTTCTCCAATAAGACGAATGAGCTGCTCTTTACAGTGTTGATGAATCACATTCCACAATTCAAGAATTATCATATTCATATTACATAAAACGAGATGCCAGAAATCGGGTCCTGCCCCAACAACATAACGTATCATCTTAATTTTCGATCATTTCGCACAAAATTCCCGAAATTTAGAAATACCTTATTAAATTTCTCTGGGTTTTCCGCTGATGTTACCATATTATATACCACTCCCAATGATAGACGTTCAGCTTCCTCTTTTGAGATCATTATATCAATTGCTTCCTGAATTTTGATTTCCGGTAATTTGCTTCACTTTGAACAACGCTCCACTCACCTTTTCCGACAAATTACCTAGTTTGTTGTCGAAATTGAGCGATTCAATCGCGAACCTTTTTAAAATATCCGGTGGGCATTCCATTTTTAAATTGCAGACCGCTACTTTCTGCATCCGACGCACTTCTTGCTCATTCATTGCGACGGCCTGCAATAATTTGCGGCTAATTAAAGCGTTTTAATTGTTTTTGCTTGTAATTTCGCATTTTGTCTCAATCTTGACGGCGAGACATCAACAAAACACCATCAATGCACGTTTTTGATTGTGCGAAAATTGAACGGAAAAAGTTGAGTTCGATGGAGCGCGTTTGCACACACTCAATTTTATTTTATTTTTCTACCAAGAAAAACATTCTACATTTGTACTGGCATCTTCCTTCAATCGTTTATTGAATTTCAATATTTTTCAAATTTTTAGGAAAAATGCCTGGGATTGTCGTCAGAGGAAAGGCGATAACCGACTTGGCCTACCTTCACAAAAAGGTGAATTTAGGATTATTTTAGGGACACAACTTTAAATCTTCCTATTAGGTCGACATGGAGGAGATGTTTGATGGCGGAGATGATGCAAAAATATTTCACGAGCTTCAGCGTTCTTTAAATGCTTCTGAACGTTATTCAAGCGACAATGACACGCTGATATTTGCATCGACAACTATCAAACGCATAATGACCATCATCCAGTATTCGATTTTTGAATCCAAAATTTTTGAAATTAATTTTTCAGCAACTCATCCAAACCTCTACCTCAACCTTTTTACGATAAAATCATATTATACATAAAACGGATTTGGGACTACCCGGCCGATATTGTCTGTCACGAAGCCGTTGATATTTTCGTGCTCCTTGTCAACATTCACTCAAAATTCTGCGAAGATTGTTTGGCGCGGTGTGTCATTCAAATCGATAAAACACAAAAAAAGAAGTTAATCATTTTCTTTTAAGTTTGCCACACGAGAACGCAGCAAACTGTGAATGGATAAACGATATGATCCAATGGCTTTTAGAGCCTACAATTGTCAACCGATCCAAGTTCAAATGTCTAGTATGTCATTAATAGAAAATTCATTTTCAATTTCGATTAATTTCCAGACGCAATTAGTTACAATTTTCCCGTCGCTCAATGATCAGATCACCCCAGATTACATAGCGAGCATCTATGGTCATCTCAGTGATCCAACCGTCTGCAACGTGGTACAATTCCAAATCAATCATCGTTTCAAAATTCCAATTTTCAATTCTTCCAGCTATGTGAGCTTATTGTTCTTCACGCTCAAAATCCGGACAATTGGAATCTTCACGGAGCTTGTATTCATATGTTCTCGGTTAAATACACCCCGATTATTAAGGTAATCCTCCCTATTGACAGATGTCTGGAAATTGGGTCAATTTTAGACGCGCCTTCTTCCAATGATCGTGAAACATGGAAAAACTTTGCGTCCATTTATAAGAGTTATTCACGGCGTATTGTATAACAATAAACTTAATCATGGTCGGAAGAATTTGGATCTGATCCTTGAAGTTACCCGCTGTTTGATTAATACTCAGCATTTTAAAAATGCGGCAAAAATTGATGGAGAAAGTGACGGCGCTGTCATTTGGAGTGATTATGTGTTTCACTGTGATATGCTTGATGCAATTATTAACGTTTACGAGGAGGTTTCTAAATCAATGGAAATAATATTGAATAGAGTTGTTTAGGTTGGTGTTGCCGCATTTCAGTTGATTGTTGATCATCCAAAAAAGACATTACCCTACACCGAAAATGATATCGATTTAATGAAGGTTGAAATGAGAAATGAGCCGAGCGAAATGAGCAATTGCAGGTTTACATTGATGCGAATATGGCAATTCAGTCATCTTCAATTCGGCAAACAATTTTGGCGACCGTCAAAATCGCGTTGATTCGATTCAGCGAAATTTGCGAAGTGTTGATCAAAAATGACGATGATCAGAGCACTGTTCAAATGTGCATTGATTGTGTCAAATACATCGCAAAACGCGCATTCGCTGCTCTGTCTCGAAGGGCTAACTATTATCGAAGAATTATGGCACTCTCGTTGATCGATTTGCTGTACAGACGGGAGAATTATAATACAAATGGCAAAGGTTTTTGCAGCCACTAGAAATTCTTTTGAATAGTTCCATCGTTTTTTTTTCAGTGAGATTTGTGAACCTTCTCAATATTGATGCGACTCTCGGATCTGAGCCATATAGACGTGTTCTTGCTTGTCTTGATGATTCCTATGAGGAATGCCAAAAACTCGCTTATAAAATTCTCACCACTATCGATTTTGGACATGTTGAGATCAACGAGGATGAATACTTGGCAGTTTCCGCGGCGATGCTCGATTCGGCGAGATCGCGCAACACAATGGCATCCGGCTACCGTATCCGCTATTATATGAGCCGACATCCGGAAAAAGTGATTCCATTTTTGGAGAAGTGTATTGCAAAGTGTGAAGAAGTTACAAAGCTGTCTGAAATTGAATTGGTGACAAATATCAGCAAATTGTCTTTTTGAAATATTAATTTCAATTTCAGATCAATATCACAAAAAAGGCGATTCATCCGCTTCTGAACACTATCGAATTGCTGCTCCAACAATCGGACTTTGATAAGAATTACAGATTGAGCACGTTGAAGAGAAGGGTGAAACCGGAGGAGATGTACATTTATTGGATTACTATCGAAATTTAAAATATCTGAGTTTATAGGGTCGAGATTTCGGCGCAAGACCGTGAATTCTGGCAAATGTTCATCTCAGAGAGATTGCTGCCAGTCTGTCATCGGATTATTGCTGTGGTGACACCCGTTGTGCACAATTTGTCTCCAGAAGGCTACATTCCAGATAGCAAACTTGCCAGTCTAGGTATAATCAAGAATCAATATTTTAAAATGAATGTTGAATTTTAGGAAGCGGAACTGCCGAAGAATTTGCCGAACTCTCTCAACATCTTCTGGTTTGCTGCTGGAGAGCGCATAAATACATTTCAAACATTTTCTCGTGGCTTATTCGTGCGGTGAGTTCGGCAAAACTCGAAATTCCGTCTACATAGTTTCGATTTCAGCTTGGACCTACTAACATACTCTCGCCGGAAGACATCTGCAACATTGGTATGTTCTATTGGAACGAGTTGACCGAATGCAAGCATCGCGGAGCGTTCGAATGCGCCGCCGAAGGATTCCGAGAGTTGTGCAAATTCCTGTGGAACGCCACGAATCCGTCATTGCCGAAGCCGCAAGAGTGGCTTGATGAAATTTTGGAGGCGCTTCAAGGGAAGCGCGACTTTTCGCGACTATGCTCGACGAGAAGAAGCGCCGGACTTCCGCATTTGGTTGTGGGAATAGTATCGACAGAGCCATCAGAGAATAATGCAAAATCGCTGGAAAAAGCGGCACACTCGTTGTTGGACATGCGACACAAAACCGAAGAATATAGGTCGCATAATATTAATTAAAAAAATTGTTTCTTCTTTTACAGAATCCACTCAATGAATGTGATGAAGGCGATAATTTTGTGTTCTGCGCTTCGCGAAAAAATCAATTTCGCTCTTGAAACGACGCTGAGCGTGGCGATTAGTGGATGCCGAGCGGAATGGAGTGAACGCAACGCGGCGTCGCAATTGTTCGCCGCACTCAAGACGAGAATATTCGGAGTTTCTCGGATTGTTCAGAGGGATCTTGAAGTGAGCACCAAGAATCGTCAGAGCAACTACGAGTTTTTCGCAAAGTATCACCACATGGCCCCCAAATATATATATATAGATTGATTGTAGATTCCCATCGCTTTATCGATTCCTCTACGATCAATTGTGCATCGAAAAGTCTTCGGAATTCTCCCTTCTGCCGCCTCTCGTTCTTCTAACTCATCTCTATTCGCCGCCGTCTTCCAGTCATTTATACCCATTGGCGCCTTACGTCAAACCGTTGCTTCAAATCGGATTGAATGATAAGAGGGAGAACATTCGGGCGCATGCAGCGGCTGCAATTATAGCGATCGCCGATGTTAATGTAATTCGGGTTTTCGAATTTAATAGTAATTCCACACTAGAATATTTCAGGTGAGAATTGATTTGTGCAATTGGCTGGATAGCCTTCAACTCGACAAACTTCCACAGAATCATATCCACTGTGTTTTGCTGCTTTGCGAGGGAATCGCTAAGCATGTCGAGCATTCGCATCGAATTATTGCATTGCTACATGGCATTTTCCGTAATGAGCTTCATAAAGAATGGTGAATTTGGTCAAGAAGCTTATTGAGCGTGTTTTTGTGTGTTTCAGGTGCGACTACAATGTTTCAGTTCTTTTGAATATCGCGAATCGATGGGCAATCAAGTTTGATGCGGAAAAGGCCTACAAAATTGATTGGATATCGGTGAAACGGCCGGTGGCCTACCGCCTTCTACTTGATCTTGGTGCACTTGCCGGCGATTGTAATCCAGCTTTAAAGGATCGCGAGACGCGTCTTGAGGTTTACAGGCACCTCTTCAAAGGTACATTAGCAGAGACGGCTTTTGAAGTTTTATTTTAATTTTAGGCGGATCTCACAATTTCAATTACAACAAGACGTTTGTTCTGAATAATGCGATCAATGACTTACAAGAGCCAGATATTATGGAAATTGATGCGAGATTGGTAAGAATTTTCAGTTTTTGTTTTCAAAAAAGAAAGCAATTTTTCTAGATTATGCGAGTTTTGACGAGTATTGCCAATGATATGAACGATGTTCATCGTGAGAGAATCAAAAAGTTTCTCATCGGCATTCTTGATGATGAAAATCCACCATGGAAATTGTAGGCATTCAATCTTCAGCTTCCTTTCGAAATTTTTTTTCCCGTTTCAGGAAGTCGACTCAAGCAGCGGCAATGGCTCTCAGATATTTGAGCATGCCTTCACCATATGAATCGATGGATGAGAGGCTCATCAAATGGATCATGGAATGTGCGAAAGGGGAGGATGATGAGGCAAAGAGGATTGCGATGGATGTCGCGTGCAAATTGATCAATGTTATGAAGGATGATAAAACGTTGGCGGAGTCATTATTTAGACGTGAGTAATTATTCATTCATATTGACAGTGATGACGCTTACAGTAATCGGAACACTATTTGAATTTGGGTTTTTTCTTGCAGGTATGAAACCCATCGAGCGTAGCCTCGTCAAAGCGGTCTTGCTATTCTTAAAAGATGATGATATTGAAATCCGGACAGAGGTAGCAAAGACAAATTTCGGTTTAAAAAATATTACTGTGCAGGTTGCTATTTGTGTTTCTCCTTTAATATACTGTTGTAAACAGTTTCCGATCAATCCGTCGGTGTGCCATTTGCTTATCACTGCGTGGGTTCTGCCGCCGGATCCCGAGGCGGTGACTGCTTCCGACGATGAAGCTGACGAAGAAGAGGAGCGCGATGAGATTTTCGACGCATGCGCTGTCAACCAATACGCCGAATCGGTCGAGTTTGGAGATGTTCGCATTTACGAAGCGCTTTTGCAAAGAATGAACAGATTAGCCGATATTTTTGAATTAGAAATGGATTAGGAACTCATCGAATTGATCAGTTTATTGTGATATTTATGTAGATTTTCAACTTTATTTTTTTTCCAAACGATCTTAGTTTTTTCCCTTCTCTTCCTCACATATTGCCTTTCCCCATTAGTTTTCCATTTTCCGAACAAGTAAATTTTTTTTTTCAATTTTTATTTATTTTATTTGTTATTTATTATTAGTTGTTATTGATTGATAAACTTGTAGCAGGAATTATTGTTGAATGTTTCTGATTTTGTTAAAAATAATAAATTTTTTTGAATTCCCAGAATTACGTGAAAGTCTAATGAAATGCAATAGAACATGCTAAAAAAATAAATGTTTTTCCAATGAAATTATTTTTTTTGTAAAATTTTATGAGTAACCAAAATGAATTATCTATAATATACAAAGGAGTCTCACTCTTTAAAAAATATTTAAAATAGTCACCGAAATGGTTGAGATTTCTTTTTTCGCAAAAGCTTTCAACCTCATCCAAGGTGGTCCGAAGGATCCGGCGACTGCATATTATGGAGAAAATTAATTGTAATGTTCTGATATTTTTAAAAAGCTTTTTTCGTCTATCACTGCAAGTGAGAAAATCGCCAAAAGTGGATGACAATAGATGATTTTATAGCCAGAATCATTTTTATCCACTTTTAATCCATTTTTGGTCCTTTTCTCAGTTGCAGTGTATATTTGTATTGAACTCTTCGATCAATAAATTTAAGAGAGTCCCTGTTTTTTCGGGTTGCTAGAATAAATGCTACAGAAAAACCCCAAAAACGAGCGGACGATTTAAACTTATTGACCGCCGTTTATAATGTGTTTTACTGTTTTTATTTCCATATTTAAACATGATTCTCTTCGAGATTTTTTGTTAGTGGACCGTTTTAATGCAGAAACATTGAAATGAATAACGAAACACTCAGTTTCTTAAAATCGTCGAGAATTTCGTCGTTGAACTCCCCACTCGAAAAATGCGAGCAGCTCCGAACAGCTGTGAAATCGAATCGTTTGTTCGGAAGGTGGTGCCGTTGGCCATTACTAGCTAATAGAAACCATCTGTTATTAAAAGGCGAACCAGATGAAATGTCGCGACGGGACCCTGCAAAAAGTGGCGGTGGTGGGGGGGGAATCGAAGGCCCACACTAAAGCGCATTGTGCATTTTCATTACGTCAGGCAAAAGTCTCGGCGCCCTCAGCCGTGCTTTCGATGTCTCGCTGCTGGGGGGGGGGGGGCGATTCTCGCCAATGGCAAATCGATCCGTGTGCATGTTGTCTGCGACTACTACTCGCCGAGCACCTACTCGTCTCTCGCCAATATCCAGGCGAAGAAAACGAGAAGCGGCTCCGTTGCCCTCTCACTACGCTACGGACCCTCATTCATTATTGTTGTGTTTTTTTTTCGCCAGATTTCATTTCCTTTCCTACAAATTTGTCGTTTTGCGTTGGAAAAAATAATAAAAATGTTTTAATTTCCCGTTTGAAAGTGGCAATTAAGAATTGCACGGAAAAAAAATGCAAAAATGTCGCGAAAAACAAAAGTTCGAAATTGAGATATCCATGGTTTTTAGTCTTTTGTTTTTGAGACGAAGATTATTGCAAAATCTCTCGTTTTTTTCTTGGTTTACAACGCAAAAACTTGTCGTGGAAACTCGAAAAAATGATTAATTGCTTTTCGATTCCGATTCAATTTGCTCGGAATTAGAAATTTGTGCACTAATCCAGCTGCATCTAGTCAATTTCACATTTCAGCGCTATATTTGTTAGAAGCCACATTCAAACGAATCATTATATTCCTATTGGTCAGCTTTGTACGTAAATTTTTAAAGGAGGTTGGTTGTTTGTAGCTACCGTAGTTCAATTCCCTAGACAAATATATGTATGCTTATACAATATATTAATTAAAAAATTAAAATTTATAAATTAATAATATATGCTTGTGAATCGTACAATTCTATTTTACGCGAAGCCATTATCCGATTTTTTGAACTGCAAAACCTTCACGCATTTTCTCACAATGAACCATGAGAATCTAATTTTGTTTTCTGGTTGTCTCAAACAGCGAATTTCTCGAACTACAGATATTTGAGCGTTTGTCACAGCTGGAGATGGTGTGATTCACAAATTTCAACATTTTTTTTAGTGATTCTTTTTTAAATTTTGATCAATTTTCGATTGTAATTGCCGCTGGATTTTTTTTTTCGCTTGGCAACATTTATGTCGGACCCGAATTCTCTCGTAAATACTCCATCATCATTTCTTTTGGTGGCCACTCATTTTGTGTTGTCCTCATCTCGCCGAAAATAGTTGTTGCTTTCTCAATTTTTTTGCCGTCTTCTTCGAGTTTAAAGACCTCATTTTTTTTCTCGTAATTCTGTTTGCTCGGTCGTCCTCGTTTTCCCACCGCCTTTTACGATGGGCGCGCGCCGTCCGAATTACCCTTCGCGTAAATAAAAAAAAAGAAAAAAGAATGAACCAAATAGAATAAAACGGGCCAAATTTGTGTGCTCGTCCGTTGCGTTTTGTCTTTTCACATCATTTTCCCGTCGTTTCTCTTTTCTCGTCGCCGACGTTTAAAAGCAACTTTTTTTCCAGAATAAACCACCACAAAATTGATGTGGCCGAATGGTGTGGCGGCCGCAGAAAACTCGGCCGCGGCCGTCGCTGCACCAATTGTCGCCGCCGAAATGCTGCAGATCATCGACGAAATGCGTGAGTATTATGATTTTTGCGGGGAAAGCATTGAAAACAAAAGAGAAACGAGTTTTGAATTCGCATTGCAAGATTGAATGTCGAATGTTTCATGTTGCAGTACTCTTCAAAATTGTCTTTTTTTTTTTTGAAATTTCAATGAGAATTGAAAGAGTCAGAAAAACGCGCTGCTAGAATTCTTCTAAACTCGGAAGAAAACAAAAATAATTTACCTTGAATGCAATTTTTTGGCTATTTAAAAATTTCAAAAACACTAATTTAAAATGCCAGCCTTATCTCATAATTTTCAGGTCTCCAAGATTTCGATTCGATTCGATTTGCGACTTATCGAGCCGCATGCAAGCTGCGATTCATTCAGCAGAAGACCAATGTGCACCTCGTTGATATTTGGAATATGATCGAGGCGTTTCGCGAGAATGGTCTCAACGCGCTTCCACTTCATACTGTGGTATTGCATGCACCTTTAAAATCAGTCAATGAATTTGCAATATAGATCAAGACATCTCGCGCCGAGTTACTCCTGACAACAGTATTCCACAACCTCAATAAGCGGCTCGTCAGCTCGCAGCATGTCGACACCGATAACTCGATTAGTCTTTTATTGGCATTTCTACTAGGAGCTTATGACAAGTAATCGAAAATAAATGACATAATTAACATAATTAGCATAATTAAGACAGCACACTGGAAGATTAACGGTATTTTCGATCAAAATAGCACTGGCCACATTATGCGCTGGAAAGCTGGTCGACAAATTGAGATGTACGGTTTTTTTCTTGTCAAAATTATTTTTGAATACAATTTAATTTCAGATATATTTTCTCAAATTGCCGATGCTAATGGAATGATGGACCACGTGAAGTTCACCGACTTCTTACAACAAGTACGTTGGCCGAAAATTGTCGGCAGATTGTAATTTATAAGCGCTCTTCAGGTTCTCGCTCTCACCACCGCCGTTTTTGAAGCACCCACTTTTGGATTTTCGGAAGCTGCTGTCGCTCAATGCTTCCATAAAGACGACAAGGTTGGCGTCGATTTTAAGAATTTTTCGAAAATAAAACAATTGTATTTAAATCCAGGTTTCTTTGAACACGTTTCTCGACACATTCTTGTCTGATCCGTGCCCGCCTTGTATTATGTGGCTTCCACTACTCCATAGGTTCAAAAGGCGTGAAAGCTCATTTCAAATATTGAACGATTTAGAATGGCTGCCGTTGCAAATGTCTATCATCCTGTTGTATGCGACGCTTGTCAAGTTCGAAGCTTCTATGGGTTTCGTTATAAATGCCAACGATGCCCGAATTATCAACTATGTCAGAGCTGTTTCTGGCGAGGTCGAACGAGTCTCAATCATTCGAATGAGCACGAGATGAAAGAGTATTCGAGCTATGTGAGCCGAGTATCAATTTCTCATCAATTATTTGAATGCGTGTTTGCAGAAATCGCCCACGAAACAATTTGTTCATTCGATTCACAAAAGTCTCCAATGCATTCCGTCGACGATGTCGGATCACAATACGATGATCCATGATCCGATCCAGCAGTCGCATAAGCCGCAAAGGCCGCTGAATCTGACGAACATTGTGCCAGCGACGCCAACGACAATTCGCCGACAATACGCGTCGACGGCAACGGACTGGCCGAGCTCGCCAATATTGCTTCCCGGACAAGCTTCACACGGTGGAGTGATCGATGATGAGCATAAGCTTATCGCCAGATACGCAGCAAAACTGTCAGGAAGAGCCGATGTAAGACTTCGTACAGTAATCTATGAAATCATTGAATTGATTACAGTATCCATTATCGAATGGCCGAAGCATGAACAGCTCGATGGTTGAAGATGAGCGCATGCTAATAGCCCAACTCGAAGAAGAAAATTCGATGATGATGAGGGAAATGGCGAGATTGGAAAGTCAGGTAATTCGATGTTCATTAGTGCCGCTTGAGTCAATCTACGCCAAAAAAAATTTGAATTCCTCACTTGTCGTCTCAAGTCGTTCGAAAATTGATTAAGCCAAGTGTTTCGCACTTTCTCTTCGTTTGTGGTTTTTTTTCCGTTTTGAAACAAAATTGAGTAGACTCAAGGGACCATTTTGTAGACAACATCTGACGATGGACTCGCCGGACTTCGTGATCGAAAAATCGAGCTCGAGGAGAAGATGTTCGAGATGCAGCAACGACGAAGAGAGTTGATGATGCAGCTTGAGCATCTAATGGCTCAATTGAATGTAGGATTGCAATTTATAATAACAAATTGAGTTATTCGGATTCAGACGACACCTCGACCATCCGCCGGCGTCTCATCAGCCTCGCTTTCGCAGCTTCCATTCGCCAACGACCAATTAAGCGGCGTTAATTCGAATGTGGCGAATGCTTTTAGAGCGGGCAGTTTGCCGGCAACTAGTTTGCAAGGAGACCTGCTCAATGCCGCCGATCAAATCACTAATAATATGAGTGACCTTGTAAGGCAATTGGACCTAGGTACCTTATTCGCCTCCAATTCAATCATGAACTATTTCGAATTTCAGCGCAAGCCGAAGAAAATGGCACCTCTTTACAATCGCTCAATGGAAATTAAACCAACGCTCAACTCATTTTGTTTTATTTTTGTTGCATTTTTTAATCGCACGGGTTATAATTAGTCTTTCTCTATTCATTTAATAGGTACCCAGAGTATGCATATATGTATTGTTGAAAAATGACAAATGTATCCAGGTGTCGTAGGATCCTGCGTTTTGTACGCAATGCTAAAAGACAGTTACCGTAATCCTCGCAGCGATTTACGGGGACTTTTTTAAATTTCGCATATTCAATTTTTTTTTAATTTTTCGCCCAAAAAAATTTCGTATTTTCCTTCGAAATTTTGTTATTTAAATTTTGCAGAAACCGAGTTTAATAATGAATTTAGTAGAATAAGCACTTTTAAACGATATTTTTTTTTGGTAAAAACAGCAGAGATTAAAAAAAATCATTTTTGTCGTTAACAAAATTATTTAATCGTGTTTTGCTTTTTGTATGCGTTTCTATTATCTTGTTTTTGTATTCTTCATTTTCAAAATAATTTTTAGAGCGTCAAAATCTTCACAATAATTCCCAACTCAACTGGACAAATGGAAAAGTGCATATTCTGAAAAATAAATAATTAAACTCGGTTTCTACAGATTTTAACTATAAAATTTCTAAAGAAAATTCAGCAAAAAAAATTGAAAGAAAATTTTAAAAAAATCTCCGTAAATCGCTGCGAGGATTACGGTAACTGTCTCTTAGCATTGCGTACAAAACGCAGAATCCTACGACACCTGGATACATTTGCCATTTCTCAACAATATATGTATTAATAATAAACCAATTATTCACTTAATTCAATTATTCTAAAATTTCAATGTTTAACTGTTTATTTGTTTTTTGACTCTCTCTAATTTTATTTTAGACGGAAATGGGAAGGGTGGGAATCACTTCGATTCTCATTCGTCACGTCCAACTTTTCTGGGTTTTGCTTTCTGAAAAAATGAAAGACACTATCAAACGCGGTCAGAAGAAGCTGGTTGAAACCTCGGCCCGCTTCTCATAGGAGCCATATACGATGGGCGAGTTCACCGGCAAGTGCACGAATTTGCCGGCGCCCGGCGTCGTGTGGAGTTGGCCGTTTGCCCAAACAATTCTTCCTCTAAAATGATGGCGAATGAATGATTCGTTGAAATGGTCCGTCGGTGACGTACCTTGAAATTGTGACCTCCGGCACTCCGTGGCACTCGATTCCCTCGAAAATGTTGAAATCAAGATTCTGCAATCATCAAACGTTCGTTGTTGCTATCAGCGAACTCACATGGTGATGTGTGTTCTTCGAGATTTTTCGCGTCTTGTTTGGATTGAACACCACAATATCGGCATCCGATCCAACCGCGATTCGTCCCTTCTTCGGATAAATATTGAAGATCTTGGCGGCCGTCGTACTCGTCACCGCCACATATCTCATCGGATCGATGAGCCCACTATGAACACCCTTCTCCCAAACAATCGACATTCGATCTTCGACTCCATTGATCCCGTTGGGGATTTTCGTGAAATCCCCTTTTCCGAGAGACTTCTGACGACAATCATACGTGCAATTATCGGTTCCGATGAGGTGAAGCTCGCCTCTAAATTTCGATGCATTTTTTTCTGTCTGTCAAATTACTCAATTGGCTAACTTACGCGGCAATAAGCTTCATCAAAAGTTCCGGAGTTGTCGGATCTCGGCTGAGTGGCGGCGACATGACATAGCGAGCCGCGTGAAGCCAGTCTTCATGATAATAATGCGATCCATCGAGCGCAAGGCCAGCGGCGATCGGCTCACCGAACACCACATTCCCTTGGCTGCGATGTTGGGAAATGACTGCAGCCGCCCCGCGTGTCATCACGTGAACCACGTACAACGGACAATTTGCCTGTTGGGCAAGAGTGCAAGCTCGATTAGTAGCTTCAGCTTCGATCTGAAATCACATTTCATTGCGAAGATGAGCCCGACGGCTTGTTGAACCTCTTCGGGTCGTGCTTGCGTGTGCCCCTCTGGCCCGGTCACCCCAATCGCCAGCAAATCTTTTTCCCTCTCTTTGATCACCATCCCATTTTCGGCATGAACCCTTGGTAGTGCTCGAAGTTTGGCGCACTCCTGCATTCCCCTGTATAGTTCATCATCTCGGACCATCAGAGTTCCCTCATAAGCCATGTAGAATTTGAACGAGTTCACACCATATTCCTTGCTGGTGATGATCGCCATTTGTTCAGCGGTCTCCGGACGCCACATGGTGATCGCCACCGATAAACCGTAGTCACAAACTACCTAATTATATGTCCAATGCGATATATGGAAGTGAGTTTTCGGTTACTTTTGGATCAGCCCAGCTTCGCCATTTCTTGTAGCCATCCATCAACGATTCGCCATTTCGATGATTTGGACAACAGAAATCAATGATCATTGTGGTTCCGCCTGCGACGGCAGCCTGCGTCCCCGAAAGGAAGTCATCTTTCGTGACCTACAACAAACCAACTTTCTCGAAAGTACCACAGCCAATCAAATGATAAACAGAGTTGTTAAATTGAGGTGTTTCGATGCCCGCCGATTATTGTCGGTACGCGCTTATCAATTAATATTCGAAGATCGTTAAGAGAACAATTTCGAAAATTTGTTTCCGCAATGTAAAATTGCAAATGAAATCGGAGAATTCCACAAAAATTCCAAATCATTTCGCGTGGTTCTCATCAGGAAATTTTATTTCAGTCGGTCAACCCGAAAACAATATTTTTGAAAACAAACGAATCAAATGACATCGAACTACAGTAATCAATTGGCTTGGTGCGAATCAGGGCTGTGCGGCAATCGGAAATTTCGGCAATTTGCCGAAATTCAAAATTTCGGCTATTAAATGTTTTCAACGATAATTCGAAATATAAATACCGAATTTTCACGGTATCCCATTGATTTTGGTTTCGCCGATTTTTTTTTTGATATCAAATTGCCGAAAATCTGAATTTCGGCAAATCGGAAATTTGCCGATCGAACGTTCTCTTCGGCAATTTGAAAAATCGGCAATTCCATTGCCGCAGAGCCCTGGTGCGAATGCTCTCAATACTCAATTATATCATTCATCTTTTCGTTCAGATTCTAAACTTTAGAACTCTTTAAATTTAAAAATTACCAAAAAAACAATCAATTACAATGTTTAGATCATTCTTATTGCCTTACGACATCGCGAAATGGTCGCAAGCGCTTAACGCAGTGCAAAATATTCAGCCGAAATATAAAATGCAACAAATTAAAAAATCAATGCATGGCGCAATCACCGCGCACTAACTCTGCGGACTTGCATTATAATTCTCGGAAAGTTGAAACGGCGATGAGAGAAATGCCTCCGTCTCTCGAAGTCACATACTTTATCTTTTTTTCTCTGACGTTTCTATTCGCCGCCCTAAATATTCTACAGTCAGCTTAGATCTTACGAATTCCTCCCCTTGTTAGTTATATAGTTAATACATATTATTGTCGGTGTCAAACGACTGAAGGGATGAGGGGCTTTCATGAAATCAGTGTAGATTTAAATTAATCGTGGACTAATTGATAAATGCGCGTACACTATAATGCAATGTACGCAGTCTTGCGTACTTCTCGCTGCCTCGATACGCATTGGCATATAGCCAATAATTTTTAGAAATTTGTCCAGTCGTTTGACGCCAACAATAAATTTGCAAAAAAAAACGCCCTGCGCCGATTTACAATTAGCTTCGCAGTTTATCCAAAAATTGGTAGCCGAATTCCCTTGATTAAATCGAAATTTGAATTACCCAATAAAATAATATTTATTGTTTCTTGCCATTGAAAAATTTTGAATGCGCCTTTGATGTGTACTGTAGTTTTGCATATTTTTTGATACGCTGTCAATTCTGATCGTAAAAAATTTTCAAATGAATTTTTAAAATTAAAAAAAGATGTTTGGTTGACTCAACTTTATTTTGGGGCTTCTTAATGAGCAATTGTGCTCCAAATAACTCAATACATACAATCAATCGTCTTGTGGTCTATTCTAGAGCTACACGGAATTTTTTTCGGTGGTCCGTTCAAAAACGTTCCTTGCTCTGGTTACTTCAAACCAATCGGCTCCGACTGATTTCGGTTTCGGAATCACCAATATCTGATAGGTAATTCTACGAATAAGTTTGTGAAAATTGTCGGATCCGATTGGTTTTTGGGTATTTTCGGATTCGATTCGAATTGAAAGATTAAACAAAACGGATTCGACAATTTTGCAATTTTATCCGTAGAATTACCGATAAGGTTCTTTTTTGTTTTTTTTTTTTTGATTCCGGAGCCAAATTTCGTCGGCTCCGATTGGTTTTGAGTTATCAGAGGGTCCACAATTATTCAAGGTCCTCGTTCTATTGTGAAGATAATAGTAGTCGTTAGCGAGTGAACACTGCAACTGAGAAAAGGACAAAAAATGGATTAAAAGTGGATAAAAATGATTCAGGCTATAAATGAATGAAAAATAGTGTTTTTTTTTTCATTCAATTTAAACAATTTTTCCCAGTTGCAGTGATAATCGTTGATTTATATTATTCAAAACTTTCATCAAATCTCCTAATGTAGTACGAAATTGGAAATTTTTTAGCGTCTACGCTTTTTCCCGTCGAAAATGCGTTTCTTGGCGAAACGCCATGAATGTAGTCTGCACTAAATTTTCTTATCAATGGTTCGAATCGGGTGCAGCCTTACCTCACCCATATAAGGCATTTGCATATGAGTATGGGGATCGATTCCACCAGGGATCACCAATCGATCGGTGGCATCCACAATTTCTTCACCATCGATTGGCGTTAGGGTTGGCGCAATTTCTCTAAAATGGTTGTCGGCTGGAATTTAAGGGCCTCGGAAAACTCACACAATGGTCCCATCGTGAACACGAACATCAGACTTGAATATCTGATCGTCGTTGACAATGGTCCCGTTGCGAATAAGAATCGGCATCTATTGTAGTCTGTATGATCAATAGAATCAAAACAACACTGATTGCCTTATCGAAAAACCTGAAATGATATGGATTGATAACAATCCCAGACTGACCTCGATTCGAAACTTTTCTTTATTAAAGGAAATTCTGGCAATGACAACATCAAAACAAAACAAAAAACAATTAGAAAGATTCTTCGTCGTCTCCAGACATCGGATCGCTCGACGCTGTCTCGACATCGAACAATTCGATCTTATCCGCGAATACGTCTATTTGTTGTCCTTTTACGGGATTCCATGGCATCGGCATATCATTCTCAATAATTCCACATTTGTAATGCTGACCTTCGTGGAATTCCCATAATAACGATTTCGTTTCTCCGCAAAACTGAAACAATTTTTTTCAATGTTGGAAAACAAGATTCGATTCATTGCTAGTTGTCAACTCGGGCTGCCAATTAAATGGTCCCTAAAAACTAAATGTGCTTATACTATGTCACATGAAATTTAAGGAAAAACTAAAATACTTAAAAATTCTTCTTTTCACATCATTTTGATTCACCAAAAAAAATCGCTCTAAAGAGTATTTCAATGCGAGACCCAAGGCAATTCAAATGCTACAGTAATCGCACCTGAATTTCACCAAACAAAAAATAAACATCAACTAACCGTAACATCTCTTACGAAAAACACATTGCTCTCCTGATACGGTTTTCTCATTCCGACTGGCTCAATGCCTTCTGGAAGTGTCAGGCGGTCGACTGAAAATTCGAACATTTCCAATTTTGTTTGATTCATCACTAAACTATCATTCAAATGAACTTGTAATGGCGTATCCTCGCGTAGCAATGTTTTGAACGTGGCAACTTCCAAAGCATTCCAGGCACCAGGAACGCTATCCGTGATTTTCGGATTCGATGAACGGATTCCATGTAGGGCCAATTGAAGACATTTTGGAGGATATCGACAATGCCTGAATGAAACAACGTTTTCATATTAATAATCATATTCGATTTAATACTGTTTATGAATTTTGTACAGCGAACTTGTCAGTACCATATCGTGGCCGCCAGAATCCAAATAACGGACGCTCGCAAATACGTTGCAATTCAGAATCTGCAAAAAATAAATTTTTTAATTTCACAAAAGCATTTCAAAATTTCGAGAACACGCTATCGTCGTCAAAAGACGTTAAATATTTTCGATTCATAGAAAACAATTGTTAATCTTGAAAAATGATAATACTACCTCAACTCTTTGCCATTCTCCCGTAAATGCCGCTCTTTCTTCACTAACAGCACAGATTGCATAGACATGCAAACCTTCCGAATGATATTTTTTACTGAATTTTTTTAAAAATCATATCGGACCATTTTGATTGTCGACTAACATTTGCTCGGCTAATAATGGCTTCCGATTTTTTGTATTCGAATAGTAAGTGTCTAATTCTTCGGCACAAGCTACCAAATCCTCGTTTCCACGCATCATCCATTCCACTTCATCGTCCAATGTCAATTCTTCCTGCTCTGAAATACCCATTCGAATATTTAAATGCTATTTCTATTACTTGGGTAGCTGCTTTTGGTTACATTTGTGACCACAGTGTCATTAGGGCCGGACCATGTCCTAAATAGTGTCGCTTTTGAGGGAAACTGCACAGGGACTTCTTACTTCATAATGGGCCTCGCAAACCACACGTATGGCGATTTCGTTGCATTCCCTTCTACGGCCATCAAAACTATTCCATTTTCATCGGCAAATCTTTAAAATATGAAAAAAAAACATGATGTCTAGCCATGAGAATTATACTGACTTTTCGAGATCGCTTTTTGAAAATGCTGGAATTTGGCAGTTCGCTGGATCCCAGTCACCAACATCAGGATCAATGTCATTCTAAAATTCAATTCTCTTCGAAAAATGTATACTTTCAAAACCTTGAACAGCTTTCTCTCTTCTGCTTTTTGAGCTTCTTCCTCTTCTGGACTCAAATGTTTCCAGTTCAATGGCATTTGTTGGTGAATTTCTTCAATTTCCGGTTCGCCCGTTTCCTAAAATTTGAAAGAATTTGATTAATAAAAAGAAAACAAGAAAAAAAGTTTATACTCTTGAATCTTCGTATTCGAAAAATTTATGATAGGCAGCATCATGCATGGGAATCTCAATAATCGAATCTTGGCGGCTGAATAATATTTTCAAAAATATGTTGAAAAGTATCGTAAATTACCATCTAGCAATAAGAATTGAGGTGAGATCAACACCAACATCTTTCGAATCTTCGAAACCCTTACCAACACCATAAATTCGACACTGAAAGAAAAAATCGAGGGAAATTTCGGAAAAATATGAGAATTGCTGAAATTTTGTACCGGAAGAGGACGAGAATAATCGTTGAAGTTAACACTAGAAAGCACAACTTCAATTTTCAAATATGGAAAGATTTTAAGCACTTCGCACAATTGATCGCAGACATCTTGGGACCATTTGGGTTTAATCTTCAAAATAAAATAGATTATGTTAAGACGCAAAAATACCTGATATGAATTATTGTCAATGCTTAATCCTGGAAAAATGCCGATCATTGAGATTTGAATCGCTTGCCATGGGTAGAACATGAGCTCCTCAGGCATTTCGCAAAGGCACTAAACAAAAATGGTAATATTTGAAGCGTTTCCCAAATTTGGTTACTTCCGGATTAACCACTGCTGTCGTTGCATCGTCTATGAATAGAATTTTGGCGCAATTCCTATTTTGAATTGGAAATATGTCGATAATTCGAGCCCGCCGAAAAACCCGCTCATCGTATGGTGCCAATACATAATCATTTAAGTATAGCTCAGGAATCGGCTCCAATTTGTATCTTAAATACGAAAATTTAACTTTTTTAGGATTAATTGAGATGAACTCACGGTTCCCTAATCGTCAGTGTGCTATCCGTAATATGATTCTGAATTCGAACCCAAATTTCTGACGGCGATTTCGCGTCGAGATACTCGACAATCGCTTTTCCGGAGAGAACTATTCGGTTAATTCGACCCAAATTCACTTCAGTATCATTTCCACGCCGGCCGTTTAATAGCATTTCAGGATCTTTCTCCGAATATTTCGCAATTGGCTCTTTCGGCATTATGTCAAACAGTTCTTCTTCTACCGGGGTTAAGCCGATAGCTATCATTTTCTCTATAATAAAAACAATTGGAATTTTATCGAAAAAATGAAAGCAAAATAAACATTACAAAAAGACTTTATGTATTTAATACATATAAAGATTATAAAGAAATTTAAATATTTGCCTATTCTAGCTAGAGTATCGTTGATAAGAGATAAGAAAAATTTGGAAACCCCGAAAAAATTGAAAATATTGCTCATTTTAATAGATGGCCTAGCTTTCGTCCTCGAAATTTCTAGGCCGTGCCCTTCGAGCGATTTTTCTCTTGATGCATTCAGCGATTTTCATGCATTTTTATGTTTTTTGTTTGTATCGTCACGAGACATTATCGATTTCCTTATTGATACACATTGTTTTATAGAATAACTTGTGTTTGAAGTATTTTCTTCACAAATTCAAACTTGAATTGAACATTTTAAAGATGCCAACAGAAAAAGCAGACTCAATTGCAAGCAGGTCATCGAAAAAACGGAAAAATAGGAAAAAACGTGCGCGACAATGGACCGGCTATCTAGATAATCTGAAAACCACAATCGACGGAATGTACGAAATGTGCAGAAGCGAGCAGTCGGTCGCCGGATGCAAGGTAAAAAAATTTTTTTTTCAATATTTCAATAATTGAACAACTCAGGAAGCGGTGCTTTATCTGGAAAATGCCTGCAACGATTTTAAGTCTCTTATCGAAACAATCAATGTCGAAAAGGAATGGGCAAACAAAGAGCCGGAAAAGAGGTTGTCGGTGGCGTGGGAAATCAGGAAATCGATGTCGTCGCCGATTCCTGTCCCGATTAATGAGAAGCCGTTGCTACCAATGTAAATTACCTTATATAGGTTTTTTTTTTCAATTTTGGTTTTTAATGTTCCAGCTCGTCAATGATTGCTGAGGTTGTTCGAAATGCGAATCACGATTGCCAGAATTCCGAAGAATCGCCTAATCGGAATCTGTCTTATGCTAGAATAACAGCAGCTGCTGCTGCCGTAGCTGTAGCGGCTGTAGCCGCTGAGCAGAACATGAGCTCGTTGGCCGAGGATGGATGGCAGGTTGTTGGAGGGCGACGACGAAAAAGCACCTCATCGACCACTGTCAGCGAGTTCGATCGGGAGGTCAGCGTTGAGAAGGAGCAAGCACCATCGGCACCGCTGAATGTCTATGAAAGATTGTCCAGCTCATCGTATCGTCGAAATACAACGAACTCGACAACGAATCGCAGTTTGACACTGGATTCCTCCGGAATTTCTAGGCTGACATGCCCTAGAAGCGCAATGGATCTGCCGCAAACTAAAGCGTCTATGGCGAAAATGGCGTACAGTCGGCAGCTTTTGTGGGAGAAGAATCAGCAATCGTTGGTGGAGAAGTTGCGAGCGCGCCAGAAGAGAGAGAAGATGTCCAATAGCCATGTGCAGTCGACGTCGTCTCCGGGAAGCTCGAGGAGTCCGACTTGTGGATTCACATTCGCTGATCCGCAAGCTGTTCGAAAGAGTGTGGAAGCATTCAATCAAAAGCGAAAAGCGGCACCTTCGAACCGGGACAATAATGCGGGACCATCGAATGCCGATCCAAATAGATCACTGCAATCGATAAGTGAGCATGAGCCGGGCATGGAAGCGAGCATCAACAGCGATGATGTTCCGGCCGATCCGACCCCACCAGATCCGCACGGATGCACTAACACTTCAAAGAATCTCGAGACCAGGTAGAGTTTATAATTTTTTTTTGTCAATGAACCATTCATAAATGTTCTTTTAGATCTGAACCTGGCGGACGTGTACAAAACGAAAGAACGGGTAATTTTTGGTTATAAACAGTTTATTTTCCAGTATTTTCTTCAATTTTCAGAATCGTCCCCTCACAACTCTTTATTCGGTTATATTGGCTTGGAAAATGATGCGGAATGGAGAGAAATGACTGAAGAAGAAGAGTCGTTGGCGATGGAAGAGAACAGTCTGAAACAAGAGATCAAACAAGCCGAGGCGATTTCGATCGATGCCGAATTGGAACGGCAGGTGGCTGTGGAAGCCGACGGATTGGAACGAGCGCATCGGAAGGAAAAGAAGAAGACGAATAAGAAGCAGACGAAAACCGATTTAGAAAGCTTCTGCAAGGTTTTGGAAGGTTTGCTCGACAATTCCCAAAAGTCTATTTTTATAATATATAATTTTTGTTCAGATGAAATCAAGAGTCTCGCGAATGTTGCCTGGTCCGAGCTGATGAACAATACGCCTCCGATTCGATCAACGAATGTACACGAACCTGGCAGTTTTGCCGAGAAACACGAGAAAATGAGTAGTCCCAGTCGACGACGTAGTCAGAAGGACGACGATGATCTTGGAAGGCGTCATGAGTTGAAGCTGAAAAGAGCAGAAGAGCTTCGGCAACAACTTCAGGAAGCAAAAACTGCTAAATTGAAAGAGCTGACGAGACGGGTTGAGGAAGTGCTGGCGAAGCAGGAGGCGTTGAAGGAGAGAAAACGGAGAATGATGGAAGAGCGAATGCAAAGAGCTACGGAGAATCGCGATAAAAACATATCGGAAGTGATTCGGAAAGCGAAGGATGATGATCAACGAGTGATGGAAGTCAAGTTCATTGCAACACTCCAGGAAGAGAATAAGAGGCAAGATCTTATAATGAAGGATGCCAGCAATGAGGTTGTACTATTCTGTGTCACATCTATCTTCCATAATATCAACTTTCAGGAAAAACAGAAACAATTAGCCGATGAACGTGCGCGGAAGAATGAGGAGAAGGCGGCAAAGAAGAGAGAACAAGAAGCTGCGGCGGTGACGCGACGAAAGCAAGCCGCTGAAGCTCGTCAAAATAAGATTCGCCAATTGAATGAGCAGAAAGAAGCGAAGATGGCGGCGAAGGATGTCGAGAACAAAACTCTCGACGAACCCGAGGTTGATTTTCTGACAAGGGTCGTGAAATTGCTTGAAGAGGACACCAAGACGAGCGTGATGATCGGCGATCTGTTGTCGACGGAGAAACACCGAAGGAATTGCCACTTGTGCTCGTTTGTGGTATGATTTGCCTATTTTAGCGATGCGAAATCTCTCAACAATTTCAGGTTGATTCGGATTTTGAAGCGATTTCGCACATTTTTGCGCCGACTCATCAACTGAAAACGACGGTTTTGCGGAATGGAGCAACGCCAGATGAAATTGTTGGCATCATTCTAGTGCTATTGGAATTTTTTTTGGTTTTTTTTTTCAGAAGAATCATCTAAATTACGCCTTCAAACCGACGAGCCTTGAATTGAGTTCGGCTCTGTCGAAAGATGATCGAGAAGAGCAGATGATGAGATCCAGAGAGATATTAGAGAAAATGTACGATTTCTAGATTATGACGACATCAAACATTGTTATTTTTTGTTGCTTCAGACAAATCAAAGAATCTGTGCCGATTCCATTGTCTTCTCCGAGGAATCGCACGAAATTTATTCGCGAGCTTCTCGATTTATTGGAAAAGGTAATTTTATAGGTCTCGACATCCGAATATAGAGATTAGTTTAGTTTTCTTCTTCCAAATTGCCAATCGATGAGCAACTTCAGTCGGATGTTGAGAAATCGCTAACAGAAATTCTCAGCGCGATTGAAGCCGATGAGAAAAACGATTGTTTTGTGAATTTGGAGCAACTTTGTGCCACTGGAATTGTGCCAAAACTTGTCGATTTCCTTCTGGAATGGACAAGTAAAGGAGCTTCTTTACGGTTTCGAATTTTTCATTTTTCCGAATAATCATTAAATTTGGAATTTTTAGACTGTGCATCCGATTCTCACATGTGCTATCTCGGGTTGTTCAAGACGCCAGAGTGTCATATTCAATTATTTTTAAGCCAGAGCTTCTGAAAATCCTGGAGAGAATTGTGTTCTTAGTTCAGGCATGAATATTTTCAGCTTAAAAATTTGTGAAAAAAACGAAACGAAAATTACAGAGTGATCCTACAAATCTTCAACTTTCCTCACTTCTAGATTGCCTATGTGCATTATTGAAGTGTTCGGCCAATCGAATAGTTAGTGTTGTATTAATTCCGCATAATATCGTCTTGAAATTGTTCAGAATGAGAAGCAGCGACGCTGGAGAGAATTGTACTCATTGGATGAAAAAATCTCAACGATTATTCGTGCGATTGCCGGGTAATTTGAAGTGCTCTCCTCAAATAGCTCTAATTGCTTCCTTCCTCCAGATTCCTGACATTCTCTTTGGAGCCGGCCGATATGGAGAACGCACTTGAAAAATGTCGCGGTAGTGTGCTCATTGGTAGAATTTTGACACTTTCGGAGTTTTTGGCGCGAAATGATAATGAAATTGGGTAATAATGCGAATATTTAATACAATAATGATTATTGATTGTTTAAAGCTTCAAATTTCTTTCGTCGAATGTGAAAATCGCTTCCGCGCATGCATACCGTCAACGAAAATCGGAAAATATGAAGGTTTATTTGGATCTGATCCAGTGTTTTGTGAATGTTTGGCACGGATTTGAATGTCGAAATGTCACAAAGGTATTTCGGCGGCTTTAATTAGAGAAGCTAGAAACTTGAAAATGTTATAGAAACTGCTAGAAGACACAAAAATAGCTCTGTATTTGGCAATTTTCATTGAAGAAATTTTGAAGAAGAATTCGGATGCTGTAAGAGACGAGAAATCAATTTCAAGGTAGAACTATCTTGAAAAAATTCGCCCTTATTCGAATTTTTGCAGAAAATGGAAAACGAATAGCAAAGAAGAAAACAATTTGATGAAAACTTGCGAATTTTTAGAATTAGTTATCAAAGATTTGAATCCTGTGTTAAATGTGAGCTCTTCTTTTTTTGCAAAAATATTCCAAATATTATTTATTTTTCTTGCAGAGAATGTTCATAATTAATTGGCATAATCCCTCATGTTTATCAATTCTCACCGATTTGCCGCTTCGACTTTTAAGCATTCCCCGATATTCTAGTCAAATAATTGCGGTTGTGCAAAATATTTTGAAGAATTTTACGGAAAAAGAGAAGAATGAAGTGCTGAAATCGGTTCCACTTGCTGCATTTTTAAAGCTTTAACTCGTGTGTTGGTGTCACAATAAATTCTTTTTTGATATTACTATTTTTTATTAAATGAGTTATTCCTTGGTTTTTATAACGTTTTTTTCGGAAATTTATTTGAGAAAAATATTGAGTATAGATTTTCAGCTTTTTTGTTTAATCCTCTCACAGTGACAGAAAGGGAGAAAACGCATTTCTTATTTTTCTTATAGTTTTTGAAATTATATAGTTTAAATTTGATGATTTTTTTGCATAAATTCGTTGAATTTGCTTTTTTCCATCATTTTCACGTTTTCAGATGAATGACGATGAGCTGAAATTGTGTCAACAATTGACGGAATTCGTCAAACATTCTGAAATCCAGTTAGAGCCATCAAATATGGAAAATTATGGAGGTATTTAGCGATAGCACGGCATTTAATTTTTTTGTGAATCTCAGAACAAATTGAGACTTCAAACCTTATTGCTTGCATGAAAATTGTGGGATTCGACGAGCGAATCGAAGCGATTATTGAAAAATTTGAAGATGTTCGTGAAATTAACCCGAATTGTCCAACAAAATGATTGTGAGAATAAATAATTTTCAGAGTTTTTCAAAGATTTACTCGTCGATTCTGTCATTTTCTCTAGCATGCTGGAAACGAAGCGAGAAATCGAAAAATGATGAAATCAAGCGAGGCCGAATGGCTCTCAGATTATTGGTGAATTTAGTTGGAAGATCGTCGAAGTTTGCTGAGAATATTTCGAGTTGCCACGTGGATTTGATTGAAAGTTTGTTAGCGATCGAAATTTATAATGTTGAGGTAATCTATTACATATAAATCCGATATCAATTAAACCATAATATTTGAGATATTCCATCTTCTTCTCAAAACTGCCAATATTTCGTTTATGGAATTTCAAAAAAACAAGCGATATTCGAAATTGCATGTCTTGCTTATCGATGCATTTTATCGGGCGAATCAGAAGATTGTTGAAAAAGGTGGATTTTAGAATTTCGCAATACAATTTTAAGCACGTTTTCAGACGATGTGAAAGACAATGAAGCATCGACAATACTTGCGTACTTTTCAATTCTATTGGAGAAGGTTAATTTTGTTTTAAATATACATATATTTTTTAAATTCTGTCTAATCTAGGATTATGCTTTTCTCGCCAACTCCTATGCTGAAATTGAGTTCAATTCATTTTCGAAACTTCTCGAAATGACCGAATTGATCATCGAATCCACAGAAACTCGTGTTCATTCCAACAATATGCTTTTTGTTCTCAATCTTCTCGAACTCATTTGCTATGATTTCGCGACGTTTTTGACAGTGAAGAACACGGAGCAACGAAAGAGCCACACAATATTTGTGCTCAAAATTCTTGTAGAGATTGTTGGTGAGTCGGCACTGTCTGAATACTCGAAAAATTAAATATTTATGGCGCTATTCACAGATTTAGTGAAAAAAACTCGAAAAACTCACAAAATTGTTTCTTTTTTAGGTTTACTATGCACAAAAACTGAAATGACATCACATATGATGGAGCAGACGACAGCAATCGATTGTGTTGTTGATGTTCTCGATACGGTATTCGATATTGTTCCATTCAAAAGCGACAATTTTGTGTTGCGTTTTCAGATTTTGCATGGTGAAGCTCTTTTCGGAGAATATCGGAACAGTCATCCGGAATTTCCCGAAATGCCGCCCGATGAGCCGAAATTCGCCGAATTGCGCAAAGCAATCCGAGAGGAAAAGCGAATTCAAGATGCTCGAAACAAGCAACCGGATAAGCCAATTTTGCCGGTGACACACACACAAACACAAATTATCAATTAACTTATTGAAGTATTGAATTCAGACCCCTTCGCGTATCGAACGAATTCAGGAGAATTCGTCGCTCACGGAACTTGCCCAAGTGTTTTTGAATTCATACAAAAATATTGGGGAACATTATGGAGAAATTGGGGAGCTCAAATTGAATTGCCTCCAAACGATATGTATGAGTCATTTATTTCGAGAAATGCTGACTGCCATCGAATTTCAGCTCATCTTTGCGATAACTCGCAGTTCAATAAACGCGCATGCAGTCAGAATCGAAGATGTGCGATACTATCGGTTTTGCAGTGCACATTGAGACGGCCAATGTATTTCATGGAAAGCTATGCGATCGTAACGTGAACTCTGAAACTCGGCATAGTTGTTTTTTTCGATTTTCAGCAAAAATGGGCGATTTTCTGCGTACGCCAACTCACCGATGATTCTGTGGAGAACAAGGAGATCATTCTGAATTTGGAGGATCCGAAAACGCCGATTATTGACAAGGACAAACTGTTGAAGGAATTTGGACTCAAGACAGTTTATGATAAGAATAATATTCGGAGAATTGTAATTGAGGAAGAGGATGAAAATGAGGATGGCCAGTAGATTTAAAATAAATTTATTTATTTTTTCTTTTTTTTTTAATTTTTGATATCGGTTATTGACGACCTGATTATTTCAACAGTTATTACGAAATGGATAATATTGCTTGATGATATGTTGGCCCAAAATACAAATTCAGATGGATTTCAATTTTGCCGATATGGAGAAGTCGGTTTACGGCGGCAACATTGAGGAGGACGAGGAATTGCTCGCCGAGCTCGCCGCAATACAGGCGGAGGAGATGGGGGAAACGAGACGAAGAGCTGCACCGTCGGCACCGACTAGACGAGGTATCACACCATTTCTAGACGAATTTCAGTTTTGAAAAGAAATTGAGCAATTCCAGCCGCTGCTCCGCCTACTGACGTTCCCGGTGTCGATCCTCGTGTTCTTGCTGCCGCACTTGCTGATGCGCCTGGAGACGTTGATGATGCGAGCCTTGAAGAGGACCCGGAACTTCTTGGCGAACTTGCCGGTCTGGTTGGCGGCGAATCGCCAGCACCGCCGCCGCCGCCGCCAACACGAGCCGCCCCACCGCCAACACAAGCAGCCCCTCCTGTTCCAGCACGTTCAGCTCCTCCCGCCGGTCCAGCTCCGAGCGTCGGAATCGATCATGCTCAATTATCGCACTTAAGACAGCTTCATGATGTTTATCACAAAATGTTGAAATCGGCGGAACAGGGCGGTGAGGGCGCAAAAGCGCGAAGGTACAAAAGAGCCGTCGACAAATTGGCCGACTTAATGCGCGCCGTTGAAAGAGGACGAAAAATTGATCCAGCTGAGATCCCGGTAGCCCCGCCCAACTTTGTGCCGACCCCCTTCACTGAGACATCGATTCCACAATCAGCGCATCATCCTCCAGCGCCGTCGATACGTGAAGCTGCCTCAACAGCTCCGCCACCAGTGCCAGCTCGAAATCCACCGCCGCCAATTCCGGCCAGGAATCCGCAACCACCGGCGGATCCCAAGAAAGCGGAAATCTTCAAAATTCTTAACCATCGAAGAGACCTTTATGTCGCGAATGGAAAAGCTGCGATTGCTGCTCATGACAAAGAGGCCGCGAAGGAATTTGTCGCGATGGCCAAGTCGTTCGATCAGGTTCGCCAATTGTCTTGTTTTCTGTTTTTTTTTTCAATCCATGTTTAAGGCTATCGCTGCGTTGGATCAAGTGTCCGCTGATGAGATGGATCTGAATGAGGTGCCGCCATCACCTCCACCATACCGCAAACATTCTGCTGCCTCGTCGTCAGCGCCGTCGCCAGCACCTCCACCGGCATCGTCTGCCGAACCTTCTACAGGTCCGCGAGCTCCGGCTGCTCCAGCTCCAGCTCCTTCACAAAAACAACCGTCGACATTCATGGAAGCCCTCGAATTTCGTCGTCAGCGATATGTGCAAATGGCGACGAAAGCGAAACAAGACGGGAATGAAAGAAAAACGCGAATGAATCAGAGGCTCGCCGGACAGTACGCAGAAGCGATAAAAGAGGCGAAAGCAGGACGACCGGTGAACATTGGCGAGCTTCCGACGCTGCCTGACATGCCGCCATTGCCGCCGCAAAACACTGCGCCAGCACCGAAAGGACCGCCTCCAGGATGTAGTTTGAAATTCGACGAATTCATTTTTCTTTTTGTATTTTCAGTGAAACCGCCACCTGAAGTTGGACCCCTGGCACCGTCTGGTGTTGCTGGAAAATCGCGAAACTCGTCTCAATTGGAGTTTTTGATTCAACGACAAACCGAATTCAAACAAGCAGCTCTTAATGCCAAGAATCGTGGGGATATCGAAAGAGCGAAAAAATATCTGATGGAAGCCAAGGGATTTGACAAAATGATTCAAGCGGCCCGAGCTGGCCTTCCAGTCAGCATCAAACAGACCCCGATTCCGCCGCAATCGAAGACGACCGAAGCGGCACTTCAGCCTCGGATTCAGCCGAGTACGAGTAGCAGCACTGGACTCGAGAATCGCGGAGAACGATTGGCGCTTCTCGAGAAGACGCTGATTGAGCAGGTTCGATTGGCGGAGACGAATCAGATGAGATTCACGCGACTCGGCGATGTTGGCAAAGTGCGATTGTTCGAGAGCTGGGCGAAAGCGTCGATACAAGATCTTCTGTTGATCAGAGCTGTTGCCCAACAGGGTCTCAATCTGCCCAAGTGAGTTTGTGAAACAAATAGGCGTCGGTGAAATTTGAAATTGCAGATTTCACTACGAGAAAAGACATATTCCATCTGCGGACTTGTTTCCGGATCTCGCTGAAGACGCTCTTGAGCTCACTATCACGAAATGTCGAGATGTTCCGCTTCCGTCGGGATACGAGCCCCACCATGCGAATATTTATGTGAAATACTGTTTCCCGTTTCCGACGGAGAAGCCGCAGGAAGGAAAAACGAAGACCGTTTCGGGAACCTGCTCACCAGGTGTTTCATTTTATTGCGAAATTTATTTCGGCAAACATTTTCAGTAGTCGCAAATTTCTTAAAATTAAAAAAGAAGATTGTTTTTTTTTGTGTCCAGAATCTTCTATAGGTGTGGTTTGTTTCAGAATTTAATGAAATTGTCATGCTGAACATCGGAAGCGGTAAATTGAGGAACTCGAAATTGCAGCGGGCGTTCAAACGAGGCGGAATGAAATTTGAGGTTGCACCATCAATTTTCGAAGCGTTTTTAAAAAGCATTGAGATTTTGCTTCAGGTTTATCAGAAGGGCGGCTTCATGCGCAGCGACAAACTATTGGGAACGTGCGAATGGAAATTGGAGCAATTGGAAAGCTCGGCGGAAGTTGAGGAATCGCTTCCCCTCAAGGTTCGCGTTTTTTTTTTTGTTTTCTGTCAATTTATTACTGTCTGTTTCTTCCTCAATCATTTCTTGTCGAGTTTATTGAAAAGTGCAATTGAGAGTTTTCGATATTGACGAAAGGAAGTGGGGTGAAACATTTTGGGAATGACGCAAAACAAACAATGCCGTTAAATTTATGTATTTTGCGAAGGTTCCCTTTTTTTCTTCTCGATGCGTCCCGCACGGAAAACAAAATTGAAATGATTTTTTTGGAATGGACTAATCCTCGCGATACTGGAGGATGCAAAAATTATTCATCACCAAACAAACAGCATATGCACCTTTAATAAAAAAAATCTTGATGTTCTTTATAAACAATTATGGTGTGTAGATTTATGTGCATGTGCCTTTAAATTGGTCTCGTGGTGACATGTTATTTTGGTAATTTTTTAAAATTGTTTTGAATCAACGTTGTTGGAAATGCAAAAAAAATGAGAGCCTAAATTATTAAAATTTCAAAAATATGGCAAAGCTCTCAAAGTTTATTCAAAAAAAAAAGGTGGCATACATTTTCCCGTGAAAATTCCACTTTAGTGTTGCACTATTTGTGTAAAAATAGAGTTTTTCTTCAAAATGTCTCACTTTGAAGTCATTTTTTCTCTCTGTTCGACTCTGTTTTCAAAAATCCGAATTTGAACTACCAACGTGCAAAATTTGATTGATTCACTTTTGCTAGAATTTATTGCAACTATTGAATAAACATAAATAGTTGTTATTGAAACGAAAAAAAGGAATTGCCTTGTCGCAAATTTCCAGTTTTATGGAACAATGGCGGGTTTTAAAACTTGTTAATTCTTGCCTCACTCACTCTCTTTTTTGTTGTTTTTTAACCAAATTTCTGATGATTATCTTTTTTTGTTTTTTTTTTCTATTCGATTGCTAATCGAGAAATATGCAATCTTCTAATTAGAAAAAACATAAATGAATCGGAAATGAAAATATCCGGTGGCATTTTTGGCGAAAACATGACACTCATTTCGATTTGCCGCTTTTTTCTTTTTTTTTTTGCTTAAAGATTACTGTGCCTTTATTTTCGCGGTGGTAAAAAATGCGCAAGCTTGCGCACTTTTTTTTTGAGTTCTCATGTTACCGGAAAACGCATTTTGTGAACTCTCCATCCATTCTTTTTTCTTCTCGTCTCCATTTTATGCGAATAAAAAAGCGAGGAGGCCACATTTTTGTTTTTCAGGAAGGTCGAAAGGCGATTGGTGGACTTGCGTCGGCGAGAATTCGAATTCGTGAGCCGATTGGCGACGCGAAAGCTCAAACTCAGGAGCACAAATGGCTTGTTTTGGATAATTAACGCTCTTTTCCAATATTTTTTTTTTCAAATTCTTTTTCTCGTTCTACCGGATGATGTTTTTTTTTTCTTTTCGAAATTTATTTGTGATATATCCAGAGGTTTTACGGCATTTTAATGAAAGTATGTATAAATTTTGGAAGATTTTCAACATTTCGGGTCAGGAAATTGGATTGAACATTGAGCGATTTTGTTGAATGACGTTGTCAAACATTTTTCATTTTATGCGATTCCTCGCTTCATAAAAAGTCCATTGTTTCTCGCTGACTTTGAAAATTTTGACCTGCAATGACTAGGTAACTCACATTTCGCTTTTTCTGACTCACCCGCGCTTCAATTCTGAGTCGATATTTTGGTTTTTTTTGTTGAATTTTCAGTAAAAAAAAGAAAAAATTGGGAGAATTTTTTGAATCATTTCCGCAAACACGTTTACCGCTTGTTGCGGACTTTTAGACAATTTTCAATCTACCGTAGGAAATTGAGACGAGGGTGGGGTGAATCGCTTGAGGATTTGGACCATTAATTTTTTGGACGATTTTTTTTTGAAATTTTCTCGTCTAGGCTCATAAAATCAGAAAAGCGACCTCCATGCAATAAGAAAACAAAATATTCGACACGGGGGAAAATCCGAAACGAAACCAAACATGACATATCATATATGTATCGATAGGTGCGAGATCAGCGAGCTCGGTGATGGTGAGCAGCGCGGCACCGTATGAGACGAACAGTCGTTTTGTGGATTCGAATGGAGGCCCCGAGAGCGAGAGGCGCCTCGCCTCGCCTCGCGCGCGAACTTTTGCCGTGCACTCATCATTTCGTGTCGGTCGTGCACCGACACTCCGCCAAACTCGTGCTCTCTCGTCGCGGCCGGCCGCATGACATTTGCCGGTTTTTCGCTTCGCATATCTTTTTCATTCTTCTCAATACTCTCAGATTCGCCATCTTCCGACAATTTGCCAATTACGATGATTGGCGATGGAGGCCGAACGGCATTCAACAGCGAGCTCGTCCCAAAAAGTTTTGAACCAAACTTTAATGATTATCAACCTCTTATCAAATTAAATAGTATAGTTAGTGGAAAAGAGAAAATGAAGAGAGCGAGTGCCTCCTATTGTTTAACGTGTGTCTCTATGCGCGTGCGTGTGTCTCTCTCTGTGTGTGTTTTTTTTTGCTTCGTTAGTGCAGATTGTATCAACCATTCGTATTTGATTTATATTCCTCTGGCCCAATGTATTACGATTTCCGAATATCCAAAAACACCGCGCCTATTTTATCCGTCTTGCCAAATCAAATCAGCTTAATTTTTTTCTCCGATTTCCGAGAGAGAGAATTGCACGCCAATGGTAACATTCACCAAAAATGGAATGATGAACACAGGTGTTCAATTGATATTTTGATCTACCGCGTTTTTCGACGATATTGGTCATTCTTCACATTAAGAATAGCAAAATCACGTGTGTTTTATTATTGCCGACGTTTTTTTTTTTGAACGGACTCTATTGTCGGCGTCCGGCGACGGCTGTACGCGGGTAGATTTACGCGCATGCGCCTTGAAAAGGTCTCGCCACGCGTGAACGCTTATTTTGCTGTTTTCACAAAAAAACTAAATTTTTTTCATGATGAGTTTCGCATTCCCTTGAATTTTCAACGTCGTTCAATTAAAAAATTATCGAAGCGGTCCATAAAATTTGAAACAACCTGTTAGTCCTTGCGAGACCATTTTTGAAAGACATTTTTTTTCCCGGTAAATCTACAGCAGTCACTGGACGCCGACTATATGCTGAACGAAAAAACAAAAACAAAAAAAATTTAATAGCAAAATTTTCAATCTCAATTATCTATATATTTTGAAAAAGTCGATGAAATGGATGTGTAATATCGCGAATTAATAATGAGCATATTGAGCATGTGATGCTACTACTATGTAGTTGTGAGGGGGGGACGAAGTTTGGCGGATAAATATGAAGAGCGGTGAGACCTCAAACAATAGGCCTCGGATTTTTTTTTTCTGATGCCTTTTCATAATCTTGAAACATTTTTCTTTTTGAGAACCCGACACCTCAAATTACATATTGTAGTCTTTTCCCTTCAAGACCTTGACGTTACCGTTCCGTTTTTCTGACTATTTTCATCAAAATTGGCACCTCAATTGAAGAAATGTCTTGAAAATGCCGACGCGAGTTACCGTAATCCGTCGCTGAGCTCAAAATGTTGATAAACAAGCTTAATCAATAGCCACATGTCAACCAACTAACTCATTAGTGTAATGAGCATAATTATCAATGTAATTAAAAGAATGTGATTCGCTGATAATCAAACCAAAATTTGGCGATTCAACATTGCCCGAATATAGTCAACGTATTTCTTCAATCCGTTGAGACCCTATTATAACGACGTGTTTTGACATTTATCGCTTCCCCCAAATTCCTCCCAATTCATCGTCTCCCTCTGTCTGTCTCTCTTCTTCCTATTGGGTGCTCTTAGCTTAATCCGTTGCTATCAAATTTTGCCGTCACCCAACGTCACAACTCCCTGTAATTAATCCCAAAACACACTACAGTAATCGCGCGTGTGACTCTTAACACGAATCCGCTGAAACGTGCCGCGCCCACCCTCTAATAGCCGGAAATTGGTCGAAATCCAAACTCGTTCAAGTTGGTCATTTTTTCGGTGTTGTTGCCTCATTCTTTTTGGATGCTGGGGGGCGGGATTTGTTGCTATGCGTCGCATAATTAATGATTGAATTAGACGGCTAATTGACGCGATAATCATCAACACATCGATAGGGGTTTTTTTTTGAGAAGCCACAATTGAGAAATTTTGTTCCCACAATACATTTTTTGAGAGCACTTATTCATACAACAATTTTTTGCTCGATCGGCTCGCACAAAAACAGGTGAAAATTTACTCTCTTCTCGTATTTCGCTTCTGTTCTTCTGGAATTTCCGAATAACTGTTTTGTCGGCGCGGCTAGATTTACGGGGATGCGTCTTTCTCTTGGTCTCGCATCGAATGCCATTTGAAATTCAACAAAAAAGAATTGCCGAAATCATCAAGAAAACCACTAGCCGTTCACGCGTGGCGAGACCTTTCTCAAGGCGCATGCGCGTAAATCTACCCGCGTACAGAAGTCGCCAGACTTCCATCAGAATTGCTCGGTATGGAACGTCATTTTCACTCATTAATTAGGTATTCTTTAACGGTACCCGGAATTGCGAATAAGCGAATCCTACAAATTTTCGTCCCCTTTCCCAATTGCTGTATTATCAAGAGTGTCTGGTCGCGATGAGACCCTGCTCTCTTTCCTATTGCTCATAATCGCGTTATGCATTCTTTAAAAAACAAGTACCCCACATCAAAGTTCGTTGTAAACACGAAATACGTCAGTCGACGTCTTGCTGACGTATTTCGTGTTGTCGCCGCCGGCATCCCGCAACCGCGTGGCCGAACTCGCCGCTCGGGTCTTCGCCATCGAATTCCATTCGGCGTATTCTCGCCGCCGCCACCATCACAACCCGCTCATGAGACGAAAAAAACACACACACATGAAATGCGGTTTTGGGCGTTTTCCAACGGTTTCCCCGGTGATCGGTGGCGCCGGTTGTCGGCGTCTCGCCGCGCGGGACCCGCTGCTCCGTCTTAGAGTCGCCGCCATCAGCATAATCAGTGTCGGTGCCTTCCTTCGCTTCTCTCGCTCTCATCTCGCATTGAAAGATGAAGAAGTTGAGCAGCGAGAAAGCAAAAAAAAAAAGAAACCTCCGGCAGCGCACGAGGACTTCATTCATTTTTCTCAAAAGCGAGTCGCGCGTGGTCGTCGTCGGCCCCGCCCACGAAGCGCGCCGTTGATTTTCAGCCAATCGTCTCTTTTTTTCCGTCGCCGTTCTTGAACAATCTTGATTATTTCTCGTAAGGCACCAATTTGCAGACGATGCTCGAAATGGAACATGCTCGGCAACAGCCGAACGTCGACCAGAATCTCAACCTTGGGTTCGTTTCTTTCCACATTCGGATTACTCTAGGATGACTGTGGCAGTGTGTTCAGCGCGCAGTGTCACCAAAACAAAAAAAACAAAAATTTAGCTATTTCAGAAGCGTCGAACAATCGCCGAACGAGGAGAGGACGCCGACGAAGCGCCACGACGAGGGGTAGTCCGAAATCGGATTAAAGCGTCCATCCACTGATAATTCGGTTTCAGTTGTTTCAGCGGCGAAGAGCAACAGAAGCAGCAGATAATCTCGTCGCTTTTCGAGGAAATCCGCCTCGAAGCGGCGCTTTTCGACGGCAAACCGGCAATGTCGCCGGTGACGCAGGCGATCGCCGCCGCCGACAAAAAGTTGAAGAAGCGCAAAAACGAGCTGGCGTTGGAGATGACCGCCGACGATGTGGCCGACATTCTCGGCGACACCTCGCCGGCCAACTTCAATCCGAACAATCCGTTCTCGGGACCGAGCCCGTCGTCGCACACGTTCAGCGAGATGGGCAGTCCGGCGAGCCAGCAGCAACAGCAGCAGCAGCAGCAGCAGAAGATGTCGCCGCCATTGTCGAAGTACTCGCAGAACAATCAAGGCCAACGCAATTCGCCGCAATACTCGCAGTATATGTCGTTGAGCTCGCCGATGCACTCGCAGGTTGGTCCCCGAACTTCGAAGTCCGAAAAGAAAAAAACCTTTAACGGGGACATAAGGAGGGTGCGGCCAACAATTTGCTCCGCGAGCCGCAACTAGCAATTTGCGGTCTCTTGCTGACAAATCGAAACGACAACTGATAATGTTTGGCTGAAAGCCATCGAGATATTTAGCAATCATAAATTACGGCTACCGTAATCGTCTGACGCACGTGTTTCTATTTTGAGCATTTTCGAATCATCACACTCGAATGAGTTGCGATTCGAAGAAAACTCAGCTAGCGTATCAAATCAAGCGAAATTCTTTGTTTGTTTTTTTTTTGAGCTTCGAATTAAATTTGATCTGTGATGATGGACAAATTGCCAGTGTTTCAGATTGCACGTCAAGGAAGTACTCCGTTGAACTCATCGCCGCCGTCGAACAACGGAATGGGATTGCATTCGCCAGCGGTGGGCGATTTTTGAATGTCGATTTACGGCTTCGCGTTAAGACCCATCAAAAATTGTGTCATACGTCATATGATGATGAATTCGCTCATAATTTTGCCCCAATTACCACCAAATTAAAATTAATTATTATTATTATTATTATTATTATATAATGACGCGAAAATTTTTGTCATATTAATTAATTACACGATTGTCTTGTAGAACAGCATGCACACCCCGTCGCCAATGGCGATGCAATCGCCACAAATGCCGGCACCGCATCATCCACTCGGCCACCATCTTCCGCACCACACCCGCCTCCTGCAACACCAGCAGAGTGCGCCAAACTTGCGCCACACCGATTTTCACGGCGATCTACCGCTTCCGCATCAATTGGTGCCGATGCCCGGCTCGCGTCCGTTTGATCAGACGCTCGTCGAGGAATTCGACATGTGCGGTGAGTCATTAGATGATGTGTATTGTGTCGACAATAACCAATTGATATCTGAAGTTCGCGCGATTCTGATGGCGTCGACGCGCGCGCAATGCCGAAATGTCTACCGACAGTTGACTGCCGAAATCTCGGAGCTCTATTCGCGAGGTTTGCGCGACATTTCTTTTTTTCTCAAAAAAAAAAACAACAACAACCATATAATTTTCAGTCGTCAAAAATCAAGTACCGAAGAAGGCGGTGAAGAAGATCGTGGCGACGCATGCGCCATGCACACCCAACGAGCGATTCGAGCTCGAACGACAATGTATGTAGTAGGGCTTCACGCATTCAATGGAAGAGCAACATAATCCGCCGGAGTGACTGGCACGGCTTAAATAGAAGATCAGCCGAATTGAAAACAGCAAAGATTAGCGAATTTCGAGCATTTTAGACATTTCGTTGAAAATTGGCTGAATGCCAAAAAAAAGCAATGACAGTGGTCTTGGCGCAAAATTGAAAGTGTGGATTTACGCGCATCGAGACCTCTTTTTAAATTTTTTGGCATTTAGCCAATTTGCGACGCCGCAAATTAGCTTGATCAAATCAAGTGAATGACGCAAAATGCGCCAATACATCGCTTACTGACGCATTTGACGTATTCTTTTGATTTCAGTCTGTTTTTCAGTCAAATGCCTCTCGGACGGCCTCGAAAGCCGCCGATCGTCGCAACTCTACGAATCGATCGTGAATTTCCTCTACAAAATGCGCATCGCGATTCCCGACTCATAGACGAGCGGCTTCTCCTCCGACATATACATATATGCATATAATTCACACTCAAATTCATTCGTTTTCAATTCAAACCCTCCCAAACTCTGGCCGGTCCAGTTCCAGGATCTCTTGTTCATAAAAATTCTTCATCATATTTTGTAACATATATTTTATTTTACACTACTCAGTTTATTGCTTCTTGCCAATAAAGTTCAACAAACACAAAATAAATGAATGTCTATACGAATAAGGTGATAATAATGAATGAAAAAATCAATCATAGTAGAAACAATAAAGATAAATGTTGTTGATTTTTTTTTTTCTAAATTTTAGAGAAAGTGTGTGAAAATCCAATTAAAAACTATCGAGAGCGTCAACCGAAAAATAATGAACGAGGCGAGGTTTCTTCTAAACGCAGCTAGCGCCGCCCGACGGAAAATCGGCCGCTACTAACCAGGAAACAAGACAAGACAAAAAAAGAACAGAAACAGAAGAAAAATAAACAGAGCACAAAATAAATGTTATAATCCAACGACGATGTAGATTTATGTGATGGTCGGCATGGAAAAAAACACAAATTTTTGCGAATCACGTAAATCGACATCGGAGAGAGAGAGAGAGAGAAGTGGAGAGAAAAAGGCTTCATCTCTAAATGGTCCCTAGAAACCCGAAATTTCGACAGGAGATTTAATGAGAGTCGCGCATTTACATCCTCGACGGGCTTGAACCGGGCGTCAATAGAACCGGCGTTGTTGGGTATTGATCTACCTGCTCTTGATCAACAGGCACTGATGGATAGCCGCCTTCCTGAAACACCAAATCTTCTATTCATTTATTCGCATTCGATTCTTCAAAACCACAATTTTATTGAATACTCATCATTACCCATTTCCCTAATTCTCAGGTATTCATCATTAATCTCATTTGATTCGTTCCATGCGAAACCTATTTAAGACTAATCTGGAATGCTCTACGACCCAACGAGACCCGCATTTGTATTCTCGACGCCTACCGAAGAGTGTCCACGTACAAATTGTTGAGCAAGACGAGTGGAACATCTCAGCATTCGTCTGTCTCCAAGCCATAAATCGACTTCTTCTATTTTTCATATTGAGGGGAAATGGTGATGAAGAGGATGATAGATTAGTTGAAGGAGAGAGCGGAAATTGAGAGAAATGATTGGGTGGCGGGGGGCTCTAATCAAAATCCGATTGCCACTTACAATAATTCATCTCAATTGGGGAGGAAATTGGAAAACTCCTGGATTTCCATGGGAAATTTCATTTAATTTTAATAGCCGACTTAAAAAAAAAAGTTTTTAACTAAATACAAAGAAAAAAATTTTTTAACTTTTTAAATTTTTTTGGTGAACTAATTTTTGTCCAGTCATTTTCGGCCGCCGCTCATCTGAAGATGAATGGTGACCGAGGAAAACCAGAATAGAGCACAAAATACGATTGATAATAAAACAATGAAAAAAAAACACACACACAAAAAAAAAACAACGATAATGCCATTATCTAGAGGTGGATCAGATGGTCGAAGTATTGTGGTGCTCGAGAGCAAAGTGAAAAATCATACCGCGAATGGATCAAAACCGTTCAAATCTCCGATTGCTGGCGAAACCATTTGCATCTGAAACGGTTGCCGAATTGTTTCCAAAACACAAAAATTATTTTTCTTTAAAATAAACGCTTCTCTGAAATTCCCGAGCAAAACTCAAAGGCAAAGTGTGCAATGAGGAGTTGGAGAGGGAAAACCGTGCGCAACAGACCCTTTTTTCTTCTAACAATTCAAGAATTACAATAAAATGTTGTGCGGTTTTGTTAGTGTAAGAGGGAATGGTAGGTTGGTGAGAATTTATATTCAGAATTAGTCGAACACAGGCTAGAAAACAAAAGTGTCCAAAAATCAATTTCAGTTATACTATTAATAATTTATTTACAACTCTTGGTTTAAAGGCGCAATCTATGCATTTCCAGTTAGGACCCAATTGCGCCGTTAAACCGCTTCAGTCTTAAACTTGCCAGATAATATTCATCCAAACCCACCTGCGGATCGATATTCTGCCCAAGTCCATCATTCTTCGGCATATGCTCCAAAGCCAATTGTTGTGGTCCGTTTTGCTCATATTTCGAGTAATCCTCCTGAAACTAGTCAAAGGTGAGTTAAAAAAAACACATTCAAAGTCAATATGAGGGGAAAAAACCTCCAAATTGTCGCCAAAATTGTCCCAATCGTGAGCATTGATGAGATCGCGGCAGTTTTCAATGGAGAAGTCGACGCCGTTGAGGTATTCCTGGACATTCATCGTCTTAATGCACGCGAATTGTAGATTTTTTGTGATAATTTTTCAAATTTCCAGTCACAAATCAAAATATCATAGTGCCATTAGAATAAACTCAAATTAGATTCGAAAATGTTCAATTTTTCAATATAAGAAACCTGCAACTCTTGCGAGATCTGACGCTCCAATGTCGGCGACATTACAAGGGAAGGCGAATAAGATTCCTGATGATCCTGAAACCATTCAATAATCAACTTCACACTCGGGTTTGATCTGATATCATACATAGTTGAGTGAGTTCAAATTGCTCTTTGGATCAATCGGATCCACGTCCCGTTTTTGAAGGGCCACTTGATTCTGCGGCTCGTACATAAGAGATCCCTGCAATTCAGTAAAAAAATTCAAACCCAGTCGTTTTTACTCATTTTGGTACCTGAACATTCGGATTATGTTGAACAATTTGTCCTGTTGGTTGGTAAACCGTCGCATTTCCCGCATATTGATTCTGATTCTTGAAGCTTCTCTTCGGCTGCTTCCGATTGATGTTCGAGTCAATCATCTGATTCGCCACTAAAATCCGAAAACACTATTACCACATTTGTCCATGATTCGATCAAAATTACTCTTTTGCGTAACCGGCGGCTTGTAGGTCGGCTCCGGGAGCAATGGACCGCTTCCCAAATAAGGGCCCGACGAGACCTGATTGCCGAATTGTTGCTCAAAAGTGAGCGCATTGGTGGGCTCCGGCGATGGCTTTGATTGAGGTGTGACGACGTTGGGCGACGGCGAGACCTCGCGCGAACTCGGCCCGGAGTACGTCGTGACACCAACGCCATTGCCAACAATTTCGCCGTTGACGTCGGAAAAGCTGTTGCCGCGGCTCGCTGCGCCCGGCGAGCTTCCAAACTCGTCGGTGACGTCGGCGATCAAAGGCCCAGCGTTGTTCGAGAATCGGCGAACTGGTGGTTCTTGGAGCTCACGCTGGAGCGCCTCGAGCATCTGTAATGACTATAGGCGGATTAGGAAATCCGTTGGTTGCGCGGGATTCGGATGCCAACCTCGCAGAAGTTGTTCGACGTCAGCGGATTCGCGTTGACCGCGTTCGAGTTCGCCGAATATTGCGCCGGCGCGCTGGGACCCTGTCCATCGGGTCGCGCGCGTTTCGGCGTCGGACTCGACGAGCCCGGGTACTCATCAATCGCAAGAACACCGCGTTTAGCGACGCGCTTCGACAAATTCGGCTGAACCATCGAGACGAGGAAGTGGAACAGCTGAAAACCGATCAATTAGGTATTTGTATATTTCAATCAACTCCGACGTCGTTATATGTGAGAGAGAGAGTGTGTCTGTGTCTGTGTGTGTGTGTCACTGTTTGTGGATCACCTATCGAACGAACGAACGAAACCGTCAGTCACAGGATCAAAATGGAACTCTTAAGAGGGAAAATCATACTTTCTTGACGACTGCCGCCTGCCGATTGTGCTGTTGACGCATATTCGACATTTGATCCCATAATTGGCGATTCTCTCTGAAATTTGCATTAGTGGTTAGACAAAAGCGCTTTTGTTTTCGGCCAACGATATATTGATATTTCATGAATAAATACAATTGTTAGCGAAACGATTTAACGCAGTTAAGTATTATTCTAGATGAGCGCAATTTTCGACAGTTGCGCGTCAACAATAAATGTTTTGTCTTATCATTTTTTTTGCACTCACTTCGTTAGCGAGTTCATTTTAGCCTCCATGTTGCGATGCTTCTCTCGTAGAGTTCGCACCTCGCTCATGAGCAAATCGAGATTCTGCTGCGTCTGCACCGACATATTCTTGTCTTCAGTCCTTGTCGATTGCTGCAATTCCAATAATTCGACTTCACAGCCTGTGGAATCGCTCAATCGCTACCTTGCGTTTAATATGCACTAAGAGTTCCGGATGTCCTTGCACAAAGTACGGATGGCTGAACTCCAAGTGATCTTGATCCGATTCGGTGCGCGTTAAGCCGCCTTGATTCAGCGGTGTCATTTTGCGAAATCCGTCTGAAAAAAAAAAGTGCGTGCGCGAGCGAATGATCATCATCGGTTCCATGGCGAATCGCAACTTACACATATTCAATTGGCGAATAAGACTGTTCAAATTGTTGTGCTTAAAATAATGCGGAAGAACATTGCGACAAAACGAGTACGGATCCGCAATATGGAAACTGGCACCGGATTCGTCCCAATGAACTATCGATTGAATCGTCGGATCTTCAACGATATTCCACAATTTGATCAGAAACAATGGCAATTTCTCCTCGTCATATTTTGGCGCTTGTCCATTCTGAAATCATCATGTTTTTTGGCCAATTTCCGTAATTAAATAGCTCGAATCCGATGATTCGGATTTTTCTTTCCATCGAAATTACAAAAGATTATCTATTATCAGAGTGAATCTCATTATAGATTGTTGTGAATTGAGGCGAAAATTAGTCGGCGATTTTCTGCTCAACAGAATGTCAAACAAAATTTCTTGAATTTCTAACGATGAGTAAGTAAGCAGTGAAGTCGAATTCATTCATCTCAAGTGATCAAAGAGCAAAATGAATTTCGCTGCGAGACCACTCACCTCAGCGACCTATACAACGCAAATAAATATCCAGGGCAAACGAATTCCTGATGATCTCAACTACGCCATACAGAAACACGACAACTTACTATATTATCGATATACTGTGCGGATGGTACTTCTTCAATGCTAACGCCGTTCGAGTTTCCCCTAGAAAAAAAACAAAATTGTATTACATTTGTCGTTGATTTTTGGAACGATTACCTTCTTCCATTGATCACTTGCGACGGCTGCTGCTGTTGAACCGACGACGCCGGCTGTCCATTCGCAATTCGTCGCGATTGATTCGTTTCAACCTTCGGCACCCGATTGGGCAGCATGTTCGCACCGTTCTGGTTCATTTTACGTCCTGTTGAGAATACGCGAACTCTGCAAAATCAATCGAAATCAATAATTATCGACAAAACATATCGGTTTTGATTGGGCCGGCAACAAAAAAAAACACATGATGAGGATGGTGCGGGGCAAACGACGCGAGAAGACACACACAAAAAAGTTGCCTGACAAAACGCGAATGAACGCGGTCGGAAATAGTGTGACATGTTGGCGGTAGCGAGCGGAGGACGCAGGCGTGCAGACATCCACTACTATGTTCATTGCGAAATGAGGTGAAGACAACGCAGCACAAAAAAAATGAATAAAAAGAAGACGGAATCGTGAAATGAATGATTCGCAAATCAAATAATTCGATCGGAATTTTGATAATCAACGGGAACACAATAATTCTCTTATAGCTTTTCTTAAAATATCAATTTAAACTTGAATTTTCAACATTTTCAAAACATCTCAATTTTTAAGTTTTTGGCTAATTTTTATCCAAATTAGGACCAGTAATTGTTTTCAACTATAATGCAACGTGGCCTTTCAACGACACTCCGGATTAACACCTTACCTCCGTTTAACGGATCTCAAAAAAACGCACACACACACAAATATGGCCTAATTTTGTTCGGACCCTTCCAAATATTGTTTTATTCGATTCCAATTATCCAATGAAGGGGAATCAGCGAAAAAATTGAGGTAAGAACATTCTTTTTCAAAAAAAAAAGAAAGAAATTGCCCACCTCTTGCACGTTTTTTGATATATCGCATACGGAAAAACTCATAAATTATTGAAGAATTACACTAAAAATCGCAACCGAAAAATTATTATTTTGAACCCACGCGATTGTTTTTAAAAAATCAGACATAACAGTCAGGCAGATGTTTTTGAAAAGTTTGCTCGAAAATAATTAGAGACCAAAACACAATTTTCCTTTTTAAGATATTCTCTAATCACACCTCACCTACTGATTTTAAACACCAATTTCGGTTTTTTTGGCATCAAACGATTCCTATCCCCATTACAAGGCCCCTTTTTGGGTAAGAAGGTCGTTTGAATGTTTTATTCAAAGTTTGAGATGCTTTGATCTCGGAGAAAGATTTCCGTACGCATTTTCCAAGCCTAAATTTGAATCGCGCGCGAAAAATCTTCAACATTTTGGGCTAAAAGAATTTGCGAAAAAAAAAACGAGAGGGAGACGATTTGAATATGAATGCGACATGTCAGAAATGGAGAAGAAAAAAAATGCTAACAACATTTCCCATTTGACTATTGCATAGTCTCGACAAAACAAAGGTCGCCCGTTTTGTTGAATATCAGCAGTGCTCCCAATTCCCCTATCAATATCTTTGCGCAAAAAAAAACGGCGCCATGTCTCTACCGTAGCCGTTATCTCAAAGCATACCTCGGTCGTGGCGGATAGTATTTTTTCGTGTACATGACGATGGCGATGAATGTCGGAGGACGATTATCAAATACAGATCACCAAAATAAGAAGACAGCAGTTGTCGCGGACGGGTGGAGTAGAAGGCGACGAGTGTTTGGGAGTGGGGTGCCCGCGGTGGGTCGAAAGTGCAGAGGCGTACGCACGCCGGGCGCGACTCATCAGAACCGACCGACCGACCGGCCGGCCGGCTACTCGCGTTCTTTTCCGCCTCCAACAATTGCGTATTGTTTCAAACACCACCAACACATACACTTTTATTTTTTAGGGAGGAAGAGATGGCGCTGGGCGCGCGCGCGCTCGCTCGCACGCCGCTGTATGCATTTTCGAGTACCGATCATCATCGCCATCGTCAGAACGATGAGCCGAGACGAGACCAGGCCAGCTGCACATGGTCCAACAAATTACACTAAATATTTAATCTGTGGTGCATAAAATTGCTCGAACGCCCCGACAAATCATCACTTCTCGTTGCTTGCAGACTGCTTCTCCCTTCCAATTCAACTATATTATTGTTGCTACATGGGATCGGTGCATTTGGTTCTGTGGTCCGACGGCTATTTCGCTGAGTACGAAAATAATAACGGGACTATTGCGTCAAACAAAAATATATAATTTTTTGCATGTGCGTCATTAAATGACAGTAGTGATCACCAAAATTGGGCATTTTCGTGCCAAGACCCAAGACACAACGTTAGGCATTTCTCAACACATGTCCCATTTGTCCGCAGATGGAATAACTTATTTGCAATTGAGATCGTCCTCTACAATTCAGAATAATAGATTAAACTAAAAATTTTCATAAGTTTATAAATAATTAGCGTGGGAGCCTATAAAATATTCAATGAACTCGTTATTATTATTTCAATTCAAATTATGCACACTGACAAGAACATTTTCAAACGGACGAACAAGCTATGGTGTTGGGTCTCGACGCGAGATTTTTTCTATACAGGAAAATCACTTTTGTGGGTTTTTTTCAAATTAACAAGCCGAAAAATTCATATTCTTCCTTCATTTGTTCGAAATCGTGAAAAGGAAAATTTCTGAAGAATTTGTTAGGGCGTTTTGAAATATCTCAATTTCAAAAGCTTATTCTTTTCGATTCAACAAAATTTAAACCGAGTATTAGATGGTCTCGAAACGACTGTCATCGTTTCGAACATGTGATTTTTGGATTAGGTCTTTGACGTAAAATGTAGAATCATTTTGAAAATGCCTTAAAATTGCACCATAATTCGAAAACTTAAACTATAACACATTGCAGACAATTTTGCTGATTCATAACATGTCCAAAGGGTTAAGATTTCGTGTTTGGCGGATTTGAAAGACTAAGAAATTACTAGTGGGGTACTTAATTGAGATTAGTCCTGTCTGATAGATTCGAATCTGTTTCGTTGAACAGATTGAGGGAATCCATCCTATTTTAAGTTGTTAGGGAAAAAATATTGAATTTTTGGAAACGTCCAACAAGAAAACGCTTTGAAAAATGTTTTATATGAGCAATTCCACTTTTATTTAGACAAAATCAGCATTTTTGCGGGTTCAGTAAGTATCACCGAGAAATAGCAAGCCTTGAGAGATTGTGGACAATCGCATTTTTGTAATTCTATCTTTCTCACTATTTCGTTAGTTTTATAAGTACGATGACATATTGAAACTAATTCCATACCTTTTCTTTTATCAAACACGAAGGGGTAAGTAATAAAACTTTTTTATGTTCGTTATCGAATAATGAAATAAGTTTGTTAAAATGGTCAAATAGATAGAAGAAAATAAATGAATTTGATTGACCGCGAAAACAATTTGTATTTTGGCGAGTGGAATGATTACGAGAATTTACGGCGAAACCATACAAACAATTATTTTGATATCGATCATCTTCTTTCGTTATCACAAATTACCAATTACTGTGCGATTGCAAACCGAAATTTGAATTGTTTTATCGTTTGCGAGCATTTTTTGTGTTACAATGGGACCGCGCATTTCCAGCATTTCGTTAGCCTTTTCATTTTATTTTTACACATTTTATGAATAATTTGGAGAAGTTTTGCGACAAGTGAATGAAACGGAAAATGAGGATGAAAATGTTGGATGGGGAAATTGAGTTAATCTACAAGTCGACACTGGAAAAAAAACACGGGCATCGATTGAGCGCACTTGCAGCACCCTCAGATATTTTCACGGAGACATAGAGTGTAGTTCGAATGATCTTTTGATTTCTCGTTTGAACCTTCAACAAAGGTCTACCCGATAGCAAAGAAATGTTTGTTCGAGTTTTGCAATCAAACGATTCAATTATAATCAGTCTAGTAACGAATGAATCAAATTTTTCCATCATTATCACCGACTTATTTTTTGACAAATAAAAAGGGACTTACGTTAATTGGCACTGCAATAGGATTGAATAATGGAAAAATAAAATGAACGATTGTAAAATATCGTCAATTTAAATGCATGGTCTGTAGATTGAAAGACTCGGTGTCTGCAGAAATTGAATTTCTCTCGGCAAACTCATCTGGCGACAGTAGTTTTTCTCGGTTTTACACTGATTAAGCGCGACGCAAGCATAATGGAAGCATTGTGGGAAATCTGTGGAACGGAAGCATAATGCTTCCATATAGGAAGCATAATGTAATTCTTAGTGGCTGTGGAAGAATTATGGGACGAATATGGATGGAATGAAAACGGGATGAATATGCTTCCGGTGTTTGCGAGCCGTGGAACAAATATGGATGGAATATGGATAAAATAATCATATGTCAATAAACATTATACAATTGGCGTCTGGACGGCAGACCAAGACAATTTCTAGAAAAATCAATACAAAAAACTTATGCTATCATATAAACAATGAAAATTTGAAAATTACATGATACACAACATACGAAATTTAGCTTCTACCATTTAATGACTTATGCTACTCAGATTTATGTTAATTCAGTCAACTGTTCCTTACTTTGTTTAAAGATTGCCAACTACAATTTAGTCGTATTAATATATTTTTGCCGGTTTTTCCGAAATTGGCATCGCAAACTACTCACAATTTGCTCCAAACTGGTAGCAGACGCGCGTAGAAGAGGCGTGCCGCAGCATTGCAAAACCGTGCGCCGCTTTGCACAATGCGGCCACGCCTCACATTTTCGAAATTCGTTTTCAAAATTTTGTCCTTTTGCTTTTTCTCAATGAATTTTCAAGATTTTTTGTGTTTTTTTTTTGTCAAAAATTAAAGAATTTTTTTCAAAATTAAAGGAAAAATGTTTTTAAAAAATAAAGGAAAAATTTTCATATTTATCATCAAAATCGAAAACAAAAATAAATTGATAGCATTCGAAAATTTTAAAATCGATACGATGTTTTCAAATCGTTTCCGACACTTTTAAAATCGAATTTAAATATTTTCTCAATCGAATTGTGTTTAATTTCTCATCGAATCCGTTTTATTTTTATTTACTTTAACATATTTTTTATTATCGCTCGCTTTTTTCTTTTAATAAAACATAATGTTTTGAAATTTTTTACAGATGAAGACAAGATCGAGAGTGTTGTCAGATATAACTGAAACTGCTCTAGAAGTCAATAACAAAGAACCAGAAGTCCCTAACATGGAACCAAATTCGCTCGACACTTCAGATCCAGATAGTCCAATTTACTCGCCAACTCAGCAAAAAAATTTTTCTCCACAGTCCTCACAAACAACAAAATCAACGCCAATTCCTAAACCTTCGTACGCCCAATTTGTAAGTTGTTATCATCAAAAATTGGCCTGTTCGACTCCAGAAATGGTTTCAATTAGAAAAATATGCGCAATGAAGTCTTTATAAAGTACTTCCTAAGTTTAAAGCTTGTTGATTATTTGGTTCCAATCAGGGCTGTGCGGCAATGGAATTGCCGATTGCCGAAATTGCCGGTTTTTCAAATTGCCGAAGAAAATTTCGATCGGTAATTTGCCATTAGCCGAATCGCCGAAATTTCCGATTGCCGTACAGCCTTCGTACCAATATCATTCAGTGGCATTTATCTTTTTAAGTGGGGCTCTAGTACAGAAGTCGCCAGACGCCGACTATATAAAGATCCTATACTTTATTGCAAATATCTATATTACAGATGCTCTTATCCATGGCTTTGGGCAACAACCGACAAATGACTTCAAAGCGAAAGCATTACGCATGGTTCGAGAAGTCATGGATAATCTTCTGTAAGATTTTGAACTATGACTATTAATTTATTTATTTGATTAAGCGATAGAATGCGCCAACGACTTCAAAGGAAATTTGGTGTAGCGCCGGAAGCGCTCGCGGCGCAATTAAGGAAGCTGCTTGATTCTACCAGCAACCCTCAGATGTGAGTATTCATATGTCTTTGAAATTTTAACCAAAATGCCTTTTTGCTTCAAATTTTGGAGTTGTTCTTTCTTCCGCCAATTCACTTTTTATTTTGTGCACTAAAGGGTTTCCAAAAATGCAATAAAAATAAATTATTTTTATTTTTAAGAAAATTATTGATGTAAAAAAACTGATTGTATTTTCTCGAAAAATTTAGTTTACGTAACAATGGTTTACAAGTTTTTCAAATTAATAGGCCCATTATAATCTACTTATTACAGCGTCCCGCTCGATGTCAGTACTGACAATGATTCGAATAGTTCGGCAGTTGCCAGTAACTAATGGTTTGATTATATCTTAATTGAAATTCATTTCATTGTTGTTTTTTTTTTATTTTAAATTAAATAAATGTGTTAATATGAAATAAATTTTGAATACAGCAATCAAATTGTTTTCTTATTTTCCCATATGGAAGGCATACGGCTCATTCCATATACGAAACACGCGGTTCCGCAAAAAAAATGCTTCCATTATGCTTCCATATAACTTGCATATAAGATTCCTATGATATCCACAGCCGTTCCACTATGCTTCCATTGTGCCTATGCCGCCGTTTATCTGTGATAGCGAAACACGCAGTTCCTCCGATTAAAAGAACATATCTTTCGACAATTTTTCTCCAAATATTTCGCATAGTTTCGCCGAACACGAAAAAAATCCCTGATCCGCTCGATGAGCTTGCTAAGTATTTTTATATTTAAAAAAAAAACAGTCATAGTACGCGTTGCGGCTTGCGTGCGGTCATGTGATATTTTTTTTTCACCAAAAAAATTTTTACCAAATTTAGTGAGCTCCATTGCAGAAGGAATTGGTTCCAATAACTTCGGAATATACTCATCATCACAATTTTCAGAAATTATGGCAGTCCCATGGAAAAAATTCGAAAATGTTACAAAAATTATTTTCTTAACACGTGGCCGCACGCGAACTGCAAGGTCTTTCAGCGACTGTTAATGGTAGGCGATTTTTTTTTTCGGAGAAACGACCAATAGTTTAATGAAAACTAAAAATTTTTATGTAGGAACTCCCATCATTCTCCTTATAAAACAAAAGTAATTAAACTAATTGCATTGACGAGGGCGTCTTAAATTCGGATTTTTGCAGATTTCAAATACACGTAACGAATCGTATTAAACAAAATTAATCCGCAACGCGAGAAAGGAAGAATGAGACGCGTTACGCTCAATTTTATGAAATTGCATAATAGATTTTTAGCGAAAAATGACCAAAACATAAATGATACGCGAAAATTGACCCCTACAGAGTGTATTGAGCGTTGTTTGTTTGCAAAAATATTGCCGCCCTGAACAAAAAAAAAGATGGCAACATAGTTCAGAGAGAACAAAAGATCATCTTTTGGAATCGACGTTGTCAACGAGAGAGAGAGAGGGAGGGAGAGAGAGAAGGGGAAAATTATTCAAAAACAAATTGCACCCAAAATGTGAAAATCGATGGCTTATTTACTCGCACCTGCAAAAGAAAAAAGGAGAATCGATTCGGAAAATGGGTTGAGATAGGGACTCGTGTGATGATGTCTTTACTGTTTGTCTGTCTGCTGTTCAAACAGAAAGTTTCCGTTTTTGGGAAACTGCGAAAAACAATTTGCAGATCATATCTAAATGGTCACAAATCGTAAACTATTCTTGCGAGAGATCGAAATTCTCATTTGGGATTATTTTTGAAGCGCTTTGCGGATGAAATTTATCAAATATTAATCTTTACTATCATTATCACAATTTGCAAAATAAAAAAAACGCTTAATTCGTCATAAATTTATTTTAGAAAAATTTAAAGAAAAGAATAATTTCACAACGTTCATTGACAAAACGAGAGGTACTTTTCGACATCTGTTTTCTATTACTATCTTCTCTTCTCATATTTTTCCCCAAAAAAGCAATAATGTCGAACATTGTTCAGATCGCGAAACACGCTGTCGCCGACAACAACCTCAACCTGCCTCGCCTTTTCTATCCAGTCCGATGTCAAGTTTTCGGCAGCTTGAACATAGGCGCTCTATAAAAGTCGATGAACAGATAGGTGGGCTTCAGTTAGATTGTTAGCGATTTATTGCATTCATATCGAGTTTTTTTTTTGGTTGCAGAATGGTTCAAGCCATCGTAGGATTTGGAGCCGCGTGCGGTTTCGCCACCATTTTGGCGTGTCTCTGGGCTGGAATCGTCATCACCAATGACATCAACTCGATGTACACTGAGGTTATGGAGGAGCTCGGATCCTACAGAGTAATCCATTCATTCTGTTTTTCTCAAAAAATCGTTATAATGTGATTTTAGGATGTCTCTGATGACACCTGGGGAAACATCCTCGACGTGCGTCGCGGAGCCGGCGAAAGCGCTGAGGAGTACGTTCGCGGAATCTTCGGACGCCACAAGAGATCGAACAGCCAGTGCAGCTGCGGACTCCCAAGCCAGGGATGCCCAGCCGGACCACCAGGAAATCCAGGAGCTCCAGGAGAACCAGGAGCCACCGGACCAGACGGAAAGAACGGACCACCAGGACTTCCAGGACTCAACATCCCAGTTCCAAACGACTTCCCGAAGGATTGCATCAAGTGCCCAGCCGGACCACCAGGACCAGACGGACTTCCAGGACAGGAAGGATTCCAGGGACTTCCAGGAGAGCCAGGAAAGCGCGGAGCCCCAGGAAAGGACGGAGAGCCAGGACGTGTTGGAGAAATCGGAGACCAGGGAGCCCCAGGACAAGACGGACAACCAGGACAGCCAGGACCACCAGGACGCGACGGACTCACCGGAAAGGGAATGCCAGGAATGCCGGGACGGCCAGGACTTCCAGGACCACGCGGAGAGCCAGGAAACAACGGAAATCCAGGAGAGGATGGTGCTCCAGGAGCTCAGGGACCAACCGGACAGCCAGGAAAGGACGGATTCAACGGAAACGATGGAACTCCAGGACAAGCTGGACCACAAGGAGCCGTCGGAACCGACGCCGAGTACTGCCCATGCCCAGAGCGCAAACGCAGACGCTTGTAATTCTCAAATTCGTATTTATAAATGCATTCATCATAAATCATTTTACACAAAACCCATTAGACACATAAGAATATACCCATAAATAACTCGTAGATTTTCAAAGAAGAACGACAATTCTATTCTGGCTAATCATCTAGAAAACTTAAAATCTTAAAAACCTATTCAAAAGAAGCGTGTTAAAAACGTTTAGTGGCATGCGTCGGTTTGGAACGAATCGGCAGCTTCAATGTCGACATTGCGAAGTTGAAGGACGGCGAACAGCCAATGACCAAAACCGGCGCCAAAAATCACAGCCAAGGCTAGACACAAAAAATAAATCCGTGAGATTCGGAACAAAGCAACTTACTCAAATAGACGTTGTAGGTCATCACAATAAGCATTAGCCAATAAGCAAGGATTAATTGGAAAATGTAGAGGAAAGCTTCCATGATGCGTTCGATAGCGAAAGGCGAGATCCTTAACAAAATCAAATTAAAATTATCTCTATAATATCTTTTACTTTTTCGTCGGTACAATTGATGTGATAAAGGGTTCTCCTTGTTGGGTGGTGATTAATTTGCTATGAGATTGTGATGTATTTCTAGAGCTCGCCGTTTGTGTCAACGGAGCTCGAGCTCTAGGAGTTTGAAGTTGAAACTCGATGCAGGAACGATTCGCGAGAACATTGTTATTGGCCTGCGATAAAAGGTACATTCTGAACCACTTGACTCCTTCGTATGTGGCGCCCATCACGAAGATTGTGATGCATGAGAGAAGCATGCCAACAGCGGAATCCGTTCGCCAGAAATCGAAAAGGATAACCTCATCAGCGCCGAAGTGGAACCACATTTTCATCATATGGCCTATATGAAATTTGTTTTCTTTTCGCAATTTGATTGTCATTTAGCACCTTCATGATGCATCTCTTCGTGTTGAGTGTGGTCGTGCGAATCGGCATGATGATTGTGCGACGAATGATCATCATGGGTTTTGTCTTTATCACCAGCCAAATCATTTAAAAAATCAGCAACATCGTTTTTATAGTTAATCTGAAATATTTTTACATTATTGAATAAAGACTAAAGACAAACCTCAACAGCTACTACTAACGTTACAATAGCCAAAAGTAAAACTACTGGCATTAGGTTACCCATGATTCTGAAATAAGACAGGATTGCATCATGCATGGATTTATCAATATCAAAGATTACGTTGCAATTATAATTATTTTCTACTATTTTACAACTATTGAAATGGAATAGAATTTTGAATTTCAAAATCTGTTTGTACATATGGTCTTTCTTTCAGATTTAATTGATGGCAAAAAGGGAATATCTTATGAATTGAAATATTCACGATTTCTCAAAGAAACAATCTCTTTAAAAGTCAATCATATAAATAAGGTGTTTAAATTTCATATTTTAACCGTAAAAGTGCCTTGAATTTTTTACATACTTCGAAAAAAAAAAACTCAAAAACCTCAAAAAAAAAAACGAGCAGAAAAAATGATGTGCATTTAAAAGAAGTGGTTCATTGCGGCCAGTACGCAAAATCTTACGCCTTTGTTTTTAATATTCTTGTTTTTTTTTTTTAATTTCTCTATTAATTAATTTAAACTTTCAGCAGATGGATGATACCGAACAGCGATTATTAGAAATTGAATCACTTGCTTCCATTTTCCCCGATTTACTTACGTCTACAAGTGAAACACAATTAATATTCGACTTCGATAAAGACATGAAATTAACTATTGTTTTGCCCACAGATTATCCATCAAAGTAAGTCGAAAAAGCGATATTTTTTAATAAATAAATTATTTAAGATCACCTCCAAGTTTTGAGCTGAGTGGCCCCTATTTAAAGCCACAAGAACGCCATCGCCTTCACGATTTGTTAAACAACGCTTATCTAGAAAACATCGGATTTCCTATAATTTTTAACTGGATAACAATCATTCAGGATTATCTAAGAGTAAAAAATTCAAATATTCGTTTAATTATATATTTTTTAAGGATAATGAATATGCTGAAAGTGCTTGCAGCTCTGATGTCCAAGATAGTAGTGTGGAACCGACTGAACCTGACACCACGGTTCGTTTTCAATTTTCTTTTATTAATTAGAATATATGGTTCAAATTAATTTAGGAAGAAGATTTCATGAAAATCAAACACGGCGAGGTATTGAGCGATAGGAAAAGTTACTTTCAAGCGCATCTTTCCGAAATATCATGTAAAGAAGATGTGGATCGAGTAATGAGCATATTAAAATCGAATTCTAAGATTAGGAGGGCAACGCATAACATTTTAGCATATCGATATTCAAAGTACACAAACGGGAAGGAAATAAAGTAGGATTGATATCGGAATTTAAGATTCATAAGAGATTCCCTATTCAGGTATCATGATTGTGAAGACGATGGCGAAACAGGTGCCAGTTCCAAGATGCTCGAATTAATGGAGCGGATGAAAGCGAATAATGTGATGGTAATTAATAATAGGCAATTTTCTAATCGATTCAAGTAATTAAGGTTGTGGTTACCAGATGGTACGGTGGTATTCACCTCGGACCCGATCGTTTCCGTCATATTAACAATTTAACTCGACAGATTTTAGTAGATAATAATTATGGCACAAAATCTAACAAATAACTTTTTTCTAAAACTATTATGTTTAATATTATTGTGTAATTATTCTCTCGTTTAAAATTGTTTTTTTTTTTCATTAATTCTAGAAATAATTTGTATTTTTGTGTGACATTCCCCCCAAAAATAAAAAATTGCTCATTTCTTATCAAAATGCAATATTTGGTTGACCTTGGCGCTAAAGAAAATTCGGAATATTTGGTTTGTCGCATTGGTCGTTGAAATTTCGACAAAACAATTTTTAGATATGCTCAAATATCCATGTAGTTATTGCATTTTTCATGTATTTGGTACAATTTTTTTTTGAAATAATTTTTAAAAATCGCATATTTTAGGTTATCGATTTAACAATATGCTTGATTTCACTTTTAATCGACACATTTTTCACATTTGTGACCAAAATTTTTCGGCTGAAAATCGGAGAATTCGAATTTCAGGCGTATGAAGCCCGATTTACACCATGGATTTTTCTCAATTTTGTTTCGATTTGCTTTTTTCTTTTTGGTGTCAATGGAATTGCCACAGTAATTCAGAAATATCGTTGTAAAAAATTCAAAGCCGATTTTGTTTTAGGAAAGTCATGTCTCTTTATTAATGTATATCGGGCGTTTAGCGACCCTTTCAATAATTTCAGTTTCTCGTTTGACGTACTCCTCAAAAATTGCTTCTAATCTTATCAAATCAAATGTTTTTTTAGAATCACAGTCCACCAATTTCTTGCAACTGAAGCCCCTGGAGCCGAAGAAGCCGTATTTTTGTTTCTAATAATCCCGGTTTTCATCTATTCGACTGGAATTTTCGTGGCGATGCGAATGTTTACCTACGCGACAACACGTTATAGGTGAAAATTGCCCAAAAACAATTGAATATAATCCTATTTAGGGGATTTTATGATGTTGATGAAGGATTGCGGGAAGAATTGAACAAGTTTGAAACTATTCGATGAGATTTGCGAAAATTGCTAAATTTCAGACGAATCGCTGAACAAGAAGAGATAATCATGCTTGGAAGCTGAATACTTGATTTTGTTTCATTTAATTTATTTAGAAATATATAAACATTTTTTATAAAATCCCATTTTACAGATTTTTAATATTACAAGATTTTAAGATGCAAGCTTTGACTTGAGACTTTCCTCGATCAAACGCGACTTTTGATATTCTTTGCGAATATTCTTCAATTGATTTCCTAGCATGATTCTCAGCACGTTTCTTTCCTTGTAGGATACTCCAAATGTTGGTTTCAGCTGAACCTCTAACTGATCAATTGAAGATTGTAGTTCGTTTATTTTTGTGGACAAATTATCTCCTAAATATTTTAAAACTCAAGTTTCGAATAAATATGAGAAGTGGTTACTTTCTTTTTGAAGATCTAGAAGCTCATTTTGCAATTCGTCGGCTTGAGCACTGACAGAAGGGAACGACTGAAAATATGACTTTTAAATTTGCGGAATTATTTTTGGAATTACCAGTTGATTGAACAGCTCTAAAAGAGCTGTATAATTGGCAGCAAACCGTTTTTCAAGATTTTTGAGTTCTTCGTCGTCCAGAGTTTGAAGGTGGTTATCGTGCGCATCCTTCAATTTAGTTTCCCATTCTGATCTATCTTTTATCAATCTTAAAATTTTATTTATGCCTAAATAAATATATATACAAGTATTTGGCTCAATTACTTTGACTTTGAACATTTCAAGTTGCATAACTCTTTTTCGAGGACTGCTTTTTCAGCTGAGACTCGCCGTTTTTCTTCGATTATTTTTTTGTCGAACGCGGCGTCGTTTAGATTCTCCCAATTATCTGAATGATGGAGAACATTTTCTTCCGAATGCATCATAAACCAATTTGAAACCTGATGCAGATTCTGAGGCTTTGTCGTTATTTGCATTTCGTTGTTCATCGGCTCGTTTTTCTAGAAACGCCAATTTGAATATTGGGAAATCAAAGATCAGCTCACGGTTTTCAGATTTCACGTTTTCCAGAAGGTCGTGCCCAAAAGTGATGAAAGACTTGAAAAAGTTTTCAGACGTCTCTGAATTTTTATTAGGAGGCATCTGAAATTTTAAACTGAAGATTGAAAATAATATTGGGTTAAATTAGTTTATTTGCAAAAATTATGAAAAACAAAAATTTTAGAAGACGCATTTACAAATAAGTTAAGTGGTCTTGTTAGGAATTATAGCTACAGTATGCCATGTTTTTGTTTCCAGAGAATCTCTCTTTCAGATTTGTTATCGTGCTGCAACTTTTTTCAATTTTTATGAAATTTGAGTTTATTATGAGTTTATTATATAATAAGAGTAGTTTATATATCTATTGCTTTTAGATGGCCGGGAGCACTAGCCAACCGATGTTAGAAAAGAGTAAATCACTAAAATTGGTATTTATGAGGAAACTTTTTTAAACTGTAAATTTTTTTAGAAACCATGGGAACACACATTCCCCAAGGAAATAGACGAAAAGAAGAATTCAAAAGAGTTTGTCTACCGATTTTTAGCACTGTCAGCCGCAATGATTCTTGACAAACGTTCATCTCTCCATGAGTCAACTTTCAAGCAGAGAGTAATTGGTAATTTTGTCATTGCGTTTTATTAATACCTAAATTCTAAATTAAGAAAGTATTCGAGTTCCAACATTTGATGACACAAATCCTCATGGAAAACGATTAAAAAAGAAATTGGAAGCACTGCGTCATACAATTGAGGTTTTTTTTTCAAATTTTTATCAGTTGAAACAAATTTGCGTTTAGAATGAGTATCTTCAAGAATTCGCTATAGTAATTTATCGCATGCCTGATGAAGAAGATGTTGTCGAAGTGTTCTCATTTAAAATTGCTTATAACAGCGACAATATTACGAGTGTTTCTCTTGATAGGTGCCAACTAAAAACATCTTTCTTTTTTTTTTAATTTTTTAAACGATTTTCAGTGGAATAGGTACGCAGGAAACTCGCAACCGGCTTCTTGAATTTCAATTCAAAGGATTAGAGCAAACAAAAACCAATTTTACTGCAATGATGAAGCGTTTACATAAAATGTTAAAAAATCTGAATGATTTGAACAACGAAGAATTCGATTCAAGCTTCAGAATTGCGTTCACAGAAAGTAACCGAGTAAAAATGTGATTTTGTGCATTCAAAATGTTTTAGAAACGCCTAATGATTATGTACCCGAAGGCTTCATGGAATCTGATAAGTTTTATTCGATTTCGGATCCCAATATTGCCACGATTGGCATGATTGGAGCAGGATTCCAACGGTGATTTCACAAATTTCATCTGAAACCTAATTCACAAAAATTTCCAGTGTTCAATTGTTAATGTGCTCGATGCTGCTGAAACGAGGAATCGACTTTAATTCGACGATGACATCTTTAGATGAGTCGATGATGGTTCCGGTGGGGATCATTCAATCTTCTCATTCGATTCAATGAGTTTTTAGAAGCCAAAACAGTCTATCGAGAGAGCCAAGCAGAAGAAGAAAATCGAAGAAGTACGAAGGAGATATGGAATGTGCGATTCGCTAGAAACACCTTTGATGAGACAAAGAGATACACCACCACAACGGAATATAAGAAATCGAGACTTCGTTTAATCTTGTGAATATTATCGTGTAACATGCATTATGTAATTTTTCGAAACTGGTACCATTGTTTAGTTTTTTTCTTTTTAATAAGTAAAGTTTTACGTTGAAACCCAGTTGGAGTCGCGTAATCTGAATCCATGCTCGACATCCTTTGCATTCATGTTCCTTCCCATTTGATTAATGAAATAATTTCGAAATTCTTGCTTGAAGGGTGTATAAAAGAATACGAATGTTCCACTGTTTAGAATACAAACATAATGGCGAGTTTTATGCAAATCGAGAAAAGCCTCCCATTCTCGACAACATAATCGCCGTGTCGCCCCTCTAATGCATCCAAATACGCGCGAAAAAAAGCTTTCAGAGCATACAGCAGACATATTGAAGGCATACATGCACAGACCTTTCTTGGTTTTTTTTCTCTTCTCCACTCATTGCGCGAGCCTCCAGGAGGCCTATGATTCGTAGTCGTCGCCCCGCCGCCGTCGTCGTGGTTTTTCTGCGCTCGTCATTTTTTCGCCGTGCTTTTGCCAACTCGTATGCGTCGAGCTCGCGCCGCTGCTTCTATTACAGATGAGAAAAACGAGAGCGAAAGAGAAAGCCAGAATCGATTCGAAGACGTCGAGGAGGAGGAGGAGGAGGCGAGTGCTCGCGTTTTCTCCATTTTTCCATTTTTTGTGCGTGTGTGTGCAAAAAGGGGAAGACTCGCGCACTCTCCGCACCCCTTCGATCAGAGCATTGCTTTACTTTTTGCTCTCCGCCGTCGCCAACCATTTTTGGCACGTCATTTTTAAATTGCAATTACACATAAACGGTTTTATTATATCTATTTTCTCTCTCTTTTTTTTGCCAAAAATATAAATTTCCCACGACACCCTTTTTTTTGTGGAGTAAACGAGGAAATTTGACACCATTTCTGACATCATTGTTCAATCAAATCCGCTACCGTAATCCATTCATTTTAAAGGCGCAATCCCATTTTGTTTCAGATGGGCGAAATTACACCGAAATGGCGGCGATTAGACCGAGTGCTGGCGTTATTGGCAATTTTAATGGTTCGTTTTAATGGAAAAAAAGGCACCCAAATGAAAATACTGGGGTTCAATTAGATGGTTAAAAAGTTTTTATCGGAACAAATCAGATGGATCGTGAGTTTCTTATTAGCATAATATGATAATATTGTGCTTCGGACAATTTGCTTTTCGCTTCATATCCAGATATTTGGGCTTATGGGGCTTGAATGATTGCCTCGATTTTTCAAGCGGTGACACATTCGTTCAGTCACCGGAGATTGGCAAGACATATTGAGAAGGCGAGAAATGAGAATACAATAAATGTACTTGAAATTGTAGGGTTCAAACTACAATTCTCTTGGCAATAATTCAAGGGAACGAGTATTTCATTGCTCTTTTACTATTGAATAATTCAAACATTTGATTTTTTTTTTTCATTAAAAAAACTATCTCTTATCAAATCATAAATATTAACTAAACTTTTTTGCAATTTTGAATAGAGTTTCGAAAAATTAATTTTAGCCGTTGAGATTTTCTTGTTCGCCTAGGTTATTTATAAAAATTCTTCTCGGGAGATAATTAGAAATTTTTGTACCAAACCCAATTGTTTCGTTATTTCAGATTGACTCCACGTCGGCGGTGAAATGCTTCGATTGTGTTGGAATTGATTGTATGGGAAGCTTCTGCGAAGGCGATTATTGCATGGTGTCACAATATGCGCCAAGATGGGGATCGGTTCGATGGGGTGAACCCGAAATTGTCAAAGTAATGAGCGCTCTCAATTAGCTGATTCATTATTAATTACAAACTCTTTTCAAGGGATGTGTGAGCGGCAAAATGATAAGCAAAGATATTCGCGATCATTGCGAGTGGGCTGAAGACGCCGAGGTTTGTTTTTCCCATTTATGCATATATTTAATACGAGTCATAATTAATGCACAGGAACCATTCACGTGCTTCTGCAATGGAAAAGATTTGTGCAATTCGCCGAAAATGATAAGGCGATTTGAGAAGGAAAATGTGGAATTGGTAAGAATCTTCGGTTTGATGATTACATTCAATGAATTATAGGTTCGGTGCGTCTGCAAAGGATCGCATTGTCGAAATGACAAGACGTGTCTTGGCGAGTTTTGCACGTACAACATCAATCATCGAACGAAAGAAGTCGAGCAGGTTTTGGGGGCAAAAGAAAATGGCCAAATATAGAACTATAATTGAATTAAGGGTTGCTCGAATGCGTCGGTGCCGCTTGTCGAGCGGCGCGCGATTGGCTCTTGCATGGCGCCGCCAATCACTGGCGCCATGCACCATAACGTCGCCAAAGACGCCGCGTCGCTTCTTGCCGTTGAGGCGTGCGTGTGTGGAACGGACTATTGCAACAGCGAGAAGCCGGCGCCAAGTGTTCCGGAAAAAGAAAAATGCGCGGCTTACGTTGAAGTGAACTCGATGGGAACTAAAGTAGCGCAAATCGGAATCGAAATTAATAATCGTATCTTCTTTTTTGTTGCAGACTCAAAGCAAAAATATCACTTGTAAAGGAGAATATTGCTTCAAGACCACAGTGAAATCGAAAATTGGAGCTCTGGCAGGATACACAACCTATGGATGCGCTTCTTTCACCGGAGAAGACGAATTACCAGAAGAGCTTGATCCCACTGGATGCGCGTATTTTAAATCGGAGAAATTGGAAGTCAAAACTTGCTATATGGTAGGTTTTTTTTTTGAACCACGGATTTCGGAGATGTTGAAGCGTTTCAAGACACTCTTATTCAATTTTCAGACGAAAGACAAACAGGCGATTGGTCGAGCACTTGCGTTGAAGCAGGTTCCCGAGAGTAGTGCGCCAGCAGCGCGGAAGCCAGGAAAAGGCGGAAGGCGGAAGCAGCAGCGCGAGGATGAGATGGATGATGAAGAGGATGATGTTGAGGAAGAGGAAGAGGAAGAGGAACCGGTAAAGGAGAAGAAGCCGCCAAAGAAGACGAAAAATAGCGGAAAAGAGGACAAGCCTGAAAAATCGAGAGAGAGCAAGGAGGAACGAAAGAGTCAAGAAGTCGAGGAAGAGGATGATGAGGATGAGGATGAGGAAGAGCCGAAGTCGAAGGAGGAAAAGGCGCCGATACGAGCGACAACAGTCAAGTCATTCATTTTCGAGAAGCCCACTCAACCACCGATTCCTGATGATCGAAACACTACAATGGTAATTAATGGAGCCAATTGAACGAACCCATAATTAGAATTTAATTAATTTAGATCACGGTATTCGTTTTGCTCATTCTTTGCATTTTGGGCTCCGGAATTGTTATCAAATTCGAGCTTCATAAGAAGCTGAAGCGAAGCAGCTACGACACAGTAGCCGGAGGATAATTGATCAATTAACTGGATCTCGTAATTAGCACATAATTTAATGTCTAGATGGTTTTCGGTTTTTATTAATTATTAATAAACATATATAACCCACTCTTCTCCAAATTTCGCACTAAATTTCACTTATGTAAAAAATGTAAATGAAATATTTACATTTTTAAACCCCCCCCCTATATTTATCCAAAAGTATTTAATTCGATTTTTTAACTTACATTTATATATCTTATATCTTCGTATTGATCTCACCACGTCCAATTGCAATAATTTCCATATTTAACCATTTAATTTATTTGCCTTTTAGAGTTTTTCACGCAATAAATTTTTTTTAAAGTTTTATCAAGCATAAAATTCAACAAAAACAGACAACAATTTTGGTGGAAAAGGGTTTTAAAAATAAATGAAGAGCCTTTATTTCGAGACTGTTGTTGTATCTCGCATTTGGATTGTTCGCAATTGACGTTTTTTCGTCTTTTTCAATTTGTGGATTTTTGTAATTGCTTGCACAATTTCACCCTTTCGCTCATTTTCAAGTCGCCGACGCTCTTGCTCCTTCTTGCGTTCGATTTTTTCCTTAAAAAAAATTCAAAAATGAAATGTTTCGAGATGAATTTACTATTATTTTTACCATTTTTTCCTGTTTCTGCTTTTCACGAATTTCGTTTTCCAGAAGTTTCACTTGCTCTTTCTTTGCTCTCATTTGCTGTTTTTTCTCCCAAGATGTCTTCAATGGCTTCACTTTTTTGATAGCAGAATGCCTATAATGATAGTTATCAGAAAAAATAGAGCATTCTTAGCATTTTTCAATAAAATCAATTTAAATAAATTTTTTCAACTCACTTTTGTGTTTGCTTCGACTTCCACCACCGATTTGATTTACATGTATCATTTAATGTTGAAAGATCAGTCGGCTGTTTACTCGTAGACGCCATCTAAAACGTCACTTGAAAAACAGAGTGAAACTTGAGAAAAACAATAAAGTGGGAAAAACAGAGAACGCGAAAAAAAAGAAAAAATATGTCATGGCCGAGAATTCTGACTGCCGGCCGCCCAGATAAATCGGCCGTCGAATTTTCTTCAACTTCTGACTTTTAATTTTTCACCAATTTCGAGAATTTTAAAGACATTTCGAAATAATTTTGAAAGAAATTTAACTATTTAAATATATAAACGCTTCAGCAATATGCCAACTCAATTCATTCGCAATCGAAGTGCATTTCCACAAAGTAGTGGAGATGATTTTAATTACAATCAACCGTTTCATCAACCTGACGAAGGTTTGCCACATGTCCAACCTAAATTAATAATTTTTTGCAGAACCAAGACTTCAACCGATGTCATCTGCAGCTTCGGCATATTCAGATTGTTTATCACCGCCGTTGATATCCGGGAAACCAGCAAATGATCCTCTAGCCGGTGCATTACTAGGGTTATCCGAGTAAGAAGAAATTAAAATGAAGCAGTCCAACTCGACTTCAAAATTTAGCGTAATCACCAAATCTTTAATTTCCCATCCTTGTGCCGTACTTCGACGACAATGCCAAGTTCACCAATTCGCCAATAGCCTTCACCTTACACCCGTTACTCTGGTTCCAGTTATGTGTAATGCTGTAGCCAAGGAGGTTTGTAATATTCTGAAAGAAAAAATTAATAAAATATGTTTTTAAGGGAATTCAAACATTTTGGAAAGGCGCTATTGGATCAAGTGTTCTATGGGGGCTAGCGAATGTCACCGAAATCGTTCTTGGAGATTTACTTGGTCTACCGAGGTTGATTTACATTTCGGAAATTTAATTACATCTTGTGCAATTTAGAACGTTTGTGATAAACGGAAGCTCGGAGAAATATTACAAGCATATAATACTGAAAGCGTTAGTTTAAATAAGTTCTTAAAACGTACAGACGTTCTTGTTTTAGAACAACTTTCTTGGTTATGACTCCATTCTATGTTTCATCATTTATTGAAACTGTCAGGGTAAGCCCGTATAAAATTCATTTTCTCCAACATTCAAATTTTTTTAAGAGCGAATCTGGAATTGGCGCCGATGATAGCCGAGTTCTCGACGTTCTTGTAAGAGGAGTTGATCGAATGCGATACTTCTTTAGTTCGGGCCGGGACCCTTCGAAGAAGTTTTCGATTCTACATCTAGCACTTCCAACAACCACTTTTCAGTAAGTTTATCTTAATTTTTACGATTTTCCAACTCGTCATTACAGATTGTCGCATTATATGATCCAGTCAGCGCTTTACAACCAATTCCATAAAATGGCAAGAAGATATGTGGCCAAGAAGCCGGCATCGGAGAGAACAGCTTATCACAACTTCGTGCCGCAGCTTTTCGCGCAAATTTCTTCGCTTGTTGTTACAGATGCCATTCTATATCCAATGGAAACTGTGCTACACAGAATGTACATTCAAGGTAATTATTTGAGTTTCATCGAACCAATTGAAATAATCAATGACAGGCACAAGAACTCTCATCGACAATATGGACACTGGACTCTCTGCGGTCTCCATTACAGTCAAATACACTGGATTCTTTGATTGTTTCAAACAAATTTTAGAAAACGAGGGATTCTGGGCACTTTACGCGGTTTCTATTTTTCCATTTATGGAAATTATTGACAATTTTTGCAGGGTGTTGGCGCCGTTTTCTTGGAATACTTGCTTCATTCTGGTCTTCAGCAGCTCGTCCGCGCCTGCTTCGACAGAGGATCTGAATTGCTGCGTAAAGCCGCCGAAGGGCATCCGTTGGCGCAAGCACCGCAATTGACCCCGCCAATTTCGACGAAATCAAGCTTCAATGGTAGATTTTGGGATTTTTCATTGCAAATATGAAAAGGACCAAAAATGGAAGTGAAAAGTGAATGAATAGCTAAAAATCATCTATTTTTCATCCACTTTTAAACAATTTTTACCCCTTGTTGCAGTGTTTCAAACAATAAAAAAAAATAATTATAGGGCCAATGTCGGGCCCATTCGTCCCGAGTCTGTCTCCGATTGCGACGCCAAGAAAAATCTCGACGACTCCACCACGCGACCCGACCGAATTCCCAACATTTGGTGAAACCGTTTCACAAATAAATTCGCCATTTCAAACGCCGCCGTATGGCACATCAAACCGGCCGAATATTTTTGGAAGTCCGCCAAACAGGTCGATTTTTTGAAATTCAAATAATATTGAGAATATTTTCGCTGCAGGACCCGTGCCTACGATCCATCAATGAATGAACCACTAATGCTCAACATCAAATCAGAAAACCCATTTAGCGGTTAAAATATTAATCAGTCCTCATTGTCACCTTTTTTAAATACCGTTGATCGGTTTTATGATATTATTTAATTGCCGTTTATTATAGGGTAGAATCCAATAACAGTTTTGTTTGATTTAGCAAGCTTCATTAATTATTCTTATCAAGGGGACACATTTGGCGTCGAAAATGCGAATTAAAATCCTAAAAATGGGTGTACGGTGTACTAGTCCGCAAACACCGATTGAAGTGTTTGCACCAAAAACGCTTCCCATAGGCACTATCGCACCATTTCTTCGCACATTTTTGGCGTTTTTGGACATTTTCATTGTTCATTTGTTCGTTATTTGTGTCTCCCAATTGTTTGCACATTCATTTATCCGGTTAGGTCATGGTTTCAATAAATCCATTTAGCATTTTTATTGCGTAACTGAATTTTTTATAATTGTCAATTGGTGTCATTCCACTGCTCGTATTTTTTCGAAACAGTTGCCAATTTACTCTTATCCTTTGGTTTTGCAGAGTTAACTCGTAGGATATCGAAATGGGAGATAATTGGGGTAATAATTTACGCGTTTAGGCGTTTATTAATAATTGCGTAATTTAGATGACGATGATTTTGAGCCGGAGGTTTCGACCCTCGTTAGGCCAACCGAACCCGAACCTATTGTTGTTAAACCGGTTGATCTAAAAGAGAAGCCGAAAGCTGCTGTCCCACCAAAGAAGGCTCCTGCATTTGCCATGGAGAGCCTTGGACGCGAACTGACGGCCGCTGAGAAGGAAGCGATTCAGAAAAAGAACGATTTGAAATTGGCAAAAGAAATGTTTGGTGATGATGGAGGTAAATATTAAACCAACGCTATTTTATTGGTAATTTTGCTATTTTAGCTGATGATGATGCTTCGTATGCTAATATTTCAACGAAAGACGAATTTGAATACTGGGGAGAACGCGTTGGAGGATTCTTGGCCACCAGAAATAAGGCTACCCATTATGGAGATATGGTTGGAAAGTTGCTGATAGCTATTACTGAGAATCGTAAGCATTATATTTGTTATTTTAGTTGAATGAAGTTTTTTTTAGTTACAACCGCTGATATACAGAAAATGAGCAATTTGTTGAAACAAATTTCGGATTCTAAAAAGGCGTCGGCGAAAAAAGATGTATACTAACAGATTTTACGATTTAAAGGGTATTTTATGTTTTTCTTTCAGAAGTCTAAGCCGGCTGCTGTTGCCGCCACAACCAGCACTAAAAAGGGGCAAAAGGCTTCATTGAAGGTCACAAAAGGAAGTGACAACTTGTATGATGACTACGGCGATGATGGTACAGGCCTTTTATATCAAATTCATTTCAAAACGCAATTTTCAGGAGAATATGATGATTATGACGATTTCATGTAGACGATTGATTTCCTGTTGTGTTGCCTTCGATGCCTTTTCTGCGCTCCTCCGGTCCTGTTACCACATACATACCAAATTCTGTTGCTTCCTCTATGATACGATAACTCGTGTTACAATTTTTGTTGTTTTTTTTCGGTTTCTTGTCACAAATTCATCAGATTCTATAATAATTTTTTGTTGAGATCAAATCAAATATTTTCTATTCGCTGATGTGCCTCCTATTACCATTTTGGGATGAATAAAGCGTTATTCGAAAACTGAAGTCTAGTTCGACTTGTTCACTTTTAGTTGATTAACCTAGTCACTTGATTATTTTTGGCTTGCACTTTCTTTATGCTTCATTTTTTTTCTAATCGCTTCAATTTTTACAGTTCAACTTGACAATCGTTGTACAAATATGGATGAGAACAGGTTTTGATACACATTAATTATTTAAATGGAATTGTTTTTGAGTTCTACTTCCAGAGCGACGCCGTCGGACAATTCTGATGATACTGATATGTATGAAGATGGAAAAATTCAAATATTGAGATGTACAGAAGATGATATTGGTAAGGTGGCTAATCATTTTCATAATTCCCAAAAAAAAAACAGCCCTAGAATTTTGATCCATAATTCCGTTTTTAAGCGGAAGTTTGATAGTATAAGGATTCTTCAAAAACTAAGCTGCAGTGGAGAATATTTCTTGTGAGCTTTATGTTTCCTTGATGGTGGAAAGCACTCAAATTCTATTTATTTATGCCTTGCGATCAGAAAAGTAAATAAAAGCAAAAAAATGAACACATTAGTCACATATGATTTTTTATGTTTTATTTTTAGCATTCATGAACATTTTTTTATTGTCGACGTCGCGCGACTGTGGAATATTGGCTAAATGCCATACAAATTTAAAAAAGGTCTTGGTGTGCGTCTTTAATCTATTCTTAGACATGGCCCGTAAATCTACACTTGAAGATTTGCACCAACACTACTATCGTTGTTTTTTTTTTGCCATTTAGCTAATTTCCCGTATTTGCGCGACGCTTGGAGAATGTTTTGATATAAATTTTTTAATGAATATTTTTCTTAAAATTTACCATGAAACAATAATTGGTATTGCTGATTTCAGCGTTACGAATCTCTGCCGAACGTTCACGAGTTCCATTTGATCGAATTACGGAACATGAACTCTCGGCTTTTCCCGAGCTCTGGGGTTCGCGAGCAGGAATTCAAGTATTCCTTCACATTCGAAACACAGCGGTATTCGTTTAAATCAATTATTCACAATCATGTTCGAATCTCCGTTTTTTTTAGCTTCGTTTATGGCTTTCCAACCCAATTGAAGAACTCACAATATGCGATTTAAGAGGAGAAATTCAGCCGCCATTTAACTGTGAGACAACCTCGTTTTTTTTTTCGTTTTGTACAAAATTTTTGATTAGCTGACCCACGCTTTATCGAAAATGTTCATCACTATCTAACAAGAAATGGGATTATCAATGTTGGAAAATACAAGCGAAGCACTGGAATACCTCAAGTTCTAGGCAAACCGGACAAGAAAGTGATTGTGATTGGAGCCGGAATCTCGGGAATCTCTGCGGCTCTTCAATTGATTTCTTTCGGATTCGATGTCACTATTGTCGAAGCAAGGGTAAGAATTTTAATAGAATTTATTAGATTTTGTGACTCTCTTCGGGACCTCGTTTAAAGGCATATATACTCGGCGTCCGGCGACTGCTGTACGCGGGTAGATTTTCGCGCATGCGCCTTGAAAAGGTCTCACCACACATGAATGATTATTTTGCTGTTTTCACGTGAACTGCTTCATTTTTCTTGATTTCCTTAAATTTCCAACGTCATTCGATTAAAAAATTATCGAACCAGTCCATAAAATTTGAAAAAACCTGTTAGTCCTTGCGAGACCATTTCGAAAGTCGCGTTCCCGTAAATCTACCCGCGTACAGCAGTCGCCGGACGCCGACTATATTATAGGTTAGAGATATAAAATGAGATATTTCAGAACCGAATTGGTGGGCGAGTTCACTCAATTGTTCAAGATGGCGAGGTCATGGAAGTCGGTGGCGACACAATAAAGAATTCAAGTAATTCTAGTCATTTTATAATGGTTTTATGCAATACTTTGCAGGATCGAATGCTCTGACTGTTCTCATTCAACAGCTTAATGTTGAGCCATTGGCTGTTAGTGACAAAATTCCCATTTATGATAAAGGAAAATTAGTGGAAGATACGAGAGATCGCTTGATAGCGAATATGTATTGGTAGGGAGATTATTCTATTATTATACCGCAATTTGGGCAATTGACCGATTTCAGCTCGTCGCGAGAAGCGTTGGATGTGATTTGTCATAATAAACCGCAAAAAGAAGGGCCAATATACATTTCAAGGCAAAGGGGTTTTGAGAATATGTTGAAGTATGATTTCGCCTTATTTCGAGCCTCCCATTTTTGTTTTTTTTCAGTCTTGTTGAAAGAGACACGCTGGTTAGTAATTTCAATTATTGGAAAACAAATGTCGAATTATCCGAAAAACGCGAACACTTTTACAAAGAGGTATCGATTATTTAGTGGGGATAGTAAAGAATTGATCAATTTCAGATGAAAAATTGCCGAGAAATCGCCCTTCTTGCTGAGAGACAATTGAATGAGGTTGATCCGAATGATCATTTGTTGAAAAGGTCCATGAAGCGCGATCTGAATATGGCGATTATGGTAGGAATTTGATGATCAAACTGTTTTTCCTTTTTTTATTTAGTGATTCATTTTGCAGAAATTTGAATCCGCTTATAAGGAATATGAGAGCTATGAGAGATGCATATTGAATTATAAGAAGTTTCCGAACAGCAAACAATACATGCATCCGTATGATTATCGTATTTATAATGCATTCCTTGGATTCGAGGAGATTTCGATTGGCGCGCCTTTAGAGAAAGTCCAGTTGTCGTGTAATGCGATTAAGGACCGCCTTCCTGGAGCTAATATACGATGTTCGATTCTCAAAATTTAATTGCCTATTGAAAATATGCTCGTTTTCAGTGAAAGGAGGAATCTCGAACATGTTTGAGCAACTCATTCAAGAAAGGGACATGGATATTCGATTTGAGCATCGTGTCCGAAAAATTGATTATAATGATGATGTGAAGATTACTGTAGAGCATCCGGTGACAAAGCCCGATGGCTCCATTGTCATGGAGACTGAGGAGCTCGAAGCCAAGTATTGTGTGTGCACCTTGCCGATTGGAGTCCTTAAAAGGTGAGCAACTTGAGTATTTCTTTTTTGTTTTAAGTATGATTGATTGGCAGAGTTTTGACCAATGATCCCGAAACTCCTGTGTTTGATCCATTGTTGGATTGTCTTCATTGTCAATCAATTTGCAATATGGGCAATGGATGTGTTAATAAGGTTTTTTATTTGATAATTAAAACAAATCAAAATTGCTCGATTCAGGTTGTTATGCTTTTCGAGCGAGCATTTTGGGAGTCGAATGATAGGCACACGTTTTTCAATGTTCCTGCATCTATGTAATTTTTTTTTAACGGCGATTTTTGAGATTTTTTTTTGTTTTTAGAAGTGGACGCGGCGAATTTGTGTATTTTGAAGCAGTTCCCGAATCGCGAGTTTTGACTACTTATTTAGCTGGATTCTCGGCGGAATCCGATTTGCTTGAAACCGCAATTGTTTCCAAAATTATGACCATTTTGAGCACAATTTTTGCGCAAAGTTGCCCAAAAAATGTAAGAAATTTTGCGATATATTTGAAGAAAATGCCCGCGATTTTCAGCCATTGAAAGTCCATATCACGAAATATCAAAGCGATGTTTTCTCGTATGGAACTGGTTCGTTTATGGGGCTCAAAACTGAAGGTACAAATTATATGAAAACGTTGAAATGTGTTTCACAAATTCGGTTTTTAGAAGATGATTATGAGAATTTGACGAAACCATTGGAAAACAATCATGACGAAAATAGAGTATATTTTGCCGGAGAGCACACATCATTCCAATATGGCGGAACAATGCAGGTGGGCATTGTCAGAATTATATTTAATTAGCGGAAATAAAATGGACTCCTCTATTTTTGCCCTACAAGAAAATGAGTTTTCCCCTCAATATTCGAAGCTAGTCCTGATGTTCCCTTCTTGGGTTCCCACGAGAATTTTGTATTTTTCAGGGTGCGTGGCTTTCTGGACTTCGCGCCGCCAGTCAGATTGCCAGTGATGTATATGGAATCAATCACGCCAATTATGGGGAGGATGTCGAGGTCAATTTTAATTAGTCCCCGTGTGCCCGAAAAACGATTTCGTTTTCAGTTCATTTCCCCGCAAGAATCTCACGATGTCTCAATGGAAAACGGAGTTACTGCATAATTCAATTTACGGCACAAACAAGCATCATTCCATTTTGTATGTAATTTTGATCTCACCATTTCTTTCCTTACATTTATACGAATAAAACACTGAGGATTTAATTAAATTATTGAAATCAATTAACTTCGAATGTATTTTTGCAAGTGAAACAAGAAGTTGAATTGAAGAAGAAAATGTGGTTACTATTTGACAAGATAAATGAAATCAAAATTAATAATGAGTGGCGCCGCTCAATTCTCGAAGTCGTCCTCCTCGATGATGGCTTCTCGACGACGCTGAATTGAAGTCGGACTCATGAATTTGTTGGTGGCATCCAATAAGCTGTCTCGTCGCATGAATGTCGTCACTCGTCTCTGAACACAATATAAATTTCGGATCGACGATATCAATGAATCTACCTTCTTCCTCGCGCTCACATCATCCTCGCCTTCTTCCGACGAGCTACTTGAGCGACTCACGAGTTTTTCCGGTTGCGGCGGCACGTTGAGCTCGTCGACTGTGTAAATCGAGCGGATTGTACGCGATGGAACGCACTCTGAGATAAATGCCATTTTTTTATTATAAAATTTCTAGGGATTACCATATGGATCAACTTCAACGAGTTTCACAGCTTCCGATGATTCTCTCATTTCTCCCGTGATCTCGACCACCGCGTTTTCGGATCGATTTTTGCTTTCATTCTGAAATTAAAACAAATTTTAAATTTGTAACAATTAATCTGAAAATTTCCAACCATGACTGCAACAGCGTCGGTTGTTCTTGATTCCGTTGATTCAATAGTCGTTCCGCAATCAGCGACGATCGAATTCAAGCGTTCCACGCCTCCTTGCGTCTTCTCTTCCAATTGTTTCAAATTCAGAGCATTCTTCTCCTCCAGCTCCTCCGTCGCCGATTTCACACTTGTCACATGATTCTCGACTTGCGTGTTGATTTCCGAACATCCAACTTCAGCCTCATCGCTGATTGCATTCAGTTCCTCTTGCGTCGCCACCTTCTCGGTGTCATTGAATGTTGCCACTTCTTCACCAATGACATCTTCATTCGAAGTCACGACGTCCTGGACGATGCTCATCGTTTCCAACACTTTTCTCAACGATTCTTGATCGTCGATTTCCTGTCGCGAGTTTATCTCGACGGCCTTCTGCGAGGCCATCTGGGCCTTTTGTGCGACACAACCAATGCGTTCAACAAAGTCTTTGCGCAAATTCTCAAGTTCGGCGAAAATGTCGGCACACGGTTGGGCGACTGAAGTTGAAATCTCTTGCCTATCCTTCTCATGACGATCCATGGAATCTGAAATGGCTACACGAAGTTCCGAGAGCTGAAAATAATGAATTTGTTGAATTGAAACAATTTCAATTGAATCACCAAAGGATCAATCTCTTTTCGGAATCCATCCATCGCTTCTTGAATATTGTTCAATCTCGTCGACGCCGTTTCTCCCAGCAAACTCGCCTCTTTATTATATCGTTGGAATAATATCATCAACGAATTCTTTAAAAAAAATGACGAGATTTAAAATATTGTTAAATTCAACTCAATTTCGTACCATTTTAATATTAAGGTCCTTTTTCAAATCCTCATGCTCGTTATTAATTCTCTCAATGGCCTCATTGTGTAGCGTTGTCGACAATTGAGAAAACTCCGAGAAGCGCATTGTAAGCGATTGCGATTCGTTTTGAAGTTTCGACGAGGTCTCGGCAAGAAATTCGCAAGGGATTTTCGAGTTTTCCACAACTTTCTCAACGTTCGCCGTAGATTCATCAGAAAATCTCCGATTATTCTCGAGTAATCTTGTAATCGATGAGCCAATCTGAAACAAAAAAAAAACATTATATTGCGTAATATTGTGGATAAATTCAATACCTTTTCGATATATTTCTCAATCATTCCCTTGTTGTCAACCGCCGCCGCACTCATCGCATCAACTTTTTTCCAATATCGAACCAAGTCTCCTTGATAGTCATCGGCGACATTTCTCATCTAGTAATTCACATTATTCGCTATATTAAATTTTTCAAAATTTTTACATCCTGAAGTTGTGAGTACGTCCGAAGAGCAGAAGAATGCATCTCTTCAAGAGCATCAACATAAATCTTGAGCTCATCGCGAGTATCCGCCAACTCTTTTTCCTTCTCAGCCAAATCTCGAAGACGTTGATTCAATCTATCAGCGAGCTCTGTTTTATGCTCATACAGCTGACGATATTGATCATCCATATGCATGAGATCTTCGGTAAACCGATACAATCGATCGGTGACGGCGCCGAGTTGATCTTCAAGATCTCTAACGCGCTCCATATTACGCTGGAATTCTCTGAAACGGAGGAATTCACAATTTCGAAAAGATGAATTAAATAGCATACTCATGAGATTCTTCGCTGATGATAACCCCATTCTTCTCTCGAGCAGCTCGCAAATCTCTTCGCAATTTTTCAATTTCCTCCGAATATTCTTTGAGGATCGTCTTCTTCGACACTTTCGTATTGCAAATCGGTTTGTTCTTAATATTCGCCGCTCGCATCGCATACTCCAATGTACTTTGGCTCTCCTCGAAATTCGAACTGGCTGGCGACAGTGTGGCTATTAGAGATGTAATCGTCGATCCGCCAAGACTGTCTTGCAACAATCGAGTAAGTTTCGATTCTCTGGAATTTATAGAATTTACTCTCTCTTTTTTTTTTTAATAAAATTCGAAACAAAAAATATACCTGTAAGGAATGTGTTGCGCATTGGTCGTTAGCGATCTGATGACTCTTCCCAATGTCAAAAGCGATTGGTTAATTGATCCGGCCTCTTTAGCACGATTTCCTTGAGCTCCAGATCGTCCAATGTTCTCCGAACCAGCAAGATCCACGAGATTAAGTTTTCCTGAAAAAACATTAACCCTGAATTTCGAACAAAGCAGAAAATCAGACCTTGTTTGACAAGTTCCTCGCCATTCGTTGTATTCTCGCGAATGACGACATTCACCATGAACAAACTATGCGATCTGCTGCTGTGCATGTTCATAAGCGTAGCCGCCGTTCGCCTCTTCTCGGCGCCCATTTCGAGAAGTTTGTAGACATCAGCGCGGTTTCGAACCGGCACTTCCTCGACACCAGAAACGATAACACCCTGAATTGGAATTCTGCTTATTAAATTGTTCTCAGTAAGCGGTGAATACCTTCTTGTTGGGATCATCGAAAATACGCAGCCTCTCGCGATCATCTCCATCGGAATTAATAGCGAGCAAATCGAACAATTCCTCGTTGTAAAGTTCCAAATAGCTGACACGCAGCGAATATTCTTCACAGCCCTGAAATCGTCGTCAAATTTTCTATCAGAAAACGTCGTCGATTTTTACAGATTTTTCCAATTGAAGGAAAATGTCTTCAACGGCTCTCGGAATGATTCCAGTGGTTTCATCTTCGTCTGAAGACTTCGCCTCGCTTCGGCCGCCTTCCATCGTGAACGTTTTTCCAGTTCCGGTTTGTCCGTAGGCGAACACTGTGCAATTGAAGCCGGCTATCACGTTTTTCACTTGCGACGCTACCAAATCCTCGTAAACCATCGATTGGGTCACATCGGGTCCATAGACTTTCGTGAATGGTCCGAAACCCTTTCCTTTGCAGGTTATCGTGAGTTTCTGCTGATCGACCTTCACAATATTCGTGCATTTTTCGTCTTTTTCAGTCTTATTCATAGGCCTAAAAGGGAGGGAATTTCAAAAATAATTTATTTATGAAACAAATGAATACCTGACACGAATTGCGACACGGAGATGTGAAGTAGCTTCGGAAACCTTCTTCTTCGACATGGTCTGATTTCTGAAGGACGAGCAAAATTAATGGAAATTGTAGAAAATATGATATGCGCGTCCGTACGCGTTTTTGAATATTGTTGTTTCGCGCCCCTTATGATAGAGAACTGGGTTATGAGAGACGCAGAGAAATGGTGGCGGACGGCAGACACGCATTTCTAACACGTTTTACGGAAAACTTGCTTATGGGAGTTGGTAATTCAATAGTCCACTTTTCTGGTGATTTCCAATAAAAACCGAAAAAATTACCCATAATCATGTGTAATTGATCCTGCCATTTGGTGATCGTTAATCTGAAAGTATTAAATTTTAAATTTAGAATAAAATGCTCAAAGAGGAATAATACAAAGTCTAGAATACAATTTAAAGAAACAAGAGAATATTAAAACATTTCCCCGCCAACCAAAACACATTTTTCCGAGAATAAAAAAATTAGTCAATATTTTTTACGTAATCGCTTTGAGACCAATTTCACACTATGAACAACTCCCTTGATATGGTAGATTTTTTCTTTGTCTGTTAATTTAATAATCAAATTTATTTTAAATTTTTAAATTGATTTGATAATTAGTTTTTGAAGTTCTATATAGGAAAGAAATGCAAAAACACTTATTTATTCCAATTTGAACATTTCAAATTATCAGTATAATTTTTTTTCCGTTCAGTTTACCTTTCTTATTATATTTATCACTTCATCATTGCAATGATCTCATTTCATAATCACCAATGTTCCAAATGCTGCGAAATCTAGTTCACGTTGGTTTAAATTCAGCATTTCACTCGGTGTTTGCGTCTCTTGCACTTGACCACACGCAATAAGGAACACCGATTTAGTGTTGGCTCATTTTTAGCCATTAATTTTCAAAATTTTCAAAGTTTTATTTCTAATGCTTGTAGGGTATGATTCGGGGCATAAACCCGATATATCAGGCATTACTTGCCGCCTCGTTCACATGGGGAGTAACGGCGCTTGGAGCATCGCTGGTTTTCGTTATGCGTCATCAAAGCAAAAAGTTACTGGGTAAATCCATTTTTAGTTTCCCAATGAAATTATTTAAAGTGAAATATTTAAGACGTCTCGCTTGGATTCGCCGCAGGTGTCATGACAGCTGCTTCCTTCTGGTCCCTATTATCTCCTGCAATAGAAATCGCTGAAACGGATCACGGGTCGTTCGCATTCGTCCCAGTTGCCATCGGTTTTGCCGTCGGCGCGATTTTCGTGCATTTCGCCGACACGCTGCTACCAACGTAAATTTATTTTCACAATTTTGAAAGTTCAATTGTCAATGTTTAGGTGTATATCGGGCGATGTTGCCGTTGTCGACCTTATGGCTCCTCCAGCTCCTCGTTCCGACACAGAAATGACGCTAATGCCCGATAGAGAGGATTTAGACGTCGCCGCTCTTGCAAGGTGATTTTGGTTTTAACCGGAGGCATGAATAACGTTTTAATTTTCCAAAAAAAAAAACAACAACCAAATTTCATGTAATTCGAAGTGGTGTGTAGTTTGTTTTTCTTTTTTTTTTTTCATTATTTTCGGGATTCTCTCGACGCACAAAAAATAGTTGGCATAACACAGAACTCCGACAACGGCGGTCCGACAAAGGCGAAAACTCGCGGCGATGGCCACGAATGGCGCTGAAAGGTGAGAAATAACGAGATGTTCTCCTTTTTGCACCCGACTATTCAATTTCTCATATGGCTTGTTGTCGTGATTTGTTGATTTTGTTGTCTATTCTGTAAAGGGGGATCGTTTTCTCGTTGATTTCTGCACCTTTCTGTGTCACACAACTAAAATCGAATGACGAGATGGCGAATGGCGAAAAATTGCGAGAAATTGCAGATCGGTGAACGAGGACCGAGCAAAAGATGCCGAAAACATTGGAGAATCTCGACCTGACGTCATACCGGTAAGTTTTTTTTTCGGAAAACTCGGACATTTCTTGATTTTGCATAATTCTAGACTGACGCCGATTATCGTCAATCCTGGCGCCGAATCATCCTTCTGATTCTCGCCGTCACCGTTCACAACATTCCCGAAGGTCTCGCCGTTGGCGTCGGATTCGGTTCAGCCGGAAAAACCGCGTCGGCCACGTTTGAATCTGCCTTCAACCTCGCCATTGGAATCGGACTTCAGAATTTCCCTGAAGGTCTTGCTGTGTCGCTGCCGCTCGCCGCATTCGGCCACAGTAAACTCAAAGCATTCTGGTATGGCCAATTGTCGGGAATGGTGGAGCCGATTGCGGCTCTGTTTGGCGCTGCTGCTGTCATCTTCATGGAGCCGATTCTTCCGTACGCGTTGGCCTTTGCGGCAGGTGAGTGGTCTACTTACGTCTTGGAAGCTGCTCGTCATAGTTTACGTCGCGCGAAATTTTTGAAATAATCACAGAAATGCGTGAAGACCCCTTTTTTTCACTCGTGAACAGCTCGCTTTCGATGCTCATTTTAGTTGTCATGAATAAGAAATGAATAAAATAATTAAAGGCGCGATGATCTACGTTGTCGTTGATGACATCATACCGGAAGCGCAACGTAACGGAAACGGAAAATTGGCTTCGATTGGATGTATCGTCGGATTCTTAGTAATGATGTGTATGGATGTAGGACTCGGATAGACGAACGGACCGCAATTCTCTCCATAATATTCCATAAAAATCTGTGATAGAATCGCAAAATAGTGCCAAATTTCCAATAGTTGCAATATTAAAAATGTGCCCGGGGACCTCTTTTTTATTCTCTTTTTGAATTTTTTGAACCATAAATAATTATGAGCCAAATTGGCTGCATAATTTTTACTGAATACTTGTAAAATGAAGAAAAACGCATATTAATGAGAAATTTCGTCATGTATATAAATTATTTATTTATTATTTTATAATAAATATTAATAATTGTCCACCTAATTGTTCGTTTTCAAAGATTTTTCGAATCTTTTGATATCTGATGCCAGTTTTTATTGTCTTTGAAAACGTTTATATTTTCCAGATGCTCACGTCAAGAATTTTGAGATTTCCTCGAAAACCGTTTGTTGATTTTGATTATGCTAGACATATGCCGGATGCTTATGTGGAAAGAATGAAACGGACGGTTCCTAGAAAGGTTTATGGTAACAGGTAAGGCAATTTAAAAAAAAGAGAATGTTTTGATTTGTATGTCTTTGGATGATTTTTGAATTAAAATGAAGTTTATTGATATTATCTTCAAGTCCATTTTTTTTTTTCAAAAATTTTGTGTTTTTCAGATTCATACGTTTAATTGCTATAAAATTTGAATTTAAGCGTTTTCGCGTTTTGTTTCACAACAAATAGAAATCCATTTTCCAATAAAAGCTTTTTGTTTCATTCTAAACTAATTATTGTCAAGGACGGACAAATTTGCGAAATTTGAATTTCGCGGGCTGCCAATTAATTGGCCCCTAAAAATTTATCTAAGAATTTTCCGTCATTTTGCACTTTTAAAAATATCGAAATTTCATAGAAAATTACTCTTTCATATTGTGTTGATTAAATTAAACAAAACTCACGTGTAAGAGTTTTTCCATACGAGACTCAATTCGCATGCTATTGTAATCGCACCCCAAATTCGTTCGTCTTTGACGATATTTAGAGATAATGAAAAAACTGTATAGTTTCAAAGAAATTAAAATAAAAATTCATCGATTTGAAACAGTAAAATTCATTCTAAAATTCCAAATTCAGTATTGTTTAGCAAAAAAACTAAATGAATATCGAAATTTATGTAGTTGATTATAGAAAAATGCAAAATTCCAGATTTGGAGCTCCCGATCTCAAACAAATGTATCTGCATCCTGATGACTATGTGCCGGGATTCAGAAGACCATGGGAAGACCGAGAACTTTCGAAGAATATTGAAAGATCCGACAAATACTTTGGAACGCAGTGAGCATTTTGTTGTCATTTCGAATAAGAATTTTTTTGTCGCATATTCGTAGATTGTCTGGAAAATTCTTCAAGAAGAGATTCGCGCCGTCGAAACGAATGAAGGATATTGATTGGACGTTTTTTCCGGGAGATTTGGTGCAGGTGATGGTCGGAAAAGACAAAGGCCGCCAAGGAATTGTGATGCAGGTTTCGAGGGATACTAGCGAGGTGTGTTCTTTTTTCATTTTTTTTTCTGAAAATTTTTCGAATTTCTTTAGGTTCTTGTTGACGGATTACACACGAAATTGGGCGAAGATATGGAAGGAAGCGAGAAACTTGGCGTCGACAAGACCCTTCGATGGCAGGAACAGCCATTGTCGGTCGAGAAGGGACATGTGATGCTAGTGGATCCGAATGATGAGCAGCCGTGCTCGGCAAGGTTGGTCATTGAGGCGAAGAACACTTATAAGTTTGCATGTTCAGATGGCAATTGAACGCACAAGGTGATGAATATATTAGGATCTCCAATCGAAGTGGATTCGAGATTCCGATTCCATCGCAAGCAAAAGTGACTTATGAGTATTTGCAGCCGGAGAATTATATTGGTAACATTTTTTTATTAGCTGTAGTAATGTTTAGTCGTCAGAAAAAGATTAATGATTTTTACTGTTTCAGGCCGTTTTTATAAGCGCATTATTTTAATGGAATTCCATTATTCCTTACACATATTTCTGTTTGTTTAGAAGTCGAAGGGAAAGACACAACGGCTGATGAGGTCCTGGAACGAACATATGTGCCAAAAGTGATGAGTTTCGAGCAGGAGATCATGAACGAGATGGGAATTGAAGAGAACCGAAAACCGGCTCCGACCTACTGGTACTGAATACATTATATTTTGTTGTTGTTGTTAGGTTAGGATTCATTGTTTTATTTCTTGTTTTGGATCTCCTCGATAAACGTCGATTTATTGCACTAGAAGAAATTCATCACAACTTCGAGAAGAATAAATGTACAGTCAAGTGAAAAATGCAAAATAATTGATAAAGCTTAACAAGATCATTTTTGTTTTGTTTTTGTCATCTATTATTATTATTATTATTAATAATGCTCCGTTTGTATTGTGCAACTTGTGAGTTTAGTCTCGGAGGTCTGAAAAGTTGATGGGTTGATGGGCGATATCTCGCGGCGAAAATTACCGGTAATTGTGAATGTTTGGAATGCGCACGCTGTCTCTTCAAATCTTCTCTAATAAAGCCTGAAAATAATGTTTAAAATTAAAAAAATATATATATAGATTACATGTTAAAAGGGTTCCCAGCAATAGGCAACACGACATTATAATGTTGCTGGTTAATGTTCCGATACTATGCATTACTATGCCCATCAGCCATGTTAATGCTATTCCGAAGATCTGAATAATGGATTGCAAGAATTAAAAAATTGCCGGGGGGGCTCAGCACCTGGGCACTGGCGTTCAGCAAGCCGCTGGTAGTTCCCTCCGCTGCTGGATACGTGATTTCCGCGGCGAACTCGAATCCGATTGGAAGATAGCCGGTCATGAAAAATCTGGAAGATGACGAATTTCATCTGCGGACAATTGATCTTTCGCTCTTATTGTTGCAAAATCAAGCCGGAAGCAATCAGCTCTCATAATTACTATTATGAATAAGTCCAAGTCACATGGCAGCGGAAATAACAACAATACCCGAGAAGGGCGGCATTGACGAAAACGAGGGGCATCGAGTTGAGGTCAATCGTCAGCATGAACGAAACCAAGCCAAGGAAGGAGAACAAATAGACCATGATGGTTGTAAGCCTTGAAAAAAAATTGTGTTTTAGTTAAAATTCGATAATGTCATCAAATTTCACTTGAATTTTTTGAATTTATCGAGAAAAACGCCGCCAACCACACTTCCAACTGTGCCGGCAATGACGATGAGCAGGCCGACTTGTCCAACGGCGACCGTCTCCTGAAAATGAGCGACTCGATCAGTGAATGCGTGATGCGCGTTTCGAACCGTCGGATAGACGCTGAGCACCATTTGCGAGAGAAGTGTCGATATCGCGTAGAAGACGCCGGTGTTGATGCCTGCACAGCTGTTGCGTTTTCAGCGTTTAACGAGCCGCAAATAAACACGTTACCGTAGGTGATAAAAAGAAGGACGAAATCGCGGGATGTCATCAAATCGCGTAGTGTCGACCAGAAGTTGTTGTCGAGCGTTTTCTCTTCGAGTGCGGCCAATTGGGCGAGACTTGGCGGCGTTTTTGGGCGAGCCGAGAAGACTGCAAAAAATCAAAAACGTTTTTTTTTCGAAAACAAAAAAAATATTGAGATTTTATGCGTTCTCCCCAGATTTTGAATTGCCTAGACGTCGATTAAAATGCAAGTCCGCAGTGTTCGTGCCGCGTGATTGCACAAGATATTGTTTGTGCAATCATCTAGCATGAAATTTGCAGACTTTCGTTTTAATATTTCAAGGCAAATTGCAAATTGGTGAAAAATGCCATCGTTTAAAACTATTATTGTTGTTTTTTTGCTATTTTCGACTTACAGCAAATAACGAGTGCCAAGATTGCTGTATTCAGGACTGCTGATCCCAGGAACAATGTGTTCAAATCCCTCGTCACCTCTTTCACCGTTCCATTGCCCACAATCATTGGCGGCAGAACAAAGCCGACGGCGATTCCGACTTGATTGCCGAACACTCCGGCGGCGCAAGCTCGCGAGACTTCATCGGGCCCGAACCAGACGGCGGCGAGTTTCGGCGGAATTCCTAAATAACATTTATTTTTTTTGGAAAACACACAGGCGGTGGAATTTGACGGACCCAATGTGAACATTTGCGAAGCTCCGACGATGGTCTGCCCGACGAATGTCACCCAGAAGCTGTCGGGATGCGTCGAGAGAAGCTTAATCCATGCTCCGATGCAATTGCCCGCCGCGCCGAGGAAAATCGATAGTCGCAATCCGAATTTGTCGAGGAACCATCTGAAATACGCGACTCGCTAATCGGTCCCCTTTCAGTTGTTGGCACTCAAATGTGACAAGCCAACCACCGAAAAGCATTCGGCCATTATTGACATTTGTGTATTATTAGGCTCCTCTCTTCTCGCGACGCGTTGTCACAAAAAAAGCTCTTACTTACATTTTGCAAATATTGTACAAGTGCCAGTATTGGCTTCTTCCATTCTATCTCGATGGGTTTTCAACGAGTTTGCAACGGTTTCGCTCGCCGATGGTAAATGAGACGGATACATAATAAATACATTAATGCGCGATTTTTGACCTACCGTAATCGATATTGGTAAATATATTGAGTGCGAATACTCGAAAAGCGAATTTGGATTTGAAAAACGTTGGTTGTCGAAACGGAATTTTTGAATTTTACACGTTTCGCGCCAGAATTCGAATTGTGGAAATTCGAGCAAAATCATGGAAACACAATTTAAGCAGAAAATCTTGTCCAACTTTTTTAAAATATGAAAATACCATTTGAGGGTAATGTTCACCATGGACTAGTTTTTGTGGCCGTCAAAATTGATTAACGGCGGCCAGCGACTGCTGTACGCGGGTAGATTTAAGCGCATGCGCCTTGAAAAGGTCTCGCCACGCGTTAATGCTTATTTTGCTGTTTTCACGTGAACTTCTTTATTTTTCTTGATGAGTTTGGCATTACTTGGAAATTTTAACATCGTTCGATTTAAAAATTATCAAAACGACCTTAAAAAAATGCAAAATAACCTGTAGTCCATGCGAGACCAAGAGAAAGGAGCATCCCCGTAAATCTACAGCACTCGCCGGACGCCTACTATAACATGTATTAAAGCAATTTATATATGAGAATGGCACTAATCAGTAAAAATCATTGTACAGCTTGATATAAGAATTCTCATCTGCGGACAATTGGCATGATGAACAATTTTTGATTTGATTTTTTAAAACTCACGCGGCTGGAATAAAGAAGAAAATATAAGTGAGCATGTAGATCATACTCGTCCAATCAACCGCTTGATATCTAGAAATTCGAGCGTTCAAAATTTGCATAGTTTTTTCCCCGACTTACGAGACATGATAATAATCGACGATAATATTTGCAATAATCGAATATTGAATCCATTGGGCGCCGTTCGATGCCGACAGCAATATGAAAATGACGAGGATCAAATATCGTTTTTTGTAAACCCGCGGCACGATTTTGTCGATTTTGTTATTCTAAAAAAACGTTTTTTTTCGGTTTCAAAAAATCAAATCGAATCTGCTGCTGCTCACCAATAGGGCGCCATTCGTTGCGCCATTCGACGACGAGCCCATCGTTGTTGAATTCGAGGCACAAATTGAGAAATGGATGGGATTCTCGTTGTGCTTCTGCCGCTGCTTGCTCTGAACAAAAATCACAAAATTTCTTTCTGGGTGGGACGACTTTGTTCAACAATTGTTGCCACACAATGGGCGTGGCCCCGAGCGAGACGTATGAATAGAAGCTTCTGGACGTGCTGGAGTACGGTAGAATTTAAAGGCGCATATCAGAAAATGTTCAGCAACCATTTTTAGAATATTTTTTTTTGATTTAAACCAATTTTCTAGATTTTTTTTAAAGAATCAAACATTATATAGATTTCGAAATATTTTGAAATTTTTTATTTGAACCCAATTTAAAGGCGCATCAACTTTCAGAGAGTACTAAAAATTGGCTAAAATTCAAAAATAATGAGGGAGAGGTCTTGGAGCGACGGCGGTGTGAACCTACTCTTTATTTCACCCCGTAAATCTACATTTCGTTTCGAGACCTCTCCCATTGATTTTTTGGCATTTCGCCAATTTTCCGCAAACGTTTTAAAAATTTAATGATTCGATAGCTTAAATAATATGCGCTTCGATGGTAGTCATTCATTTTGTGAGGTCACCCAAATGACACCATTTTACTTCGTGGATTTTGTTTTTCGAAAAAAAAAGACCCAAATAAAATGTGAGAAATTCAATAAAAATGGCCCAAAAATGGAAATTTTTCGAAAAAAAAAAAACACTCACAAAAATTTATTGCAACAAAAAAAGAAAATATCGATAAAATAGTGAGAATATTGAATTAGGAGTATGAAATTTGATATTCTCTTCATAAATATATCCAGCTACGAATAATCACATAATTAAAGGAAAAAAAAAACCAATTGGAAATTTGTGTTTCAAAATTTAATTTATAGAACATTTGATTTTCCGTTTCACCTTTTTTTTTAAATTTCTTCAAAATAAATCGTATTAAATAATATATTCCTTTTTTAAGAACACCAAGTTTAAGCAATTTCAGTTATTTTCGTTTTTAGTTCTTAAAATATCAGTTTCATCTTAAAATTAAAGCTTAAGTAAGCAAAAAATATTTTTTCCTGGAATGCCTCAAATATTAAATAAAATATGATATGAAATTCCCATTTTCGCCAATTTCTTTCTCATTTTTTTTTCAAAGAATGTCATTCCCACACATTTTCTCATAATTTTCTTCAAAAAAAATGTGCATTGATATGAGCTGCTGATAACAATTCGCATATTTCATTTCAATTTTGACCATTGACCATACAAAATATTCTAATCTATGATTTCTAGTCGAATTCCGGCATATTTCCTTCGTCTTTACATTTCACGTTTCAAGACCGTTTTGGATGCTCCTTTAAATTGAATTCACAATTTTCAACGATTTTGAAAAATTTTCATACTTCAAAAATCGATGCAAAGAGACGTGCACGTGTTTGCGTACACTGCATTATAGCTTACGCGCAATTAATTTTTCGAAACTAGGAAATGTAAAATTTTTTCACAAAAATGTAAAATTTACATTAAAAGTGCATTTTTTTGCATTTCACATTTAGAAAATGTGTATTTTATTTTACTTTTCTTATTTCACAAAGAAATCCATTAGAAATTCGTAAATCTACACTAATTTGCCGCTCTCTCATTTTGAAATCGACAATAATTTTCTAAACAAATTAAATTTTGTCCTTTTTTTATTTGAGTGATTAAAAATGTGTTTCATTTCTGACATTTGATTAAAATGAGTTATTTTCAGATTCTTATAGCCGGCGTCCATCGATCGCTGTGCTAGATTTGCGAGGGTACGTATTTCGATATGGTCTCACATATTTTTTTTGCGTTTTATGAATGAATTCTAATTTCAGAAATGGAAATCTCAATCGGAAAACTGAAAATTACAAAATAATCATAAAAATGTTACGAGACCAAGACGCACATCGTAAATCTATCCGCCACACTGCGGAAAAAATCAAAGGCGCATGCGTAATTTTTCCTATTATGGTCTTGAAGTGAAAACAAAAAACCGCGTTGTTGAATTGATTCAATTTTAATAAATGAAACGAAAAGTTAAAAGAGGTACGTAGAAAAAAAAAATGAAGAACCGAGCGGAAAAATTTGATAGATGACGATTGATGGAAAACAGATGAATATTCGAAATTTGGCGATCAAAAATTAAATTTACGTTTTTTTAAGAAGAAAAAAAAACCAATGATTTTGAATATTCTACATGGCCCGCAACGATGTCCGCAGCTAACCAACCTCGATAGTGTCTGGTGTACTCCACACCGACGGACAAGAAGAGGAGGAAGATTCTTGGGTGTCTCGAGGATACAATTGATTAGAGCAGCCAGGCTGAAAATGACTTTCAGAAAAATTCGAGACAAGTCGGATTTTCGACGAAAAATTACCCCGTTTCGTATGAAATTTTTGAGATTTTCAAACATTTTTTTTTTCGGCAGTGCAAAAATATAATATTTAATTGGAAGCGATGGGCAATATTTGTATAATCGTGGTCTCTTTTATTATCACAGTTTTCTCTTCCTTTTTTGGGTTTTGGAGGGAGGTGGACGGTTAGACAAAACTACCACCCAACCCCGCGAAATAAACCAAACCTTTTTGGTATTTTGATTCGCGCCGAAACCTATTAATCATATGTACACTTGTTTTTTGACATCCAATGATCGAAAATTGCCGATTTTGACATGTTCTTTGATTTTTTCTCTAGCTGGTTTATTCTGAATTTCTTTCGATTTGAAATGGGTTTCAATATTTGATTGTCGGTTTCTGATGAGAAATCGACTCAGTTCGACATGTGCCTTTAACTACTGTATTAATTCGACATGTGCCTTTAACTACTGTATTCAAAAAACAAGACATTCGAAAATGCTCTTCGTATTGCCGAAAATCTGATGGGTTCGATTTTTTTTGTCAGCATTTGATCTACGCTGTGCATAAGTGCGTAAGGTGAACGTGGGGAATTCATTTTTTTTTGTATATGATTTGAAAAAAAATTTTTTTAATGGTCTCAAGACGATGAGAAGATTTTATTCATTAAAAAAAATAGATTTTATCCATTTTTTTATATTTCTTGTTAAATTCTTCACGAGACCAATGAGCAACCGTTTGGATGCTTTTTAGGGTCATGCGCCTTTAAATGAGGCCAAAAATCGAATATTTCGACAATTCTATTAGAAAATAGTGGTGATCTGAGAAATTTCTAATTGAAAAAAAAAAAATTTTTTAATAAGAAAAAATGTTTAAAAAAAATTGAGAGAAAATGAGATGGGAAAATCATTTTCGTGGTGAGACTCAAGAAAAAAAAAAACAAAAAAGCGCCAAGAATAGAAAGAGAATAGCAGGAATCCCTCGAATTGGGTCTTGAGACGAAAAAGAAGGCAGAAGGCAGGATTTTCAAATACAAAAAAAAAACTTTTTTGGCATGCGCCTTTAAAGGTTGAGTAGTTTGAGAAAATTCCGGATCAAAGCAGAATCAATGAAATTCCAAATATAGAGAAAAATTAAAAATCGTTTTTTTTTTCAAATTTCCTCCGACAAGAAAAACTCGGAAAAAAATTAAAGAAAAAATTGGGAAAGAAATGTCGAAAAAATCGGCGAATCGCTCATTCTCGCCTTTTTTTTGGCCGACGGCTTCCGAATTCGTCGCGCGTTTCGCCAACTCATAATTCACGTCGATCAACCGTACCGTAATCCAAACTGACGTCGAATCACCCAGACCGCGACAATATTATTAACGTGACAATTGTTTTCAGATGGTTTTTTTATCGATAGGCGACGAAAAAGAAATCGAAACTAGAATTCATCACATTGCTTTTTTTTGTTGTTGGGTTGATTTAAATTTTAAAGGCGCTTATCGAGTGTCGGATGAGAATTTTGAAAATTTTGAATTTGAAAGATCTTTTAATTGAGATTCTGCATTCTTTAAAGGCGCATATGTTAAAAACAGCCATTTCTGAAATGTCCCATGCGCCTTTAAATATTAATATTGAATTTGAGAAGCTATCGAAAAATTGCGAATTTTCAGCGGAAATGATGACATTGCATCAATTTTTTTTGATTTAAAATTGTCCGCAGATGCGATTAGATAAATAAATTAATTAATTTTGCAAGTTTTTATTTTTGCACTCAAATTGCACAATACGCGACTGCGAAAAATTGGCAATACGCCAAACAAATTTAGAAAGAGGTCTCGGTGCGCCTTTAACCTGTCACTGATACTTAGGTCCGTAAATCTACACGTTTCGTTTCGCCTCAAGACCACTTCCATTGATTTTTGCATTTACAAACCAATTTTCGGCAGTCGCGCGCCACGCTTTACAATAATTTTCAGCAAAATTATTTTTTCAGCCTAGGGCTTGAGGTTTTCGATTTAAACAAAAAAAAAAACCATCTGCGGACATTTGAGGAGGACGAATGTCGGCAGATGAGAATTGAAAAGAACGCTTTTCGAAATTCGGAAGTGTCGATGAAGAAGAAGAAGAAGAAGGAGAAGAAGGAGAATATGTCGAACTACTAAAAATAATCCCATAATCTACTTATCGGGTCTTCCAGCGAAAAAAAACGCATGGAAAATATTTGTCAAACAAGACAATTTCTTTTTTTGGTGGGCCAGGCTGAGGAGATGGGCGTGAAAATTGTGGGCGGATGAATGACAAATAAAACAGGTATGGGAACACGCAATTTTGATATTTTATATATGGGCATAATGGGAATTCGTGGCGGCAAACACACACACAAATTCTTTTTTCAATGAATCTCAGAATCGGCGCTGAAAAAAAAATGCAAACGAATTGGTAAATGAATCGGAGAATGATGATGGAAGAAGAAGAAGATGGGCTGTCGAATGAGCAAATGCTATTTAATTGTCGACAGCTGGCGGCGGCCAAAAAATTTTTGATAATTGATTGCATTTCTCGTTTTTTTTTTCAGAAATCCCCCCCCTTGATTTCAACGCATTCGCCAACAAGCGCTCTCATTTTTTTCTCTTACTTGTTGCCGTGAACTCGTTCGCCCCCGCTTCTCATGCTCATTTCTAGATTAATTGTTAGCTGTTATTGAATGACGCATTTTAAATATGAAAGAAGGTTGGCATTTGTTTTTTTCTCTTTCTTTGCGTTGGCCTTTATTAAAATCAGCTGCGGACAATTTCGGGGGGCCGCCAATTTCAAATAAACATTTCAACTTTTGAGCACCTCGATGAGGTGTTTTTGATTTCTCAAATTCGAATTGAGACTCTCATCACGAAATGTCCAACTTGTAATTCGGGTCTCGTCACGAATTCTTATGATTTTCTTCAAGGAATATTCGACAATCCGCTGGCCAGTGTAGTGAGATTCATTTCTCGGCGGATACCTATCAAATTGAAACAAATAGTGTGAGTTATTGTGGAAAAAATGACGAATGTGAAAAACTGCAGCAATTTCTTATGCATTGTGTGCGTACACCGAGTCGCACATCTACAGTAATCTCAACTGAAAATTATTTATTTAATTATTGATCGTTTCTTTTTATATTCGCCAAGAAAACACAGAAAAAAATTTTTTTTTAATAATTGAATAAATAATTTTCAATTGAGATTACTGTAGATGTGCGACTCGGTGTACGCACACAATGCATCGGATTTCGCTGCAGTTTTTCACATTCCTCATTTTTTTTCACAATATTCATGAATTTCTGTGTGTTGGGTCTCATTCATGCGAAAATGTTGCAGTTATCAGCAAATGTGAATCCCGAAGACTATGCGACCATCGTGTCGAATCTCCAATCGGCGGTTTGTGTGAACGTCGCCCGTCGAATCGCGTGTCCGGCACACGACGCCAAATTGTGGAGCGATATTGTAATCGGCCAATTTTCGCACACTTTTCTTTTCGAGCACCTTTTTTTCAGCCGCCTCAACCATTTTCTTTGGCGCGATTCATGCAAAAAATTCTCTGTCTGATCCTCTCATTATTCTATATTATTTTGCCGCCGTGGCCGCCGAAAATGTTTCGAAAAGTTGTGTTTTGCTATCCGCAACGCGGCAAATATTATTATTTAATTGGCAAAAAGGTATCTTTTTGACGATTTTTTGAATAAGCTAAAAATTAAGTCCGAAAATAAAACAACTGCAAAAACTTACGCAAAAAACTAAACGTTTTGATTTATGGGCTGAGCATAAAGATTTTAATCGATTTGTTAAAGAAGCACACGCTTTCTAATACAAATATTCGGGAAAGAGGGAAAAAAATCTTTTTTTTTTTTTCTTAAATTCAGCACCGTAAAAAAGAAAAATACAAATAAATTCCTACTGTAACTTTAAAGGCGCGTCATGTTTTTACAATGAGGTCTTATAGCAAATTGTTTTAAATTACTGTAATGAAACATTTGCAACCTTTTTTTAAATAGTTTTTTTCGTTTGATTTTTATTTTTCCCGGTGAAAATATATATCATTTTTAGGGAAATGAGAAGAAAGCATGTTTTCGAGCTTCTGAGGCCAAAGGAATGGACCATTTGTCAATTTGCCTTCCGCAAATGATCAAGCCGAAAGTGCGTGCTGTCGATGTTTTCTATCATCTCCTCCGATGCAAGGTCTTTGTTCTTCCCTACAACAAACGCGAGCATATTTGTGCAATGGAGCTGTATTGTGAGCAATCGGTTCGATGGCTTCATCGCGACAAAAATCGAAAACGCATCCGATCGCCGAATCTCATCATTTTCGCGCAGCCGAATAGCTCAGACCTTGGATGCTGTTTGATGATGGACCCGAATTTTGTAATTTCACCAACGCCAATTTCGTGATGATTCTAATCGATAATAGGCAGATATCGCCGATTTTCTGCAATGCGATCTATTGATATTCGATTATCCTGGCTATGGTGTCAGCGAGGGAACCGCCAATGAGAAGAACATTTACGCGGCCATCGACGCTGTTATAAAGTGAAATGTTGAAAATATGAGCTCTTTGCATTTCCCATGTTTAGATATGCCACGGAAGCTCTGAAGTACCCGCTTGACAAAATCATCCTAATCGGGTTCAGTTTGGGAACAGCCGCGATGGTACACGTCGCCGGCACTCATAAGGTTAGTAAGCGTGACTAACACCCATCTGCTGACATTGTTCCAGGTCGCCGCTCTCGTCCTCATCGCCCCATTCACCTCGTTCTTTCGAATATTGTGCAGAAAGCCGACGCTCATCAAACCATGGATTGACATGTTTCCAAGGTATTTGGCGATTCGAGATATTATTCTTTGTAATCGAATTAATTTCAGCTTAGAAAAAGCGTCTGGTATTTCATGCCCAACGCTGATATGTCATGGAGAACGCGATGTGATCGTTTCGCACAAGCACGGAATGCATCTGCAGACGACGATTCCTGATTGCGAGCTGCACCTTCTGAAAGATGCCAGTCATCAAGTAATTGGCTTGCCTTTGAATTTGAAAAGAGAAGCGAACATTTTTGTCCATTTTCAGGGAATATTTTGCGAGCGGGAAATGTGGGACAAAATTGAGGAATTTCTTGGCACACGTGTCGGAATCACGAGGAACTGGATTGAGCATCTCCGATCGGAATCGTCGTTCTCAGAAGTCAGCGAGGTCTGTCAAAAGTCTTGAAACACCTATATTTCTTCATTTTTAATATTTTAATGAAAGCTAATTAAATGGTTTTGTTTTCTCTCGAAAAATTGCGTCCATTTAAAAATTGTTGACGTTTCGCACTTGTTGTTCCGAATTCTCGTTCCAATTTCTTGCGTGTATTCCTTATTTTCGAATTATTCAAAAATGGCGACCAAGTCGGAATTGGAAGTCGCCAATTGGTTCGATCAACTTATACATGACAAGGTATGAATGACATTTTTTTCGCCTTGCCATTTTCAGAATCATATTTCAGAAAAATTTCACTGCAAGATATTTGGCCAAGGTCAATGAGGTGACTTCAATCGAAATCGATATTGTAAGGAATAGAAAAGAAAAAAATCCATAAGGAGGCAATGCAGAAAAAAAGAAAAAAATTGAATATGCGCGTGGATTCGTGAGGTTCGCTTCGAGACCCATCGCATAAATAAACAGAAAGCGTCTTAAAATACCGTATCCCTGCGTCATGCTGTTTTATTTTTAGGGTTTTTTTTTAACTTATTGTTTGATGAAATTTTTTCGTTTACGGTAGTTTAAGACGCATGCCGTTTATTTATGCGATGGGTCTCGATGCGAATCCAACGAAAACACGTGTACCTTCGATTAAAAAAAAATTTTCTGCTTTGCTCCCATAAAACGAAATGAATTGCAAAATTTAAGATTGTCAAAGCCTTCTGCGGAGTCGTCATTTTGGCTTTGATGTTTTCCAACGAGGTTGATTTCAAGGCGCATCGGCGTCTCTCGCAACGAATTTTTCGCATTTCAGGCGCAAACGATTTGCAACTTTTTTCTCGCCATTGTCCCTATCCTTTTGATCTACGTGCATCCCGACGAGAAGCCGCCGGCGAATATTCTGTTTCTTCATTTCTCGATATTCGGTTTCTCGACGATATTCGACCGCCTTCTCGGCTTGATCCCATTTTATTTTGTGCTCAAACTCGCATTATTCCTCGCCCTTTATCTGCCGCCGTCGAATCGTCTCATCGACAAATTCGAAGCCATGTTGGTCCCGCCGCGAAAATAACCATCCGCCATCATTGTTTCTTTTATTATCATTTGATTTTAATAAACTCGTGTTTTAAAATAAACATTGGAGGAGTGATTAATGGAGAATTTGGCGGATTTCGGGAAGCGGCGACGTCGACGCCTCGAATTTCTTGCACGACATCTTCACCGGAACGAGAGGCAGAATCGACAGTTCGGACGGACCAGTCGAAGGCAGTCGACTTTTGAGCTCTTTGATTTTGATGGTCCCTGGATTGACGACATTGAAAATTCCCGTTCTTCTGCAATTGGCACATGCGTACTTTCAGAGTGGCGCTTGCGACTCACTTGGCTAGAATGAGCTGTAGCACTCTTGGAAGGCAATCATTAAGATTCGACACTGAAGTGTCGAGCTCGTCGAGCTCGTTGGCAGCGACACGCAGCTTCTCGCTCGTCGGCTCGTTCGCCATCCCGCCAATCGGCAATCCCATTCGGCATTGCAGTGTGGTCTCGAAGCGACGCAGCATCTTGTCGGTGTGCTTCTTGACCGCCCGCGCCGGCTTCTCAACCAACGTCGGCATCTCGTCGTCGTCGTGCTCTTCGTCGTCACCGATTCCGAACAGCTCGCCGGTGCCGAAATAGGTGAAATGAAGGCGCATCTTGTCGGATTCGGCGGCGAGAAGCCACGGCAAATAGAGGTTCGTCGACATGTTCTCGCGAAGGATGAAGCTGTCGCCGTCGAACGCCTCTAAAATGTCGGCAGATCGATAACGATAAGAATCGCGCGAAAAATGGCTCACCGCGACTCGTCGAGAAGTAGAGAATGTGCGACGGCGAATGTTTGAGAATCTCGCGATGGACGTCATCATTCGAAAACGCTTTCGAGCTGATCGTCGACTCCTGAGCAGAATATCGGAATCGCGTTGAGAGGAATCGACAAAAATGTGTTACCACGTATGGAATGTCGGCGATCGTTTTGACGACGAACTCGCGTTTCACCGGCGAGTCGCCGAAAATCAACAATTTCGGGCGAACATCGCAAAATGCCGACGAGATCGCCGATTCCGTTGGGGACCATCCGAATGTGTTTCTGATTTTCGCGCCCGTCTCGTCCTGAAAATCCGCGCCAATTTGCTTTTTTTTCGTTTCGACTTGCAATTCTCGCGTACCGTTGTGATGTTGTAGACTTCGGCGGGCTTCGAAAAATCGATCGAATTGCTGATGGCGAGAAGTCCAGAGGCCACTTGGGCGATCGGAAGCTTATTCCCTAAAATGACTGCGAATTGAAAACGAGAAAAAAACGAAACAAAGAGGCAGCGAACCTTCGGGAATTCGTCCGATCACCGTTGGGATACGGTAGCTCATTGCGTACGAATGTACCATCGCTTCCACCGACATCATCGCCGATCCAACGAATGTGACGGGCTCGAGCGGTTGGGTCTCGACGCGATTGCTACTATTACCGTACACTTGCTCGCCGCTGACCAACGTGAAACATTGAACGAGTCCGTAGTTGCGAATCGCGTCGACGACTCCAGTGATTCCCTGAAATTGATTGGTACAAAATTGTGATCTGAAATGTCCGCAGATGATTCATTTGATTTGGCATGTTTCCAAATATCCTCCCCCCCCCATGCCGAGCAATACGTACTCATTTCAGACAAACCGAATAACGCTAATAAAATTTGTTTAGAATGGGCAGGATTTCGAAAAAATGTCCGCAGATGTTTAAAATAAAATATTCTTTGCTAAGATTTAATTTTAAAGGGTCCCAGCACGGCTACAACCCTGCTGATGGGAATCAGGGTCCGACGGCAATCAGCAATTTTCCGAATAAAAATTTTCCAGCTTTAATTCTAAATATAAATACCTCATTTTCACGGTATCCATTCACATTGAATTGTTTTATTTATAAGAAATTTTTAATCAAGGAAAATTCGAGAATTTTCTTAATTAATTAATTACCAAATTGTGTGCTCTTATTGATGTTTTTTGGTGAAAATTTTAATGCAAAAAAATACAAAAAAAAAAATATTTTTTTTTCTTCAGTGAAATTTTGTTAATTTTTTTATTTTCTCTGATTTTTTTCAATAATTGCCCAAATTTTAATGAATAAAATGTGCAAAATTTTGAAAACAACGAATTTTCAAAAAAAACGCAATATTAGTTCCATATTTCATTGATAATCATTTAGAATAAATTTTCCATATAGGGAGATCATCAAAGTGCTTCAAATCCATTGAATAGGGGACCTTAGAGAACGGAAATGTCGAAATCTGCAAATTTGCGTCAAATGCGATGTCCGTCAAACACCGAATTTGACGCAAATTTTCGGAAACTTGCTCAATAATTTGAAATGGCGGAATTTGAAAAAAAAATTTTGTGGAATCCCACCCAACTCTTCTGGGAATACTCGACCAAATTTGGAACTTACGAGCAGAATCGAAGGCGCCGATTTCAATGGATCGCCGACGGCGGAATTCGTCGTCAAACTACAATCGAACACTTTTTTGACATTTTCCTTGAGAAGAATGCCCAGAATCGCCTCTTCATTCGCACTATCGATATTCAATATTTTGGCTTTCGACGCGACATTTGTGGATATCTGAAATTCGAGAATAATTTTAGATTTTGTTTTATCAACCAATCAAATTTGCCTTATTGTACTCGCTGTTATAATTATGAAGAATGATGAGGTTGGTGGTGTCAACGAGCTGCTCGGCAAGAGCATTTGTGAGCTCTGAAAGACCGCCGGTGAGAAGAATGCTCATTTCTGAAAACAATATCGAGTCTTCTTCAAAGAGACACGCTTTCAATAAATTCAGTCGAGAAATTACGGCCACGGACGGGTGCGATTTTTTCATTTGAATTGCCGCCTTGGGTCTCGAATGGAAAAGTTAATTTAAATACATCCTTTCGCCTTTTGAACCGCGTGTTAATTTTCAAAATTTCAAAAAAAAAATCCCAAAAGCGGTCCGGGCGGTTTGAAAAAATCCGAAGTTCAAAGATCAGATAATCAATTTTGCAACTTAATTAGTTGGATAATTACGCTCTTCAAAACGCGGTCAAATTTGATTGCAATTGAATCGTATACGATTTGGATTACAAAAAATTCATTTTTTGTAATCAAAATAAATTAAAAAAAAATTTTTTTTGTAATCAAAATAAATTTTTAAAAAACTAAAAAAAAAAACTATAAGATTTTAGAATTTATTGAGATAATTTGGAATTTGCTTAATAAATTATAGAAGATCTTAAAAATATTAAAATAAATATTTTTTTAGTTAGAAAGTATTAATAAATTTCAGACTTTCTCATAATTTTTTAGAATTTATTATTGAATATTTGATTTGATTTGCCTGAAAGCATATGATGAAATTGCAATCGAATTTGGCCGTCGTTTACAATTATGAACCATTTAGAATTTCAAGAAAATTGGGGGAAAGCAAAGGTTTTTTTGGGAATACACGAGGCACGCACAGAAAATATGAGATCTCGCATTGAATTTATCCGGTCAAGGTTGGCCGCGTGGAGAGATGAGATGCGATAAGAAGAATCGAATGCGAATATGCAAAAAAGCAGAACACAATTGAATTGTTGTTCGCAGAGACGACAGGCATCAAAACACACTGTGCAATCAATCGGGTGAATATTCATAAAAGCCCAATATTTTTGTGGGAAACTCATTTCGACTCGATTTTTTTTGCCGACGAATCGAGTCTGATTGTCGAGATAACCAATCGAGTCTCGAAATGAATTTTTGAATCAAGGGACAAAAATCTGTTGGTTTTGAAATTGATACATCTGGAGTTCAATCAGAACTATCAGGATCCGACAATATTCGGCTTCGGAATCAACGCTATCCGATTGGAAATCCTACGGATGAGATTGTAAAATTGTCGGACCCGATTGGTTTTTTTGACTATTTTTAGAGTCGATTGGATTTTCTTTGGATCCAATTGGTTGTTCGGATTCGACAAATTACCAATCGAATCCGAAAATAGCCAAAAACCCAATTCGGATCCGACAATTTTACAATCTTATCCGTAGAATTTCCAATCGGATCAGATTGATTCCGGTGGCCGAATTTTCGGATCCGATTGTTTTCGACTTATTAGAGTAGCACATTGATTGAAATTGAATTTTCAGATGGCAATGACTCGTCTGAAACCCTTCTCCCAGTGCAGGCTTGAAATTAGTGGACACACTCAGAAGACGTTCTAAGATTCTGGAGCTGAAGGTAAAATCACACCTTCCTTGTAAAACCATCAGCAATCTTAGAAATTATTTCTAGAAAAATAGAAGAACCGGTATTTTGCCAAAAAAATTGAAAATCCCTCCCCTAAATGTAGTCTATTGGGTCTTCTATGGAATTGCTATTGACTATTTTTGGTCAAGAAACCTGCCAAGGGAGGCCTTAATTTCATCGAAGTATGGTCCATCAAAATGAGTTCAGTCCTCTCATTTATAATAAAAGAAACAAAAAAAGATTGAAGATGGACCCCAAATGGACCTCCCTTTGTGAAAACTGTTTGTTGTGCTTAATTAGTTGGCGGCAAAACGATTTAATTAACGTTTTCGCGTGATTACTCAACCTTTTGACGATTGCATTTCTTAGCCATGGAGCACTCATCTTTTGACGACAACTCTTTCATTAGTGGAGGTATTTATTCGACATTTTCAGCATTTTCTCGCATCTCAATTCCTAGAAATTTCCGTTCGAAGCACTTTGACAACAAGTTTCACAAATCTCGATTATGCTGACAACTGTCGTTGTCCGACGACGGCCTCTCGATCCGAAGCGGGTCGAAGCGAGTCTCGAACCACCATCGATAATGATCTCGGTGAGAACGAGAAGATCACATTCGGATTACGCTAGCAATTGTTAGACACGATCTCGCAAATTAGTAACCAAACGATGGATAGCACGCAGGTGGAGGACGTCGAGACAGGCAGCGGCAGCAGGACGAAGCACACGCCGCCGTCGTTGAAGTTGATTTATCGAGTATCGCCGAGTCAGACGCCAGAATATTTGAGTTGAATTGCAGAAGCCTCGCTGCTTTTTCGTTGCCTACAAAACACTCACCAACTGGCTCGGCGCCATATTAATGTTATTGATTTTGGCCGAATGCCAATACATGTCCGATGTGAACGACATCAACTTTTGGATGTTCCTACCTTATATGAAAAACGACAACGATGATATCGTTGAGATTGCCGAAGTGTGCACGATTGCTGCTGTCAGTCTTTATTGTGCTTTTTGTTCTCAAAATCGGCATCGATAAAAAATTTTGTGTCGAAAAGTCAAGTCCAGCGCAAACGCCGGATTGACCTGAAATTTTCTAATGGAATTTCTACACTCATACATTTTTTTGGACATTATTTTGCCGAAGACGGACGAATTTGACAAATCTGAACGCTATCAAAGCTATTTTTGATTTTAGCGCAACAAATTTTTGTATGACCCTTTGATATCTGCTGCTATTTTCAATGCATTTCATTGTAGATCAAATCGAAAAATGATTAATAGACCAATTCTTCCGTCCTCGACAATATAAGCCAATTTTGAGAAAAAAAATGCCAGTGAAATTGTCAGAGATCTAATGGACCTAATGGACCATGCAATGAAAAAATTAAAAAAAAAAGAATTAATTTTTGTCACTTGAATTCCCTATGGACGCGCGTCGATAATTACAAAAAAAATTAACGCGATATAAGTCTTTTTTCGTCATTTAGATAGCAATTATAATGTGAAATAGTGATTTTTGTGATAATTTGAAGCAGACTTCGCTCGATGACGCTTCTGATGAACCTTTAACGTTGATTAAACAAAATACTTTTACAGATTTACAAAAAAAAACGTTCGAAACGCTCAAGAAATAAACAATTCGAAGAAAACAACCATTTAAAAAATACAGTACCGACTTCGCGACGTGACCCGAGCGCAACTTTTCGTGTGCGCCTTTGAAAATAAATAGCGGAGAATTACGATATATTGCGTCAATTTTTTGTAATTTTCGACGTGCATGCATAGGGAATTCAAATGAAAAAAAAAAGATTTTTGTTATTATTTTTCATTGCATGAATAAGCCATAAAATTTAATTAATTATCCTTAAAATTTTTAGCATTTCATGAGTAGTTATTGTCGATAAATCTATTCGATATTTTTCGCAAATGAAAAAAAAAATGGCGCGATCAAAAATTTTGCATTGAAATTTCGGAGAAAATTGAAATTCTCTGGCAAAAAAACGAGTTATTGTTGATAATTAAAAAAAAATCCAAACCAATTTGATAATTTAGGTTATCATCGGATTCATCCATTTCATTTTGTTGTTTTTCCGGCCGAGTTTGAAATCCGCCGCAGTCACTTTAGGAGTCTCGGTTGCCATTTGTATTTGCGCGAAATGAAACGCGAAATTTCGAATTTCAGATCTTGATGACATTAATGTTGTTCACTGCTGAAAAAGGCTTCTGGCTCTCATATTTGGGTATATTATTTGAATTTGAAAAAACAAAAAAAAGTCACCAAATCAATATAGTCGGTGTCCAGTGAAAAATAATCGATTTCGAAAAAAAATATATCAAAAAGTAGGAAACTCTATTTGAAAATTTGGTTTCGATTCAAAAATTTTTACAATTTCCATTGACGAGTTGCCGGACGTCGACTATAATTTGATGAAAAAAAAATTTTGGCACATTTCTGAAAAAAAATTTAACGCCGGTGTTTGCGTCCAATGCACACAATTCGACGACATACCGCAGATTTCAGGTCGACTTTCGTTGAATGCCGAAAACGACCAAGTTCTAGTAAAAATCAAAAAGAACCTCGTGCTCCACACATTCTCATCGTTATGTATGTCGCGTTCCTCATAATTTCAGCTCAATTCTTACAGATTCTGTTATCCTTTTGGCTTCCGCCATCGTCGCTTTCTACATTGAATACAAAGCTAACCAATATTGTAAGAAAATTTGTCAAAATTTCGGCGGGGAAATTTATTAGAAAAATTTGCAGCCGTCGCATACTAAAGAGTTTCATTCAACAATTATAAAAAATAATCAACAACAAATAAAATATTAATCAAATAATTATTCAACAATGTATAAACTATTTAACAGCGACATCAGTTTTGATGGCACTCAACACATTTCCACCAACGACATGTTGAGCCATCAATGGATGGGTTCGATCAGGAAGTACCTGAAAATTGGGGAAAACTCAACAAAACGCTCAACGCCTCAAATTATACCTGCATAATTCTGCACATTTGATCGGTGATGTTAATATTAATCGCATCATGATTGACTAGCCATTCATAAGAATCCACAAGAATCTGAAAGTCGCAGGTTTCGACTCGCAACATTTAAACAAGCTGGCTTACATTCATGTGAGGCGAATAAATAACAATTGTTGCTGATGGTGCGAGTTTGCTATAAATATGTTCAAGAACATCAATCGGGTCTATCTGAAATCGGACTCCTTCAAATCTAGAAATTCCATTCTTCGGTCTACCGTTCGACTAGCAATAATCAATGATTGCGCTCCATTCTCGATGATCTCGAGTCCTTTCCTCTCATTTTCCATTCGCCGTGCTCGCCGAGTTGCGCTCTGCTCGACGTCGCCGGAATCCTCCTTCGGCTCAACGTCGTCTTTCCTATCCTCTTCGCTGTTCTCAATGTCGTCATTCTTCTTATCGTCATCCGCACATTCCGCGTCGTCGTCGTCGTTCGGCTTTCGATGATTGTCATAGGGTAACTGTTTGCCGGCTAGTAGGCATTTGATTCGAACCGGCAAAAATGTCGACATTTTCTGCAAAATTCGTCATTACATCCAAAAAACCGACAAAACACCGCATTACCTCTTCGGTGTAATTCATCGAATGAACACAAGGTATGGATTGAGCAATTGCTCCCTATAATAAACGCATTATTATTCGAAAAATTGGAAATTTGGCAGGAACCCTATGAATATGTACACATCCTCCTCGTCCCGCAAGTCTTTCAATCACCGCCGACGTGATGAGACCCAATGTCTGCTCGAAAACCACAACTTTCTTGCCGAAATGAATTCCAGCCATTTGCAAGATCAAACCTAATTGATCATTTCTGAATTTCGAAAAACATTTCAACATTTCACAGAAAAAAGTTTGATCCCACGACGACTGGCGCCTTTCGAAATGGTCTCGCCACGACGCTTTTTAGTTCGCTGTTTGCACGGTTAGTTTTTTTTCTTGATGAGTTTGGCATTTTCTTGAATTTCTAACGTAATTTAAAATAATTATTATCGAAACGAGCCTTAGAAATCAAAATGACCAATTACTCTGTGTAAGATCTCGTAAATCTACCAATCGTCGGAAGCCGACTATAAAATTTACCTGAGCATTGCCAGACGATCGGCATCTTTTAAATAATATGACTTTGCGAGTAGCCGAATTGTTGGCCGAAGAATGAGAACGCGATCCGAATGCTTCTTCGATTTCCTTCCAATGTATTTGCTCTGCGAGTACGTCGTTCGTGTTGAAAATGAAGCACTTCCTTGAACTAATTTAGCGACCTGCATAAAAAAAAAATAACGAATAAAAAATTTGCATTAAAAGAAATCAACAATTTTCTTTTTAATTCAAATACCAATGTTTACAGTAATCAAATGACGTGAAATGTCAAACAAAATTTTTTTGAATTTTTTTCAAACGTTAAAACATACCAATTCATTTGCCGTTGCGCCAAGCTTCTTCAACTCCAAAACCTCGTCGTGCTCCATTTTCTGGCGCTTCTACAAAAATAAATGCAAGCGGTTTAAAATATTCTTGAGGTTTTCGTCCAACCTGCTCGGGCTCCAACTTCAACGCCGACGGCGCAATCGGCGTCAGCTTCTCGTCATCCTTCGATTCGGTGCTCAGCGAATCATCTGGAATGCTATTTTCATTGAAATCGAATCGCTCATTCGTTATCCGCCCCCACCAATCATTGGCTCATCCTGCTCGCGGAGCCTATCCGCATGCAGCGGTCGGCAATCGCCATTTATCACTTCAAAAAGTCCAAAACGTTGGCCGATTACGCTGAAAAATTCGGAGTCTTATCACTAGTGGTTCTTATCGCGAAACATTTTTAAAAATCGACAACCGCCAACATTTGGCTGACGATTAAGGCGTAAAAACACACCTGTCCGCGTTGAACTTGAGCTTCTCGATAAGCACTTTTTGTTTCGGCACCAAACGAAGCACACGACTCTGCTCGCCGTCAACCTGTGCAACGAAAATCGTAATCATCAGAAATCACAAGACACCGTTATCATTTAAACCGCCTTTTTAAAAATTGTTTAGAAAGGACATTGACTTTTGGGGGGGGGGAGTGAGAAAATTGATTTAGGGTCTCGAAACGAATATTTTTTGGTCTTTTTTCTCGACAACTCAAACACAATATCAACCATTTTTTGGGAATTAATGGACCTATTCATGCAATGAAAAAAATAATAAAAAATCATTTTTTTTTTCATTTGAATTCCCTATGCATGCACGTCAAAAATTACAAAAAATTGACGCAATATATCGTAATTCTCCGCTATTAATTTTCAAAGGCGCACGCGAAAAGTTGCGCGGGTCACGTCGCGAAGTCGGTACTGTATTTTTTAAATGGTTGTTTTTTTCGGATTTTTTTCTTATTCGAGCGTTTAAAACGTTTTCTTTTGTAAATCTGTAAAAGTATTTTGTTTAATCAACGTTAAAGTTTCATCAGAAGCGTCATCGAGCGAAGTCTGCTTCAAATCAACACAAAAATCACTATTTTTCATGATAACTCTGGTAAATCAAAACCAATCGGATACGACAAAATTCGGTTCCGAAATCAACCTTATCCGATTGGAATATCTGCGGATAAGATTGTAAAATTGTCGTATCCGATTGGTAATTCTACGGATAAGATTGGTTTTTTGTCGAATCCGATTCGAATTGAAATATTAAAACAAAACGGATTCGAATAATTAAAAATCGGATTCGAAGAAAATCTAATCGGATACGACAAATTACCAATCGGATACGAAAATACCCAAAAAACCAATCGGATACGACAATTTTACAATCTTATCCGCAGAATTTCCAATCGGATAAGGTTAATTCTAGAGCCGAATTTTGTCGAATAAGATTGGTTTTGATTTTCCAGAGAATTGGCATCTAAATGACGAAACATAGACTTATATTGTCGAATTAGGAGTAATTATACCCAAAACGCCCAGATGTCGCCGCTTCTTACTTATTTCAAGTTTGCTCAATTTCCGTGCTCTGATAAGGTTGCTCGAAGAGCACAAAATTACGATAATCGCAACAAAACAAAAATGGTCGAATGGTACGCGTGCGTCATTATCAGTTTGCAAAAATTGACCAACATTCTTTAAAAAGGGGCACAAAATCAGAGGATCCAAAATTATTGTCAACAAATTTTGAGAAAATTATATTTTTGTTTTTTTTATTATTTAATAGCAAACCTTTTGTACAACGAGATATTCCTCTTTTCGTATCACATCACCCTTTTGAATGCCATCCATGTTTGAGCGTCTGCAAAAAACTACGAACATCAAAAAGCTCGCAAACATCGAGAATGATAACCTCCCAATCATGCAAAAAGAAAGTTTGTTGGGCAAATCAAACAAGCAAACAGATGTGCACTTTTAAAATGCAAAAAAAAAAGAAAAAAATTATTTTATATTCATCGCTATCAAATTTGCGATCAAGATGGTGAAGATCACAAATCAAGGAGGATCGATGCCAAAACATAAACGGTCCTTGCGTGGAAACGATTCATTCATTCGCCAAGTCCAAATTCCCATCTGATCTTTGCTTATCTCTCAATGGTCCCTTACTGATCAACGTTATAATGGCATCAATTTAGAATGTAGACGGATGAGTTCGCGACCGGAAAACATGTTTACCGGGCCAGTTTTGTTTATAAGCAACAATTCGGCGGCGGCTGGCACCGGACCAGATTCAATGGACCCTGTTGTGTCGGCGTTTCCCAAAACAAACATGGCACTCAGAAAAAAAACACCAACGGGTTCCTCTATGCATTTCGATCATCGAAATGCAAATTTTGTATTTTTCGAGATGACATCATCACACCTTTAAAGGTTATTCCCATTGTGTGTGTGTGTGTGTTTATTGAAAATATCAAAAAAGATAATAATCGCAGAAAATCGACAAAAATCTTGCCGATTTGTTGACATTTTCCACAGCTGTTTCTTGAAAAATTTTAATGGGACGTTTTATTTTGTGAATTTGCTTCTCGTTAAAAATCACAATTTCAATGTGGGCGGTTCCTAATCGTTGGTTATCAAATGTGAATACTTTCGATTATAAATTCAGCAAAAAAACCATCAAATCGGTTAGCATTTTTTTTAATTTCAAACACTGTTTTGACCCCCCCCACATATTGGCCTACAGATTTTCTCGCCATTAACAGTAATATCTAGATAAGTTCCTTGTCAAAAGGGTGTGACATCAGATTCGAATTTCCTTGATCAAATCCCCATCATGATTTGTATAAATAAAAAAAAGCAGAAAGGAAGTAGATCGAAGTTCCCTCTACACGCCAAAATGGCTAAAGAACTCGCTTCAAGACCATCTGTTAACTTCTACCCAACTATCTACTAATGATGAAGCTTCGAATAGCACAATATAATTTTTTTATTGCTCCCCTAAAATATGATGCGATAAACTCCATCAGGAAATATCGCCTCAAGACCATTGCAAATAATGCACCTTTAATTTTTAAGGCATGTTTTTAGGATCGTCTAGAAATTCAAGAATGCATCACTAAATTAAAACCGTCACTTCTTTTGTGAAAAAACAAACTACATCCCAGGAAAATGTCGCTTCAAGACCATTACAAATAATTCTCCATGTCTTTTTAATTATTACAGTAGCCCTTCAAGAAATACCAATTCATATTGCTGGTATTCATGGCCCGTTTTGCAATGGTCCTGAAAAACCATAATTCGATTTCTACAGTCAACTTCCTTCTCTCTCTCATATTTTTCCGCGTCGGCAACAATTTGTACGCAGACGGCCGACGATGACCTACCATTCAACTGTTCAAAGAACCTTCTAGATGACGTCGCTGACAACCAGATTGTCAAATGCCAAAAACAAACTCCAAACATTAAAAAAAATATTGGGGGGTGGCCGCCCTGACAATTTAACTCAATTGCACTTTCTCTCTTGAAAACCAACCAGTCGACTAGAATTTAATCGAGAGATGTTTTTTTTGGCCAAATTTTTATCCAAAACAATTTCCGATTTTTCTTTTTCAAAATTTCTATTTCTTTTTTTACTCGTTTGATTTCAAAAAGACATCCGAGAAAAATGGCAACAAAGAAAAATCTATTGGGGGTGAAGGTGAGAAAAAAAAATTGTTGGTTGGGCGAAAGCAAATATATGCAATTGTTGGGCGATTCGATTCTCATTTCTAATGATTCCTCACGTGTCATAAAATTCGGCGAATGATAAGGGTCGCAGATTTTTAAAGGTTATTCGACGCCTCGCGGTCCCCCACCGAATGTTTGCATTTAAAAGTTCGCAATTAAATATATATCAATACAATTCGCGTGGTATAAAAACCGCGATTTTCGCACTTTTGCGCATTCCATGAATCCGTTCGTCGAAATCGAGCCCCCCCCCCCCCGGGGCCCCGCCTTCTAATGCTTGTTTGCTTTTCAACTTTTTGATTCCGACCTTTCCACGTGATTTCTTCTTTTTAATAGAAATTTATAAATTCTCATTCGCTTCAATTTTGATCTACATTCTTATCGGGTAGATTTACGAGCATGCGCCTTGAAAGAGGTCGACTCGAAAATCTTCCATTTGACTAGATTTCAAATTTCTCCTATTTTCAATTGCTTCAACTCTCGGGCGGGAATTATTCATTGTGAGACCATATTTAAAGGAGCACGCTCTCGTAAACCCAACAAGGCCAACGAATAACTTTAATTTCCAAAAGAAGCGATCTGATTTGGTGTTCCCTTCCGCCAGTTTAGGTTCTCGAGGAAATATTTCTAGAATTTGATCTACCATATCTAATTAGTTTCGGAATTTCAAGCAAAAAAAAAGAAACATCGAATCAAGTAAATTCCAATCGAAACTAGTTTCACACGAATTCGACATTTTTGTCTTCAAATTCATCTTCTAACAAATCATTTATGAATTTACAGTGAAAAAAAATGATGGAAAAAAATTTGCGCCGAACTTAATCACGAATAGAAACGTTTGTTTTTCACGTGATAATCATTCGACCTACACGATTGGCGAGAAAAGTTCGCCAAATTAGGGAAAAGATGGAGAGAGGCTTTAAAAAACTGGAACACTCTAATTCATCAAATTGATGATGAAATGATACTCAAAGATACGCTCAACTTTTAGTCAGAAAATCTCTAATGTGACCAGAGGAAAAAAAGGACAAAAAAAGACATTTTTTTTTAATCAACGAAGATTCATTACGGCCAACTAGCATAAATAAATTATTTGCGGTTCAAGTTACTGTTTTTCAGACAAATACAAAAAAAACAGAATCATTGGACGCAAAAAAAACCGTATACTATATCTCGATTCCGACCCAAATGCCTTGATTATTTTTCTCTTTTATGTATTTCAATTTTTTGTATTTTTCTTCTTTTGCATTAACTTTTATTGTCGGCATCGCGTCTTTACGAAAATGTCAAAAGAAAGCAATGGCACAGTGGTCTCGGCGCAAAGCTAAAAGTGTAGATTTACGAGCCTAAAGGCGCATACCGCTAATACCATTAAATCATTTGGCGCAGTGGCGACCATACCAAATTTGAAAAAAAAAACATCTATGCTTCAAAGAAATGTTCGCAGTGAGCTATCGAAAATTTAAAAGAATCCATTTACGGACATTTTTTTTTCAAACTTCATCCTAATCCAAAAACTTGCAATTTTGATGATAACTTTGAAGAAAAAAAAACGCGAAAAGAATCGAAAATCACGCTCAATTTGTTCGCGCTTTTTAAATCCAAAAATCGCCATTTTTATTCATTAAGCAAACAGAAATCTTTAAAAATGGCGAGGTTCTCCACAAAAAAAAAGGTTGCCATCTGACCCGGCGCAAAAAACCAACAATGCCCAGCTTTTGCGCAATTTTTTCGGCTGCAACCTTCATGGTTTATTTGCGTCAGAGGTGTCAATTGTGTACACAGTTCGCCACTAATTTTTTTTTTCACACGCCGCCATTAAAAGAAACAAAGAATAATAAAACGATCATTAAAAAAGTGGTGGGTGCGAGGGGACGCTGGTCGAAAAATAAAGTTGTAAAACTGTCGTTATTGATAAAATTATAATGTGTATTTTTCAAAATATTCGAATTTTGTTGACTTCGTTTCAATGGTCCCTTTGACCCTCCTCCCCCACCCATCGCAGAGAAATTCAATTTTCTAAAGACTAATCAAATTAATGAGTTCTTTCATTTTATATGGAATTAGCTCTTATAGATTCCTAGAAATGATCTCGATCTCGAAACGATTTCCATATGAGACCCAACTACAATAATCTCAAAAAATATCAAATCAATGATTTTTTATATACATTTTTTGATAAAGTAAGACATTTTTATTTATTTTAAATGAAATTATAGAAAACTTTTAAGTTGATCGGGGTTTTCCCCCAAATTTACACCATGAGCCACTAAATATACGATTACGAGAATGATGACTCAGAGGAAGTTGGCTATCTCTCTGAATAAACTTTTTGGAATTTGATGAGCTATAAGATATTATGAGGATATGAGCAACTAAACCAGTTTCTAGGAATCTGATTTTCGAAATGAAACGAATAGAAACAACATTAAGATTTCAAAAAGCATTGAATTACCAAAATAAAATAAAATCAAATTAGAATAAATCAAAAAAATTAATTAATTAAAATGAAAATGAATTTAGAATTGAACTTCTAGAAAAAAGGATTTTCTCATTTGGTACTAACGCGATTGATAGTATTAAGAATTTCAAATTTTGAGGAAATATGATTTTTTAAATCTAAATTATTCACAGAATTCCATTGAAAATGATTGCTAGTTGGCAAAATCTAACATATTTTAGAAATTCTGACAATATAATTTCGTATCCGGAAATTCGTGAAACAAATTGGAAGAAAAGACAAAAAAGAAATTTCAAATCTACCAAGAATTATTGGAAAAATTCTGGACCATGTCCGTTTCGAACACGCCAATTTTCTCTCGCCTACACACATTTTCCCCCCATCAATTCCTATTCATCGACGTCAATCCATATAGAGAATTTGCTAGTTGGTGCACGTGCACCCAGGCAAATGATTCAATTCCTTAGAACAGCTTGTTCCCATTCGCACACACTCACACACAAAAAATGCTCTCGTCATCCGACTAAGCCTCGACTGGGTGCGAATGCACCGAGTGCAAAAGCTCAGCGAGCACACGCACTCGGGTGTCCGTTTTCATTCGAGAAAAAAACACTTTCGGTTTTTTTTCGGCGAATTGCTCGCCATACGCGGCGCGGCGTTCATTGTTCGCTGCGGCTATCAGCGATTGAATTACAACCACCCGCCGACTCAAAATTGACAGTTTCACCGCTCTCATTGGCTCCTGATTACAATCGTCGATTCATATTTGTACTATTGTTGAATCTGTCGACGAAATGCCGCCATTCTCTAGTATTCTGCCAGTTTTAGCTGAAGAAATTCCGATGATCGTCACACCAGAAGATGGAATCGGAAAGGCGAAGCACGTCGATCACGATAAGGAAAGTCAGAATACCGATCGAGAAAGAGCACAAACGATTCAGAGGACGAAAGGACTATCGTAAGTTCTCTTATTTTATCAAAGGAATTCCGTTTTACGATTTCAATAGATGTTTATTAGGTCGAGTGCGATTAGAAACTACAATGTTCGTGAGGTACCATCACATTTTAGGCACAAAATGTTTTAATCAAAATTGATCTTAGACAGACAGATTGAAAATTAGAAGAAAATTATTTTTAGCTGTAATATGAAAACTGGAATCTACGAGCAGTTAACATTTTCGAAAGACCTAAAACATTTTGCAATAACTCTAAACTTTAGAACAGAATAGAACAACGTCATTCCGATTATGCAACTTATTTTATTATGGAAAAACATTAAACCTGATCAATTTCTATCCTACTGTGATAATTCTACATAGAATTAGAAATTTAACAGATGCGAAAATATTGAAAATTGCGAGATCTGCGCATATCACAAAGAATAGAATAGTTTTGACAAATATATCAATATTTAGCTTGTTTTAATTAGTCGACTAAGCGTTTCTCAAAATTTAATCGAATGAGTTAAATAAAAATGCATTGATAATCGATTAAACACATTAAATTCCGCCAATGATCAAATTTTCACTTATTGGAAATGCGAAAAAACCATTTCCCTACGTGGTTTCACACTTTATCAGCGTTTTTTTTTTTGCCAATTAAATGATATGAGAATAGGACAGTAAAATGGAAAAAATGAGGTGATCGTGGTGTACTTTGCACGTGTTTAATGAGGCACAAAATAATTAAGCGATAATATGCACGTAAAAAAAGAAATGAGAAAAAATCAAATAGGAAAAAAGCATGAAATCTTTAAGAATGAGGTGAAAAAATTAATTCGGGATTTTAAAATTTGCGCCGTCAGTTCCTGCGCATAGTCCGCAAACACCACCTCGTCCGCGTACCGTAGTCGCCGCAATAAGTGAAAATGTTTCAGAGCAACCGCTGGGCTAGTGAATTTCATATGTGGCATGATCGGACCCGGATGCTTTGCATTAGCGCTATCATTCAAACAAGCGGGTCTTTGGGTATAATAGAGCATGGATGAGAATAAAAGTCGATGAAATCAATTCAGGCGGGATTCGTGCTAGTCTTCATTATCGGCGGCTTGAGTCTCTTCTCAATGAGCAAAATTGTCAAATGCTCACAATATTTGGCAAAGCTAAATGGAGATCAAAAACTCGACTACGGGCAAATGGCAGCAGCGGCAATGCAGAACAGCTACCCATGGGCGCGAAGGCATGGAAACCTGGCAAAGTCACAAATAGGCTTAAAGGCGCATACGATTTATAGAGATTTTCAGGATTTTCGTTAATATCTGCTCAGTGTCATTTCAATTAGGAGTCATTTCAGTGTTTCTCGTATTCTCCGCCGATCACATTATCGAGGTGATCGTGCTCAAATCCAAAACCTGTCATGCTAGTCAATCATTTCAGATCTACGAATTCATTGCAAAGAAGCCCATTGGAATATCAAAGGAACTCATCATTCTGATCTTCTTTGTTCCCCAAATGGCCCTAAATCTTATTAATCACATCCGCCTTATTACAATTGTCAGTTTGCTTGGAAATGTTATCATTTTCGGCGCCATCGCCTTAATCACCAAGGTTCCTTTTTTGGCTAGAAATCCACTATGATGATGACTTCAGGAGCTGTTCACGCATTCATGGTATCCGATATCCGAGCTGCCAGCTATCACAAGTATCGAAGGCATCTCATTGGCCTCTGGAGCTCTTGTATACTCATTTGAAGGTCAAGCAATGGTAAGAACAAGCGTCGTCATAACTAACTTTGCTTTTTTTGAATTAATAGGTTCTTCCATTGGAAAATTCATTGCGGCATCCTCAAGATATGATCGGCTTCACCGGGGTCTTATCAACAGCGATGAACCTTGTCACCCTTCTTTACGCATTCCTCGGCTTCTTCGGTTATCTCACATTCGGCGATGCTGTTCAAGGAAGTATTACATTGAACCTGCCGAATAATGTGTAAGCACATCTCAAGCCAATTACCGTCTTCCAACAATTTTTGTTCAGTTTGAGCGTCGTCGTCAAATGCCTTCTCGTTCTGAAAATGTTCTTGGGTAGCGCGATTCAACTCTACGCCGTCGTTCACATGCTACTGCCAACATTAGAGCATCGCGTTCCCGATGAGAAGCCGATTCTTAAGAGATCGTTGCCATACATTCTACGAGTCATTCTTATGATCATTCCACGTCAGCTTAATCCGACCCCTCAAAAATGCTGAACATGATTGATTGCAGTGGGAATCAGTCTAGCGATTCCGAACCTCATGCAAATCATTCCACTGGTCGGAATCACATCGGGAATCATGATCTCTCTCATCATTCCATCGATTGTCGACACGCTCGTCTTCTTGCCACTTTACGCGAAACAAGGAAAACGGTGAGTGATTCAGATGATTGTTGTTCACTACAATTCCATATCAAATCAAACTTGGCATGGTCCATTTTTTGTGGCATGTCTTTCGGGCGATTCCTTGACTTGATCAAAAATTGCATTTTTTTTTTAACATTCTGAAAGAAATGAACGTTTTTCCGATATTTCTTGATCATTTTTAATTTCCCAAAAATGTTCATAATTGTGAGAAAATGTTCAACGAAAGAAGAAAAAGAAGCTGACAATTTTTTTTCCAAAAATAATGTTTCAATGTTTGAGTGATATCAACTGCGAGATAACACACTGACCAGTTGATTTATAGCCTTTGTTTCGAGTTGAAGACAATGAGAAACTTGACAATCATTAGAAGAAATTATTGAATAAAATTCAGGAGGGATTATTGGATTAAGCTGATTATCAACTTGACACTCTTCGTTCTTGGATGGTTCTTCCTCGGCTGCGGACTTTATTCGAGCATTGATGACATTGTCCACAGTTCGTGATCACATTCCGATTCTGAATTGTATTTAAATTGGTAGTTGAATAATTCAGGCTTTAAATACGATGGTTTGCAATCCTAACATGACTTTATTTGGGCTGCGCTTTCACTTGTTCATATCATGTTGCTCACTTGTGTATTTTAGCATTTAAAATTTCGATACTCCTCTCACAAATAATACCCCCTCATCCCCGCGACTGGTTCGCATTTGCGGCTTATTCACATATTTTCTGTGAAAATGATAATAAATGAAGATTTTTTTTTCAAAAAAGGAGAAAACCGCTTCCAGATTATCACTCATTTTCTAATTGAGCCATTCACTCATTCGTTTTAAAGAAATTCTTTTAAATTTTCTTTTTGAATTTCGGTTTTCGAAGTTTTTGAAAAGGGCATTATACATATTTCTAGTCGGTACCTTGATAGATTCGATGGCTGCCCGCCAAGAAGCTTTTCTGCTGCCGTCGGGATTCGTGCAGGCGATTTCGGTGTCGTCGAGTCCCGATCGGACAAATTTGATACCCAAAGAGGTGAACTTCACCGAGGTCAACTTTCGACAATTTTGAAAAAAACATCGACTACAAGTATAGGTGAGACTTGTCAACACAAAAACTGCATGCGCCTTTATTATAACTGTATTCAAAAAAATTTTTCGAAATTCGAAAACTTAATTTAATGGCAAAAATCGGTTAAAGGATCATGATGTGGAAATGAGTTGAGTGTTGAGGTGACTCTGACAGCCCTCTTTTTTTTTCGAAACAGACTGAAACTTAGTTCAAAATATTTTCCCATCGCAAAAAAAAATGACGAGCTCCCTGGATGTTTGCGGACTACGTATTTTCACGATTTTGGCGCGGAAATTCAAATTTCGAAGAGATACAGTAACGAGAGCGCTCTCCTTTTTTTCAATTTTAAATTCAATTACATGTGCCTTATTACAGGCTTCAAATCGCGGAAATTTCGAAAATACGACACGCCCCAACGGGATAGGAAATTTGGCCGACAATTTCAAAAATTAAAAAAAAATGCAAGTGCGGCGCACAAATTATGAGAAAAACTGCAAGTGCGGCACGCGAACATAGACTAAAATTATGTGTGATGTTTATTCACGATATTCTTTTATTTGTACGAAATTTTGATTTGGTTTTTGAATTCGTATTTAAACACACTCAAGTAATACGTATTCATTCTGTTCTATTGGCGACGTCGCGCGACTGCGGAAAATTGGCTAAATGCCAATAAACAATGACTGTGGTCTTGGCGCAAAAATAAAAGTGTAGATTTACGACGAGCCTATGCATAAGAATGAATTAAAGACCTCTAATTTTGTTTTACATATTTAGCCTATTCCGCAGTTGTTTTTGAATCAACTAATCCATCAAGTGTGGCCGTGGCCGAACCTAATTTATGAGACCATTTTCTCTAGGCCACACGTGAGTTGCAACGAGAATAAAGGTTGAACGCCTCTAAATCTCGCTATAACTGGAGGACTAATACTCGGTGAAAATTGGCGGGCCCCGCGCGGGTGAAAACAACGATTTGCGGGTCCCGCGCGGGTGAAAATTGAGGGGCAAACACTTTCGTCGAGCGGGGCCCTCATATCACCGTCGCGGGGCCCTCATATCCCCGATGCGGGGCCCTCATATCACCGTCGCAGGGCCCTCATATCCCCGGTGCGGGGCCCTCATATCACCGTCGCGGGGCCCTTGTGTTTCACCCGCGCGGGGCCCTTATATCGCCTTTGCGTGGCCAAAAATTCTAGACGAGATTCATATTGCAATTAATTAACAATTATATACTTAATGAAACATTTATTAAACGAAAAAACAAATTACACTTAAACATTCCTATGCATCCACATGGCTCGAATTTCACTCTTTAATTGTGGAGAATAATGTTCCTGAAAAACCACAAATAGAATATTGAAATATAGGAATCATAATATGATATAGTCGGCGTCCGTCGACTGCTGAACGCGGGTAGATTTACGGCGATGCTCGTTTATCTTGGGGCAAGAAAATGCGAAACTCGTCAAGAAAAAATAAACCGTTCATGCGAAAACAGCGAAATAAGCATTCACACGTGGCGAGACTTTTTCAAGGCGCATGCGCGTAAATCTACCCGCGTGCAGCAGTCGACGGACGCCGACTATATAGACTTATCATATTATGATAAGTCTATAGTGAACCGTCTGTACATTCATTGCCAAAGTTATGAACAATGAAAAGGAACTTACTCAATAGTACTTCTGAAGGTTTTTCAATAATTAATGAATCTTGTGCCATAACGGACCCATTATTTTTCATGCTGATTGACATTTGGGCTTTATTTGAACCAATTCTCAATTATTTGACAAAATGTTTTCGTTTTATTAAACTAGGTACTCGAGAATTGCCCAAAGTTCGCTAACTTGTCAATTTTTTCTCAATGTTTCGCGATATTCGCTCATTGAAAAATGTGATTTGTAGAGAACACTCAAATACAACTTTAAAGTTTCGCATTTCAAAATATATTGTATAAATAATATTTTACCCAAATATAAATTTTCTCAATAAATCTTTGGCTGAGTACTATCTCGAAACCTTCGCTTAACCCCAGCGCGCCTCTGCACCGCACTTATCTTGAAATTATGAACCATCCCCAAATACGGAAATCACTAAAAGTTCCAACCCGCTGAAGTTAACATCTTAATAGGATAGGAAACCAATACCGTCTTCTCGAGCAACAGCTAGTCTGATTCTTCCTTTTTTTCTCTTGTAGTCTATATTCCATTTCCTTGCGAACTGTTGACACATTATCTAAACATAATATTGTATTATATACAGTGAGTGCGTTGCAGAATTATAAAGCCACCCCCGAATTAGATCGCCGCGCAGGTAGCGATTTTGAGACCAAGAAGTGTTAAAATCGTGTTCAGCATGAAAAATTACCTATACGTACCAATTTTTATGTTAGTATCTTAAAAAGTAACCGTGTAGTGGTCATAATTCTGCAACGCACGGTATTTAATTTTTTTGCATTTCCTTACTAAATGTAAATCTTCTTCTTCTTTGGTTCGACATTACGCTTGGAGCATACTACCATATATATGACTGAAATAATTAAATTTAAAAGTAAGAAAAAACTAATTTAAAAATTAGACACTCGCCAATTAACGGACGAGTTAAATGTGATTGGAACGAACGATTCAAAACGGTTGAAACAAAATACGATAAACAGCGGGCACGTGTTAACGGCGGAGTGTCGTACACTCTGTTTCCACTAAAACTTTTTTCTGTGAACGAGATTAGTCCAGAAATTCTCAATAAGAAAAATGCGCCTATTATTCAAAAAAAAATAATAAAAAAAAAATATATTAATACAAAAAAAAACTAAAATAAATAAAATATTCCGAACGCAAAATGTCTTGTTTCCCAATCGAATTCGACCACATCCGAAAAGAATACGGCCGTTGTTCAAACCGTGATGGCTCCTTATAAGGTGTTTGCGAATGTTTAGAGTTTCAGCAGATGCTTCAGATATTCCAGGCAAGCTTATTGGACTGAAAAGAGGGCCTTTCATTTGAAGAGGGCTCTCATTCCTATGCATGAAGTCAGACATTTAGATACTAAAGCAAGAAGAGTCGAAAATGTGCAAATTATTTTAATAACTTAAAAAGTCAACATTGTGTTTAACAATAGTACTCGAACAATTGAAAACAAGCCACAGAGATTCTGAAATATTGATCCTTCACCCCATTTCACAATTATTTTCAAGTTTCAAAAAAATCTATTAACGTTCTTGGCGTTGCTAGAACATATCGTGATGATTCAAACACTTTGAAAAATGTTATAATTGATACACAACATGTTTAATTTTTTTGCAAAATCTTTTTTGGAAAACTGTAATACGCTGATATATTGCGGTTGCCGCAAATGGCCCGCGCGGGCCCCTCGCATTTGATGGCCTCGCGAGAGTCGTTAGAGAGTCCCGCTTACGGCCCGCAGTTGCCCCTCAGAACCCCGCATTATTTTCACCCGCGCGGGCCCCTCCATTCCTATTAAACGCAAATCACCCGCGCGAGCCCTTCTGAGATATTCACCGGCGCGGGGCACGCAAATATGACCCGCGCGGGCCCAAATAGCCGTTTGGGCCCGCGCTGGGCATAATTTGGACCCACGCTGGCCCCGCGCGGGTCCAACCACCCATTTCCACCCGCGCGGGGCCCGCTAATTTTCACCGAGAATTCCACAGATAAATGACGAAACAAAAAATGGTGCATGGGCATCGGTGTTTGCACACTTTCATCTACTACCGTACACACTAATTAAATTTAAAACATTGATTATTCGTTTATTTATAGCAGTTGCTGAATTATATCTCATTTATACAAATTAAAAAAGAATGTATTGCATGGTTGAATTTGCTGTTCGTTTTTAGCCTCGACCAGGGCATCCACGTCCATTGCAGTAGAGATAGATGCCGTTTTCTGGGGTACCGGAAAATGTATTCCCGTTGGAATCGACACCGAGACCTAAACATCAAATCGATCAATACTCGTGTCAAGCAATCAAACATATCAATCGGCAACACTTGGACGCAACTAGCAAATTGTACGAAGAGAGGGTGAGAACGAACCTTGCGCGGTGTATCCCCACGTCGGTTGAGACCAGCCACCGAACCATTGGGCGCTGACGGTGGCCGACAGCATCAAGACAATCGCAAGAATTGTGATAAGCGAGTAGTTGCTCATGTTCGAATGAATGTGAAAAGTGCTAGGCAGTCAGTTTGACATGTTTTGGCTGACGACGTGTCGATCATCGATTTTATAGGCATCGCTTCGGTTTCGAATCGGGGGCGGAGTCTGACGCGCATGACAAATATAGTATGTGTGTGTGTTGATATCGAAAGCGTATTTCGATGATCACGACAATTACAGGTCAAAGATTCATATGAATAAGTGTAATGGGCGAGGGGATTGGATTGGAAGCTTCAGAATTTCCTCTCTCTGGCATTTTTCAATACTTATGTGAAAAATCGTGTTTTACAGGGTGTCATTTAAGTTCCCGCACAAAAGTTTGACGCCATGAAGAGCTTGGCTGTCGCACTTTTCGTGCACCAATACAATTTATTTTTGTTAAATAAGGTATATTTTACTTACTTTCCAAGTTTCACCTCATTCGGATGTGTTTCCGAGAAATGACGAAGGCTAACATCCATCGCGCTTCCATTATCGAACTTCATAAGCAAAATGTGAGCCCGAGAGACATCATTCAACGGGTCGGTGTGCTTCGTAGAACGGTTTGCGACACCATCAAACGATTCAAATAGCTAAATACGACCAGTGTCCGTCCCAGACAAGGAAGACTCGTCTCAGTAACCACTCCTCAGAAGATCAACGCCGTTAAATCGAGGATCAGGCGAAAACCCCACAGGAGCATGTGAAAGATGGCGTCAGACATGGGAATGAGCATCTTCGCTATGGAAAAAATCGTCAAAACGAAGCTTGGACTGACCCCATATCGTGTCCAAAAAGCGGCAATTCTATCGGCCGTCAGCAAGCAGAGACGCTTCGAAAAAGCAAAACGACTTCTTGCTCGCACGCGGTCTGGACAACACCTCGTCACTGTCTTCTCCAACGAGAAGCTGTTCACTGTGGAGGCGGCATTCAACTCACAAAGCCATTGAGTACTTGCCCAGACATCCCAGCAAGCTTCTGAGAAAGGAAGAACAATTCATCGAGCCTCACATCCTGCCAGTGTGATGGTTTTCGGTGCCATCTGCTCAACCGGGAAGTGCCCCCTGGTTTTCGTGGATCAGGGGGTGAAAATGAACAGAGAAGTCTACGTTCGGGACATTTTGGAGAATCATGTGATGCCCTGTACCCAAACGCATTTCGGTGGGCAGAAATGGGTCTTTCAACAGGACGGAGCACCCGCCCACACTGCCAAAACTACTCAGGAGTGGTGCCAGACCCATTTTCCCGACTTCATCAAGTCATCCGAATGGCCTGATTGCTCCCCAGACCTGAACCCGCTTGACTTTTCCGTGATGGGGTCTTGCAGGAGAAGGTCAACGCAAAACCCCACTCAAGTATAGAGGCTCTGAAGAAGACATTACTGGCGGAATGGGACAATCTTTCCATCGAATATCTGCGTACCACAGTCGCATCCTACCCGAAGCGTCTCCGTGAAGTCATAGCTGCGAAAGAAGACCGAATCGAAAAGAGTTAAAAGATAATTATTTGTTATACTATAGAAAAAAAAATATTTCGAGTCTCGTTTGATTTGGACTTTTAGTTTCAGAAATATACGTCTTCAAAGTTGTGCGGGAACTTAAATGACACCCTGTATTTTTATTCTGGATTAGCAAGAATGCCTATTGAATTGTCGATTTGGGTCTCGCAACATGGGTGTCGATTTACGGCAACTCGTTAACATGGAGTACACAACTCGTCGTCTTCGAAGCGATTTCGACAATTGAAAATTGAAAGGGTCTCGTCACGATTTTGAGTTTTTTCTGAATCTTCAATCTCAATGACTAGCAATTGAAAATTTGTGCGCCTTTAAGTGGTGATTCATGATTGTGTCAAGCGAATTCAATTTTGCGACCAGCCAGTGAATGCCCATATATGTGCTGGTCCAAAACTCCATGTTGAGATGGTTTATTATTGATAACCCAACGAATAGGGACCTCGTGCCATTCCTGAATATGTAGATTCCATTGTTCGAATGTGATCCCATCTGAAAAATGGTGAAATCCGATTGCTCATTTAGCGATGATTGAAACGATTATCAATCAAACATGATACATTTTGATCGCAACATCTCGTTTTTATATTCGATGACGATTAAAGGGTGAGAATCAATGACATCAGAAGATCGAAAATGCTGATTTTTGTTATGATTTCTAGGCTGTTTTAAATAGTACTCTAATAAGCAGAGTTAGTTTGGCAGAGCAATTCCGCCCAACTCTGCTAGGAAGCGAGAAATCGCAATTGGCGTCAATATACACTTTCATCTTTGCTATTGTATTCCATAGAAAAGTCCCGGAATTTGTTAAACCATCATTATCCGTTTCAATTTTTTCAAAGCGTCTATGTATGTCGTCAGGCGCGTCGCGGTTCGCACGCGGTCATTCCAATGACGGAAAAAAGTGCCTGCAATTATAGCAATCAACTGATTCATATCATCGCAATCCGATGGGAAGATGAAAAAAAAATTATGCAAAATTCCAGGCAAGACCTTGGTTATCCTATAAAATGCATGTGGTCTGTTTGCACACTGACGCAAACTTGCACACATTCAATCAAAGGGGGTTTCACGCTGAAACAAAAAACACGACCCGTCGCACACAATCCCCTTCAAGATCCAATTCGTATGGCCAATCAATTTCAAGGTCATCTCAAATATACGTTCATCGTAAATCCACAAATCGTCAAGAATTTGATCGGTCAATCCGCTGATCAACGCAGCTTCTTCTCAACCCTCATTTTCGCCATTTCTCGTCAATTCGCTTCGGCCTTCAATTTTTTTGCCTTCTTTCACTTCATTCATTCATTTGCTTACAGTAATCAATTCGAATATTCATATATATATACAAAAGACCCAAATTGCGTTTGAGAAATTAATTGAATTAAATAGAAATCCATATAAATATTATTAATAATAATGAATAACAATGTACAACAACAACGGCGAATTGATGTCAATCCTCACGGCTTTGCTTCACGTAGAATATATAATATAATACTGAAACAATTCGATTTGATTCAACCATCTCGAATGTTCGCGCGGCGGTTACTGTACACGCCCAGTTGTTGCCGCCTACAGTAACCCGTCAGCACGTGTCTCTTCAAATAATTGTCTCAGACCAGAGTTCAAACGGTCGATAGATCGAACCATAAATGATTTTTTTTAATGAGACTTACTTAAAAATGTGAAGAATAATGTGGGGAATATTGCTCTCGACATCAAATCGACTCGTCGAGAGACGTCTGAGTTGGCAGCCAGAAGCTCACTTAGCCTGCAAAACACCATTGATAATTAGGACTCGAAATCGATTTTTTTTAACAGGGTTCTTTTTTTGCGGCAAGTTTGATTTGCATGTTATCCAGAGTACGATACACAATGTTTAAATCGAAATTTGAATTACCGCCCTAGTGCGATGGTCCACAATTAGGCAAGGTGGTCGGATTTTTTTTTGATTATCATAATGCTATCTACGCTAACAATTTTTAAATTTTTCAACGCGGATTCATAATTTTTCACGTAGCATTTAAAACTTCCAATCATCGGAAATTCAAACCATCGTCGAATTGTAATTTTATAGTCGCGCGCCTGCGGAAAATTGGCTAAATTCCAACAAATTTGAAAAGGTCTCGGTGCGCTGTGTGCGCCTTTAAACCTATCCTCATACAGACCCGTAAATCGACACTTTTTGTTTTCCGCTAAGCAATCGCAAACAAAAACGAGCACCCTCGTTACTGTAATTTAAAAATCGTGTAAATACGAAGTCCGCAAACATCCAGCGTTCAATTTTTTAGAAATGCTTAATTTTTTGTATTTTTTATTGCATGAATAGGTCCAAATAATTTTGAAATCAAAACCGCGTTTTCCTATCGAATTTAAACATTTTTTTAATCGAATTTCAGTGCTTTCTTATGGACCTATTCATGCAAAAATATCGAATAGATTTATCGACAATAACTACTCATGAAATGCTAAAAATTTTAAGGATAATTAATTAAATTTTATGGACTTATTCATGCAATGAAAAATAATAACAAAAATCTTTTTTTTTTTCATTTGAATTCCCTATGCTCGCATATCAAAAATTACAAAATTGGCGAGATATATCTTAATTCTCCGCTATTTATTTTTTCAAAGGCGCACACGAAAAGTTGCGCGGGTCACGTCGCGCAGTCGGTACTGTATTTTAAATGGCTGTTTTCTTCGAATTGTTTATTTCTTGAGCGTTTCGAACGTTTTTTTTTGTAAATCTGTAAAAGTATTTTGTTTAATCAACGTTAAAGGTTCATCAGAAGCGGCATCGAGCGAAGTCTGCATCAAATCAACACAAAAAACAAAAAAAAAATAGCACACAAAATGAAAAATAAAAAATTCCAGTACCGACTTCGCGACGTGACCCGCGCAACTTTTCGTGTGCGCCTTTGAAAAAATAAATAGCGGAGAATTACGATATATCTCGCCAATTTTGTAATTTTCGACGTGCGTGCATAGGGAATTCAAATGAAAAAAATTGATTTTTTTCATTGCATGAATATTAATCCATTAATCGTTTAATTTATTATTTCATTTTCCTTCCAATCCGATTCATGGCCATTTAAATGATAGTTATTTTTTCACGAGTCAAAATTCATATCGTTTCGAGACCAACAGTATTTTTCCAATTTAGAACTATGTAGCGAAGAAGACAATTTCGTTTTTCAAAATTCTCTTTGAATTTGTGTTTCAGCTTCTCAGAATCTTCCATGCTTTTTCTTCCTCTCCTTCATATTATTAGAATACCGAAATTAGTCGTTATCGTTTCGAGACCATTGCCTCCGTAAATCTACCCTTTTCCTTTCTTGAATTCTTTCAAATAAAACAATCAGTGCCTTCTAATTCAGCATTTTCTCAATCCCTTCAACAAAGGAGAGGAATCATCTCGTGAATCATGTCAACCAATAGACGACGTCTACCGTAACCGGTTGGATCTCGTGATTGCCCTCACCTCGATATGATAGGAAGTTTTCGGACCCCACGATAGGCGGACAAGTCCAATCGTAGCGGCGGCCGATCCGACGGGCACACACAATCATCGAGCCGCGTCTTCTTGCCCTTTTCCTGAATATGATAATTGATGGCGTTCAGGGAGGTTGGAGGGGGAAGTGAGCTACCTTCTTCAAGAATTCCTTCCTACCGTAATAGTTTACAACAGCATATTCTAGAAGTGCGCCGAAGATGAACGCGAGACAAACGCCAATCCAAACATCAACAGCCTGAAAATCGAAAATTGCCCAACGTCACTTCGAGACCCGATTCAAAGGCGCATGGCAAGGTCACCTTAATATAAGAGACTGGCGGCAGCTTCGAGTTGATGCCACTAGCTTGAGTTGTCATTGTTAGCAGTGTGGTGACACCGAGTGAAACTCTCGCCGGAACCGCATCCTCAACATCAAACCATTTTTGGAATCCACACGGACAACCACCAAACCTTATCAAGCCAAAATGAGACCCATGAGACGACGACAAGCATAATACACGGAATATAAAGTTGAATAAGATAGTAACTGAAATCATTTGCTGTTTGTGAAGGTCCGGGAAACACTCACCTATATTCTCGACGAAGTTTGAGAACCACCCGTGCGCAACTGTATTCACCTATAATTTATGCGTGTGGTCGTGAGTATACATGTCCATAAATGTACATACATCATTGGCATTTGTTCAAGGCACTCGATAATATCGAAATTGGATATAATAGAGGGCGGGGGATTGGTGAGAACACATAGAATGAGAAACGGTAGGTTGATGGATTGGTATAGCACACATACAGAGAACGAATCACACTTTCAGCTTCACATCAGATAAACGGCCCAGTAAAGCACTGAAATTTGGACATAAATTGCGGTTGAAAATCAGAACATGGGGCCGATGTTTAAAACGAACCATTGAAACACGCATAGCCGATTGGGAACACCTGGAAATGGTTTGCTGCTTTTTGGCGGCAATTTGTTTCAAGGCGCATACCACTCGCGACACCACGTCGATGCGCTTCGATCGCTCCTTGTACCGTCTGACGAATATTCGACAACAGAATGATGTGCGGCCTTGCGACGCCGACAGCGGTCGATAGCCGTCGGTTGGCAATTGTTTCATCTGCCGCTTAAAACCGTTTTTTTCGATCATTGCCTCGAATGGCTTACGATTCGCTGCGAGACCTGCGTCATATCCTTGCGCGCCGCATAATTGACTAGCGCGAACTCGAGAAGTGCGCCGAAGATGAACGCGAGACACACGCCGATCCACACATCGATCGCCTTCGTGTAGCTCACCGGCGGCAATTTCGCGTTGATGCCGGAACTCTGTGAATTTCATTCGATCGACAATTGACGCCAACGTTTAATACCTGAGTGGTCATTGTCAGAAGAGTAGTTACTCCTGGAAAACAAAAACAATAAACATCAATGAGATCATTTTGAGGTTCGTTGAATTTTTGATAATAATTCTCAATGAATTTTAGAAAGTATTTTAGGATTTTTTTGTGGAAAATGAGCAATGTGAAAAACTGCATTTTTTAAAAATTTTTTTATGTGTTTTCCTGACGAATTTATGGTTTTATGTATATTTTTGTGTTGAAAAAGTGTAATAGTAATCATATTTGTATATTTCATTTATATAAAAAGAAACGATCAATAATTAAATAAATAATTTTCAGTTGAGATTACTGTAGATGTGCGACTCGGTGTACGCACACAATGCATCGGATTTCGCTGCAGTTTTTCACATTCCTCATTTTTTTTTTCACAATAAAATCTAATGTGAGATCATTTAGAGTTTGCTCAATAATTTTTTTTAGAAAATCTAATCATATAAAATTTTTAAAAAAATGTTTTAAGCTCAATTAGTATTACGAAGTATCAAATAAAATTACAATTTGTCACCATTCAGAAATTATTATTGAATTTGTTTTTATTCTCTAAATATTTTAAGACATGTTTAAGATTTTAAAGTAACAATTATCGCCTTGAAATTTAAAGAAATGTTCAAAATTTGGAATTAATTTCAAATTGTTTCACATTATCCATTGGAAAAAATAAAATTTGGGTTTCAAGCAATCCTTAAAATTCGCAAATTCAAAAATGTGAGTTCATTAATTATTTTTTTTACTGCTCTTCTATCACATGTGTCGAAACCCTCAAAATTAAACATTGCACATTTCTCAATAATATGAAACGGATTAGAAGCAGCTTATAAAGCTTGATAATGGATTTCAGCGGATTTGAAAGATGTCCGCAGATATTATATGTAGATTAATAATTTTTTTATTTGAATTATATATATAAATGATACCTAGTGTGACTCTTGCCGGCACCGAGTCCTTGTCGAGCCAAAACGAGACCCATGAGACAATGACAAGCATAAACGATGGAATGTAGAGCTGAACCGACGATTTGGAACATTCACACAAAACGGAGGCAATAAAACAGAGAAAATGAGACGAGACAGATTTTCGAGTAAAAAAAAATTGATCGAAACGCACCTGCAACAGATAGTAACTGAATTCGCGACGAAGGACCATTCGAGTACGAAGACATGAATATTCACCTGAGGACAGAAAAAAAGGAACCGACGGTGTACAAAGCGAACACAAGGACATTTTCGAATCGGACAACACTTTTCATTTCTCGACGTACCTGTGTTCGTTCGCGACGTACAGTAGTCGGTGACGACGTCCTGAAGCTCGAACGACGGCAACGATTGCCGGAGGCCGTCCTTCTGCTGAATCGGCTTCGTCGCCTTCCACTCGTACTTGATGTCTTGCGTCGTGTACGCATCTGGAACACACGATCTCGTCTATGATGGCCGTCTGACGACAATTTACATGACGCGAGATCGATGAGGCAATTTTGGCGATCCAGCGGATAGAATTCGAGCGACATCGGACAAGAGAGGACCAGCGAGAGACGAACGGAATAGAGGATCGAGCCATCCTTGTGTATTCGGATCAGCACATTCGGCTTGTCGATTAGATGTCGTCGGGCTTCTCTTAAAAAAATATAAATGTAGACGCGAATGATGAAATTTGAATTTCCCGCGCATTTTTCAAATTAAATTTTTTCAAAAAAAAAATTGTTCATTTCGGTCAGGTACTTTTAAAGAACATTATTTGAAAAATGAAATTTATAGACGCAAAATGAAATGTGTGAAAAATTGCGTCAGTGTGTTGACAGATGAACACAAAATGAAGCCCATTTGAAGGATTAGGTTTAGAAATTTGTGAAAAAAGCGAAACAAGCGGCTACCGTAGTCGGCCGCTGCGAGACCCAATGCCAACAGCTTTCATTACCGTAGCAAAGAAAAATATTTTCGAAGTTCGAAAACCCTCAAATTTTTTTGAGTTAAAACGAAAATAAATAAATTTCCCAATATTATATTTTTTGATATTATATTTCATCTGCGGACATATTCAAAGTGTCCGCAGATGAAAAATAACGATTTTTTTGTAGGGGGCAGCCTATAAAATGAAATTTATAATTTTAAAAAATTGAACAAAATGAATGAATTTTTAAAAAATGCAAATTAAAAGCTATTATTTACATTTTTGTATTTTATGAATGATTTCAGACAAAAAAAAATCACTGATTCTCAGGTAAATGAAAATCAATCGAATTCGAAGAAAAATTAAATATAAATTAACATGTTTTGATTGAAAAATAATTCAAATTCAATTAAGAAAACGCTTAAATTCAATTTGAAATCTTGGTTTCGATTCAAAAATCTTCGAAATCGATTTTTTATTTCTCATTCTCTAATTTTGAAATCGTATTCAATTGAAATTTTGGAATAATTCGAAACAGATTCGATTGATTTTCATTTACCTGAGTTGCGCCTTTGATTTATTGACAATGTTTGGTCTTTGCGCGTTTTAAAGGCGCATACCGAAATCATTCGTCTTAAGAGGAAGGCATCCCTCAAAAAAATTTTTATTTCGGGCCTAAAACAGAATATTGACGATATTTGAGCAGCTACTCTTCCTAATTATCAAACTCAATTTTTCTCGTGAAATCTGAGCTCAACTCGATTAATTGATCTCAACCTCACTTCTCGATTTTCGTCTCGCATGAGACGCCGACGAATTCCATCGAATCACCACCATCCACCAATTTTTGGTGAGAGCCGCACGCACCTTCGCCACCGGAAACGACGACGTCGCTGGGCACCCCCAAAAAATTTTTTTGCCCTCCTCGTTGAATAATGCATTTGTGAAAGAGACGCTCGTGCGCGCGCGCGCGCTCGAGGCACATTTATTTTATTTATTTTTTTTGCTCCTTCTACTTTTCTGGCTCGCACGACTTCTAAGCAGTAGTAGAACAATCATGAAAAATTGATGAGAAACGAAAGGAAAGGCAAGAGCAAAAAAAATGGGGCGGCGAGTGGCTTTTAGCGTCTCGATCAGACGGCTGGCACATTTGAAACTATTGCTACAGTATGCCTTAGATTAAAGGAGCATTGAGCGATTTTTTTTTGAGGAAAACAACGGGCTAGCAAAAATTTCTCTTCAAAAATATTACCTGCGCGAAGAAAAAAAACGAGCACCATCGTATTGTTTTTGGCGGCAATTCAAATTTTCTTTTTTTTTGGGTACCGTACTATAGATAACCTGCGAATCAAAGGCTCAGCGTGCTTGCTTTATTGATTTTCTAATAAATAAATGGCGAGTGATGTACGTGGGTAGATTTACGCGCATGCGCCTTAAAAAGGTCTCGCCACGATTTTGATGTTTTCACGTAAATTATTTATGTTTTCTTGATGACTTTGGCATTTCCTTAAATTTCCAACGTCATTCGATTTAAGAATTATCAAAAAAGGCGTAATAATCAGTTGGTCCGTGCGAGACCATAGCGAAAGGCGCATGCACGTAAATCTACAACCAACTGCCATCTATTGTCAACGTTGAATTTTAATGATGCCAGAAATTCAAGAAAGCAGCAAACTTATTTAAAAAATAAATATAAAAAGCACAAATTCGCATCGACGCGTTGCGAGACCATTTCGAAAGGAGCACGCGTAAATCTACCCGCGTGCCCACTATGGATTTGTTCTCTACGACGACTTAATCAATATTCTTGATTTAAAGGAGCACTGTTATATTTCTCGAAAAGGTCTTAAAGTGAAAATGTTGGAAGTCAGAATCATTTTTCATTTTGGACTCGCACAGCTCCATTCTTCAAAAATTGTACACCGCGAGCCGAAAATGAAATGCAAATTTTGGAAGAAAAAATGCGAATTGAATTCGGGCGAACGCAAAAACGAATGTTCGCCAGCGAAACAGCTTACTTCTCATTTTGGAAAAACGTGTCCGGCATCCAAATCTGTTGGCTCTGATCCGCATTCTCGGAGGTGGCGAGCACAACGAATGGCGGCACCTGCAAATCCCTTATTTGGAATTCAATTGCGAATTTGACAAGGGGGGAATTGAAGGGGAAGAAGAAGAAGAAGAAGAGGAAGGGGTCTCTCGATGGACAAATTGCGTTACGTATTGTCATTGTTGTGTGATTTTGCAAGAAAAGGCGTCGAAAAAGTGGGAAGACGGCGAAAATTGGCGCAGTGGTTGAAAAACACACACACAAGAAGAACTGCAATCGCTTTCGGACCGCCTAATTCGATTTGTGATCGGCGTCCCGAAATTTTGGTCAAATTTTCTCGAGTATATATATAGAGATAATTGAATCTAAAACAGAAAATCAAAAAAAAAATCGAGAATTGAAATTTCGAGATCACTTTTCTTCTGTTTTGAAATTTATTTAATTTTTTTGCAGCATATTTGAAAACGATCTAACGATTGGCGGGGAAATTCAATCAGTGTGAATTTACGCAATTATTTCCTGCGCGTACGTTGAAATGCAGAGTACGCAAACACGCGCAAGACAGCTGGCAAGCAGCCAATATGTATATATTTTTTTAAATTTTGTTCAGTCATTGGACGCCAACAATAATTGTTGAATCTCGCCGAAAATGCGAACCTCGGTATCCTGATCTTCATATCTGCCATACGCGAGCCTCGCGTCGACCCATTCTTCTCGAAATGTGAACTGCGCGCTGTATTCCATATTCACATCGTCAATCTTGGATATCGAGCGAAGATAAATGTTGACGGTGACCATCACTGGTCCGCCAGTGTCTGAAAACCGAAACGATTTGGATTTAATAATCAAATGAAATGTGGCGGACATATGTGATGTTCCACATGCAATTTGTTCAACGCGAGAAAATGAGACGAACAAAAAAGAAATCATTCGTTTGCATTTTTTATTATTTTCCTCTCTGTTTTCGCGAAAATTCCCTAGATATGTGGTCTTTAAATTGTCCAAAAATTGGGAATTTGCGTCCTAATTAAAAATGACCAAAAAAAAAACGGCGAACCTGGCCATGATGAGTTGAGGCCCCTCGGTCGAACTCTCCAATCATAATCCTTGAGGACACGCTGAATGATCTCCTGCTCCTTGAGCTTCCGCTTCGCCGCCACCGTGTACAGTGCGGCGGCGGCGATGACAATGAGCAACGGTCGACGCATCGTGCGCCTTTAAACAATATGAATACGCACACTCGCACAAAACGCGTTTTTACGTGGAATTCGAGTGTGCCGCCGCGACAAGATGAATAGGTGAGCTGAACGACGATGACGAGTATAGTAGAAGAGCAGGAGGAAAAAAAAGGCAAAGGAGGAGGAGCCAAGAGAGATTCAAGCACACACAAAAATCGCCCCCCAGCTGAAGGAATCGAGCGAGTGTGTTGGAGCCTCACCAGGCTTCGCCGTTGCTCGCCGAGTGTTGCTCTCTCCTTCTCTTTCACTTCCCGCTTAGCGTTTTTTTGTCTCCCTCTTGTTCTCCTTCTTCCTTTTTGCGGAATTGCTAGAGAGACGCGCGGCGTCGCTCGAATCGATGTTGTATTAGAATGACGACGAAGACCGACGGCGACCTGTTCTGACTAGGTTACCTGCATCGGGCACACTGCCAAACCACCAAAAACCCTGCAAAATATTTTCACAAATTGAATTGCATTCAACCAAAATAGAAAATAATAAATAAAATGACGCAAAAAACCACAAGTCAGTCATGATTTTTCGAAAATGCTTCTTGATCAGACGAATCGTGTTGGAACATACCCTCCCCCCTATCAGATTATTGCTGTTGCACTATTCGAAACTTTTGAGCATCGAATTTCAAGACTGAAAATTGCTGGTTTCATTTTAGATTTCTCGCAATTAATGAAATAATGGGCGATGTTTGCAGAGAATGCATTAGAGCCTACGACAAAATGCAGATGGCATTATTTTATTTTATTTTCTCGACCGATAATGGTGCTCAAAAAAATGTTTTAACGAGCAGCGCTTTATTTTTTTTTTGTAAAACCTCTTCAAAAAGATTTAAGGATCCTTGAAACAAGTGAATGCACATCACTTCAACAAAACATGTCGCAAAAAATTTCAACAAAATGCAAATAAAGTTTTGAATGGAATGTTGCAAAAGTTTCGTGTGCAACAACAAAAATCGTGCAAATTTTCTATTTTCAGGTTTTAAATTCTTAAAATTGCAATAAAACGAGCCCCCTGAGCCGATTTCCGATGAGTTTGATTCGCAGGTTACCCGTAGTGCGGTATTCGAATTCTCAAAAAAATCGAAAAAATATTATTGAAGAAAATATTTTCGCATCTCGATTTTTGCGATGAATCTTGCAAATAACACCCCAAATTATTGTGAATATCGAAATTGAAAAATTTTAAGAATAAAACGCGTTTAAAAGTGTTTTTTGTTTATTCCTTACAAGGAAGGTCTTTTTGCTGTCCGTCTTAAATGTTTTTTTTTTATTTTTTGCCTACAGATCCTTTAGAAAATTTCCAATCGAATGAACAAGGTCCCAGCACAAACGTCTATGTAGTTATCGAGTTTTAAAAAATGTTTAAGACGGACAGCAAAAATATCTCCATTGTTACTTTTTAATGTATTATTGTTAAGTAGAAGAGATCTTCTTGATATGACCCTTTATTTTAAATGTCTTGCACAATGTTGAAATGTTTATCCATATGAAGATCCAACTAATAACGGCCAACACGCTGAATTTTGATCATAATCAGCACCCCAATTATAATATTGGCAAATTGCTTATCAAGTATATCAACCAACAAATTATTAAAATTCCTTGAAAATCTCATTGGGCGAAACAGTGCCAAAATTTGGGAGTGGCGAAAGAAAGAGCAAATTCCTTAAATAGGCCCAACAATGAAACCTGTGTGTTTCACCAAAAACGAGAAAAAAACCCTTTCTTGTCGAAATCTCGCAACGTTTTTCGCAGATATCGAATAACTTCAAACAAACCGAGTTTAAAAGTTGCTCAGAAAATTTTTTTTTGAATGAAAGCTGGCAATTTGAAAAAAAAAAAAACCCATTGCGCAATTTTCGAATGAATTTCGAATTTACCACTTTTCAACTTGGTTTGGTTAGAAGTTGTCTACACAAAATTTGCGTATTTTGCCGAGTTGCTTCTCCCGATGAGTTTGCCAAGACAATTCCAAAATCGGCAATTATTTTCTCTAATAATCTTATTGAAAATACTAGCCAAAATGCCTTATAAAGCTTATGAATCAAAATAATAGTGTAAATTTTCAAAGTTTTTAAAAAATTTCAATTTTGCTGCGAAAAAAATCATCAAATGAGATGGGTATTTTTTAGGTTTTTCTGTGACATTTGCGTCGCGGTGTTTTCACAAAATCGCATTTATTTTTATTATTTCTGATATTTTAAAACTCAAATTTTAATAAATTAAAATAAAAACCAAAAATAGAAATATATTTGCGAGAAAATCTCTAGTCACTGCCGGGTTTTGGCGGCAATTCAAACGCATTTCTCTTTTCAAAAAAATAAAAAAAAAACTGAAATTCGATATTTTCAAGTTATACTATGCTGATTTCGCAAAAAAATTACCCTAAAAGTCGGCTAATAAAAATATCAAAAATCTTTTTTTTTTAAACCCGAATGCAAATTACGCAAAAATCAAGTTTTTTCGAGTTTTTCTTCCCAAAATCAGCATTATGAAGAAAAAAACAGAAAGAAAATGTTATGATTTGCAAAGAAAATCATAAAAATTTTTGGACAAAAAGCTATCAATCAATGGCGAATGACGCCGACAGCGGATGCACCTGAAACATGAGATATTCGGAGGCAAAGCCAGTGTGTGATAATTCGCTTGTCACCAGTCCCACTATAATTTGTACAGATGAGCATCGAGAGAGAGAGAGAGAGAGAGACAAATTTTGACGAGATGCAACCGCACGTGTTTTACTACTACTACATACATTCGCAACAATTGCAACATTTATCGAGATTAGAAAAATAAATATAAACCATTTAGGACAGATGAAAAAAAAAACAGTGGAAATATTCAAGAATCGTGCAAGAGCATTTAGAATTCAGGAGCATCGAAGTAAGCTGCAATTATCACCAATTAAGGAAACCAATTATATATTTATTTTTCTTTAATATCTTACTGGGAAATTTGGTAACTGCAAAATGTTTGTGGGCCCAATCAATATGACATTTCCAAAAATTTTCATCATTTGGCAAAAGCTGAAATTTCACATTTTCATTTAAACCCGAATATTATCATACCGAATACATAACAAGAAGATTTTTGTGATATTTAAGATAATCCGAGGTTTCAATTGACTCGATAATCTCCTTTCTGTAAATTACACTAATTAAAAAAATAATTGTTCTATTTCTACCTCAAAAAACTGGCCAACTCATCGGTTCCATGCGTTCGATTTTCCTCGTCTGCAAAACAAAAAAAACAAACTGATTCTCATAAAAAATTTTTCGCTGACTTTTCTCGACAAATTGAGTTGCCATAGAAGAAGTCGCGTTCGATGTAACATTTTGAGGTTCACTGTCGATCTGATTCGGAATTCGATTAAACGACACTTCCAATGTGCGCATATCATTTTCATTCTCGGGTTTTCCAATCTTTCCTGCTTGTTGCTGCGGACTCGCGTGACGCGTTTGCACCGGTGTTGAATTCGGCGTCATCGCTGGACTCGGAGTTTTTGTCTTCGACAATTCCACAGTGGTCACTTCAGCCAATTGGCGAGCAAATTTCGGGCGAGTAGACGTCGATGAATCATTTTTTGAGCTACCTTTAATTGTTTCTTTTTAAACAAAACATTTTAAATACAAAAAAGATGTTACTTCGTTCGGATGAATTTCGCGTCTCAACATTTTTTGCGATATTTCTATTGGAAATTCCGGTGTCTGAGCGATTGTCAGCACTTCCTCCTTAAAACATATTTTCATTTCAATTCTGAGAAAGCAAATCTTGTCACCATTCGGCAAATTACGTGAAGACGAATTGTTCAACTTGTCAAAACTCGAGTTTGCGATAACTGGAGAGTTCGAGCCAAGAAGTCCGCTCGACGACAAGTTTCCGGCAATGATCTCTTCGGAGTCCGACGGAATTTCGTAATCGATCAAGCTGTGATGATGTTGCGACTGAATTATTAGATTTACTCAAACTTTCAGCCTCAGATATCGTACCAATTGAATTTGTTGCGATTCGGAGAGCATGTCGGAGGTAAACGATGGAAAATCAATCATATATCGGCCGTCCTAAAAGCTATTGTAAGAATTTCATTAAACAATTCCTACCGCAGTTTTTCCAAACACCTCCGCATCTTTGGTCTTAAGTGTTTCGCGAAATTTCTCAATCAGTTGTTTATAGTATACGTAATACTTCTGAAAATTAAATGTTTTTTTTTCAAAAATTCAAAAATTGCTTCGTTTACTTCTTTGATCGATTTGATCTTTTTGATATTGCACACATAAAATCCAGGGTTGTTGTTGACAATTGAGAAATTGGAATTTGTCAAGAAAAGATTTTTGATGCTCACAATACGGGTCGCCATTTTATCCAAGATCAACGCTTGATATCGTCCGATCTGTAAAACAGATACGTCGAAGAATGTCGATGTTTTTAGAAAATTACTTTTCCTGGCTGCTGGCTGATCATAATAACGCGTCGCAGCAATCCTTGGTTATTTTTGTAAATCATTTCACATCCCGGCGAAACGTCATTTAATGTGGCATTCACCAGGCTTGTATTTCTAAAACAAAAAATAATATTTGCTTGATAAACGATTTAAGCCACTTACTCAACCTTATGCATTAACATTTGTGTGGATACGGCAGTTGCAATTAATAAACTATGGGGTGGGAGGAATAACAAAGGAGTCATCTGAAATCTGATTAAATTTGATATTTCAAATAAATTTGGTGATCAACCTTGAATTTTCCATTTAATGGTGGCTGACTTTTGATCAACCAATCCAGATCGATAGCTCCCATTTCTCTCATTTGTCTTGGAATAACGATAGTAGCAGTTACTGATCGAGGAATAATCGACACGACATCTTCATATTTCAATTATTTGGTTATTTACAACTTTTGTTACTGACCAGTTAAAAAATTGAACGCGAAAAACTTGCTATTCTGATCGACAATTATCTTTTCAAAGACATTCAAATCATTTCTCTTCGTTGGCTTTCCTTTTAGTGAATTTTTGTAGATTGCAAGGCCTAACTTATATGCTTCGTCCCAGTCTTGGTTATCGATGTAAATGGTGTGATCGTGTGCCGGTTCCATTCCTGAAACATTGTTTTACAATAAAACAAACAAGAAAAAATAGTTAAATTTTGACACCTATTCACATAAAACTGTGAGAATTAGGCCACGCGAACAATATTTATTTGAATCGCCAAAGACATTTTAGGAATCTAATTAGTACGATAAAATATTATTTCATTGTCAAAAAAATGACCCGGCATATAAAATTGAGGTAATTTGGTTAAATTTAATTTTTATGAAAGCAGAAAAGTTTAAATATTTAAGAAATTGATTGAAATTTGAAAATTGTGTTGATTCATTTCGAACCGGTTACTGTAGCAAAATGTGTTTCTGTGCAAACATCATAATTGACGGATGAATTTCAAAAATTCTCAAAATTCGAAAATTTTATTTTTTTTAAGTTTTGTATGATCCGCGACAATTCATTTCATGATTTTATGTGGAAGCTCCATATTGTTGTTTTGCTTTTTCAGACAGCAAGCATAATGTTTGAATGAATTATTTTTATGTAAACAATGAGAAACTTGTCTAATAAATTAGTTAACACTACATCGAAAGTGCGATTTTTTTCCTCTGCCTTTAGGAAGTTTTCACGTATGAGTATGCACTAAATGATGATCCATAGTGTGATGCCAATGCCCTTTGGGAAATGGTGGTGGGTGTGACCCATATGGCTTATCTTCTTAAGGAGCCAAACACATGCCAGTTTATGTGACCCGCAACTTTCTCTTATCCAATTTGAGAAGACGTTTTCTTCTAATTGGCCAATTATTTTCTTTTTCGGTGTTATTTTCTTCATTATTTTCATAATAGCTTACATAATTAACGACATTCGCCCCATGATAGTGTAACACCATAGTTTTCATTTGCGAAATTGTCGTTTTGTTATCAAAGGTTCCCGGAAGTTGTCAAATTAATTTATAAGCGTCGCTTTTCTCATTTTGACAGTTAATATCTTTCGTTGTATACATGTGACCTACATTTCATGGTGGCCGAAGTTTGACGGACGCGAGCATCAGCCAAATGTTTCATTTGGCCTCTTTTCTTCATTTTTTACTCATATTTTTCATTTATTTTTAAAATATTTTACGTGCTTATTTTTTCAGTTACTCGAGAATGTCAGAGTCCAATAAAATAATCGAGGTATAATTGTTTTGGCTTAAAATAAATAATAAATTAAGAAATTTAAGGTTTTGATTGGGCATGAATCGAGAAAGCTCGAAAAACTGACACCGCAAGGGCACACGCATCGCTGGACACTTTTCGTTCGACCGGCAAATAAGGAATATCGAGACTTTTCCGATAATCGGTTCATTTCGAAAGTCAAATTTCAAATACACGAGTCATTTCCGAACCCGTTGCGCACTATTAAGGAACCACCGTTCGCTGTATGCCCAATATTTTTTCTTTGTGTATATTTTTGGTTTTCTAGGTTTCCGAAACAGGATTTGCATCATTTTCTTCAACAATCGTCATTTATTTGAATTTATGGAACCAGAAATCGCACAAAATTCAATATGAATTGAATCTTTCTTTAGGTAATAATAACTATTTCCTTTTAATTGCAAATTAATGGTGAAATATTTAGATGAAAAAGGATATCATGATGAAATTCAGAAATTGAATATCAAAGCCGACATTCCTTCGTTCTTCGCTGATTTGATGAATAAGTATGTTTTATTAAAAACGAAGACACCAATAATATTAGCAATAATTAGGTATTGTTTGAAAAAGAAGTCGAAAAGGAAAAGCTCAGTTGTTGGCGACGAAAAATCATCAATTCCTGAGAAAAAAAGCAAAAGGTCGGAAAGTTCGCGAAGCAGCAGTAAACATTCGTCGGAGAAGAGATCGAGCTCGAAATCTGTAAGTCTCGAATGTTTGGTAAATTTTATTGTGGTGTATTCAGAGTCGATCTCCGAAAAATTCGTCATCTTCATCATCGTCGGCACCAAAAAACGAAGATTCTTCAAAGCATCATAATGGAGGATATAAGCATCCATATGGAAAAGTTGCTCCGATAAAAACGAATCCGAAAAAGAAAACGGTAATGTGTCCTATTGGTAATTAATATTGAATATCTTTCTTCTTCAGGAATCGATACAAAGCTCACCAGCTAGCTCGAGAAATGATGCCAAAGAAAACGTTGAAGAATTGACAAAGAAAATCGTGAATATATCCGATCCTAAATTATTGTACAAGTATGTGGTTTTACTATTGTAGGCATCCGGAATTTCCGTAGATTTACGGGTACGTTTTTTGCTCTGGTCTTGCCACGTTTAAATTCATATTCTGTAATTTTCACAGGATGTTTTTATTAGTTTGGTGTTTTCGTGAATTTCTAACGGCATTAAAACATAACATTATCGAAATAAGCGGTAAAATGAAAAATAACTAGTTAATCCGTGCAAGACCATACTAAAAGGCACATGCTCGTAAATCTACCCCAATATAGAAGTCGCCGACTATATGTTTTATAAAAGTAAAAATCTGTACTTTCGAAAATCTTTATTTATGAAATTAAGATTCCAATTCAACATTTTTCAGAGTAAGCGAGGTTTTGCTGAGTTCAAAGAGTTCAAAACTCTCGGAGTCATCCATGTCTTTATCATTTGACCTCTCCACATTGCCATCATCCGACTTGATCTCAATTTCAAAGCTTCTGACAACCTACGGCTCACCATAGACGACGTCTTTCAATGACATTTTCGCCATAATGTTCGGGTTTTTCAAATGTTCCAGTCGTTGATCTCAATTTTGTGATAATATTTAACGTTTATTTCTATTTTTCCACTTTGTTTAATAATTTTCGTGTAGAATAATAAACAATTTTTTTTTTGAAATTTTCTAATTCGCGATTAGAAATTGTTGTTGGTTGCTAATCCCGAAAATATTTTCGAATGAATCAAAAATCAACTGCTTTGCTGCATAAACGCATAAAGTCGTCTCATTTGCGAGTGAATTGCGCAATTTCTGTCCTTTCTAATTTGGTTATCCCGAGAAAACAAAGATGAAATGGTACGATATCGGTCCCGACGCTCTTTTCTTCTTTTTGTTCTCACCCATTATTAGTATAGTGTCCAATGGGAAGAAAAAATTGCGAAAAGAACAAAATGAGAAAATATTTTTTTACAAACATTTATTTTCAAGTTTTATTGAAGTTTCAATGCTGAAAATTTGACAAAATCGAAAAAAAAGAAAAATCGTAGTTTTTCCTTGAAATTTTCCGATTTTTTCTTTTTTCTTCTATTCATTGTCCCATTGAGGGAAATGGTCTTACAGCGAAAAAGAATTTTTAGTCGGTTTTGAAAAAATGGATACAAGCGCTTTCACGTTAAGATATATTTGATGGTCCTTTAAAATAATTTATTGATCTAATGTATAGCTTTTAAAGAAACCTCGATTATTGTCTAGATTTTTGAAACGAATAGACTGCTAATCCGTTTTTTTTTTCAGAAGCCGACTGTTTAAAAAAAAAGACGCCAGAACAGTCTGGTTTTTTTGCGGTAGTGTAATGAAACTGACAGTATTCGGCAGTTCTTCAACTTGTTCATAGTTTTTTTTTGGCGAATAATGAAAAATGTCAAAACGTGACTGGTTGTTTAATATAACGAATGTTGAATAGAAAGACGAGAGCCTGGGTCTCGTTGCGCGTCGACTGGCGTATGAGATAGTGTGCGGTGGAGCGAGAAGCGATGTGACAAACGAAAATCAATAGCGCACCCTAAGAATCTTCGCAACCAATACAGTCTTACCCATTGTTTTTTTTTTTGTCATTTTTTCTTGTTCTTCTCGCAATTGGTTTCGAAATGGATTAATTGAGGCTTTCGATATTTGCAGACGATCATTGTGTATGTCTAGTAGTAATCGCGAATCGAAATCGGATAGCTCGTTTGGTCAAATGCTTGATAGTGGGAATAATCCATCAAGTTCTAGACGGCCCTCAACAGCCAATAATGAATGTGTGACGACGGTGGATCCGGTGATTCTGACGCAGCGATGGACGGTAAGAAATTCATAATTGAACTATGCTCGACTAGGTTAATTAATAAGAAATTGCAAGTAATTATAATGTTCGTAGAATATCGAAATGCTCACTAATTGCAGTTTTTTTGCAGCAAAAAAATGTATTTCGAAACTTTCAAAAACATTCTAGATATGCAAAATTTTTAATTTTTTTGACTATTTCAAGAAATCTATTTGTTTTTATAAAAAATACATTAAATGTGCCTTTTTGGGTAACTTAAAAAAATTTTTAATTGCATGAATAAGTCTATTATTGTCTTGAAAAAAATAGGCAATTTTTTTATATTTGCTTATATGGTGTATTATTTTTTTTATCATTTCCTTTCAGATCAGTAATTTCGATAGTCTTATCAAATTGAGTCAACCCGGTAGCTGTTTGCGTAGTACTGTATTTAGGTATGAATATCCATTCCGACTAAAATTGTTTTGTTTTTGTTTTTTTTTCTAGAGACGACGCGATTCCGGATGCGTGTTGGCAGTTATGCTTATATCCGGGCGGCAAACGCGAAGAAAACGCCAATAATGTGTCATTATTCTTGAAAATGTCGGCGACGTCGCCATCGAAAGAAGTGATTCTGAAGGCCGAATATCGCTTCTATTTTCTCGATGACAAAGAAGAGCCGAAATTCAGCAATGTGAATATTGGAGAATTTCACGCGAAGCCGCCGAAAGGTGGACATTCGTGGGGTTTGCGGAATATACCGACGCAAAAAGTGAGATATTCCCATTTTTTGAAAAAAATACACTTATTTTAGGTGCAAAATAGTATTAGAAGCGACAAATCGTTGGTAATTTCATGCCAGATTGAGCTTATTCCGGATGTTTCGAAAGTGCCTTGCCGTCGGGTTCCGATGGTCCCAACGGTGAAAATGCCCATTAATTCGTTGCCTACGAGTTGGGTCGAATCGGAGCTTCGAATGCTTGAATCGGCTGAAGGCTATGATATGGAAATCGAGGCGGGAATCGATGAATGCGAGAAATTCTACGTGCATAGCTTCAAACTGTCGGCGCATTCGGATGTGTTTCGACGAATGTTCACACATTCGGATATTCTAGAAACATCGGTAGTGAGCGCCATTTTCGACCATGAAATTTGATTGGTTTTCAGGAAAAACGCTTGCGAATTTCCGATTTTACACCGACTGCTGTTCGAGCGATGCTTCAATTCATGTATGGTGGTGTGATTCGAATGGATCTCGAAATTGAGGTTTTCATTTTTTTTTGCCAGAATTTTCATCGAATTTCCACTCATTGTTTTTAGGACACAATGGAGGTAATGCAAATTGCAGAGAAATATCAAATTGAGTCGCTGAAACGAACTTGCGAACAATATTTGCTTGACAGGTACGCGCTATTCTCATTTTTGTATTATTTGGTGTCTTTTTGTAGATTGGTTGTCTCGAATGTGCTCGATTGTTTGGCGCAGGGTGATACGTTCCAGTCGGTTATTCTCACCGAGGCTTGCATGGAATACGTGAGTTTCGTTTGCGCATATTACGGAAATTGCATTTTTTTTGACGTTTGTCTGCAATTTTAATTTTTGAGCACGCGACGTGCGTCTTCACAAATTTCAATCAACATGATGTAATCGTGAATTGGGTCTTGCCACGAAAAACGAACGATTTTGACAAGTTTCATGATCTCGCCGAAATTTTTTAAACGTTGATTGCGAAAGAGACATCATCGAAATTTTTCATAGAAGAATCTCGACCTAATGCTATTTTAATTAAGAATATCTTAAAATGCTTTCAAAATATGAAAAAAAAGTGCTGAATTTTGTCAAAGGCCCAAATAATGAAGATCAATTTTCCATGAATTTGCATCGGATTGTTTTTCCAACATCGAAAATTGCAATATTCTAGATTGTCCATCATCGGCACAAGGTGATGTCGATGCCCGCTTGGAAGGCGTTCCTGCAAGCGAAGCCATCGCTCGGAAACGAAGTGCTCGGCAAAATTCTGAGTGTCACCGATGTCTCGCCGCCGCTGAAAAAATCGCGCATTTGAGGAATTGTTGAAACGAAAGAAATATTGTTAACTACAAAACCACAAAGGTGCTCTCTTTGTACTTCATTTTTTCTTGATTTTTCTCTCAACATTTTTATTGGCCACTACTCACTTTGCGAATGTTCGCGGCGCAGATTCTAGTCGATTCTGACGTTCTTGTCCGTCGATTCGTTTTTTTAATCATCATTATTCAAACAAACGTGATATCAAAGAATGATGCGAACGGTATCCAGGAACCCGTCGAAGGTCAATGGGTACTAACTATATGAATTTATATGAAGAGATTATGTTGAGCGCCTTTGAATGAATCCAATCAGCCACTGTGATTTTTAGAAATGAAAAAGAAATCTCCAAATCTCTGTCTTCGCGATTGGATTTTTCCAAATTATATGCTTTTTGTATAGTTTTATTTCAAATGTATTTCCAAATTTTATTATTATATTCATTAGTTTTATGTGTCCTCTTTCTCTCTCTCTCTCTTTTTTGTAAAACTTGGAAGAAATTAAAGAAAATAATTGATTCTGTAGTTTAAATTCTGTACCGTCCACCTCCTTCTCCTTCTTCGTTCAGCCTCACTCTCTCTCTCTCTTTTTTTTTCCTGAATTTTTCCATCACATAATGTGTTTTTCTTTCAATTAATCAACCTTGTTTCAATCTTCTTCCATTCTTTCGTTGATTTTATTTGTAAAATGAAGATCGCCGTTTTGTTTTATTGAATTGTTATTATTCTTTTTGACATTCTTATTGCGTTTTATTTAACGCGGAAATATTTTGAAACGAAATCGAAATATGAAATGCATTCGAAATTTTGGATTTAGATGGGTCGAATGAATGTTTCGATGATGCGGTACCTCGAAGGGGACCACTTTCGAGTTTTGATTGCGGTAAGTTATCAATATTCATTAGTAAATGTGTGTTTTTTGTTCAATCTTTGAAAGTGGATAATTTTACGGGTCTCATGACGACGAAGCTTTTGTTATTTCCGAGTTCAAAGCTTGAAATGTGTGTTAATAGAACGAAATATGTGAAAAAGAGGAAATGACTAGAAAATTGAAATTAATTTCATATGTATCATTTTCCCACCAACTCATTTTTGTCCGGTTTCCGAAAATATTTTTTGGTTTAAAAAATATTTATTTAGAAAATGAAAATTTAGATTCGTCGTTTTCATTTGAGAAAAAGAAAAATAATATTGTAATAATGTAAAATAATCGTTCCGTAAATCCACTTATATGTATAAAATCTGTGAATTTTTTTTTAATAAAATATTTTAAGGATGTCTTATGATTTTAAATAGATCATCAAATTAGTGCCATGGATTTTTGGTTGAAATTGCCAAATTAAAACAATTTAAACGACAAATCGATTTTTGGTTCGAAAAATGTTGAAGAATAGTAATTAAAAAAACCTTCAATTCAATTAATTTGCAGGTTGAAATGGGTATGAAGAATCACGAGGTGGTTCCGCTTCCTCTGATTTCTTCGATTGCTGGAATTCATCGTGGCGCGGTGGCGAGAACTCTGTCCGATCTTTGCAAGCACCAGCTTGTCGCTTTTGAGCGCAGCAAAAAATGTATGAAATCGATTTTTTTTCGTTGGATTTGCTCATTTGCCAGTATTCAGTTGATGGATATCGTCTCACCATTCGCGGTTATGATTATTTGGCGTTGCGCGCGTTGTGCTCTCGCGATGTCGTCGGAAGCGTCGGAAATCAAATCGGAATCGGAAAGGAATCGGACGTCTACGTCGGTGGTGATCCCGACCTCAATGATTTGTGCCTGAAGTTCCATCGTCTCGGAAGAACCTCGTTCAGAAAGATCAAAGAGAAGAGAGATTACCACAATCGCAGAAAGAATGCTTCATGGCTTTATTTGAGTAGACTGGCAGCTGCGAAGGTACCAGATTCCTCGATGGTCCCATTTTATGTGTTTTCATCAAATTTTAGGAGTTTGCTTTTTTGAAAGCCCTCCAAGAGCGAGGATTCCCTGTCCCGAAAGCGATTGACGTATGTCGTCACGTTGTCGTCATGCAACTCATTGTCGGACAAACTCTATGCAATGTTAACCATATTGAAGACAAAGGAGCTCTCTATGACAGGTTCGAAACACAATTTCGAAGGGTTGTAAACTTGTCGTTCAGATTAATGGCGCTTATCGTGAAATTGGCGCGCCATGGTGTTATTCATGGCGACTTCAATGAATTCAACTTGATTCTTCTTGACGTAACTTCTAATATTCTCATTTATTCTTCTGTACTATTTTTTTAGGATGAAAAAATTATGATGATTGATTTCCCGCAAATGGTGTCGATTGACCATCCGAATGCTCAATTCTATTTCGAACGTGATGTGAATTGTGTCAGGACATTCATGAAGTGAGAAAAAAAACAAAGAATTTTGTTTTATTTTCAATTTACGTTTTCAAGGCGCCGATTTGATTATGAGAGCGAAGATTGGCCAAAGTTTGATGAAATTGAGCGCAAAGGCAACATGGATGTTCTTCTTGAAGCCAGTGGATTTACCAAAAAAATGGCACTTGATTTGAATAAGGTTCGTATTGCCATCGCAATTTTTGTGAACATTGAAATTTTTGGGCCTATGATGAGGGAAATTTCCGTGCGCATTGCGAAAGTGAGCTGAAAAATGGCGAAGTTTCAAATGATGATTCTGAAAATGAAGAAGACGATGATTCGGAATCGAGCGACGATTCGATGGCAGCGATTGATGAGAAGGATGAGGAGATTGATGATGAGGAAGTTGAGGATACAAAGATTGAAGCGAAGCATCAGAAGATTGTTCTTTCACAAAGTACTCGGTTTAATGATTGGCTTCAAACGGCGACGGCTCAATTGGACGCGGTTGATCTGAATGAGCTGAAGAAAGAGGACGGATATGACGAGAGCCAAATTCCGGATGAAGTCGTAAGAGAACATATAACGAAAAGGTTTTCACCTTCGTTTGTTTTATTTTAGACGTCATCTATTATGTTGGCCAAAGATGAGAAGAAGGATGAACCGAATAATGAGGAATCCGACGATGAGCATTATGCTGTTGAAGATCCGAAGCCGAAGATTGTGAAGAAGAAAGTTGGAGCTAGTGGAACGAAGAGTATCGCTACAAGTGTGGCAACATTCACTTCAGAAGAGATCAAGCGCAAATTGGCTTTGGAGAAGCTTAGAAATAAGGAGAAGGTGAGAATCACGCGGGTTTCGATGTGTTCAAAGTCCGTTTTTTTTTTGGTCGCCGCAAAATCCGTAGTAATCTTTTCGAAATGTTTGCAAAATTCGTTGACACCACGAAAAAAAAACCAGACATGAATTGTTCCAAAGTGCAACCGACCTTTTTCTGAGTGAAGGACACACATTTTCGATGGTTTGAATGTGATGAGACCTCGATAACCGTTCGACGCAACATATTTAATCGCCTTATTTGACGCGATAATTGTTGCAGACACGATTGAAAGTGAAAGGCAAACAGAGCTCGGTGAATCGGAATCGCAAAGAGAACAAGAATGTGATTGCTGAATATGCTGGATGGATTTGATCGATTCATTCATTCTTCTTGATTTTGTTTTTGTTTCGCTAACTTTGTTTCGTTTTTGACCATTTCTTGTTGTTGTTTTCTTTTTCGTTTCGAGACCCCACTAAATAAATCACGTGAAATTCTCGCGCCGTTCGATCGATTCGAGCCCGATTGTGGCATTGACATTTTGCCGTTTTCATCGTCGCCCTACTTTTTTGCTGATAAGATAGAGGTTTTTGACCTCAGACGTCTCCTCACTATTGCAGTTTCATTCCGTCGATTTGTTTTGTGTGAGAAATGGCCTACACGAGAGCTGTGATTCCTGATGATTTCGAGGTTCGTTTTCATTTTCCCCCACCCCACTTCTTTGTTCAGTTTTGTTTCTTTTTTGTAGCTTCCCGTTGCGGCTTTTGACATTCCCCAATGCTATAATGGTGATCTTTCGGGAGTTGTGATTCCTGAGGGATTGGTGAGAGATCGAGTTCGCAGGCTTGCAAAAGGTATCTTTTGTTTCGACAAAGAAATTTCTCGTAGAAAATTGATTTAGAAAAAGTTTCATCTAAAAGCTGGTTTTTAAATATTGAAATAAATTGATTTTTCTTCCACGCGATAATAAAATTTGAATCTTTTTTTCTAAAAATTTTAGTTTTTTAGATATGAATAATTAATACAATTCTAGTTCAAATAATTTATCACATAACCACTTTTGTGGACTTAAAAACCCTTTCGCGTTGTGGTTTTTTTTTAAATAATTTTCAGGCAAGAATATGTATTTAAATTATTTGTTTGCATCAAATTTAAACAATTCAAAAATACACGCCTTTTCTTTGTGTTTCGAGAGTATATTTTTATTTAGTCAGCTTCGGGGCTTAATTTTTAAAATTTCACGGGAATTGCTTAATTTTTGTTGATGAATTTGTCATTTTTCTTGAATGCTTAATATAATTGAAATTAAAAATTAACGGGAATGCAAAATAACCAGTTTGACCGTGCGAGACCATAGCGAAAGGCGCATGCACGTAAATAAAGCGGTCACCAGACGCCGACTATAGTTGACGTCGATAAAAATATCGAATGATAACAGATAACCCTTATTAGGTTGCTCAAAATGGCTGATTTCAGATATTCATTCTCAAATTGGAAATGAGCCGCTTTCTTTGCTCTGCGTCCTCAAAGGATCTTACAAGTTCTTCACTGTTTTGGTAAATGATTGAAATTTTTAACCTTTTAGTTTATTTTAATCGTTTAAGGTTGAAGAATTGACGAACGCTCGTTCTTCGTGCCCAGAGCCGATGACTGTTGACTTCATTCGCGTCAAGAGCTACGAGGATCAGAGCAGCACCGGAACGGTAAGAGAATTCGATTGAAATTCGTAATAATCCAATTTTTTTAGATCCAAATAATGGGATTGAGCAATTTGGATGAGCTCAAAGACAAGAATGTTCTAGTTGTCGATGATATCGCGGATACTGGAAGAACGTTGGCGAAGCTTCTCGACACTTTGAAGAGCATCGGAGTCCGTCAAACATGGACGGCTCTGTTGCTCTCCAAGCGGGTTCATCGCGCTGTTCCAGTCCCCGAAGACTTTGTGGCGTTCGAGATTCCTGACAAGTTCATTGTCGGATATGGTTTGGACTACAACCAAAAGTTCCGCGATCTTGGCCATATCTGCGTCATGAGCCCTGCCGGAATCCAGAAATATAAGAACTGATTGTTGTATATTGCATATTCTGTGATAATAAAGTTATCATTCGTCCAAGTTTCAATAAATTTCGATTTTCTGGTTGGTTATCCAGTGTATTTACTTGTTAAAAAAATAATTTGGCGGAAAAATATTGAAATTTTGAGGATGGATGAGAAAAAAGATGATCATCAAACGAAAATGAATTTTGTTAGAGAGCAATTACGAGCTCTCGTTATGGTAAACTTATTGAAGAATGATGACCATTGAGAAAAATGATATTTCAGGAAGAAAAAGCGATTAAAGAAGCAATTCAATCGTTGCAAAACCAATTATGGCAATTATCAACAGAACACGAAAAATTGACGGAGAAAGAAGCGCAAGAATCATATCGGCAATGATTTTTTTTGAAAATTATATATTTTTTTATTTTTTTACGTTTATTATTTGATCTCACAGCGAAAATACGGATAAATTTTTTATTTTGAATATGCTGCGACTAGGTTTGAATATTTTCATGCGCCTTCAATTACAGTAGCTTTCAAATTCCTAATTAGTAGATCAGGCTGGCGCCAAAAATGGGTTGTTTGGTCCTAGAGTCGAATCGATCGAAATTCGTCCCCATTGGAATGTTTTCACCACTCCTCGATTCATTTTTGTCAATGGTTATTGAGTGTGGTGGACGAGTCGTCAATAAAATCACCTATCTCAAAGTGGCGTGGTTGTAATCGAAATGAACACACCATTTCCCAATCGCTTTCGTTTGCTGCCATCAGCAGAAAACTCGCGCCGGTTTCTTTCAGGCGATTCGTTATCGAATAAAAAAAGAACTGAAATGATTTTAGTTGGTTTTTGTTTTTTTTTTCGTTTGTTCGGCCGTTCGCCTCTCTTTCACTTCTTTCCTCTCTCGCACTCACATACAGACTTTATTTCTCTTTTCTGCCGTGGCTTGCAGCTCGCCGCCGCCACAATCGATGTCGTCCTCGGCGCCAACGTCGTTGTTTTATTTTCGCACTTATCACGTATTCATCCCAACAAAAAATGTTGACTATTGTTTATTCGTCGCCTTTATCATTTAATATTTTTGCGAAAATGATTAAAACGATTTGGTCAATTGCGTCATTCTTGTTTAATTGTTTTTCCTCGCCCTTCGTCGCCTTCAAGAAGCAAATTCTGATTTTAGCGTCCGACACGATGTCTTTGACTCAGGATTCGGCGTTCATCGAGCTCAAGAGCTATGTTGAAGCCAATGAGAAGAACAAGCAGATTCTCGATTGGTTCAAAGAAGATTCCAGACGCTTCGAGAAATTCAGGTGTGATGATTTTTTGTTTGCAAACAATCATTCGATGGTTTCACTCATATCAGCGAAAACTATCTTATCACGTTTTATGAACTTCGAAGCTAACAGTTTAAAAGAGCGAGAAATAAAAATAAACTTCAATTTTAGAGAACATGAAAACATTCATAAAATAATTTTTGTTTTCAAATTTTCGATGCTTTCATTGATAGTCACTTCACTTACTTACAAAGCTTGAATATTTATTTAAAGAGAATTCCAGAAATAAACTTTTAAAAGTGATTGATGCAATATTGCACAATGGTAAAAAAAATTGCAAAAATTTTGTCGTAAAAGCAACCACAAAAATACTTTAACGTATTTTCTTTGGATTTATCTCTCAAATAATCAAAAAACCAAAAAATCATTCGCAGATTTCTCGAGATATCAATCTAGACAGTATAAACAACTTTCGCCTAGACTACATTTTTGAATGATAAGATTTTAAACTAATTTGTTTTTCTTGTTGAACCCTAGACAATCGCGCTCCATCGCCATACGTTTGACATTTGCGTTCTTCTCTGCGCCTCTTCTAATTATGCAAATAGCATCATTTTTCGACTAAATTTTCAGCCGCACGTTCGAATCTCCAGATGGCACATTCTTGTTCGATTTCTCAAAGAATCGCGTCACCGACAAGTCGTTCGATCTTCTCATCAAATTGGTAATCAATTATTTTTTTTGAGCGAAAATAAAATGATCTAATCAATTGATTATAGGCGAAATCTCGTGGAGTTGAGCAATCTCGCAATGCGATGTTCGCCGCGGAAAAAATTAATTTCACCGAAAACCGCGCGGTTCTCCATGTTGCGCTTCGCAACCGCGCCAACAAGCCGATTTTGGTCGACGGAAAAGACGTAACACATTTTTGAAAATCTCGTCGACACCCAATTTTCATGCAAATTCTAGGTGATGCCCGATGTTAATCGCGTTTTGGCCCACATGAAAGAGTTCTGCGGTGAGGTGATTAGCGGAAAATGGGTTGGGCATACTGGAAAGAAGATCACCGATGTTGTGAACATTGGAATCGGAGGATCCGATTTGGGACCACTTATGGTCACCGAGGCACTCAAACACTACCAAATTGGACCTAATGTGCATTTTGTGTCCAATGTTGACGGAACTCATGTCGCTGAGGTAGATCAATGTTGAAGAAAAAAAATGCAGGAGGACCTTTTTTTCCAGGTGACCAAGAAATTGAACCCAGAGACGACATTGTTCATCGTTGCCTCGAAGACGTTCACCACTCAAGAAACCATCACCAACGCCGAAACTGCCAAAGAATGGCTTTTGACGAAACTTGGCGACAAGTCGGCGGTCGCCAAACACTTTGTCGCCCTTTCGACCAATGTGCCAAAAGCTGTCGAATTTGGAATCGATGCTAACAATATGTTCGAATTCTGGGATGTAAGAATCGCCGTTTAAGTATAATCAAGAGAATTGGTTTCTAGTGGGTTGGCGGACGCTATTCGTTGTGGTCGGCTATCGGACTCTCGATTGCTGTTCATATCGGATTCGACAACTTCGAGAAGCTTCTTAATGGTGCCTTCGCCGTCGATGAGCACTTTGTTAATGCACCACTTGAGCAAAATGTAGCGAAGACATGTCGAATACTCATTTTTCATTCTGCAATTTTGTTTTCAGATTCCCGTGGTTATGGCACTTCTCGGTGTCCTTTACAACAATGTTTATGGCGCCGAGACTCATGCTCTGCTCCCTTATGATCAGTACTTGCATCGTTTCGCCGCTTATTTCCAACAAGGCGACATGGAGAGTAACGGGAAATTCGTGACGAGACACGGAACTCGCGTCGACTACAACACGGGACCGATTGTTTGGGGAGAGCCGGGAACCAATGGACAACACGCGTTCTACCAGCTCATCCACCAGGGAACCCGTCTTATCCCAGCTGATTTTATTGCGCCGGTCAAAACGTTGAATCCGATTCGCAATGGGCTTCATCATCAGATTCTTCTTGCCAACTTCTTGGCTCAACCCGAAGCGCTTATGATGGGAAAAACTAGCGCTGAAGCTGAGGCGGAACTCAAAGCATCTAATATGGACGAAGAGAAGATTAAGAAGATCTTGCCGCACAAGGTAATCTATTCCTCGATTTCTTTGCTATCTGAAATTGGCGAAATCAGGTCTTCGAAGGAAACAAGCCAACCACATCGATTGTGCTTCCAAAAGTGACACCATTCACCCTTGGTGCACTTATCGCCATTTATGAGCACAAGATCTTTGTCCAAGGAGTTATCTGGGATATTAACAGTTTTGATCAATGGGGGTAACTTTATGAATCTTGTATGATAGAATTTGCAAATGCATTATTTAGTGTTGAACTCGGAAAGCAGCTCGCCAAGGCAATTCAGCCGGAATTGACGTCGCCTGGAGAAGTCACCACTCACGACCAATCGACGAACGGATTGATCGCTTTCATCAAGAAGAACGCATAAATTAATTACTTGATTTTCTCTCTCCCTTCTCATATTTTTTCTTCATTTAATTCTAACCAATAATAGTTTTTCAACTATTTTTTTTATTTCTAGACAATAGACATTTTATGCCCAGTTTGTTTGTGTAGTTTTAAAGAATCCTTTTTTTGCATAAATTATTCAACAAAGACTTGTCGCACATTTTCTATAGGTTGCGTCTTCCTAAATTATTTCTACAAATTTTTTACGGATTTTGAAAAACGATGAGGGAATTATTTAGACAAAATGGCCGGATATGCGTTGAAAAGATTGATGACTGAATATAAAGGTTTGTATTTATACATATTCTCTGTTTAATTATTTTGTTTCGAAAAAATAGTATTCGCAAAAGCTTTTTTTTTTGTGATATCGGCACACTCATAATGCAATAGTTTTTGTTTTAATACGGAAAATTAAGAATAGGAGGAGAAGATGATCAATAATTAGTTTATAGTTAGGCAATTATATTGTTGGCGTCTCATGATTGCGGAAATTTGGCCAAAAGACAACAAAAGCAATGGCAGAGGTCTAGGCGCATAATTAAAAGTGTAGATTTACGAGGATAAGGATAGGATAAGTTAAAGGCACATCATGTTCCGAGATCTTTTTTTTTTAAATTTTTTGGCATTTAACCAATTTTCTGCAGTCGCGCGACGTCGAAAATATGACTTCTCATGAAAATTTCAAATTGAAAAAACCAAATTATTTGAAAACTGAATTTAATAGAATATTTAAAGAAGACACAGTTTGCTGATTGAACGACACTCCTTTCAGAAATGTTCATTCCAAATACTAAGTTTGATGAAAACGTGTGCAATTTCAGAAATCACCACCCGACCTCCAGAGGGAATTATTGCGGCACCAGTTGATGAGGACAATTTTTTCGAATGGGAATGTCTTATCACTGGTCCTGAAGATACTTGTTTCGCAAATGGAGTCTTCCCGGCTCGTATCACTTTTCCACAAGATTACCCTCTCAGCCCACCAAAAATGAGGTTCTTTCTTTCGTGTTATCAATGTTTTCAATATTAGTTTCAGATTCACGTGCGGAATTTTTCATCCAAATATTTATTCGGATGGTCGCGTCTGCATTTCTATTCTTCATGCACCCGGAGACGATCCAACTGGATACGAAGCTTCTAATGAGCGTTGGAGTCCAGTTCAATCAATTGAGAAAATCCTTTTGAGTGTCGTCAGTATGCTTGCGGGTTCTTACTTTCACACAACCCCGTATCACCGAAGATATTGGTTTTTCAGAGCCAAACGATGAATCGCCTGCAAATGTCAGTGCTGCAAAAATGTGGCGAGAGGACCGAGTGCAGTTTGAGAAGATCGCCGATCAGCTTGTGCGTAAAACCTTATGCCTTCCCGCCGCAGAAGAATAAAATTAAATCATTCTATCCGCATTACTGTGATAAACCATTTTGTTTAGAACAATTAACTTTATTTCAACAATAACAAGTTATTCCTCACTGTCAACGTTGACGTTGGTGAGTGCCTTGAAGTTGGCGCATGGGACGTAGGTGCAGAGGGTGTAGAGCTTGTGGGCTGAGTCCTCATCCTCGTTACGGCGACGGGAGAGACGGACACGAACTCTGTATGGGACATTCCTAAAATTTACGAAATTTCCGTTTTTTTTTCTATAAATCATATTACTAACTTGATTCCCTTGGACCAGATGAATTTGTTAAGTTTGGTGTCAATTCGGACATCTTGAGTCTTCATTTGTATCTTAGCGAACTTTCTGATCTCATCGATGGCACGTGGAGCGCGTTTCTTGGCTCCGCTGAAAACTCTCATATGAAATTATGATACGAAACAATAAATTACCTGTCGACTATTAATTAACCGTTTAGACACAAATTAAGATTTAAGATGCCCCTGAATTTCCACACAACACTCGAGTGAGGATCATGTGGCGTTTCTGGAGAGAGCCGCTCACCAGAAACGAGGCTATGCTCCGTTTGTCCAGTTACATGCGGTTACGGCCAACCTGTCTCAAAGAGACTGCAGTAACTGGCGTGGGCCGACACACCACTTCCAGGTGGAGCAACGTGTCAGTATATTAGGAACCGGGAAAATATAAAAATAAAACTCACATTCCCTTTATTCTGCGGTGAACGTGGATGGTGAATTCACGAGTCACGACCTCGTTGATGGTGCTGCGCGACTTCTTCTCAGTCTTTGGCGCCATTTTACCTGAAATTGACACATAAATAAATTTAATTTAATATTTTATCTATGGACCTATTCGCGAAATAAAAAAACACATTTTCCAAGGAACAGTTGTATAAAATGCAAATTTAATGTTTCACAATTAAAAAAATACAATAAAGGAAAAGCACGAGTACTTGCATATGGCTGAAAGTGACATAAAAATGTAAAAAAATACAAATGTACATTTTTCACAACCTGCATAGAAAAAAGTCTAATTTTCAACATGTTTACTGCATGAATAGGTCCATAACAAATTCGCCTATGAAACAGAAAGAAAAGTCTCAAAGAATCTTCATTCCTCACATGTAAAAAATTTAGGACATTGAGAAAAAGAAGTAAAAATTTTAAGTGAACACCGTAAAATATAAATCGCTACGAGATATTTGCCAACAGAAAATGAGTGCACCTTTGATGTGCGATGGAGCAAACTTGCAATATTTATTTAAATTGAATTTCATATTTCATCCTTTCACTAACAGAATGTGTTTATTTTAAACAAACGGTGAGTAATCGGGCACCAGATTATTGATTGATGCTATAAAATTCAACTGGTATTCAGATGGATTTGTATAGCACACCAGATAACTTAATACTCGAATGTAAAGGTGAACGATTGTATTGCAAAAAATGTGATGGTTCATTTTTTAATCCTGTGGACGATTTAAACGGTGATAATAATGTTGTTTCAAGAAAATAACTTTAATTTTCAGTTCTTGATACCGATCTAACTCTATGTGGAACTGTTGAGTTTCTCATCGGTGCCTTGAATATTGAAGACAATGTATATTTATTCTTTGTAACTGAAAGCTCGGTTGTTGCTTATTATCGGGGAGCTACTGAAAATGTGAGTAGTGGAAATAATTAAAGAAAAATGAACAAATAATTGCAGACGAGACACGAAATTAGGAAAATTGAAAAAGTTATTGCATTTGGTGTCAATGAGAGTCCTTCAAATATCCGAGCTTTAATGCAAACAGAAACGACGAAATTAAAACAAAACACTGGAAAATTACTCAAATTCATATCTGATAAGATTTCAAAAGGTTCGAATTTATAATTTCGACATTAAAAAATCGAAATTTTTCATTTTCAGATCCCAAATCCTCGCTTCTTGACGACATTCTCAAACTTTTCAATGATTCCAAAGATTTTTATTTCTGCCGCGAACGAAATATCACAATATCTGCACAAACGTATGAGTTTTTTTTTAGGCAAAAAAGAAAATCAATGAAATTTTTAGATTTTTTTCAAAAAAATCGAACAACTCGGAAGAATCGTTTTTCTGGAATAAATATATGGTAGAATGTTTGCAAAATTCCGTAAAAATTGATTTAAATAAATGGTATTTTATGAAAAGAAAAACTCGACAAAAATTTGAGATAACAATAATTTTAGGATTTGTCCGATTATGCAAGGATACGTCGGAACAACAACACTCGAAATTGAGGATCAAGTAGAATATTCATAATTTTTTCTTTTTGAGAATTTTTGCATTTCGAGAATTTCAGGTGAATGCTTGCCTCGAAATCACCATAATTTCTCGAAGATCTACTCACCGCGCTGGCGCAAGATATTTGAGAAGGTATAGAATTTGGAAAAAATCACAAATTCCGTGAAGCCATTCATCATTTTAAAGAGGAATCGATGAAAACTCGAATGTTGCGAATTTTGTTGAAACCGAAGTGATTCTCAATATTTTCGACCACGAGCTATCATTTGTTCAGGTTTTTCTTACCACCCATCATTCTCGCTCAATTGTTCGATTCATTTCAGATTCGCGGCTCGATTCCGTTATTCTGGTCTCAACGCGGCTTCAAATATCGTCCGCCTCTCATTATTAATCGATCGTTTGAGGAATCCGACGGCTATTTTCGCGAGCATATTCGCCGCTTGAAGAAACACTACGGTGATCCGCTAGTTGCTGTTAGTTTGGTCGATCAACGAGGAAGAGAGCTTCCATTGGCGCAAAGGTTTTTAGAGGTATGCGCCTTTAAATTCCCAATATTTCATGAATCAATTTTCAGCATGTGATTGCTTTGAATGACCCAGACGTCTCATTTTTCTCATACGACTTGCACAATCATTGTAGAGGATTGAATTTTAAGAAGGTACAAAAAAAAATCAATATGTCGCTAATCTAATGGGTTTTAGCTTCAAGATCTTATTAAAAGTATGGAAGAGACACTGAAGACGATCGGATTTTGTTGGATTGACAAAACTGGTGAGACGGGATCAAATTCGAATTCCTTAAACCGGCAAAATTTTACAGGAGAAGTTGTTCAACGCCAAAATGGTGTGATTCGGACGAACTGTGTCGATTGTCTCGATCGAACAAATCTTGTGCAGGGCCAAATCTCGCTTCACATTGTCCTACAACAGGCCCAGCGACTCGGAATGTTCGGACCATTGTGCGAGCCGCCCGAAGCCCTCGTCGCTACCCTTCAGAACCTGTGGGCCGACAATGGTGACGCGATTTCGACTCAGGTTTATTTGATCACAATTTTCCCCCAATTCATATACATCTGCTATAGTATGCCGGTACTGCTGCCTTAAAAGGAGACGTGACGAGAAGCGGCGAACGAAAACTAGCCGGAATTATGCGTGATGGGTAGCATAATTTAGTTTTTTTTTCTTCTTTTTTCAATCGTGATTTTTCTTGAAGCTATAATAGCGCCTCTCGATATTATTTGACTCATATGAAGGATGCTGCACGTCAAAAAGCTATCAATTTGGTGACAAGACAGACTGAAATTGAAGAGGGTTTGAGCTGAAAATGCGTCGAATTCCAACGTTTCTTATCAGACACGACAAGTGAGGAAACTGAAAAGGAGGAAGAGGAGAATATCACCCGACTTGTTTCGGAAACTATTCAATTCCTCGTGCCCCCTCAACAAGTCGTTATTGCGGGTTGGGGACTCATCAATGCTTGTACCAACAACGATGAAATCGATAATATTGTGATATTAACGAGGCACGTCGAATATCCCCTTATTTCGAAATATTAGCTTCAAGTTCTTTTTAGATATAAACTCTATGTTGTGACTTATGAGATTGATGGCGAAAAGATGAACGACGTGAGGATCGTCTCACTTGACGACATCAAAACTATCGATGTCGGTATGATCGGCTCGAATCGATGTGTTCGCATCGAAGTGCTTGATGAGGTTTTCATTTGGAAGTCTGCTCAAGTTCGACTATTCAATAACGTCGCACTTCGCCTCAAATCGACCGACGAGGCCAATGAATACATCTCATCAGTCGCCGAACAGGTTTATCGTTTAATTTTGAGGTTTTGTTGTTACCCACACTCTTTTATTTCAGATTAATGTGGGAAGGAACCTCTTGACGGGAAGTAACAGCATGATTCGAAATGTTAATAAAATCACGGTTCCGCAAATGTCGGTGCATCGAAGGAGTATGGCCGCGATGGGATCACTTTTAACCAAAATCAAAAATGCGAACAAACGCGCCCAAACCTTGGGTAATTAACTTTTTAAATCATGAGTGAAACGGTAAATTTGTGTTTCTAGCAAAATCAGCATCTGCCAACCCCATTACTTCGGAACTTGATGGAAACGAGTCTGACTCTTCTGAACTGTCTAATAAGGTTTTCTAAAAAGCCCCATAAAATTTGGAATTTCCAATTATTTTCAGGTCGACGCTTCGGTGACCAAATTTTTCAAGAACACTTTCAAAAAGAATGAAGATATGATGTCACCATTCGAGTCATTGCATTCCAAAATAGCCGAGTGTCAAACGAACATTTCACTTTTATAAGAAACCTGTGATATGCATGCATTAGTCTATTATTATTATTACCACTAAACATTTTTTTTTTCACATTCAATCTATTTATTTTTTCGGTCTGTCTCTCAAGAAGCCAAAACACTTTCGGAAGATGAAAAAAATAGGATTAAAATATTGGGAAACGAAAGATTCAAGCAGTGAATTGACCTCAAAGAGAGACTGATGACCATTCACTAAAGAAATACAATATATTGAATGCTTGAGTTTTCGACAACCAACAGCGATATACAAACGGGCGACTACGAGTACTATTAGAAAGTTTACTTCCACTTCTTGTTGTCGTAATCGTAGTACTTCGGAGCTCCGAGGAAGTTACCCTATAAATGAAACTAGTATTCATAGAATTTAAATCGCAACTATACCTTCTCGAGAACGAGAGCTCTCTCAACTTGGGCTTCCTTGTATTCATTTTGGAAGGTTGGTGGAAGTTCTGGGTACACTAAAAACAGAAAAATGAAAAAAGAACTACACGAACAATTTGTTACCATAGACATTGAGAAGAACGGCGTAGTAGGTGGCAAAACCAAGAACGGCGAGAACAGCCGATGCGACTACCTTAAATTCGGAGCTCAATTTGTTTATATAAAGATGAATTTACCTTCCAGTATCCAGTTGGGGCCTCGAACTCTGAAAGAGTTTGACGGAAGCTGTAGCGGTATACTGAAAACTTTGAAAATAAATTTCCAAATTTATATTATTAGATAGCACATTTTTTTAAAATTTGGTTTCCTTTAAATACAATAATTTTCGACATTCGTCAAGAGTATTCGCAACATTGTCGTGATTAGAAAAAATAATAAATTGTGAATAAACCCACAAAGCTTCTTCTCTTCCGCTGAAAGATTCTTCCAGTCAGCTTGCTCTTTGGCGCGGATTGGTGCAATGACACTGTCTTCCTTGCGGAATCGGATAGCTGGGTACCAATAATCAAGACGATCTTGGTAGATCTGAAAACAGTGCTTAACAAAAATATTTCGTAAAAAATTACGTTGTCTCCGTTGGATCCGAAGCCGACGAGTTCACGCCCGGCCGCCTTTTCAGGTCCCCAATAATGCTCGTTGTGAGCAACACGGGAAGTAGTGTGCACAGCGCGAACAGCCAATCGTGGCAGCATCATTTGGCGGGCCAACATACCTATAATTTAGAAATAAATAAAAGTTTTGGCCGAAAAAATAACGAAATTATAGTGGCAGAGGTATGTTAAATTTTTACTTAATAAATTGATATAATTATGTTGAAATATGTTTTAGAAAGAAGAATAGACTACAAGCAACGTTTTTATGAAATTTTGAAATGTGTGATGCTGAAAATCCGCGCTGAAATCGAATGCATAAATAAAAATCGTTGCGCCGTCCGCCCACAGCACCTCGTTGGCTGCCTGTTAAATCTAAAGCACTGCCCAATATACGCAGCCAATGTGCAATAGAGCGCACTTGCAACTTGAAATTACGCACGTAGCGAATTTCGAATTATTTTACCGGAAGAGTGTTGTTTTTCTAGCGGAGAGTGATCAACAACACGACTATTAAAAAAAATCGAAAATTCTAAAAAATGCCGAAAATGACGCGAAAACGAGACCTCATAGAGCAAACGAAGAAATCGGCGAAGCGAATGCGATATGATGTATCAACTCCAGCTGAAACAAAAGAAAGAAAATTGAAGCGAAGAAATATTGGGAATGTTCTCAACGAACTCGCGAATAGAATCGAAAATGGTGATCGAGTTTTGTAAGTTTCGAAGGAAAGGACAATTTAAATTCGATATTCAGGGTGAGAAATATTTTAAACGAGATTGAGAATGAATATCTGCTAACGTTAAATCAAAGTGAAATTGAGAATGTTTGCACCAAATTGCTTGCATCCTGCATAATTTCAAAGGTATTTATCGGAATTATCAATTTTTCAGTGAACATATTCAGATTGATTCAAATTCCATTAAAATATTCCTCATAATAACGTCATTTTTACAAAGAGCCACCGAGGAGCAGCTCAAAAAATTTCTCCTTAATCAATTAAACGATTCACAAACTATTGCAAAGTAAGATTTTTCGCAATTTTGTATTCATTAATCGCAAATTTCAAGGTTGTTCGCGAAATCGGTCCTGACTGGAAGATTATTGAATCTTTTCGGAGAAGCTTTAGACAACAAAATTATAAGCGTGAAATCAGTTCCGGAATACGCATTCCTTTCAGCGAAGACGATTTTATTTCAAGATTCGATTTATGAAGTCCACAGTCGAACATGCGCTTTGGATTTCTTTGTCGCATATTCGATATCTGGTAAATTTTGATTAGCACTGAACAAATTCAATTTAAAATCATACAGATAAGCGAGATGACGTCCGATTAATTGACTGCGAAAAGCTATTATGCCGAACTGTTCTTGATCGTGATTATCGTATAAGATTAGCATGCTTAAAAGTAGAAAATTGAAAAGTTCAATTGTGAAAAAAATTTGTTTTAGGGACTTACGAGGTTAAGTAAAGAAGGTCTTCTTCTTCACAAGAGCACATATTTCATCATTAAGCCGATGCTAACGGATACAGATGCTGATATTCGGATTATGGCATTGAATTTGCTCCTTCATTTTTCCAATCGAAATCCGGTGTAAATATTATTTTTTTTTAAGTTTCCATACGAGAATTTAATTGATTTAGTGAGACAACCGCTGGAAAAGGAACTTTGACAATTCCGGACGATGCATTTTCAGCAGTTTGTGATGCAATGAATGATATTGATGTGATATTTTAAGATTTTTTTTTCTGAAAACCAATTGAATGAATTTCAGACACGAGTACGCATTGAAGCTGCCCGACTTCTTGGCGAATTTCACGTTGTTTCTGATGAGCTTGTTTTCCAAACTCTTGACAAGAAAATGATGCGATCGAATAAATCTTCGGAAGTTGTTAAAGTTGAAAAATCGATGTTTGCAATGACCCAGAAAGGACCGTCAGGAACTGATAAGCGATGGAGATTTCTCAAAAAAGCGACAAATCAGGATCAAGGGTTTGATTGAATGAAAAAAAAATGCAAAAGTAAAATATGATGATTATAGTGAAAACACAAGGGGAGGCTGGTCAAGAGGAAAAGAATTGAATGCATCGTGTCCAACGAAAGGAGCCGAAGAAGAGGACGAAGAAGATGACTCCATTATTCCTCATGGAGCTTGTGGAGCATTTGTTACAGCGCTTGAAGATGAATTCATGGGTACTGTTTTCAATGAAAATCGCTTGTTAGATGAAATTTGGATTATTTTAGACGTTCGAAAAGCAGCTGTCTATTCATTGGGAAAATTAGCTTCGTGTCGTCCATCTTTTGCAATTTCTGCACTTGAATATCTTGCGGATATGTTCAACGACGAAATTGCTGAGGTATGATGTCGTATATTCATTTGGATTCAATGAAACTATAGAATTATTAAAGGTGCGGCTTGACGCCATCAACGCGTTGACTCCATTGATCGCTCATGGACAATTGAATTCTGAACAGCTCAATGTTATTCTTAAATGTCTTGACGTAAGTATTTTTATGGGCTTGTTCAGTATCACGAGAAATTGTCGAAAATTGTCGGAATTTTTGAATTTGGTAGAACTCGACAATTTTTTAACCACCGAATAGATCCATTAGAAAAAATGTCGAATTAAGGATGGTATGGCTGATGCGCGACAAGCTATGCGAGAACTGCTCAAACGTGCTCAATTCGTCGATGTTCGCTGCGTTGAATTGTGTGTGAAAGCGTTGACCGATTGTATGAAACGGTTTCCGAAGGATAAAGAACAAGTCTTCACGTGAGAATTTTAAGTAAGTATCATTTAAAAAAATGCCGAAATTTTAGATGTATGGCGAGTATTGGCAGAAATCATTCGATTCATATTCAATCGATGATGCGCAATCTTCTTGGACTTAATCTAGTGTTTCAGACGCGCGAGCATTCTCTTGAAGATGAGAAATGTACGAATTTTAATTTAAGAAGCTATAATTTCGATTTTTTTTAAAGATCTCTCCAAACTCATTTTGGTTTTAAATGCGGCATCGCAGCAATCTTCTATGATCTACGTGTTTCCCGAATTCGTCAAACGGCATTATCGATTCTTGCGGACTTCGTCGCCGCATTTAGTTGCATCGATTCGGGTATTCAATTCACTGATTTTGTTTTTATTCAAAAATGTTGAGATAATTCCAGGTTTTGGATGAAGAAAAGCACGGAAAATTGCGGATTCGATCTGAAAACACTGGCGAAAAAGCCGAAGAAATTGTGCTGCAAACGTATAATCGATTGTGCGAATCGGAAGAAAGCGAATCGATTGTGGATAGAAACACGATTCGTGATAATATTTACAGGTTTTCCGGTTGATTTTTTTTTGCTGACGTCTATTGAATTCAGCGACGCTTCGGCGATCAGTACGTACAATGAGAATGTGAGCGGAGCATCGCGACTCATTTGCTGCCTCAGCGAAATCAGCGCATCGATTGATAATCTCGCCGACACCATCATGCTTGGCGGCGAACCGGCGATCGTTCGCGATCTCGTTATACAAGTAGGCGTGGTGTTTTCCTTTTTTGCCAAGCAAAATTTGTGCATCAAATTTCAGCAACTCGCTGATATGCAATCGGTCGAGTATCAATTTTCGGGAATTTCATCGGAAACCATTTCCTATTTGCTGCACTGCCGATTGTATTTGCTGCTGAATGACGTGGCCGTTTGGATGATGCAGACAATGCCGAGTTTGCACGAAATTACGACGGTCGTTGCGTCGATTCTTGAAACTGTCAAAAAGTATATTTTTTGTTCCATTCGGGACCATTTCTCCATATTTTTTTCTCTTATTCTAGACGGATCAAGAAATCAATCACTCTTGAGGCCACTCTTCAAGAATTCATATCGGTTTGCGAACAATTGATTCAGCTGAAAGCTGAAGGTGAGGATTCGAAGAAAATGATCACGCCAAGCGGAATCCTTCAAATCGCCAATAAATACATGCCGCGAATGCCCAAAGAGTTTCCGTTGATTCAAGGAATCAATCTCAAATATGCGCAGGTTTCGACAATTGTGTGTTTCAACATTTTCAAACTATCATTTTCAGATCGTCACGCCGCACAAAGATGTTGCAATGGAATCGGCGTTGCGATTCATATCGAATATGCCACACGGAATCGCGTTCGAGGCGAAACTTTATAATTTTACGAACGACGATCTCAAAAATCTTCGACTAAAAGTACTGTTTCCCGGCGGCAAATTTAATGTGATGAAACCGCGAGATAATGAGATCAAGCGTGATGACGGATGCCATCAATTGTCGACACATGTGAGATTCAAACCTGTGACACATTCGAAATATCAGGAATTCGTTTAGGTCAAAGTGACATCGTCAAGCTCCTGGTCGGAAGCCGCCGAAATCGACATCGTCATTGGGTTCAACACCGAATGCAACGCGTTCGTTCCCGTCTTCGAATCGCCATCGTGTTTCACGCAGTCTCACGTACGCGTCAAAATCCATCCGGTTTCCCGATAAACTACGGGCGCGAAATTACGCATTAGTAATTTATATATATATATATATATTTTTTTATAAAAAGTTTTAATCACAATAATTATAAAGGTTTTTAAGTGAGAGTTGCGAGATCAATAGTATTCCAGAAATGCGCCGCGCTTATTGCGGCATCGATTGATGTTTGTTCCTTAGAAGGACTGCCATCTGCTTGCAGGCTTCGAGAGTGGCGCGACTTGAGGCGATTTCGATTGGCTGGACTCCGTCGAGTTGCGCGTGGCAAGTTTCGTTCTAGAAATTCATATATGTTGGAGTTTTTCCACCATCAAAAGGATCAAAAATCCAATATTTGATTCATAAAAAAAGACGAAAGCCCCGAGGAGATTTACACTGAGTTTGATTAGCGGGTTATCCGTAGTACGGAAGTCAAATTACCACTATTTAAATTTAAATTACCACCTCGAAAAAGTGCGATGGTCCACCATTTCTCAAGGTTTTCGTTTTTTTTGCGATAGTAAATACCTGCGATAAGAACGTGATAACCGATGTTCGCATTTTGGCCTCGCGCTTATCATAAATATCCTGAACCAGCGATTTTACCTTGAATAATTTATTTGACTTAATGGAAAATTGTAAAAATGTGGCTGAAACCTGATCAACTTCAAAAATATCATCTTTTGCTTCTCTGACCAACACATGAGTCAATTCGAAGAACATATGCGGCAAATGCGATAATCCGACAATCTCGTTCTCAACCGTCAGGATTTTCTTGAGCTCATCGACTGTCATCCATTCTGGCGGCTGAAATTCGATAATTTCTTGAGCCCTCTCACCTATTTACTTACCACAATGTGACAATGGTGCTTACGTTTTAGCATAAGAGCCATCCAAACCGGAATACGAGTCGGGATTCCCGCTTCGAATGGTCCGACGTCTCCAGATATCAAATGGATCACCTTTTCGTTGATTCTCGGTATCACCTCAATGTCCATATTCGAAGCAAGAAACTCGCATTTCTCCGCGTTCATTCTGATTCCTTTATTGTGAAATATTTTTGTCAAAAAAATTGAAATTGAATAAATACGGGATATAACCTTCGATTTGATTAAAAATGAACATAAAAGAAAATTTAAAATAAAAACTTTATCACTAGAAATTTAGAAAAAAAAAACGAACAACTAGCTGAAACTAGCCTAGACAATTCGGGTTTATATATATTGTACAGCTCTCGATGAATCCGCTGCGACTAGGTCAGGGCAAGACGATTATTCAGCAATTTCTTCCTCTTCAACAGTTACCTGAAAACATTTGAATTTTTTCGGACAATTTCCTTAAAAATCACTTGTATCATGCCGGTATGAACCGCAAATGCAATTGAAAGTGTTAAGGCACAAAGCGCAAAAATGATCGAATCTCTCATTGGCGGCTCCTCGACGGTGTGCTCAGCGGAACCTTCAGCGTTCTGAGCAAAACCAATAAATCCAAATAACTTTAAAGTAAATTTGAACCTTTTTCAAGTCCTTTTCAAGCTTTGCCTTCGATAATCGAGCCTGCCACATTTTTCTCTTTGACTTAAAAAAGAAGAAGCTATAACGTTGAACCATACTTTAAAAAATTATACCTGCTGTCTTTTCAATTCTTCTTCAGTTAATGGAAGATAGATGGATGACACAGTTTCGACGAATCTCACCAAATTTGGGCACGCCGATAATTGAACTTGGAGGCGATCGTTTGGCAATGGAACACGAAGAAGTGGGGCAAGATAGCCGAACACAAGAGCATCGAGCGATGTCGGCTTGGTTCCGCAGAAGAATTTGTTATCTCCGAGCTTCGTTGATAAAGTGTTAAGAGCCTTTAAAATTGCAATTATAAGCAAGATCAATCATGAGAATTTCTACCATGAATGCGTCTTTCAGAATAGCCGTGTCCGGCCGGTTTCCGAGCATTCTGATCGCCTTCTTCCGACGCTTTTCCAAATAATACAAATTATATGGAAAATGAAGATGCGAGGCGTACCAATGTTGGGTAATCGTGTTGTAGTTGAGGTCGTCAGCCCAAAAGGTTTGAAGCTGAAAAATATATAAAAAGTTGGGAATTTTCGTTTTCTCAAAATACCACTGCTGGGAACAGATTATGATGGAGATAGCAGGAAAATGCATCTAATTGAGCTCGTTCGAACGTTGTCAAATCCGCATCGATAACAACGTCTTGTCCGCATTTTCGAAGGATTTCGACGAATCTATAATAAAGCTTCACAAATGATGCAATTAATATTTGAATTTTACTTCTCAAAATCGGTTACTGGCTTTTTTTGCGGTTTTGTTGTATCAATCACCATGGGAAGTTCACCTATGCATAATCTTTTTAAAGATTTTATTAGCATATAAACATTTTACCCGTTGGAGAACTCCAAGGTCTCGTTGAAGAGACAACTTGAACCGGCGAAGCGCACATTTTTGAACATGCCTTTAAAAACAGTTAATTTCAAATTGAAATGAACACTTACTAAGAATTGAAGCGAAGCGACATCGATTGTTGGTAACCCAAAGTCTGAAGGCCAAATATGCAACTCCATGTTGCAATTTTAAGCTGAAATTACAAAAAATATGAGAAATTATTTTATTTTCGCGCATGAATTAAGCAAACGACACTCCGCGTTGACGAAATTTTCTCGGCCACGGCCATCTCATAACTTCTTTTTTTATGGGTCAGAAACGTTTCACGGTCTGGTTTTGTTAAAGAATACTTTCTAACGCTGTCACGGCCTACAAAACATTCTTACTAGTTTTGTTTAGGATCTGAAATACATATCTATGCAATTTTTCTTATTCTCAACGTATAATTGAGCAATTTCAGATGGCGTCGGAAAACCAGCCGCCACCGTCCTACGAAGCATCACAAAACGAGCAAAATGTAAATAATTTGCAGGAAATTGTAAAAAACTATAATTTTGTTTTGAGGGTCGAATTCCGGACAATTCGAACTTTGTGATTTCGCGCGCCTCTCCATACAACACGTCTCCAATTGAAATGGACTGCCCTTATTGTCAGGTAATTTTAAAACTGAAATATACCTGAAACCCTTCAATTTTTATCTTAAATTAGTTTCGGGGCACTGTATGTCCGATTTTTCCTGCTTGTTATATCTATGTATTTCTGATCTATTAATAGCACAGTTTTTCCTTTGCAGAACCACATTGTAAGTCATATCGACAAAGTCGCCGGAATTCTTCCATGGGTTCTCTGCATCGTTTGCGGTATCGTCGGCCTGATACTCTTCATTTTACCGTGGTTCCTTTGCTGTGTTCCATTCCTCCTTGACCCTTGTCTTGATGTTGTCCATACGTGCCCAGCCTGCAAACGCGTGCTCGGTCGGTACAACCGCGTGTAAAAAACCACTATCAAAACGATAACTATTACTAGAGCAATATAAGACTCGTCAAACGATTCTGTATTTTATATACCATGTCTGCCTTGTAACCCCGTCCCCGGTCGATCAATATATATACATTTTGACTACGATCATAATTCAGTCAGTCTCAAAAATCGCTTTATTTTGCATAATTTTATACGAAAACTGTAAATAAAAACTGATGAAAAACAATTAGAAACAAATCGAAACAACTTATGTGCTCTTTCCGAGACGTCTGTAGGTACCGATCCATGCCTTACACGAGGAACAATAATGCTCGACATCCTTGAATGTCTCGACGCAGAATGGAACCCAGAGGAAGAAAAGAGGAAGGATGAAAATGCCGGAGATAAGGATCACAAGGAACGCGACGTAGGTGAAGAAGCCGTTGACGAAACGCAATTCGGTATCGCCGTGAGCCTTTAATATTCGAATCATTTGGAAAATTCATGAATATTATTCCATACTTTACAGCGAGGGCAATCTAAAAGTTGTGGCCGATCTGAAAGATACTTCTTGGCATTCACTAGCATCGACGGGGTATGTGATGCGGATCTGCAAATTGTATTCAACGTGGAATTGTTGAGATTTAAATTTTTCCGCAGGTTGTTGATTAAATTTTCGGGACCAACAATTTTTTTTAAATAATTGCGAATGTCCGCAGATCGAATCATGGAAAAATTGTGTTGCTCGAATAGTTCATGTTAAATTTCTGTTTCATTAAGAGTTTTTAAAATCTGGATGTTGAATTCCATTGTTGATCTCTATACTTTGACAAGCTTTTGAGCTTTTTCGCATCCGCATAGGTCCAAAAATAAGTGCGCAAAACAAGTATGTTACAACATAGGTATTTCTTTACGTCAACCCGAGTTGTATTTGCTTTGATGATCGCAATTTATTTTATTATTAATCGCGGCGGTTTTAAATGTCTGTTTGACGATGCTCGATTGAAATTTTTCGGGGCGATGCGCGTACGCGACTCACCTGTGAATCGGAATCGGATGAGATCGGTTCGGCGCCATTTCTAGAAAGTGTGTCAAAAGCTACAACTATGAAAAATGAATAACACGAATCGAGAAGCTGAAGAAGAGCAGCCAATGGAGGGGGGAGGGGGAGAAGATTGTCGAGTACTCGAAGTGGGCTCAATTCGACGCGCCTCCGTGCCGCTGACTGTTTGCTCGCTCGTTTTCGCCGGCCACGCCCCCGTCCCACAAGGAGGCTCCCGTGTGGCGATGATGGTTGGCAAGCACTTGAGACCCTCCGAACTCAACAATTACTCTTTTGAAACACTTGATTTATTTAGGAAAATCTCCCTCTTTTATTATTATGGTTTAGGGTTGAGTAGAGATCGAAACCGTGTTAATCGGATGATGTTGATATGAGACTAATATGCATATCGAATTATAATGGAAATAAGAGCACTAGATCGCATCGCACATTCCGAAGCCGCTCGCCGGCTCCCATTGGCCGCCTTGGCATTGAAGAGTCGCTGAGCCGGTCACCGCGTACCCTTCTTCGCAGTACAGAAGAGCTGTGGTGCCGTCCTCGAAATCCAATGATGGTCCGGATTGAATGTAAACGATCTGAACAAAAATTGTGCATTGTTTTAAATATTTCATGAACATTTTTTTTTGACAAAAAAATCTAATTTTTGCAGGCATTTTCGAAAAAAAAAAAACACAATTCATCGCCCAACAATTTTCTTTTTATAAAAATGGGATATGTGGTAAGTGTGTGTTACTGTTTTCGCGGGGTTTCTTGAACAAACATCTTCGAATTTCCGCTTTGCTTCTTCCATTGCCGATCAAGAACGTTTGAAAGACTATTCAGTGACTACATGTTCAATGTCAACATCTCGTCATGTTTCTTTTCTGGACTGTTAAAACTGACCCTCGCATTTCTTGGAGGCGAAAGCGGCACACAAATTCCCGCCGGCTTCTCGTCGGTCTCGTTCGAGCATTTGCCGAGTATCGGACGGAATGAGCCTTTACGGCATGTTGAGAATGTTGGACCTCTTGATTTATAGCCGAAATTGCATTTCAGTGCGGCTGTCGTTCCTTCGGGATATGAGTGATTGGTGGATGTGCTCGAAAGTGTGATCTGAAACGCAATTCAAGATGACTCAAAACTCGAAAGAAATGAGATGTCCCACCTCTCCGAATGATGGCGCAATTGGCGGAAGACACGATTCAATCGAGGCGCCGTCTTTCGGCGAATCGTAGAGTGTCGCGTTCGACATTATGATTCCCACTGCCTTCTGTTGTGGGATTGATGTATTCGTTGGCGGAGCTGCTGCGGGTTTGCGTAGAATGTTCATCGTACACGTTCCGGGCAATGGCGTCCAGACGCCATTGGTGCAAATCGACACCGCGCTTCCGGAAAGTGTATATCCCAAATTGCACACCAAGCTAACGCTGCTTCCTGATGGATATGGTCCGAAGCCAAGCGAACTGTACACAAGCTGAAATTTGTCAAGCGATTTCAAATATACCAGAAAATATACAAATGAATATGCTTTTGATAATTGAAGACAAATAAAGCCCAAGGAATGGGGCCTGATAATAATGTTATTTAAGGGGACATCCAGTCGGTCGCTTAACAGATCAATAAATTGCAGTACCAACTCTTATTGTCAGTAATGGCTGTCGGCGATGCCCTCTTTGATCTTGTCTCGTTTCAGATTGAGCAGTGCCAGATGAGCTGCTTCGAATGGTTTATTCTCAAATCCAATGTGTTCTCGGCCTACTCAGATCTTCGGATTTGGACGTTGAGGGCTAGGGGAACGGGATCGAGTGCTGATCATAGGATGGCTATTGGATCACACTACAGCCGCAATGAATATATTCAATTGTTCGAAAAGTGCACAACTCATGATGTTAGGTCATCGGATCTCGGCGATCGGACTGACACGTTCTCTACGAATGTTCTAAGGATCATGAAATGATACGAGAAGAGAAAAGGAAACACTGAATGAAGTGTAATGTTTCAAAACCTAATCACATTTAAAACGCCTGAGACTGATTATGACATTCTTCGAATACCGAATCGAGTTCCATGTTTGGTTTCAGTGGCCAACGGAAATTTTCAGATCAGCAAAGAAGTTGCCAGTTTCAGAAGAAGCCAATGGGTTTTTTTTTTCTGATCTTACCGATCCACCGAGAGGATCTCCTAATCTTCCACATTGCAGACTGCTTCCTGGTGTTGGAACTGAGCCAATGGTTCTGCACGTGCCCAACGTCGAAGGCACCCAGTTGCCATTCTGACACGAGGCTGTCATTCCACCGCTGGGCACTGTGCCGCCAGTGCACACTGCCGTTACGACGGTTTCCATGGGATACGGTCCAACGGCGGCATTCTGCAAATAATTGGGAATCATGAAACATCGAAAATTGTCGTACATTCGAGTAGACGAGGTTTGCGTTGATGACTGGCGCGATGCCGAAGAGACACGACGATCCTCCTCCGACTCCTCCTCCGCCGATGGCCGCTGAAATTTATCGAACATTTGCATGGCCGACTCAACCTGTTGATGTGCTGAAAACCTTTGCTATCCGCCTTCTGGCACGTTGCCAGACTTGGCGACGACCAGACTCCATTTTGACATGTGGCGTTCGTCGAGCCACTACTCGATTTGAAATTTGCGTTGCATTTCAAACTAACAGTGGTGCCCTGTTCATTCATGACGTGATTAAAACTAATCGGATCAACTACGGAAAATATCGAGCACATACGCTGGGATACGGTCCTCCGCCGTCGACACTGTATTCGAGGTTTCCGTTCGCCGGCGTGCTCATCGCAATGCAACTAGTGTTAGTTGAAACTAGAGAAGCTTAAAGGGAAACAACGAGTCATGGCACGCATGGAAAGAAAAATAAGAACAGCGCTTCCAATTTATGATAGACAATTACCCAAAAGAAAGCGGAAGAGCAAAAGAAGCAAAAAGGCCCCACAAAAACAACAGACAAGATAGTATTAGACGATTGTTGAAGGATTTATTGGCCTGAAAAGTCACATCATAATCGAAATATTTGATAAATGAGATCTTATGGAACACAACTGCCGACAACCGATGGTTGCCAGCCGGTCATGGTACACGTTGATGAGGAAACACCCTGAACCCTATAGCCCGATTGGCATGTTAACTGAACTGAGCTCCCGATGGGAATCGATGGGGAAAAACTCGCAGAATACAACATTTGGCCATTGAGCAACGAACCGCTCATGGTGCTCATTGGTGTGCATCCTGGAATATGGCACCGATGCCTCCTTCATCATATTATTCAAAAACAATTTTTATGGCACATTTTCATACTAGGATTGGACATTTCACATTAAGTCGCGCGACTTCGGAAAATTGGCTAAATGCCAAAAGTGTAAGGAGAGGTCCTAGAGCGCGATGTGCTCCTTTAACCTATTCCCGTAAATCTACATTTTTGGATTTGCGCCAAGACCACGGCACTAATTTTTTTGGCATTTAGCCAATTTTTCGTAATCGTGTGACGTCGTCAATATGCCACTATCAATTTATATTGATTTTATACCTATGTCTAATCATATATTTGAATTTCATTTGAGTTATTCAGCGGGACTGATGTACACCGTAAATCGCAGCCACACTGTCGCACACCTATCCGACTGCTACAGTAATCGCGCCAGAAAAAGGGACGGCATAATATGGTTTTCCTGCCGTAGCTCTATCGAAACGGGGTATTTGTGAGTGGTGTTGAAGTATGGCAAAAATCATTAAATAAAGTAAAAACCATGGGTCAAAATTTGAAACTTCGGACCCAAAATTTTGGGGACCTTTTGGAACTTTTGCAGAAAACGACATAGGACACTCGATAGGGAATTTCTTGATCTGTTTGGGTGCAAAATTAGAAAAAATTCCAAACCACAATGTAAAAACACCCCCCTTGTAAGTTTTTTTTTCGGTTTTTCGACGATCTCTCGGTAAATCTCATTGGACGCCGCGCGGACGGTATTCTATAGAAAAAAAATTGACGAACGTTCTAACGGGCGAGCAGCAGCGTCAGAAAGGACGCCGATGTGATCTACCGAGTTGCCATTTTGCTTTTCTATTTGCGTGTTGTGGGTTCCTCTCAACTCGAGCCCTATTTGGTGAACTCGCAAATTCTAATTTGCTCTCGTGGTAATCGTAACCCACTTCAAGCTTTGTTCCTTTACTAACAAGGAGGTTAAAATGATGAACTCTGATTCTGATTTTTTTTGAATCTGGCTCCGATTTTATGGGTTTAATAATTCCTTCACATTTTCTATTATATTAATCGCAAAAATCGGCATGTTGGGTTAAGATTGGGTTCACACTTTCATCGCTCTTCAACTCATTTTGGGTAATCGTCAGACAGAAATTGGAGCTCTACAGTAAGCGGCACTACATTTATGTGGCGGTGTTTGAACTCAAAATTACCGGGAACACAACTGCCGACAACGGCCGGCTGCCAACCGGTCGATGTGCATGTTGCCGATTGGGTGCCCTGCAGACGATAGCCACTAAAGCACACTACATTAACCGAAGTGCCGATGGGAACTGTCGATGAGAGGCTCGGCGTGTACGTCATCTGGCCGTTGAGAAGCGTGCTGCTCAACGCGCTCATCGGCGTGCATCCTGCAATCGACGAACAACGAATTCGGTGAGAAGCATGAGGCGGTGCAAATCGTGCGCAATGCGATCACCTTGCGTCGAGGAGCCCGACGAGCTGCACGAGCCCATCGCAGGGGTCCATTGAGAGTTGAGGCATGTCGAGACGCTGGCTCCGACTGGATTTTGACCGGCTGGACAGGTCATTGTTGCGGTGGTGCCTAGAGTTGTTCGTCGATTCATTGGACAACATTCAAGCTGTGGAACCTGAATTGAATGGAGCGAAGTATCCACTAGAATAGGTCAAAGTAGCGCCAACAGGCACTGTCGGAGGACTGGTGCATTGGCCGGTTCCAGTGTTTCCACCGCTTCCACTACATGTTCCCAACGTCGGATTCCACGCGGAATTCGAGCATGTTGACGTCGAAGAGCCTATGACTGTTTGACCTAGCGGACACGTCATGGTGGCAACTGTTCCTGGAATACTCGTTTTAGGTGGAATACGAACATGAGAGAGAGAGGGAGCATGCCTGAGTTGAACGGAGGTGAACTTCCTGAAGAATATGTCAGAGTTGCTCCAGAAGCCACTACCGGCGCGAACAAGCATTGACCGGTTCCGGTGCTTCCGCCGCTGGTGCTGCAGGATCCCAGACTTGGCGTCCATGCTCCGTTTTGGCATGTAGCTGAGCTCGAGCCTAAATGTATTAATTAATTAAGCCATATGCAGAATTTGGTGAAACCTTGCACCAATCCGCCATTGGTGCAACTCAATGTCGCAGTGACTCCAGAATTATGAAGGATGACACTACCATCGCTGTATGTGATTTGTGATCCGATCGGTGATATAATGCTTAGGCATTGGGTTCCACCGGTTCCGGTTCCCGTTCCGGAGCAGGACGTCGTGATTGCCGGAATCCATTGGCCTGCTAAGCAGGTGGTCTGGCCGAGACTTGTACCGTTCTGACACGACACTCTTGCAATTGTTCCCGAGTTGTAACTGGTCTGGATTCCGATGCTTCCGTCGTATTGCACAGTCTCTCCGATCGGCCGCGTCAACGGTACACATTGCCCATTCGTTCCCCCATCTGAATCTTGAATCAAAATGAGCAGATACGAACGAACTAACTATTCGAGCATGTGCTGGTAATCGCCGGCGTCCAAACACCATTGGTGCACGTCGAGGTGCCCAATGGTGTTCCGCCGACGGTGCAAGTCACAGTGGCAACAGTTCCCGCGGAAAAGCTTGTGGTGCTTAAGCTGAACGGCATGTAGGTTGCTTGTGCGCCGGTCGGGACCACAAGAGCCCCGCACTGGCCGGGGTTCTGTCCGCCGATGATCGAGCAAGTGCCGAAGAACATTGGCGACCACATGCCATTCTGACACGTCGCTGTCGTGCTGCCTTGTACTGATCCTCCATTGCTGCAGGTAGCCGTTGCGGTGGTACCGCTTGGATAAGGACCCATAGTGGCCCCATTCGAATACTGGACTTGTCCACCCAGCGGTGCGATCATGGATGTGCACTGAAGAGTTCCTCCACCTGTACCGCCCCCACCGTTGCCGAGTTGACAAGTTCCCAACGAAGGGGTCCATGTTCCCGATTGACATGTCGAAGTGCTCGAACCACTGACCGAATAGCCGCTGAGGCACGACAAGGTGACAGTGGTTCCTGATGGCTTGAGCACATCAGCACTGTTCGGACTATACGAAAGCGTTCCCATCATTACATAAGGGCTCATGCAAGTGGTTTGACCTGATACACAGAATACCATCACCGATGTGCGGAAGAACGCAAACCTATAGAAGACGATGATCCGCAGGTTCCCAGTGATGGTGGCGACCAGACAGAGTTGGAGCACGTGCTCGTCAAGGCTCCCGATACCGATTTTCCAGCATTACACGAGAGAGTCGCTGTCGATCCACTTGGATGGGTTCCGATTCCTGATGAATAGGTGATTGATCCATCAATCGGCGGTGTCAAATCGGAGCAAGCGCCGCCCGAGTTGCCCAAATTCAGTGAACTCGAAACACACGATCCTGAAGCTCAAATTTGATGCGATTGTGTTGAAGTTGAATGCCAACCAATGGGTGGTGTCCAGACACCGTTTTGGCAGATGGACGAAACCGAATTCTGAAGGGTCATCCCGAGATTGCACATCAGATAGGCCGATGTTCCCGAGCTATACAGCGATTGAGGGTTTGACTGGATGTACATGATATTTCCATTGGAAGGCGTCGGAAGAGCTGAACAAGCGGCACCGGAAGAGATCTGCAATGGTTGGGGATGATCATGATGGGAAAAGGAAGATCAGAGGAAATGGAAATTGAATTGAAAAAATGAAACAAAATAGAAGCGATAGAAAAGAGGGACAGGAAAATTGATGAAGCCTGAACCTAAACGCATACCTGACGTCGTCGACGGGTCTTCTGAATTATATATTATGTTATAATAAAATATATTTCAATTTATTGCATTCATCATTTTTGATTGTCAACCTACCGGCTCGCAATGCCCAATCTTTTTGTCCCATCCTCCCGGCTTGCAGGTCGCTGTCATGTTGCCGATTCCGAAATAACTACGTGCACACTTCAATGTAATCGTTGACTCGATGGAGTATGGCTTCTGGCTCGAGTTGATGAACAGAAGCTCGCCATTCGTTGGTGCGCTTAGGATTGGACATTTGACATCAAAGATTGAAACGCAACTGGGCAAGGACGGCTGCCAGATCGAGTCGACGCACCTCGATGTTGTCACCGAAGCGGTTGGGACGAACGCGAGATTGCAGAGGACGGTCGCGCGAGTGGCGTTGGGAACCGAGTTGATGGCTGTTGAGCTCGCGACATTCGCCGAGTAGACGATATTCCCGTTGGGGATTGATTCGGGAATCGGACACGACGAGCCACTGCTTCCCGCGGAAACGAGAGAAGCGGCTCGGGCGTGCTGCGGCACGCATTTCCCAAGACCGGTCGTCGGATACCAACCCTGATTTGTGCAAAGGATGTTGCTCTGTCCAGATCCGGCGAATCCATGATCGCACACGAGGCTGGCGGTGGTGCCAATCGAGAAGATGTTGACTTGAGAGCTCGAGTAGACCACTTTTCCATTGCTCACGTCGGGCAATGTCAGGCACACAGCGGTGTCGGAGGTGTTGAAAAGCACCACCGACGGCGTCTGCTTCCACGCGTAGCAGATTGGGAAGTACTCCTTCTCATAGCCCGGCAGCGATTGTCCGACATTGTCAAACGTGTAGGCGTAATCTGAGATGAGCGAATCGGTCAGAATCGAATCGATGAATACTCACGTGGTCCCGAAAGCGAGTGCTTCACATGCCGATAAATCGGCACATCGGCTCCGCATGAATTATTTTGTCGGGCGCAATAAAAGTCGTCCTCCGCGTTGCTCATGCTCGCATCATTCTGGCGTACCAAATCATAGTCGGTGTGCAATATGGCGCCTGAGAAGAATGAAAAAAATTGGTTTGAGATTTAAATGAAGACAGAATACCGTTCTTCTGGATCATCGATGTCAGCCGAATTCCACATTTGCTGACGACGCATCCTTCAGGATGCCTGGCGAGCATCACCGTCGAGCTCGCCTTGTCGGCATCGGAACGCTGATAGCCGCGCACTGACAAATCCTCATCGGATATTCGGTATTGGGATGTTGTGTTGTCGAATTGACGACTCCAAACGCCAACGACAGCTAGAAAAAAATCGAGATCATCGTTGTGCATTGTCGCCAACACCCACCCAACTTTTGCGGTTTCAGACTCGTTCCGCATTCGGTGATCTGCGCGTTCAAAATTTTAATAATCAAACACAACAGAACAACAAGATGTTTCATCGCATAGAAATCTGCAATAGTACACATTTTTGAGGGGAAAAAAATAAGAAGGAAAATCGTCGAGGGCAAAATGTCGAAAATGACCGGATGTGGTCAGCGGAAAGTTGGTGGCGCCGCCCAAATTGTTGGTTTGAGAGCAACAAAATGAGAAAATTGGTGGGTGTGTGTCGAGTTTGAGAATTGCGCCACCTTTTATCAATCCCAATTGACTCATGTTGTACGAAAAAAAAACATTCATACTATACATTTATGTACATTATTAACGCTCATTCATTATTCTCAATAAATATGTATACCCATTTTGGGCAACATACACATGAGAGAGTCGGTCTTTTTTTTTTCGTAGTATTAATCCAACTAGTTTCGGTTGGATTATTCGACAATTTTTATTTATCAGAATATTGCACCCAGCCAATGAGTAATCGACGACTTCTAGAATATTCTAGTCCATTATTAATTATTCTATAAAAATTATGAAATTAGTTAATGAGCTTCTTCAATTGAGATCAAAATTTGCTATGAAGGAAATGATTGGAGGAAACCGGTTCGATTTAAAAAGTGCAAAGAGCAATGGATTAGTTTAATCGTTTTTCAAGACTTTTTGGGGACAAGTTGGAACGCGATGAAACGAAATGATTTGAGAGAGAGAGAGAGAGAGAGAGAGAAAAGAGAGAGAAAAAAAGCTTAAAATGCAAGACTTTTCTCATACAAATTATTCTGAATTTTTGAATCCCCATTTTTTCTCAATTATTATGCAATATAATTACATTTGGGTGCAAAAATAATTTTCAAGCTGAAATTAATTGAAAAATGATATCACCAAAGATATATTTTTTTTAAAATATATTGACTATTGCAATCCGATCGTTTAAAAAATAAAAAAATTTCATTCAACTAAAACTTCTTTTTTGATTTTTCAATAAGTGTTTATTGGATCATCAAAATTAACGAAATTCTGATAATTGTGTTCGTTTTGTTTCATTTTTTGGCATATTCAAACAGTGAACTCTTTTTGACCTACAACAGTCGGGGCAGACAGAATTTTTTGGAGAAGGGGGGGGGGTCGCTTAGGATCAAAAATTGTCTCTTTATCATTTTTTATTTGGTCTTGAATAAATTTCATTGAAAATTACAGTTGTTATCAAAAAACATGTGCGATTATCTTAGTTCGACAAATTGACTAAATGGTCTCGAGAAGAAGAGATTCACGTTGTGTACTCCACACGGACATTGTTAACAGCGTGGCACTAATGTTGCGAGACCCAACTCTACAGTAGAACGCGCCATTTCGACAAAAAGACGAAAAAAAAATGAGAAACGAGATTGACTTTTTGTCAAATTGGTCCGATTTTGACAGTATCAAAATTTTCAATTTCTTTTTGTTTGCTTTAAAAAATCGAAAAATTGGGATTTGCAAAGTTGACCAATAGTAAAAAAGACAATTTATAGAAAAGGATAATTTTATTTTTTTTTTAATGCTCTATAGAATCACATTATTATGGGGAGGGGGTGATTTTATTTCTTAATTCTTATATCAGAATAGCTATTTTAGAAATTTATAAATGCAATTTCCTGTGAATTTTTGAATTCGGAACGAAAAGAAAATGTTTTTTCTTTAAATTTTCATGATTCACAACAAAAAACATTTTTGTTGTGTCGTTTTTCAGACTGGCAGTCATCGTCGATGTTTTTTCTAAAAACAAAAAAAATTTTGAGAATCGGATAATAGTTGAAAATTGCTCAAAAACGACATTGCTGTTGATTCAGCGAAATCGAAATTCTTTGATGAACTTTAAGCTGCGAACGATATTTGCATTGGGGGGTGAAAATTGGGCTAAGTGGGTTTGACGAAAACGGACATTTCAAAGTTTCAACATGGGCGAAAAAAATTATTGAATTGGATCGATATTCAGGGAAACGGTAACCTTCTCACCGGTTGAAGATTATCCGGTTGGCAGCCGGATTTGAATGTTAATTTATACATCACGCTAATCCTCTGTTTATGACAGTCCGCGGGTCAATTTCGTTCCAAACGATTCGAACGTTGCGATGCGATGCGCCTTTAAATACGAGAGGTTTGAAAATTCTTCAAACAATATCAATTTTCCTATCAATTTAATCGAATCAAAATTCAATCGAGAATTGAAATCGTTAGAAAACTCAAACAGATTGAAAAGTGATTTCGGCATTTTTAATTACAACAAATTACGTTAGGCATGTGGAAATGCAAACACGACGACGCAAACTTGCACACCGTTCGCTATTAAAATTCCATTATCAAATAACCATTCAGTTTTTACGAAATATTAAATCAAAAAAGCAATTTGTATATGAATATTGTTTGCAGGACAAAATTGAATTCAAAAATGGGGCCTGGCACCTCTATTATATTTCCCAATTCTTCACAAGAGTCGCGAAAATTCCAAACACACGACTAGGAGGAAAAAATTGGATTTTTAGTGCATTTTTTGTTCCGAATTCAAGCAAAACTCTCAAATTGATGATTCTAAAGTCCAAAAAAAGCAAATAACACGTTTATTAAAATATTTATTAAAATAATATTGGAGCAATTTAATTGAGGGCGCGTGTTTTTTTTTTTAAATAATCGCGGATAGCATAGACATGTTCGATTATGAATACAGACAAATGTATAAATGTGAATTGACCCGACGCGAAATAGGCGCGAACAAAACAAAAAAAATGGGCGCTTGGAGGATGTGATGGTTGAATGCACACCGAAATCGGCGTCGATTTGTATGTTCCGAGATTTTCGCATAATCTCGCATATGGTTTTATATCTGATTTAAAAAAATAATATATATTCCTTATATCCCATATGATCCTCGATTTGTTACGCTTTAATAGATAGGTCAAACTTGGATTCATTGGAATGTTCCAGAAGCCCCTCCTTCTACCAAATCTTTTTGGTTCACTTCAAAATTTGCTATCGAACTCATATCCGGAGGAAATTCAAAAAAAACAAATGAGCGCATTTTTTTGATGATGATTTTGCGACCCACACACCAGACAAGCGACACGCGGACATTATTAGAAATTCCGAAAGCTGACGGCCCCCACACATGTCCGCAGAATGATTCCTTGTATGTATTTGTCATCATCATTATTACGAGTTTCAGTCGTGAAAAGGGCAACGTTTGTTTATGGAAGTGTAACTTCTTCTCTGGAATGACATCATTCTCTTTTTTTTTCGGCGATAATTACAATCGAGTCTCGTTTAATCCAAACAAAACAATTGAAGCCTAAAGTTTGCCGATAAGCTTATTTATTGGAGTATGCTTGCCGAACAGAAAGTGGCTATCAATTTCAATTTTCTTGAGAAAAAATCGAAATTATTTGAAATACCGTATCGGGATTGAAGCATGTGATTAGTATAATTTCCAATCTTTTTTTTGTCAGAAAAGGATTATATTGTGGAATTTTAAGAAACAATTTGTTCATTCCTATCGAAAATGTCGATTTCTGAAAAAAAAAAACATTTTTTTTTTCTTAAATATTTTGGCGTTGATTAAAATGCTGCGTGACTGCGCATTTTATAGCGCGTTTTTATAAAAATGAACCGGAATCAACATCTTTTGTGGAAAAATGAGGAATGTAAAAAAACTGCAGCGAAATCTGATGCATTGTGTGCATACACCGAGTCGCACATCTACAGTAACCTCAACTGAAAATTATTTAATCAATTGTATTTTTTTTTATTTTTTCTGTGTTTTCTTGACGAATTTATGGTTTTATGTATATTGTTATGTTGAAAAAGTGTAATAGTAATCATTTTTTTATATTATTCGAAGTTAATTGTTTTTTTTTTTATAAAAAGAAACGATCAATAATTAATTAAATAATTTTCAGTTGAGATTACTGAAGATGTGCGACTCGGTGTACGCACACAATGCTACATATGATATCGCTGCAGTTTTTTTTTTCACAATAGTTTGAAGCGGTTCATTTTTGTATGGGAGCGCACGCGAACCGTAACGCGTCTGCCGACATTGTAAAATTGCTGTTGGCGCTTTTTTTGGGAAACAAACTCAGGCAAATCAAATAAAATATTTTGAGAATCAAATATTCAATGATAAACTCTAAAATATTTTGAGAAATTCTAAAGTTTATTGATACTTTCTAAAACTTATTGAGAATAGATAAGTTTAAAAATATTTTTTTTAATCTTATAAGATTTTCTAAAATTTATTGAGCAAATTCTAAATTATCTCGATAAATTCTAAAATCTTATGAGATTTCCTAATGTTTATTGAGACAAATTTAAAATATTATAGAGACACGTTAGTTTCTCAATGAATCTCAAAATATTTTATTCGATTTACCTGAGAACCATCAATGAAAAAACCGAATTTTGCGCAATTAAACCGCATCAACTCTTAATCACTTACTTTTTGGCCCCTTAGTCGATTCGTCATTTACCTGTTGAAGCGCGAACCACAGCTTTCCAAGCTTTTCGGTCCTTGGCTTGGGTGGACCCCGGTGTGATAATGGCTCCTTCAGCTGTTCTTGTGGTTGGTGATCTCCTTCCGAAGCGAGTCCGACCATCTCATGGGAGCCCTTCCACTTGGCCGGGTCCAATTCCACGGCCGTCACTCCGTTAGAAGATTAGTCCATCTTCCATCTGTTCTTCTCGCAACGTGTCCAGCCCAGGTCATCTTCCTCTTCGTGATGTGATTTGGAATGGGGAGGGGGTCCCGAAATTTGGACATGACGAATTTTTACAATTTTTTATATATAAAAATTGAATTAATAAATAAAATAAATTTTAAAAATAGGAATTTATAGAAATGAAAATGTTGTTATTCTTTGGAACATTCTAAATTGAAATATTCGACTGCAAAACAATGCGCCTTTAAATTAAAAATTTTGAAATTTTTAACAAATTATTTCGAATCTTTGAAAATTGGTGTGTATATCCAAAATTTCGGTTTTTAATTTTCTGCGACCACTGAAAACCGTGAGGTCAATTTTGTTCCGGCGGCGACAAAACGATGTTTGCAACCTCGTCA